AAGGAGGACATATTACATGAGTTGGACATGCCTGTAGCGACCGTGAGTGCCTCCACTAATGCTAAACTAGTTCTGATATAGCCACAGGAAGCGAACACTCTTATTATCCACCCAGGCGAATTGCTCTGTCGTTACTATCCCTGTGCCAATATGGTATATGACTTTATATTCATAACGATAATCTTCTAAGTCTGGTTTTTAACTAGTCATAGAACCGTTTCCAAAACACCAACGCCCTTAAGGCTCATATCAGAGATAAGCATAACGAGATTTGCGAGGGAGAGGGCGGAGGTTCAATCACAGCTGAGCGTGATGCAGCTGCTATCGGTAAGTTAAAGATATTTGATATGCTAAACTAGTCTCTAACTAATTTATAGCCTTTTACAATGACCTCAAATCTCGGTACGACACTCGTGTAGCTAGTGCCCCTCAGCCCGCATTTCCTCTTAAGCGCGATGGTACTGTGAGTGGATATCCTCTAGTATATTACTCGTTCTTAACTAAATGACAGTTTCTTAATAGATCAATATGTCTGAGCTAAAGCGCCAGGCTATGGAAATGGGTGTGGACGTTCCCTGTGAGCAGTGTAAGCTCGATAATGTTTCGCGAAGTGAGTCTTTAGCAATTCTTAACTAGTTCAGAACTACTTTACTTAAAACTTTCAGGATGTTGCAGTCATGCTCGCCGTACTCAGTGTGATATCTTTGAGGAGTTTGCCCCTTATCCCTCTGATACTATTAAGGATCCCTGAACTACCTTTGAACTAGTTCTTTCTTTTCCTTTGAATAGTATAGTTTGATTTTGATCTTTCTCTTGACCCGTAACAAGAACAACTTTTTAAATGCAGAATATTAAAAATGTCAGATTAGAACTAGTTTTATACTAGTTCTGTCCTGACTGTTTCTTCAAATTAGCAAGCTGAATAGCTAATAACTCATTTTCCATCACACTCTTCTCAAATGCAAGTTCATCCTGTCTTTTCTGTCTTTCTATTACCCTCCGTTGCTCCTCAAGCCTTACCTCATACTCCTTTCTCTCAAATTCTACCCTTAGTTCTATCCGCTGTTTCTCTTCCTGATACCTAAGCTGCGCTTGACGTTGATTTTCGTCAATAGATGCTTGGTTATGTAGGTTCACTGAGGCAGTACGGCGAAGGTCTGGAGAGTCAGACCGAGAGGGTAATGAGAATGGGGTCCTATCAACTAGTTAGTTTCTAATCAATATCTAGCTATCGTAGTCACTTACACTGCAGGGCTCTGAGAACGGCTTTGGGAACGGCTCTGGGAACTACATCTTGATGATGACCTTCCCCGTGTAGAACGGGACCGTTTGATCATTCTACCAGATGAGCTCGATTGATGGAGAATTAGATCCTCCTGAGAGACTATTGCATTAATCTTCTCTTGCTGCTCTTGTAAGAAACAATCTCTCTTTCGGTCTGTGTTAAATTGTTAATATTAGTACCTAGACTAATCACTAGGTTTTAGCTAGTTATGTCTTACCTTCTCTCTGTAGATTCCTCTTCCATCTCGCTTGTTGGCTATCACATCGATATGAATGCCTACTACCATAACGCTCACGAATATGATATTGCTCGACGTCTTGGAGATCTAGCAATCTGGACCTTGTAAACTAGTTAATAACTAAATTATAAATAGTTGACTTTGAACTTACTTCATCACTGCACCAAGCAGGCTATCGTGTATGCCTAGAAAATAGGACTTGTAGTGGCTCTGTTCAACCGCATTCGTATGATTCCTGATATCCTTATAGAAATCCGGATTTATTAACGAACACGCTCTACATAAACCAGCAGAGATAATTGGATGTCGCTTGTGGTTTGCCCAGTCAACTAAGTCTGGGTAGTGTCCTACTTATTAGTTAGCAACTCGTTTTGTAACCACTTATAATGGACATACCCGCAATTAAGTCAAGTAGCCCATGATACTCCCTCTCCGTCTGAGAGCTAAGCAAGCTCATACATCGTTCCCGGGCTAGATGATATGTTCCATCTAAAGTCTCAGGGAATAATTCTGCCACAGTGCGCATAAAGTGCACCTTGCAGAATATCAAAATATTCCGTAGTTGCCAGCCACGCTCGCGACGAAAAGGGTCTATTCTCTGGAGGTGCTGCCCGAGACCTAGGTTGAATTAGTTAAAAGCTAGTCAAAGGCTAGTAAAAATAAAATAATAAACTATACCAGTCATCTGATTAGGGCACATATCTGTAACAATAGCCTTGAAGCCCTTGTTATGTAGATAATGAAACCTCACTGATTCGTTCGTAATCTTCTGGATCAAGTAGAATACTCGGCTAAAGATAAACTCATAAGCATTTGGTGACTCTTGATCTGTGAAGACGCGGAATAGAGTAAAGACTAAGACGTAAATTAGTAAAGAACTAGTTAGGGAGTAGTTATACTTACTCTTGCCATGCTCCTGTATAAGGGTTGCGAATATTACTTCGATGACGTCGCCTTTAACCCGTTTATACGACATATCCACCTCAAATGAGTCAAGTGAGGCTAAATATCGAATTTGGGCTTCAAGAGCGCAGAAGACGAAAAGACCATACTCATTATCATAGACCTCCCGTATATATGACTAATAATCAATTAGTAAGTAAATCACAACTAGTTCCTGTTGTCCTACCTGCAAAGTTGGATCACGGTGAAGTTCATGTTGAATACCTGCAATATCTCTACCCTTGGGGTATCGAAAGGCACGTTGTTTAGTGAGAACGGCTCGAAAACGGTCCATATTCACGAAGCTTTTATGGATCTGAGAGAGTGTCATGCATTTTCTCTCCTGGCAGTATTCACGAAGAGCTGGGCTTTGTAGGAACGACGCTGTTAACTAGTTAGATATTAGTCAGTAGCTGGATAAGATTACTTACTAAGGGTTAAGTCTGGGGTCTGGTTTCGACAAATTAGATTCAATACATCACCCATAATAAGGTATGGTGCCTTATTTGGAGGAGGTGGTGGGTGACTATGACATCCGCGAGAGTAGAAAAGAGCGTATGGGCACGCTGCTAAGTCTATCGGGATCCATATGCGAAATTGTACGCCACACTGTTGCTGGGTTAATTTACCCTGCCCTTGAGGGTGCATAATACCTACACACGAGTTAGTAACTAGTGTATAACTAGTTATCAAAGACATACCGCAGTCCTTACGCCGCGTAGAGCGCGGCTCAACCACACCGCAGTGGTCAAAGCTTGAGGGTATATTTCCATCTACTAGATACTGGAGGTATCTAATATCTAGAGAGGTCTCTTTCCCTATTAGGCTTCGATGGAAGTGCAGAGTCCTATTTTCAAGGGTGCGATTACTGCATGCGAGGAAGGGATGATGGATCCCATCAATGGTCTGTTGACTAGTTAGCAATTGGCTTTCCTTGACCTATTTAGCAAGCTTACTGGTTCATGGTAGGTCCCATAGACTAGCTTACAGCTGTCTATAGAGTTTTTACATGCAGTTTTCATGTGAAACCTCTCCTGATGGACCTGGTAGAAGCTAATAGAAGTTAGGATTAGTTCTATTTTAGTTACAAACTAATTATCTTACCTCATGCTAGCCTTTTGCTGCAAAGTCAGGCTATCTTCTTGCTTGATTCGCCGCCGGGTCTCTGAAAGCGATGTGAATAGATCTTCATCAGCAAGGTAATGTTGCGAAGACATAATTAACGGATGTGCGAAGGTGCAGATAGAAACCCCAGTGCATTTTAACCTTCGTTTCCTAGTCTTGCAACCAAGGAATGGATTAAACGCAACTGTTTCGGTCCCAACTTTAGCGTAGGAGTACTGTATCTAAGTAACTGGTTAGTAAGTAGTTTAGTATTAGTTTCTAGAGATACATACTGAAGTGAGAACCTGAGATGCTTGCTCATACGATAGTCCTCGGAGGTTGACCACATATGCATAGCCAAGATCATGGGTTTGTGGGTATTCTGGGAGCGAAATAACATGCTCGATCTTGGCAGTTTCTACTACATCGTGCGTACCACCTGAGAGTGGAATTGTGACCTGTGGCTCGGGTTGCTAGAGATTAATTGATTAGAGACTAAGTAAAAACTAGTTGGAGTATAAGAGATATATATTTACCTCATTGGGGTCGGCTGTTGCTTCATTTCGTTCATGTATGATACGAGTATCATTACTTTGATTCAAGATAGAGAGGTCCTCATCACTCCTATCTTGATTCTCTGCGCTTGGATCAAGATTAAGCAGTTGGTTGAGAGGCATTTCCCTCCAGGGGTACCAGAACTGGTTAGCAACTGGTTGGTGCTCCATGTTGTCTGCGTAAGGCGAAGACGGGATAAAAACAGGCGTGTTTTTAATTTATAAGGTAAATGAGGATTATTTACATGGTTACTACAGCAATACAGGGATAAATACCAACATAAGTGGGTCTAGGGTGTGATGAGCTACTGAAAACCCACTTTTCACGTGACTTGAGGGTGCGATGAGGTTCAGTGAGGGTTAGCTGACCTGTAACCTGCACTAGTTAACTACAACCCCATGTATGCCTGAGGTGTCGTATAGAAACGGTGGAATGACTCAGCATACCGTCACTGACGTAAATTACCCCCAGCGCCGGCAGATCCGCGGCCGGTTCGTGAAATCGTTGTACGACCGTGGACGGCGAGGATACATGGAATAGAATACCCCAGGGAGCTTCGAGAAAAGAACACATTGCCAAAACGGATGAATCACGAGTCTACCTTGGATTGGCAGACCCCATAAATCAGGCGCCACTCTGCTGGTGCATTCCCAATGCCGAGCCGACCGCATACTCAACAAATTGTTATTTCTGTAAGGCTGACCGCTGACGTAGTTGCGCGGCCCCAATCTTCGGAGGCCGACTCCCCTCAAACACCCGTCACTTCATTTCTGATAATTTAGTTCAGTGACAAAGCTGCGCTCGCTACCTCCGACCCTATATAGCAGCTACCGATGTGAAACACCTTTCTTCGACCCCAATTCTTTTCCGTCGGAAATGTCCAGCGCCGTCTCGCAAAATGACACGACACAGCTACGGCCTCGCGCCGTTCCCCTTCAGTCCGAAAAGTCGGACGTGAGCCTCGCGCCGGTGGACAAGCTGGCCTTGGACAATAGGTGGGTTTCTCGCGCCGCTTTTCTATCCCCAGCTCCTGCACATTAGACCGGGCACAATGGCTAACGAATGCGTTAAAACCGTAGCGGCCGCTCAACCCCCGTCCCTGAAGATGCGCCTCCGTCCGCGCACTCCATCTCCACAGCCCGCAAGCAAGTCCGGGCTCGGAATCGCCTGTTCTACACAATCGACTATGTGCCTCGAGTATCCCATTTCGATCCCGACAGCGACTACCACAACTTCCGCGGCTTCTTTGTGCTGTTCTGGATCAGCTTGTTTATCATGGTCATGACGACCGTGCTGCGCAACGTCAAGGATACCGGGTACCCGCTGCGGGTGCGGGTTTGGAGCCTGCTGTCCACCAACGTGGTCGAGCTAGGACTCAGCGATCTTGCAATGGTGGTTACCTCGGCGCTTGTTCTGCCTCTCCAGAAGCTTTACCGCAGCGGTCCGAAATGGCTGCACTGGTCACGCGGGGGTATGATGATTCAATGTGTTGGTGAAATGCTCTGGCTCGCGCTATGGATCAAGTAAGTTCACCTCTTATTTCTGAAAGAAACTTGCTGACACTGCTATGCTAGTTGGCCGTTCATGCGCCTATGGACCTGGACCGCACAGGTCTTCTTCACCCTCCATACTTTGACCATCTTGATGAAACTACACTCCTACGCCTTCTACAACGGCCACCTAAGCGAAACAGAAACCCGCCTCAACGCCCTCGACAAAGGCACCATCCCGCCCACCTCCCAAACTGCCATCCACTACCCGGAGCCAAACAGACGCCGGCCGTCCATGAAGCTCCACCCCGACGAATCCCACCCAGACGAACCACTCCTCCGTCTGCGCGAGGACCTAGCGACAGAACTAACCTCGCCGCTAGGCAACATCTCGTACCCGCAGAACCTTACATCAGGAAACTATGTAGATTTCCTCTTCTGTCCAACCCTGTGCTACGAACTGGAGTACCCCCGCCGCCAGGAGCGCCGCTGGGCTGAAATTTGGTGGAAGACCATGGCCGTCTTCGGGTGCATTTTCCTCCTAACGCTTACAAGCGAGGAATTCATCCTCCCCGTCCTCACGGAGGCGAATGTTCAACTCCAGGCTTTCGATAGCACCGTCGATAAAGCGCTCATCCTCGCTGAGACGATTAGCATGCTCCTCTTTCCCTTCATGCTGACGTTCCTCCTGGTTTTCCTGGTCATCTTCGAGTACGTGCTTGGTGCATTTGCCGAGTTGACCCGGTTCGCGGATCGACATTTTTACTCTGACTGGTGGAACTCTTGCGATTGGTGAGTCCCGCAACCTCTTTCTGCGGTGCTTCTATTCTAACTTGGAATTCCAGGCTCGAATTCTCCCGCGAATGGAACGTCCCCGTCCACCACTTCCTCTTCCGCCATGTCTACTTTCCGTCTCGATCCCGCTTCTCCCAGCCCGTCGCAATGCTCATCACATTCTTGGTCAGCGCCGTCTTCCACGAGCTTGTCATGAGCTGTATCACGAAGAAGCTGCGTGGGTATGGGTTCGTGGCTATGATGCTTCAGCTGCCGATTGTTGCGGTCCAGAAGTCTCCTTTCTTCAAGGGGCGGACGACTCTTAACGTAAGTCTTGCCGAACCCCGCTTAATTATGATGCTAACTTTGAGTCTTTGGAGAATGTCTTCTTTTGGTTCTCGATGATTTCGGGGTTGTCTGTGGTATGTTTCCCTCTGAGATGGTTACAGTGCAAGCTAATATGGTTTAGATGTGCGTTTTTTACGTCCTCGTTTGATATGAGGGCTTGGGTTTGATCTGGATGTCTGCAACTTACTTTGCATGGAGTTGCCGGCATACGGCTGGCATCTGTAGATTCGTTTACTCGGGATTATCTCCAAGGTATACCATCTCCTATTGGCTATTCTTTCTTATCTCGTTGGGCGCAAAGAAATTCTGTATATAGCTGCTTTTCTCTACTGAATCCTTATATATATATATATATATATATATACACAGCGAGAAGTTGAAGATGATATACATGACGTTTTTTGAGTACGCTTCAACGGTTCAATTGGATATATATCTGTTCAGTCCATGACTCGATCTTTGATGGATAGTATGTGGGGAATGAGGGGAATGACGTAAATATATGCCTACCAAATTGAGTAAACAATTGAAATGTCTATGACTGCAAATCGATCAAATATATAATAATACTAGTATATTTGGAATTCATATCCAAGGTATAGACAAATCTTGTTCTTAGAGTATTTTCATTCTCAACTATTACATCAGTCAACGCGTGACGCTTGTGACATCACGATCGTCTCAACGTAGTGTACGAATCAGGTATTGATTGAAACCCGACTCGCACCCAGATATCCCGCAAGCGTCATCAGCATGCAGGGCACCGAGCAACGCTTACCCCGCATTTTACTACATCCCCTAGGGTACCAAACTACATCGTAAGGGTGTTGATACAACTTTACAAATTTAAATTTAAATCTTCCTACAGATTCCAATGTAAGCAGAAACCACACACTACTCGAAAAGCGAATTCAAATAATACAGTGAAATTCAACCTGCATCCACGGGGGTATCTACCATACATCCCGGGAGAAAAGCGATCGAGATATGACACTTTCCTACCTAAAGTAGAAAAGAAAAATAATTTCATAGAGAAAGCAATAGAAGACAACCTGAAGAAAAAGCAGATGCGCCGGGTAGGTGTGTATGATATGTTATGGATGCCCGATCCATTCCTTCCAACGCCGCAAATACAAAAATGGGGAAAATTGCACCATGCCTACTAGAGGCACGAACCGTCCCAATGCTGGCGGGATCATCCATAATTGGCTCCCCAGAAAGGGGTATGTTGTCCTGTTGCGGGTCTAGTCCTCGATAGAAGACTGGCACTGGCCCGCAGCACAGACACAGCTGAAGAATGGGTGGATGATCCCAATGCGGAGGAGCTCCGAGAACTGAGTTCGAAAGTATTGACAAGAATAGAAAGGCATAGATATGATGGTATTTGGCATGGAGGTCGTTAGGCGTCGACAAAAGAAAAGTGAATTGCACGGGCGTGAATGCTGTCGTTACTGAATTGAAGATCAATTGATCATGGAAAGAAAATTATGCGGTGGCAGACTGTCGTCGCCCGGGGGGCGGATGGCGATGTTCGTCATAATAAGCAGCTGAATGACGAGCAGGGGAATAACTCGCATCGCTGGGCCGGATCTCCCGGGCATATTTGACGTTACTCCGGTCGAAGGGCCGAGAGTATTCGACATTCGTGTATGTGCGTGATGGTTGCACGGAGCGGATTTCGATCCGGGAAGGCTCGGCGTAAGTGCTGGCGCGCTTGGGCATCATGCGCGAAGAACGGTCACGATCTCCACGATCCCGATCTCGATCCCGATCCCGGGCGTCGGGTGAGGATGGGTATTTGGATTTGAGAGGCTCAATGACGACCATTTCGGGGTCGATTCGGTAGCGGGCTGAGACCTTGGGCGAGCTGGTGCGGGTATTCTCCGCAGCGCTAGAGCTGGAATGGCCTGATTCCTGGCGGACTTTGGAGGAGCGCGGGATGGGTTCGCTGGCCATCTTGTCCAGGGTGGACTCGCCGCGGCTGGAGCTTTCTCGCTTGGTGCGAGTAAAGCCGCTGGCCGTGGCGGCGCGGGTGAAGATGGAGGGTCGAATGGAGGATTTGTAGCCTGGGGAGGAGCTGGAGGCTGGCATCTTGGGGGGTTTGAAGTAGTCGCGGGATGACTCGAGATGCTCGTAAGAACCGTTGCGTGAGGAGGAGCGAGTTTGGGTCGTGCGGGAGGACCGTCCCGCGCGCCGTGAAGACGATGACTCTGGTTCCGTCGACTCGTAACCACGGCGTCGGGGTGGAGACCGAGATGCCCGCGAACGAGGGTCAACCTCGTACTTGGATCGCTGGATGTGCGCCTCTGCCTGCTGCTGCTTGGTTTGGTAGTCGTGCTTGCTGTCGTAGCGATCGTCGTAGTCATCATCGTCGTCGTCGTAGTAGGCATTGCGACGGCGAGACGAGGACTCCGTCGGGCGCGAACGTGACTCTCGGCTGCGCCGCGACGAGCCAGCCTTGTGAAGCCGAACATATTCGATCTCCGACTCACTGGATTCGGAATCGCTGTCCGACGGAGGCATGCGGGGGCTGTAGGTGTAGGATTCGAATTGCTCGTATTTGGTCGAAGCCTCGCGGCGACGCTCGCGATCGCGGTTCTTGGCCCGGTCGGCATGGGAGGCCTTTGCAGACTCCCGTTGATCTTTTGCTGCGGTGCGGTAGCTACTCGTCGGCGTGCGAGACTTTTTGCGGTCGTCGGGGGGCTTGGTCTTGGTGCGGCGACCGAATTCCTCATGTTTGCGGCCCATCGGATTGGGCTCATCAGTGAATCGCATCGCTTCGTCCAGGAAGACCTCGACGGGCACGCGCTCTTCCACGATATGCCCGTTTCGCATCTCCCGGGGCCCGCCGCTGCTGCCACTGCCTCGCGGTGAGGCGTAGGCATTAGCGGCCTCAGCTCGTCGGCGCTCCATCAGCTCCCGCTTCAGCGCTTCCAGCTTGACCTTTTGGTCGTAGCGGGCTCGTCGGGTGTCGTCGGAGAGCAGTTCGTAGGCCTGCTGGACCCGTTGGAATTCATCTTGGGCAGCGATACGTTGGGACTCGTCCTGGATCTTGTCGGGGTGGCATTTGAGCACGCGCTTGCGATGGGCGGCGCGGATCTCGGTGAGGGAGGCCTCCTTGGCGACACCCAGGGCGGCGTATGGATCTATGTCGGGGGGGAAGTCATGATGGATGGAGTGGTCGGGAGGAATAGGGCATCAAGTCAATGTCAATTTCAATGACCAAGTCCCTGGAATTGAGGGGGAAAGAAAGACGGTGGGAGGGGAAGAGGCGGTGGAGGTGGATCTTTGTATGGAATGCCACGAGTGAAGGTGACGTTTCGAGGAATCCACCTGCATCGAGAACAATCCGGCGGGCTTAGAAACGTCGGGTCGGACAATCCAGCATGCAACACCAAATCGTTTCGAGGGCCTTCAGAGCCGATTCACCCATGCAGCTAACAAGTTGGAGGGGCGAAAGGGGCATCGCAGACTCCGCCACACTGAATCAACGGGTGGCGGACGTTCCTTCCTGCACTAAGAAGTAGAGGGTAGGCAATAGGCGATACTCAATACCTTACGGTAGTAGAGTGCGCTGGCCCCTTCTGGATGCTCGAGAGATCGGATGCCCAACGGGCCCCTGGAGCACTTTATTTCTCATCTTGACGTCCTGACCCATGTGCCGCATGTGCCTCGTCCTCAGCCTGGCCTCTCACCGTCTGGTCGCTCTCATATTTCGGCCTGAGCGTCTCATCCGATTTGTCTGTTCGTCCACCAATCGCTGCTACTGCGCAGCGGGGCCAGCAATCAACACGAGCGCATTCTTTGCGCATTCGACCAGAGGATACCTGCGTATCCGTGTTACATACCATACGCCTTACCCGGCGAGGCAAGCACTGCGGACGGGTACTCCGTGTATTGTATCCTCAGTATGATTCGCGCCTATCTCCTGGGGAAGCAGCCCTGTTCGGGCTCCCTAACGTAAACTCGCCCCCTACGGACGTACGCATAGCGCGGCTTTTCGCCTCTCGCCCTGCTTTCTCATTTCGCCGCGGCCTCCCACGTAACCCTGCGCCTGGCACGCCCGATTGGATGCCGTGCCTGCCTTCGCGTGGAAACCCCGGGCGCTTCCGTCGGCCTTAATTTGTGGCTGATGTGAAGATTCCCAGGCACTGCCATACCCTCATACTGCAGTATGGTATGCCTATATATAGCATCCACGCTGTACAGGGACACCGCCATCTGGTCCCCATGCTAACACCACCAACCAACTACGACACTGTGCTATACACACGCACTGGTACCACTACTGTACAAGTACCTGTACAGGTGGGGAGATGGGTACCCTACCAACCGTGCCTGGCAACATCCCACATGATGAATCTCCAGTTCGATCTCCAGGTCGATCTCCAGGTCGGCATCGCATCCCACTTGGAGTTGTCACGGCGCCCACCACCATCCTACCACTATGTGGATGTAGTAACAAAACACGATGATCATGATCGCCTGTCCCACCGGCGACCCATGATCTCAACGTGTCCCCTGTCCGACCTCACCACGGCCATCGTGCCCCGCTGAGAACTCCCTAGCCTCCGACCCCAAGAGACCCTAAGGAAGCTAGCAAATTTTGGGCTGTCATCTGGTCCCGTCGCTGCGGTTCGCCTGCGAACTCATCACCAACCATTACCCATACTACCTGGGTCGGGTATAGTAAGTACCTAAGTGGTGTGTTTGAGAGTCATCAATCCTGGATACTGTCCAGCGGACCAAAGCCTGTCGACCAGCGTCGCAATAACCACGGAGTGTCCTTTTTGGAGAGGATACCCTCATTTACTGTAGCGGGGAAACGCCTGAGCCCGTCATTTGATGATCGAGTGTGATGGGAGCTGCAGTGACCCCTCCCCCGAACCCACACGTCTCCCAGGGCCACCTTTCAATCCCGGCGGCAAGCAATTTACACCACCTACTGCTCACAGGTGCAGTGTTGCCAGGTCGAGTCGATAATCCTCCGATCTTATCACATCCACTGCTCAGGTCGTACAGACGGTCTAGCCTTCGTTCCCTGCTAACCCCGCCATGAGTGCGGGGCATATTTCACATCGGATGAGTGGGCTGGTGATGGTTGGGTTGGAGGCTTCGAAATGTTAAAGAGTTAATTTATTCGTTAACACCCCCATTTTTTTAACCTGGTACTACTGTTTAGTTGATAGCTCACCCCCAAGGGAGAAATGATGTACCCTAAAACATGCACTCCAAGCCAGCAAACACGCTGCAGTTACCCTGCGTCATCGAGTTTCGATCCGCACAACCAACCAATCCCCTCCCAGACGGAAAAACGACAAAAGAAATGCAAAAGTCCCAACTTGAAGGAACATTCTGCATCCGAGTCTAGCCAACCCATCCAATACGCTCTTCCCTGCTGTAATCATTCTGATTCGCGCGGCAGTACCTACTGCACATGCATCCCATTCAGCGTCAAGTACCACAAAAGCAAGCACACTCCACTAGCCAAGTGAAGAAAGATGATCAGCCTCGCATGGTCACACAGCTCCAGTTCGAGGGAAGAATCGAGCGTTGATTGGATGTGATGTGTACTCTATGCTGAATGGAACTAGCGTAGGGAAGAGCTTCTCGAGCCTGTAGAAGCCAAACCATCAATGGGGTAGTGCTGCGGATCGTGACAGCCACTGAGATCAGCTCTGCAAGCGCCGGACCTTCGTGTGGTGTTCTGGAACGCTCTGAGTTTGGCATTACAGATGACTTTGCTACACTAGTGTATGGTAGTGATATCATTTATTATTTCTGATTCCACTTGCGTGTTAGCGTGTGGGATTTTCGATGGGTCAGATGGATAGATATACCCGGTTTGTGGTGGGTTGGGTTGGGATTATTGCGGGGTTACTCAGATATTGAGGTATAGAGGAAGATGTGATTACGAGGTGAAGACAGCACAGCTATACCACCAACACTGTACAGCAGTGCCCAAGTAGCTCTCAAGTGAGGGAAAATACTCTGAGATATAGTACGAGGAGTAATACGAATTCGGAGGGCTCTAGCAAGCCCCACTATATGCGATATGCATCCACTGCCGACTCCTCCCCCGCATACGTTACTGTAGTCGGCAAGTCAATGATCTCGTCGATACCAGTCTACAAGTACCACAGGATCATCAAGCCTACTCACAGTACAATTCAAAACGGAACCGCCAGCCAGTCCGGTGGGTTCAACCGGCAGGCTCGTTCGCGCACGACCTTCGCTCGCATCATGATGTAAGCCTTAGCGTCTGACAGCGTCGATGGACGTATCGCGCCGCGGCGCGCATCAAAGCGACCAACCACCTCCCATACACCCGAGCGTACCTTGGGGTGGTACCTGCTATGAAAAGCAAGGTGGTGGGGGGCCAAAGCTCCGGGATGGCGCTGGACTGGATCGGTTCTGCAGCCACAATACTGAAAAGCGGAACGCACTGCGTGCAGGTAGAGCGGCAGGGCGTCGTGAATCGATCGGCCGTCGGAATAAACCTCCTTCCCAAGAAGGGCGGGTGAAAACTTTGATCTTACTTGAGCCAAGTAGAGTAGATGGCTGAGCGGAGGTCAGATGCAATGTAAATCGCTAGTCCCACCACCAGTAAGAGTGTCAGAGTAAGACATAGTCAGTCACAGTCAGTCACAGTCACACCTCGTGGTGAACTGGAAGCTCAATATCCACCACAATCGGCGCATTGAACAGCTTGCCTCCCCGATGCGGCCAACTAGTCGCCATGACAGCGGCATTAATGATGCAAGTCTCCTTTCTAAGCGAAAGCAAATGACCGCCGATGTGAATATCCGCGCTTGGCGTCGGCGTCGCGAGGCCGTTCTCCCGATAGCCCTGGTCAGGCACAGTGCCTGCAGCTGACTCGACTTCCGGTAATGGCAACGGCGCAGCCTCGGTCTTAGACACGGCCCTAGTCTGCAGCACGGCATCAGCATTACCACACGCAAATCCCCGGTTGTCCAGTCGGTCTCCCCGTTTGCCCGTCAGGTCGATGAGGTTTATCTTCTTGCTTTCCCGAGGCGGCAGGGTGCCCTTCATGACTCGGTCCGCATCGACGTCAGCAGGAGCACAACACCCCGTCTCTATAACACTCCCACGCCATCCGACTCTTTCGTAGCCTCGTCCTTCATGCACATGGCCGCAAATGGCCAACGGCGGCCTAATGCGGCTCAGCGTCTGGCGAAGCGCGTCGCACCCGACGGACGTTCCGTCCGGTTTCTTGTCGCAGTGAGACCGCGGTGGCGTGTGGGTTACGATGAGATCTGCGTCGGGGGGATCTGGCTCCAAAGCGCCGCGGCGTCGCACGTTTCGTATCCAAAGGCCCAGGTGCCTTGGGACTGGGAATACGGAGACCCAAACACCTTGAATGCCGTGCGTGGTCCATTTGCTCGGGTCAAGCGGATCACCGCGGCCTGGTGTCGAAGTAGCACGACCGAGGGCGCATGCCTCGTGATGGTCTCGATGCACTGTTGGGGATCTTCGAGTCGTGGGCCGTGGAAGGCTCGGCCATGTTGGGCATAGATTTCCGAATCCAGCGAGACGTCGTGGTTTCCTGTAAGGTCGTAGCAGGTTAGTGTCAGCCTGGCTGGAGTTCATCGTCTCGTGTGGCTGCGAATGGTGCGAGTGCGTCAGGGCAGCTGTAGTATGTTGATATATAGGGTGGTGGATGCCAGTTCATTCAGTGTATTCAACCGAACCGAATGATCTCATCCATCGGGCATTATTTAGAAGCAAAAATTGAACTGACCAGCCACAATGATCTTGATTTCAAAGTCGGCATTAGAGATCCAATCCATCGTCCTGCGCAGCTCGGACATGCTTCCCTTGTTAGTCAAATCACCCGCGTGTATCAGTACATCGCCTGCCGGCAGTTTAAACCCTGCCTCGGAGGGCGTGTAGCCATGGGTATCAGAGACGCAGACAAAGCGAGTTTTTCGATGCATGGTTCTTGATCCGGTGTCTCGGGCTTTTGGTCCAGAGCTGTGGATTCGACAGTTGCGATCAAGGCGGTGCAGAGTTGCTCGTGCGGCTTGGCAGCATTACAGCGAGGGCGAGCAAATGGGCGGTGGTGGAACTCATAGAGCGCGTCCAGTCCTCAAGAACAGTTCACTTTAAGAGTCCTACCTTGGAGGAACGAAAACATCACCCCCAATGGTACAGATTAGTCATCGGACCCAGTCTTTGATCAACTTGATAACGTGAATCCCCAGATCTCAGCCATTCAGTATCTTATAGTGCTGAGCAGTAGCAAAGTCAAACAAGGGTATCATTTAGAAAAAAGGAATGTTATTGACAAAGCCTGGCAAATCTCAGTCCCAAGATATAGACATCTACTCATTCCCCACTGCAAGTGTTGAGCGTGCCGCACGGAATCTTGGAAGCATGATGGCAACTGGGGTTTCTAGAACAATGGAACACCAGCCCTAACGGTCGGCCCTAAGCACGCAGAGGCACTGGCAAGTCAAAAGAGAAGCCCACCTCAAGGCAAGAACCGACCACCGCACATTGTAAGGGCGCTGACATAATCGTCAAGATCTGACGGGGCGGTCAGGACAAAGGCACTATGATTGGCTAGGATTAGGGCTGCGGCCCTCACGGCTAATCCACACACAGTAGGCCTCTCGGGGCTCGCTTAGCCCCTTCGCCTGCGATCCATCCGACTTCGTTGTGTGCGTTGACTTGACTCCAACGACAACAACCGCCGACAACCATCCAACCCTTTAACACGGTGACAGAGCAGGATGTCCACCTTCGAATCAGTGGTGCGTTCTTTCTTTTCCGCTATCTTTTTCAACTCGCCAACCCTCCATCCTTCAAATCTCGGACCTCCCGCCTCAATTCAAGAAATCGCAAATCGCTAACGTTATGGCTTTGGAACAGGTCGTCATCGACGGCAAGGGACACCTCCTGGGTCGCCTGGCCAGCACTGTTGCCAAGCAGCTGCTCAACGGCCAGAAGATCGTCGTTGTGAGATGTGAGGCCCTCAACATCTCCGGCGAGTTCTTCCGCGCGAAGCGTACGTTCTACCTCTACTACACCCCCATCCGATCATTTCTTTATCTCTGGTGTTGGGACACAAGCAAGAAGGAAGCAAGAGGAGGAATACGATCTTGAATCGTCAACGCCATCGAGATACCCGTCAAAATGTGCTCCCACGCAGACTGAATGCAGAATGCTGACTCGACCTTCGACCTACAGTCAAGTACCACGCCTACCTGCGCAAGATGACTCGCTTCAACCCCACCCGTGGTGGTCCCTTCCACTTCCGCGCTCCTTCCCGCATCTTCTACAAGGCTGTCCGCGGCATGATTCCCCACAAGACCGCTCGCGGTGCCGCCGCCATGGAGCGCCTCAAGGTCTTCGAGGGTGTCCCCCCTCCCTACGACAAGAAGAAGCGCGTTGTCGTTCCCCAGGCTCTGCGCGTTCTGCGTCTCCGCCCCGGCCGCAAGTACTGCACTGTCGGCCGTCTCAGCCACGAGGTTGGCTGGAAGTACCAGGACGTTGTCGCCAGGTATGTTTTTGTCCAGACTCTGTTATATCTACATTCAAATACTAATGCATATTGCAGACTCGAGGAGCGTCGGAAGGTTAAGAGCAAGGCTTACTACGAGCGCAAGAAGGCCGCTCGCCGTAACCTTGCCAAGGCGGAGCAGAGTGCGAACGTGGACAGCAAGACCAAGTCCCAGCTTGCTGAGTACGGCTACTAGATACCTGATAAAGTTCGGCCGGTTGTTGTGAAGTGACGGGTCTGGGTTGGGATCGCGGACGGTTTTGTTTCAGCGAATTGAACGGCAAGCCGATCGACCTTTTTCCATGGCCCCTGGTTTTTCTCCCCAATCCTGGCCGCTTCATGAATACCACAACTTTTTGCCGGTTGTGACGGACATGGGATGGCTGGGACGGCGGAGATTCTAGGTGGCTTCGGAATTTTTCAAAAAGCAGAAAAAACGGAGTCGCGGGATGAAAGGTTGTTCAAAATAGCTGGCTGTTTGTCTCGCGCCGTGGCGGTTTAATCCAAAACAATTTTCAAGAGTTCAACATGATCTTATGATGATGCAGTCAATTATTTCTTGACTTGTCTTACAGTATCAGTATGAGGATCTCCCTGCGAGTCCGTATTCGGATCTAGTATCCAATGTAGAGCTTCCTAGTGTTCCACTGATTCTACTATTATGTAGACCAAAAAATGGGAATGCTATTACGTCCTGAGGGTCTGCCCAAATTTTGTCACAATCTAGTCCCACAATCCGTCTGCATCAACACATTCTCCATTTACCGCTACTATTAGAAGCATCATATCCTGGGCCTGTGGATGGCTTCCTGGTGGTTTCCAGACTCCACCCTATCAGCCTCTCAGGCACTTGAGGTATACATGATATCGGCAATGTCACCAACATCGCACCGGATGAAAGTAGTACATCTTCCGCGGTACCAGGTACTTCTGCCGCAGTGTGTCGCCTAGGCTGGCGGCGGTCACCAGTACTAGTTCCCGAATACCCGCCTGTGATCCGCCCGCATAACCTAGGTTCATTACTAACTACGGCGTCTTCCCCGCATTTCTCCAACGCAAACAATCCCCAGGGCATTAGGTTTACAACTGCATATTTCCCCTTTACATCTCGCCAGTCGCCTTCGGTCTCAACACACACTCCTACAAACTACTCAAGTCGTGTAGCCCCGGCCACTTGTACTCAGTGTCGATCCTCGGCTATCCCCGCAGACCATGTCCGGCGTCAAGTCCCGACTGTCAAGTCTGCTCGGGCATTTCTCTGCGCCCGCCCCCTTTGAACACCGATTCAACAATCATACGCTATCGCCGACGTTTTTCTTGCCTCGTGCTGCTGCCATTGAGCCGGAGGTGAGTGTGCCGGCCCCAAATCTGTTGCGTGCTTATCTGACAAGGGGGTTGTTCAGGCTGAAGCGATTTACCATATCACTGCCAACAATAAGATTCTCCGTCGATCGTATAATGAGCTTGCGGATCGGGCTAGGGGCTTGGCTTATTATTTGAGAAAGCATGGGTTCAAGCGTGTCGGCATCTTGTGTCCCAATACCCCGGCATTCTTGGAGTCAATCTTTGGGATTGCCGCTGCAGGGGCGATCAACGTTGGTAAAAGCTCCCATTGGCGTGAAAATCTTTGCCCCAGTCCGTAATGAGCTAATGTGTAATTACAGCTGTGAACTACCGTCTGAAGCAGGAGGATATCGCTTATATCTTTGATCACGGTGATGTGGACGTCATTATTGTGGATCAGGAATTCGAGCCGCTGCTGGAGGCATACCGGTCCCAACATCCTAACATTCATATCATCACTGATACCGATACTGATGCTACTGAGGGTCAACTCACTGGACCTTTTGATGACGCTGTGCTCGAGGGCCTGAAGCATGACCAGGAAACTGGTGCGCTGGGCTGGGAGGCGCTTGAGAGCCAAGCTGCGGATGAAGAGTCCATCATTGCGCTCGCTTATACTAGTGGAACAACTGCTCGGCCCAAGGGAGTCGAATATACTCATCGGGGCTGCTATCTTGCAGCTTTGGGCAATGTCATTGAGTCGGGTCTGAATTACCACCGTGGACGAGCCGGATATCTCTGGACATTGCCTATGTTCCATGCTATGGGTTTGTCATGAATATGTACAGTAGATTTCTTATTCTAACATGACTCTGACAGGATGGACTTTCCCCTGGGCCGTAACCGCAGTCCGCGGCACGCATTACTGTCTCCGCAAGATCGACTACCCCCAGATCTGGAAAATGCTCAAAGAAGAGCATATCACCCACTTTAACGCCGCACCCACTGTCAACACCCTCCTCTGCAACGCCAAGGAAGCCGAGAAACTACCCGAACCCGTCCGTGTCACAGTGGCAGCGAGCCCGCCCACCGCGCACCTATTCGAGCAAATGACGGACCTCAACCTCCACCCCGTCCATGTCTACGGCATGACCGAGACCTACGGACCCATCACCAAGGGATACTACCTCCCGCAGTGGGACCAGATTTCTCTGAAAGAGAAATATCAGAAGATGGCCCGGCAAGGTCATGGCTTCATTACTAGTCTCCCGGTGCGGGTGATCAAGACCGAGGTCGCGGAGGGAACAGTCACGGACGTCGAGAAGAATGGCCTGGAAATCGGCGAGATTGTCTTTGTCGGCAATATCTGTGCTCGGGGTTACTTCAAGGACCCTGATGCGACCCGGAAGCTCTTCGCGGGTGGTGTGCTGCACTCGGGCGACCTGGCAGTCTGGCATCCTGATGGAGCGATTCAGATTCTCGATCGCGCCAAGGATATTATTATCAGCGGTAAGACTTCATCACCCCTCTATGCGAAAATCACTAATGGCCCTCCCCAGGTGGTGAGAATATATCCTCCGTCGCGCTGGAGTCGATGTTAGTCACGCACCCGAACATCCTGGAAGCAGGCGTGGTGTCCGTTCCTGACAGCCACTGGGGTGAGCGGCCCAAGGCGTTCATCACCGTGAAACAGGGCCAGCAGCTCGAGGGCGAAGACGTGATTCAGTGGGCGCGGAATGTGAGCGGGATCAGCAAGTTCATGATCCCACGTGAGGTCGAGGTGGTTGCCGAGTTGCCCAAGACGAGCACGGGCAAGATTCGCAAGAATGTGCTGCGCGATTGGGTTAAAGGGACGGTCCCCAGTACTGGCAACTAGTTTGAAGTACTACCTCCACGAGAGTATGAATCGCGGTGTGCATATAGAGATATTAGTATTCGGTATATGTTGGTTGGTCAACTTTAGTCCATAGTGGGTGGCAATACTAGACTTTTCCCCTCGCATAAAGCCGGATACTCCCGTGGAAGCTCCTGGATAGAATTTGTAAGCGCAACTAGCATAGTTCAGGATACCAGGCATGTTCTCGCGTATATTCTTGGTCATATTCCGACATTAAGTAGTTCTTGGGGGTAGCAGCAGAAATCGAGGACGCGGCGATTCCGCTGGCCGTGGGGCTGCGTGACGAGCAACACGGGACCGCATCAGTCGGGACAAAGAAACCCGGGTGATCGGACTGCGTCAGGTTGATCGACTACTACATAAGAATACTTTGAGTCTAGAGGCATGTATACTCAGCCCTATAACAACTCTTAGTATTCGTCGTACTACTATATACTCATATACTCTGGGTAATTATTGTAGGGTTCGCATCTTATCTCGATAAGAATCCCTTGGCGCCTGCTGCTCCGCGCCTGTGAGACCGGCCCCATTGCCTCATCCTATCCACCCCCTCCATTGCCGCCTTGATCCCTCCACATTCGCCCTGCATTCAGACACCCCTTTGGTTCGGCCAGGGGTCTTGCAGTCTGCAGCGGAGGCTCATCTCGCCTCGTCCTTGCACCCTCCCACAACCCGCCACCGTCATCCCGCCGTGCGGCTTAAGCGCTGTGCTCTTCAGCCCTCCGCCCATCACATCGCCTCGAGACCCGCGAGCCATCCGGTCTCCACGACAGGAAAGTCGGATTCCTCGGCCGCGACTGTCGATATCTACACGCCAGCAGCATCAAGTCTGACTGGATCCGGCCGCCAGCGATCCCACAAAAGCCCGCGTCTCACTCCTCTTTCGATCACGTTCAGCCGCCGGCCTTCACCCTCGTCTACCTCGTCCGCCTGCCTCATCTCCCCTCCTCCGTCGCTCATGCAGACATCACCACAGGAGTGATGAGACCTCGGCCTTGCGAAGACTCGAAACGAAAATCAGATTGGTCAACCTTGGATTCTTCGCCGGCAGCCAAAATGCCTCGCCCTCGACCCTCTGCTCGCCAATCGAGCGAAGTCCCCTCCGAAACCTCCTCGTCCACATCCCCCGAACGCGCCGTCGACGATGACACCGATTTCTTCATGGCTCAGGCCAACGACTCGCAATCCTCCATTGGCGTCGCCAACTTCCGCGAACTCCACGTGCAGGGCGCTCGTTCGGTTCCCGTGCCACCGATCGGCCGCCTCCCTCCCGAAATATTGATCGCGATCTTCTCCAAATTGGCCCTGCCCAAGGATATGCTGGCCTCCATGCAGGTCTGCCGCAGCTGGGCCGCCAACTGCGTCGGGATTCTGTGGCACCGCCCGTCTTGCAATAACTGGGACAACCTCAAGAGTGTGGCGTCGTCTGTGGGCGAGCCCAATAGCCTGTTTGCCTACGCGGATTTGATCAAACGACTGAACCTGTCTGCTTTGACCGAGGCCGTCAGTGACGGTACCGTCGTCCCGTTCACTCAATGCAAGCGCATTGAGCGGTTGACTCTGACCAACTGCTCGAAGCTGACTGATAAGAGCGTTTCCGACTTGGTCGATGGTAACCGCCACCTACAGGCGCTGGATGTTTCCGACTTGCGATATCTGACCGACCACACCCTGAATATGGTTTCCAGGAACTGCCCCCGCTTGCAAGGTCTCAATGTCACCGGATGTACTAAGATTACCGACGATTCGTTGCTGGTTGTGTCGCAGAACTGCCACCAGATCAAAAGAGTATGTGTTCATTCAAAGCGATATCCGTTTCGATTTTGCCTTTTTTTGGGTTTATTACTAACTCGATTTGTAGCTAAAACTATGTGGCGTTGAACAAATCACAGATCGGACGATCATGTCCTTCGCGGAAAACTGCCCGGCCATCGTGGAGGTGGATTTGCACGACTGTAAGCTGGTCACGAGTCAGTCAATAACGGCGTTGATCACCATATCGCGATACCTTCGAGAGCTTCGTCTCGCCCATTGCATCGAAGTCAACGACTCCGCGTTCCTGAATCTTCCGGAGCATATGTCCTTCGACAATCTGCGCATCCTCGATCTCACGGCATGCGAGGACGTGAAGGATGATGCAGTCGAGCGCATCGTGACCGCTGCTCCTCGCCTCCGAAACCTGGTCCTGGCTAAATGCCGCTTCATCACAGATCGCTCAGTCATGGCGATCTGCCGTCTGGGCAAGAACTTGCACTACGTGCACCTGGGCCACTGCTCGAATATCACCGACTCGGCTGTAATCCAGCTCATCAAGTCTTGCAACCGCATTCGATACATCGACTTGGCCTGCTGCAACCGCTTGACCGACACCAGTGTGCAGCAACTGGCTACTTTGCCCAAGCTTCGACGGATTGGCCTGGTTAAGTGCCAGTCTATTACCGATCACAGTATCTTGACTTTGGCACGCACGCCCCGATCTAGCCACCCGATGGTCAGCAATCTGGAGCGCGTTCACCTCAGCTACTGCACTGCCTTGACGATGGAGGTAATTTCTTTCTTTATGCTTACCCTAACCCACTGAATCTGTATTGACATATCACTTTAGGGAATCCGGCCTTTGATAAACAACTGTCCCCGTCTCACCCACCTCAGCTTGACTGGTGTGCAGGCCTTTTTGAACGCAGGCCTGACCGCATTCTGCCGCGAAGCCCCACCCGAATTTACCCAGCAACAACGAGAAGTCTTCTGCGTCTTCAGCGGCGACGGCGTAACCCGATTGCGAGAATACATCAATCAAAAGACACCCCCGCTGCAAGAAGAAGCCACCATGTACGATGACGATGAAGAACTGGACGAAGACGAGGGCCAGATGACCGGTTTGATGCATGCGACGGGCATCAGCGACGACGATTACATCAACGTGCCTGCTCATGACTGATACGATACCCCAATTTCCCGATTCTTCCACATTCTTCTTGTGCTTCTTGTCATAGGCGATAAAGGAGGCCCGCATCTATGTTCTTTTGCATCCCTTGCGTTTTTCGTAAGGCCTTGCCTTGCTTCGGGACCCGCGCCTGGAGTTGGGGTTAAGGTCTGATTCTTGTCATATTTCTACCCATATGAGCGAAGATTACTCCCTACCCTTCGGTGTCTGTGTTTTACTGGGAATTGCATTCGCGTTAGCGATGGTCTTTCTACTGTAGCCATCTGTGGAATTCCAATTACTATTATCTAGTGTTTCATCATTTTTCGGTGAGGCTTTGAGTTGTATACCACCAATTGACAATAATGCCCTGTGTGAGGGTAAGGCAATATTTAACAAGTACACGATGCAGTGTAGTTTAGCCATCCCAACGCATTGGTGATTGGACCTTCAAGAAGTGGAGGGTTACATTTAGATGCCTAGCACGATCCTGGCATGACCAGATAAATATATTACTGTGTTTCGAAAGATGTACCTCAAACAGCTGCGGTAAAGACCGAAATTATTTGATTAAAGCGCACCAATATAAGATGAAAGCTATTTGATTTCAGAATTATGCCGCCTAACGTTCCGATGGTAAAAGCGCGGTCGTCATTGCCAGGTGAGCGCGCAAGGCATTGTGGTTGTACAACATTACCGTAATGACCGTATCTCCGAGCTCTCCCCGCATTCTTGCAGCAACCTCAACTTCTCCCACTCCACCACGCTCAACCCTCGGCAAACCCGCGGCGATGGCTCTCCCCAAGGCCAGGAACCCTCTGGCCTTCACGCCGTGGCCAGTCACAATCATCACGACGCTGGTGTATCTGGCCCTGCTCATCCCCATACTGGTGATCAACACCAACGTCCCGGCCGCGCCGCGAATAAGCCCCAAGGGCCTCAACCTCACCGAGGCATGGCATGACCTGCAGATTCTGACCGGTGGCTTCCACCCGTACAACTCGCGCCGAAATGATAAGGTGCGCGCGTGGTTGCTGGACCGTATCGACGCGATCGTCAAGTCTGCGCCTGCCGCGACGGAATACCGCGTCTTCGACGAGGATAAGCCCGAAATCTTTGTCTTCGACGACCTTACCTCGAATCTCACCTCGCTGGATGGTCGCACGGGTGTCTACTTTGAAGGCACGAATGTTCTTGTTTATATCCGTGGTTGGGAGGATAAGAAAGAGAAGTGGTGGGAGGTTCCTGGGAAAACTCCCGCTGGGAAGGGAGGGGTACTGGTCAATGCGCACTACGACAGTGTATCGACTGGCTATGGCGCGACGGATGATGGCGTCGGTGTCGTGACTTGTCTCCAGCTGCTGAAGTATTTTACCACGCCTGGACATGCGCCGCGTCGCGGACTGGTGGTGCTTTTCAATAATGGCGAGGAGGACTATCTGAATGGCGCCAGGGCGTATAGCCAGCATCCGATGTCGAAATTTGCGCACACCTTCCTCAACTTGGAGGGTGCTGGTGCTGGGGGTCGCGCGACGCTGTTTCGCAGCTCTGATACTGAGGTTACACGGGCGTATGCGAAGTCGGAACACCCGTTCGGCTCGGTGTTGAGTGCCAATGGGTTTGAGAAGGGACTCATTAGTAGCCAGACGGACTATGTTGTTTTTGACGGGATTCTGGGTCTTCGCGGTCTTGATCTTGCTTTCTTTGAGCCGCGGGCTCGCTATCATACTGATCAGGATGATGCGCGGCATACGAGTCTGGACTCGGTCTGGCATATGCTTTCTGCGTCTGTTGCGACGACTCGAGAGCTTGTTTCTGATTTCAGTGACCGGTTTGATGGTCATAATCGTGATGATGGCACCGTTCCTAGTGGTACCGGTACCAAGGCTGTTTGGTTCGACCTTTTTGGAAGCGCCTTCGCTGTTTTCCAGCTGCATACACTCTTCGCGCTGTCGGTTACTATCCTGATCGTGGCGCCTTTGACACTCCTTGTTACCAGCATTGTGCTTTCTCATGCGGACAAGATGTACCTGTTCCGATCCTCGACTTCTTTTGATTTCACGGACGAGAAATTCCCACTGCGAGGCTTGCGAGGTTTCTTTCGGTTCCCGTTCTTGCTTGGCGTGCCTACTGCAGTGACAGTGGGACTTGCCTACCTGGTTACCAAGATCAACCCCTTCATCTCCCACAGCAGCGGCTATGCTGTATGGAGCATGATGGTTTCCGCCTGGGTATTCTTGGCTTGGTTTGTGTCCTGCGTTGCCGACTTTGCCCGTCCTTCGGCCTTCCACCGAGTGTACACCTGGACCTGGCTGTTTGTTCTCACCTGGGCTTTGCTGGTCGTTGCCACTGTTTACGAAAATGAGCAAGGCTTGGCTGGTGGCTACTTCATGTTTTTCTACTTTGCCGGTACCTTCTTGGCGACTTGGATCTCTTATCTGGAACTGTTCACTCTCCCAACCAAAACTGAGTACATCAGCCAATATGCACCGAATTCACGACGGCCTAGCAGCTATGGTAGCAGACTTGGCACCACTTCTGGAGACGAGCGCCAAGATGATGATGTCGAAGAAGAACCAACTGAATCAACGTCGCTACTTCGTACTGGCCAGAGAACCACATTCGCAAACTACGTCAGCGTCTCCAATGAATACCCAGCCCACCAGCAGGACAACGAGGAAGACACAGATCCGAATGTGTATGGAAACGAGCAGACATGGAGTGCATCGATGCCGCGCTGGACCTGGCTTCTCCAGCTGATTCTCACCGTCCCCATCATCCTCACTCTGGTCGCTCCACTTGCACTCATCCTCACCAGTGCCCTCCACCAAACCGGTCAGGACGGCAGCCCCCAGCTGTTCGTGTATCTATCCATCGCCATTCTCACAGCCGTTCTCTTCGCGCCGATTCTCCCCTACATCCACCGATACACCTACCACATTCCCATTTTCCTGTTCCTCGTCCTCCTCGGTACCCTCATTTACAACATCGTCGCCTTCCCATTCTCCGACTCCAACCGCGTGAAAATGTTCTTCCACCAGCGCGTCGACCTGGACCACGGCAATTCCACTGCCTATCTAACCGGCATGCCCCCATTCGTCGAAAGCATCGTCCGCGGCCTCCCCAGCGCAGAAGGCCAGACACAATGCTCCGACTTCGTAAACCGCGTCCAATGCTCTTGGAACGGCCCGGCGCCTCACGTCGCGCCAAACACCAACACTTCGTCAGACTGGGTCACCTTCAACATCTCAAAACCCAAAGCCGAAAGCTACTCCGCCCACTTCGACATCGCGGGCCAAAACACCCGCTCCTGCCGCATCACGATGGACCGCCACTCAATTAAGAATTTCAGTGTCGTCGGCGGCTCAGCTCCCGATAAGCGCTTCATTCATCCGTCGCGGGAAGGGCTGAGCGAAGTGCGGCTGTGGAGTCGGGACTGGGACGCGAAGTGGAGTGTCGACGTCGACTTTTCGGAGAAGGAGTCTTCGACAGACGAAGATGAGGGTCCTGTCTCGAATGTTAAGGGTCGCGTTTCTTGTATTTGGAGCGACGCTAATACCCCCGGTGTTATTCCTGCTCTGGATGAGGTGAGGCAGTATGTTCCTGCCTGGGTTGCTGTGACGAAGTTGAAGGATGGGCTTGTGGAAGGGTACAGGGATTTTGAGATAACGGCGCAGGGTAAGCCTGTTTGAGGATCGAGTTACATAAAGATCAACTTGTCTCTGTATCCTTGGGTTGTTTTATTTATGGTCAGGCGAATTTTACTTTTGTCGATGGTGTTTGTATTTTGTATTTTCTGGGTCAGCTTGTATCGAGTGCCATATCCATATGAATTTTTCGTTTCGGTAACGAAGTTGAACTTCAATCTTGCGATCGTGGCTTGTGCGTGAAATGTATTGAGACAGTTAGAGCATCGCTTGGAATGTGGTGAAGGCTGATCTCAGGTAGGCAGAATCCATGAAATCGAATCATGAGGCTTCAAAACTCTCACGACAGTTTGCATAGACGGAACTTCCCATGAATTATACCCGATTCAACATACCCACATGATCGTCGCCGAAGACGGAATCGCGATGGTTTGCTGGTTCATCTACAACGGTATAAATGGTATTCCTCTTCATCCCTCACTCCCTACCACCATCATCCAACCTCCTATATCACAGCATCGAACCAACCCAACAGAGCTCAGGTCAGTTCAATATGCTTTCTGCATCTCTATATCTAACAAACAATAATCCTACAGTCCAACATGTCCCTCTCCCAGCCATCCACCCCTCAACCGTATTGGACGCTATCCAGTGCCCACGCCTGATACAGGGTCCACGCAGCCTCAACCTGCTCCGCAGTCTAATAGACACAGAAACAGACTAAGGAGACGGAGGCCCCGGAGAAGACAAACGCCTCAAAGAAGACCAACGCCCAGTTTAACGTGCTGGAACTGCCATGTTCCGGGACATACATGGAGAAATTGTCCAAGACCTCTGTACAACTTCGTAAGTTTCGGCGCCATGCCTATCAAACATTTAACTAACGGTGACAATTCCTGGAACCAGCAACACTCCCCCCAAAGTTCAAACGTCAATTTACTCTCGGTCCACAGCTTATTCAATGTCACTCCCAACGAACCTCGAAAAGGGCCCTTGGCATCCAAGACCAAGCCAACCAAAGTCTCGGCTCCCTTTTTGGCCGACTCGTGCGACAGAGTCTTATGGAGGGTCTTTCTCGATATGATACCGAGGAACTCGCAGACGATCTTGACTTTCTGGATACATGCGTGGATCTTGTTACCCATGAACTTGTAGATAGTTGGGTTGGGTGTCTGCGTATAACGGTTTTGATGGCTGTTGGACCGACTTGGGAGGAGGATGCTCGGGATGTCTAGTGATGATGGAGGTAGCAGGTTGCACTGAGGTCAGTGATCTGGCCCTTTGATTTTATTGATGTATCGCATTTTTGTTGGATGTTGTGGATATTGACCATGTTCCATGCCGTTTATTCATATTCAGTGTTTCCTTGGTGATATCGCATTTGGGAAGTCCTCAAAACCACTCATAGGTAGGTCTCCGTCTAGCTATAGGATTCGGCACACCACTTGAAGTTGCCCATTTTGTTGTCGCCCCTGGGACCCGAAACACCAATATAGAATCCAACAGAATATTTTCTGCGTTGCGAAAGAAGCGAAATCAAAACTCTTCAGGCGTGTGTGTCTTGGAAGAGACTAAAAAATCGATTGCAGTCCCTAATGGTTAAGTTGCAGTCTAGGTACTTGGCTAGTTTGGATCCATAAATAGACATAACAAGATGGTGAACGTTGTTGAACAATAACGTAGTAAGTTCTCTCATAAGGCATCACAAACGAACGATGAGCCATTCGCCTCTGCTAACGTCTGAAGACCTTTCAAAAAGCAACAATGCGAGAACGTGAAGATAATTGATGGATAATTGATGGGAAAAAATGCAAAAAAGATAACCTGCCCCCATCCAGGATCGAACTGGAGACCTCAGGATTGCAACTCTGTTGCCAGAGTCGTCATATGACAAGATATGAGACCTGCGTCATAGCCAACTAGACCATAGAGGCTCGGTTAAGATCCGGGCCGAGAAAAATGCTCCAAGTCCCACAAAGCCATTATCAGAAATTTTCGGGTCATGTGACTTGATAAGCCCTTTTGTCTGGACTACCCCATTCCACGGTATGTACATGTCGATCATGATGTGTATAGTGGTCCCTTTTGGAGGCAATAGGATATATCAGTACACAATCTGAATGATGCGACTAACCTCATGCAATTCAAAACCCCCTTGACGTTTCGCTGTTCGGAAAATGGTCGACTTTGCCCGATACAACAGCCCAACACCACAATGTTCGAATTGTAATTAGAGGTTATAGGCTGTTCTAGAGCATTATAATCTCTGATTGTAATTCCAGCAAGTTGGTCTTGTGGGTCATATTGGGGAGGTTCGAACCTTGAATCCATTTGATGTACCATTCTGTATATGAAGAGCTTTCGAACAGCTGGGTGGATGCTTGCTGGTGTGACGTTACAGGTGCCGAGCTAACTTAGACGAAGAAATCGCTTGGGAGTTATGAGAAACAGTAATTCCTACCCATTTATCCCTATTGACTTCTATTAAAAGTTGGCGCTTCTTCTGTCGGCGTTTTATTTCTATTTTACTTCTATTTTGTTTCCCTCTTGCACTTGTATGATATTTCGAATCAGAGTCACATCGGTAGCGACCGCTTAGGTAATCTGCCTTGGGAAATCAGAAAGGTGTTAGACTTGCCGAACAGTGATGGTCTTCAACTCACTTTCATCAAACGTTCTTTTCAGTGGAAGGGATAGAGGGATACATCGACTTCAATCCCCTTAATACTTGACTGGGCCCCGATATGACTATGTGCAACGGCTTAGTACAGCTCTTGTTAAAAACTTATCTTCGTTGGCAGTTCACTCTGGTGTTCAGGCGGGAATCTCGTTGAGATGAAGGGGAAATTCGAAGGAGAAGTGAGGTGAAGAGATTGCAAGCTAATACCGTTCTTACGATCTCGGTTTTGCAGCTACCTCATCAAAACCACGACTTAATTCATTCACTAATAATACAATTCCTTTATGGCAAACCGGAGCTGAGCAATTGACTGAACTTAGGAGTAATATTCCCTACAAAGTCGCAAGAACATTCGAATCCTTCCAGCCCGTCTATGGGATTGGCCTTGTCTTGCATGTGCCCGTAAAAACTGGACATACTCACAATCACTTCTTGGAAGTTCTGAACTCAAGTCAAATCGTCCTGTCGCCGGGGATTTGTTGACCTGTCAAGTTGCGACGATAAAGTTCCTCCGGACATGGGTGGGGGACTAATGATTTCATAAAATTGGTTAGTAGAGCACTTTTCTGCGCCACAATTTATACCAAGCCTCTATGGTCTAGTTGGCTATGACGCAGGTCTCATATCTTGTCATATGACGACTCTGGTAACAGAGTTGCAATCCTGAGGTCTCCAGTTCGATCCTGGATGGGGGCAGGTATTTTTTTATCATTTTTTGGTCAAGCTTTTTTGCTTCGTCTGACGATGTCGACAATGTTTCTTTAAATTTTTTTTTTTTTTATTTTTTTTTTGACTCATTGTTTCCTTTTCCTTGGCCATGCAAATTTTCGCCGTCTGTCGGCGGCCACGAAATTCCGTATGACTAATCCGGTTGAACCCTCCACATCGCCCGATCGGGAAAGTCTCACGCTTCGTCCACTTCACATCAGTACTAGTAGGGTATCCTCACCATAGACAGGGTACGAATATACTTTATGCTGTCTGTGAGGAGCAAAATAAGATAGAAAGCGCCGGACCTAGGATTCGAAGCTAGGTTACACGCGACTGCATACCAGGACAGCCGGGGGCACTAACCATTTTACTAACCCAGCTGCTTTTTGTTATACTTTGCGGGAACTTGTTCATCTGCTCTCTTTCCTGGGTGATTACGTCGATATTACTTGGCTATCTGGCAGGGAGAAGCAGAGAGAAACACCTGGGTCTAGAAGTTGAACTGCCAAACAAGCTGTTTATATACCAACATATAATGGAAAGGGTTTCCGAGGGATCAACGAAATGGTACACAGCCAGTTGCATAGCGTACGGTTTGAGAAATACATCAAAGATAAAACATTATAGCATAGTTATATTGGTAGTCTCTCGTTTGCAGTGGCGAGTCGATTGCATACTGATCTTCGACAGTTTCCGAGTCAGAGAGCCGCAGCCCCGTCTCTTTCTCTCTTCGAGAAAAAACCTTCAGTTGCATCGGGGCAATCATAAATCAAGTAGGTCCTCAAACGTTTGATCGATCAGAAAGACTACCCTGCGAGCCGTCAGTGGGGGCCGAAGTGGAGTAGACATCTGATTCACAAGTACCCCACGATTTTACAGCAGAGTCTCATTGCCACGGGGCAATTTTCTTTCCATTAGAATCTCCAGCATTCTACTCTTTGCCTATTTTCTTCTTGTTACCTGACAGCTTATCCCCTGCCGGATCTCGCAACACAAGCTCAGCATGCCTCCAGCTACCTTGCAAAGCAGCCCAGAGCTCTGAATAGTTCTGGTTACACGGCGCCCATTCATAGGCGGCAAGACGATCTGCGGCCATGTGCTCCGAGAGACATCCTCTGTGGACCCGGATACAACTATTCTCGTGCGCCTCTACGGGAAGGCCGAAGACGATGTTTCTAGTGGAGCCATGACACATCAGATGTTCCGCAGTCGCTTCAAATTATTTTATCTTCGGGGTCTCGCTAGGCCCTGAAGATACATGGAGGCCCCATCCACATCCTACACAACAACCTCGAAAGAGGAAAAGACCTTTGGCCATTCAACTCCCTCTGTGCCCTGATCTGGACTTTTTGAAAAGGGACAAAAAGGATGAAAAGAGCCTTTTGTCTCTTAAATATATTTCATGGCACAAGCTACCTCCGGCATTCCTCGTGAAAGATTCACAAGTCGGTCGGTACACCAGAGCTTTTGTGGATCACTATCTGGAGGCAACGATGAGTTGCACGAGCAATCAAAATCCTTCTGTGATTGGCAAGAAGCGGGAAAAATTCCAAGCCATTCCACCAACCTGCGTGCAATGGAACTCGTAGTCGATGCCAATCAACGGCTTCAGTCCCAGACGTCGTCCTGAGTGTGTTAAGAGTGGTTTCTTAATACCTGTCTACGGGAGTGGATCCTAGAATCAATGTTGGTCAAGCGACGAGGAAGATGCTGGGCTCATCACGAATTCCGACATGTTCTCTCCATTTGGACTTTGCCACCGAGGTCCAGTCCGAACACTTCAACCCGATTCCTTTGCGATTGCAGGCAAAGACAAATTGGAAGGATACAAGTGAAATTATACAGGCAATGCCTCCAGCGATTCTAGTCAAACAGTTCACTCTGCTTCTGATATCTACAACATCCTGCAATTACAAGGAGTTGAGAATCCACCACAATGGAATACTTGTGGGATTCCCAATTACCTTGGTGGAATATTGTTGGAAAGGTGATCCTTGGAAAGCGTCCAATGCGAATGAAACGTCGCAGAGGGCTGGATCAACTACACATCCAAATGCGAACCTGCTTATTGTTACGTCAAGATCGTGAATATCCTATCGATCTGGGTGATGCCCTAGGGGTGCGAATACACACAAGCCCTGAGAACGATAATATTTACCCAACCTTCACAATGGGTGAGGTGATATTTGGAATGAACATCGTATTGAGTGGAAACTAAGACTCGTCGTTGTGGGGGAGACTGTTGAATACAGAGAACAACAACGGATTAATGTGAGAGGACCGAGCTACAGCAGTTGAAAATCCCATTGCACTTCGTTTGTCGCAACCCTTCGAATCCCATTCGCCTTTTCGCATACCACTATTTCATATCCTCCAACGAATCTTCCTTGTGACGAGCAGGATCTGGTTAAATGCTAGCTATTCGACCGGTCAAATCTTCGTCGTAGAAAAAAGAAGGGGGGCCATTTCTGTTTCGATAATGCCGTTTTCGGCTCTGGCTTTCTTGGACTCTGAAAGAATTAGAACAATAAGGATTTGGAGGGCAAAAAAACTGCACTGACGGGGAATCGAACCCCGCTCTGCCGCTTACACTTGACATGGAAGGCGGCCATCTTAACCACTGGACCATCAGTGCTTAACTCTTACTAATCATGAAACAAACATGTCACATGTCTCCACGTGTTTTTAGGTTTGGTTTTCCAGGCACCGCCTCGTGGGAGTATTGATAGGCAGGAAAGGCTGCTAGGCTCCCACAGTATATAGAAGTCGCAAACTCTAGTTTCTTTCATTTAGTCTGGTCTTATCGCCTCTAAATTTCCCAAATCACTCGGACGAAAGAAAAAAAAAATTGCGCCCAAATGACTGGGAGCAAAAAGTTATGCACTGACGGGGAATCGAACCCCGCTCTGCCGCTTGGAAGGCGGCCATCTTAACCACTGGACCATCAGTGCTTAAGTGAAAGATAAGATGAGATACATGTTATATGTAATTCCAGCTACTAATCTGCTTTGGCGTCCTAACCCCAGAATGCGCATCTTATCCTGGTTATCTTGAGGTAACAGCGATGGTGTACTAAAAGTGTTAAGGCTGGATTCGTACAGCTTCTTCGAAGCACTCCAAGATGACTACTGTGCCTCGATCGTTTCTTGAACTTAACAATTCCGTGACCCTCCATGTCTCACCGCTTCCAAAGATATATATCACCAAACTACATGTGGTACTGCATGTAAGGGCCCAACACAACAATAATAGCAAAAACTCAGAGCCGTCTATCCCACACAAGGCACAAACAGGCCCCTGAGAGCCATTACTTTTCATGTAGTAAAATAATTTAATTCCAATGACTCATCGCCCCGGAACATTATGCTCACGTTGGCAAAGTGACATTGAAGGGCAAAGGTTACGGTGCCAAGCATCGTATTGATCAGAGGATAAGAGAACCGAACTGGCGCTTCTTATCGGCTATTTGAGCGCATATATTTAACAAACATTATCACTATTCATAAATACACTTGTGTTTTCCAGACTCAAGTTCAATTTCGCACGTTCGGCAAGCCGAGCAGAATTGGAAGTATAAAAATGCCTTAGGCACAGATCGCGAGTCCGCCACGCAGGCAGCATCGAGGTACACGAGGCACCACCTGGTCTCCCCAAGAAGGTTCGAAGGCGATCGGTTCCATTCGATTCGAGCCCTAGTGACCCCAGGGCCAGCCTGCGCAAGAGGGGGTTGGAGAAACACACAATTGTTGTGCTCCACGGCAAAAAAAGTCTCTCCGCCTTGTCAGCCTACGAGGGATCCAGCTGGCGGCATGACTTCACCACCTGCCTGTCCCGCCCTCCTCCAGAGATCCATGACTCTCCTGCCGTCGCCTCTCGCTCATTCTACCTTGGGCGAGAAGTGTGCTTCCTACCTGGACCACGTTACCGACAACATCCCCGAGTTCCTCCACTCCCTCCGCCCTCGCCTCGATCCGTATCTGACATACCTGTCGGCCACCCCCTCCGCTCCGTCGCGCAGGCGCTCCCATTCGACGTCGACGAACAGACCACTGCTATCTGTGCGGCTCTCCTCCTCTGTCTGCTTCCCATTGTTGCGATGAGCTGGGGCAACCCCTTTCCGGCTTCTGGCGCCGCTCGCCTAACTACGCCTCCGCTCCGCAGGTCAGCGACGCAGACTTTAGCTACATCACACCGGACTACATCGTCGATCCCCCGGCCTCAGGCGCACACGCGGGACAATATGCGGATAATGCAGAGGACAACGAACCGGACATTATTCGTCTGCGACACCGAGGTACTATCTACCCGCTGCATTTTCGCGCCTATGCCATCGACGACGGTGTGCTGAATGTAGGCGCGCTGCGACGAGAGGCTGCGCTGAAGGTGGGCGCCAGCAATCCGAATCGCGTCCGTCTACTGTATAAAGGAAACTTGTTGAAGGATGATGCCCGACCCTGCAAGACCGAGGGACTCAAGCAGCACTCGGAGGTGCTCTGTGTCGTCTCAGAGGCCGATGCGAACACCCCGAGTGACCTTTCCGACCAGAATGGTCAGATGAGTGACCACATGGCGGGCCGCCCCGGTTCCTCGTCATCCCGCATCGGTGGAGACGACGATGGCGAAGATGGACAGGTGTCGCCCGCGCCCCGCAAGTCGAAGAAGAAGAGCAACCGAAAGAAGAAGGGCAAGAAGACTACTACCGACACGCCACCCCGGGAGGAGCTGCTGGGGGCATCCTCCGTTCCATCATCGCGTCCCACGTCGTCGGGACCGGCCTACATGCCGCCTCCGGCACCGAATCTGAAGGGACTGGGCGCGCTGGAACAGGTCTCCGCCCTGGTTGGATACCTCCAAAAGGAGATCACGCCGCTCTGCGATGAATACGTGGCTGATCCGCCAGCCGAGGCCAAGAAGCGGGAGTTTGAGCATAAGAAACTGAGTGAGACGATACTCGCGCAGGTGCTGCTGAAGGCGGACGGAATTGAGCCAGACGGGGATGTGACCATTCGCAATGCGCGCAAGGCCCTGATCAAAGAAGCGCAAGCGAACTTGGACCGGCTGGACCAGGTCGAGAAGTTGTAACCGAATTTACTAAGGTAAGGATTTCTGTGTATACATTATATTACATTTGCCTCCATTCCGTCATGTTCATGCTCACATGCGGGGGATTCCTTTACACATAGAATATGGATTTGCATACGGGATATCGGACTTTGTGATGTATGGACCTGTCAATTGTCAAATGGAGAAGGGCATTGCATTGGGGGATCGGCGTTTCTGAGGTGTCAACCGCTCAGGCCTCGGCTTCAAGTTTCTCGATTCCATGTCTTGTGTTCAAGGTCAATCTTGATGTCCCTCTCTCCGCTTGTAGACGTAGATGTAGCATATTTCTCCCACTGATGTTTAGAATTCTCCTACAGACTACTGGAGATCCGCAGTACTCGGATCGCAGTGATCATCGTGGTTCAGGGGCAGTTCCTCGCACGGCCCAACCGTATTCGATTGGGACCAGTCTCAGGTCGAGTCTCAAGAGAGCCGGTGGCAGGTAGTGGCCGGTAGTGAGCTGCAGGGGGACTCCATCACTCAATAAGAAACCAGTAATCATTAGGACGGCCGAGCTACCAAAAGCACAACGACACCAGCTCGGCGTGAGGCAGTTCTAGCCTCTGCCGTCGCTGGGCTAGTCCCAAACGGGGCGGATGACCTCGTTAGTTCGAACAGCCCCGTTTGGCTTCTCCCCTGTTCGCTTTTTGCTTCTCAAAGAAAGCAGCACCGGCAGCACCGCTCGCTCGCAATCACTGGGTCTCATTTTCTTCGTGCCATCTGCTCGCCGTTTTCACCCCTTCTCCCGACCCTTCGCTCTGCGCTTTTCGGTGCTGCCTGTGGAACCACACGATCTCTCCAAACCCCCCTCCACCAACCCCCCCGTGGCTCTCGACCTTGCGTGCACGCAGCACTTGCGATCCACGCCAGTCTGCATTTGTCAAGACCGATTCACCTTCAACGTCAGACCGCACCGGGCTGGGAGCTTGTCAATTCGCAGCTCCTCTCGTTGCCCTGGTCACGATTCTCGAGAGCTTTCCACGGAACCAACGCGCGCCGGCCCTCCTGCTCATCCGTGGATCGCAAGCGGAACCCTGAACTGTTCGCCAACCTGCCAATCTCCGGCAACGAACAGCTGCAAGTCACTGCACCCACCCCCTGCAGTGAATATTTACAATTTACTTCTTTCGGTTCCCCCCACTGCGTGCGGGACTCTTCCCCCCCTTTACCACCGAGCCTTCCCCAATTCCCCATCTTGTCTTTCTGGCTCGTGTCGGCCTCCGAGTAAGCACTGGTATGGATTGATCGAGACACGCATTTCGGCACAAGCGGATCTCGAATCGACTTTCTTTCGTTTGCAATCCCTGAAGCAGGTTCCAGCTGGATTGGACCTTTCCTCCCCCACTAGAAGGCTCTCTGAAACTGTGGGAATGGCGGGCGTGGCTACGGCGTATTCGACTGACGCCTTGGCCTCATCTGGAGGCGCGGACACTGAGAAATGGGAGTTTGCGGTACCGATCAGCGGCGACGTAAGTACCTCATCTCCGATCCCACTCCGAGCCCTTCGGGGTCCCGTGCCTGTTGCTGTAGGAAATCAATCGGTGCGATGGAATGGATGCGGATGGACGGGAGAGAAAGAAAGGGAGGAGCTTATGACTGACCCCCTCGCACAGGGCACTACCCAGCATTCTTCAAAACCACGGACCTCTCACGATTCAAGCTCTGTCCGTGCGAGATCTACCAGGAATCGAAACTCCAATGGCTCACGCAGCTCCTCCGTCTCCCGAACCGTTCACGGACACGATGCTCCTTACTATTCCACCCGCGGCCGACGAGACCAGAGTTTAAACCGACATGGCAGCGACCTCAGCAGCCGACGCGATACCTCCGGCCAGGACATCACAAACGGCAAGGAACTCGGCGACGACCAGGACGAGGCTTCGTCCAACACCCAAGAAATGAATCACGAAAACTGGATCCATCGGGACAAGCTCGCCAAAATCGAGAGCGAAGAGTTACACCAGGCGGCCATAATGTTTCAACGGCGGATGAGAACCGAGAGCAAGTCAAGTGTCGGACGTGGACGGAGCCATGATTCTCAGCAGAGCACCGCAAATGGTGACACGGCGGTGAACTCACCCAGCGCAGAGCACTCAGAGCCCTGGCCTGAACTGCGGGAAGAACAGCGGGGCGGTGCGGGCACTGGTGATGGTGATGATGAGGACGATGAGGACCGTAAACACTGGGATTTGCGCCGGCCCGAAGAAATTGCTGCGGATGAAGCGGCGGCCAGCATCTACAGTCACCCGGGTTTGCGAAAGAGCTCTTCCAGGATTCCTATTTCGACTGCTAGTCCGGTGCCTCTGATTCCCGGACGCGAGTCTCGTGGCCCTCGCAGCCGTGCTGCCACGGACGAGATGGATGACAGTGATTTCTCTCGAGGTCGTAGAGCTAGTGAACCCCTTCAAACCGATGCGGAACCTACCACTCCCTCACCCGGAAGCCGTCCCAACAGCCGAGGATTTAGCACTACCCAAAATACCCCTGCGAAGAAGACCTCAGCGAAGGCCACCGGATCTGCCACGCGCAAGACTTCTGCGCCCCCTACGAACCGAAAGACCTCTTCGACGGCTAGGTCGCGAGCCGTCTCTGGCAACGCAAACCAGCGACCTACCACCCGGGGCAACGAAAGCCGTCCGACAACCGCTGTGAACCGTCCAGAGGGTGATCCTCCATGGCTAGCTACTATGTACAAGCCAGACCCTCGCCTCCCTCCTGATCAGCAAATGCTTCCCACCCTCGCCAAGAAGATGCAACAGGAACAATGGGAGAAGGAAGGCCGAACCCCCACCACTTATGACCGCGACTTTGCGCCTCTGGCTGTTCACCCTAACGACATGCCTCATGTCCCACCAAAGACAGAGGAACCGGAGGAGCCAGCCGAGCCAAAGGTCGAAGAGCCACCTCAGCCCCCCAAGAGCCCTGAGCCACCGCGTCCGAACACGAGCACTGGCTACAGCACCATGCCGAAGGTCCAGGATACGCCGCCGTTGGGATTGACTCCCAACCCGAACTGGAACCCTCCAGTTGTGTCTGCACAAGAGCAACCCAAGAAAGAAAAGAGTTGCGGATGCTGCATCGTTATGTGATGGATGTTCATTGCAACTTCTTATCCGACTTTATTCAAATCGGGTTTTCTTTTCTTTTTTTTTTTTTTTCCTTCTCGTGTCTTGTTTATCTACTGCACCCCGAGATACCTCTGATTTCTGCACTACACAGCCCTCATTGTTTTCCTTTCTATTCTCTGCTTATCCTTACTGCACTTTTATTTCCCCCTTCATCTTACCTTTCAGCGGACCGATGGGATGGCGTTCTTCGACTTTTTTATTCATATTTTCCGACGCCCAATTCTCCCTTCACCTATTTAGCTCGGCCTCATCTCACGCCGACCAGGGCGTACTTCCATATTCTAACATATGCACCCATTCATTCCACCCTTTCCCTTCTATTCTCCTGTGATAAATCTTCAGAACTTCCAGCAAGAAAGGAAGTTGCACAAAAAAGATATCCATCAAAGATCGGATCATCATGAACGGGGATGACTTCTGTCATCCCCCGTGAATATATTCCCATCAGAGAGGGAGATTCTCTGGCCCGGTACACATTGTCATCTTCCGTTATTGCTTTTCTACATTTTTAGGCACCTATTTTGCGCAGATTTCTTGCCATATTCCCAAGCCTCGCGAGCGTTTCAATCGTCTGCCCTTTACTCTTAAGATATGTTTTTAACTACTGTTGAGCTTAGCGAGTATTATTAGCCCGTGCTCAGGAATCAAAATTATTGAGGATGTTTTGAATCTCGTAGATGCTGTAGTTGCGTTGGTTTGTTTCAAGTCAAAAGTTATTTCCTGATGGTAAGTGATTGCATCGTTCTGGCAATATATCCTGAATGCCAGGTCATTCATTGCAAAGTATATCGAACATAATGATAACCCTGGGAAATTCAGAATAGTCATACTACGGTCTCTACGCTGGCCCTGTTGTTCTGAAGTCCGGCGAAGTATGAAGCCGAGACAAGTGCTATGATGTCATGGCTACATTAGCGCGGATAAGCAACGTTGAAACCAAAAGAGGAGAAATGAGCAAAGACACTCGTAAATCCGATCGTTAACCCTATCCGAAGAGGCATCAGTAATATCCACTAAGCTGTGCGCAAGAAATAAGACAATCTTACTTAGTGCCATTCTAAACTCCCTTCACATCACAAAGGAGTCAAAAAAACCCGTAACCTCCAAGACGCGGACTCGCAATCCCATAATCTCCAAGCACAGTATCCATTCATGTGGTTGACTGGTAAGGATTTCAGACCATTCTTCTTCGGCCGAGTAGATCCTGACAATATCATTTTCATACCAGCGGCACTCGTTTCAGCCTCCCAGTAGACCAAATCCTCAACTGGGTACAAGCAGCAACAACAAACCGAAATATCCCGCATTCTCCGTCCTAATCACCCTCCCACCCAAAGAAAAGAATATTTTCCAACTTTAAATCCGAAAAGACACATCTCCCGGACACCACGCCGCCACCATCCCTCCAACCCTAGAGCTGGGACCAAGACCAGTTGCACAAATGCCAGATTATTGTTCCCCAGGATATCCCCGGCGTCCTCCTAACAAACGGAGAACATCTCAATGATGCAAATACTATGATATGGTCCAACCCACATCCACACCAACTAGAAACTTTATTCAATTTCCAAAGAGTACGAAATTGATCGTGGGACCTGGTTTCCGCAATGCTCTTGGAGACGGGTATCCAGATCGTATTCATGGGAGAGACTGGGAAGGTCGCGAGGTCGAAGAACTGGATTTTGAGAAGGATGCTCGAGTTTGTGAGGTGGGCTTTTGCTGAGCTTTGGATTGGTTTCGGGATGGGAGTTTTTATCTCCTTGATAGGCCTGGATCTGCTGTGGGGCATTTGTGTGCTTTGGCTAGGGTACAGGTTAATTCTCTTATCTTGATGGCTGGCAGTGAGTTTCAAAGATTAAATATTGGAGAATTTGGAGCTCTAGGGGTGTCATGCTGATACATTTTAGGATTGTGCTCGTCCTCTTGGCGATTTTTAATCTTCAGTGCAGAACGCTTTACGGGACAGCACTCCGAGGTTTTTGTCCAAGTAGTGGAATATTGAGCACCATATCTCGCCATTTGTTTATTTGAGCAAGAGACCGAGTTTGGATTACGAGAAATGTCTTGAGGCATTGTCTGGGATCGAAGATTTTGGAACGGAGGAGAATGTTTTGGTGATACTCGCTCACGATGATCTCCTCCTATCTGTTCTACAAGAGAAGGACCGCGAAGGAGGATGCTTGTTTTATCCAGAAAGTCTTTGGAGGTTTGGGAAATGAGTGATTATAATGATTTGAGCTATCAGAGGTTTCTTCGTGATGTTGGCCTTCCTGACGTTTACTGGTGTGCAAAGTATGGTTTTGTCTGAGAAACTTGCCTGGCGAAATTAAATTTAAACTACGTGGAACTCTATATATGCATTAGACGTGTTAAAATATGCTCTATCTCAGGGCTTAATAATGCACGTGTTTCCGAGGATCGATCTTAACGAGCTCGATCTTAAACGTAGGTTGCTGGCGTGATCGAGCAGGTCTAATACGATTTCATCCATCACATGGTATATTTTCGATTCGCACGCAATAATGCAGGCGAAAGCCAAATTAATACACGCGACAAGACTGTCACAATTATTAATGATCACTCAGGAAGCCAAAAATGCCCGCAGAGGTCTAGAAGTATACCCAGGCTCGGCCTTTGAAAAGATGACAAATCATCACCTGACATCATCGCCGGCGAAATGACCGAATCTCCGGAAAAACAAACCAACCCGCAACCAACCCACCTTTTAAAGCAAAGAAGCCGCATCTCCGGTTTCTTTTCCCTCCTCCGCCCACCATTTCGTTCATCTTCAAACGCCTCTTCGGCTCCTTCGGCGCTTCTCCTTCCCCCGCCGCCATGGCCGCCGCTAAGACCCAGGCTCAGGCCTACATCGACAACAACGCCGTCGTCGTTTTTTCCAAGTCATACTGCCCCTACTGCACCTCCAGCAAGAAGCTGCTGCGCGAGACTGGTGCCAACGCCGAGGTCGTCGAGCTGGACCAGATTGGTAAGTGACTCTGCACACTTTTCGGAGTTTGCCCTTTGCGCCACGGGGTGGATGGAATCGCGGCTTTTTGCGCCGTGCTGACATTACCCCGCCCGGCTGTGCCATTGGGGATCCGGTATCGCTTTGATGTTGATCATCTTCCAAGTTATGGAACTGCGCTAACTGAACGGTTCAGAGGGCGGCTCTGCCATCCAGGATGCTCTCGAGGAGATCTCCGGCCAGCGCACCGTTCCCAACATCTACATCAAGCAGAAGCACATCGGTGGTAACTCCGACCTCCAGAGCCTGAAGGCTCAGCTCCCTGCTCTCCTGAAGGATGCTGGTGCTCTCTAAATTCGATCATACGTGGACATGTATATACCGGATGGTGAAGAATAGAGCGGAAATTACTTCCAGGTTGTTTCATAATCGCACAAGCTCTGCATCTACCACATGCCTTCTTTTATCGTACACCCCATAAGCGACAATCGTAGTTGAGTTGAGTTGACGTTCTAAACTCTCCGCCGTAGTCAAGATCAAAATGCGCTACCCAGACATGCGCGAAATGAAAGGAAAAAAGATCGCCCATTCGTACACTAAGTACCCAATCTTATACGACACGTTGAGTAACCGTACCAACCGGTCGCTCCACAACGGTCATCAGACCGTCGACAATACTCTTGCGCGCACTCTCGCTGGAAACAGTCTTTCCAGCCAGGTAGTTCAACCAGACAAGTCGGCTAATTCGCTCATCGGTGACACGACCCATCCACTGGACCGGCTTGGTAGGATCAGGTTGGAAGAGCGCATCCAAAGCGCCCTGCGCATTGCGCATCAGAACCAAAGTTTGGCCCTTGGGCACGTTTTTGCGTTGACCACCACCGAAAACAGCCTTGAAGTCGTTCATGGAAGTTCCGAAATCTTGGTCCTGGAACTCGCCCGGTTGGGTCGCGCCGGGGGCTGGCTTCTTCTGCTGCGCGCGGGCAGTGATGCCGCGAACCCAACCATCACGAAGATGCATGAAGTCGGTGTTGCGGGTAGGGACAATGCGGAAGGCAGTGCGGATTCCGTTATCCTTGATGATGGCTGTCCAGGCAGCGTCGCCGTGCTCGGGGTCGAGAAGGAGCTGCTTTAGTTGCTGGCGTTCGGGCGGGACAAGAGAGGTAGCAGCGTCAGCACCAGTGCCGGTGATGGCACCGGTGTCGTCGGACGGAGGGTGAATTGCAGTGCGCACCAGGCGTTGTTGCAGCTCAGTAATGTCGGCCTTGGCGACGTACAGTCCCACAACGTAGACCTGGATAGACAGGAACGAGACGCTGCGGATACCCAGACCCAAAAGCTGGTACTCGTCGCCGCCAGAGGTAGAGATCTCATCACCGGGCTGTTTGTTGTCCGCCTCCGCACTCGCCGGAAGCCGGATCGTGGTGGGGAAATATGGCACAGAGCTATTGCCCGTCGCGAGTTTCTCGACAAGGCCCTGATCTTGCAGTGGGATGACTGAGGGTCCGCCGTCACTCGGGAACCCAGTAGGCCCGTCCATCTTCATTGCGCCGTTGTTCTTGGAAACATCCTCCTGTTTACCTTGACCTTCCGATCCATGCTTCTCATCCAATGCGTTCACTCCGAACACATCATAGGTGACCAGACCGTACATTGTGGCCGCGCATGCGACGAGGCCTACCCCAGAGACTATGATCGACCGCTTGGATTTTGCGACTTCCTCGGCGTGGCTCGCGCGCTCGGCAGCTCGGAGAGGATTGCTGGCATGGTTGGCGGATCGGAGGGAGGTCGCGGAGAGGTGCCGGGTGTTGTGAGGGATGCGAATTCGTTGCCTTGAGAGGCTCTGGCATGCACGCCAGGGATTCGAACGGAGTGAGGTGGCCATGATGTGTGTTTAATTGTGACTTGTGGGAAGACGGTTCCAGTCGGAGTTGGAGTGTGGGGATGCACGTGATATGGCACGATCTATAGGATCGACCTGACATCAACTGTCTTGGTTTTCCTTGCTCTCACATTCCTGCGAATACAGCCTTCCATCTTTTATTGGCTGCTTGAGATATGAATAGTTGAATATGTCTTCATATTGGACCATGCTCATCTAGTGTCATTTCGTCTCCAGGGTTGTCTCGTCCGGCTACGCTGGATCCCATTAGACCGGCCCCAACTAGGCTCTTCGTCTAGCAGAGCCTTACAAAATTTAGGTCTCCTTCTGAGATATGGTTTAGAAATAGCTGTTTAAGAAAGTTGTGCTGAAATGAGTGTGCTGCATCGGGTGACCAAGCCGGCCGCCTAGAGAAGCGTGGTTCTGCCTTCCTCTTTCTCTCACTTCTTATCTTCCCCTCCACGTGAGGTCTCCAGACAGGTTCACCCTTCTTGAGAATGCGCATTTCTATCTCAAATCACTTACTCTCTTCACTGATCGAGCATTTGACACAATGCCCATCAATCAAAACGCCTATCTTTTGGATTGACTACCAGTCTCTCCACAAGCTTGATCGTCTCGTCAAATCCTACGTCGACTCAGAAAATCCCAGAGACGCAGTGAGAGCCATTTCCCGACTTTCAGAAAAACTTCTATTCTCGAATAATATCGCCGGGACCAACGAAATTCTCTGTGCTGTCTACAGTCTGGCAGAAGATATCGCAAAACGAAGTCCCACTGGTGCTGGAAGTTCTCTGGCATACCCACCGAGACACCCTTTCACATCCAAAGAATGTGGACTACTGCAAACTGCAGTCACCAGAAAGATAAATTTCTCATGAACAAAGGGGAAAATATCGTGAATACAATCGTACTGGCTGGATGCTAGATCGCTACGGGCTCGCCGAGCCCCGCGATCCTTCAATTTGGCGACAAATCGATGATCCAACTATGCTCGGGATGTGCACGCGTCTATTGGCCAAGACTCTAGAGCCTGATACTTATCCGACAAAGGAGAAATCGGGAGAATCCTTGAAAGTGACTCAGAAATTATTCGCGCAACCCGAAGTTCCCTATGAGGATTGGCGGAAGCTCAAAGATTCACGTCCAAGGTAATCTCATTTGCTCTACCGTCGCCTGCCTGTCGAACTTGCGATACGGCTATACAATTTGCAAGTTACTGCAGATATCATCTGTCAAGGATCGGAAAAGGATGGATTTCCTCATGGGTTTCCCTCCGGGGGAGGAATCAAAGATTATCTCCTTTTCCCGGGTATATACGACGTTTTGACTCTTCTAGCCCAGAACGAGAAAAATAGAAATCCATACTTCTTCCCGAAAGAGGATGCACAAACTATGACAAAGGAGATCACAGCTGGTCTAGAGCTACGAGCGAGAGAGGGGAGACAGTGGGCTTTGGATGAATCGAAGGTTGGCTGGCGAGAACTGCTGAACCGACTTGCCGAAGCCGCATTGAAGACATACCCGAAAGTATACCGAAGCATGGGAAATAAATCTGCGGAAAAAACCTTGTATGATCCTGCGACAAAGGAGGAGATTCGCACTGCGGAGGAAAAACTGGGCGAGCTACTTACTGACTTCAAAGAGATGATCCGGATTGCAAATGGGTGTGTTTCTTTTCGAAATTCCGCAGAGAAAAACAGCTGAAGGATTATTGGGGGGTCACCATTTATTCAGAGGTGGTATCGCCGGAATTCAGCATATAATGCTCTCTGAAGAAGACCTACAAGAAACTGGGTATGACGCCGAGGATGAATACGAGATTAGGCCCGATCATCCACTCATCGAGCTTTCAGCCGGGAACAGATTGCGATGAATTCAGTTACTATATCATTTCACCATCAATGTGGAAGGATTTGATAAAGTGGAAAGAAAAAGATGGAGAATATCGGTACTATCACTGGGCAGCCTGGACAGTTGAACTCTCTATTCGGAAATAGATCAGGCTATGTCGCCATCTGCGTGGGAAAAGTAGAGAAGGCACTCGAGTTGGGCGAAAAGGAAGAAATCTCCGATGATGGGATGGAGGACTCGGCATCTGAAGCCACCAATGACGGCGTATCTGATGCAGAATAACCTGATACATTTAGGAACTGAGCGACATGATGACACCACGTGTGACCTCACGAGAATGCAATTTCAAAATCCATCAAAATATAATTTCTTGCCCTCAAAGCCCGAACTAACTGAGTACAACCTTGTCGGACCCACCCTCCACCGAAAACTCGATAGTATCCTCTCCATAAATCAAACCCTTTGATATCTTCCTTCCACCCAGAGAAACTGACGGCCTTTTGGACGTTACAAACGGCAACGTAAAAACCCCCGTTGTGCCCTTCGGAACCGAGAAGCTCAACACATACCCACCGTCCTCCCTCCTCCAAAATGCCTGAAACTTCCCAAGAGAAGTAACGAACCCAGCCTCAGCATACTCCAAATCCGCAAACTGAGGCGCAATCTTCCAAGTCTCACCCAACCGAGAAGTCAACGAAAGACCAACAATGTACTCCGTCAACGCCGATGTGGGGCCAGATGACCAACCATGGGAGTGCGAGACATACGAAGCATCATAGCCATATCCCCGACTACTCCTGTACCCGAAGGTTCCATTTGCCAGGTACCCCTCGATCACCGTGCTCTCGGTGCCATTGGGGTTATTCAGGTACCAGCCCCAGCTGCGACGTAACAGGTCTAGAGCTCGGGTGGCATTTCGGACGACGAAGTGGCTTTGGATTTCGAATGATGAGATGAAAGATACTATATTTTCTGGGAGTTCGGGTGAGACTGCTCCGATTGAGATCCAGTTTTTCGTGAGCTTCTCTGATATTCCTGCTGCGCGGTCTGAGTCGACAACGTCGAAGAGGATGGCCATGCTGTTTGCGTCTTGGGGGTGAAGGGTTGTATCTGTTGCGTTGTCCTTGAATGCCCCGTAAGATTCATCCCAGCAGTAGTTATTGATGGTTGTTTTCAAAGATTCAGCTCTCGCGTTCCAGGTGTTTGTGAGGTTGGTTGTGTCGCCTGCCCATGTCGCTAACTCGGCACCAGTTTTGAGAGTGTGGTAAAGACTGCAGATTTAGCATATCTGAGATGAAAAAACTTAGATCAAGCGGAGAACTTACATCATTTGAGCCTCTGTGTTATTGTATCCTTGCTGCCATCGGGCCCAGTCTCGAGTTCCTGTTACGTTCAAAAGACCACTAAGGTAGGTCATCTTGCCGTGGATGAACTCCATAGCCAGAACATATCTATCCCAATTCTTTTGCAGAAAAGCTGTATCATTTGTGTATAGCACGTAGTTGTGTGTGCCAATCATCAACCACATATGGTAGGTATCTGACCCTTTCTGGCTAAGCGGAGGTCCCGACTCATCGAAAGCACCTGTCGATTTATCCTGTATGATAAACATCAGATGAATTCCTGCAAATAGAATTAGTGAGCTCACCTGAGTGTTATACATAATCTGAAGCGCATTCTTCACACTATCTAAGTCCCCCAGGCTCACAAAAGCCGACGGAACCGCGATGCCCATATCACCAGGCCAAACAGCACGGTCTCGCTTCGCACCATCAACAATAATCGTATCACCTGGTCCGAGAGTACCATTATTTAACCATCCATGCGTCACACCATTCGTGACTCGACCCGTGTTCACCGGAACCTCATTCGTCTGCAGCGTGTAGGCTCCACTGTACCAGATGCGATTCAAGAGTTCGTCACTGCTGTGGAAATACCCCTGATACGCGCGGAGATTTGACCAAGTAGGTTGGAAAGAAAGTTCAAGACTGACATCTTGCAGATGCACGTTTGTAGAGTCATTGGTGATGAGGAAAAGGGTCAAATATCGGAATCCTCCGCGGAGGTACTCATCGGGCATCGTGTAGGAGTGATTTCCCGCAGACGAAAAATTCGAATAGAGAGTGCCATCATGGTACATTGCACTGGAAGAGTCGGACCATTCTCCGATCCAGTCTTTGGCTTCCGTGAAGGCAAGGCCTAACGCGCCATTCCCATCGGATGTGTATTGCAAGTGGATGATGCCGCCTACTTCTTTTTCGAAGTCGAATACAACGCGTGATCCATTGCCGTGGAAGGTCACATCCGTTACATGAGAAGAAATCGTACTGGCGTTATTTTTCAGCTCTTTTAGAGTCGAGACAGGTCGGACTGTCCGTGATGCCGGGGCGTATATGTTTTTGTCCCAAACTCCACTAAATGCAGAGTCCGTGGGACCAGAGCAAGATGTACCTCGCCAGCAAGATTGCGCTGTAGAACATGAGAACAGCGATGATACGGCCAGGAAAAGGCCAGACCAATATCTACGCACCATGGGATCACTGATATGGGGAGTTATGTATTAAATTGCTAAGTCGAGACCAGTACGGGTTGAGGATTCTCGCTTCACCGGGCTACATATAGGGCTCGGTTAAGAGAAGGGCACCGTGGATATAGCAATGCAAGTTTATTGTTCCTCGGTCTCGAATAACGCGAGCATTAGAAGCTGAATTCACTTCATCAGCGTGGGGAAGACGTCGAGTAATACACTGCTTCACACTCATTGGTGGAATAATGCTTGCTGTATGACATTAGCCCCTGCAGAATCATCCAAGACCAAGGCAGGGATCTGCAGTCAAGCACTTTGGTGGCTTGAGGAGCTTCGCTTAGTCCAGAAAACAAGCAGCAGCCCCGACCTTTCCCCGCAATCAGTTTTCTCCGCAATCTCCATTTCAGTACTCACTCGGCGCAAAGACACCCGAGGACACAAATCCCTAACAGTTAAAATGAATCTTTGAGAAACCCATATTGAAATGTACCCTGTTTTCTTCATCCAAAAATCTGGCAGTCACTATGCAAATCCTAGGAGCTCCCTCAATAGCCCTACACTTGGGGCTACTTTTTTCGCCGACTCTCGCCGCAAGACCCAGGTCAAAAGTTTGCACCGTCAAAGCAAATGGAAACCAGCAAGACGACGTCACAAACATCCTCACGGCATTCCACCAGTGTGGACATGGGGGCAAGATTGTTTTCCCAGAGGACCAGTCTTACTGGATCGCTAGCCGCTTGAACCCCGTCGTGAAGGACGTGGAGATCGAATGGCGTGGAGAATGGACCGTACGTGAGACCCAGACCACAAAATTAGGAACCGCTAACTTTATGATTTCAGTTTTCTGACGACCTAGAATACTGGCGAAACAATTCATACCCTATCGCCTTTCAAAACCACGCTGCGGGATTCATTCTCACGGGCCACAATATCAAAATCGACGGATATGGAACTGGTGGTATCGACGGCAACGGTAATACCTGGTATACCTCGGAGAAAGGTGACACGCAGCCAGGAAGACCGATGCCTTTCGTTTTCTGGAATGTGTCTGAAGTTAGCGTCGACAATTTCTACATCAAGAATCCGCAACTGTGGAGTTTGAATATCATGAACGGCAAAAACATGCGCTTCAACAACATCTACGCCAATGCAACCTCGGTCGATGCACCGTATGGCAAAAACTGGGTACAAAATACAGATGGATTCGGTGAATAATTGCACAATCGCATCCTCAGTACAAATCCACTAATGTGACGAGAATGCAAGACACAATGGATGTCGACAACATCCAACTCACCAACCTAACCTACCAAGGCGGCGACGACTGCGTCGCCATAAAACCACGCTCCTATAACATCAAAATCCAAAACGTCACCTGCAATGGCGGAAACGGCATTGCAATCGGTAGTCTCGGACAATATCTGGAAGACTCAAGCGTCGCCAACATCACCGTGGACCAAGTGAAGATCATCCGGTACAACGAGGACATGCACAATTCCGCATACATCAAAACCTGGATGGGTGGACTCGTCCCGCAAGACTCATACGAGAGCGCAGGGCTCCCGCGCGGAGGAGGCTGGGGCAGCGTGACGAATCTGGTTTTCTCCAATTTCGAGGTCCATGGGGCTAATGCCGGGCCGGCAATTACGCAGGATAGTGGGGATAATGGCTCGTATGGGGGCACGAGTAAGATGAGTATTTCGGATGTTTCATTTGTCAATTTCACGGGGTCTATTGAGACGTCTTCTAGGAAGGTGGCGTCGGTGTCGTGCTCGAAGGTGCTTCCGTGCTATGATATCAATTTTGAGAATGTGGTGCTGTACCCCGAGAACTCGACCACACCCGGTGTTGGGTCGTGCAAGTATACTGCTGAGAATGGGGTTCATGGGTTGGATGGGTGTTGAGGACTAGGTTTGCCCCTCGGATTGAATTAACAATGAAGCTGTTCCCATAGTGCTGCGCATTTATACTTGCAAGTGTACTTCCGCCGCAATCTGAAAGAACCCACATCGCAGCCCCACATGCGCCTCCACATGGAGACCGCCATACTCGTAATGATATAATGACCCAGCCCTGAAAGAGAATACCTCTTGCGATGTGCGATGCTGGTCTGATTTTTCGCAGCCTTCCAATTCAATCTGCCCACCATGTCTGAAACAGTTCGCCCGGCATTCGCAGGCCGCGAGCGCCCGCTGCTCTCCTACGGCATCGCTTTCCCCGCCGCTGCCGCTAACCATGTCACAGTGACATTCCACGCCTCGCGCGTATACATGATCTGCTCCGGCTCATTGGCTCGAAACACCGACTCTCTAGATCGGCTGATCGCAGCACTGGGTCCAGAGAAAGTCGTTGGACACCGTGTTGGCATGCAGAGCCATACGCTGTGGTCAGAGGTGCTCGAGATCGTCGACGAAGCGCGGAATGCAAAGGCAGATCTCATTCTCACATTGGGAGCTGGGAGCCTGACAGACGGGGCGAAAATTGTTGCTCTGGTAAGTTCCGGGTCATGTTTGGAGACATGGACATATAACTAACCAATCAGGCCCTTGCAAACGACATTCATACCCAAGACGAACTGGAAACCCTCGCCCAAGGCCCGAGTAAACGCGCAGAAATCAATGCACCCACAGTACCCATCATTTCGGTCCCGACTTCTCTATCTGCGGGCGAATACTCCAATTTCGCCGGTGGCACTAAAGACAGTTCGCGCCGGAAATACAGCTTCCAGCCTCCCACGCGTGGACCGCAGCTTATCATTCTGGATCCGGAGCTGGCAGAGGCGACACCGGACTCTATCTGGATTAGCACAGGTGTGCGAGCGGTGGATCATTGCGTCGAGACACTCTGCGCGATCGTCGGAACGACTTCTGCATCTGATGAATTGGCGGAACATGCGCTAGGCTTGCTTGTGCCGGGACTTCTTCGGTGCAAGAAGGACCGCTCTGATCGTGATGCTCACTTGCAGTGTCAATTGGGCTCGGTGGATGCTATGGCTGCTTGTACGAGTGGATCTGTGGAGTTGGGCGCTAGCCACGGAATTGGACATCAGGTATGTCAAAACCGAGCATAAATGCCACATATCAGTGGCTATATCCATAGCCTGGCCCTATATAACCCGGCGGTGATGTAGAGGCTAACGAGATAAGCTTGGTCCGTTGGGCGTCGGCCACGGCGAAACAAGCTGTATCCTCCTCCCAGCCGTCTGCAAATTCAACGCCAAATACAACGCAAACTGCGATCGCCAAGCGCGCGTCCGGGAATTCCTCCTCAACGACCCTGTTGTATCGGATGTCCTACACATTCGCTCGGTGGACATCGAGACAGCCGACCTGGGCGATATCCTCGATGCCGTGATCCGCGAGCTGGGGATGCCGCGGTCCCTGGGTGATGTCCATGTTGGCCGGGATAAGCTGGATGCCTTGGCGGCGCATAGTCTGCACGATCGATGGTGTCAGTCGAATCCGGTGCCATTGAAGGAGAAAGAGCAGGTGCTGGAGATTTTGGAGATGGTTGTTTAGGAAAGGCGGATAACGTCGTTCGCGATTGCTAAGCAACCCCGCGCCCCACGCTATAAAGCCGAGTGGCCTGCGCGTTCTCTATTCTACATTCTACATTGCTCACTTCAATTCGAGAAAATATCATCTACGAGATCATGGCTGCTAAGAACTTGCTTTTTTTCGGCGCGACGGGCCAGATTGGCTCGTTTATCCTTGAGGCGATCCTCACGAAGCGCGGCTCGTTTGGCCGGGTGGCTATATTCACTTCCGCGCGCACGACTGAGACCAAGTCGGCTTATTTGAAGAAGCTGAAGGCGCAGGATGTTGAGGTTATCGTAGGTGATGTTGAGGATGAGAGTGCAATCAAGGCTGCTTATACTGGTATTTCAACCCTAGCTTTGATATTCTATTCATCTCAACCTACGTACATCAAACTAAACTATCCCCAGGCATTGATACGGTCATCTCTGCACTCGGTAGAAACACGCTCGCCCAGCAGATTGCACTCATCCGTCTTGCATCCGCCAGTTCTGACGTGAAATGGTTCCTGCCATCCGAGTACGGCACGGATATTGCGTACGGTCCTGCCTCGGCGCATGAGAAGCCGCATCAGCAGAAGCTCAAGGTGCGCGCCGTGCTCGAGAAGGAAATCTCGCGCAGTGACTTGGACTACTCTTACGTGGTGACGGGTCCATTTGCGGAGATGTACCTGCATTTCACGCCTGGTCTGGAGCAGGCTGGCGGATGGGATGTAAAGGGCCGGAAGGCCGTGTTGCTTGGAGAGAAGGGAGATGATCGGGTCAGTCTGACTACGATGAAGGAGTAAGTATGCCCTCTCATGCACGCGAGATCAATTCGGAGATATAAGTCATTCAAAATAGTGTGGGTTTGATACTAATAGCCTGTCTAGCGTTGGAACTCTCGTCCTTCATACTCTCCTGAACTCCACCCCCGAGTCTCGCAATCGAGCCCTTCGGGTCAACTCATTCACAACCACCCCTGCAGAGATCCAGGCCGAGTTCGGGCGCCAGACTACCAGTAAGAAATGGGACTCCGTTTCCTATACCCCACTGAACCGTCTGCGTGAGCTGGAGACAGCCGCGTGGGAGGCTGGTAACCCGGCCGCCACCGTCCTCACTCTGCGTCGCATCTGGACCGAGGGTGGCACTCTGTATACGCAGCGGGATAACGGGCTGATTGGAGAACCTCCGGTGATGAACTTGCAGGAGGTGGTTGCCAATGAGATTCGCCGTGTCTCCTCTCTATAGAAAGAATACCTAGGGAGTGCAAATGTACATAGCCAAGAAAGTGAACTTTGACTTTGGAATTCAAGCCATCTACATTCGTGAGAGGAAAGGGTCCAGAAAGGCTTACCAATAGCCTCGAGCCATTGTACGGGAGTTAAGTGGAAAATAATATGAAAAATAACCAAAGAAAATTTCAGGGTCTTTCACTAGCTCGGATTCACATAGTCATGGGGAATGATTAAAAACGAAGAACAATCGTGGGGGACTTGGGACTTGCCGCAGAACAGAACAAAAGGTTTAATCCTTTACTGGAAGTATTTGCGCACCCGCTCCTGGTTGTCCGGGTTGACACCGGCCAGGATCTGTTCGGCGTTCAAGCCGGTCGCGGCCACTAGCTGCTTGGCCGAGGCAGCGACGCGTGCGGCGGTCTGTCCCTGCAGAGTCGAGGCATCAAGAGCTTGCACGATAAATCCAAAAACGCGGTCGGCCTTGCTGACAACAGCCGGGTTTTGCCTGAGAATTCGTTAGTTTTATATTCGTGATTGGTGACGATGGAGGGAAACGTACTGGTCAATCAGCTGTGCAATGAAAGAATAAGCGTAGGGGGCAGCTTCCTCGTCAAAGATGATGGGCAGGGTCTCGATCCATGAGGTGACAATATCCTGGGCACCCTGTACCTTGGAGGCGTTGTAGTGGAGAATCTTCGCGATGCTAGCGGAAGCGTTCTCGGTGGCGAAGACGTGCTCCTCAGTGCGTGACTGGGGGTGCTGGATCACCTGGAAGAGGCTGGGAATGCTAGCAGCCACAAAGTCGGCCCAGTTGGGACCACCTTTCTGAGCAGCGACACCAACACCGTATGCAGCAGCCTGGCGATTGGCGGCGTTCTCGTCTGTGAGACCAGCAGCCAGGGGCTGCATGATGTGGTCCTGGTAGTTCCATGACTCCTCACCGCAGAACTCCAGAACATCATCCATGATGCACAGAGCCCATTGTCGCTGAGTAGGATCTTGGCTGGTGATGAAGTTGTCATAGAACTGCATCAATTGTTGCCAAGCGGGCAAGAAAGTAACGCCCTGGTTTTTGAAGATGGTGTGGAAGGCCTTGTTCATGTCGCTAAGCAGGTTCTGATCATCCTCGATGGCAAACTCGTACTCTTGGCTGTCCTCGTCACCCTCCTCCAACTCGGCCATTTCTTCCAGGCGTTGCTTCACCCGCATCTGGTAGTCCTCGAGGGTGGACTTAGCGGAGTCGACAAAGGCTTGCATGTGCTGAGGAGTGAGGCTGTTGCGACCAACGACTTCAACGGATTCGTAGAAGCACTGGTACATCTCGGCGAGAGTGTCGACAGTAGGCTCCGCACTGAGAACCTCGATGATCTTCTCAGCGACCTTGCTCCACATCTCAGCAAAGCCGGGGGACTGGTCACCGTGGGCCTTCTTGAAGGAATTCAGCAGCTGCGGGATGAGCTTGGCCGCCGAAACGCGGACGGGGTCGTGGAAGAAGAATGCAAGACCAGGGACGGCAATCTTCTCCATAGTCTCCAGAACGTAGGGCTCGAAAGCCTCTTCCAGGATCTGAGCGTAAATGGTGATCAATTCGATAGCAGTGTTCTTGTCCTCCAGAGCACTAGTCTTAATACCAATGATCTTGCCCTTGAGAGGAACCAGCTCCCAGCCCTCATCTTGCTCGACCTGCTCAATCTGGTCCTCATCATCCAGAAGCTGGATATCAGCCTTAGCGGCAGCCACGGTCAGCAGAGGAGGCATAACACCGGGCAAGTAGGGAACGAAGTCGCGGCCGAGAACGCGGCACATGCGGCCCCAGCAGTGAAGGAGGTACTGCGACTGGGGATCGTCGGCGTCGGTGATGTTTTGCTGAATGTTACCCAAGATGTTCACCAGGTTCAAAGCATCCTGGCCCATCTTCTCCTTGCCGACAGCCAGGGCAATAAGTGTGGCACATTCCATGGCCTTAGCACGGAGGAGGCGATACTCTTTGCCCTGTTCTTCCTTCAGGACGTTAATCAGCAGCGGCATGAGGTTGTTATAGTACTGGCCAAAAGCGGTCTCAGCAGAGTCGGCGATAGTGGCAATGGTCGAGAGAGCCTGCTCCTGGAGGTAGCGTTTAGGGCTCTGCAGAAGCTCAAGGAGGCGACCCAGGAGATCTCCCAGGTAGGGCTCCAGGACGCTGCGCTCTGCCTCCTCACAAAAGTTGACCAGGGCAGCAGCGGCGTGGGACTGCACACGGGGCTCGGGGGAGCTCAGCACGGGAATGATGTTGTTCAGGACGATTCCGTGGTACTTCTCCTGCATGGTGCCGGCAAAGTCGGTACTCATCTGACCGAGAGCATTGCAGCCTGCATATCGCACACGAGGATGGGGGTCACGCAGAGCGGGGGTAACAAGAGCGAGCACCTGATCCAACTCGCCAACCATCAAGTCACGGCAACCTTCAGAGATGGCAGAGATGGCCATCAAAGCGGCGTGACGATCGCGCCAGGCGGTTGAAGACATCATGCGGGGAATCCAGGAGAACGCGGGTTGGAGAATAGCCTCGCCACCCAACTTGTTGGCCAGACGGTCCATACATTGCTCACCGGCAATGTGGTTGAGATCGCTCTCCTCAGGCTCGAGGTCCTCGGAGGCATTCCACTCCTCGGCATCATCATCATCAGCACCCACGTCGGTCATCAGACTCAGGCACTGCGTAACCATCTCCTGGGCAAAATTGGGTTCCTTCTTGCACATGCTGGGAGAGTAATCGGCGAATGTGGCCATCAATTCGAGGGCGTTCTGGCGGACCTGATCACTCAGCTCCTTATCGGCAATGACGCTGATGCTAAACTTGACCAAGTCGCTGAACGAAGCCTTGAACATCTTCGAGCTGATCTCGGCCAGCTCAATCAGAGCCAGGAAAGCGGAGGACAACTCGTCGCTATCGCTGGTTTCCTTGAGAGGAGGAAGGACGTGGAGGATGTAGGGAACGAGGCCGAAGAACTTGGCCTGGGACTTCTTGCTGATCGATCGGAACATCGCGGCGAAAGCTTCCATGGCAGCAATTCGCACGGAGATCTTCTCATCTTCGAAACCCTTGGTGAAAACGCCGACCACGGCTTCCTCATGTTGCTTCTCAATGACAGCGGGGGTGGTCGTAAATATTCTGAAAGCAGTTTCACGCAGACCGGCATCTGGGGACTGGCTGGCCTGGAAAAGAACGCTAAGGATTTCGGACCATTGGTCGCCTGGAAGAACAAAATTGAATCCGTTAGTACCAGCACAAGATGTCGTTTTCTCTTTCCAGGGTGTCTGTCGCATACCATTGTCGGTGTATTGGCGGGCGACCTCAGCAACGGCATCGCCGATCTTCTTCCGCACGTCGAGGACAGTCTCGCTGGTCAGGCATGACACCAGCTTCTCCCGGATGGCGACTCGCTGCTCGTTGGGCAGGCTCAGGAAGATCTCCTTGGCGTCACCAGTAGCGGGGTCCTTGCGGGTTTTGGTTGCGATTCTTCGGAAAAGGACAGCGGAAAAAGCACGTGTCTGTTCGCAGAGAACAAAGGTGTTAGCCAACCTGTTTCGTATGCATAAGGCCATAAGGGGGAGGCAGTCGACCGGAGGGGGCCGTTCGTTTTTTTTTGGAGGGCCTCCTGTGTTCACCGGCTGATGTGTTCTGCTCTCCCCCTGGGATGGAAAATGAACTTACTACTGTGTCTTCAGCGCCTCCGAGCTGCTCAGCCAGGCCCATCAACAGGACGTCTGGCTTGTTCTGGACCCAATCATTGTTCAACTGCTCTTCCGCCTGCGATCGAATGGAATTGTCGGGGGTGCCGAGGGCGCGCAGCAGCTGGGACAGCGCGGTGTGGACCTCGGGAGGAAGCAGGGACATGTTGGGTGTGTCTGTTCCCAAGATCCAACTGACAAAAGCGACCCAGTTGGTGCCTGGTGGTTGGTAGTATGGTGGGGGTGGGAAGAGGGGGTGGATGAAGGGGAGGAGTTTTGTTTTTGGTGGGGCGGGGAGGAAGGGAAAAAAAGATTGATGATTAGCGGATTGATAGCGCCCACGCCGATCAAAGCAGCAATGCTCCAAGCGCCGGGGAAGTGAGGGACTTAAGCTCTAGGATACTTGAGGCCGTCGCGCGAAAGGAGGAGTGAAAGGATGGGAATCAGAAAAGATAGTGCATGGCGTCTTTGTTCATATATTCGACCACTCCCAAAGGGGTTGGGCTCAAGGTGATCATCTCGGCCCCCGGATTGCACAGTCCACTGCAGTTTGTACCCCAGTCTGCTTACGGAGTAGACTCGACCGGAATAGGCCACTTGTGAGTGCGCTATATGTAAATATTGCAAGAGACAGCACATCACATTATTTGAAATTGAAAATTGCTCTCAAAAGGTTCAGTAGCCCCCTCACACTTGCGGCAAATATGCCGGCTTGAACATATATACATTCGGCTGATGGCGCGAGAAGCCCCATGCAGGAACTACTAGTGAGATGACCATGACATCCACCCGGGCACTGAAATCTAGTGCTAGTCTACACCTGAAACAAGCCCCCACAGTGTCAAAAAAAGTATTTGCATTGAAGGCTAAACTAAGGCCGCAACTGATCATTACTGGAACAGCGGTATCTGAAAGGCGACACAGAATATCGATATTAGAAGGGGGGGTATGCACTCTCAAAGATCACGGAAGTCAAGATAGAGTGAGGGAGGTTGATTCACCGAAAAGAAATCAAAGAGGGATGAAGAGAGGGAGGAAACTGAGGAGAGATAAAGAGGGTGAGGGTTCAGGAGAGGGTAATTTAGCGGCCGCTGGGTCGGCTGAGAATGAACACGCCCGCAATGACCGCGGCCAGAGTGACAATAGCTCCGGGGAGAAGCAGGTCGTTGGGGACACCGGCGATGAGTTGCTCCTCGGGGTGGTGAGAGTGCGTGGAGAAGGACTGGTGCTGACGGGGCTTGCTAGCAATAGGCTCTTCAGAAGGAGTCTCCTCGACAATAGGGCTGCTCTGCTCGATGACGGGAGTAGCAGGCTTGGCAGGCTGCGGCTCCAAGGTAGCGGGAATAGGGGGTTGGGCAGGGTCGTGAACAAAGAGATCGACCTTGTCACGGTGGGTGCGGCGGGCAAGGTTGATAGCATCGAGCATATCTTGGTCGGTGGTTATCGAGACGGTATCGCCCTCATTGTCCATGTAGCTGAGGGCGTAGCCGGTGTTGCTCAGGCGACCTTCCTCGACCACAGCCTCACCACCAACGGCCTCAAGCTCGGCGCCGAGCTTAGCGGTGACCTGCGCGACCAGATCCACCACTCCAGCGGAGGTGAGAACATTAACACGGTGCACCCGGCCGCTAGGGGCTTTGAACTTGAATGGGAAAGGCGCATCCTCCGCCGGCTGGTGGAGATGATGTTGCTGAGAAGCAACTTCGGAGTGCTCCTCGCCGCCGTGGTGGGAAGCAGACTCGTTCGGGAGAACACTGTTATCGTAGGCCGAGCGGGTCAAGTCGGGGCTCATGACGGAGCGATGTGGCGTATGAGGCTGCTGACTTTGACTGCCAGAGACCATCGAATCGGATTCGTGATCCATCGAGAGCCAAAATTTGTTCCATGCGGGACCCTCGTCGTCGTGGGTTTGCATAGTGTTGATCTATGAAGCGTGTCAGCATCCCATCCTTACATATTTCTGTGGCAGCAGAAAGAAAAGATACCTGCTCCAAAGTAGCATAGGTGAGCTTCAACACATCGACCATGCCCACAATCTCACCGGACTCATTCATAACGGGAAGGTTCAGATAGTGGCCATCTGAATCAAAATTAGTATCTTGCCGAACGACATTCAATGTGTATGTGCTACTCACCGTGCATTTTCCGAAGAGCTGCCTGGATGCTCATATCGGACGGGGCGAAGTCGGGGTGGGGGGTCATCACACGGACGACACTGCAGTTGGCAGGGTCAAGACCGGGGGCAATGACACGCAAGACAATATCCTTGCTGGTGAAGATACCGGTAATGGAGCCCTGGTCCTGCACGAGCAGAGCGGTGGTGTGGTGCTCTTTCATCAGAGCGGCGGCATCCTTGACGGAGGTTCGGACGGACACGGTCACTGGCGGCATACCGTCGAGCACGGTCTCGAGAGTCGGGCCGGACATCTTGGATCGGAGCGCTTCGACATACTGAATGACCTGCTGGGGCTGGCTGGAGCCAAGCTCGGTCTGAACACCTTCCAATGCGTCATACAGCTTCCGCGAAGAACTGTAGGCGCGCTCCAGCTTCTCCATTGCATCGTAGAAGCACTTAGTGATATCCAAAACACCGGAAATATCCTGGTTCTCGTCCATCACCGGCAAGTGTCGGAAACCCTTTCGCACCATCAGGTCGAGGGCATCGGTAGCGCTAGTGTCCGTTCGTGCGCACAGGGGGTTCTTGGTCATAATCTCGGCGACCGAAATCTCGCGAGCCTTCAATCCCATACCGATAACACGGAAAGCAAGATCCTTTGCGGTAAAGATACCGGCAATGCGCTCATCATCGTCCGTCACCAACACACAATCCTCGCGCTTAGCGGCCATCATTTGTGCGGCCTCTGCGATGCTAAGGGAGGGCTTGATCTGAAGTGCCTGGCTGGGCTTCAGAGCCAGGACAGTGCCGGGAGGGGCCTTGCGGGAGTTGCGAGCCTTGGTCGGGTGATGTCTCTTTTTATTGAGGTCGGCCTCCATTTTGCGGCGAATGGCCTGTGAAACGTCAAAATAGTTAGTCGGCTTGCGAGGGCGTAGGAGCGAGTAGTCTGTTTGGGACATGTTTGAACATGTCGATCTGACTATCACACACCTCATCACGCTTCGACTGATTCTGTCGTTGTCTGGTGCTTGCGGCGCTCATGGTGCCGCTTCCGACGTCGCTGGAAGGGGTGTTGGTGGTGGAGGCGGCGGAGGATTCAGGACGGTCTGAACGGGGACGGGGGATGTGCGAACCGCCCGAGTTTTCGAAGTCGGGCAGCCTTCCTCTCCCGATGGTCTTATTGGGCGTTCCCCTAAAGGTACCGGTATGCGACATAATAATGCCAGGAGGGGAAAGACACAATAAATTATGGTGAAGAGAGGGGGTGGAAGAGAGGGGGAAGCAAACAAAAGGAAACGGAGAGCTGGTATGAGGAAAAATGCAAGGGAGTTCGTCCAGCCTACGGAAGAAAAAAGGGTAGTCGTTGGACGATCCTCGAACAGGGGTGTCGGGATACCCACACAGGCGTAAACACGGGGCTTATGTAATGCGCGTCTGTGGACGGTTCGATCCGGGAGCTAGTCCACGTTAGGAAGGGTCGATTCTCGTGACTGGTCACCTGATACAGGTGCTGACCGCCATGATTTCCAGGCACTCAGGCGCGAAGGCTGCGAGGCATTAAGGCCGAAAGTCCCGTGGGTCTCGCTTAAGGGCTTAGGGCTTCCCACAACACAACCACCCCATCCATTCCGGAAGAGTCTCTGAGTGAGCGAGCTTCGACAACCCACCCCCGACAAGTCAACCGTACGCTACCACCCTTTCCCCTTCGCGGTCGCAGTCCAGTTCAAACCTCTGACATTTCACAGACCAATCCGTCAAAATGGTCAAGAAGCGGGCGAACAAGTAAGACCTTATTTCCTCCCAGTGAAGCGCGATTCCATTCTCCCATTCGACATCTCCGCAATGACGCCGACGACAATTCGATGATATCTCGCAAACATATATACGATGTAAAAAAAAGAAAAAAATATATGAAACGAACAGAACGCGCATTGCCGGACGACTGGAGAATGGGAGAACTGGGGGAAACATCGCACAACTTTGCAAATGCAACGGAACTTGATAACTGACTGTTTCTATAGCGGTCGTAACAAGAACGGCCGCGGCCACGTCAACCCGGTGCGCTGCTCCAACTGCGCCCGTTGCGTTCCCAAGGACAAGGCCATCAAGCGATTCACCATCCGCAACATGGTCGAGTCTGCCGCCATCCGTACGTGATTCCTTCAACATTCCATTTCCGCACACATCTTGGTCGAATGACCTGGAGAGAGAAAAATCCGAACTCTCTACGATCTCGATATACATCACGCAACATTTCAACAACTTCAATCTAACGAAATTTGCCTACAGGTGATATCTCCGATGCCTCCGTCTTCGCCGAGTACTCTGTCCCCAAGATGTACCTCAAGCTCCAGTACTGCGTTTCCTGCGCTATCCACGGCAAGATCGTCCGGTACGACTTCCCCGCTACAATAAACCCAACATTTGATTCCATTCAAATTCTAACTCTTCTATCAGTGTCCGTTCCCGCGAAGGCCGCCGCAACCGTGCCCCCCCTCCCCGTCTCCGCTACAACAAGGACGGCAAGAAGATCCAGCCCCCCCAGGCCGCTAAGGCTCTGTAAATGAGCGGAACGTGATTTCACGAGCAAAATAAAATGGAACTAGTCTGAAATGAATTCTCTTATTTTGCTTTCTTTCCTGTGCTAGTGTCTTGGCCGACGAATTCGCAAACGCTGTTGTTCGATCTCTCCGTGATGGACTTTTCCGACAATCTTGCGCTGTGATCTGGGTGGACAAAAAATGATGGCACCGGTTGTTCAATGAAAGGCGGTTGGAGATGAGAATTCGAAGAGGGATTTCTGGTATCTTCTCTTTGATTATTCTATTCCGGCTTGTCTTGTGCCTTTTGACGAATTGAGCCAAATATTGATGGCTTTTGCATGACTGGAGGGACGGATGAGTCCGTGCTTCGGGCTAGAAAAATACCAAAAAATTACCCTTGATTCCTGTGCAACTAAGTAGTCGTAATGCATTTGAGACGTCGCTGGCTATGGATCTATAATGCTATTTACAGTTGACATCATGGGTAGAGATACCCCTTCTCAAAATAATTGCCGTACATATCCACCGTCCCAGAGCGCCCCTGAGGTGCAGGATTTCGTACCACCTTAACCTCCCCTTTCCAATATCCCTCGACAAAATGAGCCAGAGAGATTTGCGGTCCAGAAGAAAATATGCTGGAGATGCCGCTGCCGACCGTACTGCGTCGTCCTCTCTCGCGTCTCACTACTTGTTCATATTCGGCCTTCTTTGCCCGGCGAAAAGCAGCAAGCTCGGCAACAACGTCGACGTTCTGGACCAACTGACCCTGTGGACTTAGGTTGTCTTTGCCCGATGGGCTGGGAGCTCCACCCGGAACGGAAGACATAGTTTGCCGCGAGACATCCTGACGAGGCAAGGGAGGTTCCTTGCCGGAACTGGGTGAGTCGTCGTCCGAAGGGAGAATTGTCACTTTCTCGTTCAGTACGGCCATAGGGAAATATTTGCCGGGGTCGTTCTCTGGGATCCCGCACTCTTCTTCTCCAAAGAAACTAAAGTCATCTGTGGCTGCTGCCCAGAGATTCTCCGAGTCTCGATCGCCGGTACTTGAATTTGAGAAACCGTCACGTTGATTGGCAGATTTCCAGGAGGTGAGCCGAGTGGATGTGTCGGTGGGTGTGATCTCAAGGATAATTCGTCTCAAACCGAATAAGGAACGAGTCCGCTGTTGTTCTGCTTGCAACCGTGCCTGGCCTGGTGGGAGAGAGTAGTCTGATCCAGCCTGAAGCGTTGCGAGTAAAGCTTCGTTGGAGCAGGCAGTGATGAAGCGCGTGAGGGTGTATATAACTGGGGAATTGGGTGGGATATGTGAAGGGACATCTGTTAAGACCAATGTCTCTAGATGAGGAATATGGGATGGATGAAGATAGGGAAAACGGCTTTCCTTCCCACCCCGAAGGGGGATGGACTGATTTCGTGGACGCTTCGACAGGAGTTCCTGGATTTTCAATGTGCGAGGATCATCACCCGATACTGGAGAATCGCACTGTGGTATTTCGTCTACAGCGTGAGGAGCAAGTGCTTCGCCGTAGGCGATAGTCGATACCGAAGACACAGTGTCTTCCCGTCTGATTCCCCAACCACTTGAGCTTATTGACACGCTAGGGATGAGAATGCCAGGCTCGCTACGATCATTCTCGTATGAGTTTGATGGGATAACTTCAGGAGCAAAAGCGGATCCTCTTCGGACAGAAGACAAGGCCTCGCCTTCAAATGCAGGTAGGTTGGATTGGCGAGGCGTCAAAGTTTCTTTGGAAGTGCTTGCATCAGGGATCGAAGTGTCTGCAAGTTCAAATATAGGCAGTTCCTCTCCTGGAAGTTCATGAATCTCATGTGTAGCATCAAGCTCGGCTTCGCGGCTGACATCATCAGATGGAAGCTCCGGCAGAAAGTCGGCGGTTGATCCGATATCCTTCGCCGGTGGTTCTGCAGTGAGCACTGCATGATTTGCTCGGAAGTAGGTCAGATTTTCACCTGCAAAATTACCCAAGAGAGGCACGAGCTTTTCAGCACCCGGGTATTTTCCAGCCTTCAGCGATGCTGTCTTTTTGTGTATGAGGTCGGCTGTGTTGACTGTCCCTGCATCAAGTGCATAAAGACAAGAACTAGACAGGAGACTTGCCACACCCTCCACGGTGATATAATTGTTTGCGATATAGAGATGGGTGACACCGGCATATGGCAGATCCTCGATCCAAGGATTGTTGGCAATCGGTTGTGCTAGCAGCTTCATGATATGTTCGTCTAACAGCGGGGATTTCAAGAAGTCGGATTCCCCGACACACATGCATGTTTGAGAAACGGGATCTGGCGAAGTTCTAGTCCGACTTGAAGACTGCTGTGCCGGTCTAGTCGGGGTTGTAAAGGAGGCTTGCAGTAGAGAGCGGACCGACATATCAGTGAGTTGGTTATCCCGCAGGTCGAGGAAACGAACGCGGATCCCAATTGCGTTGGCGAGGAATTCCGCATCATGGTCTTTTAGTCCGATGCCACGTAGCTTGAGCACTTGCAAACTTTCTAGCTGCGAGATCGAGGATAGCACACCGCGGTCCCTCGCCGAAGTAGTATATGAGAGGTCAAGATAGGTCAAAAGGGGAAATCGGACGAGTGTTTCTGCCAGACCCGCGGAGGTGGTATTTGGCTCGCGGTCTGCCATCAGAAGACGGACGTTGTACTGAATATCTTGGTGATTCTTCAACGCAACCATCGCATTGTGGTCGAAAAACGGCAATCTTGAAACCATCAGACACTGAAGACAAGGCAGATACTCCAAGATATCGCGGAGCCATCCTGGTCGCGGGCCACCATAAATCTCCGACAGAGCCGGTGGGAGATGAAGCGTATGGGTCAACGCCCGTACTTCTTGTCTCGCATATTTGAGGGTTCTTCGGAACCGCGTGAGGGCCACTGTTCATCCTCAGTCAGCTGTCAAAGTTTTAGAAACTCGGGTTAGTAGGCCGGGCTTTACCATAAACGGCATCGTTATCTGTGCCAAAATGAGAAGCAGGATCACCCCACAGAAAGGGGATGAACAGATCGTGCCAGCGGTGACTGACAAGTGACGCTGCGCATAGGTCACTGGAGGGTATGTAGTGGGCGATTATCGCCCATGCATCTCGGTCGGTCGCCGACTTGTACGACGGGGGAATCGGATTCATTGTCGGGTAGGCCCGGTAGAAAGCAGTGGACGATTACAATGTAGCATCCTAAAAGGCTTCAAATAGCTCAAGTTATTGATAGTGTCGAGATTTTGATTTCGCAGTTCAGCCTTGATGAAGTCACGGGTTGACGTTACCTGACTTGGTGTTGCCCGACTGCGCCTCCTCGTGGAGAAGCCCCCGCACTCCACGCGACCTCGGCATTAACTTATGCCTCATCTCTCGAACTGCTGACTAAAATATGAGATAACTATAACTACTCTATTGATGGCGCAGATTACGGCCAAGCTAGGAAAATTCTGAACTTCAAACTTGTATTTTTCCTATGTACTTGAACCTAAAGCTTATGAAAGCCCGAAAATATTGTTATCCATTTGATAATAGCTAAAATCCCGGCCAAGTATGCTTATGGATAATCAGATCTAGAGAAGACCAACGGCACCGTTTCCACCAAGGAGAGGGAAGCCAAGCTGGCTATGAATAGCTTTCTGGAAGATACTGTCATCCTCAAATGCATCTCCCTTTTCGCTCAGTTCCATTTTTCGAAGCTCTGCCTGGATCACGGCACATGTCTCTGCCCAGGCACACAAGTTGCCCGCAAGACCATTAAACAAGGAGTAAGGCTGATCAGGCATGCTGTATTCCTTGCCTGAGGTCGGAGGCACGGTGTTGTAGGGACGAGTTTCTCGAGAATGCAGCATGAATGGTAGGGCTCTCGAAAGGAAGAAGTCCGGTGTGAGCTTTTCGTTCAAATCTTCACTTGATGAAGTGGGCGCGCCATTTCGCTCAGCGTACCCGCGTCTAGCCCCATTTCGAATTGTGGAGTGATACTCGAAGGTATTGTACAGCAAGAGCCATGGCCATGTGTTTCCGGAAATTCCATGGCACAGACTAGCTCCTTTGGACAATAGACCTTCCTCCCAGATACGCTGAGAGGCTAGATAGATTGTCTCATCCCACTCGGGGGTCCAGAAGTCTCGAGTGAGATGCTCGTTCTTTAGGGCGGCTGCTAGGAGAATAAGAAGACCCGGGGCACCGTGGCAGAGCTGAACAAATTCGGAAGTTTGTCCGTAGCTGAACGGAGGCCGTGCCATTGGGAGATGGCCATCCTGGAGATTGCTGAGCTTGCAGAGCTCCGTTATGGTGGATCCGATGTCGACAAGATAAGGCTTAAGCTCTTTAGGTTGACATGCAAGAAGGACGGTAAGGATTCCAGCTAAAACAAGAGATAATGGTTAGCAGCTTTCAAATGCAGGCATCTGCACCCATAGATACTCACTTGAGCCATGAACCCTGTTTCCAAAGTATTAGCACTACAGCTTGGAAGTTCGAGATTTTTATTACTCACGCTCCGAAAAAATTATGTCCTTCCAACCAGGGATACATCAATGGTTGCGCGCCCTCGGGTCCATGCCTTTCCATGTACTCATTCGCGCTTTGTCGACCGGCCTCAATAATCACTCGAACGAGTGACGGAATAGCAGCAAAGATGGGTGCGAGAGCATCCTCAGTTTCGCTGCTGAATCGACGGGCTCTTATGTTTATCAACAGCCACAAGAGTCCTGCTCGGCCATAGAGTATATCGTCCGCTCCTGCCTTTTTATCATCATGGACAACCAAAGGCTCATTCTGCAGCGCCATGGTAAGCGCATCTTGTAAACAAGTGATGTCTTCCTGAGGCAGACTGGGCTTGGCATCAAGCTTCCAATCGACCTTTGCCAGCGTCGAAAATATACGGAGCGAGACGGCGGTTAGTGGAGAGAACGACCCCGCAGGAGATAGGCGTGACGGCAGTAAAGGAAAATCGGGGAAACCCGAGGGGATCCTCTGCAGCGCGAAATCGCGGTAATCCGGAGAAGTTATGCCCTTGTCCCCTAGCACAGAGGATTGGTAGTCAAGGCGCAAGAACGCAAGGGCAACTCCTGCAGTAATAAATTAGCTATCTGCCCCGCAGTAACCTTCTAATAACTCCAATTCATGTGAGTGACAATGAATACTTGGAGCGGCTCAGTCATACCTTGGAAATGAAGAAACATGCCACCGACATTCCATTTCTCAGGGATTGGCTCATTCGCCTGGATCATCTCAGAACCATTGCGAACGGCGACGCGAAGCTCTTGCAGAGCTTCAGCAAGCGAGGTTGCGTCGACGGGAAGTGGAGTTAAAGTGTGATCGTAGTATTGCGGTGGTTTAGATTCCGTGACCGTCATGATGTATATAAACTCGTGATCAGTGCACCGATGGCGTCTCAAATGTTTAGGTGACGTGCTCGAGGCCTGAATGATTCCTGGACCCCTCCAGCTCAAGGCTGAGTGTGGCCTCAGGCCACAGGTAACTCCGTCATCTTCTGCAAGTTCGCTAGCGCCTGGATGAGCGAGCAAATGTCGGTGTCGGATTCGCTCCACTGGAGGAGCTAGCGGGATAGATCGAGCTCCCAGAGGCCTGCAGAGACGCGGTGGGGCAGCCGATCGTCGATCGTTGCCAGTTTTTACAGGCCGAAATAAAAATGCCCCAGATATTAGGCACCAAGGCCATAAGGCATGATAATGACTCAGCTGAGTAATCAAGGACCACGGCTTCCACAACTTGCGTTGCAGCCATTCCGGACTCGAGAATACCCACGCGGTCCTCGAAGTGCGAAAAGGGCTTCTAGAAGCAGTGCAGAATGTCAGTGCTCCCCCCTGCTGTTGAGGGCTAGTGTGCTTTCACAGTGATCTGGTGACGCTGCAATTGGGATGTGGCGATGCTCATCGTTCATTTGGATCCCGCTGTCTGCTCCTCTCGCGTAATTGATGAATGAATCGCCCGGTCGACTAATATGGAAAGCAGTCCCGTGATTAGCACCTCTCACCGATCCCATCATGTCCGAAGTTCAAGGAGATGCAGAGGTCGTGTCAACAGGGCCCGAGCTGGAGTATCCTGCGTTGGCACCGCGACAGGTAACACTCCGAGACCGAGTGACGGTGGCGACGTTGGTACCGTTCGCCTCGGCGGACGATGTACCCCGGCTGCTGTTGAAGTATCTCTCGGATCAATTCAACAAAGAAATTGAAAAAGGTGACACTTATGCCATGACCGAGCCAATTCCGCTAGCTCAATTCGGGAGGTATTGGTTCTCGAGCTTTGGTGTGGTCATGTTGCTGGGTGATATCCAGAGTGCCGAGCAGACACATTCTATGGACCGGGCCGGTGCCAATTGGACCAAGATCTGCTTGGGAGGCTTTCACATTCGACCCAACTACCCCGGGCGAAGTAGCCATGTTTGCAACGGCACATTCATTGTCACGGATGCTGCTCGAAACAAGGGTGTCGGTAGATTGATGGGCGAGTCATACTTGGAGTGGGCTCCTCGACTGGTGAGTACCTTACGATTCTCTTTTATAAATCCACAATTTGCTAATTTCTCCCAAGGGCTACACCTATGCTGTCTTCAACTTGGTCTATGAGACCAACGTTGCCTCCTGCCGTCTCTGGGATTCTCTGGGTTTCAAGCGAATCGGAAGAGTCCCTGGCGGAGGCCAATTAAAGTCCCAGCCTGGTGAATTTGTAGATGCAATAATCTACGGCCGTGGTCTAAGTCTAGATGGCGAGGACTCGGTATCACAAGACCGTTTTGAGAAAATTCGATACTATCTTAAACACTCGAAATACCCTCGCGGTGCTGATCGAGCCGAGAAGAGTCGACTCCGCAGTGCCGCAACTCATTACAAGTTGACCGGCGGAGAAGACGGTGAGCCCGAGAGGCTCATGTTGAAAGATAAAGAAGTCGTGTCGGATCCTCAACAACAATATGAGATTGCCAAAGAGGTCCATCTGAAGCAGCATGCCGGAATTAACAAGACCACGGCAGCCATCGCCGTCAAATACCACTGGGTTCGCATCAAGGAGACTGTCAATCGAGTCATCCGAGATTGCCCGCAGTGCAAAGAGACTCTCAAGCTACCTCCGATCCCTGGAACTAAAGAGGAAGACACATCACCTTCGGTCGAGGTGTCCGACTCGGTCGATCATAGTATGGGAGATGACCACACGAAGGAGCCTACAGATCTCTCGCACGAGATGGATGAGGCACCCGACGAGTCTCCTGCCCACAACCCATTCATGAACCCGCAAGTACCTGCAACTGTTCCTGGAGCGGTGCACCACATGGCAAACTTCAACCAAATGCCTCTGGACCCTCAAATCATGCTCCAGCAACAAGTTCGCCGCCAGCAGCAGCAACACCACCACCAACAACAGCAGCAACAGACTGCTATGGCGGGTGCTTTTGCTCCGGCTCCGCATATGAACATGACCAACTTTGACGACTTAATGCGCTACCACACGGCCAACAACGCTTATCAGATGATGGTTGACGATGGCTCCGACCCTTTTCGACAGGAGGTGTTGGGATTGATGAACCCGCCCTCCCATGACTTGCAGCACGACGCAGACCTACTCGCTAAGTACGAGTATGGAAGCCCGTCGGACGGCAATTACGACTTCACTTAGATTGTTACTTATCTTTTGCTGTTTGGTATTACTTTTGGCGTTTTCTTGGATTCGGGCCCTGGGATACCACTGTGTCTATACTGTGACGAACTGTATTTGTGGAAGGGACAGGTCATGACCGCCGAGAACCATTGCATAGTCTGTTTTATTATTACAATTTTGCTGCATGTTAAATTATGCATTGAAAATTCCAAGACATCCCTAAAAGGAATTCTTTGGTCGTAGGAATACTAGTAATTTGTTGATTGTTCAGCAGTGTCACTATGTAGCGGCCGCTGTGTTGTGTGCCGTCACCGCCTTGGGGCTTTCGGGGGGTTTTTGAGGGGAACAGAAGCTCTGGGAAATTTTGGCGGTCGAAGATCAGCGAACCCCTCCGAGCCCCCGTACGACCAGGACCACCTTCCTTTGTCTTCTAATCCCTCTTATCGAAACGGTCAACGGTCTCGCTCTCGATTCTACAATGGCCTTCGCCGGCCAAACTCCCACGATCGTCGTGCTGAAGGAGGGTCTGTGTTCTTCCACCCCCCCGGGGGCAGTCCAGTGGGATTCCATGAGCCATGCTAACCATTGTCGCTTTGGACGTACAGGCACCGACGCCTCCCAGGGAAAGGGTCAAATCATCTCCAACATCAACGCCTGTGTTGCCGTGCAGTCCACAGTCAAGAGCACTCTCGGCCCATACGGTGGTGACCTCCTGCTTGTTGACGCCAATGGCAAGCAGACCATCACCAACGATGGAGCCACTGTGATGAAGGTGCGAATCTCCCCTGATGATAGATATTGGATTGGAATCTCGAATCTGACTGTTTGTGTCTTTCTGATAGCTTCTGGACATTGTCCACCCCGCCGCCCGCATCCTCACGGACATTGCCAGATCCCAAGATGCCGAAGTTGGTGACGGTACCACCTCCGTCGTTGTTCTGGCTGGTGAGATTCTGAAGGAGGTGCGCGACCTCGTCGAGCAGGGTGTCAGCTCGCAGACCATCATTAAGGGTCTGCGGAGAGCCAGCGCCATGGCAGTCAACAAGATCAAGGAGATTGCGGTGGAAATGATCGAGTCTGCAGAAAGCGAGGACAAGAAGATTGAGACCCTCCGGCGGCTAGCTGGAACCGCTATGAACAGCAAGCTGATCAAGCGGAATCAGGAATTCTTCACAAAGAGTGAGCTTGCGTCTCTTTTGTAGCCCCCCTGAACTTCGGGGGTTGGATTTGTAATGGTAAAATGACTGACAGCATGATTCTTTCTAGTGGTTGTCGATGCGGTGCTCACCCTGGACCAGGCCGACCTCAACGAGAAGTTGATTGGTGTCAAGAAGGTTACCGGTGGTGGCCTTCAGGAGTCCCTTTTGTCAACGGTGTCGCTTTCAAGAAGACCTTCTCCTACGCCGGTTTCGAGCAACAGCCCAAGTACTTCACGAACCCCAAGATCGTTTGTCTGAACGTCGAGTTGGAATTGAAGAGCGAGAAGGACAACGCGGAGGTCCGCGTGGAGCAAGTCTCCGAGTACCAGGCCATCGTCGATGCGGAGTGGCAGATCATCTATAACAAGCTGGAGGCTATCTACAAGACTGGCGCCAAGGTTGTGCTCAGCAAGCTTCCCATTGGTGACCTTGCTACTCAGTATGTGATTTCTGGATCGTGGGCGCTGTTACAATTTGTTGACCATATTTTAGGTACTTTGCGGACCGCGATATCTTCTGTGCTGGCCGTGTTACATCTGACGACATGGACCGTGTTTGCCAGGCCACCGGTGCGGCCACCCAGTCGACATGCACCGATATCCAAGAGCGCCACCTCGGTACCTGCGGTGCTTTCGAGGAGCGCCAGATTGGTGGAGAGCGTTTCAACATCTTCTCCGAGTGCCCTGCTGCTAAGACCTGCACTCTGGTCCTGCGTGGTGGTGCCGAGCAGTTCATTGCCGAGGTGGAGCGTAGTCTGCACGACGCCATCATGATTGTCAAGCGTGCCCTGCGCAACACCACTATTGTTGCTGGTGGAGGTGCCGCCGAGATGGAGCTGTCAAGCCACCTGCATGGCTACGCCGACCGCAATGTCCCCCACAAGCAGCAGGCTGTGGTCAAGGCTTTTGCCAAGGCCCTGGAGGTTGTTCCCCGCCAGCTTTGCGATAACGCTGGTTTCGATGCCACTGATATTCTGAACCGCTTGCGCGTGGAGCACCGCAAGGGTAACGTGTGGGCCGGTGTGGACTTTGACAACGAGGGCGTCCGTGACAACATGGTTGCTTTCGTGTGGGAGCCCAGTCTGGTCAAGGTCAACGCCATCCAGGCGGCCGTGGAAGCCGCCTGCCTGATTCTCAGTGTCGATGAGACGATCAGTAAGTGACCTGTCATACCCATCTCTTGATGTTGATATTTCCGTTTTTCCCCTCCATTCCTTCCTGCACCTTCTACCCCTCTTTCTGTGTGTCGTACCTGACTAACGCATCTATTACCTGCAGAGAACGAGGAGTCCGCCCAGCCTGGCGCTGCTCCCCAGCGTGGTCTCCCGCCGGGTGCTGCGCAGCGTGCGCTCCGGGGCCGTGGCCGCGGAATGCCTCGTCGAGGATAAACGAGTTAATGCCACGAGAAGATGATGGTCTACGAGACCCGCCCATTGCAAAAAGGAAAACGCGCAGAACAGGCTTTCTAATGAAACGGGCCTTGCTGGAAGGAGGAAGCGAACGGTGGGCACGCCATGTGTGTTGTTACCAGCCTGTGCGATACGAACGCAGGAGAATAGAAAAAGGTGTAGACATACTTTGAAACTTGACATAGTTCTCCCAAGGTACATAGGACTCTCGCATTTGCTTCTGCCTCCCCAATAGATTTGTACCTACATGTATCTCGATGTATTTCATGTATATGCAGGCGATGGATCCATTCCCTCGGGGCTCCGCTGCAGGCGATCAGCTCAATCAGCGTCTCGCCACGCCTCCAGTCCTCCGAACTACTGCACGATGGAATTGTCTATTGCCTCTCCTTTCTTTTGCTCCATTCTTGATTGTCGGATCCTTGTCCTCCACGACTCACCGGCATTAATTCAAGGCCCGTCTTTCCTACGAGTACCGAGTACCTGCCTCTTCGGTACCTGGGGGCATCCCCATGGGTGGAGTGCATTTCTCTGGACTTGCACGCTCGGCAGTATGTGATCTGTGCCATGGAGATGGTCTTCTTTCGGGCGTCTTGTGCAACGCGGCCCCGCGAGGATCTTACTCTACCATTCTACCGTAGGGCAAAGTATCTAGGAAAGAATCCGATGCACATCATAGCCCCCTTTCACATAATTCTCAGCCCAAAAGCTCGGCGGGTCTTGGGCCCTGGGCTGCAGGGGTGGGCTCTCGGGGCGGCCGATGGCCAGTCACGGCATGTCAGATATAAAGTCAGATGGGGCGAGCCGGCGTTCCTTTTGTTTCTGCAATTTTGTTGCATTCCTGTTTCTTGCTTCTTCTAGTCGCGTCGAATCACAGCCTTATAGGGATCGACTGTCGTATTGTAAGTGGCAAGGCCGATCATAGTTCGCTTTCACCATCGCGTTCCCCTCGTTCCTGCATTTCCCATTTCCCATTTCACCTGGCCTCGCATTCTCGCATTTTTTTTCTCGTATTCCTCTTATTCTCTTCTTGTGGCCAACTCACCTCCGGCCTTTGATCCTTTCACGTCGTGCCAGCAGACGTGGCTTGGCGCTTCCCGTGCTTTCCGGGCTGTTTTGCTTCGATCTGCCTTCTCCACATCCACCCAACCTCTCCTTTGCGCTCCGAACTTCCTCGCGCTCTTTGATACTTTGAACGTCTGCCCGTGTGAACTGTTTCCCGCTGCAATTCCACGATGTCTTACTATCCGCCATACCAGGGCGCCCCGGGATATCCCCCCGTCCCAGCAACCTTACCCCCCGCAGCAGTACCCGTATGCGCTCGCTTTCTCTGTTGACTGTCGCTCGATCATGCTGACTCGGATTTCTTTGTCGCAGCCCGATGCATCACCCGCAACAGCCTTCTTATGGTGGCTACCCCGGCCAGTCGTATCACCAGCAGGCGCCGCCTCCCGCCAACCCGTACGGATACAGCCATTCGCCTCAGCCGCCGCAACACCCCTACGGATCGCCCGCCCCGCCGCATGGATACAGTGTACGTCCTGAAACCGATGGAGATGATTTTCGAAGCATATATAGATTCAACAATAGCTGACATGGGTCTCGCATCTAGCACGGTCCTCCCCCGGCCGGATATCAACAGCCGCCGCCGACTGGCCCGAACGTTTACCAGCAGGGCCGCCCGCCAGGTTCGCATTCCGCCCCCGTCGCTCGCCGATTTCATATTTGGGAAATATGCGCTGACAGAGATGCTATAGCAGGCAACTATCAAGGTGGTGGTGGTGGTCGCCCGGCGCCTCCGCCCACGAACCCGGTCGCGTTCGGTCACGGTGCTCCGCAAGGCTACAACTTCCAGTATTCGCGATGTACCGGGAAAAGAAAGGCGTTGCTGATTGGAATTAACTATTTCGGCCAGAAGGGTCAGTTGCGAGGATGCATTAACGATGTCAAGAACATGTCGACATATCTCAATCAGAACTTTGGGTACGCTCGTGAGGACATGGTTCTTTTGACGGATGATCAACAGAACCCCATGAGCCAGCCTACCAAGGCCAACATTCTCCGCGCCATGCACTGGCTGGTCAAGGACGCGCAGCCCAATGACTCGCTCTTCTTCCACTATTCAGGTGAGTTGGTTGGGATGTATAGACTCGAAGGAGGAAATCAATAAGACTGACATATATTTCTTTAAGGCCACGGCGGTCAAACCCCAGATCTTGACGGTGACGAAGACGACGGATACGACGAAGTGATTTACCCTGTGGACTTCCGCGTCGCCGGCCACATTGTCGACGATGAAATGCATCGGATCATGGTCCAATCGTTGCGCCCCGGTGTGCGTCTGACAGCCATCTTCGATTCCTGCCACTCCGGCTCCGCGCTGGACCTCCCCTACATCTATTCCACCTCTGGTGTGCTTAAGGAGCCCAACCTGGCCAAGGAGGCCGGTCAGGGTCTGCTGGGTGTGGTTTCCGCGTACGCGCGTGGCGATATGGGTGGCATGATGTCGACAGCCATGGGATTCATTAAGAAGGCCACCAAGGGTGACGATGTGTACGAGCGCAACTTGAAGACCAAGACCAGTCCCGCCGATGTGATCATGTGGTCTGGTAGCAAGGACGACCAAACCAGTCAAGATGCTCAGATTGCAGGTCAAGCCACCGGCGCCATGTCGTGGGCTTTCATTGCGGCTCTCAGAAAGAACCCTCAGCAGAGCTATGTCCAGTTGCTGAACAGTATTCGTGACGAGCTGTCCACCAAGTACACCCAAAAGCCGCAGTTGAGCTGCAGTCACCCCTTGGGTAAGTCTTCGCTTCCTGTCAGTGTTTTCTGCAATGGATCACTTGCTAACAATCGTCTTGCAGATACGAACCTACTATATGTCATGTAGAATCGCAATGGGCGGTTCAGAAGGAGAAAATAGCTCGTGCTCCTAAGTCATCGAACAGCTTTGCGTTTCTGCCTGTAACGAATTGAACTCTGTATGTAATTCATTGCTTGGTGTCCATGTAATGCTTCTTGGTATGGATAACCCGGTTGCACGGTTTGTGATTTATTATTTGTGAACTTGGTATCATTTGCTATTATGTTTATACTCCGGAGGTCTGTGACGACAGCTATCGGCCTTTCTGACATCATTGTAGATGTTGGGCATCTCCGCGGAGTGACCTTATTGTATATAGTCCTACGTGAATCTCGCTGATATTGATGCAGTGAAATCCGATTCTGCTTGACAGCGACCCAGAAAATCAGCCAGGCTCTTCATCTGTCCACAACAGTGACATGCTCGAGTGTTGTGATGTATTTCCGCCATTGGCGGAAGAGTAGACCGAGTGCCGGCTATGAGCACCTTATTGTCTGGCGAGTATCACTCTATGTCATATAACGCCACTGCAACAAGATCTTCTTAATGACTGATTAATCTAAAACCTTCGGTATTCTGGAGCACTGTCCATCACTATCAATCAAAACTGCGGACCATCACATCACACCATGCAGTCATTCCTAGACCAACGGCGGTTCTACAAGCAACTGGAAACACAAATCGTGGTGAAACACGAACAATCCGAGGACGTCCGCACCCACGAGCGACGCTACTGGTATCGCGGCGAAGGAGGGCTCGGTTCAGAAGACCGAGAACCCGACAATGGCGAGCCAGCAAGAAGAAGGAGAGAACACGGCCACCGAACGATCATTTCCGGCCCAACGCTCGAACCTCGTCATAGTGTCCGGGAGCATTTAGAGCGCGAAGGAGATGTTGAGCAGGCCGATTATGCTCCGGAGGTCCAGGCAGATCCGTATACGATCAACACGCGTGATACCATGGGAGGAAATGTGGATATGATGGTGACTGGCGTGGAAAGAGAGCGAACTCGTCAAGCGGTCAATGGAACTACCAATGGGACTGCCAATGGCACCACGGATGGAGTTGATGGAGCTTCTCATGGCGACCCGGAAAAGGAGAAAATCGTCTTGGTCATGTACGAGGGCGACACCGATGAGATGGATCCTCATAATTGGACTTTTACATGCCGGGTGGCGTGCACCACCTTGGTATCCCTCCTCGCTTCTCTTGTGCTGTGGTCATCGACTATCGATACAAGTGCTCTTACTTCTACGAGAAAGCTTTACCAAACCAGCTTTGAGCTCCAGTCGGTACCGACAGGTACGTGAGAGGTTCCAGACTGGCATGATCCGCAACGCAACTAATGAGATTCTCTCAGCGATGTACCTGATCGGGCTCGGAATTGGAGGCATGGTAACAGCACCTGTTTCGGAGCTATTCGGCCGCAACCCCGTATACATCATCTCTTTAATTGGGTTTATACTTTTCGATATGGGCTCCGGCCTGGCACAACAATCGCGCAGCGAATCGTCTGTCGCGGACTAGCTGGTCTCTTCGCATCCGCACCACTTGTCTGTGCCGCAGCCGCTCTTGTCGACCTATGGTCCTTAATCGAGCGAGTCTACGCCTTTCCCTACTTTGCCATCATCTCATTCCTTGGTCCCACCATCGGCCCAACGCTCGGTGGCTTCATCAACATGTCGCCTAGGATTAGCTGGCGCTGGGTCGACTGGATAACCATAATCATGTGTGGGGTGCTGGTGACCATTGTATTTCTATTCCTCCCGGAGACATACAGCACCGTTCGTCTATCGTGGAAAGCAAAGCAACTCCGCCGTCTCACAGGGGACGATCGATACCGCGCGCCAATGGAATTCCACCGCTATTACTTGTCCCGATGTCTAGCCATCGCACTTACTCGACCAGTCATACTCTGCATCTCTGAGCCCATCATCCTCATATTTTCCGGCTACATGGCCATCACTTTCATCATTCTCTACACCTTCTCAGCAGGCTACGTCTCCATCTTCCAAAACTTCTATGGCTTAGACCAGGGTCAAACAGGCCTCGCTTTCCTCGGAATAACAATCGGAATCATCTCCGCCGGCCTCGTGGTCCCCTTCAGCATGATGCTTACTCGACGAGACATCTACCGCGCCCGTGCACGAAGCCGCACCCGTCCCGAACCAGAATTCACTCTCTACATGGCCATGTTCGGGGCACCAATGATCCCAGTCGGGCTATTCTGGATGGGCTGGACCACATACGCCGCTCTACCGGTGTGGGTTCCCATGGCTTCGTCGCTTGTGTTCGGATTCGGCATCCTTTGCGTCTTCGTCTCGGCGTATCAGTACGTCGCTGCGACGTTCGAATACCATCCCGGAAGTGCCTTGGCTTCGATACAGATGTTCCGGCTTTCGGCTGCCGGTGTGATGGCTGTTGTTGCGGACATAATGTATAAGAAGCTTGGGGTGCATTGGTCTCTTACTGTGCTTGGTGGCATTGCGACGTTCTTTTTGCCGGTGCCGTATTTACTGTATACTTGGGGACATCGGGTGAGGAAGTGGAGTCGGTATATTCCGAATACGGAGCAATCGCAATGATTCACCCATAACCCTATTGGAAATACGTTCCGAGAGTGTCTAAGTTGCTGGATAGCTTGGATATGAGGTGTCTGGATCGGCACTAGTGTGATCGGCTATTTAGCCAAGGGTTTGGAACCAGCCAAATCATCAGCGGGAAAGGCTAGCCGGCCCGCCATAGCTTGGAATACAACCTTATATCTATTGGCGGGATTATGAAGTACATACCTCGATGGTCTGACATGACATGCCTACTGCACAGTGGAACCCAGCTGGGGCTAGCTTTACGCCCCCAATTACTAAAACACGATCGGCTCGGAGATGCCTGGACCTGGTTGATTCGAAACGATAGCCAATAGAATCGTGCATAATGCAACATCGTCATGACCTAAAGACGCTACACTGTTAGCGAGGAGAGGGGCTATTCTTGGCGATCTGCACATACACGCCGCAGACTTGATGGGAATATAAGAAGAATAAGGCTATCTCCACTCTTCCCGACACTCCCCCAAGCAAGCTATCATCTTGGGCTCCGACTTCGTGGTCTATTGCAAGCTTGGCCACTGTGATGGCTTTCATTTCTTTGTTCACAGCTTTGACTGGGGTTGTTGCCTACTTCATCACAAGCTGCATCTACCGACTCTTCTTCCACCCTCTTTCGAAGATCCCTGGACCCAAGCTCGTAGCTATCTCGTACCTCCCCGAGTTCTACTATGATGTTATCAAACGGGGTATGTACCTGTGGCAGGTAGAGAAGATGCATCAGCAATACGGTAAGTTATCCTCACTCCATGGGGTTGGAAACTCTCACCTGACGAATTTGATCAGGCCCTATAGTCAGAATAAACCCGCGTGAAGTTCACATCAGTGATCCAGCCTTTTATGACGAGATCTACGCCGGCGGCAAGAGAATCCGCAATAAGGACCCGTATTGGACCGCTGCACTCTTGACGCCCGGTGCTATGGCATCGACAAATGACCACGAACAGCACCGGCTCAGACGGGGTGTACTGAGTAATTTCTTCTCGAAACGCTCCGTCACAAATCTGGAATCCACCATCCAGGCAAAGGTCGACTTGCTCAAGGACCGCTTCGTGGAAGCCTACCACGAGGACACAATCTTGAATCTTCCACCTGTCTTTGCAGCCTTGACGGCAGATGTCATTACGCATTACTGCCACGGCGAATCGAGAGGGTATCTCGTTGCTCCAGATTTCAAGAATGACCACATGGAAGCACTCGACTCACTGTTTACCATGTTTCACCTAAACCGATTCTTACCGGTCTTTGCGCATCTACTCGCGAGGATGCCCTTGGAGTTTATGAGCAAGTGGGGTATTCTCTCTGGGACGCTTGGGGAAATCGTTGAGGCTAGACTCTCGACTCGAAGGCAGGCTGCTGAGGTGCTGAAGGGGAAGAAAGAGAAGACTTCTGGGCCGGAGACTCTTTTCGATGCTCTGACTGCGGATGATATTCCCGAAGAAGAAAAGACTTTGGATCGACTTGATGATGAGGCTTCGGTTTTGTTTGGGGCTGGGACGGAGACGACGGCGAGGACTTTGTCTATTGCTTGTTTTTATCTGGCGAAGGATCCGAAATTGATGGAAAGACTGCGTGGGGAGTTGAAATTGGTTATGCCTTCGCCTGAGAGTCGGCCGACTTGGTCCCAGTTGGAGCAGCTACCAATTCTGGTGGGTTCATATTTGATGGTGAGTTGCAAGTCAATACCTCTAACCATATTGATAGGGAGCTGTTATTCAAGAGGCACTGCGCCTGTCTTATGGACTGAGTGGTCGCTTGCCTCGGATCGCACCTGCGGAGACTTTGATCTATAAGCAGTATCACATTCCACCAGGAGTGAGTTGAAATCCTTTCATATTAGATACACATAGCTAACAGATTCCTGGAAAGACCCCTGTCAGTCAGTCAATATACTTTGTTCACCACGATCCATCAATCTTTCCGGATCCAGAGAAATTTCATCCTGAAAGATGGATCCAGGCTGCGGATGACGGTGTCAATTTGAAAAGATACATGGTTTCTTTCAACAAAGGAAGTAGACAATGTCTGGGAATGAAGTGAGTTGTATTCCCTGAGCCTTTGATAACATTGGTGCACTACACTGCAATAGCTAACCCTCGGTAACACTTTGGCAGTCTTGCATATGCGGAGATGTATCTGGCATTGGCGATGTTCGCACGGAACTTCGACATTGGTCTATTCGATACGACGGAAGATAATATCCGACTCGGTCGGGATTTGTCACTTCCTTATCCGACCGAAGGAAGATTCGCTACTCGGGTCAGAGTGACGGGGCTGGTGGAATGGTAAGCAAATGCTAGGTAGCAGCACGATGTATACGAACAGGTCAACAACCATGACGGCGGGCCATCGCCTTGCTAGCACTTCATGCGCCACGACACAAGACAAATGAAAACTGGGAAAGATCATTCTGCGGCAGTTCTCCCCATAAAGTACAGCCTGAGTCCATAAAAAACATGTGTGAAGTGAATTTTGTTGACATCAGGCGACGGGGTGGCCTTGCGGTTCAAGCGCCCGCCCCGCCCGTCCCTGGGTGGTCGGCGTTCCTGGGCCCGCGGTGGCTAGCGCCCTTCCTGGGTGCTCTCTACTTATTTCATTTCCCTCACCATCCCCTTCCCATCATTCTCCCATGTCTCTTCTCGCCTTCTCAAGCTTGCACCTTTTTAATCGGTATCTAGCCGTATTTCATTCTCAGCCCCTTCGGCACACTCTGTGTCGCGGATCTTTTTGAATACAGCAATTTGTCGAGTTCCTTCCTGAGTCGTGTCTCCCCGTTCATGCTGGGTTTCGTAGTAGGCCGACCGTTTCAACATGGGAACTCCCTCGAGCGAGGGACGCATTATCAAAGGCCTCCTCTTTACTTCCAGAGAGCCTTCGTCAACTTTCAACCGAGGCCCTCACTGGTATCATGAGAGTCCTTGGCTTCCCTTGGGTCACGACGCTTTGAGCAACAATGCATTGGGATCTCGCTCCCTGAAGCAGACCGCACTTCTCAAAACACTGCACGACCAGTCCCTTCTTGACCCGGCCTCATTCAAGAACGTCCCCTGGTTGCTCGCAAAGGAGATCTGGGATTTCCTCGGCGAATGGTAAGAGTTCCTCCAGCCCTAATACATTCATGAACATGGTCCAACCAGATATTTAGCAACAAACAAACATTGCACATGTGGAAGATCCTGGCAACCATCTACCCTACCGACTTCCGCAAAGGATGCCAGTTTTACAAGCTCTACACCCTCCGCCCCGTTCAGCCACTAAAGGGCTACATCGAGACTATGAATGATAGGCGTTGTAACTGGCATGCTTTTCTCTCCTTGGAGACGGCTTATGCTACCGTCGAAGACTTGGTCAGAATTGGAGGCATGGCAAACCTTGCGGCCCTGGAGATTGAACGAGGCCAGTGGAGACCATGCCCGGTCCTGCCCCTCAGTCATCCAAATGATCCAGAAACCACATTGGAGGACGGCATTGTTCGAAGCTGGCTTGAGATGGCTAGAGCGCAAGGATCGCTCCAGCACCTCCGTGTGCTGAGAATCAGCCAGCAGAATAGTCTCACACTGTCCAGCCTCGATATGCTGGCGGGGTTACCTGGTCTTGCTCTCATCCTTGTCCACAAGTGCCGACACTTCACTGAAGCATGGACTCAGGGAGAAGAAGATCAGGGACAAGCTGTCTTTGCGGCTCACGGCTGGCACGCCCAGAGTCTCAGTAAAGTCCTCGAAAGGAGAGGACTTGATGAGTTCACCGGCCCGATGCACTTTGAGCAGCTCGGCAACGCCTATACCGATTCCTTGCGAACTGGAAAGCGCGAGGACGGCACCGAAAGACTTCCCCCGGGATTGGCAGGGAATGCCCCCAAGATGGACTTCTGCCTACACCAAGGCCATCGCACCGACGTCTCCTCGATTGAAAAGCGCATGCCATTTGCGAGCGGGGACGTTTTGCACCTGACTCCAGTGCTGCCTGGCTCCGCCAGCAAGCGACCTGTCACGTTGTCGGCCACTCAAGCGCCATCCCGCTCTGAGAAAAAGCGGCCTTCTTCCTCGCCGGCCAAGGAGAGCAAGGACAAGAGAATCATGAAGAGCAAGCCTCTCCGCAACTTGGAGGACTTGCTAAGTGAGTTCTCCTGAGCAGCACAGTGATCTCTGAGAAGACACCTTATCTTCTCACTTCGGAGATCTTCTGCAGACACCAAATGGATACGTTTGTGATTTCCTTTCGCGTGCCTTACGGACAGACTGGGCCGGGCGAAGCTATTTGTATTTTTATGCCCATTAATAGCCCGGTGCCAGATCCCATGGCCGCATAGTGCCTAGTGCCTGTTTGTAAGTTTAGTTATGAGGATGGCTGCCAGTGGCCAGCAATATGAGTCCACTTGGATTTTCATTCAGATCTGCCAGTAGGCTCACTCCGGGTGTCGACATTGGTGTCGAACATATAGTACTACATACTAGATATGACTGCCGCGGCGAAAATACAATTCCACGCGAAACCAATGAGCTAGGGTAATTGAAAGTTTGTGGATGGCTCATACCTTCGCATGCTTCAATACTTGCCACGGTGTTTGATGGGATGCGTGCACGATGCTGCAGATGCGAGCTGCAGTGTAGATCTGCATCCAAACAAACGTAGCCCGATGAGGAAGGACCCACAGTACATAAGGATACTTTTATTTTGCGGCTGTTCACCGCTCCTGTGAAGTACCAATCTGTACCTCGCCTCCGACGAGATGACATAAGCATATGATGTCAGGTAACGCGGGCGTGCTGATTGGCGGCCGTCCAAACCCCCGCGTCCATCACCTGATGCTCCTTTGACTCTCTCCAACTGCCCCCTCCATTTCGCTGTGTGGCTTCCTCGAGATGCTTCCTGACATGGCCGATCAACAGCTTCCTCGGGAGGGCTCCGATACCTCTCTGAACGCACTCGCGAACCCTAACAACGGCTCCAACATCGCCTCGCCGCGATCCAGTACTGAATCGCGCTCCTCGTCCCGCAATCACAACCAGCTCCGCGTGTCACATATGCCTCCTGGCAATCATCAACACCGCCAGAGCTTTAGCGAGTCTCTGCGTGGTCCTCCCGGCTCGCCGCGGTCTCGGCGACAGCCCTCCTTGACTCAGTCCGCTCTCCAGAGCTTGATCGATAACCCGCCACCGCCGAAGAATGTTGACCCGGCATTTATTGGTCGCGATTGGCAGCAAATTTCCATTGGGGAGCTTGTCAGTCCGGAGGACCTGCGCTTTGTTGAGATGGACACGGGGATCGAGGAGGCTACTAATGTGAGTCATTACGGAGAGGTCCAAAATGCTTGTGGCGAAATTGAAAGCTGACACGAGTTTCTCTAGACGCTGATCGACTCGGGTGCGCCGGTGTTGCTAATCCGCGAATCCCCCGAGAAGACTTCTGCTGTGGCTACATTTGACTACTCGGATTTGAATACTTACTTGCTTCTGGCGGCTGGCTTGGCTCAGCCGCATGAGGAGAACCGAGCATCGTACGAGGAGCTTGCCAAGAAGGCCCACGAGGGGAAGAAGATTCCTCTTAAAGATGTCAAGGGCCTTGGAATGGAGAAAGAGCCATTGGTTACCCTGCCCGCTTCAGCGAACGTTCTCACTGCCGTGGAGACCTTTGGCGGCGGAATTCACCGAGTCGTGGTTGTTAAAGAGTCCAATGACCTGGAGGTTGTTGGCATATTCAGTCAATTCAGACTGGTGAAATTCCTTTGGGAAAATGGATGCAGTTTCCCGGCAATTGAGCAGCTTTACCCGCAGGCCTTGGCTCAATTGCGCATTGGCTCGCAGAATGTGGTCTCAATCAAGTGAGTGCTTACTGCGAAATTTGGTGCAAGTATATACTAACAACTCTTATAGTGGTGACAAGCCTCTCAGAGAAGCTCTCCAATTGATGAATTCTGAAGGAATTTCCTCTCTGGTTGTGGTGGATAATCACTTTAATGTGCTTGGCAACATATCTACGACGGATGTCAAGGTATGTACACGAAAACAAGCACACAGGGAAACCGAGTAAGGAATATGATAGCTGACAAGTATATCTAGCTCTTGACTCGAACCTCGTCGTTGCCTCTTCTTAAAAACACCTGCACACACTTCATCTCAGTCATCTTGTCTACCCGAGGCTTGATCGAGGGCAAAGACTCATTCCCGGTCTTCCATGTCAATCCGACATCCACACTCGCCCATACGGTCGCAAAGATTGTTGCAACTCGATCCCACCGGTATGTCCGTCTGTTTCTGTCTGCACATGGTAGAAGTTAACACTAGTTAATAGGCTCTGGGTAACCGACCCCTCATCGCCGTCCTCGTCTGGACCTCCAACGCCCTCCCACTCCTCCGCACATATCCCTCTGGCCATACCATCGGGCCCAGCTCCTACCGGCTCAAATGCCGCCGCGTCCCCTCCAGCATCTCCTCTTCCCCCGCCAACAATCTCTGCACAGCCTACTCCAAGCCATGCGACGCCGCATCTTCCAACACCACCCCATCCATACACTAACTCCGGATCATTCCCTGGCCCTGCAAGCGGAATCACACCACCCCTTGCACCTTCTATCCCAGCATCTGCGCTACCAGGGGCCTCGCTTTCAGGACGTCTGGTCGGCGTTGTTAGTCTGACTGACATCCTGAACCTGCATGCCCGCGCGAGTGGCCTTAACCCGGCCGATCCGGCCGAGTCCCGGCGCCGGCGACGGAGTAGCTCTTCCAGCATGAGCATTCGTCGCAGCGGCGACGTCGGTCGGGAGCTGTTCAGCCGTGGTATCTAGGGGTCGAAAGCATAGGTAGGAGAGCGAGTATCTGCAATGCAATTGATATGTCGAAATTTTTGAAAGTCACTGGCGTGTTGTGTTGATATTGGTCGACCTACTGTTTCTATCTATTATCGTTTCGTGCACATACAGTGCAACATTTTTTCCATATCGATTATGCTTTATCTCGGAGTTTTCCAGGAACTTGAACAATGGAGGCATTATTTTATTCTTTTTCACTTCACATTTCTTTGAAAACCATCGGCATCGTTCTTACCCTGTCAACGCGGATACTATTTTTGCCGTTCAGTCTTTCCCAAGCCTCGTGCGTAGCCGGACCCATGTGCACATGTAATGGCAACCCAGAGCATATCATCAATGGCCAAACCACAACCCCATCCTTGCACATACCACCCGGAGTTCCACTGAGAGCATTCTCAATACCGTGCGGCTCGAAGTCTCCCACTCGGAGACCCCGACCGGATATGATCTCAGCCTAGCCAATGGAGAAGCAGACACCTCAATTCGCAAGAGTGGATTCTTATGCGTTCATGCGAGAACGGGTACCATCGGTCTGACAGACGCCATGACAAAAGTACAGGTGGCCCTACAGATTCTTCTCAATTTTGTGACATCTCAATGGACGAGGGAGTATTCGGGGTGGACCCGAATAGACTCAGAATATCGCTCGGACTCAACAGCTTTTGGAGATAAACGACTGGCGCGACGCACATGGCACAGGCTCACACGTCTAGATCAGCCCTTTTCGCCAGTATCGCACGATCATAACCCCTCACTGGAACCTGTGTGGCCCAAATCTAGATTTCGATCCACGAGGTCCAGCACGAGGACACGCACGCTAACTCTCCCGGGGTCGTCATTCTAAAGCAGTACACGGATTGGTCCCTGCACATGCAATCCCTAAAGAGTCTTAGCGGTCGGAGCCGCCCCCAACGCCCCCATGACTCGCGCCGTCGATCATCACGGTCATCTGCCCTTGTTCTCTTATTCCCCGAGCCACTGATATGCGCGGAGAGGGCGTGCTGGACCCCAGAGTTTCTGCAGTGGGTCCCGGGGCTCTGGATTCTCTGCAGGGGCACGCTGAGTGGCGGAAGGGCTGGGGAGAATCATTCCCGTATGAGGTGTTAATTGTTGGCTTTTTTCTCTGCGGCTTTTCATCGTTCTGGATGGAAGGCGTCGCCGGATACGGAGTCATTTCGTATTGATTATCGCCTACCCCCAAGGTAAGTGGCTGTGTTTATCGATCTTGATCAGAATCTCCTTACAGAGTGAGTTGATACAGATCAGGGTAGAACATGAGTTTGACGCATGGAGCAGGTTTTCAGGCTCAAACATGAAGATGATTTTCTATTTAGGTTGAAATGATATCGTCCCGATTTGACACTGCCGATCGAGAGATCCCATTCGCAGATCTTGAACGAACGTCCTTGAACGAGTATCAGCCAACCCCACCTTCAAATCGCTGATCACAAGTTTCTGGTGCCAATATGCCCAGACCGCCTGCTTGATAGGGTAAAAGGGGACGATTTGGCGCAAGTGGGTGAGGAACCACTAGCAGGAAAGTCGCGCCTGCCACCACCAACTACCTGAAGACGATCTGGGGAAAAAGTGAACCGGGTGCCCGGACGATCCTTGGCACAGACCAGGATTGCACAAGCCACCACCGGACCAGCCGGACTAGCCCGGTCTTCTCGTTACTTTTGCCGAGTGGATCAGGCGAAGGGAGATTGTTTCTCCTGAGCTGGGTACTGGTGATTGGCCAATTTTTTTCTGCAGGGGTTAAAGTCTCGATTTAGCTTTCTCCTCGTGAATAGGTCGCGGCTAAAAGCTATCTCAACCTTACTACTAGCTATCTTAGCCTAATAAAGACAGCGGAAAGAGGTGCCCGAAATACGGAACGTTTAAACGGGCACGCAATTTCCACAAGTCGTGAGAACACTTTACTAACAGATGGCTTTGGCTAACCTTGGCCGATGATGGACCGGACGAGGAAAAACAAGCGAAATAAAGTCGCGGATAGCTGCATGTTGCGTGGCTACGGCACGAGGATTCAATTCGATCAGTCTAGCCCTGGGAACGCAGTCGCTTATCATGCAACCGAGTCTGAGGCCGAGGCCAAGCCTGAACCCGTTAAGGTTCTCGTCAGCAGCCAACACAGAACATGAACCATAGGACCCTACTACAGTACAGTCGGAGACATCAGATCACAATCACACCGAGGGACCCCGAGCGCACATCTCAGGCCCTGATTTCCCCGGTCCAACAATCCCAGCCCTACAAATCACCTCCCTTCTCCGGTAGTACAGTCGCACTGAAGAGGCAACTGGGTCTTTGCAACAAAAGTAGCACTACCCAGTAGTAAACTGGATCAGCCCACCCCAGCCCACCCCAGCCCACCCCACCCCTATCTGACGGGCCCATCAGCAACTCCGACGCCAACTACCAAACCAATCGCCCCTCCGGATGCGTGCACGGGGTTCCGATCGCATCAATTCCACTTGGCCAGCCAGGGGCCTTTCTGGGACAGGCCTACGCTTCCACGGCACGATACGTCTGCAAGGCCCACTTGGCCCAGATCGACTGAGCTGGTTGCTGCTCACTTGTAACGGTTGAGCCAGTCGTGGCGTTGCCGGTTCCAAGGACGGGTAGATGCATTAGTCCCGATGCGGGGTGGTCTGTGCGGGAGCTGTAACCTTAACCCCGCAATTTTTGATGGGATGAGGACAAGTCCGTAGAGGACGGAGGAGGTACCTTCAAAAAAAATTTTGAATTTTGGAGGGAAATAAAAAAGGCGTTCGAAAGTATTCACCTTTAGTAGTAAGTAAGAGCTTCGATCGCTAGGATTAAAAAAAAACCCCCGGAAGGCTAGGTCATTTTTGTACCTCTTAATGACAGCAAAACCCTGTCTGACAAATTGATCGCCGACCCAACAGCCCGGGCCAAACGCCTCATCCAGCTCGAACCCGAGCAAAATGTAAGGTACTCGCCTAGCCGCATCGACACCTCAGCAGGTGACCACAAACCTAGTAACTCGCCAATCCTTTTTGCCGAAACACTCCACCCCAGTGGCAGTGGCAGCTATCGTTATCCTGGGTAGGCAAGTTGATCCCGTGCCGCGTATACGAGCTGGCCCAAGCACGACAATCGAGAAGGGTATTCGCCAGTTCTTGAAATCAATCACAGCCTTGTCTAGCTTTCCTTGTTCTTGTTAAGGCCCAACCCAGCACACGCACTTCCCCTTGGGGAAGAAATCCCGACCACTAGCACCGGCTTCTCTATAACGGTATACCACTGACAGCAGCAAATCTGAAGTAAGTTAATAGTAAGTTAATAACAGTAGTGATCGAAACTTAGAAGCAAACCCCCCCCATTGGCGAACCGAGCCAGCCCTAACCACAAGCCCACGGAGCCGACATCGAACAAAAGTACCTGTTCCGCCCTGTCTGTGGCAAGGTGAAATCATCCTCCAGCCCTGTCGAGTTTTGTCTAGACTAGCTTGCATCGACTCGGTCTGCCTTTTTCGACCATAGCCTTTGCTACTACTTTTACTCTGTTAAACGGGATGGAGGTGGGGGGTTCATGCACGGTGATGTCAGGTGGGGAAATGATCGAGTGCGATCCAGTTACGCTAATAGCTAGCGTCAGGAGCTGAGCACCGATCTGCAATGGAGTTGGATCTAGTTGGTTGATGAGGGGTGATTCGCAATGTGTGAATTTATTAGCTGTGGTGTGTCGGGATTAAAGCTGGGCGCCTTATACGCGTAAGTCGTTCTACTCCAGTAAGGATGGAACATAACGGAGTAAACCAGCAGTTTGCTACTATCTAGAGTAGGGTACAAGCGAGCCTTCAGTTCAAGTTTTGCATCGCAGGCAATGGTCCAAACCCAGCAGCTCAGCTGGCACGGCCCGAGTCAGCGGGGTCGACAAAAAAAAAAAATAAAACAGCTCATCTCGCAAACCCAGTCCCAGCTTCAACGTAGCAAGCTCCGAAAGTTCATGGTAGCGCGAAAGTATTCGCCTGCGAGCCTCCATTCGTCGCTTCAGCTGGTGGTCGCTCGTAGTACCTATGGTTGGGCGTGGATCCCCCGCTCACGAGCCAGGTTTGCCTGTTTCTCCCGAAGGTAGTACAAGGGTGTAGGTTAGGGAATGGAGCTGGAGTGGGGAGGCGAAAGCTAGATATACGGTGTATAGGGTTGGGTAGGGTTGGCGTGAGTCACCGGAATGGGAAGGGGTGATTGTTTTCGGTGCAAATGCAACGCATCGCGCTTGTCCCCACTTTGCTGGGTAGGGACTGGAGGTGGACCAGAGGTGTTGAGGGATATTGTCAAGACGTAAGAAAAATTTAAGGGGGTTGAAATTTTTACGTCTAGTAAGAGGAAAGATAGTTGTACGTGTTTTAGTAAATCTTTGAAATGATTCGTAACTCGTGACGGATAATAGCAACGGCGAAATTCATCTACCTGGAACCGACCCTGGGCGAGACGAAGTGCCAGACCACCAAACCGACCACCGTTCTGACCATGCAAAAATCGAGTGGTAGGGTCGTGGAATTCCAAATTGCAAAAATCCAAATCCAATCCCAAATCCAATCCCAAACCAACGCCCAAACCCAGGCCAACCCAACCAAACCGAACCCACCGGGAGAAAGTAAGAAGGTATGGTACAAGAGCAATGTACAGCCAAGAATCAGAATCATATACAGTGAAAGCGGGGGAGTAGCAGCCCCTGGGAATCAAACATCAAGATCAAGGAAAGACTAGTAAGAAAATAAGGTGGGCCAGAGAAAAAAAAGAAAAGAGGCAAGTATCAGCATGACACGGTGCCAAATTCATCGATGGTGACAAATTCGTCGAACCCGAAGGACTCTCGCTCCTGTAGAGATGAGTTCCCACCCAGCCCCAGTGCGAATTGGCTGAACTCATTGTAGTCCGGATCCAATTCTTCGTGGGAAACCATCACACCATCATCCTCCTTGGTCGTCGGTACGGTGGTGTGCACAGCAGCCAGCGCCGTCGGCGACAGGGGAGTGTTGGGGGTCGGGCAGAAGTCCGGGGTGGACTGCGTCTCCGCGGACAGAGACTCGATCTTAGGCGAGCTGGTGCTGGAGGGCGCCATCTGGGCCAGGTGGGTACCCTGGGTGAGGAGGTGGAGGTTGTGGAAGCTGTGTCTGTTGCTTGGCTGCGAGGAGCCGCGCGAGTGGCCGAGTCCAGTGTGGCCGGTGCCGGTGCCGGTGCCGGGGCCGGAAATGGAGGGAACAGAGACGGGTGGCATCCCATTGTGCATGGGTAGCTCTGGGGCGGAAGCCAGGCGATCTCTGAATTGCCGGATGTGGAGGGACGGGTCGGCAGGCATTGTCGCTTGCTGCATCATTTGCTGCTGCCACATATGCACGGCGTGGTTGTCATTAGGGGTTTGGTTGGGGGTTGGGATCTGCTGCTGCATGGTCGCCCATGAGGGTTGGACCTGTTGCCAGGCAGAGGGCATTTGGGCGGGTGGTGCCCCTGCCGATGGCTGCGTGACGTATGCCGGAATCTGCGACGAGGCTGAGGCGGCTGTGGATGCAACCATGTTGGAGTAGGAAGAGGCCGTGCCATCAGAGCCATCCATGCAGGTCATGTAGGACTGGGCGCTGGAGTCGAAATTGGTAGAGGGCGACATCACGTAGCCGTCGCTGGCCGTCATGGGGCTGGCGAGGGAGCCCGATTCCATGCCGTGGGGAAATGGCGAGCGCAGGTTGGACAGGTCCAGGCTCATCTTGCGCGAGGAGCTGCTGCCATCGATGGATCCACGGGGAGCCATACTGGCTCGTCGACTGTGGATGGACGAGGCGGCCGAGCCGGTACCGTTGTTGGCGCGGGCCGCAAAGGCCGCGAGCAGATGGCGGTGGAATTGCTCTTCGATCTGCATGTTCTGGGCCTGTAACATGCGGATGCGCTTCTCTTGATAGCGCTCATCGACTTCTTCGTACATGGCTTCTTTCTCGACGATCTCCTTGGTGATGTGGAAGGCCTTGCCGGTGCGCTTCTTATGCAACATCGAAGCCCGGTTGGCCGACTCCAGACGCGCATCCAGACTGCGGTCTTTGCGCCGCGAGGCGGCGATGAATGCTCTGATCGAGAGTCAGCGTCTTCTGCACATGTATTCAATGAGGGCGAGGGTTAGTAAATACCTCTCTTGGTTCTCCTCCCGCGAGCGGGGGATAGGAGAGATGTCCTGATCGAAATCTGGCGAGCCCATCTCGTGTATATCGGGGTGAGGAAGGAGCACAGATGTATTCTAGGAGACCACCAGTGATAGTTGGGAAGGAGCAGGGAGGGGCAACGTTAAATAGAACGGCGATAAAAAAAAGAGAAAAACTCAAATCAGTGTGGTAGTCCCTCTTCTCCTCCGGGGTTTGCTGCGCAGAGTGGGAGGCAAGCTGTCACGGCGAGAAGCTTGGGCGGGCCCACAGCGATCGCAGGACCAGGTTGCCTGTGTTTGCTGGTCCTGCGATCCCTGGGACCCGCGCGAGGCCGAGAAAACTCGTACAGGGGGTGAGCCATGGATCCAGCCGGGGCACGGCGAGTCCGTTCGAAAGCGCCACTGCCCGTCACAAGTGGCCTCCCTCCTCTTGAAGACCGCAGGGTTGGCACCGGAGACATTTTCCTGGACGCAGAGCGCCCTCCTGCGTGGTCCGCCGTGCTGGCGAGGGGAGTGCTGTTGTGCGGTGGTTGCTGGGCCTAGACCGGCGGTGGGAGGTGGAGAAGTTGCTCCCCCGCGATACGACCGTCCTCAAGCGCCCTTCCTCATGCGGCCACTCCTACTAACAGTACCAGCCTGCCACTGCCATCCTGCGATCTCGAGCGGTCCATCTTCACGTTGCATGCACACACGTGGGGGTAAACAGTTTTCACGGTTCCTGCGTCTGCGTACACTTGGGATCGACAACGATGATCGGCGTGTGAGCTCAGATCTACTCTAGTCCTACTACGACTAGTAAAAGGAGTACCTCATTGCAGTCATGGATACTAGGAGGCTAACATAGTCCACCATACGAACTCACTAGCACGAAAATGGAAACAGAATCGATGCTCGGTCAGACCTCGTCGCTCGGGGGTTTTCTCGGCGTTATTTATTAATCACTAATTACTGACTACACTCCTTATGGTCATAGGTAGGCACCGACCTTGGGACCTAACTCGAACAAGGCATCCAAGTGCGATAAGATCTGACATTTCAAATTGTTGAACTCTGGTCCTATACCATACTCAGGACGACCCAGAGGAGAAGGTGATAACGCTGCCAGGATTGTATGGTCTTGCGCATTTCTCCAGTAATCTGCAGCTTCGCCACTGCGCCTCACGGGCCCAGGCAGGTCTATTATACACAGTACTGCTGGAACTATATCTGAAGAGCTGGCAGGCCCCGGCCGAAACTTCTCCCCGAGTCTCGCCACCCCTCACATGCCTATCAGAGGCTCGGGGAATCGTCTGCAGAACCGAGTGTGCAGACTCCATCGCGGAAGCTGACGCTATACTGAAGAATCGCGAATCTCCCGTCTTGACAGAAATTCTTCAACTCGTCCCCGTTGGCACTGCGCACTGTTAGCACGAGATGAGGCCGGTTTAGACGTTGCACAAACAGTGGAGCGTAGATCGTCTCCACCGCCGATCGATCTGCTGTGTAGACTAAAAAGTACTGCACGGGCGGCCGCAGCAGCAGCAGCACACGCACACGCACAAAGTTCTTGAGCATGAGATCTAGATCTACGCCAGATGGAAATCCGACGGGACGGTTCCCGCAAATCATACTCGAACAGGAAAAAACCTGACCGGCCCGGCGCGAACGTTGGCGGCTGTCGCATGCCTCGGCAATCTAGCCAGTGCCGGCACAGGACAGCACCGCGGGCTGCGTACATGAGTGTCCGCACTGCTCTGGAAAAGCCGGTGATGGCGACGATCATCGTGAAGATGGTTGTAATAATGATCTTGATCATACAACCGCAAGGTTGAACCACGTAGATTCACTCGAATAAACAATCTCTGGGTAAGACCATGACGAACAAGCCCATGATAGCTCGCCCGATCTCCGAGCCCTACAACCCGGAGCGCATCCCTGTCAACCGGACAGGAGGGTCCGGAGGATCTCACCTCGTATGAGGTGGACACATGAGGTAGACGGGCCTGTGATACGCTGCCTCCACACTGGAAGTGGCGATTACGAGGCTCAACCGGCCATAGGCACTGCGGTGGGAGGCTCGTGTTCTTGCCACCGCTGGAGGAATCCCGAGTGCGCCGAAACGGGGGATCGACGTGATGGACAGCTGCGCTTGCTTTTTGGAAGGTGCGTGAGGAGGTTGTTCCTGTCCCCTGGTTTTTGTTGACTGGACCAGAGGAGGCAGGGCGAGGGTCTCCGGTCGATCACACCTCCCCGGTTGTGAGCTTGTGCGGGTGATCTGCGTGATGGGTTTCCGTGTATAGATTGCCTCAATAATGTTACTTGAGTAATGTGGACCACAGCTCTGATACTGGGCAGACAGTGACCAATTTTGTGCGGACGGAGGGAACTTCGTGCGATGTGGTTGTTTAACCTAGGTAGTTGGTTGACCTGCTGGCTTTGGCGGGTAGGAGGTCGAAGAGTTGTTTGACTTTGGCGTGATTTCAGTTGGTCCAGGAGCACTTTATGATGTAGAGGCGCATTACACAAGTATGCCTCAATACGGGACTATCAGCAATACTAGCAGTAGTTACTACTACCTCAAGCACATTGATATATTCGTGTAAGATAGCCCAAACTCTACTCTATTAATCGCCATTACTGCTAGAATCAAAACCAACACTTGATTTGTATCGCAGCAATGCGTAGAATCTTATAAACAGCATGAAGGCAGACGCTAAGTTTCAATCGGCAGAACAGATCGCAAGGGTCTCTTTACCACTATCGTCATAGGAAGGCTCAAACTGTCCCGACCAGGTGGCAACCAGACCGTTGCGCGCCCGCAAAGTCAGCCTCGCAGAGCACCACCCTTCACCCTCTGGGACAACAGCAACGTGCCTGATTAGACCCAAGCAGTCGTGAGCATACCGCTAAAAGACTCAATCAAAGGCATTCATTCCATCACCTTTTCACCTGACTTTTCCGGGGAAAAGTCTAGTTCACACCCAGCGGTGGCACCATCCCCTGCTCCTCCCGAGCCTCGGCGCCAACCTTGTAGCCGACTTTGAACCTAATTTTCACCGAGTTGCCCTTGCCCGCGTCAATGCCGTCGAGCACCATCTCCTGTGACACGCCCTGCTGCTGCTGCGCCGCGATATCTCGGCCTGTTTGCGGCTTAAGGTGGAGCGTATAGGTCTGGTCTCGTCAGTATAGAACAGAAAGAAAAATGAGGAAAACGTACCTTTTCCACGGCGACCTGGAAATGCAGGTCCCCAATTGGCTGACTGGTCGGGTTGGAGAAGACGGCCTTGACAAAGATCTGGCGAGGATATGCGGGCACTCGCTGCACCAAGAAATCAACGCGAAGCTGCGAATTGAGTACCTGCACCTGGTTCTTAGACGGAAGGGCGTTGCTGGGCGGCAGCGAGGAGGCAAAGTTCCATTCGTCGTCGTCGGCCGCAGCCGGCGGTGCCTGTGGAGGTGATGTCGTGCTTCCTGCCAAGTCCAGCAGGGACGAGGAAGCCGGGGTAGACTGGCCTGGCGCCGCCGGTGGCTGGAATGCGCCGCCGGTTGGGCGAGGGCTAGCAGAGACTAGCGCTGCGAATGGGTCGGCGGCCTGCGGTGGTGTTGCGGTTTGTCGCACCTGAGGCGACGGACCTGGGGCCGGAGTAGAAGATTGAGAGTTTGGCCGCGACGAGTTTAAAGATGCGAGGATATCATAGTGAGGTTTGAATGCGGCAGGGGCCTGCTGGGGTGGTGTTGGCGATGCGGCTGGGGGAGAGGGATCGGTCGCCATGGGAGGGAAGCCCACTGCACTGGGTTTTAGTACAGGGCCATTCATAGCAATGCCATTGATGGGATAAGGTGATGACTTACTACCAGGTCCTCCCAATGAAATACCTCCACCCGGCGAAGGGCCTTGTTCACCCAGAGACAAACCGAGCAGGTCATTCTCCAGCGCGCCGCCGCCGGCCTGAGACGACTCGGCAGTATTACCATTCGAGCTGGGCTCAGGATCAAAGTCGATCAGCGAAAGCTCATTGTTCGCATTCTTCGACACGCCAGTCGTGGTTCCCAATGTACCCTTAGGGATCTTCGATGCGGCATCAAGATCACCCTTCTTAACCAATTTATACCGTTCAATAGTGCGGTGTATACTGTCGTTGATCTCCAGCAGCTTGTGAACAGCTTCAGGGTCATCCGACTCTTCTTCGCACATCTTCTGAATCTTGGGGTGTGCACTCTGAAGCGCATTGGCAAGCTCCTGGAGAGTAACAGCCGTGTCAGTCAACAGGACCCACCTCCACAGTTTCAGGATTACCCACCTCAAATACATCACCCTCCGGAGCCCCATCGCCGGCCTGTCGACTCTGCAACATTTCCTCCAAGATCTTGGCCTTTTGCTGCACCTTGGCCACTTCCTCGGCTGCCTTCGCTCGGTAGTCTGTCTTATGTCGGTTGTCATATCCGGCCATCACCTTCATCAAGCGGTTCGCCTCTTGGAGGTCTGCGGGGGTACCTCTTCGAATCAGCTCTTGAAGCTTAGCTGATTGAGCTTCCCGTTCTTCTTCCTCCATCTCCTCGGCCGATCGAAGATTCTGCGCACACCACTAGGTTAGCAGCGATCCCACTAGCACTTCCAAAATAAACACATACGTCACTCGGGTTCAACACCGCCGCATCTTCACGGCGAACCTCCGGGAACGCATATCCCTTATAAAGCAGCAATCGATGCATATCCCGAATAAACCCCAGGTCCTCCTTGTAGCGTGATGTTTGGCAGATCGTCTGGCGCCATTCCTCGATCGACTCCAAGATGCGATGCTGGACCCGCGAGGGTCGCACGGGCGGCCGCTCGGGGAACCTCCGCACCAATTCATTCAGGAACTCTTTCGTACTGATTTGGAGGTGAAATGGGTATCCGCAGTTCTTCACACAGATGTCGAGGAGCTAATTGAGCGATGTTAGTGAACATGCCCGCGCCAGCTGTCATCTATCTCATCACATACCGCCAAAGCCAACAACGCGACATTCTGGTTTCGGTTGTTGATAAGGTGAACGATCTCAACGGCCGATTCTCGAGGGCTAAGAGAACAATAGAGTATTAGCATTGCGCGACGTAGCCAGGTCTCGGTGTCTCCCGCGGGGACACTTACGCATTGCCTTTCTTGGAGTTGATCAGATCCGCGACTTCGAGATTCAGGGCCAGATTGGGTTCGTAGTTTTGCGGGTCGCAGGCATTTCCTATAGAAGCATCCGTCAGCAGCTATTCCTGGCTTGTCTTGGCTGTCAATGATAACGTGGCCAACTCACGGATTGCCCGCTGCAGCGGTGTTAATCCCGGCTCAGCATAGACACCGAAGCGGTCTCTAGCCGCCATGCGTGCGGATGCAGCCTCCAGGATGACGGTGGGGGTGATGAAGCGGTGAAAAGCAGGGGGTATCTCGGAATGAAGAGAAGATCGGGGGGTGGAGGGTTCGATGTGGGAACAGAGACCCCAACCTTGGGAAGTTGTAGATGGAAGACGAGCGGGCGGAGCAGTCTGCACGTGTGGCGCCTGCGCTTGGCCTGGAATTTTCCCCCTCCTTCAACTCGACCACCCCAACCTCGTCGCTTGCCGTTTCTCGCGACGGCCGGACTCCTGCGATCTTACTCACAATGGTCCGCCATAAAAAGGACAACTTCTCTCGAGGAGGCAAGAAACCCTCGAACCCCCGCGCCCGACCGGTGCCCCGCGGTGATGGCGATGGCAGTGCCGCTGGTTCGTCGCGACCGGCCTACAAAGCCGCATGCTGGGATATGGGACATTGCGATCCTAAGCGGTGCTCCGGAAAGCGTTTGATGAAGCTGGGATTGATGCGTGAGCTTCATGTTGGCCAGCGATTTCCTGGCGTGATCGTCTCGTATGTCCACCAGTTCGCCCATTTTCATTTTTAACTATCACGGCCCCCGCTGACTGAAGTCGTTGAACAAACAGACCCAATGCGAAGAAAATCGTCTCTCCTGCGGATCGCGAACTTATGGAACAGTATGGTGCCGCTGTGGTGGAGTGCTCCTGGGTACGAGTCAAGGAAGTGCCTTGGTCGCGAATTGGCGGCAAATGCGAAAGACTGCGTGAGTATTCGCCGCGCCAGACTATGCGACGACCATCGTGCCTGACCTATATTTGCCTTTAGTCCCCTACCTTATCGCTGCGAACACAGTCAACTACGGAAAGCCCTGGCGACTCAACTGCGTCGAGGCGCTTGCGGCCTGTTTCTTTATCTGCGGACACGAAGAGTGGGCACAAGACGTTCTCAAGAACTTCCGATACGGTCAAGCCTTCTTGGATATTAATGCGGAACTCCTCAAGCGCTATGCTGCGTGCAGCACCGAGGAAGACGTGAAGAGGACAGAGGAGGAATGGTTGGCCAAGATCGAGCAGGAGTACGAGGACAGCCGCGCCGAGGACCCCGAAGATATCTGGACGAAAGGAAACACCAATCGCATGCCCGCCGCACCGGGCTCGGATGATGATGACGATGATGAGGACGACAGTGAAGAAGGAAGCGACAAGGAGGGCGAAGACGAAAGCGAAGAAGAAGAGGACAAGGACCCGTTTGCGATCTCCGACGACTCCGAGGACGACGACCAGATGGCCCAGATTCGGCAGAAGATCCTCAACTCCAAGTCCTTCCAAAATCCTTCCACATCGGATAAGCCGCAACCAGAAAAAATCGAACGGCCGCAGCAGCTGTATGTTGATTCGGATGCCGAGTCTGGCTCGGCTGGGAGTGAGGACGAGGACTTTGACAAGATCATCAACGCGACTACGGTGACTGATCGCACTGGCATTAAGGCGATCCAGCGTCGACGCGCTCAGGAGACGGTTACTGCCTCGTTCTCCCGGACAGAAGTCTCTGCGCCGAAGAGGTGGTGATTGCAATGGGGAAAGATCTGAATTCTATTTCAGGATTACAACTTAACAATACCTTCGCAGCCATGACGATTGCGTTCACCAGAATGGAGTTGCCGGTCTAGGGTTGCCTCAAAATCATTACCCTCATCAACAGTCCCACTTCTCGCCGACTCCATTCACAAGATGGCATGGCTGCTCCCTGCTTGACTTCACGGAAGGTCTGAGTCTATTGTCGCGAACTTCCGGATATGTACATAACGTCCAATCTACACAACGATCAACACGAAGAAATATTCATGGTCTATGATTGCGCACCAAGGCGCTATGAAGGGACGTTTGAATGATCGTCTAGACAGGAGATTTCGGACGAGAATAACAGACATGGCCAACAAGCCACTTGGGAGTCCAACTCCCACGAAACAAAACTTTTGTGCAATACTTCATCTCGCCGTAAAATAAATTTTACAGTTCACGCACTCAGAATCCCGTCCAGAATCTCCCTGCGACAGCGTTTTCCTCTCCACCCAACAAACACTCTGATATCTTTGGCACCTGGTACAATCGACGCTCCGATGCCGTGGCCAAGCGTGCGTCAATGAATGCGTGGTTGTATTGCAAATAAGCGGGTTGGGATCGGTATAGCTAGGGAGGGCGACGGGTCGGCGGTATTGTGATTTGTTGATGTAGGGTAGTCTCCCCCGACGACGAGGTTGGATTGGGATTGTCGGGACGATTGTTGAAGGCATTTTGGGATTTACTGTATCAAACAATCGTTTGTGATGGTTGATAGAGCGGATGGAATGTGCGAATCCTCTGGACTACACGTGGAGTGTAGCGGTTTGAATGAGAGGCTGGCGATGCGTTTCGTCGCATTTGTGAAGGAGCTGCCACTGTTGCCATTGGAAGGATAGGGTGGAATAGAAATAGGTGAGATTCGAGCTGAAGGGGCCATCCAATTGCCACGGTACGTCATTAAGGTGGTGGTTCCTTGCGAGCCATACCTAGGTAGATGCAAGGGTGGCAACGGTTTAACGTCCAAGGTCGAGTTGCGGCAAGGCGAGCCACTCAATGTCTCAGTTGCAGGACAATTCCATTTAATAAAGGTACCTCCTATAGGCACGGGCGTTTCAGCTATCCCTGGAGACGATTTTATCTAGTCATTTATGAATTTTGGTAGCTCAGTCGTTCCCACCTTGGCACACCTCTTGAGATACCTGGCTACAAAAAAAAAAAAAATTCAAACATAGTTTCAATTTTTGACGTAAAGTCAAAAGGAAGGGAGTAAAATAGAAAATGATAATGATAATGAAACTGGCAGAGCTCTGGACTTAAATCCGACGCTTAAAATTTTAGCTTTTTTTGGCGGCGGGTATAGGCAAATTGGCCTGCAATGGACATCGACACTTTCGAAAAGGCTCCTTGTTTTACACACACCGAATATCAAAGTACTGAATACTCGAAAGTACAATTCTGGAACTGAACTATCAATTGGCAGATCTCGGAATTTCATCTACGACTTGTTCTAAGGTTAAATCGCTCCCAATGAACACTTGTTCTGCTGCTTCTACCGAGGCCCAAACTACATTATTCCACAGTTACTTTCACACACTTCAGAAGCTACTAATTACTAATACTTTAGCTTTTTGGAAAGCAGCACATCAAGGCAGCGGAATAAAGGACCATGTTTCTCCTCGGAACTACCGCCAGTTTACTTCCGTCAACACCTAGGGCCGACGGGCCGAGCCCGAAGCAACACTTTGAGAACCCCGTGCCTGATCCTTATCCCAACATCTAAGCTCCACCTAGAGAATCATATCACAATCAGACAAATCACAAGAATCATGAAACCAAGCGGTGGTGGGTCCGACGCAGATACCAACGCCCACCCTTGTGTGTAGTGATCGGAACAAGGGCTTGGCACTTGCGTGGCGTCGGATGAAGAGATATCCAAAACGACACTATGGGAAGTGATAGACTAAAATATGTAGGAATTCATGCACTTGCGAGTCTACGGGGACTCGTGAAGGACTGGGAATATCCCCTGGACGCGTGGGAGGGGCCCGATTGAATGACCTGTTCTGTTCTTGGCCTATGGAAAGTGGGTATGAATTGATCAACAGTATAAAATGCAAGCTTTATTCCGAGTCTCATCCCACTTTTGTTTCGCTTCTCATCAGAAATATTATAGACAATTTTTTCCATTTTGTCTGATTATTCTTGTAATATGCATCTCAACCTTCTTTTCCTGGCGAGCGCGGCCATGGCCACCCTGGCCCATCCAGGCCCGCACGAATCCCTCTCCCACTCTACGCTCCAACGCCGAAACATGCAAGGCAAACGCTGTTCCGAACACGTCGCCAGCTTCAACAAGCGCCGTATGGCCAAACGGTCCCTGGCCAAGCGTTGGGAAGGATCCGATCACAACACGACCTACGAGATCCATACCGAAGCTCCCTTCTACGAGACAATCAACAACGACACTTGCGTCCTAGCTCCGGAGGTAACTCGTGGTCCCTACGTGTGGCCCCGGTCCCAGACCTTGCGTCAGGATATGACGGAAGACCAAGTTGGTGTCCCGCTCTGGCTGGATATCGGTGTGATTTCGATGGACACCTGCGAGCCGCTTCCGGATGCACTGATCGATTTCTGGCACTGCAATTCTACGGGGTCTTATTCTTCTTTTACTGGGCTCTCTCCAAATACGCCGTTCGAGGAGCTTCTCACAAATATGAATATCACGGATTATGATCTTGGTGTTACGGATTTGCATACTGGTGATACGACATGGTTGAGGGGGATGTGGCCGACGGATGCGAATGGAATGATGGAGATGAAGACTATCTTCCCTGGTAAATAACTAAGTTTCCACAATCTCAATTGAATATATGTTAATGACACTTTCACCAGGCTTCTATGTCGAGCGTGCAATCCACATTCATGTTCAGGTTTACATCCACTGGACAACCCGCGAAAACGGTACAGTCGTCGCAGGAAACACCGTCAGTACCGGACAACTTTATTTCGACGAGCAACTCGAAGAGAAGATTATGGCTATAGATCCCTACTTCTCCCACACCGAGATCAAACGCACCACCAATGCCAAGGATTCAATCTTCTCCCAGGGATTTGACGGCGGGTATAACCCCGTCATCTCCGTTGTTCCTGCCGACGGCAAGGACGTCAAGAATGGCATGATTAGATATGTCACTATTGGTGTCGACACATCCGATATTGAGACGTTTAATTAACAAGAAATAGATTCTTGTACTGGAGGAAAGGGCTGCGATCCCCCAGTGCAATGCGGGTATAAAAGCTTCTCTAGTTTGTATAGACATAGACTTGTACTCTATAGAATCTAAAAATGGGCGATAGAAATAATTTCTTTGAAACAAACACTGCCTTTTCAGTATACTAATATTGTTGACTCCAAGAATAACGTGTCGACGCTATACCAGAAGCAGGACGGGGTGGCGTGGGTGCTGCAGGGGGCCATTTCGGAATCAGAGCCCCGCTCAGCCGCGCTGGACCCTGGATGCCCACCCGATCGACACTATAACTACCAAACACTGCAAAAAAAAAAAAAAAAAAAAATATGCTGCTTATCCCCCTACAAATGAGCTGCGAGTGTAAGCTGGTCACTCCCTCGTAGCGGAAAACCCAAGCTAACGAATACCAGGGTACTCGCAGTCCTCAGCGCGCTAACATTCCTCCCTCAACTGCATCGCATCTAGAAACAAAAGAGTAGCAAGGGAATCTCAGCAAATTACGTTCTTTGGAACCTCCTCTGCACAACGGAGCGGTTCAAGTCGTTCTTTTTCTCCAACATCTCCGTCTGATGCTTGTCCATGACCCCTGACCTTCGGAGATAAATTGAATCTGATTCAGACCGGCGTTGTCTGGGCATCATTCTTTGCTCTGTGAGTCACATCGGCTTCCAAATCTATTTCTGGTTCATTTGAACTAGAATAAACTAACACCCCCCAGCTTCTGCGCATGTCTCCGCGACATCCCCGTCAACCACTCTTTCAGACTCAGATACACCCTCTACGTAACCCTCTCAATCCTACCGTCATAAGCTACAGTTATCCCTACCCCGAACACCCCTCTGACAACGTCTACATTGTCTTTATCTGCTTCCTCTCCGTCGAAGTGCTAAACCACCTCGTCACGTTGCTGAGCATCTACGCCGTCTTCTCGCAACTGCGCGAAATGCAAACCCTCGAGAAGCCGTCGGAAAGTTCACTGAGTAGATTCGGCCTAGTAGTGCAGTCGATTGTGTTTTCTGTATTCGCATTTACCTGGACTTGGCGTGTGCCGATCGAGAATCAGTGGCGGGCGTCGGGTTTGTGGACGTGGCCATGGCCGTGGGGTACCATTTTGATGATATTATGTATTGGTATGGGCTGGGTGGATTCCCAGCTTTTGATAGTGGGTTTACGCAATGGGACAAATGGTTTTGTTCTTTGCTGCTATCAAAAAAGGAAAGAAGGAGGTGAAGGGGTCAGATAAGGAGAGGGAGCCTTTGCTGGGTGGATCGGAATAGAAGGAGTAGTCAGATGTAAGGTAGGCTAAAATAATGTGTTCAGACGAGAACTTATGCCATACAGCGATCGAATAATATAAAGAACGTAATATTTACAATGAACGAAATCCAATCTACAAGTCCTGATCCTCCATTCCAAGCCCATCAACAAAATCGTAAAGTTCCTTCGGATCCTCAAAAACAATCCACGCATCATCAGGGATATCCTTAAACGCCTTCTCAAACCTCTCCGGCTCATTCTTCTCCTCCATATTCGAAACATCTGTCACCTTCCGAATAGCAATCGCATGAATCCACCCGGGATACCGCTTATACATCTCCGCATACGCCTCCGGATCCGTCTGCGTCGAATCCCCAATACAAAGCACCTGTCGAAGCGGGAACCACCGATGAATCTTCTCCATCCGATCAACCTTATACTCCTGCGTCTTCTCGGTAAAAGACTTGATGAGCCCGCCGATATCCATCCACGAGTAATCGCGCAGAATCAGCGTGCCGAGTGCGTAGTGTTCGTGCAGGAACGCGTGCAGGAATGGGTAGAGGTTGTACGGCGATGCGGAGAGGTAAAACCACGCGGGATTTAATTCGTACTGGACATGCCGGTAGAATTCTGGCATCCCGGGGATGGGCACGGGTTCTTCGGCGAATGTCGTGCGCAGGATCCCCGTCGGCTCCATGGTCATCGTGCGCTTGATCGTGTCGTCAATGTCTGAGATTATCATCCAGCCCTCCGGCGCCGCGAATCGCGTTTCTGCTTTCGCGGCGGGCGAGGGGAAGCCATGGATATGTGGAGACTCGATCGTGCCGTCGTAGACGCCGATTGCTCCGAGGTCAATCACTTGGCTGATAATCCCGTTACGGTCGGATGGGCCGATATGATGGGAGTGTGCAGCGCCATTGATGCGAGTTTCTAGGGTGAGGATTCGCGACGGCGAGACCTGGTCCAAGAAAGGTTGGACACGGCTCTCCAGACGCTCGCGTGTCTCCTTGTCGCCGCCCAGTTCGCCATCTAGACCGATGTGATCGGCGATCGCAGCTACCCATTTCCCGGCATCCTTGCGACCTTCTGTCTCGAAGATGCAGGCGATGATCTCGGCTTGCCAGGAACCAGATGGGGGTTGGTTGGCCTCGGACACAGGTTGGTAGGCTGTGTTGTCGAACAGCCAGACGGTGTGTTTATGTGGGTTCGCGGCCTGCGCGAGCGGATTCTTCGAGCCCAGGAAGGACGAGAAGAAGTTGAGAAAAGCCGATCCGCGCCGCTCTGTCGGCGAGTGTGAAGATGTAGATGCAGGCCCGTTGCGGTCGTGCTTGGCGTCGGGGGCCCGCGTCTCCTGGCCAACATGGCCCATACTTGCGATGTCCAGCCCCGCGGTATAGTAGTGTGGGGACCAGTTGAGGGATATGCAAGTTGGTGTGAAAGCCTGCAAAAGTTGAAGACGAGCTACTCTTCTAGCCTGGAAGTGTCAGGATCGATCGAGTAGAGTGCCGAGCGCACATGAACCATCAGGGGAAACGGCGCTGATCAAATAGCGCCGGGCGATCTGCTAGCGGCGGGCCCATCTATCCACGACGAGCTGTCCCCCGCCTGATCGCAGCCCCCGAGGCTGTGATGCTTGTGCCCCGGTGACTGGTGATATCATTTGGTCCGATCAGGCGAACAGCGACAGGAACGCTTCCGTACTGCAAGGTTCAGCCCGTCGTCGCTGGGGCCGAAGCGAAGGCATCAACATTTACCTTCGATAGCTATTCGAGAATCCGGTCGTTGGAGCAGATTTTTTTGATTTTTTTTTGGCCGAAAGAGCTGTCATTCCATGCGGCTCAAGGCGGACCTGCAGGGCTGAGTCACTGCGGTACATCTTTATGTCGAGGTACCTAACCCCAGGTACATCAGCCTATCAGGGTCACCCTGCCTCGCCACCGATCGATCATTTCCCCCAGGCCAAGGCGCTCAGGACTGTAACTTGTCCACGGTCGCATAGAAGATTCCCCATGCACCACGTTGACGTCTTGCCGAGAAGCGCCAAGTTGGCGATGCGTCCCTCCTGAGGAGCTCGTCTTCACGCTCGTTAAGCGCCAAGGTACCAGGGTAGGCACATGACGAGCGTCAGAGGACCTCTTTACGAGAAAGTTCGTGGTCCCTCGGTGTCATATTCTGCAGAACTGGTCTCGGGGTGCGACTTGCGATGCTGAACCTGTTGTGCACCAAAAAGGTTTGTTCACGAACTGCCCAAGGGTGCCGTGGTGAAGTGACCGCCCTTCTTACCGGGTGACTAACCACGACTTTGAACGCACGACATCTCCCATCTTGGATATCCTCAGGTTGTTACTTCCAGACATTCCACTACTAGTATTTGATATTTACCATGGAAAAGTGTCACGCTGACCTAATCAACCCCATACGTCAACATGAGGAGAGCCGGCATTAACATCCACGAGTGCCTGCGTGTACCACAGGTATACATTGCGCTATGATGGAGTGGCAGGGGATAAATGCACCATCAAAGTCACTCAGAATTGCATCTAGCATAGTCCAACCCCTACTTATCAATTGCCACTACAGTTAGCCAAAATGTATGCAAGCGAAATCACCATGCAACCGACGGAACCCTTCTCTCCAATAACGACTTCCCGGGCAAAGGCCTACGCCAGACAGATAGACAGAGCAGCCGCAGACTACCGAGCCGCCACAGAGCAACAGACAACTGCCAAACGCCTGTCTGCAGCAATGGACGAAGAGCCCAATATGGAGCCGTACAACGGTGCAGATGAGGAAACACCCATTCAGCCTTCCTCACCAATCGAGGATGACGACGACCCAGCTTTCTCTACTCGGCCTTTGGGGAGTATATTCGACCGTGCTCCCACACCCGTGAACGAGCAGATGGTCCCCGACCAACTCTCCCCCAAGAGGATGAATGAGAGACCCGCGGACCAGTTTGCTCACCCGGTCATAAGAGAGGGAAATGCCTTGGAGACGTTTTCTCCGAAAATGAAGGAGCCTTTGGAAGAGACACCTGAGGCCCCGTCTTATGAGTCAAAGGGAGGAGTCAAGTTTTCAAGGCCGTCCGAGAAAGATGAACAGAAGCCCACCGAGCCTGTTATTTCAGAAACGCGGAATAAGATACCTGCAGAACCGCTGTTCTCGGCAATGGACGAGCAAGAGCAGGAGCAAGACCAAGATCGGCCAGTCGCGAGGCCTTCACTCCTCGAAATAACTGGTAAAAAGCCGGGAAAACCATACTCGGCGACCATGGATGACCAAACTTGGATTCCCGCCTCAATGCGCGCCCTATACTTCTCGCTCGGTCCGGCAAGCAACAACAATGACAATGCCGTCACTCTTCCGGACAGTCTGGGAAAATCGAGCATCGTCGGAAATGCAACCTTCACTTCAATGCCAGGGACAGGACTCGTTCTCGACACCGGATTTCCAACTCCACAGCCTTCAGCACACCAGTACCTTCTCAAGGTCCAGACGGCTGCATTTTGTCAAGACGAGCTGAATCTCGCGCATGCACTCAATCCTCCCAAGACAACTCCACAAATTCCTCTTCACAGTATCTGCGGAACAGTCATTAGCAGCCCAACGCAAGATCATGATCGCCCGTTAGGACCGCGGTACAAGGTTGGTGATATCGTCTTCGGTGTCCTGAGTTATACGCGGGATGGGGGCGCTGCGGACTATGTCATTGCAAACGAGGGCGAACTGACCCTCAAGCCGAAGAGCATTAGTGCGTCTGAGGCAGCAGCGCTGGCTTTGCCTGCTTTGACGGCCTGGCAGGCGCTTTTCCGTTATGCTGGGTTAGATCCCGATGATCCGTACCGCGGCAATGGGAAAGGGAATGGACACACGCAGAAAAATGGGAATTCGAGCAGTGCTAGTAGTGGGCATGGAAGTGGGCATGGAAGTGGACATGGAAGTGGACGAAGCAGCGGTCATAGTAGTGGTCAAGGGTTTGGGTATGGATGGCGCAGGAAAAGCCTCGATCTGATTCAAGGGAGGGGGCTCCGGAACAGCATCTTCGGTGGGAATGGGAATGGGAATGGGAATGGACACAGCAGAACCGGGAGCTCGCTGAGTGGGAGCGGAAGTGCTAATGGCAACGGAGGTGGTTGGCGGAAGAAAAGCATCGATTTCCTCAACGGCCAATTCACTAATGGGAATAGCTTCAAGAAAAAGGCTCCACTGCGGGTCCTTGTCACCAACGCCCGAGACAGCGAAGTCGGTCGTATCGCCGTCCAACTCCTCCGTGCAGACAAGTTATTCCCTGAGACCACCCGTCCGTGGATCTGTGTTAGTTGCACGGTGGCGGAGGAAGCGATTATTCGAGAACGGTGGGATGTGGACGAAATCCTCATAATCCCGCATCTCCCAACGAAAAGCGAGTGTGATCTCGGCACCATGTTCCGCGAGCGACGACTGCATCCTGTCGATATTGTGCTGGATTGTACGGGGGCGAAGTCTTTCGACAGGCACATTCTCCGTCTGTTGTCAAGGATCATGGGTCTGTTTTAACGGCCGTGGATCCAACACCGGCGAAAGAACCTACTATGGGAAAAAATGATGAGCTTAAGCGCAAGAAACGTGGATTGAAGAGTCGATTTGTGCCAGTTAATCCTGATGCTAGGGCTTTGGGACGTATGGCGGGGTTGGTCGATGGGAACATGGTGCGTGGGCAGGAAGAACAGATTGTTGATCTTGTTAATGCGGGTAAACTCCTAGAAGGGAGGGCTTCTGCTACTGCGGGTAGTCGAAAGGGGTCCATGATTGTTGTTCGTGTTAATTAGTTATGTCGTTAGAATCGGTTGACGTTAAAATCCTGGTAATAATCATATCTCTTTGACGCTTGTCGATCAATGCATTTGTTTGACCATTTCATTGTGCATTGAGATGAATCCTACTAGTGGGCTAGGTCGATCATTTGCGGCACTGTCTCGAAAACGCCCTGAAAAGCATCAGATTTTTCGAGTTTCCAATTCACCTATTCATTTACATAGCAGTGGATTCGCAATTCACTGTATAATTAGATGTCAGTGAATGACAGTCGAGTCCAGATGTAGATGAAAGCACGGACCACCGCACTGCGCGGGCGGTGAATGAGACCGAGTGGAGATCGAAAATTTTGGGGGTGAGGAAATCTTGACTTGATTGTCGCTCCCACCGTCGTCGCCAAAAGGATTCACTACGACCAAATGGATGACATTGAGGTATGAGTGAATGCATCAAATCACCTCGGACCCTTCTGACATTATTTAGGACCGGCTGCGCAGCCATGCGCAGGCCTTCGACGGACTTTTGTCCTTGATCCCCGCCAAGTATTACTACGGTGACGAGAACACTGTACGTGCGACCCCTCTGCGATTCTGAAGCGATTTCTCTCTCCATTTACATTCCACCAGAACGTCTCTGGCTAACTGCCGTTCGCAATTACAGGAGGACCAGTGGCAGCGCAAGAAGCAGACCAAGGAACAAGCCCGTGAAGCGAAACGAGCAAAGCTGGATCCCGAAGCCGCCGACGCTAAGACCGCAAAGGACGTCATGGACGAGAACGCTCGTAAGCGCAAGCGGGAGGATGGCACCCTCGTATCCGACGAGTCGGACGGAGCGCTCGGCTCTGAAAATCCGAAGGAGGGTCTGAAACGGGGAGACGCCAAGTCCAAGAAGCAGAAGCAGACCGAGAACGCTGCGGCCAAGTCCGAGGAGGCTGAGTCCCGTAAGAAGGAGAAGCAGGAAAAGATGGAGAAGAAGAAGGCCGCTCAAAAGGAAAAGAAGAAGGCCAAGGACACCGCCAAGAAGGAGAAGAAGAAGCAGGATGAGAAGCCTGCCGCAAACACAACCGAGTCTTCGGAGAAGAAGACTTCGTCCAAGCCCGTCGATGCCGCTGATGAGCCTGCGGCTTCCGACAACGAGGACGCCGACGACCTGAAGGACGGTGTCGATGAAGGATTCTCGCTCGAGTTTCACGATGAGCCCGAGCAGCTTTCATCCGTTTCCTCCACCCGCAATTCTCCCGATGCCTCCAACCCCCAGTCTGGCAGTTCCTCTATCTCCTCCATTGTCCCTCCCTCCACCGACACCGATGCCAAATCCACTGAACCCAAGGCTCTGAAGCCTACTCCCGAAGATCTCAAACAACGCCTACAGAAGCGTCTTGATGAGCTGCGGGCGAAGCGCCACGCCGATGGCCTCAACGGAAAGCCTGCACGTAACCGTCAAGAGCTCATTGAAGCCCGTCGACAGAAAGCCGAACAACGCAAGGCTCACAAGAAGGAGTTGCGCCAGAAGGCCCGCGAGGAAGAACAGTTGAAGAAGGACGAGGCTATGGCCCGCCGCTTCTCCCCCGGTGGCTCTGGATCTCTCCTGGCCTCCCCGCGCTCCCCCGCTGAGTCGGTCGGATCTGTCAGCAACAGCTTCTCTTTCGGTCGGGTGATCTTCGCCGACGGTCAGCACACCGATGCCTCACTGTCCAACGCCCGTGACCAGCCCAAGTCCCGCGGCCCCACCGATGCCGCCGCCCAGCTTAAGGCCGCGGAGGCTAAGAAAGCCCGCCTTGCCGCCATGACTCCGGAAGAACGTGCCGAACTCGAAGAGAAGGATGCCTGGTTGAATGCTAAGAAGCGCGCTCACGGCGAGCGTGTTCGCGACGACACCTCCCTCCTCAAGAAGGCTCTCAAGCGCAAGGAGACCGCTAAGAAGAAGTCCGAGCGCGAGTGGAAGGACCGCCTCGACACCGTCGCTCGCGCAAAGGAACAGAAGCAAAACAAGCGTGAAGAGAACCTGCGAAAGCGCAAGGAAGAAAAGGGCAACAAGGGTGGCAAGAAGAAGTCCGGCGGCAGCAAGAAGAAGGCTCGTCCCGGTTTTGAAGGCAGCTTCAAGACCAAGGCGGGTGGTAAGAAGAAATGATGTTCCAATCCTTTGATCATTTCTTCCTTCCTTTTCTTGAACCTATTTTTATTTTGCCTTCCCTTCTCCATATGATCTTTCATGTTGCTCGATTCCAGGCCATACCCGGGGCTCTCGCGGGACCCCACGAGCTGGAGCGCACGAAGAACCACAAAAAGAAAAGTGTTTTGAGACTTTGAACTGGGAAATATCCATCCGGGGATTACGGAGTTTGGTGTTTGCGCTGCTACAGCGGCATGAGCTTTCCGTTATGTCTTGTATGTACGTCTGCATGGGTAGCGATTATCTTTATTCTGTGAATACAACATATTCTGCCTGAGGTGCATATTAGCTTGCTTTGTAATACCTAAAGTGTAAGGCGAGGAGTACACTAGTGTAGTGTAGAAATCGGTATTACACCTGATCATAATCTTCTCAGTACATAACCGGTGCTCACAGCTGTCTTTTTCCAGATTTCGTCGAATGCTAGTTCAGTGTCATGTGACAAGGATATATATTTCTGGTTGAGAGTGGTCCTCGCTAGAGTTGAGACAAAATCGAAATGAGTGCAATGACAAGATATTGTGGCATTGTTCAATCTTGAAACAGACGATACCTGCTAGATTCCACAACAAAGGAAATGGGTGAAAAAGAACAAAGGAACAAGGCTTTCGAGCGAAAACGAAAACTTCCTTTGGGAATCGACTAGTACAGAGTGATAACAGAAGGTCGAGGGTGTTTTATATACATAGTGTGATGGGGAGAGAAGAGGGCTCATGAGTCTCGACACCAAAATCGACCGCCCTTTCTAGTTTTCTTTTGATACACGCCCGTAAGCGTGCCTGGGTAGAGTCCGTGTACTCCTTCACTGGACCAACCATTGAGTCCGAGTCGCATCTTCCAATGACGCGCCGCAATCAAGGCTACGTCGAAAAACCAATCAGAAGGCGTTTATCGGTAAGGAGCATCAGCACGAGCGGCAGCGGCAATTTCGGGCTCCCACTTGTCGCCATTGGCGAGCAGCTTCTCCTTGTTGTAGAGCAGCTCCTCGCGGGTCTCGGTGGCGTACTCGGCATTGGAGGCTAGAAAGAGAAGAAAAACATGTTAGTCTGGTGTTTTGAACCACACTGGTCATGGTAAATGCTTACTCTCGACGATAGCGTCCACGGGGCAGGACTCTTGGCAGTAGCCACAGTAGATGCACTTGGTCATATCGATATCGTAACGGGTCGTCCGGCGGCTTCCGTCCTCACGCTCTTCCGCCTCAATGGTGATGGCTTGGGCCGGGCAGATGGCCTCGCAGAGCTTGCAGGCAATGCAGCGCTCCTCACCAGTGGGATAGCGACGCAGAGCGTGCTCACCACGGAAACGGGGTGAGATGGGGCCTTTCTCGAAGGGGTACAGGATAGTGTACCTGGAGCGCGGATGCGTGTGTTAATGACTTCTTTTGAGCCCAATTGAGGTCTCGGATGCCGTTTTGCGACTCGCCACTGGCATCTGGCCGAGTTCTGGGGGGTACTCACGGTGGGCGGAAAAACTGCTCGATGACGACGTACATGCCGCGGAACATCTCAGCGAGCAAGAAGTACTTGGAGGCCTTGTTCAAGGCGGATTCGCCATCGTTCTCCCAAGTCTTCTGCGGGGGCAGACGGAAGCCGGGCTGGGGGGGGCCGGCTGGTGTAGCTGCGCGGCAGGCCGAGGACGAGAAGTTTGCGGTCGAGCCCAGCGGGGTGAAGGGAGAGCGACGGTAGGCGACTAGCCGGGCGACCTGGCGAGTAGATGCCATGATGGCAGTCGAGAAGAGGGGGAGAGGCTGACGGAGGTGGTGGGGAAGGGACAATGGGACTTGGAGGAAGGAGAGTGTGAGGTTCGCAGGCGTTGCCAGGTTCGGGCTTAGGTCATTCCTTTCTGCCGGGCGCTGATTGGCGGGCGGCAGGATTTTGCGTCGGTGCATCACTTCCGCCCGTCTTCCCTTCTTCCTTCCTCCCATCAAGCCCTGTCACCTTTGGTCTCTTCCACCCCCAACATCCTCCATTCTTTCTATTTCTCGAGGCCAGCTTCGCTCTCCCAGAGTCACCATGTTCCGCTCCGCCATTGTCCGCTCCCTCCGGGCCTCCGTCCCCCGTGCCGCCGTTAAGACCCCGGCTCCCTTCCAGATCCGCAGCTCCCCCATCGCTGCCCGTGCTCCTCAATTCACTCCCTGCTTCATCTCCCAGTCCGTCAGACTCTACTCCGCGCCTGCCGGTCTGAACAAGACTGAGGTTGAGGGCCGGATAGTCAACCTGCTGAAGAACTTCGACAAGGTACGCCCAGAAACGGCCTCGGGTGGATTCGCGTCTACTCGGCAACCCGTTTGAAGATGAAAATACTGACTCGATTGCTTCTGTCTAGGTTTCCGATGCTAGCAAGGTCAGTTATTGATTACGCGAGATGGCCCCGGCCCGATTTTCGATCCGAAGCTTCGAAGCTACGAAGTTCTGATAGGGGCCCCGCGACACCAATTCGTTTACTGACGCCTATTTGTTCGAACAGATCAACGGTGTTTCCCACTTCTCCAATGACCTCGGTCTGGACAGCCTGGACACCGTTGAGGTTGTGATGGCCATTGAGGAGGTACGCGCCCGCATTGTTTTCCTCGGGAAAGCACGTCTCAGGAAAAAAATCACAGATGGCTAACGATTGCGCCAACAGGAGTTCAGCATTGAGATCCCCGACAAGGAGGCCGACCAGATCCACAGTGGTAAGTGTCGGGATAATCGGTGTGGGTAGTAGCGTGATCGAGATTGCTAACGTGTGCGATGCGCAAACAGTCGAGAAGGCCGTCGAGTACATCCTGGCTCAGCCCGATGGTAGGTTTATAATCCATTCCGATAGAGCCTTGTGACCCATGCTAATTGCTGTGCAGCCCACTAAATACCTAATCAAAATTTTGGGATCCGGTTCGGTGGTTGGATAGAAAAAGAATCGGGATGTTGGCGCGAATCGAGCGGTTCACTCGTGAGTGGATTTCCGTGCCATCTGGTGCTGCTCTGTATGCTGAATACATGCTAGTGGTTTTTTCTCCTCCTTCTATATCGTGTATATCATCTTAAATGCAGTTTTGAAACATTGTTGCACTGCGGGCTGCACCCCGCTCTCCTCTCTAACGATGGGTGAATCTACGCAAGAACAACTAGGGTAGTGTCTGAGGTATCTATCGTAAGTTTGCTTAGTCCAAGGTAATACTTTTTCCAAATATGCTACCTAGGTAGGCTATATTTCGTGATATAGCTGAAACTAGGGTTCTGGAGATCGGTATCAAACATTGATGCCAGATTGCCAGGTGCTTCTCCGCGGCAGAAAAAATTCCAGACGGTGCGTAGAAAAATAGAAGCGGCTCAATGCAGGTAAATGCATCGTGCATCCCCAATTTGAAGCCTCAAAACAAACTCAGACCAGCTCGTGGCGTCGCAAATTGGCCAGCGGTGCAGATAGTATATCTCAATAGTACGGCGGATTGGCTCGGCCTTTGTTGCTTTGCGCGGGCGCACGAAGAGCCACCTCAACCTAGCCCCAGTCTAACTTCGACCCAATCATCCTTCAACCCCCTCCCACTCTTCTCTCCCCGTCCACCACGCGAGCTGGGTCTTTGATGAGATAGAACTTAAGTCTCGACTTGTCACGGGCGCCTGTCAACCCACTCGGTCCCTGATTTCCCCTGACGCCGAGAGTCCCACTTCACAGAAGCGGCAGCGGTAGCGGCAGACTTTCGGTCTACGCGGTACCTCTGACATCCCTCTTCAACACGGACAATTAAACCACCTACGACCGGCACGCAGCTCGCCAGCGATCCCTCCACCCCTCCCCTCGTCAACCGAGACTTCTCCTCTCCTCTCCACCGCCCCCCCTCCAACCGCTATCCTCCCATCCTGATGTCCTCGGCCGGGGGCTTGACTCGCCGACGAGGCGGCGGTCGAGCCGCTGGCGCAGACGAACAAGATGACAGTCGAGTGTCATCGCCTGTCTCGAGAAATAACTCTGCGATGGACCACCGCGGTCCGGAGACCTCGTTCACCAGCGGAGAGAATGGCCACAAGATCGCATTCGACCCCCGCGACCTCAGCGAAACCGAAGAGCGGAGCAAGCAACCGAAATTGACCCTGATGGAGGAAGTGCTGTTGTTGGGACTGAAGGATAAGCAGGTGAGTGGAAACGGACTGAAAGACTGTCGAATGGTGTGCGCGCGGCGACCGGAATCAGTCATGCTGACCTGCGGCTCCATTATAGGGTTACCTGTCCTTCTGGAACGAGAACATCTCCTATGCCCTGCGCGGGTGCATTGTCATTGAATTGGCACTCCGCGGTCGTATAAGCATGCAGAAGGACTCTTCGCGGCGCCGCTTTCCCCTGGCTGACCGCGTGATCGAGGTTGTCGACGACACATTGACCGGAGAAGTCTTGCTGGACGAGGCATTGAAGATGATGAAGTCGAGCGAGAAGATGAGCGTGAACTCATGGATCGATCTGATGAGCGGTACGACAACCCCCCGCCTGATGTCTCTCGAAGCCCCCCATACTGACCCATGTCTCTTACCGGAATAGGCGAAACCTGGAACCTCATGAAGATCGGCTACCAATTGAAACAAGTGCGTGAGCGACTGGCCAAGGGCCTTGTGGATAAGGGAATTCTGCGAACCGAGAAACGAAATTTCCTCCTCTTCGATATGGCGACGCACCCCGTTGCCGATGGCGGCGCTAAAGACGACCTCCACCGACGGGTGCGCAACATCTGCAGCAACCGCACCGTTATCATCCCTCCCAGCCCATGGCTCCCTGAGGATGCCGATTTCCGTTATCTGCGCACAGTGACAATGGTCTGTGCCGCGTACGCGGCCAATGTTTTGGAAAATGCTTTGGTGACGATGAGCCACGAGGCGCGCGAGAGAGCTTTTGCCCAGGTCGACGAGCTACTTGCGGAATACTCCCAATGGCCCTTCGCGCGCCGGGCAGGCGGCTCGCAGGCAATCGGAGCCAACTTGGCCCAAGCCATCAACGATGAGGTCAACCGCAAGGATCGGGAGCTTCAAATGGAGGTACGTTTCCACCCACCACAGACCGCTCGATGTATTGCGTTGAAGAGATGCTAACTGGATACAGATTGTCGCCGCATGCTTGAGCGTTTTCACCAGACTTGATTCCTTACTCTAAGCGGAGATACCGCGCTTGATCCTAATACATTGTCCTTTTCCTCTTTTCTGCTTGGTCTCCATCTCACACCCGCCTACCTTTCTCACCCACTTCTTCCGCGGCACTGCAGTTCGTGCCCTGGCTCACTCGAGGAAGTTTTGGTTCTTCTTCTTCATTATCTGTTCACTCATGTAGTTTGTCATTATGTGGATTGGAAATTCGGCAGAGCGTCTTGATATCTGAACTGGGTCAAAATTCATTCTTGTATGGGATATTATATGCCTACTTATAGGCTTCTTTTTCTTTCCTTTTCTCTTTCTCCTTTATAACCAATTGTCTTGATCTATTTTCTTTTTCCTTCGTCGTGTGGTTCCTATTGCTGGCCATGTCCTTGCAATGAGTGCGAAGAGGATTCTGCCAGAACTCGTATGTCCCTTGATACAGCTGTTTCTTGCAGATGCCGTGGAACAATAAGATCATATTCCAGTATTAAACAACTTTATTTTCAATATTATGTTCGTCTTGTAAGATTTTACATCAGATAGCATTCCAATCGCTAGTTCCAGTCACTGAATCAAAGTCAATCACCCAAGCTGAAAAGTCAAGATTTTCAAGTTCAGAAAGATCAACGCCATCAAAGTCCATGTCCTCTGCCGGACTGGGATAGTCTAGCCTCTCACAAAATGAAGAGCTTGTGTCATCCATTGGGGGCCTGGAAATATCGGCCTTTGGTGCGAGAACTGTCGAGCTGTCCAAAATCGAGTCAAGTTTGCGCGAGATAGCCTTCGACGCTTGCAGACAATAGACATGGTTGGTCTCGCGAGGGCTGGAGACACTCTCTAGTTGTGATACTAGGACTGAGAGGTTCCGAATAACTGTGGAGGGTTTGAGGCTGGGTGGAAGAGTTTGCGAGGGATCTCGCATGTTGGCTTCTAATGCTGCCATAAGAGTTACTGCAGAAGGCAGTCCATAGATCAAAATCTGGCGTTATATTTTAGCGATGAATTCCCCTAAAAAAGGAGGATATAGCTCACTATTCCAGGCAAGTCGCGAGGCGAGCAAAAAGTGCGATTGCGCGAATTCGCCATGAGAACAACTGTTTCCAGCATATTTGCGGACACTTCAAGAAGTTCTGGATATGAGCAGGAGTCCATCTCGCAAAGCAAGCGATAGACCTGGAAATGAACATGAAGGTAAGACAAGTATACCTTCCCATGCATGTAGCAGACTGCTGGTGGAAGATCAGACGTCCAACAGGCTGGGTTGTAAAGAAGATGTGCTGGAAGGCTGCACCAAGCCCTATGGCATCGGCCAGACAGGTCTCTATGGCATGTTAGTGCATGTTCTGGACGTCAGTGAAGGCACGCACCTGAGCTTCACAGCATCTGCCGGCTGTGTAGAACGAATCTGGTATTCCACCGTCTCTTCCCGGAACTCGCCCAGAATATAGCGCAGCCGGGCCCATGTTGCTGCTCTATAGTTCCGGTCTGTGTTCCAGCCATCTTGTGTTAGGTTTTTCTTGACATCGCCTATCGTTTTCAGAGTAACAGCGAATATCTCATAATCTGATAGATCAAGGGGCAATTTGCAATCTGCATGTCTAGATGAGATTCGAGGCGGGCGATTGAACACCATCGCAAATATCTTGTCCAAATAATAAGCTCGGACGAACGTTTTTCTCCGACCCTCAGCTAGGAAAAATGGAATGTTTTCGGAAGAGTATGTTGCTTCTCGATTCAGGCCTAGTGCGAATAGGTCTGTGGCAAGGTCACCAAGTCGACGCCAGACACCCAAACCTAAAAAGTTTTGTTAGTGTCAAAGCCACGATCTATGATATTGCGAAACATACTCGCATCTCCCTCAATCAACGTAATCAGTTACAAATTCTCGTGGGCCAGCCACACAATGGGGTCCGTTGTTTGAGGCGCAAGTTCACGAGCAAGCCGTAGACTCGAATTGCTACACCAACACAACTCCCGGATGAATTTGTCGTCTCGGCTTTCGTCATTATAAGAGCTGTAAAGAGAGGCGCGCGCAGCAAGAGTGTATAATAGGCCCAGTGTCTCAACGCGCAAATTGTCTCCGCAGAATAGCGCAGAGAAGTCTTTCACATGCATAGTTGGCGAGACAGATACCTCGAACGTGGAGGAATATAGAATCTGCTTAGCCAATCGAGAAGTATCGTAAAGATTGATGAGAAAATCGGATTCCTCCCCCAGATATCCGGATTCAGTGAGGCTAGTGCAAACCAGATCCAGGAGTTGTAAAACGATAGGCTTCGGCACGAGTGCAGTATGTATAAGCAGGAAGTAATCATGAAGCAACTTCTTGATCGTCGGAAGAAATCTCAGCACGGATATAATCTCTTGCAACGCAACTGAGTTTTCACAGCGGGCTTTCTCATTGTGCGAATCCGTGACCAAGCGCTGAACCGCCGAGTCCTTGGGATCGGGTACAAATGGCCATGTATGGAAGCTCGGGGCTTTGATGGTATTGCCGAATGGACCATCCCAGGGTAGACTGCAGTTTGTTACAGAGCCATTTTGGCCAGGTGAATTCGAAGAATATGGACTCAACAACGCTTTGCTCCGAGTATTTTCTGGTCTGGTGAGTGGCCCTGGGTGATACCAGCATTGTGATTCGCGCCCTCGGCGTTGGCAGGATGCGCAGAAGGGCTGTTTGTGGTCACATCTGGTCTTGCCCTTTCGGCATGGCTCACATGAGGCTAGTGAGCGGTTGCGTCGGCGGCTAGGAGTTGACATTTCAAGTCACTCCGAATGGTTGACCATGCGAGGAGTGGGTGATGGGAGACCAGTTGATACAGTCGGTACGTGATTCTAACGGACGGACTGGGTATATCACGTGATCAAAAACATTGGCGATGAGGTGCAATATTGAGGGTTCACAAGGAGTTGGAATCGTAGAAAAACAATCTTAAATTTGAAAATACATCGGGTATGAGGGTGATTGAACAGAGAGAAAACGGGACAAGTTGTAGGCACAGACTGTTATGTGTAAAGATAACATGGCATCCGTATGCCGGACTTTTGGTATGTATCGGACATGTATCGGACTTGTATCGGAGTGTCCAGACTAGGCCAATTCGTTTACGCAGCGTGGACTGACCCGATTCAGATGAACCAAGTAATTCAGAGAGCCTGCGCCTATTTTCCATTTTATTTTAATCCAGAAGCCGCAGGTCTTTCACATAGGTTTGTAAGGTATTTTCATGGGGTTGGCTAGAGGTACTACCAAGCCTTGCCATGGTGGCATTTGAAGCTTGTTCGCCACAGCTACCAAAGTTCTAGTATGGTTCCATATTGTTAATTTGAACCAATCGCCGTTCGAGGATCACATTATGGATCACATGTGCAGAGCGCGATAATGCTCAGTCTTGAAAATACATTTCTCAAGTTCCCAGAGTGCAGTCCTGTGAGTGCACCGGTTGTCAGGGCGACAAGGTAGTCGTCCAAAGCTACCCCGCACTTTACTAGCAAATATATATCTGCAATTCGAGGCTTTCAAACAAACCCCGGGATCTCACTTCTAGAATTGCGACAGCACCCGGGGGGGGGGGGCACCGTGGAGGCATCTAATCAATCTGCCACGACAGATTCATACCACTTGTGAAGTAAGTACGATCTTACTCGAATGAAGTTCTGTCCAAGCCACTGACAAGGAAAAAATAAGATGTGCCAGCAGAACTATCGTATCTACACCTGCGGATGTAAGAGAGACGAGGCGTTCATCCAATGCCCAGACAGGCTGGGCACCAACGTCAAGTGTGCACCACTTAAGCCTCATCGACTTCCAGATTCAAGACACATGTGCTTCAGACACATGATCCCACCCGGGTGTGGCCCTATGAAAGTGCCAATTTTGCCTAAAAATCCAGATCCATCGGAAAAGTGAATGCTGCAAAGGCTGTGCGAATGTGGTTTTCGAGTGGACGACCTCCTGTCCAACAATTTGGCCATATTATTCCAAATGACAGCTTGTCTTGCACCGGAAATTTATTCATCCTGACGTAATGGTGATTTCAAAGCAGTCAGATGTTGTCCGGTCTATCACCAATCAGACAGGGACGGGGCGTACGTGGCCGAGTTCGAGAACAGCTAGAGACAAGCGGCAACCCGGACCCGAAAAGGAAGTTCCGGCAGCGCTGCTTTGCATTTCATTTCCAGTGATTAAACGGGATCCTTGGGGTTCGTTTAAGTGCCGATGTCGCTCCGATGCGTATGGGACGACGAGCTATGTTAGGGAAAGCTATGGCTGGGCAGACGACATTTTTGCTACATGTCCTTTGTCTCGGTCTTCCTGCCGCGCTTCTGTTAGACAATTCTGGCAGGTGAGTGTAACGCCGAGGTCCGTGTGTTCCCAAGAGGCACTAAATCTGGAGTCCATTTGCGGAGGTGTCCTGAGCGAGCCTCGTCGACATCTCTCTTCCCCGTGTTGCTCGTCATTGCATCCTATGTCGGGTCCTTTCGGAATGCCTTATGGACATGCCGTAGCTTTAACTTTGGAAATAGACTTCGAGAGACCAAATAAGCATATATTGCTCCGAGTAAACGTGGATGTCGGGTCAATAATACCAGGCGATGCTTGACCTGTCACGTTCGCGGGAAAACGGCAACTCGGGCGAGATGATGCAGTGGCGGCCAGCCCAATGCATTTTTTGTTGAGCGGTGCCAATTGACAATGATAATCAGCCGCCAGATCGCCTTCCACGCACAGCATATGAACAGCTGAACGGATAGCACAATTACGTGATGCCAACGCGTGATGCTCACAACGGAAGGTGGCCGATGGCAAGTGGAGCCAGAAACGGGACCCGAATTCCATCCCACGTCGCCTCCACCACTCGATCCCAGCAGTCTCAGCAGCCCCAGCAGTAACCAAGGTTTCCCCGAAACCTCATTGCGACCCCCATTGCGACCCCCATCTGGCCCTACCTTCACCCGCTGAGCGATCCACCGGCGCCCCAGACTGGCCCCCGGATTGGATCCTGGGACTTTCTCCGAGGCTTGGCAGGGCAAGGCCCGACTCTTGGCGCACGCGAAACCCTAAACAAGCCTCTCAAAGCTTTCGGTTTCGCCTCTCACCAGCAATTGCCCCGTTCCTTATAGGCTGCCCAGCCCGAACCGATCGGAGCCCTACGCACCCCAAGCTCGACCCTGCGAGCTTGGCCGATGAAACCCGAGACTTGGCTGCGTCAAACTTTCCACTACCGGCTGTCAATGCCCGGGGGATCTGGGGATAGCATCAAGAAAGAGCCATACTCGGTCACCCGAAGAGATGTTCAATCTTCACCGGCAGGCCCGTGAGTCTCTGTTCTATCACTGACACACCCGGTTGCTAAACAAGTAGTCGGGCCGAATTGTGCTGGCGCGTGACCCTCGGCTGGGGAAGGCTTACCCCGAAACAGCCACTGGCCCCGCTGATCAGTCAACTCCGGGCTGATTCCGAATGTCGGCATTCCTGCCACCGCAGGACGAGTATGTACATACCTAAGGGTACCGTTCGGTACACTACTATGCGCTGGTGGGATCCAGCCACGAGGTACGGCTTCCCCTCACACACAGAACCAGTCTTGGCCCGGAGGCTCGCGGGAGCGTCTAAAGGGCCGATGCTCACCGACGGGGGCTAAAACCGAACCTACAACCCTCCTGGGGTACAGCGATCCCAATGAAGTCGGGGCTGCGGACCAGTAGAATCCGGCTGAGAAAAAAACTTGCGACAACGCAGACTGGATCTGCCTCACTTACCCACCAGCACGTAATTAACCAGTCCACTCTGGGAATGAAGGCAAATTTTCTTCGTTCTGCGGGGTCTCCACGAATATCATGGGGTTTCTCCAACCGAGACCAGGCCAGTCGTTGGGATATTCTGTGGCCCTGACCGGGACACTTAAAATCTTTCTTCTCCCCCTCTATAGCTCTTCCTCGTCACACACCTGCATTCCTGTTTTGCCTTCCATGCCCACACTATTTCGGGGCAAGGCGTTGCGCCTCGCCCAGGCGCTGCTCATTGTTGCACCGGCCTTCATTGTTTTCGGCTACAACCAGTCAGGGCTGGGCCCTCTGGCCACTTTGCAGAGTTGGGTCGGTATCTTCCCACAGATTGATACCGTCAATACCGAGGGTGCAGAGAAATCCAAGAACTCGACCAGCAAGGGTGCCGTGATTGCATCTTTCCAACTCGGTGCCCTGGTTGGTGCCTTGCTGTGTATGGCCCTGAGCGACCGGTTGGGTCGTCGGAAGACTATTTTTTTGGGTGCCATCCTTACCATCATTGGACAAATTTTGCAGACCACTGCCTATGGTCTTCCTCAGTTCGTTGTTGGCCGTGTGATCCTCGGTCTCGGTGTTGGCAAGTTTAGTGTCGCTGTTCCTGTTTGGCAGTCTGAGTGTACATCCGCAAAGCACCGTGGACAACACGTCGTCGTCGATGGTATCTGTATCTGTTTGGGTTATGCCCTCTGCAACTGGATTGACTTCGGCCTGAGCAAGGTTGCTGGCACTCTGCAATGGCGTATGCCCTTGGTCATCTCCTTCTTCTTCTCTTTCATCGTCCTAGCATCGGTCTTCCTGCTTCCCGAGTCTCCTCGATGGCTCGTCCGTATGGGTCGCATTGAAGAAGCTACCAGCAGTCTCGCTGCCTACAAGGGTCTCCCCGATGACGACGAAGCCGTCCGCGTCGAAATCGCCGGTATCGAGACCTCCCTTGAGATCAGTGTCGACAATGCTTCGTTGATGGACCTCTTCAACCCCAAAAAGCCCGATGATGAACGCCTCCTATATCGATTCTGCCTGGTCATCTGGCTGCAGTTCGTCCAGCAGATGTGTGGTGGTAACCTCATCAGTACATACGTCTCTACCATCTTCGAAGACAATCTCTACCTGGGCAGCGACCTGTCCCGAATCTTGGCATCCTGCGCCATGACCTGGAAGTTCCTGTGCAGTTTCATCGCCTTCTTTGCCATCGACCGTCTCGGTCGCCGCAAGATCTTCATGATCAGTGGTGCCGGTATGTCCATCTGCATGATCGTCCTTGCAATCACCAACAGCTTTGGCAAGAACCACACTGCGTCCATCGTGTCGGCTGTCTTCATCTTCCTTTTCAACTCCTTCTACCCCGTCGGCTTCCTGGGCGGTAACTTCCTCTACTGCACCGAAGTTGCTCCCATGCGTTTGCGTGTCGCCATGGCTGCCATTTCGACCGGAAACCACTGGCTGTGGAACTTCGTTGTCGTCATGATCACCCCCGTCGCCCTCGATACCATCGGATACCAGTACTACATTGTGTATGCCGTTATTTCTGCCTGCATTCCCATCACTGTCTACCTCTTCTACCCCGAGACCATGAACCGCAACCTCGAGGCCATTAACAGTGTCTTCCGCGATGCTCCTACGCCTTGGCACATTGTTTCTATGGCCCGTAACTTGCCCCAGGGTGAGGCTGCTGAGGTCGAGGTGTGGAAGCACGACGAGAAGAAGCGTGCTATTGAGCATGAGGAGGACGCCTAAAGATACAAATTTTCCTTTTGAGCGAATCAGTGCAACTATAAATAGTTTTCTATTGTGATGATGATGATGATGAAGTGATATTGACTAGAGTTTCTGTCGAGGACTCATAATTGGATATACCATGATTGAATATACAACATTATGTATCAAAATTTCGTTCTCCAGTTTCCACCAGTAACATGTGAACCTTGAATAGTCGGAATATACTTTTAGATCAGCGCTACATAACGTTTTGGCGTAATCACAGCCCTAAGACGACCCAGGGGTTGGTCTATGGCTCTGCATAACCTCCTCGCACAAGATACTCATGGCAATAGAAACCCAAGAACATAGTCGAATACTTAACTTAGGATACCTGATCAACGGTCGATCCAACGATAGAAACAACTTTATTCGATCTCCAGACCAACATCCATGAGGGCACATGACCGGTTAGATAAGCGCGCTTGGATAACTAAAACATCGACACAGATTTGTGCTACCTAAGAAGGCTCTTTTTCGCGGAAAAGCGAACTCATAAACGAGAAATCTTCGTATCAAACGTTTAGTTCAGCTGCTTTCAATGTCGAGATCTCTGATAGACCTGGCATGGTATTGTCAGGATCTTTTGACGGCCCGCTAGCCAAGCGCTGGTATCTCTGATCATTTAGCTGAACCCAGCTGTCGGATGTGTCGCGATCGTGTGGGATGCCTGAAACTTGTCGGCTGTTGTCATAGCCCCTTCCAAATGGCCTTATAAAGCCGTCTGTTCGATTGATTGAAGCATGTTCACTATATGAATCTGACTGTATTGCATCTACTTGCCTAAACTCTGCCTATTCTTGACCATGTTCTTAACATACTTTGTCGTCGCAAGTTTGTTGGTGGCTGTGCCGTCAGCCCCTACATCCCTAGAAGATGAAAAAGGTCGAAAGACACATGGTGTCAACGTTATTGCTCCGATAAACGTGCCCAGCGCTTCTCCACAACAGCCTGTTGATCGAGGATTTTGTGGCCTTGCATCCGAGGCAAGATCTTTTTATGAGTATATGGGTACGATGGGTACTTTCGATGTTGAGAATGATTATACATCTTGGAATGAAACTGATAGTTTTCAGACACGCCTGAGAAACCCAATCAATTCTCGATGAATATGATCAATGCCATTTCAGAACGAACCAAAGTCCAACTAATCGTCAGAGTTGGAGGAACATCACTGTACGTCAACGCACAGTCCAGGAATCCTTGTACTACTACTATTTGCAAGAATTTTGACTAATGTACATTTTTAGGGATGCTTCTATGTACAATAGATCGCAAGAACAGGCGATTGATATCCCCAAAGACCAAGAAGGACAAGGAGTTCCACGACACATGAAACTCGGCCCATCTTACTTCGACGCATTCAAAGTCCTTCCGAGAAGCCGCTACATATTGGACATTCCGCTTGCGGAATAGTCTGAAAATAAAAGTATCCAGTTCGCGAAAGATGGATACGAAAAGATTGGGGCTGAGAATATCTTCGCTCTGGAATCGGGAACGAGCCCAATCTTTACCCTAACAAGCGCCGACCCAAAACCTGGAACGTGACAGACTACACAAAGCAGTGGTCGAAATGGTCTGCTGATATTTCCAAGGCCCTGGGTCTTCATGCTAGCAGCCAGGTCTATCAAGGCTTTACGCTTGTTTCGAAGACCAAGAGGATCTTGCATGGCCAGAAGCCGGTGGAGGACTGGTCGATGTTCGTATCTCCCAACTGCCATGATTGAGGCATTCAGGCTGACAGAACATAGTGAGGATGCTTGGAACAAAGGGTTGAAGGATATTTCGGATCGTATCAAATCGATCTCTATGCACTAGTGAGTCGGAATTCATACCCGAAATGACATGAGGCCGCGCTAACCTGACTAGCTATCAAATCGAGAATAGCAAATATCAGAACCACGAAGCAGTCCTCAAATTGTCACTCTATATTAAATATGCAGCCCACTTCCTCAGCAAACAAAAGCCCGCTATTCCCCTTGCACTGGCCGAGACCGCAGTAGCAATTGGAGACGGCGACACTGAACCTCTCGGGTCCACCCTGATCGGCGTCGACTTCATGCTTCACACAATGTCCATTGGCGTCAATCGAATCAACTACCGGTCTGGCCTCAACTATGGGTTTAATCTCTAAGACATCGACTATAAACCTCTCAGCATTGCACGGGTCCGATAGTTGTTTGCTGCTGACTTCATTGGCACGAGTGGCAAGACGAGGGTCTCGCAATTCGACACGGGTTTAAATAATCTGACTGCGTACGGGGCATACGATGGTGGAAAATTGGCGAGGATTGCGGTCACGAACTTGATCCAATCACTTCGAAGCAAAGTGTCGCGCTGAACTTGGGAAATTCCTCTCGAGTCAAAGAGGTGATGGTCGAGACTCTTAAGATTTCTTCTGACTCGAGCGGCGACAATCGCTTGGACTGGAATGGAATGGTCTGCGGAGAACCAAGGTATTGGAAAGAAGGTCTCCAATGAGTCGCATTCTTTGTCTGTGAAAAATTGGTGTTCTGGAGATGGATGTTGGCGGCCGGTCGGCGGCTATCGCAACATTGAAGTAAGAGGCAGTCATTGGTCATGGCGGCACTCTGCGCTCTGAATTTTACATCGGATTTGCCGAACCGAATGACATAGCAGTTTCATTATTCGGACTAGGAAGTGTGTCGATGTGCCATCAGGACTCGTCCTTCTTGACGGGATGTAGGATTTCACCTGATGGCAGCGGTCCGCACCATCCATATGTATCGCATCGACATTGCTCAAAGCGTGGGCAGCTACAATGGAAGTTTCGAGGTCAGTCAAAAGAGGCTTCGAAAAGAAGCTTGATTTTGGCAAAATGAGCCAGGACCAACTTACTAAACAGTACTCATGCCAAAGATAATGTGCCACACTTTTTCAAGGACCCAGCCCACGCCGTAGTCATTCGTCAACTCTGTCATTGCAGCCCAGTTCAAGATGCGCTGGTAGTCCTCTTTCGGTCGAGCCAAAATTCGTTCTCGGCTGACGGCAAACTGTCCACAGCACACATTGCCTATTTCGCCAGGTACCTTTTCAATAGGCACATCGAAAATCTCTTGGTATGCATCGGCAAAATATGCTCGGATATCATGGGCATCGATATCGGACTGGGTTGGGCTAAGTGGATACACGCTGGCAGGGCAGCCTGGGTTGAGCTGACATCGAAGATTGACATATCCCAGGGCATCCACAGACTCGTATCGAATATTTCTCAGGGTATTCTGCGTCCAAGGCCCAAACAAATCATTATGCCACTGTTCCGGGTATGCGTGTATGAAGAGCGAGTAATCCGGCAGGTTGTCGTAGAAATCGATAATGTAGGATAGGTAGGCGGGCGACTCGCGACCTCGACGGGTTGGAGAGACAAGGAGTCCTGGTTCGGGGGTCTTTTCGGTGGTGTAGATGAACGGCGTAGATCCTCTGCGCCGGCTGTGAGTATTTCGAGGGTTTCTTTGTCGGCAGGGGACCTCTTACGCTTCCTTGCAGTAAGCGAGCAGCCAGGTCAGATCATCGCTGCGCTGTGAAGCCAGCACTAGACCGACGCTGGAGTTCACCGCAAGTGAGGTATACGCTTTCCTGAGACCGACGAGCTCTTGGACGATGGCGTGGCGAGGGCCGCCTGGTCGATCTGAATTTCAAATCTTCGTTAGCGAATACATTCGCGAAGCCGGTCGCAGCAAAGTCTGACCCCTGTATTGATCACGCCAGAGCGGCACTTGATCTCGAAGATATAGGTATGAGAGTAGTATGACAAGGACAAGCGCTGAGAACGCGATCACTGCCCTTCTAGGAATGAAGCGGCACAATGGGAATGATTTGCGCATCCTTGACGATCTTCTCCCCTGAAGAGTGGAGGGAGCAGCATTCTTATTTATTGCGGGGGGAATGTCTAACAATGAAAGCCTGACGCGCTACGGGCTGACTGGTCGACCAAGCCCTGGGCAAAAATATTTGTCTTGGCTCTAATTTGCTATTAGACAGGTTAAAAATTGGATACCAAACTGATAGGTGTGCGCCAAATTCAAGTCTGGCTTCCGTAGAGCGCCGCGCCTAAGGCGCCAGGCTATTCTTCAGGACTCACTATTGACGAAACTAACTGCGAACAGTTTAGGTCGAACTGAAAAGGTGAAATCGCGATGCCCGAGGTGGAGCCAATCGCTACAAGAGGCCAATCATTGGCCCGATACCGCCAGCTTTATCAAACACCATGCCCAGTGATGGGCCAATCATAGCGCAGATCCCAGATGGTGTGTCCCAGATTGGTTCGCCATCAGCGTCAAAGATGACTCTAAGTGGCGATTATCTCCGACAGCAGCAGCAACATATTCTACACTCTATTTTTGGCTGGTTGGGCGAACGGTGGGATGTGAACGGACAGTTCTCGAGAAACTCAGGAATTTTCAGAATACAGCCTTCAGCCTCAAATTTACTTGGAAATAGTACGCGTGTGCCTCGGAAGTAAATCGCCAGTCTGACAAGCAGATCTCGCGGTTTTCGACAATAACTATACAATATCGCATATCTCCAGCTCAACCTCACAAATAGGCTTTGTACGCCTGGGGCCCCACAACCCTTGGTCATTTTGAACCACGCGCTTTTTAACCTACAGATTATGCTTATATGGAAGACGATAGGAGTAGCACCGCTTAGACGAGGGATTCTTCAATAAGTATATTGGAATAAGTGGGCGTATTTATTGGTTGGTGAAAGTACACTAGTGTATTCATGGATCTGATTACTGGCAAGTGACTTGTACAAGCTGTCTTAAGTCTCGATGCATGCAATGACAAATTTACATTACTGGTCAAACCCGTCTTTATTCATCACTCTTGCCGTAATTAATTCTGTTTGCAAGCTGCAGCTCTTCTCAATGAGCAATTCTTAGTGTAGTAGCATAAGATAGCTTTTTAAGCAATTAGATATCAAAATTAATACTGTGCGACCAACCCCGGACGTGTATCCAACCCGGGACACTCTTCACTCCTGATATCCGTAATTTTATCATACGGATACGGAATCGTCCAGATCATATCGAATCTAGGAAGGAGTCAGCCACAATTCCCAGCAACTTCATGATTCGGAAGCAAAACAAGCCAGCTGAAGACCGATCGTGCCAAGACACTGGGATTGCCAATACCGATAGCTCCGGCACTAACGCAAGGACCAAACCAGACCGCCTGAGAGAAGGGAAAAAAAACAAAACAGAATGAGAGTCAAATCTCGCTTACCGGTCGTCGGGGTACACAAGTGGATCTGTTGAGCCCAAGAACTCCTGGATATCGGGAATGTTTTTGTGTCGCCACGCGATGAGGAGGTTCCCGGGTCCTTCGAAGGATCGAATCGCGTCGGCAACGCACTCGGCCTTCTTGCGGGAGCAGTGTGTGTCGACTTCGAGACCGAGGTCTGTAGCGAGGGGAAGGACGGTTTTCAATGCTCTGCCGTGTTCGCCGTCTATGAAAATGGATTTCGTTAGTTTGGGCTCATTTGATTGCGTGTAAGGCTGACCGGTTTCGCGACTTACTCCATTTCACGGTTGGCGCCATGATATGCGAAATGTTGTATTTCGACTTTGCGCCGAAAACTGTGCGCAGACATTGCGCCCGTCGCACGCCGTCTAGGGTAAGATCATGGTCGTCTGGATTGGCAGGTTTCTCGCCATGGCGAATCAGGTACGCCGTCGGGTACTCCTTTGCGAACGCGACAGTCGTCCAGATAGAGAAAAAGAGAAGAGCTGAGCGCAACAACATATTGAAATTAAATCCGGGGGTTTCAGAAAGAATTTGGCGCTAGAAGAACAGAGCGCAAACAAAAATGGATTTCATATAAGCTTAAAAAGCGCGGCCCAAGGTCCTCTCCGATCGGCCGTGCGTTCTCCCTTATATACGGAGTACGGTTTCCCTCCTTGAGATCTGTCTGACCCATCGCTTGTCTTGTTGTGCAGAAGAAGAAAAAAAGAAATTAAATGCTGGCGGGTGGATCAGCAGGACGCCTCGTTCAATAAGTGAGCAGCAGATGGGGCATTAGGGATGGAAGTGCATCGAGGAGTGACAAGGTGTTCGTGCAGGGGCGGTTGTGATTGGGCCGTGGCTGATGAACTATTATCGCATCCACTCGGAATGCCCACTTCCTCCCGTCGATCGGGCTGGCTGGCATTATTATTGCAGAGCTGAGGGATTGCCGCTGCAGGGGATGGCCACCAGTCTCATTTTTGAGGGTTGGAGGGCGGCCAGCTTGGTTGGTGTGTTGACGTGTTAAAAGTGTCGAAGGCTTGCGCAACCCTGTTATATATCAACTTCCAATTAGTGGCCATGGGCTTGCCAGCGCAACTGAAAATGACTAGAAGGGCCGCCACAAAAGTGAAAAGGCTAGAAACATATTTGATCGATCAAGTGGGAGAGAATCCTGGAAATACGAGATTTCATCCTTGAGGCCGGAGGGTGAGAAATCGCAAGGGTCTACGGTTGAGAGATCAAGATCGCTCAACTCGGCCTAGAGTATTCCCGTGCCGATTCAAATATTTGCGACGCGATACCAATACGGAGGAAATGCCCAAAAAATCACCAACGCTAGTCTTTTCAGGGGCCTGGACAAGATGTTGGTCCACCGCTGTCACCGGATCAATCAGGCCGGCGGACAGGACAAGTCCGCCGTGTGACAGAAGGCGGCGGCTGATCCTCGACTCGTGCTAATGCAGTGTTTGAGCGCAGAGTGATTTTTTAAAAAGGACATTACCGAATGGATTTCAGCCCAGCGACAAAACTCTCAATCTTCAGCCTTCGGGCGGAGTCAAGCTTTCGTTGGCGGTCGCAGAGAGTCTCCTGATTAGGCTGATGATCCCGACCTTCAGGCCTTGCAGCACACCATCGGCCCCCAACACCCCGGATGGTTGGCTGTCCGGGGTCAAAAGAATCGCTCCGGACATATGACAGTTGCGTCATACTGTATCGGACGATCCGAAGCGTGTACCCCTCTCCTGGTGTCTTCGAGGTGTTTTGCTTGTGTTCAGCCACCTGCCAGACCCGACGGTGACTGGCAGAGCCACCAAGAGGGAGAAAACTCGAGAGGCTGGTGGGGACCGAGGAGTTGCACTGGGCCAAGAGAAACCATGGAGCGAGGGGCTTAGTTTCTGCTAGGCAGCCAGAATAAATCTCAGCTTGCCGCGATGGTCTGTACGCCGAGGACGCTGGCGGGTGAACCCTCTTGGCGCCACGCAGGTTGCGTCAACTTGATGGAAGGCGCGAGATGGGCCATGGAACATTCGAAGCATGATGGAAGCCGGAGATCGCAGCGCACTGCTATTTTCGGGACGGGGATACGCGGCCGCGTAGCGCACGATTTAGCGGATTTGGTGGCTCAGCCCTGTAGGACCTGCATAGCCACAGCAGTAAGTGGCATGGAGTGCGTGAAGAGTGCCGGGCGGTGCAGGACGACTTCGGAGCATACAGCGTTCCGTACTGTACACTAGTGTAATGAAGTGAATTACTGTGGCGGTGCTCATGGTGTGTAGGAGGAACCGGTAATGTTCGCGGCCAAGGCTGAACTGTGCCTCGAGGTGTGGCCATGTGGGGTGCTTCCGTCAGCCCTGCGGCTGCCGGTCATTCCGTATAAGAGGGTCATCCTCCCCCTCATCTTCTCTCCCATCACTTCTCTCCCATCCACATCCACCTTCACTTTCACATCTCTTTCCGATCTCTTACTTTACAACACAATGTCCGGTTACGATCAGTACAACCAGGGCTACGGCCAGGGCGGCTACCCTCCCCAGGGCTATGGCCAGCAAGGTTACAACCAGCAGCCGTATGGTCAGCAGGGCTACGGCCAGCAGCAAGGCTACGGTCAGCCCCAGGGTGGTGCCTCTGACTACTACGGTGGCCAGCAGCAGCACGGCTACAACCAGCAGCCCTATGATCAGCAGACTCAGTACGGCGAGGGCCAGTATGGCCAGCAGCACCACCAGTATGGCGAGAACCCCCAGTACGGCCAAGACTCCTACCGCCAAGGGTATGCATTCCACCCCCAACCCCCATTTCTTCTATCTCTACAGATTGCTAACTCTCTTGTTCAGCGGCCATGACCAGCAACAGCAGGGTGCGCCCGGTGAGGCCCAGGAGGGCGAGCGTGGTCTCGCTGGTGCCCTCGCCGGTGGTGCCGCCGGTGGTTTCGCCGGCCACAAGGCCAACCACGGCTTCCTTGGAACCATTGGTGGTGCCATAATCGGTAGCATCGCTGAAGACGCCATCAAGAAGCACAAGAGCCGCGACGAGAGCCCTGGCGGCCCCCCTCCCCCCGGCTATGGTGGTGGCTACGGCGGTCCCCCTCCTTCCCACAGTGGTAGCTCCAACAGTATGATGGATCAGCTTGGCGGTTTCTTCAAGAAATAGAGGACGATCTTCTTTTTGCGGCTCTTCTCATCTCTGCGCCTATGACATTTCAACCGTGACGACTTTGCAACGCTCATGAATTTCCTTTTTGTGTTTTCTTTTACGGGGACGGCTGCATGTGCTTTTGCCAGATCGATCATATCAACCTTGCCTGGCCTTTTTCTATTCTTTCATCGCCTCGGATTGAGGAATGTATCATGACACAGACTTGCATCAGTATTGGAGACTACCCTAGCTCTCAGCGATTCTAATCAGATCTTCATTCTTTAAATCATCGATCTGCATGTAAAATATAATGATTTTGTAATGATCAACAAGAACATTTGCCACCGCGGGGCTAAGGCTCCAGTCTCCGGGCACTTACATCACGTGAGTTTCGTGACTCAGGCCACAAACATCAGCTGGTGCCTCAGGCTTGAATACGCTGTGCCAAGACCGACAAAAGTTGGCGCGGATTGACTCTTCGACACGCAGCAACTGCTCGGCCAGTCCAAACCACAGCACAGCAAGCATGATTGTCCGGAGATTTGGAGTGCGGCACAGTGAGTTTCTCCAATTGAGCACAGTATTCCGCCCTCGTTCATCGACTAACTCTGCTTCCCGCCCAGGCCGCCAATTGCTCGCCCTGAGTCGCCGGTCTCCGATCTCAAGTCGCTTTCTATCCACCGAAGCCCCAATCACAACACAAGCTGAGGCCACTGTTGAGTCGACAAATCCTCTCCATGAGGTGGTCCAAGCCACACAAAACCCCAAGAGCCTCGCACAGAAGCAGTTCAGGAAAGAGGAGCAGCAACGTGAGCACATGCCCGATTCCTCAAATCCTCTCCGCAAGGGACTGAAAAAAGGCCGTAGTTTCAATTAACACACCTCCGTTCTACAGGAAACAAATTCAACAAACTCGGCAGCTCCGTCACAGAATCCCATGACCCCGAAGGCATCCTCAGGAACCCACCCCGTCCCTCCGACATCACCTTGGAACTCCTCCTGGCAGCAGGTACACACCTGGGCCACTCAACCTCGCGCTGGAACCCCCAGAACTCGCGATACATCTTCGGTATCCGTGAGGGTGTGCACATCATCTCGCTCGACGTGACAGCCGCGTACCTGCGTCGTGCCGCAAAGGTCGTCGAGGAAGTCGCCGCGCGCGGCGGAATCATTCTTTTCGCTGGTACACGAAAGGGTCAGAAGCGGTCGATTGTTCGTGCTGCTGAGCTGGCGGGCGGATATCACATCTTCGAGCGGTGGATCCCGGGCTCCCTGACGAACGGACAGCAGATTCTGGGCCACTGCGAGACAAAGGTTGTGAATGCTTTGGATGAGGAGTTGCCCGAGTTCAAGGCGGATCTTGCGGATCGGTCGTCCATTAAGCCTGATCTGGTTGTTTGCTTGAACCCACTGGAGAACGTTGTTTTGCTGCATGAGTGTGGATTGAACAATGTTCCGACCATCGGTATCATTGATACTGATGCGGACCCTACTCGTGTCACATACCCTATCCCCGCGAACGATGATTCCCTGCGCGGAACCAATCTGATTGCCGGTATCCTTGGTCGCGCTGGCGAGGCGGGTCAGAAGCGACGCTTGGAGATGGCTCGTGAGGGCAGGACTCTTTACAAGCCCATCACGGCTACTGAGCTGCGTCTGGATCCGTTTACGGGTCAGACCGCTCAGACCGCTGGTGGTGAGCAGGCTAAGGAGCAGTCTGCGCCCCAGACCAAGCGGGAGTAAACAATATCTTGGTGGCTTTTGCATTTTCATTTTGTATGTGTATGGCATCCGGGCGACTTGCGTGAGCGTCGGACCTTTTTGTACTGTATAGATGATTCCAAGTCGAGGGTGTTATCTCATCGTGTATTAACAATCGCTTTTGATATTTTGAATACCTCCGAAGGATACTATTAAATCTATTCCTAAACAAATTCTGGGCGCGGAATTGTGCCTTATCCATGAATGAATTCAGTCCCTAGCAAAAATGAATAGCATAACAGCAATACAATTGCCGGGGGTCATGGATCCGACCCGTACTAAGCTAAGCCGGAACTACGTCTGCCGCATTCCCCTGCAAGCCTTCTCCGCATCGCCTCCGCCTTTCCAACGAGATGACAAGACGCATTATATTGGATGCCATGGGTTGGGGCCTCTGTGTTTGCTAATACTCTACCAAGTACCCAAGCGCACCCAAAATTCCCCATTTACCAGTCCCTTGCACCTCATCATCAAACCAACCAACTGGCCACACTCAAAATGCGACCCCTCAAGTTCCTCATGCTACCAACAATCCTTTCTCTGGCGACAGGGCACATCCGCAGACTGTCCCGCCAACTGGCTAGAAAATAGCTTCCATGTCACACGCTGCTGCTACGGCAACATGGTCGTCGCTGAGAAAGGCGCCTACTGCTGCGTCTACGACCTAAGACCACCCACCGAGACGACAACCGCCAATACCGCGACCACCACTTCCGAAACCGACTGGTCCACGGTTAACGAGTCGTGCGTTGCGAAGGTTCCTTTCACGGCCAGTGACTACTCAAGTCAAGTTTCGTCGGCATCCAGCAAGGCCGTGGCTAGTACAAATGCCTCGAGTGGCAAGGTGACTAGTACGGATACTGCAGCAGCTGCAACCAGAACTGGCTCTGGCTTTAGCTCGTTTGTCGGCTCGCAGACACCTTCTACGACTTCGAATGGGGCAATTCCCATTGCCACGGCGCAAGAGTTTGTGGCTGGGGGTGCGGCGATTGCGGCGGCACTTTTTGTGCTGTGAGGATGATGCTCCCGCATTTATGTATTGGAATGCGCCGAGGATCCAACGCTTGGTCTACGATATGAAAACTTGACGTATTTAAGATGAGGCCCTTGAATTCTGTCGCAACCCTAGGTGTAGTGGATATATATTGTTGAGGTTCCAGGATAGGGCACCAAATTGATGCCTCATTCCCAACCTCTGTCGGCATGCCTGTCCAGGGAAACCGGAGGCACTGAGCTTGATATGCGCTTCAAGCACTCTTGCCACCATTATTCTACATTCGGGAGATCTTCATGGAAGAACCACGATCGAGACCGATTATGAGGGATTTACTACTGTCAGGGGCTTGCCGCCCGTTCAGGGATAAATAACCCCAGAATCGCATGTAGACAGTTCAACACAACACAGTCAAGTCAAAGTTCTGCCAATTCATTAAGGTCGATTTGTCTAGCAGGCCCTCATTCTATATTCAGTGCTTCGTCGTAGCCCATCTCAACATTACTTCAACCAATGGAATCGCAAGAGTCTGAATTGCTGTGTAGCCTCTATCCGGCAATTTATGGGGCAAGCTGACTAATACAAACAATCGGCGATTTAGATAATCCACCTCCGAGCTATGGATTCCAACAAATTCATTCGATCACGTTGATTGTATGCGACAAATTATGTACTTGTCGAGTCGACCCTGATACGAGAAAATTCTTCTCTACCCGACCCGAAGAGCCTCAAATGCACCGGGGAGATTCAAAAAGCAGGGAAACCACTGGCAAAGGAGCGATGTTGCATCCCGCTTTGCGGCATCCAGTATTACTAAAATATACTAAAAACCTTGGCGGAGGTCAAGTCAACCCTTGTCCATCAGGTTCTTCCGCCAGCCAATCGTTTTGTCCGACAAAGATCTCTTACCAGTCGCCCCCAATTTTAGCGCCCTCCTGGCTGGGAATTTTTCAATTGAGGGAAGGCTCGACCGCACTCATGGCCAAAAAAAAATCAATTTTAGGCTTGGGACATAAGCCACATCTCTCGCCGTACGTCGTGAAAGTCTTGGAAACCCCATTGCGCATGTTCGACCTTACAGGGCATCATCAAAATGCAGCAACCTAATTTGCTGTCGAGCTTTGCGTTGCTCGCGCTTATCGCCGCTCCTTCCGCTGCCTCGGAGGAAACTAAACAAACCATTGTGAGAGTGAGCAAAAACAAACCCGCAACGTTGTTTCTGACGAACCAAGTAGACTGTTCCATGGGTTGGATATGAGGGATACGCCCCGAATTACTTCAAAGACTACGAGGTATGGGAGGCTGGCTCGGTATGACTCCTACCTGGTTCAAAGATTGAGTAGTGAGTTAATCAATGCAATAGGATGGTGAGAAAACAACCTACACGATCGCCTGTCCTTCCAACGTGACATCCTGCATCGATTTCCAACCGTACCCAATGACAGTCGTCATTGCGCCAAACTGTATGCTTATTCTCAATCCCGTCCCAGCATCCTATAACTGAGGAAAGCCCAGCATATAATGTCCAATTGGACGCGGTCTGGTCGTAAGTTGACCAAATCGAAATTTTGGGAACCCCTAACTGATCGCTTTCAAGAACCTCAAGCTCTGGCTGCACATTTTCCGCCGGCCCAACCCCTACAGCCGCGTCGTGCTCTTACACAGAGTCGTATAACTTTGGAACTCGCACTCACACGACAACTGACAGCTACCACGTTCCGGATGAGTCGGTTTTTGAAACCATTGTGTCGGAAACTTTGGTCATTGCGGGTACCGGACATGCTACTACTACCGACTCAGTCTCTTCGACTGCAATTGTGACTGCCGCTATCGCTAGCGGAGGCTCTGAAACCTCGAGCGCTTCAGTCGGTGCAAGTGCGTCGCAGGGCAGCACCGCGAGCACGAATGTTGCCTCTACTACTACTTCCAGTAATTTTGCAGTCAAGACTCCTGCACGTTTGGTGTTGCCTGCCGTTGGTGGGTGGATTGCCGGGGCTGCGTTGCAGATTTAATTATGTACATCTATTTACAGACGAGGGACTCAAATGACTGTTCCCCAATTGGAATAATTAGTCGCTGTGTTTGGGTCCTGCAGAGTATGGAAGGTTATAGTGGCCAAGGCTCACTTTCCAATTTCAGAAGGGTTTGATGCCTGAATTATAGAAACTTGGAACATTATCTGATAATCGTCATCAAAACAGTCGCCCAAAAAGTCATCTGAACGGTCATCTGAACAGTCGCCTACTTACCTCCACGATTGGTAATGTAGCCACTCCTAATCTTGTACGGTTGACTAAGCTCCAACAATTGTAATGGATACTAAATATTTTCGTGTTTCAAATAGCCTTTCGTCTGCGGATGTTAGATCAGCCATCATTTTAAAACAGGGCATAAATGTGGGCGACAGCGAGTGATAGTGGAGTCGTGCCAATATGATCTTATAAATCAATCATGCAGTCTTTCTGGACGAGCAGCTTGACAACAGCCTCGTGTCCGTAAAGCACAGCCCGAGCCAGTTGTGCTTGATCACAGTCATCCGTGGGGATATTGGAACACACCACCTTGGTTATTGTTGGCTGAACTGATCACAGGCTGAACTGATCACAATATCGCCCAAACGCACTCGAAGACCTGGTCCAGGAACACCACCGCCAATGTCAATAATGAGGCCGATTGTGACGTTGGGAAAGCTATTCAACATGTTCGTCGCCACGCTCGCCGTAGAAGACGTTCCGTATTCATCGTTCGGTAGAACAGCGATCACGACATTGTGAATCCCAATTCTGTTCAATGTGTAGTCGTTCGTGACGTTGATGACATGGACAGTAACCCATCATTTTTTTCATCAGGAAATACTTGAGCAGCGATGTACTAGCTCGTTGTGGCACAAATCCAGCCCATGACGTAGTCTGCAGGGTCTGACAGAATCGCCAACTGCGAGACTTGGGGTAGAATTCGACTAACATCCAAATGGAACTTGCTTTTGAATACATCACATGTCTCATCCTCTTTCCTAGATTCATGCATGAAATTTTACTGATTGGAAATCCAAATCTATGTTCATTCTCTATGTTCTAACCTCATATAAACAGAGACCTACATCTCATGAAAGTGAAGTTTATCAATAGCAAGATCATATCAATCTCAAGCCTTGATGGTATAAACCACCCTTCCACGCGAGACAGTTCCCTTGAGCGAAATCTCCTGCCCAGAGCTAGAAACCACCCGACGAGAATCACCATAATGCAAAATAACATCTAGCTCCTTCCAAGCCGGGACAAAGCCGCTCTTCTCATCACGAACAAAATCAACCAAAACCTTCTCCTCAGTCGAGCTATACCGAAACTTATATGTCGAAGTCTTTGGCTGCTGCGAAATACCATCATCCTCATGCCAGACATTCTCGAAGACGCGGTCGTGCGAAGTTCCCTTGGGCGGGAAGATCTCTACACCACGGTAATCGTCCAGCTCCTTGACGCCCTGCGATGCGGCGGTGTCGTCACCAGGGACGCGGGTGTGCACGCTCTTACCGACCGGAATGGCACCGCCGATTCGGGCAATCAGGGGGATACTCGTCTTCCACTCGGATGGGATGGAGGCCCATTGACCGGAGGCGAGGTAGTTGTAAGGAGCATTGACGTTCACGTAGCCGTAATCGAAGGAGTCGCCGGATTTTCGGGGGAGGTAGATGTCGGCTATGTTGACGCCGGCCTTGTAGACGCCTCCAACGAGAAGGGTGTCCCCGAGCCAAAACTGCTCTTCGCCGGCCTTCAATCTCTTAGACCACACTTCTGGATCAGACTCGTAGCCCCATCCAACCCAGCGTTGGGGCGGAGAAGCCGTCATATGGCTCTCGAGACCCAGTGAGTAGATGTATGGGAGCATCTCGTAGCGGCGCTTGATTGTGTCGCGGACAAGCGGGGTGATATCTGGGTACATAAAGGGCTCAATGACTTCGCCGACTTCATTGTTATCGGGCGATGTCTTGAAGCAGTTGATTGCGAAGCGAGGGGTATGACAACCCAGCTGGATCCAGCGGAGAAGAAGCTCGGGCGAGGGTTGAGGACCTTCGAAGCCACCGATGTCGTGGCCTTCGCATTGTAGAAGGGACATTCCCGCGTTGAGAGACAACGCGTTTGAACCCTTCATGTTCTCCCAGCTGGTGACATTGTCGCCACTCCAGGTGCTGGCGGCATACCTCATAGTACCGGCAGTGGCACTGCGGGTAAGTATAAAGGGCCGGTACTTGGGCTCCATGTCGCGGAGAGCATCGTGAGATGCCTTGCCCATCAGCTCGGTCTGCAGAGCGCGGCCCCACTGTCCGACGTCGTTTGTGACGGCTTTCTTCGCTGCGGAATCAACCATTGCGTCGTCGAGTGCCATTTGCCAGTCATCGTTCGGTAGTGTATATTCATTGTTGTCGTTCCACATACCATCAACGCCGATCTTCTTCAAACCCTGTACTCCCTTGTACCAGAACTTGAAGGCATCCTCAGAGGTGAAGTCGATATGGCAGCCATTACCACCAGTGCCCCCACCTGCACTCCACACGGGCATGTATCCAGGCTCACCAGTCTCGGGATCCTTGAAAAAGCCATGAGCATCAATCAACTGTTTGAATTCGGGATGAGACTCGAGGAGGAAGGGCTTGATGTTGGTGATCAAGCGAATACCGTGTGCGTGCATCTTGGAGATATACTCTTCGGGTTTAGGGAAGCGGCTGTAATTCCAGTGGAATACATTGCGGACTTTGGGCTCCGTTGCGGCGATAGAGTATCCAGAGCTCATCTGGTGACCGGAGCAAGGAATCCCATTCTCCTCCAGCTTTTCCACAAACTCGACAAGAGCTTGATGAGCAGGCGGAGAGTCCAAGCTCGAGTACTTGTATCCACCAGAGATATATCCGTAAGCCCATCGAGGGACTAGAAGAGGGAATCCCACTAGCTCGGCGTATGACCGCACCACTTCTTGAATGTTCTTGCCCACGATCATGTATTGCTCTAAGCCACCGTAGTCCTGACGGTACACCTTGAAGTGACCAAAAAGACCATCAATCTCTGAGCCAATAGCCCAGGTGCCACGACCATGTGTTGTTGAGAAGAGAGCCACGCAGCCCTCTGGGGTTGCCTTGATCAGAAGCGGGATGTGTTTGTAGAGCGGATCGGAGTTGTAGACATCGTAACCGAAGCAATCAGTAGCAGAGAGCTGGAAGTGGCGTCCGCTGAGATCCATGGGTGCACTCTTCTCGCCGAGACCGACATGAAGGGCATTTCGATCGTGTATTGAGTAATTCGCAATGCCACCTGCGTCGGCGACATAGGAGCGCATAGGCAGGTCACGGTGGAGGGGCTTGTCAGAACCAGTCCACGAGAGAGAAACGACAGGTGTGCCCTCCCACTCAATCTTTGCGGTGACGCCGGCAACATCGATTGTCTTGGATGTAGCGCCATCCTTGGAGAATACATTCAGACCTTGGAGATTGGTCTGTGGCTTCTTGACGCTGGGGAAAGGCGGGATGTGATGTTCCGGGGAGGTAAATGTCACTCGGAAGAGGTTCTGGCGGATAGTCTCAAAGGTAAATTCGAAAAGTTCCTTGCTGCTGGAGCTGCTGCAGAGATGCACGGAGGCATCTTGCTGCACGGCCGAGGCGATCTGCTGGTAGCCGCGTGGACAGACTTCTTTTTGAGGCATTGAGAATGTAACTCGCGATTGTCTTCACGAAGGATAAAATGAGCAAGACTCTGGCACTTCGCCGTATTTGAATGATCCGACGCATTTCGCAAAATATCGCGCTGTCGCGCAGCAACCCCGCGCTCGCGCAGAGATTCTCCGAAGATCAAATTGGAGGAGGGGTGACAAGCGTCGGAGATCGGGGATCATCGCCGAGGACCGCGTGGAGGACATGCGCTTCCCCCGGACTCCACCTGCTTAAACTGCCGACCCCACACACCAACCCCGGACTGCCCACACTTTGCACACGCCAAATCGCTCGCCCACCTCGGATTTCCACCCGAAAACCGACCACTAAGCCCAGTCTAGCAATCGCCGTCTCGAGGCTTGTCGTCCAAGCCTCTCAACCCCCTGGCGGCTTGAGATTGATTGGTCCCGACGCATCGGAAGTTGTCCGGTCCCCAGACAACCATCCCATGCCCCCATGGATGGCCAGATACTTGAACCGCGTGGACGAGTGGCACAAGCAGGGATAGTGCCGCCTGGAAAGATCGTCTGTCTGTGCTGGCTCGGGGAGATCATAAACTCCGCTTCCCCACGGGGTGCTGCATGCGCTAGAATCCTGCCAACTGGTACCTTGATCTTCCTTTGGTGAAACCGACCCCTTGACTGCCAGTATACGCAGTTGATTCTGAATTCTATCTTTCATTTACTATTATATTTGTGCTTTCTGGTGGCTTCTGCTGTCCTAGCGATGTCACATGAGGCGGAGATCTCCCCCCCCGAAGCCCCAGCAAGATGAGCATATCGAGTCCATCGAGGCCGAGCAGTCGACAAAGCCAATTCAGACGTCCCAGGGTACGGACAGTTCCAAGAAGGATGATGCATTGCAGTTGATTGAAGAGGCGGGCTATTCGACCATCTTGACACCCGAGAATAACAAAGAAGTGCTCCGCAAGATCGACCTGCGCCTGCTCCCTATTTTGTTGGCAATCTACTTCCTTCAGCAACTTGACAAGTCGACATTGTCATATGCCTCTGTTTTCGGTCTAATCGAGAAGGCCAACCTTCATGGCCAGATGTACTCCTGGCTGGGCTCCGTGGTCTACGTTGCCCAGTTGGTCTTCCAGCCCCTGGTCTCCTACCTCTTGGTCAAAGTGCCCTTGGGGAAGTTCCTGGCGGTATCATGTCTCCTCTGGGGGATCGCTCTATCATGTATGACTGCAGCGGAAACCTTTGCGAGTCTTCTGGTATGTCGGCTGTTCCTGGGAATCTTTGAGGCAGGCATTGGTAAGAATTTGTTGCACTCTCACATTGGAACTTTGGTGACTGATAATTCACGAAATCAGCCCCGGCTTTCATTGCAGTGACCCAGATGTGGTATCGACGTCGGGAGCAACCTGTCAGATTAGGTTCATGGTATGCAATGAACGGCGTGGTCAATATGGTGCGTGCCTAGCTGTGCAGGAGTGGTCATGGACGCTAACCAGGAGTGCAGTTTGGAAGCTTGATAACATACGGACTTGGTCACATCAGTTCATCAATATTCGAGCCATACCAGGTGAGCCCATTGTCTCGAGAATTTTTCGCTGGAGGAAAAGACTAACAATTTCGCAGATTATCTTCCTGTTCTTTGGTCTAATCACCGTTGCAGTATCTTCCGTGGTCTTGTAAGACACCTGATCCCCGTTACAAAGCTTGAATACATACTGACCGGTGGCATTCTACTGCAGTATTTTTATGCCGGACTCCCCCATTAAAGCGAAGTTTCTGCCCGAAGAAGACAAATTGATCGCAATTGAAAGGTATCCGCCTGCTCTAAGATATTCGAGAGACCCGATAGCTGACTGTAGGATAGGCTTCGGATGAACCAACAGGGAATTGAGAGTCATGAGTGGAAATGGGACCATGTGAAAGAGGCTGCGCTCGACCTGAAATCTTGGCTTTGGTTCTCTTTGATGCTCGCCATATCGTGGGTTTTCTCTGCGACTTATAAGTGAAAATACCATATCGCTGACTATGGTTAGAATCCCAAGCGGCGGTATCACCACCTTCGGCCCCTTGATTGTGGAATCATTCGGGTTCGACCAACTTAACACAATCCTGCTGAATGTCCCCTTCGGCGCTGTACAGCTCATTGCCACAATGGGAGGTGCTTGGTTGGCGACTGCATGGAAAATGAAGGGGCCAGTCCTGGCGTTGTTGTGTCTGCCTCCGATTGCAGGATGCTGCATGCTCTTGCGTATTCCCCATGACGATGCCCACAAGGGACCTCTTCTGGTGGGATACTACATCGTGAGTTCAATTCCGAATGCTGCTCGTTGTCACCAACGCTGACGACTTACTTCCAGATTTCTGTCTATCCTGGAATCAGTAAATGAACAACCCATCGGTCGGACTTTGAACGTTGACTAACGTTAGCCAGCACCTTTGATTTACTCCTGGTCAGCAGCAAACACAGCCGGCGAAACGAAAAAGAAAGTGACAACTGGTATTCTTATTGTTGGGCAGTGTGTTGGTAATGTATGCAACTACCTAACTCCTCCCATCGCGAATACTCCTACAGTCTCACTGATACGCTTACCTCGGCAGATCATTGGGCCGACACTATATACCACAGAAGAGGCCCCCCTTTACAAGCGAGGACTCACCTCTAAGTAAGTACAGCGTAAGTCAGCTATTAAACGCACTGCTAATCCATAGAAAGTCTTGCTTTATTCTGCGTACTCGTCGTCCTGATCCTGTAAGGCCTCCACCAAAAAAATAAGGCACCAAACCAATCTAATCTCTATTCAGGGCAAACATGGCATACATGTCTATCCTCAACAAAAAACACGAACAACAGCGCGTCGCGGCAGGAAAGGACGCCAAGGTGGTGGATCATTCGATGCACGCTGTGGGCGCCGTCATCACTGACAAAGAGGGCGCTCCTATTCAGCAAGCAGTTAACGACAATGCTTTCAAAGATCTGACGGACTGGAAAAATGAGGACTTTGTCTACGTATACTAGTAGTGTTAAGCTAGCTTTCTGTTTGCAGGATTGATTCAAATAGTCTGGATGAGCACTGAATCCCCGAGATAAAGTAATCTAGGGTAGACCCTACTATCGCAAGACCACCTAGAAAAGGGGAGGTGCATCGATTCCTTTGACCTACCTTAGGGTAGTTCATAGCACGTGGTACATCGAACTGCCCCATATAAATTAGTTCGCGGGACCCGCTGTAAACAATTAACCGGCCGTCGGGCGAATTGCCGAACCCCGCGTTTTCTCCTCCCGAGTTTCAAGCAGGCCATTCTCCGATACGCACGCGCATTGCAAGGCCTTATCGACCCATTCCCAACACAATCATGCAAGAGGACGACACCTTGCATGTAGTCCCTCCCCCGGCCGGAAAAAAGCGAATCCCGGTAGGTCGTTTGTGCCCCGGGGCCTCGTAGCAGTATTTTGATCTCCGAGGAAGCGTTTAATGACTCGCTTCCATTTTTTAGAAGGCGTGCGGTGCATGTCGGGACTCTAAAGTAAGCAAGCAAGCCTTTCCTGTTGGTGTTGTCTCAATATTGACCGACTGCCAGGTCAAATGCGATGGCGAGCGGCCATGTGGAAGGTGAGGACGATCACGCGGTGAATGAACCACTCTCACGTTTATCAACACAGATGTCAGAAACTAACGAAACAATGTGTTTTCTTCGAAATACCCAAGGACCCCGTCGCAGAGTGAGATCCCCTTGGCAAAATAAGTAGCAGGAGGCTCTAACTCGTATTAGACGACTTGAAGGCGTTGAATCTGAAGTACAGTTTCTTCGAGAACAACTTGACGAAATTCGTGGGCTCTTACAAAGCCATGGCGCAAATGGATCGGGCCCTTTACTGGACGATGTTTCTCCACGACAGGTCCACGAACCGCAACAAGATTATTGTCGGGTTAGCGGATGTACACCATCTGGCACCCAAGTAGTTCACGTCCAACATGGACCGGAACAATCCTCGGCTCTACAATATACGATCTACCCAAATGAGCAAAATGAAAATTCCTATCGGAGATCTGTTCCATCTCTGTCATCGCCACATCAAATTTCGACCCACTCGCAGTCTGAAGCACCTGTCATCAGCAGATTGAAACGCAAGCGCTCTTGCTTTGAAATCCGAGAAGATTCTGTGGCGGACTTCATTGATAAGGGACTCATATCTCTGGAGTGTGCTGCTTCCTGCTTCGACACGTACGTCTTCCTTTACGCCTGTTTTGATGGATCGTCTAACGTTGTATAGATTTTTCCAGGGCTGCGTGAGTCCTGCTCCTCCCTCCAGAACGAAAATGTGAATTTCTAACAATTTCTCGACAAAACAGGACAGATATATCCCGATATTTGACCCGCAACACGATACCTTTCATTCGGTAAGATCTCGAAGCAGCATCCTATTGAATGCAATCTGTACCATCGGTTGCATGGTGGAAACAAGTAAGTGATCTACAAACCTTTACCCGAGCAGCTTACCGACCCACGCAGGAACTGCTGGCCCAATGTCCGACATGCTCCATGCCGAACTGAAGAAATGGATCAACGTGATAATTCAAAACAAAGGTCTGAATTGTCTCGAATCGGTGCAGGCTATGCTAGTAGTAGCATGTTACTCTTCAGAACGTCTTTTGATCCTATCATTTGCGACTCGGATGGCGCTTGACCTGGGTCTACATGAAGCTTTTGAAGAGCTCACGGAGCGACTGGCGACTAAGAATGACGAAGAAATATACGGTGTCTCCGACCGCGACTTCGAACGTGAGCAGGCTCTGATGAGGATGTCGAGAACTTGGTTTGGTCTTCTAGTGCTGGAACATATGTAAAGCAACCCGTTGTCATCATGGCTCTCAGACTAATGATCCCTAGATTCCGAGTCGATGGAGGCAAGCCTCCTGGAATTAAGCTGATTGGGAATTCTCGGCGTTGTCGGATTCTACTCAGTCATCCCACATCCACGGTCTTGGATCTGCGGTTGTTTTCTCAGGTTGAGGTCAGTCTCCAGCAGAGCCCGAGTTAAATCAAAAGAGAGACTGACATTTTGATCAGCTCAATATTCTGCGAGGTAAGTTGAAGCTTGATTCTAGGCTTAACCCGCTGGCCGTAATCAAGAAGCTAAATCTACGATGTCTTTCCAGCAACAATAAACGATAATTTAGGATTAGGGACCACGCTCAACAGAACCGGAATATCCGACTTCGTCCACGAAATGAAGATAGATCTGGATCTGTGGTTCGATGACTGGCTCCGAATCATCGAAGGCTCAGTATCTGCACAAGAAGAAAAGCCGTTCCTACTCGTCGCTTTACGAGTCCAAAAGTGCTGGGCCGAGATGATGCTCAACTGCAAAGCATTGCGCGCAATGGGCGTCGAGAACGTGGCTGCAATGACAACAACAGAGAGACATATTCTTCTCACGGCCAAGTACAGTGCTCGCCGACATCTCCGGCTCATCATCGTCGAGCCAGATTTCTATCTGGCGAAACTAAAATATGCTATGGACTTTGTTTGGGCGAAATGCGCTTTCTCCTTTCTCCTCTTACTCAAGCTTTCGAGACTCCTGCCCGAACGCGATGAAGAGCACCAAGAGCTCCTCGAACATGGTGACCGGCTGATCCATGAACTGAATAAGGCTGGCTCGAATAGCAGCCAGTCTGGAGCAGGGAATATCTATCTCCAGATATTAAAGGTTAGTATTGAGAAGTATGGCCGCGCTTTGCAAGAGTCTCAACAGCCCAGTACCGGTGGCTCGACGGCGACTTCGCCTTTCTGGGAACTGTTCGATGCCCAAGCCGACCTGCAGTGGTTTGTACCAGAACAATTTGTGTCCGAGTGGGACTTTCCTGGTTTGAATCTGTTTTACTTTCCTACCGCTTGGCAGGATTTCTTTGGGGATTTCTCCCTGGCTATGTAATCTGTCGTGCATGTATGTTCTACAGCGCAGGTGGAGTTGAATAGGTTGAGTGATCATGATATATTCAGCTGTGGTGGATACCACATTGATCTAGATCTAGTATACCGTCTAGAATCCTGTTCTAACTTTTATACGGCGCTCGATCGATTCCAAAGTGGATCGAGTGCTGGATATCATACTTAAATCGCAAACAAGAAAGCACGCCAAGTCATCACGGAAAAGTCTAACCCAAGGCCTTCATAGCCAACTCAACACTGTAGAATAGTCAGTAACGTGCAAAGGCGACCAAACTGGAAAGAGGGAAACGTACACAACAAAGGTTCCTGCGGAAACAGGCATGGCCCTCAGCAAGGTCGGGCCAATACCCTTCCAGAAGCCGCCCAGACCCTCAACAGCGTAGGTCTTGGCGAAGCAGTCGCGCATACTGCTGAATTTCTGGTTGGCACCGAATCCATCGGTCTGCATCTTACTCTTGATCACATCGAAGGGGTAGCTGGACAGCCACAAGGCCTCACCAGCCAGACCACCATAGGTGGCGACCTTGACGGCGGAGATATCCTCACGCTTGATGTTGTTGCGCTTGGCATCCTGGTTCATCATATACTCGAAGGCCATAAACCACGATCCGTAAGCCTGAGCCTCACGCAGAATGGTGACAGCCTGACCGCGGTACAAACCACGCATAGCGCCGTTGTGCGCCGACAGCTTGCGAATGCAGTCAATGGGGCCATCGTACAGACGGCCAGCACCGTGGGGCTGGGCCTGCAGACGGATACGCACGTGCTCGATGGGACCGGAGAGAACGGAGTTGGTGACACCAGCGAAGGAACCGGCCATGTAATACTGGGTGTAGGATAGAGCACCATCTGCGTACTTCTTCTTGTTCAATTCCTCCAGGCGACGACGGGCCTCGTGGAATGCGCCGAATTGAACACTCACCTATCGAGTCGGTTAGTGTCGGCGATCGGTGGGGGGAGGGGTGAAGGTATGTCGGGTGCAATTGAGACTTACACAGGCACCAATACCGATCAGAGGAGTGAGAGTACCCTTGTAGAAGGCCGCGGGTCCCTCATTCTTAAAAATCTGCTTGGCGCACTCGGCGGCGCTCGAGTACTGGGTGGTGGTCTGCAGGCGGACCTTGACGATATCTGGAGGCGAGTTAGAGGTGTAAATTGGCGAGTATGCAGCGAATTTATCACGAACCGAAGGGTTGACCTAAAAAATGAGATAATTAGCAATTGCTTCAATTCCAATGGGCGGAATTGGATCGCCACTTCGAGAGCTCGCGCACTCGTGCGACTCCGCACACATACCCAGCAGAACCTGAGCCATGCCACCAGCAGCGCCCGCGGCCAAGTCCTTGACGGTGCGCAGGGCACCGCCGCCCTTTTGCATATCTTCGAAAGCCTCGGACTCCATGTTGACAGATCCACTGAGTGAGGAGGAAGAGGGTTCGACCCCGGACTGGCCCTGATTGTTATATCAGGAACCGCTTATCGCGATGGCGCCATCTGCAACGTGATTCGATCGCAGCGCCGAGGGAAACCCGTTTGCCGTCGGGAAACTTACGTAAGCGTTCTTATTTGCTGAGCGCTAAACAGTGGAGCTGCACCTGAGCAGCGCAAGCATGCACCGGCGCGCAGTAATACGGGTGAGTGTCGGGCCCAGCTGCCCTATTTCGCAGTACGACGGAGACACCTGGCTAACATCCATCTTCCAGCTATCGCGCCGCGTCGATTTACATTCGACCCCCTCCCCGACCCTATGCCGGACTTTACGGTCGTCCGCGATCCGATTCAATTCTTCCGATTCTGGTAATGGCAACGGCGATGGAGATGGAGCTGGGTCAAGCTCTCCGGCACCGACGCCGAAGTTTGGCAATCGTTGGGGCTCGAGGCAAGCAACAAAACCCACGGGATTGAGCGCGGCAGAGCAAACATTGCGCGATTCGATCAGGGCCGCCAATCAACCACCCCCGAACCGGAACGACCTGCACAACCTGCCCCAAGACGGAAGCCTTTCGAGAGGCATCCTGGTGCGTTGAGGCGCTCGACCGAACACCAGCACTCCCTGAGATCCCATGAACGGCCAAATTTCGCTCCCCGGCATGACCGTGACCAAAACGAACACAAACAGAGAGTGCTAGAACGGAGGCAAAATGACTGGACATGTGGCTCATGTAACAAGCATGTGTTTGCCAGACATGTTTCGTGTCCATTCTGCAATGCACCTCGACCTGTTAACGTTCCCCGTCGCGAGCCGCAGGGATCGAGACAGAACAGAGGAACTCGTACATACGATAGAGAACCTTCTGACAATGCAACGACCTCCAGGTTTCAAAAACTAGGTCGGTCTATGCTAGAGGAAATGGGTGAAGAGAGCCGGAGCACGCTGGACTCAGAGAAACAACAAAGACAACCAGAAAAAAAACTTTCAAAAGCCGAGGCCAAGCAGGAAAAGCTAGAGAAGGAAAAGAAACGCGAAGAGAAGAGGAAAGCGAAGGAGGATCAGTGGTCCTGGGATATGTCCGCTTTGGATCAGCTGGAAGCCCAAGAGACTCAAGAGCAATTGATTTCGTCAAAGAAACCCGTGCGTCGGAATCAACGCCAGTCTCGTGACGACGACTTCGATCCGGAAGAGCACGAGCGACTTCGAGAAGAGCGCAAGCGCCTGAAGAAGGAAAAGGCTGACAAGAAGAAGGCCAGGACCGCAAAGGTTGAAGCTGCCCCGACACCCGTCTACCTTCCCGAGTTCATCAGTGTCAGTAACCTCGCCGATGTGGTTGGTGTACGACCCAACCAGTTTGTGCGGCGCATGGAGGAAATGGGATTCGAAGATGTGACATATAACCACGTCTTGGATGCGGAGACCGCTGGGCTGGTGGCTGCTGAGTACAATTTTGAGGCTATCTTTGACACCGAGAATCCCGATCTCGAGGCGGCGCCAGTGCCTGAGGATATCTCCTCGCTCCCATCGCGACCCCCTGTAGTCACCATCATGGGCCACGTTGACCATGGCAAGACTACTATCCTGGACTGGCTGCGCAAGTCATCCATCGCGGCCACTGAGCACGGAGGTATTACACAGCACATTGGTGCTTTCTCCGTTGCAATGCCTTCTGGCAAGATGATCACCTTCTTGGATACCCCTGGCCACTCTGCATTCTTGGAGATGCGCCGCCGTGGTGCCGACGTGACCGACATTGTCGTTCTTGTTGTGGCTGCGGATGACAGTGTCAAGCCCCAAACCATCGAAGCTATCAAACATGCCACCCAGGCAAATGTCCCGATCATTGTTGCCATGAGCAAGATTGACAAAGAGGGCCGAAACCCAGACCGCGTGAAACAGGACCTGTCGGTTCACGGAGTCCATGTCGAAGATTATGGCGGTGATGTTCAGGCCATCGGTGTTAGTGGCAAGACTGGTGAAGGTATGCTCGAACTCGAGGAGGCCATTGGTGCACTGTCAGAGATGCTTGACCACCGTGCCGACACCGAGGGCAATGCCGAGGGATGGGTTCTTGAAGCTACCACCAAGTCTTACGGACGAGTTGCTTCTGCTCTCATCCGTCGTGGCACTTTGCGCCCCGGTGATGTTATTGTTGCCGGTGAAACATGGGCTCGTGTGCGCACGTTGCGCAATGAAGCCGGTCTCTCAATCGTCGAAGCCACGCCTGGTATGCCGGTTGAGATTGATGGGTGGAGAGACCAGCCGGCTGCTGGCACTGAGATCCTCCAAGCCCCTACCGAACAGAAGGCTAAGGAAGTCGTCGAATACCGCCAGGAGCGCATTGAGAATAAGAAGTTGGGAGAAGATATGGAAGCGATCAATGTGGCTCGACGAGAGATGCTCGAGAAGCGCAGACTTGAGGAGATGGAATCTGACGAATCGGGCAAGCCCATAGAGCCTACCGGCCCCAAGCCAGTGAACTTTATCATCAAGGCCGATGTCGATGGCTCTGCTGAAGCAGTGCTGAACTCGATTGCCGCCGTCGGAAACAACGAGGTCTACGCCAACATCATCCGTTCCGGAGTTGGTCCCGTCGGAGAATTCGATATCGAACACGCAGCCAGCGCCAAGGGTATCGTCATTTCCTTCAACATGGCCATTGAACCCAACATGATGCGCATGGCCGAACTCGAGGGTGTCAAGATTATGGACCACAACATCATCTACCGGCTGATCGACGATGTTAAGGCCATTCTCAGTGAGCAACTCGCACCCTCGGTGACCCACCGTGTGACGGGTGAAGCCGAGATCGGACAAGTCTTCGAAATTACCCTGAAGGGTCGCGAGAAGACCTCCATCGCCGGTTGTCGTGTGCGTAACGGTATGATGCAGAAGTCGCGCAAGGTCAGAGTGACCCGTGGCGATTCGATTATCTACGACGGTACGATTCCCTCACCTATCCCCAATGATAAAATTTATGAGACTCTTTCTAACTTTCCATCAGGCACGATGACCTCTCTCAAGAATGTCAAGAAGGACGTTACTGAGATGCGCAAGGACACCGAGTGTGGTATTGCATTCGAGGGCTGGACTGACTTTGCTGTTGGTGATCATGTCCAGTGCTACGAAGAGATCTTCGAAAAACGTTTCCTTTAAAATTTCTTAGATCTGAGGTCTTTGGCGCGGCTCTAGCTTTAGCCACTGTATTTCTATTTTTGTACCATATCTCCCTTTTCATGGATGCATATGTAGAGGCGTCTTACAGGGTGGATCGAAATCAGATTCACCACCTACACAGAGATTCTTTCTCGAACCCTCTTTCGAAACACGCTATTCCTATTACCGTTACTCTGCCCCTGAACCCATTTCTTGGCATTAATCCAGTACAGTTGTAAATGACAACGTAAAAATATCATCCGTAATAAGCTTGTTTGGTCTCGAGCGCTTCTAGAACGTTGATCTTGCAAACAAGGCAAAAATAAGGGGGATCCTATCATCAGTGTGGTTATTTGGCCAGAATTCCACTTCTCTGCCACTATCACCTACCCAGCGTCCACAGCGGTTACCATTGTGCAAGAGCGACGTGTACAGTATAGAGACAATACTGGTTTGGTGAACACATGCTGGTCTTCTGATTGGGGACCAGTACCCGCCAGATTGCGTGTCCGAAATCGTGCTGACGTTAGAACCGTTAGACAAGCGACGATGACTGTTGACTCGTATTGCAACGGTAATGATCTTCTATTCTCTTGTGAGCTGGAAGCGTCGGACCAGGATTCACAATATGCCCCCACTCCAGGATACTTCGGTTGCACACCTGAGCCACGATGCAGGCTTAGTCCTTCCCCCGGCTATAACACCCAGAACGGGCTCGCAGAGTTATCCCAACGCGACGCGGAAAATCCAGACTACCCCAGCTCTCCGAGTGGCGCGAGGAAATGCAAAATGATGAGCTTCCGGCAAGCTGCATCTAGTATATTATAGAGTGGAAGGTTATGCTCAATAGGAAGGTCATCTCACGAGACACAGAAGAGGGCGTAGCCCTGACTCCGAGTGCTTACTGGCTGGTGATCTTGAGGCCTAACTTGGAGAAGTTGCTAGAAGGGAAAACTTCCCGTGCAGGAAGGGTAAGGTCGGATGACACCTCGATCGTTGTGTCGGTGAACGATCGCTCCCAACGCGACCTGACGAAGTGATTTGATAATCTAAATTTGAATTTCAAAAGCGTGCTTTTAGCTAGAGGGAGCTGGCTGGATATCGCGTGCTGTGCGTAATCTGGGTGTTCTGGCTCGGGCCGAGCCCACCCCGCAGGGCCAGCCAACCTCAGTTGATCACCTGTCTTAGCGCCACAGGGTCACCTGATCATAAAGCTCAGGACTTACCCCTCCTTCAGCTGGGGACCATGGCCTTTTGAATGAAATTCATACGGCGCGAGGTTACATGATCATGTCGTCGATATCATTCTGCGGCAGCAACCATGCGCTCCAGGTCGGAGTTAGCCATGGCCCAATCAACGCGGAATTCTATCTGCCGCCAGGTAAGCCAGGAACCGAACAAGATTACCGTCGACTACTCACCACTGTTTCCCACCTTAGAGCGACTGGAAACCCCACCTAGCCCTCTGTCGACTGTCCCATTCCCGCGCGATCCGCACTTTGTCGGTCGCGACACACTGCTCCGTCAGATTCACGCGAAATGCTCGGTGCCCCGGTCAAGAATAGCGCTAGTCGGTCTCGGCGGTGTTGGGTGAGTGTGGAATGACCGTGACGTGGATCTTTGCTCACAACTCGAAGAAAATCACAGCTTGCCATCGAATACACCTATTGGGTCCGCTCCGAATCGCCAGCGACATGGGTTTTCTGGATCCATGCGAGTAACGAAGCCCGGTTCGAGCAAAGCTTTCGGGATATTGCAGACCAAGTCAAAATTACGGGTCGTCAGGATCCAAAGGCGAACATATTCAAACTGGTCGAGAACTGGCTCCGGGATGAGAAGATAGGGAAATGGGTTTGCATCGTTGATAATGCCGATGACGATAAGTTCCTTTGCTCGCTTCCGACGGCAGGCAAAGGACATCCAACCAAAGGCCTAACGAACGACTCCACGAAACCACTATTGGAATACATCCCTAGAAGCCAGAATGGTTTTATCATTATAACGAGTCGAAGCAAAGAGGTCGCACTAAAGATGGTGAATCATAAAGATCTCATTGAAGTCAATGCGATGGAAAGCTCCGAGGCACTGGAGCTTCTCCGAAAAACGCTCGACCAACCCGAGCAAAACCCAGGAAGTGAGCAGTTAGTGGAAGAGCTCGAGTTTATGCCACTAGCGATCGTACAGGCGGCGTGCTATATTCGAAATAGGGCGCCTCGCTATTCGGTATCACAATACCTGAGAGACTTCCAAGGGAGTGACCGTCAAGCGATAAGGCTTCTGAAAACAGAGGCAGGCCACCTCTACCGGGATTGGGAAGCGAAAAATTCAATTTTAGTGACGTGGCAAATTTCATTCGATTACATACGCCAAACCAAAAAATCAGCAACGGAGTTGCTTTCTCTCATGAGCTTTTTCGATCGGCAAGGGATACCAGAGAACCTTATCCGGCATCAACCCAAGGCCAACTCGACATCAAGTTCAGAGCTCTTGCATGACTCTAGTGATGAGGAAACATCTGGTTCCGATATGGGCCCCGATTTTGAAGATGATATCACAACGTTAAGGAATTATTCATTTATATCTATCAGCGAGAACAGCACTTTGTTCACGATGCATCGGCTGGTGCAACTCACCACGCGCGTGTGGTTGAAATCTCATGGACAAATAGACCAATGGAGGGAGAGGTTTATTAGCAATTTGTACCAAGAGTTCCCCACGGGTCGATATGAAAATTGGGGGAAATGCCGGTCCCTCTTTCCTCACGTTCGATCAGCGATGTCTCAACGGCCGGAATCACAACAGTCTCTATTACAATGGGCCACACTCCTTTTTAGAGGCGCATGGTATGCGTCCGAAAGCGGCAATATTGCCGATGTGAGGGACATGGCATCAAAATCAAGAAAGCAGAGAATGAAATTACTAGGTGCCGAGGATAAAGAGGCCCTTGCGAGTACTGCAATGTTAGCAGAAGCATACTGGCTCGAGGGCCGATGGGAGGAGGCGGAGCAGCTTGACGTGCAGGTCATGGAGACTCGCAAGACAAAGTTCGGCGTGGACCATCTTGACACGCTGACGAGTATGGCCGACCTAGCGTCGACGTATAGGAGCCAGGGCCGATGGGAGGAGGCGGAGCAGCTCTTTGTGCAGGTCATGGAGACTCGCAAGACCAAGCTCGGCGTGGACCATCCTGACACGCTGACGAGTATGGTCGACCTAGCGTCGACGTATAGGAGACAGGGCCGATGGAAAGAGGCGGAGCAGCTCTTTGTGCAGGCCATGGAGACGAGCAAGATAAAACTCGGCGTGGGCCATCCTAACACGCTGAAGAGTATGGCCAACCTAGCGTCGACGTATAGGAACCAGGGCCGATGGAAGGAGGCGGAGCAGCTCGAGCTGCAGGTCATGGAGTCTAGCAAGACGAAGCTCGGCGTGGGCCATCCCTCCACGCTGAAGAATATGGCTAACCTAGCGTCGACGTATAGGAGCCAGGGCCGATGGGAGGAGGCAGAGCAGCTCTTTGTGCAGGTCATGAAGACGAGCAAGACGAAGCTCGGCGAGGATCATCCCTCCACGCTGTCGACTATGCACGAACTGGCATCGACGTACTGGAACCAGGGTCGATGGGAGGAGGCGGAGCAGCTTAATGTGCGGGCCATGGAGACGAGCAAGATAAAACTTGGCGTGGACCATCCTAACACGCTAACGAGCATGGCCAACCTAGCGTCAACGTATAGGAGCCAGGGCCGATGGAAAGAGGCGGAGCAGCTCTTTGTGCAGGCCATGGAGACGAGCAAGATAAAACTCGGCGTGGGCCATCCTAACACGCTGAAGAGTATGGCCAACCTAGCGTCGACGTATAGGAACCAGGGCCGATGGAAGGAGGCGGAGCAGCTCGAGCTGCAGGTCATGGAGTCTAGCAAGACGAAGCTCGGCGTGGGCCATCCCTCCACGCTGAAGAGTATGGCTAACCTAGCGTCGACGTATAGGAGCCAGGGCCGATGGGAGGAGGCAGAGCAGCTCGACGTGCAGGTCATGGAGACTCGCAAGACCAAGCTCGGCGTGGACCATCCTGACATGCTGAAGAGTATGGCCAACCTAGCGTCGATGTATAGGATGCAGAGCCGATGGGAGGAGGCGGAGCAGCTCTTTGTGCAAGTCATGGAGACTCGCAAGACGAAGCTCGGCGTGGACCATCCTGACACGCTGTCAAGTATGGCCAACCTAGCGTCGACGTATAGAAGACAGGGCCGATGGGAGGAGGCAGAGCAGCTCTTTGTGCAGGTCATGAAGACGAGCAAGACGAAGCTCGGCGTGGGCCATCCCTCCACGCTGAAGAGTATGACCAACCTAGCGTCGACGTATAGGAACCAGGGCCGATGGGAGGAGGCAGAGCAGCTCTTTGTGCAGGTCATGAAGACGAGCAAGACGAAGCTCGGCGAGGATCATCCCTCCACGCTGTCGGCTATGACCGATCTAGCTTTCACCTGGAAATCCTTAGGTCACGATGCTCAAGCAATCGACTTGCTACGAAACTGCTTGGCCAAGCAAAGACAAAAGCTTGGTTTGAATCATCCGCATATTCTATCTAATTCTCGAACATTGCTTGTTTGGGAAACGGACAACCTGAATATCAGTTCGTAGATAAACTAGATACTCGCATATACCGTGTTTAAACACTAATTTCTGCCTTGAGCTTGAACTTCCCCGAATTATTATTTTATTGTCGATTGTCTTAGAGCGCATTGAGTGAGGAAAATCGACTTCATCACTCGAAAAGTGTTTCTACCAAGATGAATATGTCGCAAGATTGTGGAACCTGTCAAGCGGCAATGAAGTAGCGGGACGAAGTGTAAGCGGGTTTCACGTAATATATTAAACTGAACGCCGCACGATACGGGCTTTCGATACAATTCCATTACTTGAAATAAGGCTAAGCGGAATACAGATTAGCGTGTTTGGAAGGAGGGTTCGTTCGAGAATCTGTGTGCAAGTGGTGAAACTGCTTTCGAACCAACCTATATGTTATTCGTGGATGTAAAAAAAGACATAGTTACGACTTCGTGTCGATTGTAACATAATTATTTGCATCACGATTTGGTATTCACATTCGATCATACATATATAAGATTTGCTAACATGGGCTGAACCCTGCGAATGTGCAGGGGACATTTGACCAGGTGGAGATCACATTTGAACCCCCATTAATTGCCTTTATGTATTCAATTGGGGTTGGAGCTATTTCGCCTTCCATCTAACTCTACCAACCCACTTCGCCCAATCTTGTACATCTTCCCTCTCCATAATTCTCTCTACAGTGAACCATTCCCTCGCGAGCTCCTCATTAGTCGCCATGCGATGTACAAAGCTATGACAAGCCCGACAAAGCCACGCAACACTATTCAATACCCATTCATCATGCCAGCCCCTCTTCACCACCTTCGCATGCACTCCCCGCGGAATCAGGTGATGATACGACAATGGGATCCAGTCGCGCTCGCAGATCTCGCATGCATCCGTCCGTGTATTCGACCAGGCCGGCGGTCCGGTCGTAACGCTCGCAATGTACTCGCTCAACACCGGGGAAAGGAACTCGGGTAGATCATTTCCATCGGGGATTAGACCGTATACGGAGAGTGTATCTGTTACCTCGACCGGGACTGGTGAGCAGATTTTGTCAAGGATATTGCGGTTTAACGGCGTGTCTCGGTCTTCTGGGACATATAGAGCTTGGAGAGAGGTGTCGTATTGGATTGCGGCGTAAGAGAGAGTTTTCAGGTCCTCTGGGAAGGTAGTGAAGGTTTCGCTGGCGATGAACTGTGAGCTAAGACGTAAGCTATAGCTTCTCGGAAGTCTTGTTTGGAACATTTCTCAATTCCAGGTGCTGCATGTACATCAATGAATTCTGCCAGCTCTTCCGGGTCAGCTCGTTCGTGAGTGATCACCATCTCCGTACTGGTCTCGTCTTTGCGTCCGTTTCGCTTCGCCTTTACCCGCCGCTTGGAGGATTTCGGCTTCTGTTCAGATCGGGCGACAATGGCACTCGAGAGACATTCTCGGAAGACGGTGTAGTTGACTTCGGATGTCATTGGGGATACGAGCTTCTCATTGTGTCCGGAGACCGGCCCCAGGTGCGCTTGGAATGTGGTCGGGTTTGAAGCTTGGACGGACGAGGTTTTTGCCCCGCGCAGCACGGCAGATTGACATCATCCGTATCTCGAACTTGCACTTAACATCTTCCCAAACCACACCCTTGAGAAACAACTTATCATGGCAGACAAGACTATCGTAGCATTTGATCTGTACGGCACGCTTTTGTCTACGGAGTCCATCGCCCAACAGCTGCAGAACCATGTCGGATCCAAGGCGCAAGCCGTCTCCGCCCTATGGCGGCGGTACCAGCTGGAGTACACATGGAGACTCAACAGCATGGGTAAGCAGCTCCATGCACATTGCGTTGATCGCTGCTGCTAATAACATGCAGAACGCTACGAGGATTTTTCACTTGTCACGCGAAACTCTTTGCTGCATGCTTTAGCCGAGCACGGCGAGCAGTTGAGCGACAGCGAAATCACCAGTCTGATGGAAGCCTACGACCATCTCACTACATTCCCCGACGTGGGCCCAACCTTGAATCGGCTGGCAGCGGACGCAAGCATTCAGGCCGTGGTGTTCTCCAATGGGTCCAGATCCATGGTCACCAACTCAGTCCTGCGCTCGAAAGATCTTGCTCCGCACGCAAGCACATTCAAGGACCTCGTCACTGTCGACGAGATTCGACGCTACAAGCCCTCGCCCACAAGCTACCGGCACATTGCCCGAAAAATGGAAAAAGAGACAACACAGATGGGCCAGATATGGCTCATCAGCGCGAATCCGTTCGATATTATAGGAGCGCGAAGCGTAGGCATGCGTGCAATTTGGGTTGATCGCGCCGGGCGAGGATGGCAGGATGCCGCAGTGCCGGATTTACAGCCAACGGCCATTGTACGCAGCTTGGAGCAGATCATGAAGGAGATACAAGGTCGGAAGTAGTGTCTTAGGGTTTGAATCCATTGATAGTCGTCCAATGGAAGAGAGAAAATGGGAATGTACCGCTGAAAATATTTCCAAATTCTCCACGTCACAACGAAGAATTTGGGGTAAGCCAGCAGATTCAGTCTATCCTCCTATTTCCCCTCGAAGAACCCATTGTGAGATGTGGTTTCCTGAGTGAATAAGGAGGATGTTTCAGTTTTGAAGAAGAAAAGAAATGGCAGCGCGCGTCGCGAAAACTCTGGGCTTATATACGAGGCCCGCACGTGACTGCTATCGATAAGCGGAGTCCGTCCGCCAAGCTCCTCTTCCGAAAGGGTTGGCCGCAGCTCCACAACTTCAAGCTGGAATCTCCAAGGGTTCCGCCGCCACCACTCTCTGCACTCGAACCCGTCGGCAGCATGGCGCGGCTGTTTGACCATAGCAGGTCCGCCTGGTTGTATCCTCTCAGGGTAGGTGACACTCCCATCCAATAATATGGGGTCCGTCCCAAGCTCATTGCTGTCCAGGGCATCCACTATTTCGCAACGCACCGCTTCCTTTGGCCCTTGTTCAAGGCCCGCCTCCTCCCAATAGTTTTGCTCTCGAGCTTCGTCTACTTCCTTCTGTTCTTCTTCACATATCTCCCTCAAGTGGCTTTCTTGGCCCTCTTCCAGGGCGCTGGTGCCTGGGTCAATGGCGCATTCCTTGTGCTTGGTGAAGGAGCTGCTATTGTCGCGGCACTGTTCGAGGCATTCTTCGTTGACGAGACTCTGGTGGACATATTTGACTCGGTGCTGGTGAACGAAGGCCAGGAGGGACTTGTGCTAGCTTCGCGCGTCATCTACCCCGAGGCCGGTGACCCGGCTAGCCGTCTTGGTACTCCGACCGTCAGCGCTGTATATGCGCCGTTCTCACTGCGACAAATCCTCGAGTTCATCATTTTGCTCCCGCTGAACTTTATCCCAGTGGCTGGAACGCCGATGTTTCTGGTGCTGACTGGATACCGGGGCGGGCCCTTCCACCACTGGCGCTACTTCCAGCTGCTGGATTACTCCAAGCAGCAGCGCAAGGAGAGCGTGAGCCGACGCCAGCTCCAATACACAACGTACGTCGTTTTATAGATGACCTTTGGTACTCGAAGGGAGCCACATACTGACCAAGATAGATTTGGAACGATTGCGCTCATCCTGCAGCTCATCCCACCCTTCTCGATGCTCTTCCTGATGACCACGGCCGCTGGTGCTGCGTTGTGGGCCGCAGATCTGGAGACTAAGCGGCAACTTGCAGCACAGCGACCCAGCCGACTGGGCGATAATTATCATGATGATTTCACGGCATAATCTTTCGTTTAAAATGAGCACATACGGCGATTAGTCAATGCAGACCCTTTCCGGCATCTTAAAAAGTATGGCACAGACCCCTTAAATTCAACTGTAGCAGAAAAAGTGGGTTCTCAAGTTTTGTAACCAGTGAAGCTCCTCAAAAAAAGGGCTTCCCTCCGGATTACGTGCTGCACGTGATCCGGCCCGAGGCAAGAGCCGACTGCGACTCTCCGTTGTTCCACTCCGCAATTGAATTGCTGCAAGTCGGACAAGTCGAGGGCTGCGAGGTGGACTGTAGCATTCCTTTTTCGACGGACTTGAGAGCCTTGTCTCTGCGATTCTCACGGAAGCCCGGGCGCGCCATTAAGCTGAGGCGCAGCTGACCGAGGTCCATTTGTTGCCCCGGCCGAACCCTGTGAGCCTGCCGTGGAGAACAGTCGGACAACGCTCTAAATCGAGGTGTTTGTTCGAGCGCGCGAATCTGAGAAGTGCCGACTCGAAATCCCACAGAACCCCTGCGAGTAAGTGGGTCACTCAAAGATCCCCCCGCAACGTGTGAATGTACGGGACTTTTGCCTCAACAGAATCTCTCCATCTACGTCGATGACAATGGCCTGAGACGGCAAAGGATGGAAAATTTGCTAGAGTCCCTTGCTCACGAATGGACACGAAATCGAGACTTCGCAAGGCCTGCGATGCCTGCAGCATCCGGAAAGTGAAGGTGGGTCTTGTCTTGCGGATGTTGAGCCGTGCTCGGGTGAGATGCTGAATTCCTCTCCAGTGTGATACGAGCGGTCCGCCATGTCGTTCGTGCGCCAGCTTGGACATACCTTGTACATATGAACGACCAAGCAGGCGCCGTGGGCCTCCGAACCGCCATGCAGAGGCTCTGAAAAAGCAGAAGCTGGAGACTCAGCCCGATGCATCTCCTGGGAGTCTCACTGACTATCCCCTGACGAGTACTCCGCAGCTCCAACCCCAGGCCCTGCATCAACCTCAATCTCAAAACCAGCCTCCGCCTCAAGTTCAACCCTCGCCTGTACTCCAGCACCCTGAGACTCCATTCCCTGCATCAGCAGAAGCAATCTGCTCCTTAAACACTGTCCAACTACTCCTTGACGATTTCTTCACTTACATCCATCCCTTGGTCCCAATCCCACATGAGCCAACTTTTCGAGCGGCTTTCGAGCGGCGAGAAGATGCCTCAAATGGTACATTCTTGGCTCTCCTGGCATCCATGATTGGGTTTTTGGTCGCTTCTTTTCCCCGTCGGCCGAAGCTACGTCTCAACACCGAGGCGGAACGATTCGCATTTCCTAATTCAATCGCTCTGGTCAAGCGATGCCATGATGTTGCTATTCAAGCCCGAGGTACTGGATATCTTGACCGAAATGCAACAGTCTATGATGCAGCCATCAGCTATTTCCTCGGAGTCTGCGCGGGCTACATCTACAGCATGCGCCGGTGCCGTATCTACTTGGCCGAATGTCGTACGATGCTGCAGGTTTACGACCTGTGTCGTTCTCCAACAGCTTCTTCGATGGTGCCGGCACTAAGTGCCACTAGTCCAATGTCGACCACCTCGGCTATTTCTCAAGACCCGCCGGCTCAGTTTCTTACAGACGACAAACCTGTAGATCTTATCTCCCAAGAACTTGGGCGCCGGCTCTTCTATGTCTCCTTAGTGGGATACCAGAGTCTACTCCAACTCGGGTCTTCTGATATCAGGATTCACGTTCCCCCAGAAACTCCCACCAGTCGCTATCCACCTCTTCCACTTGAAGTTGATGACGAGTTTTTGTTCTCAACCCATATCAACCCTCAACCAGCTGGCCGTGTCTCGATAATGGCTGGGTTCAATGCCAACGTGCGAATTTACAACTCATACAACTCGCTTTTGGCCTGGGAAACCGCTTTTGGCAGTGGCCAGATCTTTGATTGGACTTATCAACGCTCGTCCTTATGGCAGTGTCTCCAGACAGTCAAGTCTGCTCTCCTCAATGTTCCGGTGGAGTTGTCACTGTTCCACCCAAAGCAAACCTCTCCTGCTGGCCTGGCCGGGTTTGGTACAGATGGATCAGTGTTTAACTACCCCGACGACCACATTCACCAAGAACGACGTGCCATCCAGTATGAGATTCAAAAGGCCAACATTTATGCCAGTCAGCTCTGTACCAGATCATGGCTGGTTGAAAAGTACTGGAATCTATTTGATATGTACACCAAGTATGGCAATTCGGCCAGAGCAGAAGTTCCTACTCCTGCCACTCCTCACATCACGACCGAGAGCTTTCCGGAGCCGCCGCCTGATAGAAGCACCGACACTCCGTCGGATACATTTACACAGGCAGCATCACAAGCGCAAACTGACTACATTGGCCGTATGATGGCCGATGAGCGGAAGCTGGTAATCAAAGACCTTTTCGTGCTTCTGCGAACCGTCAATGAAGTGAACATGGAGCCAAATGGCGCCAGTATCGTAAGTTACCACATCTCCATATATATCTCACCTCACGTTGTGCCATGATCTAACCTGAACCAGACTGGGAAAATCCGCCAAATAGCATCAACCCTCCTCAACATGCCGCACAACTCCAAACCAAACTGGAATCAACAAGGTCCAACAACTATGACACCCGACAACCAATCCATTCAATTAACAGCCGATCAAACACCCACCGCCCCAACAGGCATGCCCATTCTCACTGCTGCAGAAGCAGAATCCTACCTCCACGCCTTCATCGACACTCTCATCCGCCTCGAAGGTTACTCAGCCACCCCCACTGACTCCGGTGGCGTTAGCGAGGGCGTCAGCCCGCGCGCGAATGGGAGAGCAATGAGTTATCTTAGTGACTATGAGCGGGATCAGGAGGAGTTAAGTCAGTGGGCCAGTTTGAAGGAGTACCAGCAGAAATTCGCTGAAGCCGGCGGTGTTCTTTCCGAGTTGTAATTCTGTCATGGGTTTCGGGCTTCGTGATCAGCTGTGAACCTACAACAATCTTGGGCTTGTTGCTATTGAGACGACTCCTTGCTCGGGGACTCCTGTGGAATACCATCTATTCTAGCGTTTGTATTTGAATATGATCAAGATCTCATCAACACCGCAGACAAGTCACCACTGGACCATACCTAGTTAACTACAGTCTCTTAAAAAACATTGATCGTATTTTTGGAATCTTCACATAAATCAAGCTAATATGAGTCAATCAAAGAGAAAGAAGAAACCATAATCATAACTTCAAGTCCGTCCACGAACCTCAGCTCGTAACATTCGAAACTCCACCCGGCATTGGTATCACTAGGAAGCAAGAAAAAATATCCAGAATGCGATACTGCGAAATAAACCCTAGCATTCTCACACTCATGAAGCCGTCACAGTCACGAAAATCGGCGACGGCAACGGAACAACAGACAAGATACCACCTTCGCCCGTTGAAGAACCCAACGATGTCTGGATAACCTTCTGCGTCGCAAGAGGAGCAACCGATCTTTCGACTGTAATCGTAGGTGTGATTGTCACGGTGGGAGTCGTTTCAGTCGCCGGATTGACGGTCACTGTGACTGCGTCGGCGGTGACGGTTACCGTTGCGGGGGGTGTGTATGTCTTGACGGTTTGGCTTAAGGCGTCGGATGGCTGGACTGTTTGGATTGAGGCCTCGGGTGTCATGCTTGCTTCTTTGGGGGCTTGTGATAAGGAGGATGATGACGAAGGATTTTCGACAGTGACTGTCACTGTGTTGCCCGGGATGACAAGAGTATACATTTCTGTCTTGGTAGATTTGACTGTGATCGTCTCTTCTGTCGAGGGCGTGGGAGTCGGGGTTGATGTTGGAGCCGGAGACGAAGTTGAGGTTTGAGATCGAGTTGCGGTCATTGTGGTGCCGGTGACGGTGACAGTATCTTCTGTTGTGTGTGTAGCTAGTACGGTGACTATGTCTCCCTCTGATGCCGGCGTTCGAGTGACGGTTGCTGTACTACCGACAGTGACCGTGTAATCTGATGTCCGGGTAGCCTGGACAATAACTGTATCTCCATCTTCTGAGCTAGCAGCTGCGCTTGTGTTGGTGCTTGTGGAGCTACTGGTACCGGGAGTCATCGTAGTTTCGGAAGTCTTGCCCTTGACTGTAGTCGTGATCACCGTCGTGGTTGTGATTTCTGTCTTGGTACTGTCGTCCGAGCCACCCCATGTGTACGACGCGGGCCAGTAGGTCGTTGTAAAGAATGGCTCTGTGCCACCCGGTGTGACCTTCAAGACTTCCGTCGCGGTAATGGTGAGCATATATTTGCCAGTGCCACTGGCAGGAGTAGAAATTGACGTTGCTCCTGCATCAGCAGACTGGGTCGTAGTCGCGGTCGTGGTCGCGGTGGACGTGAGAGGTGCGATGATGCCTATATCCGGGCTGGAGGCTGTCTGCGCAGGTTCGCTGCTCGAGGTAATTGGCGCAGTTGAGGGTGTGGCTGTGATGTTAGGAGTTGCGAATGTTGACTCCTTGGGTGGTGTGGATGCCGCTAGCTCGCTGGATTGAGTGCCTTCTATCTGCACTGAGCTCGACGCCATCAAGACTGGTGTCGTTTCCGGGGTAAGAGGCTGAATTGAGCCGACGCCCCGGTCTGTCGATGAGTGATCGTAGATGGTAAGATAAACTGGGGCGATTGAGATATGGGGTGCCTGTTTCTGGGTGCTCGACTCACTTGCAGAGATCGAAGGCAAGGACTCAGTAGAAGACACAGCCGTCGATGGTGTTGTCAGAGATGACAATGTAGAAACAAAGGCCGGGGTCGTAATAGAAGTCAAAGGTTGAGCTGATGACGAGCGATGGGCGGAAGAAGTCGGAATAACGGGAACCGATGAAGGAAACGACGAAGTAGAAAGTGGCGAAGCCTGAGATGATAGCTTCGAGGATGATGCGTAGGCAGGTGAAGTTGAAGTCAAACCAGATGTAGGCAGAGTAGAAACAGGCGAAGTCGAAGACAGAGTCACCGAAGAGAATGAAGATGAGACTGGGACAGAGGCCTGAGATGTCGAAGATCCAGATTCAGGAAAGAAAGGGAATGATGTGTAGGCAACACTCGAACGGTGAGTGCTGGTAGAAGAGATTGTTGTTGCCGAAGTCGACAGAGTTGGCGTTGTCATAAAACTTGACATGCTAGCGGCCGACTCCGTTGGGGTCTGAGAAGCACTACTCGAAGGGCTCTCCGTACTTGATGTCGGGTAGACAATCTCTGGAAAAGTAGATGTCGGGGAACTGCTCGCGCCTGAAGATGTCACCTTCATACTACTTGAGTTGGTAGAAGGTATACCACTTTCTGAGGAGGCCGGAGTTGACGACGGAGTGCTTGAAGCGACAATTGGTGTGGTCAAAAGCGTACTTGATGTAGTAATCGAAGGGGTCGATGGGGTGGTCGAAGAGCTTAACGAACCCGATGATGTAGTTGAAGTAGCCGCTGACGAGGTTGACGATACAACATCTGATTCAGAAGTGGTCGAGGTTGACGAGTCTTCGGAAGTAGAAGTGGTCCACCAGAAATCGGTCGGAGAGGGCAAAGGAGTGATGGTAATATCACGTTCGAAAATATCTGGCTTCTCTAGGTTCGACGAAGTTCCCGAGGACTCATTCCGTGCACCCAGACCAAGACTCATGTTTGAAGCGAAAGAGCGCGAGATCGGCCCAGCCGAGCATGACCATGCCAGCATGGAAAGGACAGTAAAGAGAGTGAGCAACATCTTGACGATCCTGTCTTGGCTCAGGGAGCCTTTCAAAAGAAGGAAGAGAACGAATGCGGCGTGGAAAACTTCCAGTGGTTCGGGAAGACCAGCAGAGAAACGAATGTTTCGAGCGGTCAAGAAAGCATGGAAAATTAATTCAGTAGAAGAAAGAAACAAAAACTTAGGCAAAGGATAACATGGCTGATTGGGGTAGTGAATAGTAACTTCATTAATGGTAGTGCATGGCTGCCTCCTGGGGGAACAATGAATGAAATGAATGAGTTGCGCCGATGGTGAATCACAGCCTAACCGGATGACAGGCTCGAATCAGAAAAGAGCGAAGCAATCTGAGACACGAAAGAGGAAATGACAGAGAAACAGAAAAATTAGCCAAAGAAAGGGCCGTCAAACTTGACGCGTTGGGCATGCCTTATGAAGGACGGATCATTGCCGCCTGGTGGACACACCGGCCTAGAACCTGCCATTGTTTGAGATATGGACCAGACCAAAGATCTAAAATTGAAATAGTAGCCCCGTCCGGGCGCTTTGCGAGACGAGAGGTACTGGAAATAGATCGATGATGCGGCGCGACGGAGAGCTTTGTAGCAGTTGGCGCCCGGCTTGCTGCAGAAGGCGGCACTGCGGCGTGTGATTGGTCCCCCGGACGATCCACCGTCTTTATTCAAACAATCAAGGGCACATCTGGTCCAATCAGCTCCTTTCTGCTGTGAGCTACTAATCATGGTAACCAAGGGTGAAATAGGCTAATTACTTGAATGCCAGGCTCCGAAATAAGTATAGCTGGTGCGAGCCTGAGGAGTGATGTGCAGAATCCCAATCTTAAAGTTAACTAGTTACAGGAGGAACAAGTTGATGCCTAAGGCAGAAATATCCACCGCTTCAGAGTAGGTAACTAACCATATTCCTGTAGATCCGTAGTACGGATTATCCAATAATTCCGGGTTCACTGTCTACCATGGTCCTTGAACTATAGGAGGTATTATCCCAAGGCGACCGTCAGCAGCACAGAATTCATTTTAACCTTCTAACTGTGCTTGATACTAAATGGTGTAACTAACAAGAGAAAGACATCTCCATGGCAGAACAGGAGCCTTTTCGAGTACTCGTCGTTATCTCGGACAAGAATACACATTGAAAGCGGGCTTGGTATGCTTCAGAGGACATATACGAGGTTACTCCGGAGGTTCTCAAAGACAAAGGCTTGCGGACGGACATCGACCAACCTCAACTGAGACTCTTGGCAAAGCACAGGTATCGAACGAGCGTGTTCCTTGTTTGATGACTCAACTTGCTACGATACCGCCACGGCACATCTGCTGTCTGAAAACAATCTTCCTGTTTCAATCGTTCGCCTCAGTAAAAAGCAGCCTACCCGACAAACCCTCCAATAAAGAACAAAGTGAATGACGACATTGCCCGAATTCACGCCGACAACGGCACAGGTAGCGTCCCACCCTTCGCTATTGATTATATTGTTGGAGTTTCGCTATGTAAGAATCCACGGGATCCGTCATTCCTATTTTGATCTCGGAGGCATCAGTGTATTGTGATAGATCGAGAAGGTGAAAAAGCGGCTACATCGATCTCCTTTGTTATGTGGTCACTGAAGACATACGACCCTGCACGATTGATATAGACAGGCTGAACGATTCACTGATTGCAAAGGCGAGATATCACATTTATATTCATCCATGTTGAATAGAACAGAACATGATTCATTGGAAATAAGATCAGCGAAATCTTTTAAAACATAAACCAGAAAATCAGAAAGCAATGACAGGAAGAAATTGCCAAATCTAAACAAACTCAAACGAAGTAAAGATTGGACCACCTACACCACTCACAAAAACCAGACTTTGGTTAGAGGCACGCCAGTACCGAAGCTTATATTCAGAAGGAAGCCAAAGCATCTTCTGTCCATCTTTCATGATCCATTCCCCTTCAACGTGCAATAGGCCTGTTGGCTATCTCTGTAGAACACTGCTATTAGGAACAACTTCACCCATGTGGATGTCTCGAGACCCTTCTTCTGTCATGAGGTAATCACCGTCTTTTGAAAACCGAAGATTGTCGGGATACCCGGACTTGAACACTCTCTCTTAGCTCCAGTCGCAATTTCCCAGGTCATTGAGCGGTTAGCAAGAGATTTGCCATCATGCGAGAACGCGAGTGGACCTTGTTCTGAATCATCCAATGAATGTGCCCACTTTCCGGTGGCGACATCTAGCAATTTTGTAGCATAGTGTTGACCTTCTCCCCAAAAATCAAGCAGCGAGGAGCTTGCTATCGTATGAGAAGGCTCGATCGTCTTAGACACCTTAGGCCATTCAATTCTGTAACGGCTTTCGCTAGAAGCAGTAATATCCCAGATGTGGACACAGACGTCTGTGGCTGTGGCCAAAGTCTTACTGTCAGGTGAAAAGGTGATGGCCTGGACATCATCGTCGAGCTGAAGGGTCCGCGTGCAGACGCCGGTTGTGGCTTATCGTAGCTGCAGGTAATCATTTGCGCCTACGCAACGGCCTTGCCGTCTGGTGAAACTTCCATATACTCCAACTCAATTCCGTCTTCCGGGACAGTAGATTCGGCAGACTGGGTATCGTCAATCACGGTAGTATCCCACACTCGGCCCTTATAATCACTCGAAGCAGGCGCAAGTGTTCGGCAATCAGGAGAAAAACTTGCTTGCCATCAGGATAATATGCCAAGGTCTGGAACTTTCCGTTGTCATTCACTGTCGCTTCCATTGGGAAAGATCGGAGGGACTGAATGGAACGTGGCAGGTTCCGGGCAACGCAGCGCAACGCGCCCTCTCTCCTTGCTACGTATCTCCTTCTCGGAGCTTCTTTCTTTTGATCTACAGAAGTTGATTGAGACGTGCAGTCTTTACTCGACTTAATGAAATTGGATATCCAATATATCATCCAACATATATAAGCTAACAAATCTCGAGTCCTTTTCTTCATAAAGCCTTCAAATACGATCTCCCTGCACTGGAGGTAAGGTCGCAACTCCAAAACTCAGAGCAAAGCTAACACTCAAGCAGAGACAGTGAAAGACCCCCCAACCCCCTCAAACGACGAGATATGCCCAAGCGCATTTTTCGAGTCCCCATAATATCGCATGCGATACGTCCCACTCTGCACCGGACTCGGATCATCGACGCCATAAAACTCATCCTCGATTTCCCACGAGATCGTCACCTCGCTATGCCCCAGCACCAAATTCGTGCGCTCCCACGAGAAAACCAAATTCCAATCCCAGTCGTTCCGCACAACTTCCCAATCGCCCGAGTCCGTCTTTCGTTCGACGGCCGCATAGGTCGATTCTTGTCGGAGGTTGTTTCGCGGGTTCGCGCCGACGAAGGTTGTTGTGACTGTGTCGCCGGGGCTGTAGGTTTTGTTGTTTGGGTTTGAGGAGACTTCGCCGAAAGATTTGCCGATTGGATGCTCGTCGTAGATGACGCCCGTGATGAAGCTGAGGGAGTTGTTTGTGTTGAGGGGTGGACTGGGGCCTGTGGGGATGTCGGGGAGGCTGGAGATGCTTGCTGCGCTACCGAGGTATGGGAGGTAGGTGAGGGTTAGATTTATGTATGCTGCTAGCTCGTTGGGTCCGAATAGTGTGGATGCGCCCTCGTACCGCTGCACGTTATATTCCTCTTCAGTCGTCACGTAGTGCGCGTAGCTATTTGATGGACCGCCGAGGACGATGAGTGGGTTATCGATGGAGAGGGTGTCTTTAGCGCCCTTTGCAATGGTTTCTTTCCATCTTCGGCCGGACATTGTTGTGGCTTCGCTCGTTGAGATGATGATGAAGAGTTGTCCGACTCGGAGGACTTGGATGTCGACGATATCTGGGGCCCAGGCGTAGGGTAGGGTGAGGGTTCCGACGTCTAGCAGAATTTCTTTGGCACCCTGGCATTCCCGCCGCTCCTCATTTGGTTCGTGAATGAATGCGCGGGCAACTTTCCATAGTGGGTTCTGTGTTGCAGGTCCAGTGGCATTCTGGGTGAAATCAAATGCACCGGGTCCATCAGTCGTACCGGCAGCGAAGGAGTATCCGAGTGCTGCAGGGCATGTCTTTAGGGTACTTCCATTGAAAGGCGAAACAAACTCGTACCCATTCATGTCATGGTACACATGGAAAGACTTGACGTCGGAACTACCTGTGATGATCGTTGGGTTGGAATCCAATTGCTCGTAGAGCTTCTTGGCCGCCAAATACTGGCGCTTTCCGATCTCGAAGCAACTCTTTGCGCCGTTGTCTTTCTCGCGGAAATAGGGTCCCCGGCCGTGGCATGCCTCGTTCGTGCCGCCACAAGTACTGTCTGAGTATGTGCATTCCTGCCCAGAGCCGTCCTCACACCAGGCGCCGAGGATGTTCGGACTGGTATCTCCAACATTGGCCTGAGAAAATCCAATGACCGCGTCGTTGGTGAAACGGGAGTCATTTTCGACGCTGCGCTCGAAGATGTAGGCTGCGACTCCTTTGTTGTCACCAGTGACCAAGGTGTTATTGTTGTACAAGGATGTGCCATGCACGGGGAACCAGGTCAAGACGGCCGCAGTCTTATTGTCCGACTCGCGGTCAAATCGGAGGAGAGTCAACGCCTTGTCCACCTTGGCCGAGTACTTTGCCTTTTCTTCCTCAGGGTTATGGTCGTACGAGTATGGGCTGCGGTTGACGTTGGCATCCTCGAGCTCGATCGAGCCAAAGGATAGCCGGCCCAAGGCGAGGTTTTCGTGCGCACGCTTGATGGAAAGGACCGTCCCATCGACAATAGCCTGGTAACTCTGCTTATCGAAACCCTTGGTCGGGATCTGGGGCAGGAGGTAGTTCATCCAGGCTCCTGGGCCGGAGTGGGAGTGCGTCCCGGTTAGTGCAACATTGTGTTCGCCGTATCGTTCATAGTCGCCGCCAAGAGCTGCAAGTCCTTGCAAAACCCCGTGTCGCACAGCAGTGTCACCGGCCAACGTGTCGAGGACCAAGTATATAAAAGTTTCCTTGGGATTATTGGGGTCGGCAAAGATGAACGCCCGAGAGTAGATTCTCTGTCGCAGACCCGTACCCAGCTGGTCCAAGCTGGCGTAGCCGTTGAAGTCAACTTCAACAACTGGGCTGGATCGCATGTCAGCTATGTCTCCTGCTCAGGGGTAGTCCACCGACAGACACTTACCCTGTCACGTCTGCTTTGCCCGCGCCCACCAGGAATAATCCGTCATCCGTCGCAGCGCTAGCTCTACTCCTCCACTGGTTGAAATTTCGATTGAAACTGCCCACCGGCACTTTGTCATTATACCGAGCCAACGCCAGCAACTGCACAAACACCAACAGGGCGAGGGTGAACCCTGCAAAAGCCGTCCCCAGACGCAGATTAGCCATGGCGGGAAATATCGAAATGGCGGCGCGGTATCGCTAGACGGTTGAGGAAAGCAACACGAACTATGACATCAGGTCACGCCCGCTGCATGGAGCGCAGAAAAATGCGGGAGTCGAACGGGGAATGCACGCGAGTTCTTAAAGCCCAGTCGACGCAACGAAATATCGTCCGAAGTGCGGTGGACAAGAACACTCTTGGAAGGAGGGACGGATGACTTTCCCCGGGCCTTCGGATCACTTATTGCAGGCAGATCATTATCCAAGCTTGGCATAAGCTGTCGGGGTCGGGGAGATTCGCCTAAGCGATGGCGATGCGTGTGATGTGCGAAGCTCTCCTGCAGGGCTGCGATCGTCGTGCGACTTCACATTCCGCGTGCCCAACTCGGCTAGTTGGCCGTCGAGGCGGGCGCGATGCAACCAAGTGGCTCTTTCCCCGCACGGAGGGGGAAATGTGTCCGATCAGGATTTTCGAGGGTAACCCGAGACCAGAGGTACTGCTGTGGTATACCAGGTCAGCGTGGAGGGGTTCCGTCGGTATCTCAGGAACAGGGTTTGGACCCGCTGTTCATCGGCGATCCTCCAAAGTCGGGGGCTGGCAACCTTGGCTTTAATGCACCAACCAGCGAAGTCTCGTTGCTTTTCCGCCTGTGCTCCATCACTTAGGGGATTTTATAGATCGAATAATCGAGTATTCACCATGTGTGCTCGAGTCATGACCTCGTGCAGCTTATACCTTCCTAGAAATTCCCGATCGGTGCTAGCACAAAGTGGGTCGGGTTAGGGTGGGAGTATATAAGCACTAAATTATGTTGCTTGGCGATAATCAACAACAACTTACCAACGATTGGTTTTAGCTGAAGAGTACTCGAGGCTCTCATAGCCTGAACAGCGTTTTATTCGGGTGACTAGGTGTCCCACTCCTCTAATTGTATGGCAGGAATAAATGTAGTAGTAGATCCTCAATACAATGGGAACATAAAGCATGACATGCACGATCGAGGATGCTTTGAAAAAGTAGCAAGTACTATAATCAACAACAATACGAAGCCACTAGCTGATCACTTCAACTCGTTCCCAAGGGTTGCTCCTGGTGCGTCACGGGATCGCGAAATCTGGCTGCGGTCGAAGAGTGCCTATTGGAAACGGATTGGCAAATGGGAACAGACAGCCATCAAAACAGTCGCTCAAACACTGAACAGTCTTCTGGATGATCAGCTGATCGGTCATATGAACAGTCTCCTACACCGTAATGTCATGAGGGCTGCCACTGCAACTTGGATGGGCAACGTGGGTGACTAATCTTGTGGCCCACCCAGCACTCGAATCCCTCCGGGCTCCCTCATCGATTCGATGGCTGACCACAACTCCCCAAAAAACCCTCCATAGGCAGAAGAGAGGGAAGTAGGGACTTAGTTACACGTGCACACCGCCTTGCACGCAGTCAACTCTTCCACTGCCGCACCTCAGCGTCCAGTCTTGATCCTTCCTCGCTAAATGCTCCTCCTGTCCCGTTGTTTTTTCTTGCCTTGCATATTGGACAAACCAGCCCACTGCGCAGCGATACGCACACGACAACACGATAATAACCTCTGAGCATGGATACAACGAAGGTCCAAGAAGAAACGACGCTCCATTCGTTGTTCAGTCGCAAGGTTGTCCGGGTCAGCGAAAATCTCGTCGTGAAGTCCGGCACAAACCTCCGTTCCCACGAAGCGCAGACACTCCATTTCATTGCAGCAAATACGACGATACCAGTACCTAAAGTTCATGATGTTCGCTGGCAAGACGGCAAAGTCCTGGAGATTGTAATGGACTACATGCCTGGCAAGCGACTCGATGAAGCGTGGAATACTTTGGACCTTGACCAGAAGCTCTCTATTTCCGACGAACTTCATTCCTACCTTTCTCAACTTCGCGACTTGAAAGGTGACTACATCGGGGCTGTTGACCGTGGCAAGGCTTTCATTGGACGGCGGGCGTCAATTGAAGGCGGTCCATTCGAATCCGAGCTGCAGTTCAACGAGTTTATCTTAGGGGATCTTGTTCGGTCAGCACCAGCTCTGATACGGCATTACGCCAAATTCGCGCTTACCGATAACCATGAGATTGTCTTTACTCATGCTGATTTCGCTCCGCGGAATATTCTTGTGGAAGGAGGCCGTGTTACAGCCATCCTTGACTGGGAAGATGCTGGTTGGTATCCAGAATATTGGGAATATATAAAGGCTCTCCAGCAACTAAAACCGATGCCTGACTGGCCAGAATACTTGTCCCGTATCCTTCCTCCCCGCTACGAGAGAGAATACATAGGCATGTCCTTTCTGGCTCTTCTGTTACGTCACTGACTGGTACATTGTGGACTAAGCAAGTGAGAATGAACAATATTTAATGGCACCACCTCAAAGTTTAAAGCCTGGTAGTGATACTAAGGGGATGTCGATCAGGTTGTATTGTTGATCATGTGACCCATGAGTCAAATTGGCCACCGACTTGGCAGGACACCCGCGGGACGGTAGCGACTCTGATTGGCCACATGCGAACGGGACTAGCGCCCTTCGCGCATAGGTATAAACATCGCCAGCAAGTTTGAATGTTCCTTCCTTCTCTTCCCTCTTCAACTTACTTACCAAGCTTGGGTGGACCGCGGTCATGAATACAGTTCACCACAGAACGACCACTGCATTGTACAGCGCGTTGGCCGCCCGTTCAGTCACCTTTGGGAGGCTGGGAGCCGTATTCTTTGGCGCACCCTTCGTGAGTTCTACATTTTTTCATCAGCTTTGGGTCAACGACTCGAGCCCGGAGAAGAGGTGTCACCCATCTGCATGTGACGACAGTCGCCTCCAGGGCGCTCGAGAACCAAGAGCCGAACGCCGACCTGGAACACCGAGGCCTATGCAATGCAACCTCAGACAGGGGCGGGTGGAGTGAGGTGCGCATAGCCGACGGGGCCCAAGGTGCAATCCTCTGACAGTGCGAAGAGCATCCGGGAGTTGATAGAGGTTCATAGACAGAAAGCAGCGGCTCAGACGCGGGTGAAGGAGATCTGTGAGTAAAGTTAGTTGTGTAAGGTTGGTTCGTTCCGGCCAAATCGTCTGAAACGGCAAAATTCGAAGTGATCCGCACCATCTAAGGGCATCTGCTCGACGCGAGACAGGATCGCATGGTTGGCTGCCCATCATGACCGGGACGGCCTGGTGGCCGATAGAGCGGCATCTCCGGTGAAATGAAAGGGGCAGTGCATCAGGCTGCAGGCTATAGCGCCCGACCTAGTGGGGGCCGGAAAAGAAAGGGGTTGAGAGAGGGAAAGAGGAGAGAAAGTGCGTTGTTGTGTCGCGGGAGGGCGAGCTGTCTTTTATAGAGGGAGAGGGCGTAGAGTCCGGGCGGTAAAAGCGGCCAGTGAGGCACTAAACCACATTGATAAACCACATTGAGGTGGCTCTGCGGGAGCCATACCGGAAGGGGCAGGCGGTCGGACACAGCAGAAAAACGGTGCCAATGGGAGCCGAATCCAGCCCCCGCTTGCCGTCGTGTATAATACTATAATTATTAGTATCTAAGAGACAGTCTAGTCCCTTCTTCAATCTAGGACCTTAATCTTTTGAGTACCCTATATCACTTATATGATTTAGCTCTGTTTATAAGAGCTCCTTAGAAAGCTAAAGGCCGTACCCGAGAATAATAAAGCCGAATTAGAATAGTCGAGTAAGCAAAATTTAGATCTCTAGACGAAGTGTTCTACCCACTTAATCGTGAATACACCCCAATGCTAAGTGACGGTAAAATGAACGCCGAAAGCGGCTACATTCGACGCCAGTTTAAGCGTTCATTTTACGAAGATATTAGTCATTCAAGCATCACGGCTAAAATAGCATAAAGCCCATCAAACGAGTGCGTGAATTTTTATTTTTATTTTTATTTTTATTTTTATTTTTATTTTTATTTTTATTTTTTAACGGGTCTAAGTGAGCTTCGGAAAAGTTGGGAGACGGACCCGAGTGAGCTCGATACAGGTCCGAGTGACCTGCGTTCTGAACGAGTACTCACCTGCAGGAAATAGTCAATCTAAAATCTTGTTGATGTTAAAAAGGTGCTCCATCGGGTTATCCGTGCTGAAGCGAAAAGTTATAACCTCCACCCAAGCCGCAGCAAACGACACACACGACCCCGCCCCCGAATCTGCGGTATGCGGCAAGGACATCACCCCGGAATATTGGCTTAGAGTCTCTTATTCTCATAGTCAAGAGATTTCGCCTGTGACTGTTCTTGCGCTGGACGTTGCTTCATTTTTGGCTTTGGGGATTCGGGCGATTCCTCGACGTTAGCAGGTAAGAGCGAGAGACTGCTAACTGCAAGGGTTTCTTCGATGTTCGTGCTTCCACTTGGGGCGAGCCCACCACACTCTCTGAAGTGGTTGATGACTTTATCCATTGACTCGCCTTGTCCGCTCATATGCAGAAAAGTACCGATGCATGCATGGACTTGGAGGAATTGAGGGTCTGGAAGCTTCCAATGTCCCTGGTGTACTCTGAATAGCACAAGTCGTTTTTTTGGCAAGTTCTGGATGGGTCCTGTCGGCATACCCGTGAATGTTTTAATCCGGTATTGGTTGGGGACTCCAGTTGCTTCAAAGATTAGCTTGAACTGTCCGAATCCTTTATGTAGCTGTGAGTCGAGCATCAGCATATTCTCCTCGCAGTTGATCAGCTTGAGGTCCTCAGACATTGCTCTGAGAACGGGGAAGTAACGTCTAAGGTTGATCCAGATTTTTGCATGTCGGTCCACATCCTTCCCGTCAAGAGGCTGAAAAATTCCCAGTGTATAGGGGATTATATGTGCCGCTTCGAGGTACGTCGTTCTTGCAGATTTAGGGTGCGGGTGATCGATGCTGTACTGATGGGTCGCCATGCATTTGTATCCATCACGCTCAAGGCAGTTTTTCCGCAATTTTGAGTGAGGATTCCTGCTGATGGGCTCGATGCTCTTTCCCTTGATATCTTCAACTGAATCTTCAACGCCGGAACGTGGAGATGGGGTGACTTCCGTTGGCGTTTTACCCCCTTGCGCTTTCATCGGAATTAACAATCCCGATCTGATGCTTTGGACAAGTTGCCGCAGCGCCTCATCATCTGGCCGCGGCTCACCATCTTTACCCTTCAAAATATCCTTCGCTAAATTCTCTTTCCCACCAGGTGGGAGCATTGTCCAGAGGAGGCGGAGGAAGCCTTTTGTGTCGTCCGAGGGTTTACCGCCTGAGGGTTCAAGTGGCACATAGCTGTTCAGCCTTTGATCCAGCTCCTAGATTGAGTGTCAGTAGTTGAAAGAACAGAAGATATAGGAAGGCTTACTACCATTGGGAGTGACATTCTGCTGACTTCAAGCCGGCGGCGAGCTTGAGGGAGGTGGGTGGGTGAGGGTGTGAAGGGAAGCGATGCTTGGGATTCTGATCTCGTGAGCAACTTTGAGCAGGAGATGAATGCTGCGTTTGCGTTGTCTTTCTCCGACAGTGACTCGCGTGTGAGTCCAGCTGGCGGAGAGCTTGACGGAGCTGAAGGTGGGTGAGTTCATTGTGCCATCTCTGGAGCTGGCGGTGAGCTTGAGAGAGGTGAAGGTGAGAGAGGCGAAGTGAGGGAGATGAACGTGCGAGTCGAGCTGGTGGTGAACTTGAGGGAGGTGATCGTGGGTGAGTTGACAGTGGGGTGACGCGACTTCTGAGTCGAGCTTACTAGGTTGAATATGGCAGGCGGTCACACTAGGGCGGTGAGACTTAGCTCATAGTCACTGGTCCGTGGGCGGTCGGTGTTGACCGCCCTTCCTCACGTGAACCTACTATAACAGTAACCGGCCCGGGCAGAGATAACAACTAAAATTCGTCTTTAGAATTCAATCAAGTGAAGTACGCATTGGCATAGTAGAAGAAAGAAGACACAACGAAGACCAAATTCAGGGAAAATTCATTTTTCCCTCAGAATGGCGGGCCAAGACCGTCAGGCAATAAGCTGAAGTGAGCAAGCGCTGGAGGATATACAATGGGAGATCAGGCCATGTCTTCCCTCGAGCTCCTCGGAGTGACCGAGGCAGCAAAGCGCTTATCATCGGAGGATGTGGGACAAAGAAAGAAGAATGACGTCGGCCAGTCGGAGCATCAGGGGTGAGCGATCAGTGTGCTCTGGGAGCGCTCCGGGAGCGCTCAAGGTCGCTCAGGGTCGCTCAGGGAGCAGCTCAGGGCGGCGGGGAGACTAACTCAGGCTAGACCCCGGGAGCCGATCGCTTCCCGAGGCGGCAGTGTTACCGTCACCTTTTTTACACTTAAAAAGGTTTCTTTGATTCTATTACCTTTTAATAAAACATTTAACTAATCGCTACTACAGGTCTAAGGATTTATAGTATTTATTAATATAAGCCCACAGCGCCGTGAGGTATTCCTAGGGCTATAAAAAAAGGAGCTAAAGATAGTTCTAATTTAAGATATACGCACACACTAGAATCATTCTCATTCCAGTCGTCCAGACTCAGTTGCGAAGCATACATCCATGCACCATAAACCTCCTACAAGGAAAGGTTTACCATGGTCTCCGGATGAATTCGCCCTTGTGTAAAAGCTCAGAGTCGAAGACAATCTCCCTTGGTCGGCAATCTATCGGGAATTCTCACGGAAATTCCCTGGTCGGACTAAGGGCTCCCTGCAAGTGTATTGGAGCACAAATAGAAAGCGAATCTAAAAAATATGCGTGTTTTGACTGATAGCCATGCTTGGTTCGCCTGTCATCTCAAGCGAAAGAAGAAATTTATCATTCAAATGACCTAGTTGAATAGCAATAATTTAAATACTGTTTTCTCCAGGTCACGGAAGCAATGTGTTCATTCGCTACCTTGCTTTAGACGACGGCTACTGGTCCCCTTTCCGCTAATGAGCAGTGGTCTAACACGAGCAAGCCCCAGGTATATTCAAAAATCCATCAATATAAGCAAGTCTAGTTATTACAAAGCCAGGACACGTGGGCTTTCTAGACATTCCCATGCTGACCCGTAATATACCACTCTGTATTCAGCCTTGATTCAACAGATAATCTTCTACTTGTGCATTAACGAAGATGTCGGTTAGTCTATCACTTCGGAGAGCTCTCGCCTCCTGGTATCCATGCTTGGTCAGTCCCGGCGGCCCCATGAGCAATCCCGGAGCAATCCCGGGGTAATCTTGGAGTAGCCGGAGCAATTCCTGTAATCCGGGAGTAGTCAGAGTACCCGGAGTGTTCCCGGAGTGCTCCCGAGGCGCGGCGTTTCCGTAGCAGCTCTTGAGCGACCCACTGCCAGCTGATTCATAATCAGTTGATGCATAAAGAACCTTTGTACTGCGACGGTTCACATGTTTGATGGTTGATGCCTGCTTCCGCAGGCATCCCTCATGTATTTAGATCGTCTCTCGTCCTCTCGCACTCTCTCCCTTCTTCCTTCCCCATGCTTAGTTACTTCGTTGAATGCTACTACGTTGATGTTGTCTCTTCGTACCTGAGCTGTAACATGTACTGCACCCCTCCGATGTTACAGTAGCCCACTCTAGTGGGGTTCCTGGGATCGCAGATAGACAACGTGTTCACGCGTCCCTTCCACATCTAGCAGGTCTCGGTTTATTATATACACCTGCCTCCGATATGTTAACTTTTATGTCGCCTAAGATCCAAGGATATAGCTCAGTTTCTGCTCTTAACTTACTGAATCTAAGGGGCTTCCCGTCGTTCTTTTTGATTACTGCTGCTAAGGAAGTTTTCTTGAAAAATATATTTTCTTGAACCCAGGCTGAAAGTCCACCCTCGTCATACCTCCTGCTCTCAGACGACATTTCACATCCTGCGGCCTATTGCGCAGCAGGCTCTTCATCGGTCAGACCCTGCTACTATAGTATGGCCCTAACTCATACATTGTCCTCGCCACCCATAGCTATGATTGACACCGGCTTAACATCCATGCTACGCCTGCAGGTATTGATTCTCGGCGTTGCGCGTTCACAGCAGGCCCCGATAGGGTAAATGATGTCGTATTTATATGAAGATGTATGCTAAAACAGCCCCCAGGATGCTCCAGATCTGACGAATGTTCACTCCGGCTGCGGCAAGCGCACCGGATTCATAATCCAAACTCAGGGAATTATTCCCGAACCCCATGCTCGGTGTCCATGTCACTGGAGTCCCCTCGTTTAAGACATCCGAGTGTGCAGCATCAATCCTCCCCAAGAACTCGATCGTCAACCTAGCTGAAATTCTTGGCGTCTCCTCATCCTCTTCGGCCAAGGTATTCGCGACAATCCACGATCGAATACTGAAACTTGCCGAAGAGTCGTCAAATGTCAGCTGCACGGTCGGGTTTGTCACACCGCTAACGTCGTCAAGGTCATCATCGAGTGAAATGGGAACGACACCCCACCATCCCTCGGTACGGGAGCAGGTCGACATATTCATCTGCAAAGTACCAAGCGGGTTCTGCTCTAGCTCCGAGCTCCCTGTTACTCGAAATGGGAGACCATTCCCAGTGTCCTCGGCGACAGTCAGGTTAAAATCTGGCTTCGTGTCTCTACTCGTGGGGAATGAATAACGCCTGTCGCAAATCAGTCAGCCGCCAGAAAGTGACTGTGCATTAGAAAGGGGTATATACTTACGACCTCTCAATCGACTCAAATATAAAGGGCATATCCCGAGTCTGCATGTTGCTGGAATCCATATAATCGCTAAAATACTGCGTGAAGTTCGAGTACGAGGTGAACAGCGAAATATCGATTGGGTTTGTGTTCTTCGGTCGCTCATCTTCGGGTTCTATCTCTGTGATCGCGAGGATTGCTGGATACGACCACGTGTACGTGATGTTCCGCAACTGCTCGCAGAGTTCCAACTCCCCCTCCTCTTCGATCTCGGAATCACTGCGGTCGTCTCGAGGCTCGACGTTGGAGATGGTGAATACGGCGCTGCCGTTGTAGTACCTATAGATAGATTCTTAGTATGCAGTCTGTGTGGTCTGTGGATACGGAGTCGAGCGCACGAGCCAATCCATGGATAATAGTAATAATCCAAACCCGTCACGTTTCGCGGCCGGTAATTCTCATCTGGGTCGTAATTAACATCCTCGCTGCCTAGAGCCTGCGCTGCGAGGAACAGCGGTAGCTGCAATAACGCTGCGACGCGGCGCATTGCGATTATCGCTCAGGCTGTCGCAAACTAAATGGGCTGGGGATAGCCACTTGTCGCAGGCGCAGAATGGGAATCCAAGAGCTGGAGTCCACAGCGCGGGGGCCACGCTCCCTCTTTATTTTTTCGGACTTCTCTACTGGATACGAACATCTAGCCTATTTTGATTCGTTAGGAGTGTTCGGACCCTTGGTATCTGGGAGACGGCGGCTTGGCTTTCTTGGCTGTCTCTTGCAGAACCGGAGTCCGTCCGATGGGTGACTCTGCACCAGTATGACTGGTGCGAATATGCGAGTTCAGTATTGTTGTTTCCTGGTCGTCTATTTGACTTCGGGTATATGGGATAAAGTTTGATTGGTGGAGACTGAAGCTCTGGCTCCTGCAGGGACATGTGCACCACCAACTCTAAACTGCCCGGCGTTTCTATAGTATCCAAAGGCAATGAATGAATTACGCCAGGGTTCTTGGATTGCCAGGACATCGTATTCCAGACCCTAGGGTTTTGGAATAAGCAGGCAAGAATGACATCTCTTGACTTCCGGACGTTGTACTGTAAGATTTGTAGCTCCTGATGTCCCGGCATTACAGCGAGGTTGTGTCAAAGCAGTCTGTATGTGGTCGGGCCCGGGTTTTTCGAGGTTCTGTTCAACGTCGATGAGTCCAACTGGGAGTCGAAGAGCTCCCTCTTCCACGCCTCTCGATCAGCACTGCCAAATTTCGTTTGGCGTATCCCGACACTTTCAAGTGCTTGCGGAGCTCTGCGGCAACTAGGAAGTCCCACCCACAATACGTGCTGACTTTCATGCATTGAGCTATTGTTAACTCGGCATCTCGTGCTAGCCAGTCGGTGTAGATCTCCTGGTGCTCCGGATTTGCAACCCTTGTATATTCTCCCTCTAGCCGTGTGAGTGTCCGTGACCATAGATGTCTGTGGGGATGGGTCATTATCTGGCGGTCCTAAAGCCATACGTCACCAATCTCGTCTGCAATAACGTTTAGCCAGGCGTCTGCTCCTAGCGTTTCCGATACTTCGGTGTTGTTAGCCGGATGAGAGCGCGGTTGGAGATCGTTTGCCAGGTGGGACCAGGGACTGTATATGGGAACGTTCAGGTCTATCTAGACACTTTCGCAGTGTTAATGTGAGAGCAATGCAATGCAGGGTATCCTACGATCTTGAACTCTAATCCCGAAGAATGGGGTTGCTGACTGTGATTTGACTCGATATTCGGCATGGACTTAGTTCATATATAGAGTGCAATATCTCATCGCCAATTAATTTTTATCAGATCTCGAAATTTGAAGATTGATTGACGTCGCAGGTCTGTGTTCCCGTCCTCTACCACTTTTCACTTCCCGTGGTTCCAGCATCGTTATGTCAGTGCCTCGTGTATTCTTCTTCTAAATCCGAAGCAGAGGGCGGCGGAAAGCAGAGAGCAACGCCAACGATTGTCGAATAGGGCCCACAGAGCGGTCGTCTTCAGAAACTGGCCATTGCATGTTGCACCTCAGCCTGCCCTTGTTCGACTTCATTTGTGGTCGGGACCCTATTGATGGATTGGAGCATGTTGATGGCTATGCCGAATGAGGTTACAGTTTGCTTGATAGATATGAGCGTTTCAGTGTGCCAGTTTGCTCGTTTTTTAGCGGTAAACCCGGAACCATGGTGGAGATTGTCAACCATTGTGACCATTCCAGGATCCAGTCGATGGCTCCTGGAACCAATAGCGCTCCGAAAATCAAGTTCGTAGTTCCCAGGAGATGCAACACTGATCCCAGAACATCGCGCAGTCGCTCCTAGCGCAAGTCCACGACCCAGGAACGCTACCCAATCCCTTAGGGGCCTTATATCAAACAGAATGCTCGTTTTAATGCTTAGGTGCTGCCTATAGGTGTTGTTTCTGTAACGTCTACGCACTGTGCAATTCTTTAATGACTCCTTTGACCAAGAGGGCTACTTACTTTAACAGAATTTCAGACTACCATCTACATTATCATGTCTACTTTTTGTCAATATTGTCGAGACATCCCAGGATCCATGGTTTCGATTGTTTGGAAATTCTATCGAGATGTTCGTGTATTCGCGAGTAACTACATCAGGGAGCGGCAATAATTGCGAGAGGAATGAAGACTGAAGTCAGCGCTTCTAGCTGAAAGACCAAAAAAAAAAAAAAAAAAAAAAAAAAAAAAAAGGGAGGTGAGGGGTTAGTAGAATGAAGTCGAGTTGTCAAACAATACAATTCTGGACAGACCTAGTGGCTCCAGGCTTATCGAAGTCGAGTCGACTGCCAAACATGAGATCCAGGTCATGTGTTACGGCCGCAATTTCAATCAGGTGTCTATTGTTGCCTTGTCGCCTCAGGTGTCATGCTTTATATTAGCATACTTTTAGCTTTTATAACCCACCACGAACCTCATTTTCTAGCAAAAAGTTTGCACCACAAGTTAGCCACTGACCTCAAGAGTAATTGAACAGATATATTAATCTTTTGACCCTCTAGTTGTGGTGTAATTCACAATTAAAAATCACCCCTTCCCACAGAGGTCCTAAGTGTGAAGGGCTACGGCCGAATTGATTCAATTGAGCGGAGCCAATATGCTGTTTATCTGAAGCTTAGAGAAGTTTAGAAATAGGTGGTGGCCAGCGGTGACTAAATCTCCTGGGCTGGCCCGTTACACTCTCAACTTGTGTGTCACAGGCAAACTCGGACTGATTGTCATGCTAACTTCTGCAGAGCTCGTACTCTCTCAAGCCAATCCAAAACTCCAGACGGGGTATCTAGGATGGAGGAAAATTTTAAGGTGTTCGTGATGGTGCCATTATTTTATCTGATTCTAAGATATCCTGTGAACCATGTTCAATAGGCCGCTTATTACTGCCAAGATCCCACCTGGGCAGGGTGAAAATGCTAAAGTGAGAATATTCGTCATGCGGAGAAGTCTGTAGGTGTAGAACAGGGCTAATTCATCAACATCCTGTTTATTGTTGTTGTGCCTTCTCATTGATTACCGGCGTCTGTCTAGAGCTGACACCTGGTTCAAACCGATATTGGCTTCCAAGTTATTTGACTGTGTTTAGAGATGCCTGAAACCCCGTATCATATTATCGATGATCCTCTCAATCACAATAGCCTGAAACATTACAACTTAATTCGCTATACGCCCGAGTCCGGGATACTATTACAACTCCTTCGCCACGCAATCTACCCTCTGTCCTTCCCCATCCTACGTGCCTGAAAGTGGATTTCAATTTATGCTAGTCATATATCGCCCTATGTCATTTGTACTTATCCCACCATTAGGTGAGCTCTAAAAAGATCGACAATACATGTTGAATCTCGGAGCGACATTCTCAAATCGCCCTGGAAAGTGCCTAATGAGCAACCGGCGGGTTCACAGCCCCGATTTGTAGCATTATCCCAAACAGATCAGGCAAGCCGGTTTCCTCCACAATCATTCCATCTGTGAATCGATAGATGTTCATAGATCGTGCCTGGATTTTCTTTCCAGAAGCCGGAACACCAAAGAATTCGCCTTCGTGAGTTCCACGCAGAGTAAAGTTCGCTACAACTTTATCGTCCTCGATGACTGTATCGTCAAGTGTCCACTGGATATCTGGGTAGGCGGAGCGCATCATGCCGAGAATTTGCATGTATCCAGGCAATCCTTTCAGTGGGGAGTCCGAAAACGGAACGTGGAATACAGCTGCTTCAGAAACTACCTCTTGCCCTATAGTTTCATCGCCTGAATTGATGAACTCAACGAATCGGTGCATCCTTTGTAGGAGAGGGCGAGCCATTATGTTGCTTGAATGATATGTTAGGTTTTTTTTTTTAAAAAAAAAAAAAAAAAATTAAATAAATATAGAAAACTAAGTTCAATTTTGACTTACGTGTAATGATCCCGTTTTGATACAGTGGTAAATGAGGAAGACTCTTTTCTTGGTCAAAATTCTGGAGACAACTGAGAATCAGTAAACACTAAATTGAACTTCGAAAAAACACCTCCGACTTGATCTTGGACATAGAGTTCGATCGAAATCCAAGGAATGTGGATTAAGATCTAGGCTCATTTGAAGACGCCTCTCGGGGGGTTTAAACGGGTACAGAAATATGGAAATTCACCTTTGATTGCAGATGTTTGACTTTCAAGTACAAATCTTTGTGTCCTGGTAGATCTCATCTGGGAATCGAGGCATACTTATACCTTGAACCCACGTGCTCAAAGTATGGTCCGTACATCTGCAAACTAAAGGCGTTCAAGACTTTTCTGTTTAGTATGTTTGCAGAGCACGGATCAGGTAAGATTTGCTTTCTCATAAGGTGGTCCAACCAATAAGCACGCGGTAGTTCGGAACAGCCGGGCTTAGGTGCAGCGTTTGTATAGGTTGTATTAGCGCAAAATTTCGCTTCTTATCGGATGCAAACTACAATTCGGGATTTCCGACATCCTCGCCGTTGTTTGGTATGTTTGTAAACTTCGGGTATTGTGCCGATCAGGCTAATATAGTATCAATCAGGACAGTTTTGTTCAGCCTCCGCTAATTATACGCCAGCCGAAATCAATAGGCTTTGTCGAAGGTCATGACCGCGAAATCGTGGGTATCGCATGAGCTGCAAAATTTAAAGCTTCCAGAGATGTCTTTCTCACGCTTTGTCCCCCTAGCTACAAGCCCCGCCCGTGGCCAGCAATCGATACCCGCTCAATAATACCCTGAGGGCCAGAGGGGGAAGGGAGAGAGAGAGGGTGGGCGTGTGACCGGAGTGAGATAGTGCGTGTGCGGACGGGCTGTGCCGAGGAGGCCATTTTCGGCCGCCTCTGGCGCTAGAAACGGCTGTCTCAGCACATATGCAAATTGTTATAACGTATTATTATTATTATTATTATTATTATTATTATTATTATTATTATTATTATTATTATTATTATTATTACATATAAATATTTCAAATATAAATATCCAATACTGTAATGCAACGCACCTTCGACCGACAAAGTTCCGATTTGCAGGATATAGATCAAGTCACATGACACAGCAGACCCACCACAGCCTCGAAAGTCAATCCGGCCGCGATCAAGACTCAATCGAACCTCAACAACCAAAATGCCTCTCATTAATGTATCCCACGACTCGCTACCCTGTAAGTCTTCCTCGATCCAACACCCGCCAGACAAACCACTCACACAAGCAGACGTCGACCCGGCGCCCACAGATGCCGCGCGACAAAACGCCCAGCGCCTCATCAACGCCGAGCTCGCCCCAGACCACATCAGCACGCTGCACCCCTCCATCCCAGCCGTCCCAGAAACAAAAACCAGCGCGCTACTAGCACAAGAAATCGAGCGCAAAGCCAGCGGTGCCCCCTAACAGGCGGCATCGACCTAACGCGATACGAAGCGCCCGAAGCACCGACTCGAGTCTCCGACACCGACGCCCCGAACCTGGCCGAGTGGAAAGACACCCTGCGCAAAGCATATATCTCAGCCTCGCACCTCTCGAAGCGTCATGAGAATTTGACGCTGCTCGAAGAGGGGGGTAAGAATGCTTGGTTGATTGGGAATATGCAGTTGGAGGATATTCTCCGGGGCCTGGAGAAGGAGCTTGCGGAGACGAAGGCGGAGGCGGAGGAGGTTAATCGCCAGCGCAAGATTGCTCAGGAGTCCAGCTCTGGGGAGTTGGAGAGTCTTCAGCAGACGTGGTGGCGGAGTGTTACTGCCGCTATGCAGGTTGAGGGGGCGGCGGATAGTATTCGGAAGCAGATTTTGGATTTTAGGCGGCAGGCGGCGCAGCAGCAGCGGTAGGTGTCTGGGCGTTTTTGTCTTGAGATTTGTTTCGGGCAGATGTTGATGGCATTGCGAGTCGCGTTGCCTTTGCCGGGAAAACTGGCTCAGTCAACGACTTGCGTCGTTCGATATTTTCTGACTGCGCATCTGTTCGGAAAGAGTCGAGCCTGGCCATGCTTTTTGCCATTAGGCTTGCATGCGTGGTAGCTGGCAATGGCACATGAGCGCTCCAACTATCGCCGGATCGATATTTGGACTCTTAAAACTCCGTGGATCTGGCCGAAACCTGAAGACGGCCAGAATTCTTCAAAGCAGCTCGCTTCTTGAATGCCTGTTCAATTTGCTCCCCAGCTTGTATTCAACCTCGTCCAAATTCTTTTTGCCAGGGCACCGATTCGCCCTTCTATGATACCAAGAATAATATGATCATTACAATTCATCTTCTCCTTTTCTCTGTCAACGCACCCTAAGAGTACACTTTACTATCTCACGACGTAGTACAGAAATAATTTTTCATTCTCATAGTCCTCGCTAAGTTATGCATTTGATTAACATTCCAATTAATCTACACATCGCAAGAAAGATCAGGAACCAATCCACGATCAAATCTTCGGCGAAACAAGATTAACATCAACCCCCTTCTCCGAAACAGCCACAGGCCCAATCTTCGCAACATCAACATCAACCTCTTTCAACTCCGCCTTCCGATTCCAATCCACAAGCTGCTTACACATGCCCTCCAACGTACTAAGAGGCGGGTTGTATCCCAACCCACCAAGCTCAGGTGCCTTCCGCGCCCGACTATCATCGGCAATGCAGAAGACGTCGGAGATGGAAAAGAGCGCAGGCTGCACCTGGCTCAGGTCGCCGGTCAACTTTGGGAGGAATTGGAGGTATTTGTACTGGATGACGGAGTAGAACTCGACCAGGTAGGAGAAGACGAAGAAGGGGACGGGCGGGATGGAGGGGAAGGAGACGGGTGTTTTGGAGAGTGTTTCGAGGAGCGTGTAAATGTCGCTGAAGGAGACGGCTGGGTTTGGATCTGTCACGACGAAGGATTGGCCGCCTGTGTTTGGGAGGTTGGAGGTTGGCTGGCTTTGTTCGAGCAGACGTTGCTCGTAGAGAAGGTGGGCGATTGAGACGTTTTCGGCGTTGACGAAGCTTTGAATTACGGGGCGGGTCCAGCTTTTTCTCCAAGTTAGTGCTTTCTCTTTTCTTTTGATAGATGGCTTTGATAGATGGCGGGGGATAAACTTACGTGGGACTGCCCTGATTCCGCAGGTAGACGCCAGTCAGGGTCATACTGGCATCACTGCCAATACCATAAATGCCATTCGCAGGTCGAATACAACCAGTCCGGAAATTAGATGACGGGTCATCCGCCTCACGAACCATTTTCTCCGCTTCCACCTTCGTCACGGCATAATTGCCAAAGAACATGTTATGCTCCTGCGGCACCTTCGCCTCGTCGCTGAGCACCTGGAACGCGCGCTGAGGCAGCTTCTTCCACGGCGCGACCCAGAAGCCTAGCTTGTGGAGCGAGACGGAGCCAGACGAGGTCGAGACAAAGCAGGAAGCGCCGACCTTCCTCGCGGCGTTGAGCACGTTGCGTGTACCCTCGATGTTTACGTTGCTGCACAGCGGAAGAAATATCTCCAGTCGATCCTGCGGACGGATGATAGCAGCAGTGTGGAAAACCGTCAAGGGGAGACGGGCGATGCTCTCAGGCCATGGCGACTCAAATGCCGTGGTGACAGCCAGGTCGTCGCTGATGTTGGTCTTCACATAGCCCACGCCTTGCTGGAGGACTTGCTGTGTTGGCGCGAGGAGATCGAGCACGCGGATAGCGGATGGGTCTTCACCACGCGCGAGAAGATGCGAGACGATCCAGCCGCCGACGAGACCTGCAACCGTTAGTCGGAATTCAGATATGGCGCGGTGTCTGCCAGCAGAGGGGTTTTGCTTTTTGCGGGGGTCTATAGACCGCTGCACGTACCGGATCCACCCACGACGACGTAGCGCCGGGCTTGTTTGGGCGGGAGACTTTGGTCGACCTCGACGGGGTTTTCGAGGGCCTTTTTGTAGCCGGCTTTGATTTGTTCGATGGTCCAGCGGTGCGGCGAGGCAGCTGTTGCTTCTGGAGGCACGGCCTTCATGATGGTGTTCACATGGCGCAGGTACAGGCCCACGCCCAGCAGTGCCAAAATGATCGGGATCATCGTGGTCCAATTTCCACGAACAGTGTCGAACAGTGTCGAAACGAAATATGTGAGAGTCAAAGGTTAGGAATGAGGGTTTTGCGCCGGTGCACTGGAGAAAGTAGAGAATAAATTGCGCCGAGTTGCGATAGAGAGCAGTTCGGAGGCCGATGCCATGAGAGAACGGCGGCGAGAACTAAGAAATGCGCCGACCAGCTGCTAAGCAAGCGTTTGCACGAACATTTACGAACAAAGGCGTTTCTACAAATATCTTATAACCTTCTAAATTTTTATTTTTACTTTTATTTTTGTTACGCAGTTTGATCCTGGCTCTTCGCTTAGAGCGACAACGGCTCGGTTATTTTTAAACGAGCGCGGGCGGCGCCGTGGTTGGTTCCTCAGGGGCATTTCCCCGAAGAATCTTCGAACGGGCAGGCCACAGCGAGGTCCTCTATGGAGTAGCGAGGTAGGTCGAATATATGATCTGAATCCATCTGTCTACTCTAGAACACTGCTGAATACAGTCCACAGATTAAGTTCTCACGCTAGAACGGCTGCACTCCACCAGCCCAGCATCCTGGTCGTCATCCGATGCCTTAGTTTCAGGCCTCCGCGCGGAATCAGTTCCGTCGTGGTCGATACAAATTTGAAGCTATGGCCTGCCGACATTCCAGCAGGCTTTTCCTATCGGTCTCGAGTCATCGGGATCCTCCAGGTCCCGACTCCGGACAGCGCCCGACATCACCACACGCCCTAGCGATGACACGAGGCCGCCTAGTTAAGTTAGTTAAATAGAGCCCGGGGTACTCCAGGCATCCAGGTACGCTGGACAGATACTTGGCACAATGACTTCTCGCTCAAAATCCCGAGCCCCACAGCACAAGCAGCAGCCAACCTGTGGCTGATTCCAGTGCTGGCGATTGCGCCTTCGGCAAACCGGCACGCTGAATCCACACTCCATGGTCCCGTCGGGTACCCTCAGCACAACTGGGTCTTGGAGCAGATAGGGGCACCGTCCCGAGCCACTGCCTACCTTAGGGTACATGCTGGAGACGCTGCCAATGGAGTTGCGCCGGTGTTTACCCACGGGGAACCTCCAGATGGGGAAGAGAGGAGAGAGCAAGCAGACACCAGAGTTGTTTGGATGTATATCCCGGCATACAGACAGTACAGGAGACTGCGCCAGCGCTTTCTTGCAGATGCACTGCACAAAGCCCGGGCCTCGCACCGTGCTCGGCCTGCTTGCCGAATGAATCACCTCACTCGGCATGGCATGGCCCTGCTCTTTTCGCCCTCGTCGACAATTAGGCTTATCACTGCGCGAGCCCCACTTGTCCCTCCTGGAAAATTTCTAATCGAAGCTGTCGCAAACAGTTTACAAATTCCGTTCCTCGAGTTCTTGAGGACTTCCTATATTTGATCCTGGTCCTGGTGCCCATAAAGAGTTACCTCGGTGGCAGGGCCAGTTCGTGAAAGCTAGCCTTTACCGTTGCTACGGAGGCATTTTCTCCTCTCCCATTTACCATTTACCGACGTGGCCAGCTCGTGCACACCCATTTTCTCTGATCCATGTGGAGTACCTCGCTGTGCAGTTCTGTAAAGAATAAGAACCAGCCTTGACAAGGCAAAGAACGACTTACGACTTCTCAACATTGCTACACTATAATCACGGAAGCAGTACAGAGGCGCTATCAATAAACTCAATCGCACCCCACCACCAAACCTTCTTTTAGTTCCGGGGAACGGCGACAGTTCGTATACTTTCACCATGGCAGCCACCGGCTCAGAGCACTCGCAAGAGAAATGGCCGCAAAACACAGAGCACCAGTCGCGCGACTCAGACTCGATCGGAGAGTCCATCTCCTCGGTGGATACACAGCAGGACCACGATGCGCTGGGCAAGACCCTCACAGTTCGCGCATCGCGCAACTCAGAGCACATGTCCCTCTCGCAGCGTGTCACGACTATCCCAACGAACGGCACCTCCAATCCAAACTATGAAGTCGACTGGGATGGCGAGGATGATCCTGAGAATCCCAAGAACTGGACTCTGGGATATAAAGCTATGGGATTGCTCTTTCTGTCTTGGAATACACTCATCGTGTAAGTCAACACTCCTTTACCTCAAAATGCCTTGTTGAAATGAGGACATACAAAGACAGATCTAACAACACATAGTGTCCTCTACTCAACTTCCTACACATCAGGCGTCACCCAAATCGGCGCCGAATTCTCTGAATCCTCAACAATCGTCACGCTAGGCCTTACATTCTACCTAATCGGCCTCGCCATCGGCTCAATGTTCATGGCTCCCCTCAGCGAAGTCTACGGCCGTAAACCCGCCTGCATCGGCTGCCTCTCAATATTCACTATCCTAATCATCCCCTGCGCCCTCGCCAAATCGGTCACGGCTCTCATCGTCATCCGCTTCATCGGCGCCTTCTTCGGCAGCGTCATGATCTCAACGGCACCCGGAATGGTCGCGGATCTAGTCGATGACGAGCATCGGGCTCTCGCAATTTCGATTTGGAGTATTGGACCGCTGAATGGACCCGTTCTTGGACCTGTTATTGGCGGTTTTGTTACACAGTACCTGGGCTGGCGATGGATGTGCTGGATTGCGCTCATGCTGTCGGGCGTTGCGCTTGTTTTTGCGCTTGTTTTGAAAGAGACGTATGCGCCGACGCTTTTGCAAAAGAAGGCTGCTCGATTGCGAAAGGAGACGGGTGATGAGCGCTGGTGGTCGCGGTATGATCAGAAAGCGAGTCTTTCTGAGATTCTCAAGTTGAATCTGAGTCGGCCGTTTGTGATGGCTGTCACTGAGCCGATTTGGTGCGTTTCTCTTCCCTTTTCTGATGAACCTTTACTAACTTTTCTGTCAGCATCTTCTGGAACATCTACATCGCCATCGTCTACGGAATCCTCTACCTCTGCTTCACAGCCTACCCCATAGTCTTCGAAGAAATCCGCGGCTGGAGCCTCGGTTTCTCCGGCCTCGCATTCCTGGGCATTGGCATTGGCGTCCTCATCACCATCGCCTGTGAACCTTTCGTCCGCCGCCTCATCAACAGCCACGAAGTCGATCCCGAGACGGGCAAGCCCCACCCCGAGGCAATGGTCTCCTTCGTCTGCATCTGCTCGATCCTCATTCCCATCGGCGAGCTCTGGTTCGCCTGGACCTGTGCCCCGGCCTCAATCCACTGGATCGTCCCGCTGCTCGCCGGTATTCCGTTCGGCGCAGGAAACACAGGCGTCTTCATCTACGCTTCCAACTATCTCACCTACAGCTATGGCATGTACGCCGCCAGTGCGTTGGCGGGTAACTCGGTTATTCGCAGTGTGTTGGGTGGGGTGCTCCCGCTGGTCGGATCGTATATGTATGACAGCCTCGGACCGAATTGGTCGGGGACTTTGCTGGGACTGTTGGAGGTTGCTATTGTGCCTATCCCGTTTGTCTTTTATAAGTATGGGTATAAGATTCGCATGAAGAGTAATCTTATTGTGCGCATGCAGGAGGATAAGAAGAAGCTTGAGGGTCGACGGGCGAAGAAGGGGCCTAGGCAGGGGCTGCGCCTCCGAATGATGAGGAGAAGCAGAATGAGGCGAACTGAGTACGCTCGTTTTGTGAGTCTTTAATTGCAGTGCGTTAGTGTTTGTTCTACTTGGTCTGATACCCCCCTCGTCTTTGCATTGGAGGTGTTGAAAAGTTGATACTGGAAAAATTGCAAAAGTCTGGCTTGAATGCATCATCATTCATAATGGCATAATCTCGTTACCGTACACGGTCATTGAAAAAAAAAAAATATTGAAAACACACCGCCCGCTAGATCATTTCATCTTGTAGATCAAATGATAGACAGGTGAGATCATCGGCCTTCCAGTCATGTCCACAGTTCAAGAATTGGTCTGGGAGAGTCCGATGTCTCAAGTGAGGTTGGCCTTGAATGGAGAGACCTTAAGGAGACACGTCTTCTCCGTAAAGGCGACGGTGGAGGTCGTGGAGATTGCGCTGGATGCGCTCGTATTCTCCCAGGTTGACGGCACCGGCAGACCAGACCAGCATCGCGTCGACGAAGACAGGACGGCCATCCACGGAATCAGTCCATGGGTTCACATCATCCCAGAATCCGTGGTTGTCATATTGCAACCAGCGATCATCGTCAAGAGCTTCGCCCCGCGCGGCCAGGTCCACGATATATGAAATGAATTCATCTTGGTTCCGGACATAGCCTACGACATTTACCCAGGTGCCGACTTCCAGCAGCTCTGGGTCCACATCCTCAATGATAGGTGCGATATGGACACGGATTGATGGGAATGGGGCTGGGCCTTGGGGATAATTATGTTCAAGATAAAGATCCCCCGCCAGAGAATCATAACGAGAGACGCTGAAATCAGCACAAGCAAGGCCGGTTGTTAGCATCGGGGTATCACTTCCCGAGGATTCGATTGGTCGAGTCTACTCACCATCCGAGGAATCGAACTTTGGCATGATTGATGATAGTGCTGAGATCGCTGATAAAGCAGAAAACAGAAGGGCGTGGGGGATTCATCCTGGCTGTTGTAAGGAAGACATGGAGAGAAGAGAGAAAGGGATCAGGGCAGGCAGTTGTTATGACTTCGTAGACGCTTACCTCGCGTACCTTCCCAGTACGTACGTGACCCATATATGTCACGTGACCTGATCGGCCCGTGTATGTCATCAATTGATAGGCCCAGCGAGGAGAGTTCCCCCTCCATTTGAACATCGGGTCACCTGCGAAAAGCCGCACGCGATTATCGCTCGTCCTGCCCGGAACAACATCTCGACTAAGACTTAGCACACATCCGCAACCACCTCGCTGTATTCCTTTGACCTCTGCGCTGCTGGCGCGTTTGCCTGGAGCCTATTGCCCGGTTCAAAGCCCGTCTGACTTGCCGCACCTCGCTGGGGGAATTACAATCTCGCCTTGCGTTATCGGTTCTGCCTGCTCATTCGTATAAACCTCGACCCTTCACTCCGTACTCGACTTCTCCGCTCGCAGACTCAACCCACCACCCACCCGCTCGCCCACGATGTGGTCCTGGTTTGGCGGAGCCGCCGCTCAGAAGCGAAAGGATGCACCGAAGGAAGCGATTCTGTTGCTCCGGGAGCAGCTTGATATGCTACAGAAGCGGGAGAAGCACTTGGAGAACCAGATTGGAGAGCAGGATACCGCGGCGCGAAAGTACGTCAACTCAAATAAGAACGGTATGTTTCGGTTTCCTCTTTGCCCCGCGGAGCGCGGGGTCACTTGTGTTTGACCCGTCCGGGGAAGAATCAAAGAACATTTAGACTGACACACCCTGCTGTGTTCTTTTAGCTGCCAAGGCTGCACTTCGACGGAAAAAGGTTCACGAAAAGAACCTCGAACAAACAACATCGCAGATCGTCCAGCTCGAGCAACAGATATACTCGATCGAAGCCGCCAACATTAATCACGAGACTCTGCAGGCGATGAAGCAAGCAGGTGCCGCAATGAAGCAGATCCACGGTGGAATGAGCCTCGAGCAGGTCGACGAGACGATGTGCGTGATGCAATACTTGATTATTCTGATGCGTTTTATGCGGGACTTGCAGGCTGACATACGGAATACAGGGACAAACTCCGCGAACAGCACCAGCTCAGCGAGGAAATTGGACAGGCGATCACCAGTGTCCCTCTTGGCGAGCAGCCAGACGAAGAAGAACTGGATGCCGAGTTGGAGGGATTGGAGCAGGAGGCTATGGACGAGCGGATGCTCAATACCGGTCCTACGCCTGTGGGTACCCAGCTGGACCGGTTACCGGCTGCCGGGAATTCGGAGTGTAAGCATCCTTCCCTTTTGCCTCTGAAACTAGATATTTGCTAACTCTGGCTGTAGTGGGCAAAGACAAGACAAAGGCCGCAGAGGAGGACGACGAGGAGGCAGAGTTGGCCAAGCTGCGTGCCGAAATGGCCATGTAGGCTCGAAGTCTTGTCTCTTCTATATCCTTCCCATCCCTCTACGTCTCTGCGCCCCCCTCCAATCATCTTCATCTTACAATATCCGCATGTGCAAATTCCCTTTTCACTGGCTGATCAATAACTACTATTTACTCCCACCATGCATCGGATGCTTTCCTTCCCACGAGCCAGCCCTCTTTTTCCTGTATTCTGGTGCCAGTTTTCAGCTTTTTTACGTCTCCATACACTTCAATACGGTTCTCACCTGATTTCTTATTCAACTTGACGCCTGCGTCATACTTGCTGGTCAAAGCAGTAGACCTGCTCACCCAATACCCGGAGCTGATCTATAGCAGTTCTGTGGCTTCTGTTTCATTTATAGGATTAGTTAGGGAGTTTCTTTTTGCTTGGCGGGGTAGTTTTAGATGGATTTCGTGACATCTCCCTAATGGATTGGTCCTGATTTCAATCTACTGAATTCCATATATTTGACCAATTTCTATAGCGCCCCATGCCAGCCCTGGATGACCAGTATGGTGTATAGCGTAAATCACATCACTTACTGCTACACATCGGGGTGCCTCTTTCAACTGATGCTGGCTCCAGCAGTATAGTAAATCATTGATATTTCCCATCTCAGTAAGGTATCTCACACGCAACCCATACTCAAACAAAGCCACGCAGAGAGCCGAGATGCCCAAGAAAGAAAAAAAAACGCCCATAGCAAAAATAGTGGACCCGCCATGACCCAAACCAAACCTAAATGCTAAACCCATTCGCCAAACCCTAATGAAAATATTAGACCCATCGAAACGACGTCAGATTCATATGGTTCTCACCTAGATGATGCCGGCCTGCGCCCTCTAAGGATACCAAGCGTAACTCTTGTCCGGAAGTGAGCGGTAGGTATCTGTCGCTTCAGTCGACCATTTTCTCTTCCAGTCCACCTCGCGGGTTGCAGCGTCTAGAAGAGATTCCTTGCACTCGTCCGGGAGGAGGGCGAGGATGTCGGGCGTCATGAATTCAGGGTGGGCGGGATCCGCAATGCTGACCAGGCCGTTTGGCTGGAGATTGCGCAGGTCGCCGTCCGGACCTGGAATACCCATGTTCGAATGGGGCGGGGCCTCGTAGACGATGTCCTGAACGTAGTAGCGGTTTGAAATGTGTGCGGGAACGGGAGGGAAGATCGGTACTTGATCTTGCGGTTGCTCTTTTCGGTCGTCGGGCTTGAGGTTCCTCGGCGTCGTGGGTTCGTTGGTTTCGTTAGACTCGTTCGGGGTGGTATCGCGGTTTGTGGGGTTTTGATTGGCGAGCGTGAGCGTGGACATATCTGTCATCAGCTCGGCGGTGCTGGTGATATCTGGGGGTGGCACGCGCTCGATGCGGCAGTGTGTCGGCTGCATGATTTGTGGATAGTGCATGATGTTGGTGTGTACCTCGTACACGCCGTTCATAGTGGATCGACGCATCTCGGCAAGTTTTGCGTTGAAAGTGCTAGAATGGAATGTTAGTTTACATCTATAGTTGATGTGCCATTGGGGTTTTTCTTACCTTGCAGCCCGAGCGTGTTCGAGCATCCAGTTGTCATCTGTGACAGGCACACGTCGCTTCTTGGGATCCACAGGTTTCCCACCCACCATTGGAACAGAGGGTGCTCCGGTATGGTAAACAGCACTCGCACCATGCCAGGCGACGTACTGGTTGCGGTTGTATTCCTCCCCAGGGCCCGGGAGCTTATCCTCGGGAACAGCCAATTCACCTTCCACATCACCGCGCTCACGGGCAGCCTGTTCGTCGTAGTCATCGGTGATCTTCTTGCCGCCGACAACGATCTTTGCACCGAACTCGCGGAACACGGAGCGCGCGGTAACCACACCAATGGCTCGACCCTTGTACGAGTGAGGGATAATATCACGCTCGATCAGGTCGCGCTTCGCATCATCGTCGATAATGATCTTGTAAAGCATTTTGTGCTTCTGGAAAAAGAGATACGAGTCACGGAAACCAATGCATCGAGCTGGCTCGGTCGAGAGCATGTAAAGCTTATTGTCGCGGTTCAGAATTGTGAAGGTGCGGACACGGTATTCGCGACCTCCGAGTAGATGACCATCGCCATCGACCTTGGTGTCACCGATTGGATTCGGGGGAAGCGCGACTTCATCACCAATCACGTCCATCATGTTTCCTTCCTTGTCGATCGGAACCTGCGGGTTTTGAGCGGGACCACGGCCGCGCGCCCAACGACCGCCACTAGCAGCTGGACGGCCTCGTTTTCGCTTGATAGGTGTAGTGACTCGAAGAGGTGATTCGGCGCCGTCCTCGGGTTCAGGACGGGGGTACTTGGGTGGACGGCCGATGCGGCGTTTTCGGGGGATGGATGGACGTCCCAATGCGGGACTCTCGCCATCAAGGACGGTGCTTTCGTCGGCAGCGGGTGTGGCGCCAGCTGTATCTTCATCCTGCTTGGATTCCGCCGGGGTTTCTGCCGCATCGCCTTCCGGCGCAGTATCGGCGTCGGCTTCAGGCTCGGGATTTGCATCGGCTTCAGGATCAACGTCCTCTTCATCGGGAGAACCATGGTCTTCCACTGCTGGCGATGATGGCTCTGATGGGGGCGCATCAATCATGTCGTCGTCCGAGACCTCAGGAAGCGTAGGCACATTTTCTAGGGACCATTAGTAGCGAAGCGCGTTTGCAGGGGTGAAGTTGCGATGACCGCAATTTCTACAGAAATTGCGTGCAACGGGGGATTTATGGACTCACTCATAGACTTGGCTGCCGCCTGAGCGGCCGCCCTCAATTTTCGAGGCATGCCGGCGATGGTACTGAACTGTCAATGCACTGCGCAACCACGATGTCGAATGCCTAGCAAAACAGCTCCAGCGGAGAGGCGGAAAGAAGATAATCCGGGAGAGCGTCACACGTGATCTCTTTTGTACCATTTTGTACCAATTTGTTGCCCGACATTCCAGGTGTCAATTTTTCGGCTTATCTAAGCTTGGTGCCATTATGTTGCTGCCTGAGGCAACACGCCGATTCCACGTTGAATTGAGGCACGAGACTGACGTCACAGCCCTGATGAAGCTTTGCGGATCACTCTTGAGCAACTGACTCGAGTCGCAACGATCAGCAGGCCAGCAGAGCATGGATTCTAGACCACCGACCGCCTACCCTGTGGCACAAACGCGTTGATATCATATGCCCTCTGTTCTGTACATTGTGCATATCTACTCCGCGACTGTTGCGGAGATTGACGGCGGCACGATGAGCTCATCGTCTGGAGCAGCCACACCAAAACGCTCACCGGTCGGTTAGCACGAAAGAAGTGCGCCGTTCTCTCCCGACGCCTCATTATTGGCGAGCGGCCGCCGAGAAGGAGCTTTCTGTGAGGGCAGAGGGCAACTATAGCACCGTGCGCCCGTTCCATTTCACCGATTTTTGCGGGCGGCGACTGAGTACTAGTTCTATGGTACTGATAGTATCCGGAGTACAGCCGATCGACTTCAGCGGTATACCCAGCGGTATACTTCGACAATGCCTTATCACATGCAGAAGTGTTCCAGCGCTTGAAGCAGAGGCTTGAACTCTCTCCTGTCATGACAAAACCTGCTTTTCGGTGCAGAAGTTCATCGCCGCTTAGACCCTGCAAAACGACGGAGATGCAATGCACATACAACTATGATCCGCTGGCCCATCCTCATACTACATATTATGGAGCCGCCTGTCATCGTGGAGAAACTACGCATCCCACAGCCAATCTCGGTGCGAGGAATAGCAGACACCGTCCATATTTCACGCTTCCAGAAATGTCTCTGGGCCGTGCTCCATCATATTGCGCATGAAATGCGGTGTCCTCGGGAACAGAAGTCGGCTGCATGGCTGCAGATCGTGGCACAACTTCACCGCGCAGATGACCTACGAATTGAATCTTGCGTTCCGCAGCGCCCGTGACCCGTGGCCCTACGGATAAACTAGCATGCAGGCGTATGCGGATTGTCGACCCGGGATGACGCTGAGGCGTTTGGAAGTCAGGAGCTTCGAACTGCACGAGTATCAGATCCAGATCCGCCCGCACGAACCACTATATGGGATCCCTCCCCGGCCTTACTCCATGCATCTCGTCGTATGGAGGGGTAGTGGCCAAGCCCAGCCCGGTTATTTTGTGAACGGCGGATTCAGGATGTCTTTTCCAATGGCTCTCCGATTTGTGCGAGCACGACAACACCCCAGTTTGGTGAGGGGTATCGCTGCAGATCCTCCCCGCCTCAGGGTTGGATTGGAGAATGGCTGGGAGTACCCGAACCCGTCGGCGTGAGCGACGTTTGCTGAAAATTGCTCCTTTTTTTTTTTTTTTTTTCTGACTGTCACTCGGCGACTCTGTGTAGGAGGCTCACATCGGTGTTTGTGTCACGTACGCTGTCTTCAATGAGCGCGACCGGCTCTGATATCCATCAAACCAGGGTGCGTGGAAGACGAGCTTGGGACTCCATGGCGGACGCCCTATGACGCAGCCGGTGGAGATCACCGAACATACCGCAACATGGCGGAGTACGGAGGCATCACGGCGAAAGCCATGGGGGCTCGGTATGCAGATGCAAGGGGAACTGGAGCATCTGGGCCGGGCCATATTGCAAGACGCACGATCCGATCGACGTCAGTCGGATTTCAGGTGACAAAGTGGATCAAAAGCGTGTTGTGATCATAAGCAAAGAGAAGGGGGACAACAATGCTCATAAACCCTCATGCCCTAGGGGGAGAGATACGGGGTATAAGGCATACTGCAGACTACCCTAGGGTAAGTGTATAGTTCCCGGACCGAAGGGCGATCCGCCTGGCTGCACGATCCAAAGAATGTACCCCGCCTTGCGGAGATGGCGGAGATTCTGCGGCTGCGTCGCGAGCTGATAAATATGCGAAAGAGGCAAGACGTAAAAAAAGATGCAGGCGGCGAGTAATTGCCCGCGGCCACATGGGGACGATCGTGCGAGAAGCTTCGAGCTGCGCTTTCAGGCGTCAGACTGCATAGTTGGGCCGATGAGGAATCTCGGGTTCGCCGAGTTCGGCTGACATACTTCGGGAAATTTTACGCAGTACGCAGTATGTAAATCGTATGGAATCGTGGAGGGATCACGGGTAGAATAATAGTCTACACATGATTCAAGTCTTGTTAGTCTCTCGCAATAGGTGAGGAACTTACAGACCCATTAACTCATTATCATCAACGATGAAAGATAACCACCGTTCAAACTGTTCTGAGCTATTGGTCTCCACCGTGTAATTTATTCTTTCCTTTCGTCAAATGGGAGTGTGGCTCATCGCCCCTCGTTTGCCTGGTAGGGTACCGATGGCAGATCGCAGTGCATTCCATCGGCGCGAATGAAAACCGAATCAAATAAAACGAATAAATTAACGTACTGAATCCTCGGACTCGAGCACACGTCTAAAATCGAGCGAACAAACAAAATTAGCCCCAGGCCCCCGTCCCAACTGGAATCTCACATGCCTCAGCTGATGGTCAGCATTGACGACCATCCCAATTGCGCAGGCACAGCCCCGATGGGCCATTGACTCGAGCAGCTGAACGTCGACCTGCTCTCCATTTAATCTTTGATCTTCGCCTGACCATTCTGCGGTGATAGCGATACTCAGAAACCAGGGGGTCATCGAGGTATACTCCCCCGGTGCCTCCCGCAATCTCCCTTAGCTCATCATCGGGCGGCGTCACAAAGTTTCTTTTTTCTTCCTGCCTTTCCCGTCTTTTCTCCCACCCCCGCAACTTCCCTCGTGTCTCTTTTCTGTCGTGCGGAGGGTCTTCTCCGTTAAATGGAAACGCAATGGCTGCTGCGCAGACTGCTTCCGAGTTACACGGCGATGCCGACATGAAGTCTCCCAAGTGAGTTGCTTCCAACACCTCGAGTCGCCATCCAGTGGGCCTCGACAAACCTATCTTCCCGGTAGTGTATGGGCCAGCAGATGCTCGACGCTTCGTGATCGAAAGAGGGACTCGATTCCCCTCGCACCGCATTGCATGGCCCGGAGGCGACCCTGCAGATGGGCTCAACGTGGCTCCGGTGGACAAAAGGGCGTTGGCTGTCTTGTCACCCCCCACGTTCGGGTTGTCGGACTGAGTCTTGCAAATTCCAACGCCGATGAAGGGTCAGGCCGGTCGCAATGGGCCCCTTTACACTTGTTTGCACTCGTCCCATCGCCTTCGACCTGCATAACTGTCGTTCTTTTTTTTCTCTCTCTTGTGACTCAGCGATCATGGCTAACCACCTCCGTTTTGACCCCATAGCTCCTCCCTACCAGAAGACGACAACCAGGACCAGATCGGGTCGAACGGGTCCACTCCCACGGGGATTGCGACTCCTCAGCCAGACCCCGCGGACAAGCGTCTGCCTTCCATCATGCACAACTATTTCCAGGTTGGTTCTTTCTCCGGCGATAAAGCGAGTCTTCCGCGGCTGTGGTCCTGCCTTTCGAAGCCCTTCTCTGCGGACCCCCACTCAGACACCCACCAACCCCACCACCAAATCCAACCCTCCGATGCTTCCTCCGACTCCTTCGTCATGATGAATCGTGAGGAGGCGTCTGATCAGATGGAAGAGGTGCGACGGCCCAACCTGCCCACTCCGCCTCATTCGTTACTGCAGCAGGTGTCAGACGGGACGGGACTTGAGCCGAGTCCAGATGCGAGCGGGGGGTCGTCGATCTACGACACCTTAAAAAATTATCTCAGTCCTCCGGCCCGCGTCGAGAGCCCTTCCCCCTCACGCTGCCAAACCTCGCTGCCGGTCTCGAGCGTCTCTGACGACCCTGTCCTTGCCACCCACTTCTTCAATCCATCTCTCTCTCCTGCCTCCAACCCGTTATCCTCCCTTACCGAGCCTCCTCCACCCCACCACGAGAAGCCGCAGGTTTCAATATCTTCCGAAGAACTGGCCAAGCTGACTGGAAACGCACCCGATGGGGTGCGTCTTAAGAATACTCCGCCCCTCACCCCCCGGGCCATGTCCAACGAGGACCAATCGACCGATAAGAAATCGGTCACCTCGGCGCCCCGATATGTCGAGGAACAACCGCAACCCGAAGCCGAGAATATGGAATCCTCGACCGACGAGATCACAATGAAACTCGACGAAGCCTTTCCCCGCGAATCTTCGGCCTCCCCCCAGAATGGACCGCCCGTAGGATCTCTGAAGGGTAAATTGTTTGTGAAGATTTCGGAGGCTCGAGGATTACGTCCAAGTTTCGACCCGTACGTTGTGTGCGTTTTCGAGTGGAACGAGTACATCTCCAAGGGTGCTCGTGACGGGGAAGAGGAAAAGAAGCGACGTCAGATGGAATCGGATGCCGAGGCGGGCATGCCGATGGCCATTCCGATGAAAAGTCGGCAGAGCAGCAACAACAGCGCTCTGGATGCCCACAATCACAAGGGCAGATCTCCGGTGACCGACCCTCACTGGGATCACGAGGCCACATTGTGAGTATCCCTTGGTTTCAGAATCTTCATTCACCATAACAGTAATTGTTCCTGACAACCGTGTTCCTTTTTTTAGTGACGTTCTGGGAGACCAGTCTGAAGTCGACGTTACCGTTTACGATCGCAGCAACCAAGAAGCCTTCCTGGGACACGTTCGCCTCGGTATCAATTTGAGAGAAGATCATAGCCGACTGGAAGGGTGGTTCCCGCTGGTCGCTCGCGGTGCTGGAGATAGCCAAGTGTCAGGCGAAATCCACCTTCAGATGCAATTTGAGATGACGGATCGGAGGAATGTTGGCCCCAACGACTTCCAAATTCTCAAGCTTATCGGCAAGGGAACCTTCGGTCAGGTGTATCAGGTTCTAAAAAAGGATACGGAACGGATCTATGCCATGAAGGTTCTTTCCAAGAAGGTCATCATTCAGAAGAAAGAGATCGCACACACACTCGGCGAGCGAAATATCCTCGTGCGCACCGCCATGGCAGCGTCTCCGTTTATTGTCGGTCTCAAGTTCTCTTTCCAGACCCCGACCGACCTCTATCTGGTGACGGATTACATGTCTGGAGGTGAACTGTTCTGGCACCTTCAGCGGGAGGGTCGTTTCCAGGAGGCTCGCGCCAAGTTCTACATCGCGGAACTGATTCTCGCACTGCAACATCTCCACGACCATGACATCGTGTATCGGGATCTGAAGCCAGAGAACATTCTCCTGGATGCCAATGGCCATATTGCACTCTGCGATTTCGGTCTTTCCAAGGCGAACCTGACTCAAAACGACACGACCAACACTTTCTGTGGCACCACTGAATATCTCGCACCGGAAGTTCTGCTCGACGAACAAGGATACACGAAGATGGTCGACTTCTGGTCTCTCGGTGTCCTGGTCTTCGAGATGTGCTGCGGCTGGAGTCCGTTCTACGCCGAAGATACCCAGCAGATGTACAAGAACATCGCTTTCGGCAAGGTGCGATTCCCCCGTGATGCTCTTAGCACCGAGGGCAGGAATTTCGTCAAGGGTCTGCTCAACCGTAACCCCAAGCACCGTCTCGGCGCCAATGGTGATGCAAAGGAGCTCATGGCCCATCCATTCTTCCATGATATCGACTGGGATGCGTTGTGTCGCAAACAAGTCATTCCACCATTTAAACCTAAGCTGCAGTCTGACACCGACACTTCGAACTTCGACCCCGAGTTCACCAATGCTCTCGACAACAACAACTCGCTCAATCTGCGAGCAGCCGCCCTGGCTAACGGCTTGATGCCTGGCTCCACGCCTCTGTCTCCCGGTATGCAGGCGAACTTCAAGGGGTTCACCTTCGTGAACGAGAGCTCTATTGATCATCACCTCAAGAATGAGCCTGATGAGATGGACGAGGACACGGTGCATGGTCACTCGTGGCAACCCACCCACCGCCCGACCAACTCGACCGACCAGCGCATGAGCGGTGTTAAGAATGCCGATGGCACTGAGCCCGGGATCTTTAACGTTGACGATAACTTTGACATGTGATTACGTTTTCCCTTTCCTTCGTCTCTCTTTGCATGATCATGGAGTCTTGATCCGGCATCATTCCAGCCTGTACATGCTTCGGATGCATCCCGTGGGGGCCCGCAGATATGGGTTTTGTTCCTGTCACTTTTTTCTCTCTTTTTCCCCCCTGGGTGGTGCTTTTTATCTGGCTTTGGCTTTGACTTGTGTCCGCTTGGACAGAGGATGAGTGTCGACCCTTTCTATTATCTTGAGATCTTGAGGACGTGGTTCCTCACGTTACGTCCAACCATTCCAGCTACATACCCCCGTCTTCCTCGGCTTGGTTCCGGGCAGACCTGCATTTTGGGTAGGGACTGCTTTGCAGTATTTCTTTTTCTTGGTCGCTCGGGTGCGCTTGCACCAAATCAAGTTGACCGAGAAAAATAAATTTACTCCAAAGTCCCTACCCCAGCGTGAATTTTCTCATATTTCCTATGCTTTCTTTCGGAATGGATTTACACCCGGGTTTTCATACCAGCGTTTCTCTATCATTTCTATTTTCCACTCTACTATTCAAGTTTTCTTGGATCAAGCTTGATTTCCACTCCCATAAGACTCGCGCAATTGGCCGCTTCATTCTTTCCTTATCTCCTCTCCAGACCCCCAGGAACCAGAACCGCCCCTAATCTCTCCTGGGGATCGTCCAGCCCACCCACCTAGCATCACCATCCTCATCTAAACTCACGATCGCCCTCTCCTTCCGGCCGCGCATGATGACTACCCAGTACACAGGCTTCATTCTCGAACAGCAACTTTCATAACCCCTCTCCCATTTCAGGCGTTTAGACGCACAAGGCGCGGGTTTTTAGGCAGGGTACGCTCATATTTTCGAATACTACGAAATGAAAATATCTACCTATCAATCTTGTTCGCACCGCGGACGAATGGATGGTTAGCAAGTTTTAGATTTCTTATCGTTTCAAATGTCGAATGCACAAGTGTCGAGGTAAGAAGTACTGTCTAGACTCAGAAGCCAAATCCTTGGCGTCGTCATTCTCCCCGCTTCACGGCTTGATGATTCGCTCGCACCCCTCAAGCATCATCTAGATATGCAGGTTTGGCGAGGAAATGATTCCTCGAAAGAGAAAGACTATCCGCTATACAATTTTGTGGGCGAGCACTCAATCTCCCGTTCAATATAAAACATCGCCAATGGTTGATTCAACAAAAATACGAAATCCAACCTCTCAAATCGAGATCACATATATCTCTATATAGACCTCTACAACCAAACAAATCATCAAAAATAACAAAAGGGAACCCAAACCACCAAAATGCCCCCACAACCCCCCAAGCCAACAATCATCCCATCAACCCACACAAAAGCCACACCCCCAGAATCCTTCCCAACCTCAGAATATGGCACCCTGACTTGGCACACCCTCCTCTCAACACCAACAACGCAAACCTCAGACCTCAGCGCCGGAATCGCAGTCTGCCCGATGGGGACAGGCCATCTCTGCGCACACCGACATACCCAGGCGGAGATATACTACATTCTTGAGGGAGAGGGCGACGTCACGATTGATGGGGTTGTTAGTCGGGTCGGCAAGGGGGATACGGTGTTTATTCCCTCTGATGCGGAGCATGGGATTGTTAATACGGGACCTAGGGAATTGAGGTGGTTTTACGTTTTTCCGACAGCGTCTTTTGGGGATGTTGTTTATCGGTTTTCTGGGGAGGGAAAGGCGAATTTGTAGCGGATCGATTCGTCAATACATCTATTGCAATATTGCTTCCACACTATGGATTGCGGTGTCTTTCTTGGTATTATATTATATTTAAGACTTTGACTTGTTGTATCCTGATCGAACATGATTTAGGGTACCACAACTATTGTGGTTCAAATATATATTAGTAATTGATACAGCCACACTCCTTCCTGATCTTTCAGATATCTGCTAGTACTTCGGCTGGGTTATGCAGGCTATTTGAGTCGATAAATGAACTTTCCGCTCTCTGGGGGGAAAATATTATATCCCGAGCCTATTCATTTGACATAGCGCCAAGGCAGATCGGGGCGATGCGCAAGAACATCAGCTTCTTTACTTCATTTGTCCCATGCTGGTCACATGCCGCGGCGATGCAGCAAGTATAGCTTACGTCGACTCTTGTGCGTCTGCTTTATTGAGATAATTGCTTCGAACGAGGCCCGCGTTTCCGCTGTGTCCGTGGGCTCTGGTAGATCGGCAATCAAGTTGCGGGCATACGAGTCTCCTTCACCTGGATGGCACCACTCCCTAGAGTAGCTAGACAGACAGCTGATCGCGTACATAGTAGGTGACTTGGTCAAAAGTGGCAAAAGACCAGGTAGCTGACCAGATAGGTGACTCAGTGTGAGCAATGAACCAGGCAGTAGGTATCTAAGATCTCGGGTATCAAGACCATAGTTGAGGTGGCATTTCACAATGATGTCGGAATCTGCACTATGTTGAATCAACACTAGTCTCTATTTTCGTAGATATTAGTGTATCTGCGTGAGTCCATGACAGGGTGCGGCCCAAGACAAAACACCGAGGGTGTGGATGTGACGTGGAAGCATCAATATCCCCGTTCGCATATACTATATCCCACGCTGTACCATCACATTGACTGCACCAGTGTGTACGTAAACAAGCAGTTCTTCATGACTCTGCATTTCGATATCTAGGCCCCGGCCTGACCCGACGCCTCTTTGTGGAATTCGGTATCTGTTTGACCAGCTTCATAATGGTTGATACTTCATTTATGTGACAAGGTAACTATCTGGTTACTTCAGAGCGCTGTCGCGTGAAAGCATATTCTTACAGACACTACTCTAATTTGGTCGGAGAGTGACACAAATAGAAACACAGGCTTAATAAATGTTTCGAATAACACCTTAGCACCCACGCAGGTCAGATATATTTAAATGAAACATTCAGCCGTGCTACTAGGGGTGCACACGAATAAGGATTTTGGTTATTCGTATTCGTCAATTTTCCTCAACTCATTATTCGTATTCGACTGGCTATTTTCGTGACTTTATTCGTATTCGATTCGTAATTATTCGTAATTTCCGCCAAGACTAACTTACCCATACTGTAATAGAGACCCACCGCCCATCTAACGATGCTCAACGCGTCGCGTGATTGTTTACACTGCAGATACACGACCATAATTTCGTTTTCTACGCACTTCTTTCCTATCAGTCAACTATCAGGACAAATTTCTCGCGCTACGAATGGACGAGTCCACGGAGTCACAGCGCAAACGGCCATACAGGTCTCAGCGAATCAATTACTGTGCGCTCAATGATGGCATCGACGAGGAGGCTCCACCAGAAGACCGCATTATTGAGATCCCTCCTTCGAAAAGGGCACGCAGTAGCGTTGAACCGATTACTCCTGATGACTCTGCAAGCCAATTAAGCCGGGCTCGAAGTCCACTCGTGGCGATCTGCTCCCAAAATGAACTGACTGCGGAGGCGTTGCCTGACGTGGTCAGTATCTCCAATGAATCTGGCCTTTCTCGAAGAAAGATGCAGAATCAAGCTCTCTGGGCACATTTCGACTGTTCCCCGCTACCGGGAAGGATGTGGTGGCCAAAAAGGGGAAAGGGCCCAATCAACGACCGGGAGGTGCGCTGCAAGAGATGCAATTGGAAAACGACAGATTCTACAAGGGCAACATCAACATCCAATATGATGTTCCATCTCTCTAAACATGGTATTATCCTAAGTGGCCCTGAAAACAGTTCGGAGGACGACAGAAGCAGCATAAAACAGCCGTCAGTTAGCAGCTTCTTCCAGAAGCGGACTGAGGAGCAGAGAGCAAAGGTCCTGGAGCAAAACCTGGTTCGGTGGGTGGTTATAGACGACATGGCATTTGACGCCATAGAATCGCCCCCCTTCCAACAGATCTTCCAGGACTTGGGTGTTTCACTCCCTTTCGCATCTCGCATGACAATGGCTCGTCGAATCGATCGTGATTTCGACAATTGTCGGGAGCAGTTGATTGAAGAGCTAGAGCAGACGTGCCAAACGATCTCTCTTTCGCTAGACGCTTGGACGAGCAAGAATTCAAAAGCCATGTTCGGGGTTGTTGGCCACTGGTTGACAGTGGATTTTCAGTACCGAGAGCGGGTTCTTGAATTTACGGAACTCCACGGCATTCATAGCGGAGAGAACATGGCAGAAATTCTTCAGACGCTTCTCACAGAACTTCGAATCGAACACAAGCTCCTCGCGATCACAGCAGACAATGCCACAAGCAATGAGCGCTTGCTATCGGAATTATATCTCAATCTCACCGAGAAATTTCAAGCCATGTACGGAGCCGTGAGTGCTGCAAGAGCCCTACGATTTCAAGGAGTGGATAGTTATATTCGCTGCACTGCGCATGTGCTCAATCTGATTGTCAGCGATATACTCGTCATGTTGCAAGCAGGGGACCACGCGTCGGCGAATGCAGCTTGTGATCTCATGCAGGAAAACAAAGAGATTGGCCCGCAATCACCGTTGGCTCGCCTTCGGATTATGGCGCTTTGGATTGCAAGAACCCCGCAGCGGAAGCAGCAGTGGAAGATCATCTGCCAGAGCAATGGGCTCAAGGACAAGTTCATCGAGTACGACGTGGATACACGGTGGAATTCGACACACCGAATGCTCCGAGACGCCCTGAACGCGAAGCAGCAAATCAAGAAATGGATCCACCATCAGTTAGATTTTCCACCCTTCAGTGCTGAGGATTGGGATCGTCTCCAACAAATTGAGGGCTTCTTAGCCAGGTTTGAGGAGTTCACCCTCACTGTTTCCAAGCGTCAACCGCAAATTACCTTAGCCATCCCCATTTACTATGAACTGCACGATCTGTTGCATGATGCTGCGTCTAGGGAGGGAGAATTCTCGGATCTGCACCTGGAGATTTCTGCTGCTGCTGCTGCGGGCTTGAAAAAGTTCCAAAAATACTACAACCTGATGGATGGACAAGACGCCTATTATGTCGCCCTAGTGCTTGATCCGCGATTTAAAACGCTCTTGCTAGACAGAGATCTAGGCAAGCTCACAGCACCCCAAGTTGTCACGCACATCAAAGAACTACTGCATGATCAATATCCATTGGCAGTCGACTCGTCGGCAAAGCCCTCTAAGGAGCAGCCGAGCCTGAAGAAGAGCATAGAGGCCCGTTTACTTCAGAAGCTGCAACCTAAGAAGAAACATTCATCTGACATTGACCGGTACTTTGAGGATGACGTCGTCACGATAAATGAGTCGATTTCACAGGACAAGAATTGGCTTTTATCGTGGTGGAGAGCACAGAGGAACGAATACCCACAGCTAGCTACTGCTGCACGAGACTATCTGGCCATTCCTGCATCATCAGTGTCGGTGGAGAGACTATTCAACAAGGGACGAGATTTACTGGGTGTCAGGAGAAACACCTTGAGCGCGGAGACTATGCGGCGGTTGATGTTGTTACGAGATATATATCTCTCTGAGGAATATTAATCACACGTGATTTTTACGAATAATTTACGAATAAGACACATTTTATTCGTACGGATATTATATAAGCGACGATGCTTATTCGTATTCGTAAAATTTTACGGTATTCGTACGAATATTCGTAAAGTGATTATTCGTGTGCACCCCTACGTGCTACCGTGGTACATTCCGTCTGAAGCTCAGTTTCAAACACGACATGATTCAAAAATAGATCGATCAAAACGAGCATTATGCGAACTAATTATGTTTAACCCCTATGTAAACCTCATTTGCACGCTTCACCTCAGATTGTTCCCAACTGTAAGGGACGCATGGCAGCTGGGATGGATGGTTATCTGGAATCCCGACGCTTGGTACGGAGCTACAACATACTCGGGAATGCAAGGGTGGACCAAGGAAATATTAGAGTGACATCACCGCTCAACATGTGGCTTCTGAGTCTTCGTATTTGGAAGGGTTCAACCTCGTATAATTCTCCATCCTTGAGTGTCTGTTTTCCAGAAAGCATCAACAAGCATTCCATCAGCCCGGCAGATCCACCAGGGTGGGCTCGACATCGCCAATATGCAAAGCATAGTGTCTGCCGGCTGTGCAGATCGGTTGGCATGGAGGGTACTACGAACAAGGCGCTGTCCAGTGTCTGAAAAGAGATAAGAGCGGGCCCCCAGCCCGCAAACGGGATGGGGCCAGCTTCAAACTACTGAGAGACCCTGCTGCTAAGAACAAAAGCGGATGCGAATCATGCCACGCGGCAACGAGGTGGATCTTGCTCAATTCCAAATCTCACAAGGCGATTCCGACAGAGCGGAAGGCTGATGATGAAGAAGTCGCAAAGGCAAGATCCGATAGCGCAATTGGGTGTGATGGAAGCGACTATGGGGTGGGCTGGTCTCCACTGGATCGGGTTTCAGCTGAGCCCTGCCCACATTGTTTGATGCAACAGATTGCCGCCATAGTCCGGTGAGCGTGCGTTCCCTCAATTCCAATGCCGTGCGAAGCGTTGTGTCATTAATAGTAGCCTTTTTTTACTTTTCTTTTTCTTTTTTTTTTTTTTGCCAAGATCAAGAGATTACCGCGAGTACGCGGCGGAAAACGAGGATGTGGACGGCCCGCTTTACACGAGGGAACAACTGGGAGATGGTGAACCCGGGGGTTGGTTGGACCATCAACGCAGATCCACCGCGATCGCGATCTCGGGGTTTCGTTGCCAATAATCCAATCAACCACGCGAGCACGTTCATGTTTTTGGGACCGCGTGGCGAGATCGGAAGGAAACGACGCCATGTGCAGCAACGTCTACAACGAGACACGCCCACAGTCGTATGGTTCCTGAACCATTGCCTCTTTCGACGAGGGGCGTCGGGATTTCTCACGCTTGGGCCGCAGGATGCGTCAGGCCGGGCACACAAATTGTAGTCGGCCTCTCATTGTCTCTGGCCTCAATGCCGCTGAGAGGACCCTGTTTGAACCAGGGTTTTCTATTGTGGCTGGTTGAAACCACCGGGAGCAGAGAGTAAAGTACAATGTGGATGGCAGTCGTATGCGCCGTAGTCCTAACCGGTCGTTAGTGCGCCAATACAATCTCCGTGCCAACAGCGATAGAAGTGCAGGGCAAAAAAGTCACGAAAAAGGGGCAGGGGACCCACTGCATGCAGGTCCCAGGTTCCACTCGGCCTGCTGCTAATCCTGCTGGGGAATAGCGCTGCAGCTCACGAACCGTCCGCGAGCGAAGTGGGCTGCAGAGCCGTTCGTGTTCGAGGTGCATGCGCTATGCAGTCGATGGCCCCCAGACCCCCAAAAGGATCAAGTCAGGCGCAGGGACAGCAAAATGCACTAATAGAAGAGGTCGAGGCTGACTCCTAGCCCTAAAAAAAGAAGTGAGAGCTCGTAAACTGGGGACAAAGTAACCCGCAGGTCATGATGGATCAGTCGGCGCAACGCAGCGGATCCCTGACGGTTCGGGCATAGAGGATTGAGTAGTCCAACCCCTGAACCGCCCCTGTCAAGTTCTCCGCTCACCACGAGCAAAGTGGATGTGGGGGGCGATCGACTGCTTCCCGGACCCTCGCAAGTTCAGAGTGCAGAGAGGAAGTGTGGTGGATGCCGACGACTGCCGCGATACTCTCCGCTCTCCCTCCTCTCCTTCACGTTGTACATACAACTTGACACCACTCCTCCCAGAACGGTCAAAACAAACCACAACACTGACCTCAGCTGGAATTCGACGATCTTTACTCAGCCATTACGACAACGCTCACTCGCCAGTGGACCTTGAACACCCCTGCATTCCTGGACCCCCGCCTGCCCTTTCGCCTGAATTTTCTTTCTTCCCCTCCACGCCTCCGATGCCAGGCGCGCCCAATTCACGATGAGTGTTGTTGCCAGTAGACCAGGGAACCCTGCTTTGCCCTACTCAATCCCTCAGGATGCGGCGGCTTGCAAGGAGTTTGCCGTCACGGTGCAGCCGGTAGCCTCGAGAACTTCCTCCGTCTCTTCTTATCGCACCAATTATACCACCTCGACCGCGCCAACGGGGTACACGCCTTCGTCGCCAGCCTCGTCCTATCGCCAATTCGACTCGCAAGGATCAATTCCTAAATACGTCGAGCCTGTTCAACGGCGAATCCCTCAGGAGGTGTACGATGTGATTTTGAACGGCCTGGAAACTCTGCACAAGGCGCCGCACCAGACAGGTTGTACAACATGTTTTCAACGCGACCTGCATGCCTTGTCCTTGACCTGTCGGTCATGGGAGAAGGCCGTCCGAGGACGACTGTGAGTCGACACCATCTGAATTCCAAATGCGGCTAGAGAAACTGACATCAGACGCTCAAGTTATACACAAATTCATATTGTCGGGAACGATTCCCCGGCTCAATTGAAGCGGTACCGTCTTAAGAGGGGTAGCCGTTTGAAGTTGCTCAGACGCACTCTGCGCGAACGGAATATGCTGGCCAATCTTGTTCGCGAACTACGCGTTCCCCAGATGGATCTGCTCTTCACCACAACAAAGCAAAGCGCGCAATGGCAAGAATATCGAGATTTGGTAGCGTCTGTGGTGATGGTGTGCCCGAACTTAGAACGACTTCTGGGCTTGTCCATCCCTTACCACCACGAATTTGACCGCCTGACCTATGCCCTGTCAACGCGCAAGCGACTGAAGGAGCATACCTGGGTTCTGGGCGAAGCGGCAGAGGTTACAGAGCTGTCTCCTCGAGGCGACTCCTGCCCTGGCAGCTTGGGACCTTCTCAAATGTTCGAGTTCCTGGATTACCATGTTTCATGGAGTAACTTGGAGACGTTGATGCTGTATGGTTTGAACGGAAACGGTGCTTTGGAGCCAAGTATTTTCCTGCGCATGTTCGATCTTCTGCCCTCGCTACGAAACCTCTGCATCACGTCTTTCAATGAGGACGCGTTTGCGGATAGCACTTTGCTGTGTCTGCCCCCACTGGACTCTTTGCGGTTGGAGAACCTGCCCGGTGTGACTGATGCTGGTATTGCACAATATGCCATGCGACCAGAGTCCCAGTCGCTCAAGTCTTTTGTCATGGTGGAGCAGAACATTGAATCATTGCTGGTCATTTCCAAGGTTCTCGCGTCTCTAAGGCAACTTGAGCGGTTCAAGTTTGTCCAAAGTGAGAAATGCCCTACTCTGGAGGACGAAGGGATGGTATTCCAGCCAATTCTCGCTTCCTCCAGCCTCAAGTTCCTTCACTGGGACGTCGCCTGTCCGGACCCCGGTACGGCACTCACTCAACTCGACCACCCCCTTTCCAACAACCTCCGAAACACATCGATACCCCCAACTCCCATCTCGCCCAAAGCATTCTCGCTGCCGGCTTTCCGTGCCTCGAAACTATTCGCGCACCCAACGACGTCCAGCCTCCGGGTGCATTGCAGGCCGTGTGCCGACCCATTCCCAAGGGCCAAGCACTACTGCGCCCGGACCGATATAGTCTACCTCGAAGCTCGCATGGCTCTGTTAGTATTCGACCTCTTGCATTGCCGGCCGGAAACAACTTGACCTCGTCTCGAATTCGCGCGCAAACATTCATCGACATGGCCGCCAAGGACACGGAAACAGGCATGCCGGTGGTGATTGAGGATTACTCTGATGAGTATGTCCCTGACAATGCGTTGGCTGGATCCTTCGAAGAAGAGCCGGAACCTGAGATCGATGATTACGGTATCTGGGCTGCATCCGAGCGGTATAAGCATGCACCTCCCGAGCCAGAAGGTGATGCGCCAAAGTTGGTATACAGATTTCGGATGCCTGCTTTCATGGGTCGTTCGGGAGTCATGGATCCGGTGACAGGCGCTTCGATTCCCCGATTCCTTCTTCGTCCCGATATTTCCGGCCAGGAAACAGAAGGAGGTTTGATTGGGTGGAAGCAGCTCCTTGCATCCAACCAGTCACTATCATATGCCGCCGGCATGGGTGTAAATTGCTTTGATAACAAAGACAAACCCACCTTCAACCCACCGATTGAGGAGATTGCGTCTCCTTCATCCACAACCACCTCCCGATTTGGCTGGGGAAGCCTGGGCGGCCGGTCGACCGGCACTCCTGCAACCCCTACAACCCCGATCACTCCAATGAGCAGCGCACCGTCAGCGGCTCTACCCTGGGAAAAGGACACCTGCACCGGCTCTTGGAACCACAAAACGGGACGGGACTGGTGGTTCCATATGGAGCGCGATCGTCCTGGCAACTCGGAGCTTATCGACGTGAAGCAACTCTTCTAAATATCGCCTACCCACACTCACTCTCATTCTCTTCATCTCTCCTCCATGTCTTGCTGAATGACCCTCTCTCTTCGATCTCCTCCCGCTACTCTCCTACCCACACTTTTTCTATCATACCCGCTTTTCTCTCTTGTCTCCATTACCACGCCATATACCCCGCATTTTGGTCGACTATTTGTTTTACGGTGCCTTGGATTTTCATTTCTCGTATTTCGACTTCATTTCCTTCTCTCCCCCATGATGCACATACGTCAAGTGTCATCGGCATCTGGCGTTAATGTGTCCTAATGAGCGTGACAGGCGGCTCTAATTGGTTCATGTGAGACACTGTCAGTCACTTTTCCTTTCTTTTTCCTTTCCTTGGTTCATCTGTCAATATTTATCTCTGGTTCTTCGTCTTCGCCGAGAGTCTCGCTGGCTCGTGCCTTCTTACCTGGGTAATTGGGCAGTTATCTCTCGATTTCTTTAGTTTGGCTTTCTTGTATCTGATCGTTTGGCCTTTGGGTCTTGTACATTCTTGTACCACCACTGTACAGTATTCACTGTATACTGATACTTGATAATTTATGATGTGTATTTGCCTTGATTTCACATGATGTGTACCCTAAGGTAGTTGAGATTTACCACACTTCTTTGATTATAGACTAGTGAGTGACCCTTCTGCCAGTTGCGGTAGGCCTGAACCTACGCCAGGGTAGCTATTTATAACTTGATCTATCACACCAGAAGATACTTTCGCACTATCAACATCTGACAGGGTGAGTCGGTAACCGGCTACCTTAGCAAACAGTGCACTGACTTGGTTCAAGTGTATACAATCAAATGTAGAGGTAGTTTGGAACGGGGAATGACTCATCCGGGGTTTCATCGGCCCGATAAGCGAATGGAGACTGATAAGCATCGAGGAGCCCCTCGTGAAAAATAACCCCACCAATTGCTCGACATTTACACTAGGAACGTGGACCATTCCATCATGGATCCAGGAAAGCCCGTCGACTTGCCCGAGCGGCCTAAGGAGGCCGCCGCGCCTCAGGAAGGCCCCTCCAAGAAGGCCCTGAAGAAGGCGGCCAAGTTGGCAGAGAAGGCCGAAAGAAAGGCTTCCCCCAAGCCTGCGAAGGAGAAGCAGCCCAAGCCTGCGAAGCCCGCCAAAGAGCCCGTTGCTCCCAACGATCCAGAAGCGATGTTTAAGTCCGGCTTCCTGAGCGAAGTCTACAACCTCCGACCGATCTCCGAAACCCACCCGAAGATTCGCACGCGTTTCCCGCCTGAACCCAACGGTTTTCTTCACATCGGACACAGCAAGGCCATTGCAATCAACTTCGGTTTTGCGAAATACCACGGCGGAGAGTGTATTCTCCGATTCGACGATACCAACCCCGAGGGCGAGGAGCAGGTTTATTACGACGCTATTCGCGATATCGTTAAATGGCTCGGTTTCGAGCCTGTGCGGGAAACGCATGCTTCGGATATTTTCGACAAGCTCTATGCTCTCTCCGAGGAGCTGATCAAGAAAGACGGAGCTTATGTCTGCCACTGCACCCAGGATGAGGTCAAGGCTCAGCGTGGTCAGACCGAAGGTGGTCAGCGGGGCGGTCAGCGCTATGCTTGCAAGCACCGCACTCGGCCAATTGAGGAGTCCCTGACTGAGTTCCGTGCTATGCGCGATGGAAAATATAAGGCCGGAGAGGCAGCTCTCCGGATGAAACAGGTAAGTCTATATTCAAGTCTGAATCTTCGAGTATCCTTCCCGGACAAAGGCTAACTTATTTCGCGTGACAGGACCTGGAATCGTATGTCACTCTACCCAATGCATATCGGTTCTGTACTAACAACTTGACCGGACAGTGATAACCCCCAGATGTGGGACCTCTTCGCGTGGCGTATTCCGGAGAGCGGCAAGAAGCATCTCCGTGCTCCCTCCTACTGCATGTTCCCAACATATGACATGGCCCACGGTAGGTTTCAATTATTGCCAAGCTCAGCAGGATAGCAACTAATCATTTCGGCGACAGGTCTGACTGATAGCCACGAGGGCATCACTCATTCCCTGTGTACCCAGGAATTCGAAATGAGTATGTCCATAACTTCCTTAACCGGTGTTATCAAGTCCGAAACTGACCGTAATTTAGGCCGTGTCTCCTACGAATGGCTTAACGACAAACTCGATGTTTACCGTCCTATGCAGCGCGAGTACGGCCGTCTTAACATTACCGGCACCGTTCTCTCTAAACGTAAGATTATTAAGCTGGTCAAGGAAGGCCATGTCCGCGATTGGGACGATCCTCGTCTGTATACTCTTATTGCTCTGCGCCGACGTGGTGTTCCCCCAGGCGCCATCCTCAACTTCGTCAACGAACTCGGCGTTACCAAGAATGTTTCCAACGTCCAGATGCACCGATTCGACCAGTCAGTGCGTCAGTTCCTTGAGACAACCGTTCCACGCCTCATGGTTGTCCTGGAGCCGCTGAAGGTCGTCATCGACGACATTGCCGATGACCACGTGGAGATGTGCGAGGTGCCTTTTGGCAAGGACCCGTCTTTCGGCACCCACACTGTCCCCTTCACAAAGACTGTCTACATTGAGCGTTCCGACTTCCGCGAGGTCGACTCCGCCGACTACTTCCGCCTGGCTCCCGGCAAAACCGTCGGTCTGCTCAAGGTCCCCTATCCCATCACCGCTACCACCTTCGAAAAGGATGCTGTCGGGAATGTGACAGTCGTGCACGCCAAGTACGAGAAGCCCGCCGAGGGCGAAACTGCTAAGAAGCCCAAGAGCTTCATCCACTGGGTCGGAGAATCCCCCGCGCACAACAGCCCTACGCGCGCTGAGGTCCGCGCTTTCAACCCGCTCTTCAAGTCCGATGACCCCTCTGCGCACCCCGAGGGCTTCCTTGCCGATATCAACCCCAACTCCGAGAACATCTATGCCGATGCTATGATTGAGACCGGCTTCTGGGAGATTTCCAAGTCTGCCCCTTGGCCCAAGTCCGCGGCCGAGGACGATGTGGAGAAAAACAAGCACTCCATCCGATTCCAGGGTATGCGCACCGCGTACTATGCTGTTGATAAGGAGTCGACGTCCGAGAAGGTGGTTCTCAACCAGATCGTCACACTCAAGGATACCCAGGGCAAGAACTAAGCTCCGAATCATTCTCTCACGAATGGGACCGGAGTATATGATGGATGAATCTTTTTAGTTTGACTTAGAGGGGGAGAGGTATCTTATCCATGTCGTGGAATGGGGGTGTTTATATGAGGATTTATAACCATTGCATTATGTGTTTTCTTATTGTTCCAGCTTTATTCATTCTAAAAATATACACGCTACCGGAGCATAGAGCGGATCTTTGATCATCACATGAATCGTCTCAATACTATAGTACAAGTACTTGGTACGCCCTCAATGATGCCTATCGACCATTGCCCAGCAGTGCCCAAGTGCAAAGCGACGGTCCAAACCGATATAAACTTTGTCCAATAGAAAATATAATGCATAGAAATGAAGAAGCAAAAAACCCCATCAGCCCCAAATTGCCCATGTGAGACCTCCTACCCAAGTCCCAACAAAAACAACAGTCAAAATTCCGGCGCCTGCCCGATCACCCGTCGTGATCCTTCTAGTCTTTGGATTCGAATCTTTGTCGCTAGTCGGCTCCGCTTCAGATTTACCACCATTGTCACTGTTATAAGGAGCCTGTGCCTTGAATGGAACCATGACAGCATTCAAAACACCCAGAACAGCCATTTCCTGCTCCAGACCTGTGGTTCCATCCCAAGCCGCCTTCTTGGTCCATCGGATTCCGCAATGTTTGCCATCATCTCCGCCCGAGCATTGCTGACCAGCAGCAACAGCAGAAGCTTTGAATTTGCCCATGACCTCGTCCGTGGCGTTGCTTGGGACGATCGTGGACATGAACCCGAGCCATGATGCGAAGTATGCCTTGAAGGTGATCTGGTTGCGATCGCACTTATGAATTGGTTCGCATGTAATATCTGACAGAACTTCGTTGCCTCCGCTGGGAGGGAAAAATTGGTTGGAGACTTTGAGCATTCCAGAGATGCCATTTAGCCATTTGCTTGAGTTACCGTTGGTCTGGGGGTGTTAGCATCACATGCAGGGCGCCTGGGCGAATGCTTTGTCGACTCACGTAGTTGTGCATATATCCGGCACCAGCGATATAAGTAGCGTAGTTGTAAGTCCACTGGAAGTCACCGTGGTCCTTGCACTTGGCATCGACGTTGGTTGTATCGGCAATATTCCAATTCTTTCTGAGCAGCGGAGTCGTCTGACTCCAGTCCCAAATCTTCTCAGCCCAGATGCCGAATGTTTCATTCTTCGAATACAAAGCCAGCCGAGCGGCAAGCTGGAACAATCCTCCGTTCGAGATCGCATTCTTGATTCCGTAACCGCCCTGATAGGGCCAGATCTGCCATCGCAAACCTCCGTTGCAACTTGTCATGTCCCAGCGAGCAACCTGCGCATCAAAAACACCTTGAGCCAGTGTAACCCAGGAAGGCTCGTCTTCGCGCTCGGGGAAATTCAATTCCGCCGCAGTTATAGCCGCCAGACCCCAGAACATTTGATCATCGTTTCCGAGATATGAGGAGGAGTTGCTTGGGAAATAGTTGTCGTCGTCGCCTTTTTGCCAATACATGCCGTCCTGAATGGCTTCGTTGAACTGATCGTCGCCCGTCAAGTGCCAGTATTGGATCAGGGTCATGAACATTGATCCACCTTCCCACCATGTCCCGTCTAATTTACCAGGAATATTCTTCGAGTCGCGATCGTTATAAAAGTCCATCATCGAGGTTGCGACGGTCTTCGCCGCGCTTTTGAGCGAATCTGGTCGTGGAAAGGGTGGGTAAGCTGCTAGAGCCTTACGCTGTGATCAACGGGTGATTGACATACCCTCATCCTCCGGATCGACATCGATCGCAACAACACCCTTTAGGGCGACAAACCCACCCAGAAGGGTGAAAAGGCCCTTGGATAACCTCATGAATACAAGTTGGGACGGCTCGAGGTCCCCATGTGTCGAACAAGGGTTCTGGGTGGAAGGCGAACTTGAAATATCAGACCTAGGAGGGCCCACTAGTGCAGGAGGGGCCTTCATAAAAGGGTCTCATGAAAGGGTCTTGGGCCCTGAGCTGACCTTGAGGCAGTGCCCACCCCCCAACGGCCAAGCGACCGAAGCCGAGACATTGCATGAATTGGGCGACCCGCTGGCTCCATTTCGCGTTGCTCTGTTCCTAAGACCTGGCGCTCTTCTGTACATCTTCGTTTGGCGACGATCCCTCTTCCCCGGATCTTGCTTGATCTGCTTTTACTACTATAAAATACTGCATCAGTTCGACCTTCGGCCTTCACGCGAAAGAAGCCAAGAGCGGCGTCACGCCGTGCCAAGTGATCAGTTGAGCGCTAACCGAGTCATCCGGTACAGCAGGAAAAAAAAGGAAAAACAGGTTCTGCCCACTGAAAAACTAGAGAGCGGTTTGAGGTCAGTTAACCCTGGGGACTGATAGTATCAAATGCTATAAGTATCATCACGGCAATTTGTGTATAGCTGCTCTGGCTTGAGGGTACGGGGTACGGAGCAGACTGACATGAATAGAGACCTACCAATCATACAAGGCTAGGGGAGCGGAGGATCATGGCTGCCTAATTTGTAATGCTGGGCATAATGGATCGGTTTCGATGGTTGGATGGGTGGGCTGGGCGCCAAGCGCCAAGTGTCTATTAGTGCCAAGCTGCCCGATTCTGGGAAATGAAATGGTCGGGCGGTATTTTTGATATTATTGGCTGATCCAAATTTATACTCGCCTACCCATTTAAGTTGCCTGTCGTATTCGGAAATCTTCTCAATCGGCGCGGTGTTACATACTGAACAAAGGTACACAGCCTCGTTTTCTAAAGAGGTCTTAGTCAGGGACAAGTGGAGCGCCAAGTTGCTCATATAAGAGCACCCTTGCTTGTACTCCGTTGAGTGGATTAAACATTAGTAACTACATGAGACTTGCTGGTCTCGTGTAAATTTCAATATAAAGTGAGACTGATAGTGAAGTTGTTGTAATTAGGTGTGCATTCACGGTCTGGGGGAATACAAGTCGCCCTAACCTTTTTCTCTCTTGAAGACCACCAATGGTATCCACCGATCTAGTAGTCTCCGGCAATCACATTCCGAAAGCGAGGTTTGCAAGCTAGGGACTGCTGTACGTACAAGTTAGGTTAGTTTCGACGTTCCAATGTAGCGGACGACCACGTGCGTAGCTTACTTGAACGGACGGCTCGACCATGGCAGCTATTGTTACTCAGCCTCATAGTCCCTACCATTCCACTTTGAAGTGATTGAGATTACTTCATACGCTATTAGTAAGTCATTCGTTCACGTCACTATTCTAGAATCGTCATGTTATTTGGTTTAGAGGCGACTGCCAACATGCATAGCGAATTCCCGGCTAGTCTTGAAGCCGCAGAACGTACATACATGGCATGGCAGTGGTAAAAAGGAATAGTAGAAAGGAGAAGATAACATTCAATGACCAAGACCAAGCCAATTCAGACGTAGATACCCATGTTGCTATCCTTCTTCTTGGCCTGCACCTCGGCGATAGCATCGACGTAGTTCTCGTGGTCAATCTGGCTCTGGCCCTTCCGCAGCGCAATCATACCGGCCTCAACGCAAACGGCCTTGAGCTGGGCACCACCAAACTCGTCCGTACTGCGGGCAAGTTCGGCCCAGTTGACGCTGTCCTTAACCGACATCTTGCGGGAGTGAATTTGCAAGATATTTGCACGAGCCTCCTCGTTCGGCAATGGGAACTCGATTTTACGGTCCAGACGACCAGATCGAAGAAGAGCCGGATCCAACACATCCACTCGGTTTGTCGCGGCGAGAACCTTGATGCGGTCATCGGAGGCAAAACCGTCCAGCTGGTTCAGCAGTTCCAGCATAGTACGCTGGACTTCACGATCACCGGACTTTTCGGAATCGAAACGCTTGGTTCCAATAGCGTCCAGCTCATCAATGAAGATAATTGAGGGAGCCTTCTCCTTGGCCAAGGCGAAGCAGTCGCGAACGAGCTTGGCACCGTCACCAATGAACATTTGGACAAGGGAAGGACCGGCAAGCTTGAGGAAGGTGGCGTTGGTTTCGGCGGCACAGGCTCGGGCGAGGAGGGTTTTACCGGTTCCGGGAGGTCCGTACATCAATGCACCTGAAATAACGGAAATTTTAGCATCTCAAAACAAAGAAAATGAAGGGGTGCCTGTGTGGATGATGGTCATACCCTTCGGTGCCTTGATGCCAATCTTCTTAAACCGTTCGGCCTCCTTCATCGGCCATACAATAGCCTCCACAATCTCCTCAATCTGCTTGTCTAGACCACCAATATCTGTATACTTTTCTGTGGGCTTCTCGTCGACCTCCATTGCCTTCACGCGGTTGTCATACTCGGCCGGCAAGGTGTCCAAAATCAGGTATGAGTCCTTATTCACACCGATCAGGTCACCGGGCTTGAGCTTCTCATGATCAACCAGGCCGATGAGCGGAAGGAAGATGGTCTGGCGCGTCGAGGTTTTGATGACGGCGGATTTTCCGACACGGGTGGCGTCCAGGTCGATGTTGGCCCCCTCCTCGGCGGCCTCAGCCTCAACATCAAGGTCCAGAAGCTCGACAACGTTACCGACGAGGTATGGTAGTTGTCTGGGAAGCAGAAGCCATGAGGTTAGTATAAGAGCAGGGTTGACATGCAATGGACAGAGGACTTGCGAGCTCCGCGGGTAGCCTTCAATTGCTATCCAGGAAGACCCGCAAGTATCTGCCTAGGGTCGATTGAGACAGTACCTGTTGTTCTCGATCTTTTCTTGATTATCCTTCACCTTCTCGCGCATTGTGCTCTGCTCGTGTGTCAAACGCTGGAACTCGCTCTTCATGATCCGCATTTCGTTCTCGAGCATCCGTCGTCGCTTGACGATGTCTGCGGTGCTGGAATGGAGAATCTCCTCATCGAGTAGCTCCTCCTGATCTTCTTTCTTGTCGGCATCCTCCATGTCTGCGTCGCCATCGCCGCCGGGCTTCTTGCCGCCATCGCCCTGGTCTTGCTTCTTAGTCTCGCGCTCAAGGTCGTCCAGGTCCTCGAGTGTCGACATGATGCGTGGTTGATTAGGAAGTAATGAGCGATCGGTTTATATGGAATGAGGACTCGTCACACACGGATGGCCTGTTTGGGTGGGGGATAGGTGGAGGTGAAGGGGACGTAGAAGGCTGGAGAAGAGCTGTCGGTGGCCGAGCTTCAACAACGTCAGCCGGTCACGTGAGTACATCAACACCGGTGCGAGTCCACAATAGCATCTTATCACTGCTCTCTACAATAGATTCTAGGGGCGAAACTTGAGAAAAGATAGGAATAAGAATAAAAATAAAAATAAAAATAAAAAAGAAATACACAGGATAGATATTTGGCTTAGTCTAGACAATTGAATATCGACCTTCCTGGTTTCGCAGGTAAGGCAGCGCCTCATCAAAGTTTCCGAGGTTGTTCAACACATTCTCTCGACCAAACTTGAGAAGACGGAGTCGTGAAATGTAGTCGTCGTTGTTCACTGTGGAACGTTTTTTAGCGACTGCGATATCAAATACGAGGCAAAGCTTATCCTGGGTGCCGGTTGAATACATACCGTATCCGCCACACATTCTTCTCTTTCCAGTGAACTCGGTGCGACCATGCATCATTCTCCAGTTGTCGAAGACTAAATATCCATATGGTTAGTATTTAGATCAGATTATGCCTTCACACAATACTCACTTAGCGCTGTTCCAGGTTGAAGCTGTGTCTGGATCATTCTCTGCTTTTGGTTCAAGATCTTGTCGTAGCACTGAGCAGCTTCGTACCAAGTTTTCTGAGATTCTAAATCCCAGTTCGTCTTAGGCGCGCGGTCGTAGTTGTTCCAACGGATTTGATAAATTCTTCCGAGGTCGGGGTGAATAGAGAAAACAGGCGTCATGTACGATGGCTGGATGCAAACGTCCTCATTCCCGCTGGCGTGCCACGGGTGTCTGTGAAGAGTCAAGGCCTTGTGAAGTCGTGGATCCGTGCGGAAAAGCTCATCGGCGGCTGAGAATCCATCAACAAGCAAACTCTCGCCTCCTGAGCCATCTGTATGAGAGAGCAAGTGGAAAAGCTGGAGTCTCGCCGGATCAGTAAAATAGGTGTTGTCTGTGTGGACACCGAGGGCCTCATTGGTATATGCGGTATCCTTGAAGGTGAGATCGGCAGTAAAGTCCCAGAATCCACCTAGTATATGTGTCAGCTCATTCCATCGTAGGATGCCAGTACTGGAACTCAAATACCATAGTGTGTATACCTCACAAACGCAATTCGTTCAATGAGAGACTTGGTTGACTCTGGATCGACAGGGACCCCTTTGATGAAACAGAAACCGTATGATTGCTACAGGCGCAAGAATTGTTAATATCAATCCAGCAATGAGCATATCACCATTTGTAACTCACAATTTTCTCCAACCAGTCGAGTACCGAGGCTTCTTTTTTCATTACCTCGCCATAAACCACTTCAGGGTAGACATCTTCCCCTGGGGTAAATTCAAGGTATTTTCTTGTACCATATTAGTACAGTGTAGGGAAAGACTCAGATATGAGATGCACCGGGAGCCATACCTAGGTCGGCGGGATTTATAAGGGAGTTTCAAATAGGGATCATTCCTGGTCAATCTATGCGCCTCCAGCCAAGACCACGGATATATGCTTTCATGGCCATCATTCCCTTTCAGGAAAATAGAAAAGAAAAAAATGTCAGGTACGTCATTCCAAATCAGTTCGGAGGGTGGAGGGGGATTTACATTCGATGCGAGCTTCGTCCGCGGTGCAATTGATCTCGGTAGGTGCGATGTTGGCCGGAATCTAGCTTTTGGTGAGCCACTGAGCGATAATTTACAGCTTCGCGGTGCATGCATACCGAAGAGACCTCAACTGTTCTCTGCTTGGTATCCGGATGGACGCACTTGTGGCATTGACAGTTTTCTCTAGGAATCCACTTGTTAGTGATCCAAAGTCTTCCTCAAGGGGATAGCGCGTGCTTTTGGTCCAGAACTCACCTTAGGAAAAAGGGCCCACTGCAACCGAACATTAGCATTCCATAATTCACTTGAAAATAGTTCCAGGTGCCATTTAAATACTTACAATCGGGAGAATTTGTCGCTGGATCTGGCTAACACGATATGACCCGTGTGCAGGGCTTTCATAGCTGCCCATCCCTCTTTCGAATCAAGGTTGATATGGCTGAGGTGTCTAGGAAGCCCCTGCTGGACCTTTTGTCCCGAAGAATCCGTTCCAGTGGACTTTCCAATATCCGGTGAAGCCACGGAGGCGTTCCCTCTGGAGAAAGAACCACTGTACAACCCAATTGTCTACCGGGACAAATTTGAACCGTTAGCGATGATTTCTTTTGTCTTCCAGGCTGCATGATTGATATGCAGGTCAATACCAAGGTGAAAGACATACTAGGCCACTGCGCCTTGAGGCCGACAATCGTGTGATCGGACATCTGAAGAGTAAACTGATGTCAGCGCTGACCCGAAAAGCGGCAATCATGATTGATCCAATTCACCTCAAAGTGCTCCCTCGAGCGACCTCTCTGAGGACAATTAACCCATTTGCATACATTGCGAATGCTCCTGTCCGTCTTCCCTAGTGTTCGATGTGGGGATGCAGCAGTAGTGGTTTGAGGGAACGGTCCGAGCTCCAGCAAACGGCCGCGGGAGAGGGGAGTCACGTGTCGCTATAAGGAGTGTGGAGTATATCAAGTCGTCGATTGGGGATAGTATCATACGGTAGAACCCCACGGTGATTGAATTACGTAAAACGATATGCCTGACCATCGGCAGGCCTCGGCTGAAGCCGCCACTCTCTTGAACATCGGTTGTTCTACTCACGGCTTTCCGTAAACTGGTGGTAAAGGTATTCTAGTAGCATATTCAACAGCTATATACAGCACATCAAGAAAAATATAGCAACATTATGCTATGGCCTTTAAAGCTTGCTCTTTGGTCCAATAACCTTCAACAGGGCTCGGCCATTGCTCAAAACAACCTTGCCGGTCTGGTTCTTGGTGACAAAGCGAATCTCGTCGAAGCCATCGGCCTGAGTGTTACCCATGCGCCAAATCTCCGTGGTAAGCTTGTCGCCGGGGCGAACAGGTGACGCGAAACGAGCCTGGAACTCCTTAAGGTTGGCGGGGTTACTACCACCCAGCTCACGCAGAATGCCGTGGGCTGCAGAGTTCCAGCTGAACAAGCCATGAATGATGATTCCGCCGAAGCCCATCTTCTGACCGGGCTCGGGAGTAGCGTGCAGGGGGTTATAATCACCGTTCAGACTATCACGATATGAGATAAGTAACAACCAAAAGAAAAGTATGAAGGGAATCCTAAGAACATACCGGTATAGATGGGCAGTCTCGTTGGTGCTCTGAATAACGTGGGTGGCATCAGGGGCCTTACCCTCGGGAGGAGGGAAATTGACAGTGGAAGGACCTATGTTTGAAAGATCAATATGTTAGATCTGGTAGCACCAATATATTGCCTTATCTTACCCTTAGGGCCACCCCAGTTGCCCTGGCCAACCAAGAAGCCACTGGACAGAACCTTGTTGTATACCTCGCCAGTCTCCGCATCCACAATCGATTGCTCAGTCTCAATCACGGTACCGGGCTTTCCCTTGTCGTAGACACCAATGACCTTGTTGCGCAACTCGAACTTTCGTCCAGCGCTAGTAGGAGGCAGCGGTTTCAAGATGGTCAGCTTGCGCTGGCCATCGACTCCGTGGCGGTGATCCAATTGAGGGACACCGGGAATGTGGACGGCCTGCTGGCGCGCATAGAAGTCAGTCACCTCCTGATCGGTGAGCTTGAAGGCTGCGCGAGATGTTTCAGGTTAATACCAGTGACGAAAAATCTCCCGTTAAGTGTTACGTACGCAGGATCAGCGGGTAAGTCGGGAAGACGGAGAAGTTGGGGTGCAGTTCCTATTTAATGTCGTTAGAGAACCGGAATTGAATCGAATTCATCACTGGTTCCTGGAACCCACGTAGAGGAACTGCAGCTCGTCGGCTTTGCAGCCGATGCTGTTCGCGAACAGCAGGACATCGCGCTTCTGCCAAGAGACCGCTTTGGCGGGGAATTCGTGACCAGCTCCAGGGGCAGACATGGTGGATATATAAAGGCGATATATGGGTGGGAACAATGAACAGAGATGAATCAGAGAGGGAACGGGAAAAGATGCTGCGGAGAAGAGGGAAGCTAAAGTAGGATAGAGGAATTGCGGGGCGGCCCTGGGCCGAGGATCAGATAATGATTTGTGCCGCCATTACCGACGCCGCGCCATCTCTTTAGCATTTTTCTCTTCTCTGGCACGTCTACCTTTCTACAATTCTACGTCAGGAAAACACAGTCAAAACAAATAGTTCCCCTCAGATACATTCACTAACACTCCAAAATTGGACATGAGATGCGTCAGAGTTGCTAGATTAAGCATCGACTCGGGGTATCTACTTGTAAATTTCGAGGAGCTTCGTAATCATCTCTCCGTATCGCGCCATGAAGTAATGCCTTGTACCCGCCGCCCTAGAAACAAAAACAAAAATAATAACGCCGGTGAAAGAAGAACCGAGACCGGAACCTTCCAAATGGTCAAGTCAAACTGTGCAAATCCAGACCTTCTTATGCTAGGTTGCATACACTGTTTCAAAGACAGGCAACAGCGTCAAAATGATTAGGATGCGTTCCATGAAGGAAGTGAGTCGTCAAAATCCGGAATTAACACCTGCAGAGTGGGGAAATTAGATAGAGCGGATGAAATGAACACGCGGGCATACTAACATGCGGTAGAAGCAGTTGCCCTCGGCGTAACGGGTCGGGTCATTGACCTCGAACTTGTAGGAGATGTTGATGTCCAAGTCACGCTTGTTCTTGTCGTTGGGGCGGTTCTCCAGCACGCCGGTGACCTTCTCATCCTCCTCGATGGTGAGAACATCGCGCAAGTAGAAGACGGTTTGCTTCCAGTGAGTGTACTTGGCGTGGGGACCAGTGGAGAAGTAGACGGGCTTGTGGCAGGCGCTGAACTCAATATCGAACCAAGCGATCAGAGCGTGAACGTAATCGGTGCGCTTGGCGGTGAGAGCGTAGGGGACCTTGAAGGCGAGGTCGGCGACGGTGACGGTGTTCAGGTCGAAAGAGATAACCTCGCAGGGGTCGGTTACAAGGGCCTTCATCTCAACGGTATCGACGAGGGGCTCGGTAAGCGCGGTTTCCTTCATGGGACTGTAGTCGAAGCCCCAGACGTTGTCCCAAACTGTAAATTCATTAATGTCATGCAATATTATGGCGCGAAGATGGGGTTTCGATCTTACAGCCAATTTTGTCCTCCTTGTAATCGCCATCCTCAATACCAGCAACGTACATGGTGGCCTTGTCGGGGAAGATCTTGCCGCCGGGGGAGAGGTAAGTATCACGAGCGTAGAGAACTGTATCCAGCATGGACTCGTAAAGAAGGAAGTAGCCCATCCACTCGGAGATGATGATGTCCACCTTGGGGAAAGGGAGCTGGACCTCCTCCATCTTGCCCTGGAGGAGGGTGATCTTGTCGGAGAGTCCGTTGACGGCGACAATCTCCTTGGCCTTCTCGATAATGGAGGACATGTCAACACCGATGACATGCTTGGCACCGGCCTTAGCAGCGAACCTGACATAGGCGTTAGCCGCAGATCATAAGACTGAAATGTCTTCAATTGACACATACATGCTGAGGATACCGGTACCGCAGCCAACATCGAGGACAACCTTGTCCTTGAAGATGTGGGCGTTGTTGTAGATAGAGTCGCGGTAAGAGCGCGTACGAACGTCGTCTTTCTGTGGAAGGAGAGATTGAGTTAGACTAGATCGCGCCACAGGATGCGTTTGCTGCGTGCAGAGAGGACTTACCAGCATCTCTTCGTGAATGCCTGCGCAATGATTGGAATGTCAATGATTAGTGAAATGTTCTGGTGACTTATCGAAGTCGTGGCGTGGGGTGTGCGGGGTCAAAGAAAGGTGGGCGGAAGAGAGAATTGTAGGAGGGTGATAATACCGTGGTGGTCATAGCTGTCAATCGATTAGTCGTGAATCAGGCGGGGGTCAGAGTTGAGTGTAAAAGCTCATACCTGGTGAAGTACCGCACCTCAGAGTGCTCCATGCCGACCATGCGATCGGCACTGCTAGAGGTGACGGGAGTCTCAACGTCCATCTTGTCGGTGATATAAAATCCAATGAACAAGTAAAGGAAAAGAGTTGGAAGAAAAACGGATAGAAGGAAAGTTGAAGTCCAGGCGTGGGAACGGCTAGGATCTTGACTTTTTTTTTGAATCTGCGGCGCCAAGCTTCACCTCCAAAATCCCCGCCCGAGCTAGCCGTTTTGGGGCCTGATCACATGACCTACCAGCCCTCACCTGACTAGGGCTATTTGTATGTAGTATACAGCGCCCTGTTGTATTATTTTGTGTGCCTCGAAGGAACCGTACGAAGTATTCATACTCAGAGAGGAGGTGGACTTGTCGGGCAAGCTTCAGTCAAAGTCATTCAGGGGTTAAACGGTAAAGCCATCTTATCTTACAGTTTACTAGTAATTTACTTGTCGTGTAATCATTGAATGTTTGTTTATAAGAAAGGATTGTCTTGTAGTAAAGAAGAGAGTGTGAGAGTGCTGTGTAATCATTATCAATTCAAAAAATAGCAGATTCGATAGTTGTGGAGTGAGCAAAACTAGCCTGCCTCCTTGTGTTTACCCCAGATGAGCCGTCAATACTGGCCGCCAAGACTCTCGCGAGGCTCTGGCAATGCCGCCCGCAGCTCCGCCAACTGCCATTACCTCCCTAAAGCTTACGCGTTTCACGCCTAGAGCCAACCTTAGGTCACCATGAATCTAGGCGGAAGAGTGAGCCCTTCTCTACTATTCGTTTTTGTGCTTTTGGCCGTTCTTGCCGGTCGGTCCACTGCGTCTTTGGGTGACCATCTCCCCGACTTCAAAGAATGTGTTCAGGTACGTGTTCCCCGATCCACGAAACCCCTACATGCAGCTAACAAGCACAGGTCTGTAAAACCGAAAATTGCCAGAGCGGCAATTCGGTGCTCCGTACGTTTCCCTACCACAACTGCCTCCTTTCGTTCTTCCCCTGACCTGCCGAAGCTCTGCACCACCGCCTGTTACTATGGACCTGCCCTGCCGAATGCGACTACACCTGCCAACATGTCATCACCGACAAGCGAGTGTCCCGTGATCCACCAATGCTGAGCCCGGTAGTCCAATTCCATGGCAAATGGCCCTTCCGCAGAATTCTGGGGATGCAGGAGCCCTTTTCGGTGCTGTTCTCCTTCCTCAACTTCGCTGCGCATTGGCACGGCATGTCTCGAATCCAGGAGACGATTCCGGCCTGGCACTCGCTGCGCAAGTACTACATGGCATTTGGATACTTTGGACTGGCTAGCTGGACCTTCAGTATGATCTTCCACACCCGGGACTTCCCAATCACAGAGAAGTTTGATTACTGGGGCGCCGGCGCCAGCGTCTTGTACGGACTGTATCTGGCGGTTGTCCGCATCATGCGCCTGGACCTGGAAACTCCCCAATACCGCCCGACCTTGCGTCGCCTGTGGACGGCGACTTGTATCGTGCTTTACTCCCTCCACGTATGCTATCTTAGCTTCTGGTCCTGGGACTATACGTACAATATGGCAGCCAACGTCGCGGTCGGTATCATTCAGAATCTGTTGTGGACGGGCTTTAGTATTGTCCGATACCAGAGATATCTCAAGACTTGGACGGCCTGGCCTGGTATGATTGTTGCGTGGCTCATTCTGGCCATGAGCTTGGAGCTGCTCGACTTCCCCCATGGCGTGGATTGATTGATGCCCACAGCCTTTGGCATCTGGGTACTGTGGTCCCAACTGCATGGTGGTATTCGTGAGTTTTGCCCCATTTTTATTTGTTGTCTCTCACTTTATTTGCCGTGACTAATGAGTTGATTGCTGGCTGCAGGTTCCTCATCAAGGACACGCAGGACGATATTGCAGGCCACCGCCTCAAGGCATAGATCTGTAACAACGAACAGGCGGGTCATGTGTCTTTCCAAAAGCGCAGCGGGCACTTTGCATTTGATCTGATGCCCCGTGTACAACAGCCGAGCAGGGTCCCGGTGGCCTATTGCTAATAATACCAATTCTGACCTCCAAGCCCCCACTCGTTGCATCGTAGGCGCCCCGTAATACCCACGCACTGACCCGTGCGCACGGGCTTATTTCCACGCACCGGTTCTGCGGCGTGCCGGCGGGTTCCCCCACCATTGGCTCACCGCTAAGGCCGTCGCATTAAGCCGCGGCTGTCTCACCCAAAAACCCCTCGTCCCTTTTTTTGTTTCAAAGTACGTGCTTGTGCTTCGCTTCTCCCTTCGCCTCCCCGGACAGCGTTTAGCGATTGCTTTGCTCATTCAACTCAAAGTCCTCTTCCGTCAATTTTATCTTGACCGCCGCCACACGCGCCACAATGGCGTCTCCCGCTGTCAAGAAAGCAATCTCAGAGGCAGCGCTGCAGTACCAGAAGCCCGAGGGCAAGGTCTTCGAGTATGGCACCGCAGGAGTAAGTGTGCATCCCCAAGGCAGTGTTCACCACGGGTTCCAGCTAACAGGCGTGTTTGCGGCTGCAGTTCCGCATGAAGGCGTAAGTTTCCTCACCACCGATCAGCCCCGCCTCCACACACCCCGCGATCGTCCTTTTGTTGACGTCGATGTCCTTCTGACCACCGGATTTGGATAGGGATCTCCTCAACACCGTCGTTTTCGCCGTCGGCCTCCTTGCCGGTCTGCGTTCGAAGAAGCTTAGTGGGCAATGGATTGGTGTTATGGTGACCGCAAGCCACAACCCCGCGGAGGACAACGGTGTGAAGCTGGTTGACCCGATGGTGAGTAAACAATTGCCCTCCAACCTCGCGCTATGGCTCGAATCATATCTAACCAGCATAAAAACTACAGGGCGAGATGCTCGAGGTGGGATAGTTCTGAATTTTTACGTGAAAGGGAAATCCGCGATACTAATCTCTCATATCTAGGCCGAGTGGGAGGCGTACGCTACCAAGCTCGCCAATGCCCCGCTGGACAAAATCGCCGATGTCTACGATGAGCTCGTGAAGGAGATCGATGTCAAGATGACCAACCCGGCCCGCGTGGTCTTCGCCAGAGATACTCGTGCCTCTGGCTCTCGACTTGTCGGTGTGCTCAACGCCGCTCTTACCGCAACCGAGGTTGAGTTCATCGACTCCAAGTACATGACCACCCCTCAGCTCCACTACGTCGTGCGCTGCAAGAACACCCTGGGAACACAGTACGAGTATGGCGAACCTTCAGAGGAGGGGTACTACCAGAAGCTTGCCGAGTCCTTCAAGAAGGTTATGCGGGGTGTCAAGGTTCAGGGACCTTTGACCGTGGACTGTGCCAATGGTGTCGGTGGCCCTAAGCTGCGGGAGCTCATGAAGGTTCTTGACACTCCTATCGATATTAAGGTTGTCAACGACGATGTTATTAACCCCGACAGCCTGAACTTTGAGGTAAGTCACCAGTCACCCCATTCTAAAAATACCCGGTTATATTCTAATTCATTGAAGTGCGGTGCCGATTACGTGAAGACCAAGCAGCGTGCTCCGCCCTCCTCCAAGGCTGCTGCTCTGGATCGTTGTGCCTCGCTGGATGGTGACGCCGATCGCCTAGTCTACTACTTCGTCGACGAAAGCAACGTCTTCCGACTCCTTGACGGTGACCGCATCGCTACCCTGGCCGCCTCGTTCATCGGTGACCTCGCCCGTAACGCCGGCATTGCCCAGAAGCTCAAGATCGGTGTTGTCCAGACTGCCTACGCCAACGGCGCTAGCACTGACTACATCGAGAAGGTACTGAAACTGCCTATCATCTGCACTAACACTGGTGTGAAGCACCTGCACCACGCTGCTTTGCGTTTCGATGTCGGTGTCTACTTCGAGGCTAACGGCCACGGTACCGTGACCTTCTCGGAGAATGCCCTGAAGACCATCAAGAGCACCGAGCCCCAGTCTCCTGCCCAGCAGCGCTCCCTGGAATGCCTCCAGGCCCTGACTGAGCTGATCAACCAGGCTGTCGGTGACGCTCTTTCTGACATGCTTCTTGTCGAGGCTATTCTCGCTCACAAGGGCTGGACCACCAAGGAGTGGCTCGGTACCTACACTGACCTTCCCTCTCGCCTCGTGCGTGTGGAGGTTAACGACCGTTCCATCTTTAAGGCATATGATGCCGAGCGTAAGCTGGAGTCCCCGGCCGGCCTCCAGGGCAAGATCGAGTCCCTGCAGTCTCGCTACAACAAGGGCCGCAGCTTTGCCCGTGCCAGTGGTACCGAGGACGCTGTCCGTGTCTATGCTGAGGCTGCCAGCCGATCTGAGGCGGATGACCTCGCTACTCGCGTCGCCAACGCGGTGCGCGAGGCCGGTACCGCCGATGCTCAGCAGGCCTAAATCCCGACGGTTTCGAGCGGATGTTAGTCGACGACTTTGCTATCCTTGATGTTTGACGCGATACACAAGGAATATTGGCAAACCAAAATATGACGACAGCGTTTTTTTAGCCCTCCGGGGAATATGACTAGGTAGCAACATACTAGTCAAATATCACGTTCATGCAGTAATGAAACTTTGGCACCACCGTCTCAATGCAAAGAATAAACTCCCTTGACCTTCCACTTGCTGATACCTAGTGATGAAGTAAAGTCGTCAACCAGAACAGTAGACCATATTTTCCAAGGTTGCACCGAGATCGTTGCATTCGATCAAGCACCGGTCGTAGATCATTGTGCCTCGGTCTGATATCTCGCCATATAAATACTCGTCGGACACTAAACCTCGGTCACGTCTAGAATTTTATGAAGGACCATGACGTGGTTTATTGACGTGGTATATGTGATGCATGGGTATATGACAAGTCACCATGATTCTTAGACAAGATAACACCTTTTCTATAGACATTAAACTCATACAGGTAGAAGCCTCTCTTTTGGACCAGCCATGAAACATGATTCGATCAACCCTCCTCTTGATCCATCGTGTCACGCGAGCGCTTGCCTTTGCCAAACTTGTTGCCTCTGGAACCCTTCTTCTCATCCAGGGCCTTCATCTCCATGATGGCATACCGCTGAGCCTCGCCAACCCTCTCCTGGAGAACCATGACCTCATCCTTTGGCGCATCGTATTCAGGGAGTTGCTTTCCAAGAGCGCCCTCGACTCTCTGCCAAATTTCAACGTCATACTGGGTGACGAATGAGATAGCAATACCAGCCTTTCCAGCACGAGCTGTACGGCCGACTCGGTGGATATATGTCTTTGAGTCTGTGGGGAGATCGAAATTGAGGACAATGTCAACGGACGGGATATCCAGACCACGGGCCGCAACATCTGTTGCGACCAGGATGTTTCTGCTGCGACTCCTGAACTTCCCTAGGGCACCAAGACGTGCGCTCTGAGAAAGCTGTCCGTGGATAGGGATGGCGCCGAAGCCGAGGGCGCGGAGGAGGAAGGCGACACGCTGAGTCTCGTGGACTGTCCTTGTGAAAATAATGCTTGACTTTCCGGCGTGCTCGTTAAGAAGCCAGATCAAGTAGAGATCCTTGAACTTGTGTGGCCGGAGCATAAAGTATTGTTGGAGGGTCGAGACAGTTTGATATTTGCTGGAGACCGAAACTCGGAGGGGATCTTGCAGGGATGCTCTTTGGAGACTTTCGACTTTGCTGCTCAGAGTGGCCGAAAACAAGAGGGTACGGCGTTCGCGAGGGATAACCTTGAGAATCTTGTCGAGAATTGGGCCGAAATCAAGATCCAGCAATCTATCGGCCTCGTCCATCACCAGGTAGCGCAATGCTCTGAGACTGAATCCCTTCGTGTTCTCAAGATGATCCAGGAGACGACCCGGGGTAGCGACGATGATATGGGGCTTCTTGCCGAGTGCGATAGATTGCGGGACCATATCCATTCCTCCGACTAATGTGCAGCATCGGACATTGATAGTGGAGCCAAGAAGCTCAAACGATTGCGAAATCTGGTAGGCAAGTTCGCGAGTCGGGGCGAGGACAAGACCAAAGAAAGCCTGGGGCTTGTCCATGAGAGCTTGCAAGATTGGGAGGGCGAAAGCGGCAGTTTTTCCACTACCTGTCTCAGCCAGACCGATAACATCACGGCCCTTAAGAGCGATAGGGATGGATTCGACTTGGATGGGAGTCGGTGCGGTGTAGCCCAGAGTCGTACAGGCTTCCACAAGCGAATCGATCAGGCCGAGTTCTTTAAATGACGGTGCGGAGGTCTTGTCGGCGGCGGCTTCATTTTCACCATTAGAAGAGTCGTCGACTTCTTTGCTGGGCTTCTCGGCCTGGGGAGATTCTGAGCCCGAAGAATGAGCATCGCTGTCCTCTGCAGGCGCGGGCACCCCGCGAGCAACCTTGCGCTTCTTCGTGATCGGCATTTTGGCCTTGTCTATCGAAATAGAAAAAGTTGCGCTTGTCGGGGATCTCGAAGCATTCGAAATAATTTAATGTGGGTCCGCATCATCTTTGATCCGCTGCTGCTCCGCTGGAATTTTTGGAGACAAAAAAACTTCCAGCTCCGAGATCAACTTCCCTGCAGCTTGCAGATTTCCACCATTTTCACTCTCGGTGTTTCCATATCTCACCGATTACAATGGCCAGGGCACGTGTCAAGAAGCGCACCCATACGCGCCCCCAGAATGCCTCCGCGGCACCCAAGGGCGGCGCCGCTTCTATGGCCAAGACTCCGAAGTCTATGGTTATTCGAGTTGGTGCTTCTCAAGTTGGTACCAGTGTCAGTCAACTGGTCAAGGATGTGCGACAGATGATGGAGCCCGATACAGCTGTGCGATTGAAGGTATGAATCGTCCCATCTGGGTCTTGAATCGAATGTCTGGACAAAATCTAACTGTATTCCTAGGAACGAAAATCCAACCGACTGCGCGATTATACAGTGATGGCTGGCCCTCTCGGTGTCACTCACTTGATGCTTTTCTCCAAGTCCAAGACCGGAAACACAAATATGCGATTGGCTGTGACGCCCCGAGGCCCTACTCTTCACTTCCAGGTTGAGAACTACTCGCTCTGCAGAGACGTGGAGCGCTCATTGAAGCGTCCGAGAAGCGGTGGACAGGACCACAAGACCCCTCCGCTACTTGTCATGAACAACTTCAGCACAGCCGATGCAGACGAAAACTCGAAAGTGCCGAAACGCCTGGAGACCCTCACGACTACGATCTTCCAATCCCTCTTCCCTCCTATCAACCCTACTGCTACGCCCCTCTCTTCGATTCGCCGCGTGATGCTTCTGAACCGTGAACCCTCCGAGTCCGATGATGGTTCTTACATTCTGAGTCTGCGACACTATGCAATTGCTACAAAGAAGACCGGCGTGTCAAAACGGATCCGCCGTCTGGACCCCAAGGAAATTCGCAACCGAGAGAAGAAGAAGACCGCTGTTCCCAACCTCGGCAAACTGGAAGATGCCGCAGAATACCTTCTCGACCCGTCCGCAGCTGGGTATACATCGGCCAGCGAGACGGAACTCGACACAGATGCCGAGGTGGAGATTGCCGAAAGCACGACGCGAAAGGTCCTTAGCAAGCGTGAAGCGCAGCGACAGAAGGCTGGAGACAAGGCTGAGAAGAAGCCCGCCACACCTGGTGTGGAGAAACGGGCCGTCAAGCTGGTCGAGCTTGGCCCACGTCTGAAGCTCCGACTTATGAAGGTCGAGGATGGCGTTTGCGATGGCAAGGTAATGTGGCACGACTACGTCACCAAGACCGATGCGGAAGTCAGGTCTATGGACCAGAGCTGGGCGGTTCGTCGCAAGGAGAAGGAAAAGCGCAAGAAGGAGCAGAAGGAGAACATTGAACGGAAGAAGAAGGGTAAGGCGAAGGCCAAGGCCAATGGAGAGAAGGTTGAGGATGAGGACGACGATGAGGACGTTGACATGGACGATGAGGATTGGCTCAGCGATGACTTTGATGACGAGGAAGGCGAGCCGGAAGGGGACTCGGATGATACTATGGAGGAGTGAAGGATCCGACCATAGTCGCCATTCAAGCTCACCAGATTCGGGTTTTCCGACGAGCCCGCTGCCCATCTCAATGGCTGTTCATACTGAATCATCACGCCCTCTAGACGCATCCAGGGTACCTGGAACCCAGCCAAAGGCTTCGAATATTAATGCCCACGGAAAATATGAGCATGTTGTCGGAAATCGTTACTTCGATCACGAGGGGCCACCCGATGCTGATCCAGAACTGTTGGTTATCTCGATCGAACTCGGTCGAACAGCCATGTTCTAGGCATTTTCCCTAACTTATACCCATTCTTGACGGCCAGATGTACATTTAGAAGATTTACGGAATGAATCAAAAAAGTTTGGATTGCAAAAAACTCGAATGCTTCGTCTTCAATTCAGATCCTCGTAAACGGCATTACATGCATGTATATATCGCCTATTTCTTGAGCTTCTCATCAACAAGACGAGAAACCATCTTCTCCAAAATAGCGAAATCACCACCACCGGTGCCAGCGAAGTAACCAGCGACACTCTTCTCGACATACTTGCCCACAATGTCAATTTCAACATTGACAAACTCGCCAGCCTTCTTTCCGGCCGTCACCACTTTCTCTTGGGTGTAAGCGATGAGCATCACCTCCCAGTACCCATCCTCGCCGTCGACAACCTTGGTCACGGTCAAGCTCGCACCGTCCAGGGTAACATAGCCCTTCTCGACAACGTAGCGAAGCACGTCCTTGTCGCGCGGCTGCAGGCGGAACACCAGGGAGTTGCCGTCGGGGGTGACGGACAGAATTTGCGCAACGGTATCGACGTGTCCCTGCACGAAATGTCCGCCCATGCGTGTATCAGCTGACACGGCGCGTTCGAGGTTCACGTTGGAGCCAGTCGTCAAAGAGCCGAGATTTGTGCGTCGGAGCGTCTCCGGCGCGACGCCGACCTTGAACCAGGTCTTGTCGAACTCGGTGACGGTGAGGCAGGTTCCTTTTGCGGTTCAAATAGTATTAGAGCGTACTCATTCAAAATCATAGTTTTGCAAAACGAAAAAAACGTACCATTAACAGCGATGCTATCACCTAGATGCGCGTCGGAAAGGATTTCTTCGCAGTTGGAGATGGTGAGCGACGTACCCCCGCCCCGCTCTGCGAGGTATCGAGGGGCTCCAGGGCCGTGACGGCTAAGGGGGGATGATTGTCAGTGTGACCTCATTGTGCGAAGGAGGAATCACGCACTCCCGATCGTTTCGACAAGACCAGTAAACATTGTTGCGGACCTGGCGGAGGAGGATCTGCAGGGAATGGCGAGAGTTTGGGGTCGGTCGACCTCGGCTTCGGGGCCCGCTGCCCGAGCGGTGTCGGCGATTTGGCGGAGTTTCGATCTATCCCAGCGCCCTTTAAACCTCTCTGCAGTGCGTCGCCTTGTTCTTTCGTTTATTGTCGTGACCCGCTCCTTTGAATACATAGAATGACGGTTGCGCTTCAGTTTCAGGCGATTGCTCGCCGCTCGAGTCCTGGCTGGGCGTGCAATGCCTGGCGGCGCATGCCGCTGCGGAACTACTCCAGTGCTGCTACTTCTTTGAATGATACGCTACCTCTGTCGGGTATTCGCGTGCTCGATATGACAAGAGTGCTGGCAGGTGTATGTACTGACCACATAAGCGAGGTCTCTCCAGGTGTTCTGTGCTAACTTGATATCGAACAGCCATACTGTACTCAAATCCTGGGCGATCTAGGGTACGTGGAACGATCCGACCTCTTTCTTTGACTGATACCTTTCAATTGTCTCGGCACAAACGTGCTAACATATATTGGACAGGGCGGATGTCATCAAAGTTGAACACCCCGTTCGAGGCGATGATACTCGTGCCTGGGGACCGCCATACGCCAAGTATGAAGACGAATCAAAGACAGGGCCAGGCGAAAGTGCCTACTATCTGGCTGTATGGACACCTTATTCGTTGCGAAATTGTTTGACTCATACTAATCGCATATATAGGTCAACCGCAACAAGAAATCCCTTGGATTGTCATTCCAGCACAAATCGGGTGTCGAGATTCTTCACAAGCTCGCCAAGGAATGCGATGTCCTCGTCGAGAACTACTTGCCCGGGGGTCTGAAGAAATATGGAATGGATTATGAGACTCTACGAGAGATTAACCCCAAGCTTATCTACGCCAGTATCACCGGCTACGGACAGACTGGTCCGTACAGCAACCGTGCTGGCTACGACGTCATGGTCGAAGCCGAGATGGGCTTGATGCATATCACTGGAGCTCGAGATGGTGCACCGGTCAAGGTTGGCGTGGCTGTCACCGATCTGACCACTGGTTTGTACACATCCAACGCCATCATGGCGGCCTTGCTTGCGCGAGCTCGGACAGGCAAGGGCCAGCATATTGATGCTTGTTTGAGCGACTGTCAGGTTGCAACATTGTCGAACTTGGCTAGCTCTGCGCTCATTAGTGGCCAGAAGGATTCGGGCCGCTGGGGTACAGCACACCGTATGCCAACTCAATTCGAAATTCTGGAAAGCGTATACTGACGATCAATAGCGTCCATCGTGCCGTACCGAAGCTATAGAACACTCGACGGTGACATACTTTTCGGTGGCGGCAATGACCGGCTTTTCGGCGTGCTCTGCGATCGTCTTGGTTTCCCTGAATGGAAGACCGATGCTCGTTTCGTGACGAACAGCGACCGCGTGAGACACCGTGCTGATATTGATGAACTCATTGAAAACATTACTCAACGTAAGACGACTAAGGAGTGGCTGGATGTTTTCGAAGGGAGTGGAATGCCCTACGCGGCTGTTAATGACATCCAAGGAACATTGAACCACGAACATGGTATATTTCCTTGCCCCGTTTCCATGAGAATCCATGCTAACTCCCTAAATAGTGCAAGCACGAGGCATGGTCACAGAGGTCGATCATCCATCATGCGGTACTATCAAGCTGGTCAACACCCCTATCAAGTACTCCGAGGCTACGCCTGGTGTACGTAGCCCTCCCCCTACCCTCGGCCAACACACAAACGAGATATTGGCAAGTCTTCTGGAATACAGTGAATCGGATATTGCCCGATTGAAGAAAGAGGGGGTATTGTCTTGAGTCAGAGAAAGACGGTACAAGCGATTGAAGTAAACGCACGTGATAGAAACTGCCACTTTGCGCAACTGTACTTAAAAAGAGTAAATCATGTACTGTTTATTATTGAAACAAGTCCCTCAATTAGATATTTTGAGGGGATACTGAGTTAAATATGATTTGATATGCATTGTCTAAGTGAAGGGTTACTGGCGATCACGTGAGGCTATACTACAGCAGAGCTTGGGTTTCCGAATCGGGACAACCTCTTATTCACCGGCTTGCGCTTCACGGAGCCCAGTCACTACAGACATGCGCAGTGGATGCTTACCATCGAGGATAAATAAGTGCGGATTTTTAACTGCTAGAGACTTCAACCCTTTCGATCCCCCACCTCTAACTTGCTCGTTCGCATTTTCGCTGTCCCACAATGTCTCCCACAATATCTCCCACTCTCAAGCGTTCCACTACCAGTGTTGAAGATCCCGAGTTGGCTGACCGCCCGGGCAAGCGCCCCAAGATCGCTGCCAGCAAGGAGCTTCCCCAAGAGGATGCTGCCGTCAAGAATGAGGACTCGGCTGAAGAGGTCCTCCCCGCCACCAACACCACCCGCATTAGCCGTTCTGGGCGGGCTATCAAAGCACCCACGGCGTATGCGCCCTCTCCTGCCCCGGTATCTACCAAGCGACACAAGCCCGGCACTCGAAAGCGCACGACGAACATTGTCTGCGCGAAGTGTGACCGCGGCACCTCGCCCAAGTCCAACCCGATCGTCTTCTGCGACGGGTGCGAAGCAACCTGGCACCAGAAGTGCCACGACCCTATCATCTCAGATGAGGTGATCACCGATGAGGCCAAGGAATGGCACTGCTACGCTTGCGATCGCCGTCGCCGCCGCTCGAACCGCGGCAAGCTGCAGGAGTCGACTGCTCCTGTTCAGCAAGAAGTGGTCCTCGGACCCAAAGACGAGGCCAACGGCGCTGCTCTTAAGCGCGCCTACTTCGGAAGCCTCACCCACATCCAGCTCGTCGACCTTCTGGTCGATATCTCCTTCAAGCACCCGGAGCTGAACATCGGGCCTCCCAATGTGCTTCAAAAGACCGTCAGCCCTAAGGCTGCGAGCCCCAAGGTCAAGGCCGATGCCGAGGACGAAGAGGGTTACCGGAAGCACCCTCGGGCCGGCAATGGCTTTGCCCTCCCTCAAGGCCCGGAGGACCTGGATATCCTCCAGGAGGACCCTGAGTCGACCACATTCAGCCACTTGATGAACTTCCCGGTGGCTGCCAGCGCCGGGCAGATGTGGCGGGACCTCAAGCGGGCGGGAAACGCTCTGTTTCCCACTGAATTTTAGGTGTAGGAAGTACACCTACGAAGGTTGTCATATTCTTCCTTTTTTTCGATGGCGATGAGGAGTTTCTGGGGTGTGGTGTTTTTGAGGATTTTTGATTATTCTTGGCATATTTTATTTTCTGTCTTTTTTTTATTATTATTAAACTTACTTCTGACTAGGGTTTTGTTCTTCCTGCTCTTGATTTTCTTTTCCTGTTTTCTCTTTGCTTTCGCTTTTCTTTCTGGTTGTCTTCTTTTTGTTGTTTTTCTATTCTTATGTATTTTATGACGATGCCACGAATGAGATCTACGAAGAATGGGACCATTTTTAATGTCTCCACACCAAGACTTTGAGCCTTTCTTTAGAATCTTTAGTTTCCAAGTCGAATGTAATCCATCAAATGTAAAGGAGCTTATCCCGATCTTATCGGCCCCACGCGCGCGCCCAGGCCGAATTCCCCCAAGAAACGTCAGGCTGTTCTCCTCTACCATCCACGACAGCAGCTCCCCGAGTCGGGCGCGCACAACAAGAATCTTGTTGAATCATAATGCATTGAACCAGCAGTGCGCATTATTATCATTCGTCCAGCTCAGATCCAACACTGCCGTTCCTTGCGGTGCATCTCGCGAGACGTGTCACCTGGCCCAATCAAACTGAACTAAGCCCGCGACAAGAGGAATCCTCGAGATATAATTCGATATCAATATGTCCGCACCGAAGGTCATAAAGACGAGCTCCACTCTGCCAGACTCCTCTCCGCAAAGACCCTGGTCCCACCATCTGACCCTGGACACGCTCTACCGCGTCCTCCAACGAACGCTCCTCTCCCCCTTCCTCGCGTGGCTCGTCGTCCTCTGCCTCCGCGCCCAAGTGACACCGCCCACTGACCCAGCCTTCTTGATCACGGTCGCATATGCTGTCTTTCTATCTGTGCTCTTCGTCGCGCAGACGATTAACCATCGCGTTGCGTATGGTGTCCCGCGGACAGTGGACTCGGATCGAGAGGTGGTGCTGATTACCGGTGGGGCTAGTGGGCTGGGATTGCTGATCGCGCAGATTTATGCATTGAAGGGGGTGCGGTGGCTGTGTTGGATATAAAGGAGTTTGGTGGGATCGGGGAGCAGGAGGGTCTGTTCGGGGAGGGGGTATGTTATTACCAGTGTGATGTTGGGGATAGGGCGGCTTTGGAGAGTGCTAAACTTGAGATTGAGAAAGAGGTATGTTTACCTGTTTGGAAAAGAATCGATCTGTTTGCTTTCAATTTACGGAGAAATATTTGGTTTTGATTTTTTGTTTTCTTTAAATTGTCGCTGATATTGTTGGCTACAGCTTGGCACCCCGACTATCATTATCAATTGCGCTGCGGCAAGAATCAACGGTGACAGGCTCTTGAACCTCAAGGCGGATGCATTTGAGAAAACAGTGCGCACCAATCTTATGGCTGCGTTCCATCTCTATCAAGTCTTCCTGTCGGGTATAATAACGAAGGGTGAGAATGGTGGCACCATTGTCACCATTAGCTCGGTTTTAGGCCAATTAACCCCAGCGGGCTTAACCGACTACTCGGCCAGTAAGGCAGGGCTCAGCGCACTGCACCGAACAATGGAAGCGGAGCTCCGCGAGCATGAGCAGATAAAGATGTTGCTTGTCGAAACGGGGCAGATGGCCACACCGCTGTTTGACTGGGTCCCCACACCGAGCCATTTCTTTGCACCAGTGTTGGAACCTGTGGAAGTGGCCCGTGAAATCGTTGCAGCAATTGATAGCGGCCATGGTGGCGTACTCCGATTGCCAGCATTTGCGAAACTGGTCAATTTGTACGCTATCTTGCCAGCCGCGATTCAGCGGATAGCTCGATATGTGAGCGGCATTGACAATGCCGTGGCTTCGGGAGACCGTAATGGCCACGAAGCTATGAAGAAGGACAATTGAGGAGCCTGCACATAGTGGACACGAGCTCAAAGAGAGACTGGGCGAATACATTCTGCACATAAGCCGGGCACACTCTGTCGTACCTATTCAAAGTCATATTTCGCGGCCATGTATGTAAATGCTGACACAATTTCAACCGGTATATATGCAAGCGGATATTGCAAGGCGTTTACTGCTCGCGAGTAAGAATCATCTTCTCACGCTCATTCTGTCTCTTCTTCAGATTGGCCTTGCTCGTGTGCTTGCGCACGTTCTCCTCGCGTCTCCTGATGGCGGAAAGTTCCTCGCGCTTGATCTCGCCAGCCTTCTTAACAGGCTTCGGCAGGTGGCGTTGACGCTTGATGCGGCGAATCTCAGGCATGTGGGCGTAGCGCTTGATAAGGGCTTGGTCATATTCGAGCTTGCTACGCTGGCGAGCACTCTTGATACCGCTGCGGTCGGAAGCCTTGGCACGCCACAGGCGAACGTTGCCGTCGTCAGATCCGGAAAGCACGTACTTGTTGTCGGGTGTGAATTTGGCAGAGAAGACACTGCATTATACATTAGTATCAATGTATTCGAGGCAGGTGGGGGGCTAAACATACCGTTGCATACGCTTGGTGTGGTAAATATCACGGGAATGACCACGGGCTCTGTCCCAAAGACGAATAGTCTTGTCGTAAGAAGCGGTAACTAGTTCTTCACCTGTAGGGCTGAATTCGATATCCATAACAGCCGCAACATGGTCCTTGAGCACATTGAGAGCGCGGTCGGTCTTTCTCATATCGAAAATGTAGGCGTTGTGGTCTTCGTTGGCAACGGCAAAGTTGAAGGCTTCCATAGGGTTCCAAGAAATAGCGTTGGACGCCAACTTGAGGACTAGCTTGTGCACCGGCGAAGAAGTTCGCAAATCGTACATTATGATTGAACGATCAATAGCAGTCGAGGCAAGAATCGATGTTTCGGTCTGGTTGAATGCGATGGAGGTGATGGTGTCGACGTTGGTGGGCCAGTGAAGAGTCTGCGAAGGTGTGGAAGAGGGTCGAGAAAGGTCATAAATGGAGATCATCGATGAGTTCGCAGCCGCGAATGCAGGGTCAGTCCGGTGGTGGGAAACACCAGTGAAGGCGCTCGATCCTAGGTAGCTGGCCATTGGAGGCGCATCGCGCGACGAGTTGTATGGGTCCCATAGTTTGACTGTCTTGTCACTTGCACAAGAAAGTAGTTTTCTCTCCGGAGTCCAGCAAACACCCTTAACCATATTCTCATGGGCCTGAGTTTCCCAAACTTCGCCGCGAGTCGTCAAATCCCAAACCTTCACTACACCATCACCACTACCACTTGCAAAACGTTCGAGGGAGCCAGGATCCTTCGCCATACTGTACACACCGTCGACATGACCGTCACCCATTTGGCAAAGAAAAGGAGCAGCAAACATGCGCTCCATCTTCACGGCATTTAGAGCACGAGTATATTCTCGAGCGCGTTCAAATGGATGCTGGGCCGGGTCGAGATTCCGCGACTGGCGAACGACAGCGGACCCGGGGGCCTGCTGTGACGCCGTGGAGCGAGAGAGCGCTTTGATTTTCTATTCAAAATTAGCAAAAATGTTCAACTGACCTAAAATAAAACCGGAACTTACCATTTTGTTGGTGGAATGTCTGCAAAGAAAATGTAGAGCGGAGCGAAACTTTTTTTCTGTTGAAGGGATGATTTGCTAAGCGGGCGGTGAGGCCGGCAGCTGCCAGCTTCAAGCTCCCCGACTTACGCCCGACCAAGCCTTCCTTCCACCATCCACTCTCAACGTCCTTGCTTTGTCCGGAATCCTTCCCATCCGACCTCTTAATTTTTCTCTTCTCTCCATTATGCCCGCTTCCACCAAGGTCTCTCCGCGGATACAGGAGGCCCGGGACCTGGCGAAGCAGGACCCCTCGAAAGCCGCTACCAGTTATCAGAAGATCCTCTCCGAAGGACCGGGGTCGACAGAGGCCTCCTCGCGAGACTACGAACATGCATTGATCGGATTGGGTCAGCTGTACCGGGATGCGAAGAAGCCGGAGGAGATTGCGGACCTCATTAAGACCAGCCGAGACACCTTTTCGTCATTTGCCAAAGCCAAGACCGCGAAGCTCGGTAAGCAACTCCATCGACTCTTCGAAACGACGATACTAACATGTATTCATAGTCCGTCAGCTTCTCGATCTCATCAGCGAAATCCCTAACACCCTCGACATCCAAACCACCGTCATTCAATCATGCATAGAGTGGGCCATCGCCGAGCGACGGTCTTTCCTGCGACAGAACCTCCAAGCCCGCCTCGTCGCGATCTACATGCAGAAGCAGGCCCACTATGATGCTCTTACGCTCATCAACTCTCTCCTCCGCGAGCTGAAACGCCTCGATGATAAGCTAATGTTGGTGGAGGTTCAACTGCTGGAGTCGCGTGTGTACCATGCTCTGGGTAATCAAGCCAAGGCACGTGCTGCTCTTACAGCGGCACGCACATCTGCCGCATCTGTCTACACGCCTCCCAATCTGCAGGCTGGTCTGGATATGCAGAGTGGCATGCTGCACGCCGAGGACAAAGACTTCAACACCTCATTCTCATACTTCATCGAGGCTCTTGAGGGATACAACTCTCTCGACGAAGGTGAACTTGCCACTGCTGCTCTTCAATACATGCTGCTGTGCAAGATCATGTTGAATCTGGTTGATGATGTGACACAGTTGCTTGGTTCGAAGCAGGCCCAAAAGTACGCTAGCGCACGCCTGGAAGCCATGAAGGCCGTGGGACGTGCTCACGCCAATCGGTCTCTGGAGGAGTACGAGAAAGCGCTCTCAGACTATCGATACGAGCTCGGTAGCGACACTTTCATTCGGAGCCACTTGCGCCGTCTATATGATGCGATGTTGGAACAGAACTTGATCAAGGTCATTGAGCCGTTCAGCCGAGTGGAACTGGACCACATCGCCAAGATGGTCGGCCTGGATGTTCAGCAGGTAGAGCGCAAACTCTCGCAGATGATCCTTGACAAGGTGATCATCGGCGTGTTGGACCAAGGCTCCGGCTGCTTGATTGTATTTGACGAGGCGGAACGTGATCAGGCCTACGACGCGGCGCTGGACACGATCGAGAAATTGAGCAATGTGGTGGAAGGATTGTATACTAACCAGGCATCGCTCCTGGAGTAAAGGGACAAGGACTACAAGTGTAGGGCTATTGAATGATTTTAGATCATGGGAAATAATTGATCTATGCACGACTTTCACTATGCAGTCTTTTGCGTAAACCAGTAAGAGTAAGGTTCGAGTAATCTGAACTACAGATTGTAGGTGTCGCCCTAGTTAAGGCTGCGTTTTCGAGTCTTGCTGGAGGCCATCTAAAGTTGAGTCATCGAATACTAGTCATCAGACCCCCGAGTTCCTTTTCAAGCAATATTAATCGCAGGATATATGGTAAGAACAAAAAGCTGGTAGAGTTCAATTGACGTGGTGGCTGCTTGGGCGCGGGTTGCCGAATCGGGTAAAGCGCGGCCGGCAAAAGAATCGCGACCTTCGCCCTCGCGCAACCTCATCCTCCACCCAACTCCACGTCGGAGCCACTGCAAACCTGGATCGGCAATGAACGCTCCCATGCAGCCCAATTACGCCCGGGGCTTCCCCCCGACTGCCCAGCGGTCTCCAGCGGCACCCCGTCGCCCTCCCGTGCCAGGTTCGTTCCCCTTTAACACGCTTCCGTTGCCTGCCCAGCCCCGTCTAACATCCGACTTTCTACAACGCATAGGCGCGATGCCCGTGCCAATGGCCCAACACGCCGTCAACCCGCAATATATGCCCGTGCAGCGTGCGATGCCGCAGCCTAACGATGCCGCTCTGCGCCGCAGTCGCAAGCCTACGGACAAGAACATTCCCGATGGTATCGAAGACGTCGTCATCGGTGAAGGTGTTCAGCAATACAACAATCTTCGCGAACTCGAAAAACGACTCGATGCGGCCGTTGTGCGCAAACGACTTGACATTCAAGACTCCATCAGCAAGACAGTGAAGAAATACCGAACCATGCGCATCTGGATTACCAACACCGTCGAGAACCAGCCGTGGCAGAACACTGGTAGCATCCCCGGCTCCGGTCGGTACAAGGTGCGCATTGAAGGCCGTTTGCTCGATGACAACACCGATCCCACCGTTCCAGAGGATGATGAGAAGGACTCTGCTGGCGAGTATGCGATGGACCAGGGTAAGGAAGGTGAGGATAAAGAGAAGTCCGACAAGAAGAATCAGCGTTTCTCCCACTTCTTCAAGACTATCACCATCGACTACGACAAGCCGGCCATCACTGTTCCGGAAGAAGTGAAGCCCATTACCTGGAACAAGCCCCAGGTACCTTCCAACGCGGCACCTACCCCGCCAAACGCCGAATTCGATAGCTTGCAGTTCTCGCGTGGATCGCAAGAAAATCTGAACGTTACTATCAATCTTGTCCGCGATGAAACCCCGGAGCGATACAAGCTGAGTAAGGAGTTGGCTGAGGTACTGGACGTCGAGGAAGAGACCCGGAGTGGAATTGTGCTTGGTATCTGGGACTACATTCGCGCTATGGAGTTGCAAGAAGACGAGGAGAAGCGCCAGGTGCGCTGTGACCACCGTCTCCGCTCGGTAAGTGCCGAATCTTCTCGGATATACACCCCAAAACCATCGACTAACTTCTGTTCAGATCTTCGGCCGCGAGCAAATGTTCTTTCCCCAAATTCCCGAAATGATCGGGCCACACACCAGTCCCATGGAGCCTATCAAGCTTCCCTACACGATTCGCGTTGATGAGGATTTCCACAAGGATCCCACCCCCACCATCTACGATATTCGCGTCGCTGTCGAAGACCCCTTGCGCGCGAAGATGATGGCCCTCACCCAGAACCCTAAGTATGCCGCCGGTCTCCACCAAATCGCCGCACTGGACGACCAGGTTGCGCTTATCATCCAGGCACTCAACCACTCCAGCGCACGCCATTCCTTCTACACAGCTCTGAGCAAGGATCCCGTGGCCTTCCTCCGCCGCTGGGTCAACTCCCAGCGCCGCGATCTCGAGACGATTCTGGGCGACGCTGCTGACGGCACGGGCCCCGAATTCCGTCGGGGAGGTTCTAACAGCGCTTGGGAGACTCCCGTGGCGAAAGACGCGGTGCGTTACATGCTCGCCAAGCCTGAGCTTGCACGGTAGAGCTTTCTCATTCTCTTTGTCTAGCGGACTCTCGTTCTACTTGTATTCTGATTTCTTTGGGGCGCTTTTGTGGTGTTTGGTATGGTGTAGCTAGGGTATGTAAGGTAGGGTTAATCCGCTCTAAAATGTGATGTTTATGATACTCTCTTTCCATTGATTATTTATTTCTCGCTGTTCTATATGACATACGAAAAGACTATGCAACGTATGCAGAGTACGGAAGAGGAAATGATCAACAGAAAAGCAAAAAAATACAGCCGAGGGGCCATAAAGATACATAGTCGAATCCGCAGAGGTCGTACGAGCATAAGATTGTGGACAAAGGGGCCTGCATCTAAAGCACAAAGGAGAAAAACGAACGTGCTGGAAAAGCGAGTCCGCAATCATTCCCAAATCATTACTCACTACGCGAGGTAGTAGAATCATCTTCTCCGCCACTTCGCTCGTGCGGCTTGGAATCTGCTTCAATGCTTGCAAGATGATACTTCCTATCATAGTGACAATATTTGGCGAACAACCCGACTTGGAATTATTGCGGAGACGTGTGGAAGTGTACTGGTCAATGTTGATTAGCAGCGCCTCCCACTTGGTGTACGGTCGTTGAAGTAAAGTACTAACTCGCCATTGTAACTCAGACGGTAAATTCAAGGGAGATACCATCAGTGCAGATTCCGTATACTGTGGGATCTATCTTGCAAATTCTCTATTTATACAAAAAGGCTAGAAAATGTAGGTTAGTTATGCCTGGGATATAATAGATCTTGACTTACCCATGAGCGCCAGGAGCTGGATGGATCCTGGTGAAGTTTGGCCCGCATATACTGGATTTCAGATGGACGAGATTCGTCATTCTGTCCTTCGGCTCGCGGTACGTAATTGCAAAACTCACGCAGCCTTTGACAGTGTACGGCTCACCCTTGAATTTGCCAGGTCAAAGGAGAGGGACAATTCAGGCTGTAGGAAAGTAGGCTCTGAGCCCCTTCACGGTTTTCGATGGTGATCAAAACCCCAAGAGCTAGGACGACGACCCAGGATTTAATAGAGGTTTCATTCAGGATCGTGTGCGGGCCTACGTAGAATCGGATAAGCGTTGTATCCGAGACCTAAAATGGAAAAAGCTAGCTTTGACTCACAGATAGACTGCCGATAGATCCGCAAGGCCAAAATGAAGAAGATTTGTTAAAAAAAAAAAAAAAAAAAAGGTAAATTGTTGAAGCGCCACACTTCCTTGGTGACAGTCTTAGCCTGAGATACTCATTGCTGAGAATCTGTGAGGCCGAAATGAAGGAAATAGTACATTCATCATGAAAACAAATCAGTAAAGTCTTCAATCGCCACGCCATAAGGCCAGGAGGAGGGCGCCCTTTGTCTGCTGATTTGATTGGGTGACGACGAAGATGATATTAGGTTGGATGTGGGGTGAAGAGGGGGAAATGAGGAGGGAGAGAAGAAGATGGAGGGAAGGAGGAGGCAGAAAATCCGGAGCCCCATGTTCAGGCGGTGTTAGGCACGTGGGTGTGACTATCTGACTTGTTAGCGAGAAACTATCTTAGGGTTCATGCTCCATATTAGTAGTTCTAGTTGAAACCCTGGTCAAACATGGTGCCAATTTCGACAGTAGCGCCTTGAAATTCAACCTGCACTATGGTATTTTTATGAGAGTTGCATTCTACGTACATTACTACTGCGGTACTTGCTCTAGTATCTCTCCGGTCACCTATCTGGCCATCCATGGATGTACCTGGTCGTCTACCTGTCACCGCATGATTAGCTGTCTGGTTAGTTGTCGGGCTAGCCACCCTGGAGACTGATGCAGCATGGACCAATGAAAATAGAAGTTTGAGTCATAGAGTGGAAAGTCTTCAGCATATTTTCTACTCATACGGCCAGATAGTTCATTCTGGATTTTGGAAGTACTAGTAGAAACATTTAATATACCTGAAAGATCAGGAAGGAAGTGTCACACTGGTCTGGGATAAAAGGGACATGACTGTATCAACCCATTCCAGATACATTATTCTCTGCATTGGTTCAATTATTACACTAAACTTTTAGCTATAGATCTTAATCACATGGATTAGGTATTCAATCCGCAGAAATCCAGCTAGGGTATGACAAAGTTATGTATTTCAAATCAAGTAAACTTATTGATCGTACCGTCATCCACCAACTCCTCTGCTGGGTCTATGATACCGTACTAAAGATCAGAATATCCCATCTGATCAATGATTGAAAGAAACTCGGACGACGAAATTCCAATATTATCCAGGAACTCCGCATCGCACAGCAATTGCGGATCAGACTTAACAAAAGAAGAATTATCTTGTCCATTGAGCGACTGTCCCATTCCCTCAGGATCCGTACACGGCATCACTGGTAACTGAGAACCATCATTCATCATGCCCGTACTCGGACCCAGCATATCCTTAGGATCCAGCAATGTCAGAGTTCGAAGTCCTCGTTCTTCAACACTTGCGGCAAGCTCGCCGAACAGACGCTTTAGTCCAAGCAGTTCTAGCTTACGGACTTCCGCGACCCTGTTCCCTCTGCCGATCATTTCGTCGAGGATTTCATATGCTTTTTTCGTTGAGTCCTTGCCGTCCGATAAGCCCGGAAATAGGGAGTTGGCCATGATTAGATGAATTGCGGCGCCGTTCGTGAATTCGAGATCGGAGGGAAGGAAGACCTCTTGAATAAAAATATTAGTGAGTTCGTTGGAGTTTTTGCGAACGTCTCCCACCCACCTAGAATACCCTCTTCGTCGCTTAGAATCTGCAGTGTTTTGATGGCTGATTTTATTCCAGTGGATATCAATGTCGTGGTATGAGCGAAGAATGATTCCCAGTCCTTGGCACTTTGGTCCCGTTCTTCTAACCGTTGCTTCAGAACTGATAGGAGGAGAGGTCTTGTCGCGAGGATAACGCACTTGACTATCGGTTAGTTGGAATATAGCGATAAATAGAAATATCGACGACTCATCTGGTGATACAAAATTGTGATGTGACGCGTTCCCAAGGCATGGTGTCCACTGAGTTCGGGAATTTTGAAGCAATTATCTGCTCTATTTCTTGAGCGTGTCCGGCAAGCGTGTGCAGTATTGACCTTGTTGTCTCGAGGAAAGTGTCGGGATATGTCTTTGCGAATTTGTATACGCCTAATAAGCCATCAGCCATACTGCAATGAAAATTTCTGAAGGAAAGGCCTTGTTACCGGTCAGGATATATGAAAATAGATGGGATAGTCTAACCTGCAAGCTCAATGGAGTATCACACGGTGAGGATGTACTGGGCGGATCCATCAAGGTCGTAATATCGCTATCCTGCATGGTCATGGGTAGACCAAGGGAAGACGAAAAGTACCGGTCCATGATGTATAAGGTCCACCAGAGATTGCGGCATTGAGTAACAGTCTCAGGTCCTAGCTCGTGCACGGGTAGCTCGGTATGCAAGCCTTCGAGTTGAGCTATGTGGATTGCTTGGCCGATATATTCAATCGATGTCAGTGATATTTCAGCTCATGTTTTATGAGTACACCAACATAGACATGCGCTGACTCCCGATGGTCAATTGAATACAAGTATAACCCAGCCAGTGCCAGAACCTCAATTGCTAGCAGACTGTCTTTCCAAAGAGTCGCATGGTCTGGCATCAGTGCCATAGCCCGAATGAAGAATTTCGCTCTCGTTGGATCTTTTAAGGTCTTGGAATGTGAAAGGAACGCTTTTCTAAAGGCCAGGACCAAGAGGAACTGAACAAACCACAGCCGAGACTGTGCGACTTTCTCTGTGGCGCTCCCGCAATTAGGGCTCCCATAGTAGAACTCTTTGATATGGCCAACGAAGACATCTTCATCGAAGAAACGGTACTTTTGTCCCAGGTGAAATTTCACGGTGTCGAAGAGGTAAAACGTGTAATTAATTGGCGGCGAACCGCTGATATCAGGCGGCCTATCGACGGGGTAGGGTTTCCAGTTGACTTGGTATATCTCACCATCAAGCCTGTCTAGACTGTTGTATGGAGACCCGACGTGGAGTTTTTCGGTCATCATGAAGGTCAGTCGTTTTGTGAAAGACCATGTAGATTATCGTGGGAGCCAAACTGTCAGAATTAGCTTTCTTGTACCATGAAGCTCATTGGCTCTATTGCAGACATACTCCAATTGCGTTTGTTTTGATGTATGTTTTTTGATTATTTTGAGGGTTGGTTGAATGGATTTGTCCATACACTGAGTTCACGGTCTCCAGCCTGTGGAGCCGAATGTGCACTAGGCACGAAGCTTCTTGGTTCGGAAGATGTTCGGTCTCCAGTCACTGAACACGGATTTTGTGGAGAGTTATCATATCCAAAAGTTGTCTCTCTCGGTCTCTTTGGAGGTCGAGAATGGCAATTTCAATTTCTCAGCTCTTGTTGATATATGACGATTTCAGTTTAGTGTAAGCACCGCTTGAAACCAACAACCGCGTATGAAAAACAAACCTCTCGGTCACCACCAATTTCTGAGCTCCTTCTATGAAGCGACAGTTCATAGATCTTCGTTGGCAATTGGCACATGGATCGATCCCAGAGCATTTGATTTTACTGTCGACATGCCACACATCTGTCATTTGATAAAGGGGTCAGACTCGGCTGGGGGCTGCGCAAGGAGCTCAATGGTCTTCTCACTCACGCATTGGGTGTTCGCTTCGGCTTCCTGGGCAGAGACTGCATCGGCTTGGCGTGGGTTAGTGCACTGCTTCTATTGCATGATGGCCAGGAAGCCGAAGCGAACACCCCTTATTGGAGAGTCTCCGAGAGAATCTCCTGGTGGAGAAATACATTGTTCAACGCGACGACCAGGTGGATCCAATCAGGATTAATCCATTGCTTCACCTGAGTCTATCCAAGAATATTGGATACGGTGCACCCAGGCAGCGACTTCACCGAGATGATAATATTCATAATATTCGTCACCCGAAACCGGAGGATTGGAACTTCAATGATGTTAGCCAGTTTGCTTGTTTGATCGCTGGGTGCGATACAACCAGAGAAAACGGTGCAGCGAGGTTTATCCCAGGAAGTCATAAATGGGACAATCATCGCATGCCGACGATATATGAGGCCACTTTCGCAGGTACGAAGAACCATCAACCTGCGTCATTCTATGCTCTGAACTTCTCACGATAAACAGAAATGTCGGCTGGTTCGGCCTTGATTTTCTTGGGGTCCGCTTTCCATGGAGGGGGGCAAAACTCGGTCCCGGACTCAGTTCGTACCATGTATAGCCTATTCTTCTGCCGAGGGATCTATCGAACTGAAGAAAATCAGTTTTTGACTGTACCTTGCAGCAAGACAGCCACCATGAGCCCGAAGCTGCTGGATCTCCTTGGCTATACGCAACCTTCGTTGGCAATGGGTCTTGTAGATAAAGCCCTGATGAAGATTTAGAAGGCATGTGGCAGAAGGTCATGCAGTAGCCAAACTTGAGATGCTTTTTACTTCAAGGAAGAACCATCCTATGCCTCAGGTACCGGAGTTTCCAACAAATCTTAGTCCCTAATTTTCATTCCTAATAACAGTTGGTCATTGGGCTTGAAATGTCTCGCATAATCTTCTTTTCTCTCTTATCTAATATAGATTAATTTCCTAATGTAGTCAATAGAGCCCTGCACCCAAAATAGAGCAAACCGGTGGTGAGTGATAGTCATGGGATGAAAGCCACAGATCCGGGCAGCGGTATTTGGGAGCCGAAGCCACTTCTTGAAGCGATCACCTGAACGGGCTTGTAAACCGTCATCCGTGTATAAAGCCCTGATGATCGGCTTCAAGGCTCGGGAATGGCGCCAGTGCCTCCAAGATTTCAATCCGAGCTGAGCCCCATTGTTCGTGTGGGGGTCGGATCCGGGGTCTCGGGATGGGGTTCAGGTTTCGGAGCAAGCTCAATATGGTAGTCAGTACTGAATCAACCCAATCATTGCAAGGACTGGACAATACAGGGCACTGGGGAACAGAAGGTTTAAATATTTAAGAACCAAAATATGAGATTGATTGCTTATCCATCTGATCAATCTCCTTCATCTGATAACTCGACCTCATCTATATTTTCAAAACATTGCCATAATGGCTCCCGCAGCGCTTGTCGCATCTCTTCCGGCTCCTGTGCCAGTCGGACCTGCCACCAAGAAGGCCACACGTCCAACTAAGCCAATTCCTCAGTCTTTGATTGATGGTGCCAAAATCGGCAGAAGCGAGTCGTCCGATCCCAGCAAACATCTGAAATTTCAACCTCCGAAGAATATTCGCACAATGAAGAAAATCGGCTTAGAGGGCCAGGGCGTTTCTTCCCCACGCGGCCACCGATCCTTTCCCTCTCTTTACTGAAGAGGCCATCAAGCAGATGCGTGCGGAGATCTTCAGCGAGAAAGTCCTCGAGGAGTGCCAATACTCTTCTACTTTCAACCCAAACATGATTCGAGGGATGGGTCCTGCGTATGACAATTTGCTTATACTTCTCGTTTAGACGAGCCCCCTTTGCCTACGATGCGTGGAAGTCCCCCGAGGTTCTACCCAAGATCTCCGAGGTTGCAGGAATCGACCTTGTCACATCCTTCGACTTTGAAATCGCCAATATCAACATCACCATCCCGAGCGAGAACCAAGACATCGATGAAATCCTCGACACACCTTTTGCAGACCGAACATCTGCTGTCGCCTGGCACTACGACAGCTTTCCATTCGTATGTGTCACTATACTCTCCGACTGCACCGGTTTGGTCGGTGGAGAAACTGCATTGAAGACTCCGAAAGGAGAAATCCTGAAGGTCCGAGGCCCGGCCACTGGAACTGCAGTGGTTATGCAGGGAAGGTACATTGAGCACCAAGCTCTCAAAGCTATGGGTGGTCGCGAGCGCATCAGTATGGTTACTTGCTTCTGTCCTAAGGACCCCCTGGTCAAGGACGAGACCGTTCTGGTCGGCGTACGGGGTGTCAGCAACATCTCCGAGCTCTATACCCAATACACTGAATACAGAATGGAGATTCTGGAGGAGCGCATTCGCCACACGTTGAAGCAAGAGCGTGAGCGCGAGATTGCGAAGCGTCCATTTGACATTGCAAATACCCGGAGCTTCTTGCTAGAACAGAAATTGTTCTTGGACTCTATGCTTAACGAGATTGTCGAGTTGGATTAGAGAGGCTGTGGCATTTGATGACCCGGGCCCGAGGGTAGATCATAAGAATAGCTTTTAGTACCATTGTATGCGAGTACCAAGAATAAATTTACGACTTTCGCTTTCACATAGCTGGGCAGGGAAGACGAAGTAAAAAGACAATCGAATCGTTCGGCAACAAGCCCTGTGTCACAGCCCCGTAGGACCACTGCCATAAAATCTACGTCCAGCAGAAAGCCCAATGAATACTACTAGATCACCCCGGAGTAGATCATGACCAACATTCGATGACTCATAATTGCAGAGCAGACACGGCATAAGAGCCAACACCGAAGATCACCAATCGAAGCGGAGCAAAACATCATACATCTCTACCAGCCCGACCAGCTGTCATAACATAGTGGACAATCGGAAAATGTGTGCCAAACGTCTTTCTTCAATTCCCCTATCCTGGAAGCAACAATAGTTTCGGAATCACAGCGGTATCCGACCGAGTCTACCTCTGTCACTGAGTGATGCAGAGGCACACCATGCACCCAGTCTCCATTGAATGTCCTTGTCCGTTTGAATCTTTTGCTATTTTCTTTTTTGTTGTACCCGTGATCTAGGTCTTCGTAGAAGGGGTCGTGGAGTATCGAGTACAGGAGAGAATCGTCGAGGGAGCCGACACGCGGCAGCGGGATAAAAGGTGAGGAAAAGAGCAAAAAGGAAAGGTCTTCATATTCTTCTGGCTGGCGAAAACGCTTAGTCGAACAGACCGAAGCCCATGTCCTCATCGGACTCCTCCTTCTCTGTAAGAAAGTTAGCATGTGGTCTTGGCACACAAAGTGCTGGAGATGAAACTTACCCTCCTCCTTCTTCTCCTCGGCGGCAGCCTCAGCGGGGGCAGCAGCACCACCGGCAGCGGCACCGGCGGGAGCGGCGGGGCCAGCGGAGCCGACGTTGGTCAGGAGCTCCTTGATGTCCTTGCCCTCAAGAGCCTGCGGTTGAAAATTGTAAGTCAACTGTACTCTATGTTGCCGAATGTCGAAAAAGTTCGGGTCGCATAAAATGCGACTTTTCGGTGTGGGCGAAGTGGCAGGTGTCAGATATTTACCTTGGCGAAGATGGAGGTCCAGATGGGCTCGATCTCAGGAACCTTGGCGGCACCGATGAGAGTCTGGAGCTTGTCGGCCTGGTAAAAAATGGTGAGTTAGCCGCTGTCGAATAGATTTGGCGTATTTGTCATGGTGAAGCGATAAACGGCTGTTGCGTTCACTCCTTGCGACCAAAATCCCAGCAGAGAAACTGCAATCGCGCGTCGATGCTTCACGACTCAACAATCTCGGAAAAGTGAGAACGTACGGTGACATCAATGCCCTCATCGGCCAGGATGAGAGCGGCGTAGGAGCAGGCGAGCTCAGCGGTAGACATGTCGACGGGTGGTGTTGACCGGACTGGGTTGAAGATGAAGATGGGGAAGAAGAGAAGAGAGGGAAGTATCAAAGGCCTATCCGAACAGGGCAACCGCGCGGGCGTGTGTGGGAAAAAGCCCTCGCTTAGGGCTTGGCCAAAATAGGTGTAGCGCCTATGTGGCCCGTGACCTCCAGGCCCAAGGCACTAATCCCGATGCGGCTCTATTCTGCTGACTCATCGCCTCCCACGTAATCAGACCGTATCGCAGCTCGATATCAATCGGTCCCGGACTGACATCACATCGTCAAACTGTGGGGTTCGAGTGTTCACGCCTTCTTCCGTCCGTCTCGTTACCACCATCACTTCGAACTGATCATTCCAAAATACCGAATCACCGTCTCCTGCCCCCTTTGCGCAACGGCTATGGAATCCCCCGCAGTACCGGTCCCGCTGGATCCGCGAGAGCAACCCATCCTCGAACGGCTTCTCCGAACCCGGGACGCCCTTTTGCTCCTGAAACAAGACAAGTCCTCATACATCAAATCTCGCGATGTCCTTCCGCTGTATGAGGAAGTGACCCAGGAGGTGGAAAAACTCAATGCTGCCCGCAAAGAACAAGACCGCCGCTTGATTCATAATCGATGTGAGTATCGAGTGGGCAGTGGCATGATCGGCTCGGGAGATTGCTTACACGGATCGCGTTTAGTGGACTATGTTTTGGATGACTGCTTTCAGTTGATTTCGCTGCTTTTCTTGACGGTTGGTAGGAATAACGAGGCACCGGCAGTGTAAGTTTACCCATCGGGCGCGCGGATCTCTGGGCTTCGCTAACATCGTCTACTAGCTACTCACTGGCAACTACAATCCAGGTATTTGGATATTCCGAACCCCCCCCCCCCCCTCTTCAATACCATCTTTATGGTCCTGACTTTGTTTTCTAGCGACTGCTCGACCACCTTGAAGAGGCCGGTTTCTACAGCTCCAAGGACTTGAATTCCATTACGAAGACCCTCGATTCTACCCGAGAAACCCTTGAGCGCGGTCGCAACACTTATTCGCCTGCGCTTTTGACCCTCTTGGAAAGCCGATTGGAACAATGCCAGATTTCGCTCGACAAGCTCCAGAAAGGACTTGCAGTCTTGGATCCGGCTCTTGTTCAGACACATGAAACTCTGGTCTCTATTCTGCGGTCTACATCTGCGGTCAACACCCGCTCAAAGGTATTTACCGTCGGATCTGTTTCAAACTTCAAAAGCTGACATCGTATTCTCTGAGTTAGTTTTCCTCTACAGAAGTCAATAATCTCCGCGAACAACTGAAGAAGATCGAGGGTTCAATGAAAGACGGTAACTTTGTGGATGCCGATGGAAATGTTCTCGCCGGTCAGGATGATCTGAAGTCTCTGATGTACCGGTGCTGGCGGTGGACTGAGATTGTCCTTGAGCGCCAAGGCAAGATCCACGAGCGATTCCAGGAGCAATATGATCGGCTACTTGAGATCCGTAACCAACTTGACAGACTTTCCGTAACACAGGCTTGGTCCCTGCGCGAAACAGATCTTTTCGGATATCAGCGAAAACTCGATCGGATTGACGAGGCCCGGGTTAATGGCAACTTTGTTGATGCCGAGGGTCAGACTGCCGATCTCCATGCTCAAAGGGTATGTATCTGCCGGCGACATTTTTTCGCGCCTTACTAACATCGACGACTTCTCTAGACACTGCTTTATTTGATTCGACGCAGCTACGCATACATCTACGCTCTTCTGATTTCCTCCGAGCCCGTCTCTGAGGCGTTGCTACCCGTCTACAACCAGCTGCAGACACTCCGACGGTGTCTGATCGAGGTTAAGGAGTCTGGCGGCGTGTCGAACTCGCGCGAACTCTATCCTTACAGCATGAAGGTACCTTTACAAATCTCAACTTGCATGCTGAATCTCCAGAAGTTAACATTCCATCCAGCTCAACTCCATCGATAACATGCGGGTTGACGGAAAGTTCTACGTTGGTCCCGATATCCCCGAAGGACAGGGAAGCGTCAATGCCCTCCTTGCCGAATGCTACGACCTGGTCTGGGAGCTCCGAGCGGCCGTGACCGATGAGAATGTGCAAACTTAGGCGAGTTTTCAGGTAGATCCATCTCTCAGTTTCTATCGACATGTGTTAATTCTTATCTGGACTTTGAGAGCGCCTATATGCGAAGTGCTCCTGATAACTCTGTGAATGTATGATTTGAGCTTCTACTAATGATTTATCTGGATTTGGCCTTTGATGCCATTTAACGAGAGGCGTTTAGCCCGGGTCGTCAGCCTGAGATTGAAAGGCACCTGACCATGAATACAAGGAGAGGTATTAGGGTACCTCGTTGGTTCTTGAATATCGAATTGAACACTTGTTTATTATTAGTAGTAGAACTTGTATTTTCAAACCGCGCGTCGATCAACTCACTGTCCGGGTATTTTGATGAGGGTCGAGGGGTCACCAGGTCATCAGGTCGCCTAATGAGCCGCGCGCCCTGTTTGGTGCCTTAGGATACTATGCTCCGCCAACAACAATTTCTCCGTTGTTTTCCGTTCGTCTTGAACACTTCCAGGGAGATTTGTCATCCAGCCTCGTCCGAATACTCAATGTGTTCTATTTCATTGTGACTTGAGGATTTGAGGCGGTGATGCTCCGCGCACGGTGAAATGCCGATTCAGGCGCCGATCATCCAAGAAAACATGACGAATATTGCAGCCTTGTCTCCTCCAGGAGCATCGTTTTTGTTTTTGGTCAATATGGATTAAACTGACGAAAAGTCTTTTTGCAGGAAAGTCGAATAGTTGGAGCAGTTGATTTAACAATCATACAAAGCTATCAGCGTGATCGGCGATATGGTCGGAGATCCGACGGACTCCCTTCTTCAACGGGGAAAAAGCAACCAACAGATAGAGGCTTGTTATTTGTCTGAGCCAATCGGTGTCGATCTTCCTTATTAATGGATCCTACCTTCCAAATCCATCATAGCGACCTGCAGATATGCTATATAACCTCACCCCCAGCCATCCCAGCCGAGCGGGGTTATCCGAGGCTCCTGGACAAGCATTTCGGAAATCAAAATGGTGTACCGGAAGATCGCGGCTCTATCAGCCTTGGCACAGCTTTCTGTCGCGCAATTTGTGCCTGCACCAGATGATCTGATCTCGAAGAAGGGGCATGCTGGTGTCTCGGTACGGTACAAGGAGGTACCCCCTGGAATCTGTGAACAGGATCCGAACGTAAAGAGCTATTCTGGCTACGCTGATGTCGGAGAGGATGAGCATATTTTCTGGTATTCAGTCCCGAAATAATCCGCTAAGCTGGATTTGTGTTCGCTAACAATCACAGGTGGTTCTTCGAGGCTAGGAATCAGGATCCGAAAGACGTATGTCCCAGCCTTCCACCAGGGTCCAGTTCAATTTGCTAAATAATTCCAGGCGCCTCTTACAGTCTGGATCAATGGAGGACCAGGATCTTCATCGATGATTGGGTTGTTCCAAGAATTGGGACCTTGTGGCATTGATCGCAATGGCAAGGCGTACAACAACCCCTATTCCTGGAGCAATGCAAGCAATATGGTAAGCTCCGACATTTCCCCTCGGGGTGTATGTTGCTAATATATCAAAGCTGTTTGTCGACCAACCTGCGACTGTTGGACTCTCCTACACAATTCCTATCTCGGGCTATCGAGACAGCGATGACAACATCATCCAACTGCCTAGCGAGGAATGTCCCGAATATGCCGAGAGCTATGGAACATGCGGCACATACTCCAAGGCAGATATCGGATTAGTCCCCAATTCGACGCAAGGCGCAGCGCCGAATATGTGGAAGACCCTGCAAGGATTCATGGGGGTCTTCCCACAGTACTCGAGAAATGGGTTCACTTTCACCACTGAAAGTTACGGTGGTCACTATGGCCCAGTGTTTAATGGTGAGAGCTTATGCTACACACACAAGAAAAGTATGTTAACTGTAAACAGACTATTTCGTCGAGCAAAATGCCAAAAAGATACAGGACGCAATTCATATCGACCTTGAGAACGTCCTCATTGGTAACGGCTGGTTCGATCCCTTGATCCAATACCAAGCTTACTACAACTTCTCCGTGTCTCCCGGAAACACCTATGACTATGACCCATACAATTCCTCAGTCAAGGCAGAGTGGTACAACAATCTTTACGGAGAAGGAAACTGCGTCGACCAAACGAAGCAGTGCTACGCGACAGGCCGAAACGACATCTGCTCGACAGCCGACAATTTCTGCGCGAATAAAGTCGAGAACATGTTCGACATTTACTCGGGGCGCGATGAGTACGACATGCGCGAGCTGATGCCCGATCCATTCCCGTACGAGTTCTATGTGGATTATCTCAACAGTCCGAAGGTGCAAGCTGCCATTGGAGCGTATCAGAACTTTTCGGAATCCTCTTCGACGGTCAGCAATAGCTTCAGGACAACGGGCGATGATGACCGCGAGTCTGGAACCATCGAGCATGTGCGCCACTTGTTGAAGGCCGGTGTGCAGGTTGTGATGTACTTTGGAGATGCGTAAGTCCTAAACGGTGCAACTGACATCGGACCAAATCCAGTTAATCAGATCAATAGTGACTACAATTGCAACTGGCTCGGCGGCCAAGTCATTGCCGAGGAAATCGATGCCCCCGGATACAACAAGGCAGGTTTCGTCAACATCACAACCTCCGATGGCGTTGTTCATGGACAGGTCCGTCAGAGCGACCTGTACAGTTTCGTCCGGATCTACGAATCCGGTCATGAAGTACCTTTCTACCAACCTCTGGCTGCCTTGGAGCTATTTGAACGAGCTCTTGCGAGAAAGGATATTGCTACTGGAAAGAAGGATGTTAAGCAGCATGGTAGCTATCGGACTCATGGGACCCCGACAAGTGACTATCGCGAAGGAAATAGCACGATTGTCTTCAAGGTCCTTGATGCGGATGCAACCTACAACACCACTCTCAATGGACCGAATCCTTCTTCCTCTGGGTCTGCCAAGTTTCACAAGCAGAAGCGTGGCCTGGGCAAGATCGTTACAGGCAAGCATAGTAAGCCACGGCGATCTGTTCTGGGGATGCACTGATCAGGAAGGCATCCAAGGTGATAAATGGGTTGTATTCTAAAATTTGATCGCCATCTATCCTCATAGTTGTATCAATATGAACAAAGCCTACACCGCATTTATTTCCGTGAGAACCTTTTCGTTCTTTTCATTTCTTAGCTTTGCCATGACTCCCTCTTTAGTAATTTTTTAATGAGCCACATCATTGCTTGGGCTCAGCAGTTGAACCAAGTACTTCTTTGATCTATTGACACGGTTGTTTGATCTCCTCAAATGCCCGAACAATGAAGGACTTCCCATCAATGACCACCTTCTCGCCGGGAACTTTCCAGGATCCCTGGCCCTCTCCATCAAATTCAGTCTTCATAGAGGGCACAGAAGCCCCCTCGGGTCCAACCACATACTTATCTACCCATCCAGCACCAGGGCTAAATTCCTCCCTCCTAGCGCTGACTTCAGCCCCAGTCCTCTTAAAAACCCAGTTTCCATCCTGATCTTTTCGTCGAGAATGAACCTGAACCTGCTGGAAGGCCTGATACGTCCCCCAAACACGACCAATGAACATCTTGGTCAGGGTAACCTCCCCTTCTTCCTCACTTTGACGGAAATCTTCATCGTCGGATTCAAGAATCCACGAAATACCCTGCTTCGCGCCTTCAGGCCCCTCCCTAAACGGCAGGTTGTGCCAAACCTCCTCGAAGGCCGTCATGGGCGCACCGGGAAGTTCGGGATGAGGCATCTCGCCCGTCTCGAGATCATCGCCATTAGGAAGGGCGCTGAATGAAGCCGAATCGACCATGCCAATCTCATTGAGAGAGTCCAGCTCGCGTGTGAAGTTGATCTTGACTGTTGATAGAGTCAGTCAATCACTGGTCATGTAATCCATCACCCCACACCAGCAAGGATTACAGACGCGGTGTTTCATTCGGATTCTCTGCGACCATTGTGCCGGCCATCGCCCAGTCAATTGCGCCGGACTTCTTGTCCATTCGCAGGTCGATGAACCATTCCCCCACAGATATGACGATTGTATCGGTTGTTTCTTCTGGGGGCTCTGGGACCCAGCGGAGGGAGAGGCGGGTAGTGAAGCCGCAGGTTGAGCCCAGGTTCGTCGCTGTGGTGGCCATTGTTCGAGTTGTGGATGGCTGGTTGGGAACTTCTGTTACAGTGTACCCCAATGTACGAGGCAGGGGAATATTTTAAGGTCGTCATGTTGAGCAGGTGCGTGTGGAACAAGCAGAGCCATGTGGGCATGGGGTTGGAGTCGGCGATGGCGACGAATCGGGAAGCTGCAAGAGATCCGGCCCGTCTTATCGCGATCGTCCCGAAAGGGAAGGTTCCATTCTTCACTTCTCAATTCAGCAGAAGGCTTAGTCATTCCAGCACTTGTAGTTAACTACAACGTATATCACAATATGGGATGATGTCTAGATTAACTGGAGGGGCCATTTATCCCGTGCTAACAAAATGGCGGTAGGAATCATGATGCAGGTGGTAAAAACTGCTCTTCTATCTACAAACACAAAACTTATTCCCAACCTGCCTCCAACTGCTCCCGATACCCAGCAATCATCTCCGCATTGATATTACTTCCCCCACAAACAACAATCACAACCCGACTCTCCGGGGTAAGTGTAGGCATAACCCGCCTCAACTCCTTCCCAACAGCAACCTCAACACTAATCCCACAAGCCAACTCAACCTGCAACCTCGTCTCATCCGCCAGCCTCACAATGCCCCTGGCAGCCTCCGCATCCGACCCAACAACACTCTGAACCTCAACTCCAGGCGGCGGCGCACTCGCATTCTCGAACGCCCTCCGCGCAACACGCAGCGCTCCGAGAGAAGTAGCCTGCGAGGTAATCTTGTCCAGCGAGGATAACTTTCCTTCTTGGAGCGAAAGTGCTAAAGAGTGAGCACCAGCCGTCTCAACCGCTAATACGCGCACATTCTTCGCCGGTCTATCTCCAAGATTCCTCTGCAATCCTTGAATGATACCATTGAAAAGACCACCACCACCGACGCTGCACACGATTGCATCAGCGGGAAACTCGCCCTCTTTTTCGGCGGCCGGCATTTGACATGCGATCTCATCAACCATACTTGAAGCGCCCTCCCAGACGAGGTGGTGGTCGAATGGCGGCACGTAAACGTTTCCCTCGCAGCCTTCGTTCTCGATGAAATGTTCTCGGAGGTAGCTGTCGGCCTCGAACCAGCTGGCTCCGTGCTGGATTACCTCTGTTGCGCCGATCTGTCGGAGTCTGCCGATCATGAATGGTTTTGTGCTGTGTGGGACGACAACGGAGCATTTGCAGTTGAGGTCTAGAGCTGCGTGCACGGCGGCGAGGCCGGCGTTTCCGCCTGAGGAAATGTAGAAGTGTGGTCGCTTTGTAGGATTCGAAGTCAATTGTTCTTCCAGGCTTGCGCGAATGAAATTGCCGACTCCGCTGGTCAATGTTAGATTGTGCTTGGCTTTAATTGTTCGGATGAGTGCGATTGATCGGAATGGTCGGATAGATGACCAGATATAAGACGTACCGAGACTTGAAAGAGCCAGATGGTTGCAGGAGGTCAAGTTTGAGGAAGATCCGACTGTTTAATCGGGATAAATCACTATACTTTTTCCTTTTTGGCCTCCTTGAGAATGTTGGGCACTCACCATCCTGCAATCTTGGATAGAGTGGCCGACTCAATGATCGGAGTCTCAATCCAAGGTTTCTTGATGTCTGGTGTTGGCGCCATTGTTTGCTGAAGAAGAATTGTGGCAATGGCGCGGAAACAAGTTATTTGTAGGTAGGATGTAAACCGCAGGGCGTGCCCGCTTTTATAGTCCATCGGGTTCCCCGCAGGCCGTATCATCCCGTCCCCACTCCACGAGACTGATACGACTCATAATTGGGTCGGTGATGGTCTCGATTACAAAATATTCCATGCAATTCAAGATTTTCGCGGTCATTACTCAGGTTGGATGGTAGTAACATAGAATACAGATCACATTGGATATCATCTAGATAGCAGAAAGGACAAATAAAATCTAAACTCTCCAAATACAAAGGCCGCGGCGCAATGGCTGTGCTATATAATCAGCGGTAATACTCCACCCGTGTCACAACTCCCTGTAGAAATCCGACATTTTGTGCTTTTCGACTTCTTTTGTACACTTTATTTGGCGTTGGCCTTGGCAGCCAGCAGGTTCAGAGCACTACCGGCAAGGATGAAACCACTCTGGTCCTTGCTGAGCGTGTGGTTGACAGGGATCAGGAAAGTCTCGCCGGTCTTCTTCTTTGTGACGCGGAGCTGGATCTCGCCCTGGCCACCAGCCTGCAGGGTGTCGTAGAGGCCGACGGTATCGACACGGTCGCAGGCATCGATGCGGTCGTAGTCCTCACGATTGGCGAAGGTGAGGGGGACAACACCCTGCTTCTTCAGGTTGGTTTCGTGGATACGGGCGAAGCTCTTGGACACAATGACGCGGCCGCCGAGGTAGCGAGGCTGGAGGGCAGCGTGCTCACGGGCAGAGCCCTCACCGTAGTTATCCTCGGCGACAACGAGCCACTCGATACCCTTCTCCTTCCACTGCTCAGCAAGCTCAGGAATACCGTACTGAGCACCGTCCTCGTCGTAGGCGACATTGGTCTCGCCGGTAGCGGCATTGACGGCACCGATCAAAGTGTTGGCGGAAATGTTGGGCAGGTGACCCTTGTACTTGAGCCACGGGCCGGCGGCCGAGATGGTATCGGTGGTGCACTGGCCCTTGACCTTGTACAGAACCTGCAGACCACTCAGATCGCCCTTGGGGAAGGGAGCGAAGGGCTCCAGAAGAGCCAGGCGGTCGGAGGTTGGGGAGACGGCCACCTCAACGCTGGCATCAGGAATAGCAGCAGTGGGCTGGAAGTCGGGGTTTCCGGCCTCGAAGCCGGCGCTAGGCAGGTGCGAGCCTTGGGGAGGCTGGAACTTGAAGGTCTCGCCGCTGGGGGTGGTCAGAGAGTCGGTCATCGGGTTGAAGGTAGTGCTGCCGGAGTAAGCGAGCGCGGTGACAAGCTCGGGGGAAGCCAGGAAGTTCATGGTACGGCGGTTACCATCGTTGCGACCGGGAAAGTTACGGTTGTATGAGGTGAAGATGGCGTTGTCCTCGCCCTTGGGCACCTCATCAGTGCGGTTCCACTGGCCAATGCAGGGACCGCAGGCGTTAGCCAGAACGGTACCACCAGCCTGGGAGAAAGTGGAAAGGGTCTGGTCACGGTCGAGGGTGGCACGGATTTGCTCGCTGCCAGGGGTAATGAAGAAGTCCGCCTTAGGCTTAAGACCGGCAGCAGCAGCCTGCTTAACCAGGTCCTCCGCACGGGTCATGTCCTCGTAGGAAGAGTTGGTGCAGCTACCAATGAGACCGGCTCCAAAAGTCTCGGGCCACTGCTTCTCACGCACAGTATCAGCGAACTTGGACAGGGGGACGGACAGATCAGGGGTGAAAGGTCCGTTGATGTGAGGCTCCAACTCTGACAGGTTGATGGTCACAACCTGGTCGTACTCGGCCTCAGTATCAGCACGTAGCAAATTCTTAGGACCAGAGCCAGCAATCTCAGCCGCTGCCTTGGCGACGTGGCCACGATGAGTAGCCTCGAGGTATGGCACGTGGTTAGGCGAGAAGGGGAAGAGCGAGGTAGTGGCGCCAACCTCAGCACCCATGTTACAGCAAGTGGCCATACCAGTGCAGCTCAGGGTCTCAACACCAGGACCGTGGTACTCAATAATGAAACCAGTACCACCACGGACAGTCAGCTTGCCGGCCAGGGACAAGATAATGTCCTTGGGGGATGCCCAGCCACTCAGCTGACCTTCCAGGCGTACACCCAGAATCCTAGGAGCCTTCAGCTCCCAGGGGGCATCAACCAGGGCATCAACAGCATCGGCACCACCAACACCAATAGCAATAGCACCCAGACCACCACCGTTAGGAGTGTGGCTGTCGGTACCCAGCATCATGAGACCAGGAGCAGCGTAGTTCTCCAGCACGCTCTGGTGAATAATGCCGGCACCCGGGGGCCAGAACTCAATACCGTAGCGTTTAGCAGCACTCTCTAGGAAGTCGAAAACCTCGCTATTGCCCTTGATCGAAGCCGGCAGATCGGTATCGGCACCGCGTTCTCCAACAATCATGTGGTCACAGTGAATACTGGCGGGAACAGCAGTCGAAGCAAGACCGCAGGACATGAACTGCAGAAGAGCCATCTGAGCAGAGGCATCCTGCATAGCCACACGGTCGGGCTTCAGCTTCAGGTTGGCCTTGCCCCGAATATCGCGGCCATTGTTGGTACCGGTGAGCAGGGACTCTTCGGGGTTGGCCAAATGGGAGTAGAGGATCTTCTCGGCGAGGGTAAGGGCGCGTTCCGATCCCAGGACCTTGCGGACCTGTTCGAGGTTGCGGACGATCTTAGGGTAGGGCGGCATGCGTGACGAGGAGGCCTCGGTGGCCAAGCCCCGGACGAGTTGTTGCGGGGACAGTCGCGCGGCGAGCTGGACGCAGTCAGTACGGTCAATTGGCAGTCAGTTCGAGGACAGACGAAGAGCACTCACCCCGCGAGAGGCCGCAGCCCTGTGCCACAATAGCTGGCTCACCATTCTCTCGAGTGTGGAGGGTGGAAACTGGGGGAATGGAGTCAGGGTGGAAGTCCCGAGGGCTTTTTTTCGGTCGGCGGACTCGTTATTTGCGTGGCCTCTGATTGGCCCGCACTTGCACCGATACCGGGTTCGTGATCGGAGGCTCGCCACAGCGATACAAACAGGAACTATTATTAATCTGATATTTACATAGTTAGCCAAAAGAGAAGATTGAATATGTACCGATTCAGATTTATGGTATGCAATTGGAAGCATCACATCATGGTAGCGGTGTTTACATTGTAGGGTCTGCACTCATTGCTTACAACACATGACAAAAACAGTCCGAGATTGATAGTCTACTTTCCCCAATTACAACCCACTTGTTTCCTAAGTAACTAACCACACGATCGCTGAATAAACCGAATTTCAATGAATCTCTCACAATGACGATGAACAGATTCCTCCAATCTTTCACCCAAATTCCAAGACTCTGTTCCGTCTGAACAAATACCTCTGTTCAGCTCCGAGCTCATCCTGGCCCTTCGCGACCACAGGGCTTGTTCGACCTTTTCACGACGGCTGGAAAGGACCACCCTAAGGCACTAAATCCCGCATTTTATGAATGTAAAGTTTCACACCAATGGTCCCAATGTATCTGATATCGGATGAATCACTAACCAAGTAACCCAGTCCCAAATGGCGCTTCCATGCGTCCCAATTCTGAGAAAATGCAGAGATGCACTAGCGCTTGGAGTAGAAATGACATCTATGTATTTGCTGTCTACAAAGGTGGGTCACGCGCGAGTGGTTCTTGGGATGTCTAGCCTTGACTGATGGCGACGCATATAGGGACCCCTTTGCCTCGTGATCTTATTCTCGTTCATACGTTTGCAGACCATTACTCATTGCAAGCCCGAAGTCATGGCAGTAGAAAGTGTTCCACCTATTTAGTCTCTCATTCGGGTTCAGGCTGACAAATTGAGCAAGAATTGAATGCGAACAGCACTGCCTACTTGGTGACGAAGGGGCGGTTGTTCACTAAGGGCGAGTGGCTACGGCGATACCCTTGCGCGACCGAGTGAAAGTTTCTCAGTAGAATCTTGTCTGGTGCCATTTGAGCTGTATATTGGAGCTAGAGCTTTTATATATTACACCTTTCATCATAAATACCGAGTGCCTGACACCTCTCCCTCCCTGGTTCGATTGCTTCAGTGTTCGATGTCCTGGGTTACATTGTAATTTGTGATGACCGCGACGCTAGAGCCTGCTCACTCCATCGTTGCTCGGATATTTTTGATAGGCTTCGGAGCTTCTGCTTGCTGCGCTTAGAATGTCTGAAGCGCTACCATCCACGTGACTGGTTCTATATGTTGAAGACATGGAAGCTCTACTCCAGCGCATTTTTGATCAAATGTTAGATTATGGGAGATTTTAGTCCATATATGACCATACTTTGTGGAATACGCATGATTTGAAACCAAGCAGACATTGGTGGGTCGCTGATAAGCGCTGATGTATATTTTGATCAATGTGTCCGAGCACCCCCTGTCCATTTTCTCCACGACCGCATCTCAACATCAACAAAGTTAATCTGATGATTTTATTTTCGTCTATTCGTCATACGATAAGGATCGATAGGAAAACAACTCGAATCGATAGTCATAATAGCATTGTAAAACAAGAGCACACGGCCGTTGCGTCTAAATCGGTACTCATATGCTCAAAAAACGGCCAGCGCTGAAATCTCAAAGTCCTCGGCCTCGGGAATCGGCATAACAAGCAAGAATAAAGTAGACGAGACAAATATATACGGTCATTTATTCGCTATCACTGGCACTGTCATGTTCCGAGTCCCCGCCTTCATTTTGCAGCCCCTCAGCCATGACATACTCCGCCTGCTGCAGAGCCTGTTTGATCTCGGTATTATCGTAGACCAGCTCAACCGGCTTCTGATTATGCTTATTCCGTACGCGGGGGTCGCAACCGGCCTCGCACATCATCTTGACCATCTCGGTTCCCAACTCTTTATCTTTGTCGTTGGCGTATCGCACTGCGACATGCAGCGGTGTGTCTTTGTCAACCCGGGTCAGGGGGTCGCATTCGAAGAACTGGATATCGAAGAGGGAATCCATGACGTCGTCTGTGACGGGTGATTGTTAGTTCCGGAATGGATTGGGGGTTGCTGTTGGTATGCTGTTTTTCGCAAGAGGCGGTGAACGTACAGCTTCCGTACATGGCGCAAATGTGCAATGCGTGGTTTCCCAGTGCGTCTGTCACCGAGTTGAAGAATGATGCAACTTCTTCGTTTGACTTCTCCTCCATGGATGAGAGGACTTGTTCCAAGAGGTGTGGTTGGTCTCGGCGGCAGGCTTCAACGACCAGCTCGCGTGGAGAGGCACCCTAAGAGAACAGCACGTTAGCGACGGAACAAGAGGTATTGCAGGAAGTCTGTAACAATCAGGTCTTACCTCCTCGTCGGCCATATTGCAAGATATTTCGTAATTTGAGGGCTGGAATGCGGGTTGTCGCGGTTCAAGTTGCGCGGTAACAGGGACACGGCACTAGTCGATCTGAAACGTAAAGAGGCACGAGGCGAAACAGCAGGAGGTGGGGTCGGATGAAGTGGAATTTCCTTTCAAGGAGAGAGTGAAAAGGTATATACAAGCAGAGAAATTGGATCTTCGGACCGAGCAGTAGTAGCGTGGCAGTGTAGATGCTGCTCCCCGGGCCCAGGGACATCCCACATGTCTGGTCATGTGACTCGGGATCCCCGCCGTCTAAATTTAGCCGCGCGCCTATGTAGCTTTGCGCCGCGTTGGAGATTTGGTTGTCCTGCGAATTCACCAGCGTTGAGCCGGCAGGCGTTTGTCGGCGCTTTTTCTTTTACTTCCGCTGTCTCTATTCTTTGCAACGCAATTCAGTCATCGACTGCATCCAGGTTGCGACCGCTGCCATGCCGCTCGTCTGTTCGTCATCCCCTCAGTGTCCCGGCCTTCCAGAGATTCCATCGCAAGCTGACAGCCTCATTTCTAGTCTGCCCAAATTGCAGCAACGCGCTGACCGTCTCTCGCGCGGAGCCCACCACCCAGCACCCGATGGGGATCAACCGCTTCGAGTGCCGTACCTGTCCCTACGAGCAGCCGATCGTGCGCCAGACCATCTTCGAGACGACCGAGATGAAGCAGAAGGAGGTGGAGGACGTTTTTGGCGGCAAGGAGGAATTTGCTAATGCCGACAGTGTTGCCAGTAAGTAATGGCAATCCCCCATACCCTGTCCATATCAAGGTCCAGCCTCCCGACTTGGTCTGAGGCTGGATGTGGGCTGGGGCTGGGCAGCTACTGACTGTTTTTCTCTTCCCAGCGCAATGCCCTGCGGAGAACTGCAACGGGGACCGTGCATACTTCTTCCAGCTGCAGATCCGCAGTGCAGACGAGCCGATGACTACGTTCTTGAAGGTATGTGCTTGCCCCCTTACGTCCACGCGGGCCTCGCATTATCTGACAGCTGTACGCAGTGCTGCGACTGTGGTGCCCGGTGGAGAGAGAACTGATAAACAAGATCTCGGTTTGCGTTGGTCACATGGGAGGAGAGAAGGGTGTTTGGGGATTGTTTCATATGAGAAATGGCGCATGTGATTTTTTATTTTCTCTTGCGTTGGAAACCTGGCGTTTGGTGCACAAGTACACCTGTACACGATGATTCTAGCGGCTACAGTGTGGATGAGATACCCGGATTTGATCGACGTCAACGACCCAAGAGCAGATCGGCGAGTTGCTGGGCAGAAAAAAAAATTGGGTTCGCTGCAACCACGGGACATCCGCCCAACCTCATACAGTTTGCGTAGGGCCAATGGCTATAGAACTTGGCCTAGTGTTTGGACTCGGGCCGTCCTGCGCTTGCTCGTTGAATTCTCCAGCCATTCATATCATTATCGTAGCATGATTTTGAAATGAGCGCTAGACGTCGGCGTGGCCAAAAAAATGCCTCTGCATGACATGTTTGAAGTGAGCGGTGGGTCTCTCAGTTGGCGGTGACTGCCTCACTGCCCCGCGGAGGGGCAGTCGGTGATAGCACACCACATTGGGCCCGATTTGAGGCCCGGATGGACCGACCTTCGCCAGTCAGAGGCTGACCAAAAAAAAAAAAGAGCAATAAAAAAAACAATGCAAACCATTCCCATTCCAGGGCCCGACGACTGCGTTGCTGCCCAGTGGTGGGCTGGAAGGAAGCCGCGATGAAAAATTCGCACGGAGTGGAGCCTGGTGGGCGAGAACCAGGGAACGAAATTGGTAGGTAGATATACATGCTCTTACATAGTAATTAGGGAGTAGGGTAGGTACTGATACAACGCTAAACAGCCCACCAGCAGATTTTTCTCAGGTGTCCCGCCGCGCCTGCCCCACCGGAGCTCATGCAGCCAATAATGTGTAGTACAGGCGAAGGGCTAACCCAGCCCACTTCGCCTCTCCCTCGCTTGCCCCTCCATATAAGGATTTCCCCTCCTCCCCCCTCCCACAGATTTTTTTCTTCCCTCCCCGTCCGCATCAGTACGTATATCTTCCCTCCCCCCATCCTCTTCCTCTTTTTCCTCTTCCATCCTCTAACCTTCTTCTGCACAGTACCTCTACACGCGCTGTAGTATCTGTGCATTATCAAAAAGGATCCTTCTAGTATCTTCCAAAGAACTACAAGACCACAACCTTCACCATGGGGTACGTCGTCGCTGCCATCCCTTATTCTCCCATCGAAGACACCCGATCGCTGACAACTGCTCTACAGTAAGGAGGACAAGACTCACATCAACATCGTCGTTATCGGCCACGTCGATTCCGGCAAGTCGACCACCACCGGTCACCTGATCTACAAGTGCGGTGGTATCGACCAGCGTACCATCGAGAAGTTCGAGAAGGTATGGGAGACTCTCTTCCCCTTTTCATCCACCACACCCCGATGGGGAAGGCAGGACAACAAAGACATCATGCTAATACGTCATCACAGGAAGCCGCTGAGCTCGGTAAGGGTTCCTTCAAGTACGCCTGGGTTCTTGACAAGCTCAAGGCCGAGCGTGAGCGTGGTATCACCATCGACATTGCCCTCTGGAAGTTCCAGACCTCCAAGTATGAGGTCACTGTCATTGATGCCCCCGGTCACCGTGACTTCATCAAGAACATGATCACTGGTACCTCCCAGGCTGATTGCGCTATTCTCATCATCGCCTCCGGCACTGGTGAGTTCGAGGCTGGTATCTCCAAGGATGGCCAGACCCGTGAGCACGCTCTGCTTGCCTTCACCCTCGGTGTCCGCCAGCTCATCGTCGCCCTGAACAAGATGGATACCTGCAAGTGGGCCGAGGACCGTTACAACGAGATTGTCAAGGAGACCTCCAACTTCATCAAGAAGGTCGGCTACAACCCCAAGGGTGTCCCCTTCGTCCCCATCTCCGGTTTCAACGGTGACAACATGCTTGAGGCCTCCACCAACTGCCCCTGGTACAAGGGTTGGGAGAAGGAGACCAAGGCCGGCAAGGTTACTGGCAAGACCCTCCTTGAGGCCATCGACGCCATTGAGCCCCCTGTTCGTCCCGCCAACAAGCCCCTCCGTCTGCCCCTCCAGGATGTCTACAAGATCTCCGGTATTGGCACAGTTCCCGTCGGCCGTGTCGAGACCGGTAAGATCGTTCCCGGCATGGTCGTCACCTTCGCCCCCGCCAACGTGACCACTGAGGTCAAGTCCGTTGAGATGCACCACCAGCAGCTCAAGGAGGGTCTCCCCGGTGACAACGTCGGCTTCAACGTCAAGAACGTCTCCGTCAAGGAGGTCCGCCGTGGTAACGTTGCCGGTGACTCCAAGAACGACCCCCCTGCTGGCTGCGCTTCCTTCAACGCCCAGGTCATCGTCCTGAACCACCCCGGTCAGGTCGGCGCTGGTTACGCTCCCGTTCTGGACTGCCACACTGCCCACATTGCCTGCAAGTTCTCCGAGCTGCTTGAGAAGATCGATCGCCGTACTGGTAAGTCCGTTGAGGACTCGCCCAAGTTCATCAAGTCCGGTGATGCCGCCATCGTCAAGATGATTCCTTCCAAGCCCATGTGCGTTGAGCCGTTCACCGAGTACCCCCCTCTCGGTCGTTTCGCCGTCCGTGACATGCGCCAGACCGTCGCCGTCGGGTAAGTTTCTTCCTCCCATTTCTCTTCTCCCTTTTATCGATCAAATAAACTAACATTTTTGAAAGTGTCATCAAGAGTGTCGACAAGAGCGCCGGTGGTGCCGGTAAGGTCACCAAGGCCGCCCAGAAGGCCGGCAAGAAATAAGCGACTTCATGATGCAGAGATGCCGTGATGATTTTTCTTACAAAAACGCTTATGGATGGAGCTAGACTATCACGAGTAGTTTCAAAAATGCTACACGCAGATTCCTGACTCACAAAGTTTGTAGACATTTTTCCACGAGTAAATTGAATACGTAGCCTATTTGTGCCTTCCGAGTCTACTTTCCGTATCCGGAGTTCAAGACTTCTAGTTGATTGCATGTATCACGTGACTGGTTGTGCCCTTATCGATTCATCCCTTCACCTTATCAGTATCATTGTGGTGACGGCAACTACAATAAGCCTTCCATTACAACAATATACAATTTTGAAGCATTCGAGTAGCCAAATGTTCTTGTCTCCCCTATCTCTACTCTGGGACATTCGCACGAAATCAATCATCTACATGTCAATTTCTTCTCGTCAGCTATGAATCTAGGGTATCTGATAAATGCGTATCGAAAATCACGATTTCTCCGATCATCGTTCTTGCTCGGATGCGGACAGGCATAAACGCGATCAACCCGACTGACCCGGAAGCTCCGTGACTCCAGGAACATACTTAGTAGACTAGGGCTTGGTCCTCTAGTGGCGTTTGTACCTGGAGGCAGAGTCGTCAGGGCGGTCGTGAGAGGTGTTTTCTACCTCTTGGAGGGCTCATCCACGCGTCCGCTCTCGTCCTCGGGTAACAGGCTTTCTTGCAGTCTGTCAGAAGACCCCTCAGCATCTCCCGATCCCTCGAGGTCGTCACCGTTGTTGTCGGCTGCCTCACTGGGCTCCTCCAAGGATTCTATCTCGTTGTCGTCGTCCTGTGTCTCAGTTCGATTTGTAGAATTTGATCAATTGAACCGTCATCTAGACATCGGCGCTTACAAATTGCCATCTTCTGACCAGTCACTGATTTTGGGTGAAAATGGATTTGTAGAGATTGCCAAGTCTCAAACAGCCGGTCTGAACGGGAATATCCAAGCGGCGAGGGTCAGTTGCCCATCAAGTGTACGGCCGTTCGGCCCATCCAGGTACTGGAGGTAACAGATGAGATTTCTCAACCGATTGTAAGCCCAGCCGTGGACAGTTGTAGTCCCCGTAGTTTGGACCCCTTCGAAGAATCCTTCAATGCGTCCGTTCATCTAATACTGTTAGCATGAACATGATATCTTTCTTGCAACTGTGTTTATAACAAACCTTCGTGTGGTCCTCGATTTTTTCGGCGACTTGTCGCCATGTGAGTTAACCCTTCTTCGCTTTTTCGCTCGCATAGTTCATAGGACCATAGATTTTGTCAAGCATGCTGGCGTTCATACCCTAGACTATCCATACCGCTATTTGGTTTCTTCTGGAATCCTTTTTTCTCCAAAAGACGTCCTCTACTCTCTGGAAAAGTTCTTGGCTTGGCAACTCATGATCAATTGCCATTGCTTCGACCACAGCGCGTCCTCTTGCGTCTGTCAAACAAAATTGGAAACCTGCTTTTTCTCCAAGAGTATCGAGGAGGTAACGACAATACTCCTATGATGACACTGTTCTCAGGAATTTTCTTCTTCTTCTTTCTTTTTTTCATTTTTATTTTATTTTTTGTATTTGGCGATGTTGGAAAAGTTGTGTCCGCCATAGCGCACTGATCTTCGCGACAACTTCTGGCAGTTATGGCTTTTTGCCACCCTCTCATGCTTGGATACCAGAGAAAAGAGTCCGGGAGCTTGTGATTACTTGCAATCTCGAAGCCATGTTGCGGCTTGCTCGAAGAAATCCATCGTAACACCGAGCTTTGGGGGCTTTCAAAGTTTCCAGCCCGTGGAATTGCTTTGAACATATTGTGCACGGATGTGAATCGCATTTGAAAAGCGTTCTTCGAATTCATCGTGGGCCATTTACACTCGCATCGCGGGCATTTATAATGCGTGCATTCGTGCCAAGCTTCACGGTGAGCATTGGGGTCCTTGCACCATATACACCAAAAACATGATTGTATATGCTCCTCTATTTTACCTTCGGGATCTGGGAGCAGCAACACCGAGAACACCGGCGGAAAGGGCATTTTTCGAGACGTTCGGGGATTGTTTTTCGAGCAGTAATAGCTCAAAACAACCAAGGCATCTCCGAAAAGGACAAACCTCTCCATGATTGAATAGAGCTCCTCTTCAGTTTGCTTTGCTTTCACAAACAATGGACAAGAGTGGGAAGTGCAGTTTTTGCGGTGCTCTGCGAGGTCTTCGAGCTGCATAACTTTCCTGCATTTTTATGACACTGGCCCTTGGTGCATGTAGACACATGCTTCTGAAACCTGTCTTTTCTCACTATCGTCCAATATAGAGCGCATCTGAGAAATGTTCTGGTGCAAACTTGTGCTGTGCATCTTTATCCTTCCTGATAGTTCTTGTGTTGCAGGCGGAACATCTCCAATACCTGCAGTTAGACGCCGAATGCATCTGCTTACTTCGCCCTTCTAATTTCACCTCGGCTTTGCAAAATCGACACAGCCAAATCTTGCAATTTTTTTCATGGTGTTCTTTTTGTGACATCGGGATGCCAGTTGCAGTACAATTTGGACACCTCCATTTGTCGCAGATTTTGAGGTGGTCATCTATTCTTCCAAAAGAAAGTTTTACACTTGTAGCAAGTCCTCTTATTTTTCCGGACAGGTTTCGATATGCTCAGGTCGATCTGTGGACAGGGAATGGTTGCCTTGCAATCTGTGCAGATCTTCTCTCCTTTCTCGTACCAAGTGTCTGCAAGAGCGCCGTTGGATCCGAGCACATCATGAGGTGGTTTTCCAGAAGAGGTCGACCCGTACGACCCCAGTGTATTGGCCACCTTGTCCACATTTGACCTTTCTGTAGGCGGAGCCCACAGACTCTTCGGATTCTTCGATTTCGAGATAGTCTCTCACAATTGGTGTGTGAATGCCATAAATCTTTTCTACGTATGACGATGACCTGGACGCACTCCATACCACAGCATTTCTAACGTCCACTATGGAGATGAGCGACGATTTCCGCTCTCGCCTTTTGACGGCTAAAGTCAAACACACAATGGTCAGTTGTCATATCCGAACTGAACCGAATACAGAAAGACCTACCATGCATCGTCCAGGACGACCTCTTATACTCTGTACAGCAAGATGGCGACGAATGGATCTGTATACCGCAATCCATGGCAAGTGAGATTTTCTCTATGATCCACGACGAACAAGGACACAGAATGGAAGTGGCAGTTTCCGCACCTCCTCCTCGTACACTGGGCATTTGGACCCCCATTTCTTCGGTTGAAAAGAAAGGTTTCGAGAGGTGTTGAAACACGATTTCACAAAGTAATTTTGCGCCCGGCGACAGTCTTTTGGTCTTGCTTCCCTATTTTGCCACAGCAGATTCCGTGATGTCAGCATGACCGAAAAGTAAGATGGGAGAGAGCGGGGTGACAGAGAATTTGGAATAACCGAGAAATAAGGGGACAAAAAGAAGTGGGTGCTCCAGCTATGAAAGAAGCCAAGTAAGTCCAACACATGATACTGTAGACAATTGCCTTGATGGTAGTTGAGATCCGCAAGTGTTTGGAGACGAGGAGATTGGTAGACCTCTTCGTAGAATCGTCTTCATCAGGTCAAGTAGATGATCTCTGGAGTCAAAGGTGAGATCAATATCAGTAGAACGTAATATTGGAGCAAATTACAGTTGTGGCCCGCCTATTGTAAAGATTTCTAGAAAAGTTCTGCGCAGGTCTCTTATGCTTGAATCTACTAACGAAGACAGCATGGCGCAGCATGGGGCTCTGGTAGTATACTACAAGGTTGGCTGTTGCGGTCCCAGCCACGTGCCGGAAGAACCACGTCATGTGACTTGGTGTATAACGGCGAATCTTTACGTCGAGGGACGACAATACCCTACCAGCATTCATCGATGTACTGTAGATGTCCGCGCTGGTGAGTTGATAAGTTTTGACAAAGCAGGTCAAAGACGCACTGCCGTCACGAAGATACAATACTGCTAAATCAGGGTATCACATTGTCACTTCCACTCTCAATATTACAAAAGCCCACAAGGTAAACAGGCAATCAATCCGACTCGTCCTCCCCCTCCTCTCCCTCCTCCTCCTCCTCCTCGGAAGAAGAAGAAGAAGAAGAATCCTCCCGACGAGCAGCAGTAGAAGGCCGACCAGAGCGTCTAGGCCCCTCACTAGCCTCCTCCTCGCGTTGTGCAGATACAGCCTCCCCACTGACCCGGCCATCTCGGTCTCGAATCCCAAGACTCCGCTTCAATTGGTCCTCAAAGATATCCTTTTCCTCCTGCTCGACCTGCGTGAGGCCCGCCGCCCCATCTCCATAATCTCCAGACCTGCTCTCTCCCCACCCAAACACCTCCCTCACTAACCCAGCCACACCCCTGCTCCCCACTTCAATTTTACCCCGCGGCCCCACGATGTACTCGATCAGTTCTTCGCCGCCGTCCATCTCCCGTGTGCGGACTAGGTAGCCTTCTTTGCAGAGGCGCTGGAGGAGTTTGTCTGTTCGGTCGATGGGGGTGTGTTGGTCTGCGTTCATGCGGGTTAGGTAGCGGTCGAGTTTTGGTTCGGCGAGGGCGCCGCCGTTTAGAATTATTAGGGCGATTATGAATGTGTATAGAGCTGTGTAGGTACTCTCGACGCCCGAGGAGGGTGCCTTTGCTGGTGGGAGGATGGCGGGGGTTTGGTAAGCGCGGGGGAGGGTGGTGATCAAGATCCAGGATTTATTCGAGCTCGATTGCTTTTCGATCTTTTGAGCGGCTGTTTGAATTTGCAATTGTTAGCCGTTAAATCATTCGGTATTGAATTCTCTTCCTGGAGAAATCTGTCGGGGAGGGGGACTCACCCCGCCGCTGTGAAATCGTCGTCTTCTCTCGAGCCGGCAGCTCACACATCTCCATTCCAAATTTACTCTTCAATTCGCGCTGGGCCTGCTCGAAAACGGTCTTGAACTGACGTGTTCCCTGCTCGCCTAGTACCTTGGCGCTGATATCGGAACGACGGATCGGAAGACGCGAGTACTCGCTCGCAAGGGCGAATCGGACCATCTTCTTCACCATGGCGTCGAGGCTGGATGGCGCACCCGCGCCACCATCGCTGTCGGTCATTTCTCCTTCAGAAGAGTCTTCTCCGCGCGGTCTTTGTCGGCGGTTTGTGCTGGATTCGGGAGCTGCATTATCAGAGTTGGCGGGCTCGGCCTGTGGATTTGTTGGTCATTTCGTCAAAGTGGTTGCGTTTGAAATTTACCAGGATATGGGCTTACCGCTCGTCGTTTACGCACCAAAGGCATTTTGAGGGTGTGTGATGTAGGGTGGTTGTTGGTGTTTGAAAGACGCGTTGGACTTGACGCGACGATTGACTGCGATCCTACCGCATCGGGTGATGGTCCGTGCTTTGCTCTTATCTGAGTCTTGGGGAGTAAGAGATGATCGGTAATTTCGTTCTTCGACTTTCTCATATGCAAAATATCTTCGAAAGGCTTAGTTTCAAGTTTGAATATTGTTTTTGGAGACGCTGAAGTGTCATTGTTCGCTGGATTGGTCTGTTGAGACGATCTTCACAAAATCACGCTGGACAAAGCAAGAAACATATCTGGAGCAAACGGACAGGTACCCCTCCACCTCTCCAAACCACGATAAAAATAACATGACGCAAAGGTATTATTTTTCTCTAGGAAACCCCCACAAAGGAAAAAGCTGCACCAAAAAAAGAAAAAGAAAAAGGAAAAAAAAAAAGCCATAAAAGAGAAAAGAGTCTAATCAGTGCTTGTTGGTCTTCTCGTTCACGACTTCCTTGGCGTCTTCCTTCGCCGTCTGGAGCCAAGTGCTGACCCAAGCCAGTGACTCCTGCGAGAGCACCAGGCTGGTGGTAATGACAGCCTTTCCAGAGGCAAAGATTCCATCACCGCCGCACTTCTTGTATTCCGAGCCGTAGATGTCGAAGACATGGTGCTTGACGTCACCTGCAAAGCGCACCGGGTAGCCGGCGGTGTTGTAAATGGTGCCGCGGATCTTCTGAGTATCTTCGCGGACAATAGGGAAGCGCGAATCGATCTGGCTCAGGCCCTTGTCACCCAGGCTATCGGCATGGGCCAGGTAGGGCGCGACATAGCTATAGGGCATCGAGAAGTAGGGCAGGACGGGCTTGGCGAGACGGGTGTAGCCTTGGTCGGCGTATTCGATGGACTTGGCGCCGTAGGGGTTGCCCTTGAAGAGAGCAATAGAGTCGGAGACGACAGGGTAGGAGGTGAGGTGCTGTCAAGGCAGGGAATAGTTAGCAAACATCGTGACGGAGGGTGGCGCAGAGCAGGGCGCTGAATGAAGAGGAGGGTGGCTGCATACGTCGAGGAATTGAGAATGGACCTTCTCGCCGTTGACGACCGGTTCACCCATGGTGTCTGAGTTGGCGTGGGGCATGAAGAGGGAGAGGAAACGGATGTGTGACAGACAGAGAGAGAGAGAGAGAGAGGGGCGGGAAGCAGAGTAGAAGAAAAAAAAATATAAGAGGTGTAAGGTGTGCAGTGGTGGGTTGTATATAGATTTTCACATGTGATCGCTCATTATGAGATAGCAGGCTTCGAGGCCCCAGCGCAATCGCATCATCTGTGCACTGCGTATCCCGGGCTTTGCCCCCATTGCGTGTTTTATCTTTTTCTATTTTTTATTTGAATTTTATTTTTTCTCCCTGTTTCCCCTGCTGTAGCAGGCCGATCCGACCGCTCTGGTGCAGCTTGCCCTGACGCCATGGCAGTTTTGACTTCCCGGCTACAAGCAGTTCAGCCCGCGACTGCCACAAATACTCGCCTCCCTCCCGCCTCCCCCCAAACCAAGAAACCACCGTTCGTTGCGCAATTGCCGCTCCCAGCACCATTGCATTAGCCTGCTTCGAGCAGGCTTGGTTTTGATAAGGTCCTGTTTTCACATGTGATTGCGGGTCCAACGTCGACGCATTCGGTGGGCTCCACCAAAGGTACTCGCGGGAACAGCCTCACTGATCGTATCTACGACCGACCTTAGGGTCCTCCGAAGGAACTCTCGACCGTGAGATTCCCCCAATGAACCCCGCGGACGAGCAATGACCCGAGGAAAGCTACAACTGCGATCTCGACGTGCCGTAATCCAAACCTTGTTGCACGACGGAAACCCCCACCTTGCCTGGACCAGGGCAAGTGGTGAAGCTGGGCTTGGGGCGAGAACATCGACGACCCTCTTATCGGCCAAGGACCCGACATGCCCAGAGCCCGCATGCCTTAGCTTCATAACTGGCGTCTACTCGACCGTGACACCTGCAGCCCGGAGTAGACTTGCTCATTGTTTCCGCCAGATCCAGCCTCGCCTGCACACTTGTACCCGTATCCACTTTGGTCTGAGCGTCGCTTCGCAAGCAAACGTCCTTCTAGCATGCTAATGGATGTACTCCGTCTTCCGGTCCAGCGCGCATCCTGCCCCCCCCTCATTCACCCCCATCATTTCCATCCCGTTTCCCCCATCGCTAGCCCCCCGTCCTCCTCTTCTCCCTAATCCGCGTAGATCCCACCCGACAAAGAGTATAGCACGCGGGATGGGGGAAAATAAACCTCTGGACGTGCAGGTATGCGGCTTTGCGAAACACCCTTCAAGGTTCTGGCCGGGTTCGCGATCGGCCCCCCGTTTGTGCGCCGGCGTGCGACTGGTACTCCAGATGATTCGTCGCTGAAACCATCCGATCCTCGGCGATTGGATCATGCCGCAGTTGAAACCGTTGAGGGCAACCCGCCGGGGAACGTTTCTGATCCACGCCTTCGTTGGTCTATGGATGGGTGGTGCGAGAGACGTGAAAGTGGGATGTGTCGGTGTTTGTGGTACCATCGCATAAATCGGAGCTACTGGATTTAGACGCCCTTGTGCAATGCATGTGCATGTGCCATTGCTACCGCTGATGCTGGCTTGCGGGCTTGCGTCGGAGAATATGCCCTTGTCTCAGAAATGAGCCTAAGCTTCCCGGAGCTTCTCTAAAGGAGCCCTTCTCGTTTGTGTTTCTTTGTCTGGGCGTTGGCTTGTCGGCTAGACGACAGAATGGTAACATCTTTGCCGATCTGGTGATAATCCCGTTGGCTTAAGCTTGTAGATCGTCCCGTGTGGGCTGAACGCTGAGCCGAGAACTATACCAGACCGAGTCCGAGATTGCCCTCTCCCCGTTGACCTGTGATACTTTAGTACTTTGTGCCTTTTCTTGTACGTAAATATTCTCCGGCTCTTGAGCCACCGGGGCTTCTGATCCGATTTGCAAGAAGATCGCGAACCCTGTCCTGGACAATCGTTTCTCGATGCAGCTGGAGGTGTGGCAAGTCGCGCCACCTCGCATGCTTCAAATGAATAATATCTCAATTCTTTTTCTGCGTTCAAACCTAGGCAGCGATAAAGAAAATTACCTGCTGGAAGCTTAGAGAGACGGGGTAGACCCTATTCCCAAATTATTAGCTATTAACATTGGAGCGCGGGACAGGTGTCAGTGGCGGGATCCTGCGGCCTCTCGGGGCCAGAGGGAATATCGGCTGCAGATGTACAGCCCTGCCGTCAACCGCGGAAGCTCATGATGGTCCTCTTGGGGTCTTGCTGGAGCGCTCACATGCGAAATTGAGGATATGAAACTTGTCAGAAATACTCGTCAACGCGATGAAGTTGAGATAAGATTCCGATCACATGGGCTTTGGAAAGCCACAGGTCATGCCTACGCTTTACTCTAAATTTGACCTGGCGCGGAAGCGTACATGTGATCTCGAGGCGTTCGAGCAGGTCAGCAAGTTGACGTAACTCGCACGGCCGATCCCAGACCCCAGCTCAGACCCCAAGTCTTATCGTGGACACAGCGTAAACCATACCGCGGGGACTCAGGGTAGCGTAGAGGAGGCCAAGGGGAAGAAAGAACCTGCCTGATGGTTGGAACGTCAGGTCGGCAATGATAGCGAGCGTGCATATTGACGTAGGATTTTGACGTTGACAAGAGGCGCGTGGGAGGGACGGCGTATGTGGAGATAATGCGCTGCGTGCTGTGTTGTCAAGAAAGTTGCAAATGCATGCAGGAATGCGAAGACAGATAATCTGAAAAAAGAATTGTTCATATTTTCCATTTCATTCAGGCAGGCGCCAATTTTGTAGGACGCCTCCTTCGTTCAAAACTGGAGTTCACCGATACATTCCCGATTCTGTTTCCAGCTATGGTATATGTCTTCCCATCCCCATGCAGGGACCGAATGTGCTCGATGCTTTTTTCCCCACCTTCACCTAGACCGCGCTCAAAACATAACGCCGCAGTAACCGTTTAGAAACCTAGTAGACAGTCAGTAAATTGGTCCAGCAATGCAATTCGAGCATGGTGGTAGCTTTGCGGGCGGAACGTACGCAGAGGAGTGAAGAACCAGCGGTTCTTGCCGGAGGTGTAGCGGTCCTCAAGGGCCTTCTTGACGGTCTTCTTGGCCTCCTCGCGCTGGGAAACCTCCTTGAAGGTGTCCTGAGAGATGACGTTCTTCAGGCCCTCAAGCTCAAGGGTGTAACGGGTGGGCATCAGGTGGTTGTAGTTGACAACCTTGATGAAGGGCTTGATGCGGGAGCGGCGAGCGACAAGCTTGCTACCCATGCGACGGGTGACCTTCAAGGGGTAGCGCTCGACACCGGCGACGATGGCGAAGGAGAAGGGGTGGGCCTTGGAGCCAGAGTCCTGAGGCTGGACAATGACGACCTGTAATGTCGAGAAAGAGGCGCTGGTCAGCACTTTGATCCAAATCTTCAATTCGAGTCCCTCCATTGAAATTCGTCCGCGGATAACAAAAACCAAGACGCCATTCAATTCCTTCTCTTTTAAAACGCCATTGCGAATTTCTTTCCATTTCTTTGATTCGTGCGCAATTCGGGGGAATGGGCGATTTGTCGTACCTTCTTACCGGCGTAACGGCCACGGGTGATGATGGCCACACGGCCGACTTTCATGACTGTTGCGACATTTTCGTCAGTATGGGATCGGAGAGACGGAGCGGACATGCTGGATACGTACACTTCATTGTGAAGGTCCCGGTTGGCGGCGAGGTTGGCGGGTGGTTTGTCGAGTACGGAACAGTCAAGATCGAAGTGTTCGTTTTTTCGCTTGGGCGGGCAGAGGGTTCAGGGCAAGGCCGATTTGTGTGCTGCCCACTGATTGGCTGTCTTACCGACTTACGGACACTAGCCTTTTTCGAGATAGTTACTCCGTTGGGCCTAGCCTCGGGAGGAGAGCTCCGAGTCTAGATCACCTGATTTATGTCTGAGTGTCTGAGTGCCTGAGTGCCTGAGTGCCTGAGTGCCTGGGTGCCCGACGGCTGCGTCACCGCCTCCGATGACAGTTTGTTTACATAGCGACGGTCGCACCTGCCCCGTTGCTATGGGCCCACCGAGGATGTGTTGGCCGCGTAGTGGTCCTCCTCCGCTCTCCACCTGTTTTCCTCTTATCAAGTTGATCTCCCGGTGATTGATGCTTTCACACCGTCTTTTGCAACTGTTTTTTTTTTCAGCGAATCCTCCTCTGGAGTTGTTATGCCTTTGACGACCTTGCTTTAAACCTGCACATTCTTCGAATTTACATTCCCGCTTCGGGGTGATTGTCAATACCTCACTAAGACATCCCAACTCCTCTGCACCGACAACAACACATCATGCCGTCCCAAGAACGGGACACTTCCTCCCGTGATCGGGAACTCGTTCGGCATTCAGGATCTCACGCTGAGTCTGGCCGACTTGCTGTTCCAATGTACGTTTTGTTTATCTGTGTTGATGCCGATCCCCGAACCCATCCACCATGAACGACTGGAAACACATGCTAAAGCGTCGCAAACACAGGTGGGACAGTTCCGACCCCGAGCGTGCTCCTCCGCCGTTGCCCTTGAACCCACGCTCCATGAGCCCTAACACGAAGTCCAACGTTTCGCCGAACATCCAAGCTGTCGCGGCCAAGTTCACCGATAAGCCGAGCGAGAATGCTCCCAGCTCCTACACAACGAATCCCATGCCCTCCAAACCCTCTTCTCCCGAGCGACAGCTGGTGAAGGGTCACTATCACAAGCGCATGCAGTCCCTACCTGCGGGCGAGAAGAAGGGAGACGCGCGATCTGAGTTCCTCAATTATCTCGAGAACCGATCCCCCGAACGCCCTCTACGCGCAACAATCGTCGGTCCCACCCAGAAGCAACAAGACCCTACCAAGTCTGCTGGCTCGCCTCCGAACCGTCCTGCCGAGCGGGAATTTCCTAGCTACATTTCAAACCGTTACCTCTCCAAACCCATCCTGGGAGAAAACACTCCTCCATCCGCCACCATGCTTGCACTCCAAAATATGCAGCTACCCGCCGAAAATGATCCTCCATCTCCCTCGAAACCTCCCAAGATGCTCACTGCGTCAGCTCATACGCCTGAAGCGGAACCAACCCCAAGTTGTGGCCCGACCATGGGCTCTATCGAAACCCAGATCCAGAGCCTCACCGAGATCGCCAGCAATTTGCAACGCGAAATGTCCAATCTAAGCCGTCGCAGTAAGGATAACGCCACCGACCTTGTGAGCCTCAAGGCTGCCACCAATGCCCGAGACGAAGATATCAGGAAGAGCCTGAAAGAGCTGTCTTCGAGTCTTACATCAAAATTGTTGGATAATGATGGCCTAAGGTCTGATCTTAAAGCTTTTTTGAAGCCTCGTGAAGGCATTAACCAAAGTGAGCTTGATAGTTCTCCCAATTCAAAGAGAAGCTACTCCGTGCCGCGGATGCCGAGCCCTAATCCGTTTGGCGGCTACGATCGAGATTTTTGTGGTTCGCCTGCGCCTATCTCCGACGGTTCTGCCAGCATCGCTCTACTCGAAAAGGTACTTCGTGAAATGGCCACTAAGGAAGGTGAGGAGAGGCTTTTGGAGCTTGTCGATGAAATCAAGACCCGACCAGCCGCAACAGCTTCCGACAGGGACGCTGATCAAAAGATCACCAACATGCTTGAAGAAATCTTGAACATCGTCAAGGAGGATCCCTCGAGCAGGGCTCTCGTGCGGTCCATGCAGGCTCTCAACAACGTGCCAGCGGGCAACCCCAACGCTGAAGGTAGTCGATCTTTGTTCGCCGGCTCGATTAATCAGACTGCCACCGTTCAGGCATTGAATTTGTCGAAAGGCGACAATGCCGATCAGCCTTTGTCTGCCGATGAGGACATGATGGCCATTTTGAAAAGCGTCAAGAACAGTGTCATCGAAGGAGGTGGTATGACTAACGGCGTCAAATCCTTGGTTCGCGAGTTGCGCGGGGAGGTTTTGGGTATGGGACGGGACCTTGCCAGGAAACTGGAGGGAATCGAATCGACTCGAGCTATTGAGGGCCAGGAGAAGCCCGACCCTCCCACCGCCGAAGAGATCTCGTCTATTGTCAATGAAAGTCTCAAGACGCTCGAGGAGCAGCTGGCTGCTACCATCGAAGAAAGTCGTCAACACTCCTCTGCGCTTTCCGATTTCCAATCTACCATGAGCCTCGCCTCGATTTATTCAGTTGTCAAGAGAGCTCTCGACGAGCTTGAGCTGCCCCAGCCTCAGGATGAGCCCCGAGGTAATGGCATGGAGAAGGAGGACATTCTGGAAACGGTGCGCGAAGCTTGGGAAACCTACAAGCCCGAGATTGAGCTTCAGAACTTCGGCCTTGAGCGTGATGAGATCCTGGATTGCCTGTCCGAAGGCCTGAAGGATTACCAACCTCGGCATCAGGAATCTGTGACCTACGACCAGGTTCTTCAAGCTGTCCAGACCGGCATGCAAAACTTCACTCCTCCGCCTGTGGAGCAACCTCCCACTATCACCAGGGATGAAATAATCCTTACTATCCGCGAATGCCTTGAAAAGCCCGAGCCGACCTCCCGAGGACTAGACGAGGACCATGCCAACCAGCTCAACTCCATGAAAGAGGAGATCCTGAGTGCGATTGCCTCGCATGCTGCTGAAAAGCCTACTTCTCGTGGATTTGATGAGGATCAATACAACTATTTCAACTCGATCAAGGACGAAATCCTCCACGCCTTTGCCATGCATGCAGCCGAGAAGCCTGCTGCCCGCAGTCTTGACGAGGAACACATCAACCATTTCAACTCCATCAAAGATGAAATCCTCCACGCCGTTGCTATGCATGCCGCCGAAAGCTCTGCTCCTCGCGGATTGGATGAAGATCATGTCAATCATTCCAACTCGGTGAAGGAGGAAATCCTTGGTGCCATCGCAATGCACGCAGCTGATAAGCCTGCTTCCGAAGGCCTGAACGAGGATCATCTCAATCATCTCAACAACATCCGCGATGAAATTCTCAACGCTTTCGCCAACCACACAGCCGAAAAGTCCACCTCTCGAGGCGTCAATGAGGAGCACATGGAACATCTGGATAACCTCCGCGATGAGATCCTCAATGCCTTGACTGGATCAATGGCCACCCAGAGCATGATTAGCAAAGAGTCATTTGATTCTGGACTTGGGCGAGATGAAATCGTGAGCGCAGTGTCTGACGGTCTCGAGGCCCACTTTACTGCGGCGAAGGATTTGGAGGAGCCGCGCATCTCTAGGGGAGATGTGATCAATGCTGTGAACGATGCTTTCGACGCACAGCAATCGGCCCTCAGTTCCGCCGTCCAGCAGCCAAGTATTTCTCGCGAAGAAATCATGAGTGCTATTGCCGATGGAATCGAGCTTTCACGTAAGGACCACGACACTACTGTTGCCAACATTTCGCCGTCACTATCACGTGAAGAGATCTTGGAGGCAATTGCTGAGGGCCTTCACAACTCTAGTGAAGCCGACAAGTCAGCCCTCAGCACCAATGTCTCGCCGGGCATCACTCGCGAAGATGTCTTCAATGCTGTCCTCGAGGGCATGGAGAACTCTAATACCATGACCCGAGAGATCGAGTTGAACAAGGACGACCTGATGGAAGCGATTACTGCTGGTCTGCATGAAGTCAACACATCTGCGAACTTGAACGCCGGCGATCAAGTGATGGACCGACTTCAGGACGTGGTTGACGGCATGAAGGAGGAGTTCAAGCAGTACTCTGCAGCGAACGGCAAAGACACTGAGCAAGTCCTGGACGCAATCAAGGATGGACTCGATGTTGTTCGAAATGAGATTGGGACCTACGTTGCTGCTGCCCAAGACGATGCCGGTAAGCATGAGATCATTGACACCGTCAAGGAGGGCTTCCGTCTTCTTCAAGCCGACATGGAGAAGACCATCACCGATACTTCTTTGTCTAATGCGCCCCGCGGCAACCCTGACACTCCAGAGCTATTGGACGCCATGGAAAAGGAGTTCGAACACCTGCGCAGTACAATTGTCAACATGGTCGTTCGTGATACCACGGCTGGTGACAAGGACGAGATCCTAGATGCGATTCGCGAGGTCTCGGAGCAACAGAAGTCCAAGGGTGGTGATGATCAAGTGGTCAACAGTATTCGCGAGGAGTTTGAGAATCTTCGTGAGCGTATGGACAGCAGTCTTGTCCACGCAGAGTCTACTTCTGACAAGGAGGAGATCATCGCCGCCGTCCGGGAGCACCTTGACGTTATCCGTGAAGAAGCTTTGAACAAGAAGGACGGTGGTGAAAGCACGATGTCTGCGACTAGCGAGCTCCTCGATGCATTCAATGACGGCATTGACACCATCAAGGATGATCTCAAGAAGCTCTTGGAAAAGCCTGCCGAACTCGATACCTCCGAAGTCTTGGACACCATCAAAGATGGCCTTGCCGATCTCAAGGTGGACATTGACTCTCTGCGTCAGTCTCAAAAGGAGCAGAAGGAAGCCGATCATGCCAGCACCACCCGGGGCGGAGAACTTATGCTCGCTGATTCACCCAACCAGGGCACTGATATTGAAGGTCTGAAGACTCTCATTACGGAGCTTCAAGGTAAGGTTGAGTCTATCGACTCCACACCACGCGCTCCTGAGCCTGCCGAGGATGCACTCAAGAAATGTCACATTGATGAAGTCCTTGTTGCTCTTCAAGAGGTTCAGGTTGTCATTGCCGATATGAGCGCTAGCCGCGAAGCTCAGGAAGGACAGGTCAAGAAGGAAGACATTGAGGGCATTGAGCATCTCATTATGGACACGAAGACGCAGCTCGACGAGATTAGCTTCCCTGCCCCCGACCAAATCGCCACTTCCGAGCACATTGGCACACTTGAGACTATGATCCGCGAGTCCAAGGATGCCCTTGCCGAATTGTCTACTCGCATGGAGTCTGAGGCTCCTACCAAGTCCGACATGGGCACCCTGGAGGGCCTGATCAAGGATGTCTGGATTGCTTTGGACGAGCTTAAGGGCAAGACCAAAGAGGACGAAGAGAAGGACGAGAGCGAAAACGCCGATTCCGACAAACTCCTCAAGTCCGACCTCCAGACTGTCGAGGCTATGGTTTTCGAAGTCAAGTCCCAGATCGACGAGCTGAAGATTCCCGACCCAGAGACTCTTCCTACCAAGGAAGAGCTCCAGGGTCTGCAGTCCCTTGTCACTGACTTCCGCGAGAAGGTGGAAGCCAACAATGACCTGACTGCCCAAGGTTTTGATGCCCGTAAGACTGAGCACGCTGGTTTGGCCGAGAAAATTGACGAAGCCAAATACGTCGTCGGGGAGCTCGGTGACGAATTGAAGAGCAAACTTGATGGAAGCAGTGAAGGTCTTACTGAGCTCAAGCAGCTTCTCGAAGGCCTTGCCATTTCGGCCGAGAACTTCAGCACTGTCGAAAGCATCAAGGAGCTTACGGATCTGATCAACCGGGAGTTCGAACGTGCCCATGGTGTGGAGGAGGCGATTAAACTTGATAAGGAAGAGCGAGATGCCGCCGCCATGGTTAAGCACGATGAGACTCGAGCTGCTATCATCGTGGAGCTTGGCTCCAAGCTCGACGAGAAGATTGGCGAGGTAATGGCCAAGTACGACGAGGCTCACAATTCTCTCCACTTCAAGTTTTCCGAGACTGAAGAGCGTGACCTGGCCCATGCCGAAGCCGTGACCAGCACGAAGTCCCTCGCGGAAGATATCAGATTGGTTATTGGTGCTATGGGCGACAATGTCACCCAGACTTGTGAGCGTATTGGCGAAGACACCAAGGCTCTCTTTGGCAAGGTCGACGAGTCTTACACCCGTATGGAGGAGATGCACAACGAAGTCAAGTCGCACCAGGAGCAGTCGCGGACCGAAAACGAGAGAGCCGTTACTGCTACCGAGCGTGTTGAAAGCAAGCTTCTCGAATTCCACCCTCTAATTCTCGAGACTGTTCAGGAGATCTTGACTGTTGTGAGCCAACACTACGACCACTCTCAAAAGTCCGCCGAGGATTTCAGGACGGAGCTTTCTGCTTTGCCAAATACTATCCCAACCATGCTTCCTGCCTTGCCTCCTCCGGAATCCACCCGTGATCTGGAGAATGATCCCGTTCATGGTAAGCTGAACGACATTCTCGAACATGCCAAGAACAGCAAGGTGCACGACGTCCTCAATACGCTTTTGGAGCACTCTCAGAACAATCAACTCCATGAGAAGCTCGACCGGGCTCTCGACCAAAGTGCCGGCCCCAAGGACGAGATCTACGAAAAACTGGATCGACTTCTGGACCATGCTGCCAACGACAATGGCTCGCTACACGAGAAGTTGGATGCTCTACTTAGCCGACCCGCGTCCAATACCGACGAGCAGTCTGTTACTCAAATGATGAAGCTTGACGAGATGCGCAAGGACATCATGGAGAACACCCGCAAGATGAACGAGATGTTCGCCGCCCAGTCTGCACTCGTTGCCGAAGATACCGAACGGAAGCGGCGTGAGGCTGAGGATGCCGCAATTGCCCTTGAGCGACGAGTGGCCCAGCGTGAGCAAGTCGAAGCCGAAATCGTCGGCCTACATGAGGAGAAGGACTCGCTACTCAAGATGATCCAAACCCTGCAGACGGAGAAGGAAGACCTGGCTAAGCAGAACACGAAGCTGAGCAAGGAAGTTTCTGGTCTTGAAACTGCTCTTGAGATTCGTCACGAAGAGATCCAGCAGATAGAGGAGCGTGCCGAAACCCTTGAGAAGCGTATTCTGGAGGGTGTTCTGGACCACGCCCGCAGTGTTTTGCTCAGCCGTTCCACTGGCACCCAGGCCATGAACCTCAAGCGAAACCGCAGCGCCCGCAGCTCTCGCACCGGAGCACGCAGTCCTAGTATGACTAGCGTCGCCAGCACAGCTAAAGAGTCTAAGGACGCTCGCAGCCTTCTCGGAAACGGAGTCGGCATGGCCCTGAAGCGCGGTATGTCCAATAAGCTGAATGCTGGAACCGCGCCTGTTCAGCCCAACATTGGCAAGGAACGCCGCATCCTCAGCTTGAGTCATGTTACTGGCAATCGGGGGATGGACCGCCAAGCTAGTGGCAATAATGGTCTCACCAACCTGAAGCGCAGTCACTCTGTCAAGTCCAACTTTTCTCTACGCAAGTCTTCTTGGGCCGGTCGAATCTCTGTCGCAGACAAGGAGAACGAACCCTTCCGCGAGGAGGATGAGCACGGCAGCGAGCACGAAAGTGACGCTGGAACTGAGCGTCGAACCAGCTATGTGGGTACGGAGCGCAAGTCTAGCTACGCTGGTACCGTTACCGACAGTATTGTGACCGGTGTTACTGAGAGTGTGGCCTCGACTGATCGTCGAACCAGCGGTATGAGTACCGAGGATGGCCACACCGAGGATGGTCACACTGAGGTTGCTGCGAGCTCAATTGCTTGTGGTGACCTTGATGAGGTGGATGAGGAGCATGATCAATCCGACAGAGCCTCTGAGTCTGGCGCCGACTCGGATGATGCTCAGACTGCCCTCGGGGACGATGACGAAGAATCGAACATCGACCACAAGGAAGCAGAGGATGTTGATGATGATGAGATGCAAGACGCCGTGGACAAGCACGTTTCAGTGACTGCTTCTGAGATGGAGGCGCAAGTTTTGAAAATGCTGGAGCCACCCACCGACAGTGGCCTGGGCACGGAGACTACAGTCTCCACTTGATTTTTTGATTTTTCGGTTCCAACTTTCTGGCGTATGGGTTTCCTCTGTCTTTTTTTTCATATACCACTGTTGAGCACCACTGTTGAGTTAAGATTATTGTTAAGACCCTGTATGATTTTCCTTTGTGTGGATTAATGAACATTCCTCCACGTTTCTGTACAATGTTTACCAAATCCCATGATTATGCTTTATTCATTACATTCCAAACCCGTAGAGATCAGTTGTATTGAGTCATTTGTATGATCGTAGTATACTCCTGTGACCAATCCGTGGTCACCTGCCGCGATAGGCAGGTGATCAGGTGACGTCCCAACGGATGTGGATGCCTCAGGCCGTACCGAGGCCGCGTGCTCCGGAGCTGCACTTGGCTTTTTTGTGCCTCCCCGTCGTGCATGGAGCCTTCCTGACTCTAAAAAGGAGGTCTGCCAGTGCTCTCGACACCTTCATGGTCTATCCGAGGGTCTCCCTTTTCCCCCTTACCTAACTACCCACCACCCACTTCATCCCCGGCCACCCGAGCTCTCCCCACATCGGTTGATAAGCTGGACGTCGGCATCGCACGATGCTGGACCCCCTCGGGCCCCCTCCGGCATGGCTACGGACCTTCGTCGAACCCTACGCTCTCCGCCTCAACAGCCCGACCCTCGCCGATCATATCCATGAGGTCTTCCTCGCCTTCGCCTTCTACCAGTTTATCCACTCGTTCCTGTCGCCATGGTTGTCGCCGATCCTCTTCCCGACTCACTACAACAAGCTGAATGCTCGGACCAAGCTCAACTGGGATATCCATGTCGTGTCGTTGGTGCAGAGCGTTCTGATCAATGTTGCCGCGTTGTGGATTATGTTCGTTGATACCGAGCGTGGGCAGATGTCGACGGGTGAGCGTGTTTTCGGCTATACCGGTGCGTGTGGCTTGATCCAGGCGTTGGCTGTTGGGTACTTCCTCTACGACTTGATTGTCAGCGTCGTCCATGTGAATATGTTTGGTATTGGCCTGCTGTTTCATGCTGCTAGTGCGCTTTGGGTGTTCAGTCTTGGTTTTGTAAGTTCGAATATACTCATCCCCGCCCCGCTTTTGCCAGAGCACCGGCTTATTTATGTCTGGATTATTTGCAGAGGCCGTTTGTGAACTACTATGCGCCGGTGTTCATTCTCTACGAGCTCTCTAGCCCCTTCCTCAATATCCATTGGTTCCTTGACAAGGTCAACATGACCGGCAGCCGCGTCCAGTGGTACAACGGCATGCTCCTTCTGTCGGTCTTCTTCTGCTGTCGTCTTGTTTGGGGAACCTGGCACTCCATTATGATCTACAAGGATATGTGGTACGCCCTGCAGCAGACCTGGTCCGCCGCGGCGTCTCCGCTCCAAGCACCGGCCACCGTGAACGCGCACGTCTTCCGCCTCGATTCCGGCAGTGTGTGCATCGACGAGACCTGTGCTCGGGCGAATGCTGAAATCGCCCGCTTTAAGGACTTCACCGCCACCGGCGTCCCGACTTGGCTGGTCGTGACATACGTGACGTCCAACCTGATCCTCAACTTCCTGAACTACTTCTGGTTCTCGAAGATGGTTGAGACTGTTCTCAAGCGATTCCGCACCCCCGCCGCTTCTGCGGGCAAGCCTGACCAGAAGGAGAATGTCAAAATCAGCGAGAAGAAAGACCTGCACGAGAATATCCCGCAGGGTGTGATTCTCGAGGCGGCGGCTAAATTGGAGGAACAGGAAGGTGGACGCGGGGAGCTGGGCCTTACACCGGAGCAAATTTCCTCGGCTATTGACGCGGGACTCGGTGAGGATCTGCGCCGGCGCAGGGCCGAGTTGGTTGCCAAGGTGCCCTTGCCGGGATCTTGATCATATCCCCTAGAATGCTTTCGGAGGATAGAGAGTCGGGTAGAGGAGGTCTTTTTCGAGTTTCGTTCTGCTCAGTACAGACTTTTTGAACCATCTATGTTTGTTTTATTTGGCCTGAATTGAAGTTAAGGCGGTAGATTTCGTCGGATGAGGCCATTGATGCCTCTACTCTTGTCCATGTCAGTGTTTGTTTCGATCCTTTGGTGGGAAATATAGATGTTTTCCTCAAATCGATGGATGCTTGGGTTCGTCTTCGCTATTTGACATCCGATGCAATCGTACATATCATGTTAGTGACAATCGTTGAATGATACCTACTGTCAAGTGGTCTGAATTTCCTGTAGCTCTACAGTGCGTATAAGTATGATGATGTCACAAGGGCCTGATGTCGCACGCAGGTGTCCGTGCGCGAGCAGTGACAGCTGAGTCAGCCACATGGCGTTTGATTTTTTTTCTACGTCGTCGGTCATTTTGCTTATCTATGCTCTTTTTGCCAGCCAGAGTATATTTAAATGCGCGGTGCGCCCCATGAAAACTGCTCCAGGCTAACCCGCGTTTTGCTCCGCCGAAGTTGGCCCGACCCGCCGCAACGACGGACCCGCCCAAATCGATTGTGTCATACATAGCCTTATCGCAGTTTTTTCAGCTCGGCCGCCCCAGCAAACCTCACCAAACACTCGATCGGGGCATCGCACACCATGCCACTGTCGCAAATACTCAGCCGAATGGCTCCAGAAGACGCGATTCCGCTTACGCCCCGAGAGGCGGCCTCTGGTCTGCTGGGCTCGGTCTCGATGACTTGCTGGATCTTCTTACTGGTATGACACCCACCCACGTCGCGGGCCCTCGCGCAAGAAAAAAATGAAGGCGTGGGACATTGGGCTCGTGAATTGGAAATGACTATCAAGCTAATGTACGCGAAAAGGTCCCGCAACTCATCGAGAACTACCGCAACAGCAACGCGGAAGCAATCTCCCTCCTCTTCGTCTTCGTCTGGTTCGTCGGCGACGTAACCAACCTCCTCGGCGGACTTCTAGCACACCTCGTCCCAGTCATCGTCGCAATCGCAGTCTATTTCTGCATTGCAGACGGCGTTCTCATCGCCCAATGCCTGTACTACAAGGCGCGTAATGCGCGTCGCGAGAACCACCGCCGCCGACGCTCGTCCACCGAGACACCCGACCCCACGACCCCGCTCCTGGGTCGTCGATTCAGCGACAGTCTTCCGATCCCGCAAGGTCGTCGGCGCTCATCTGGTTCGCTGCGCGGATATCAGGCTGCTGGGCGACGGGAGAGTCAGGCCGAAGACCCGCTTGCGAAGATTGTTGAGGAGAGCGAGTATGGGCGCAAGGCTTGGGCTAAGAACTGTGTTAGTATTCTCGGCATCTTTCTTGTTGGTATGGCCGGCTGGACTATCGCTTGGCAGACTGGCATGTGGGCGCCGGCGCCGCAGGAGAGTCGTGGTGATAGCGGTGATAATGGGGAAGCGGCTAGTGGGCAGGTGTTGGGCTATGTCAGCGCTATTTGCTATCTGGGGTGAGTGTCACTAGCATTCGAAGTGAAATTTTCGAGGATGCATGCTGATGTTGTGGTAGTGCGAGATTGCCACAGATCTATAAGAACTATGCCGAAAAGTCTTGCGAAGGTATGTTGACACTCGATTTTGACGATGGCAATCTGACTCATAGTATTTAGGGCTGTCTCTTTTGTTCTTCATCCTCTCCCTTCTTGGCAACCTAACCTACGGTGCCGGGGTAGGTTCTTCCTATTGACTCATGACACATTTGATCGAGTTGCTAACTGCTCACGTAGATCCTGTGCCACTCCACCGAGCGAGAATACTTTGTCACTAACCTCCCATGGCTTATTGGATCCCTGGGTACGATGGCGGAAGATGTTATCATTTTCATCCAGTTCCGCATCTACGCTGCCCAAGACGAGCGTCCTTCGGCGGTGGCATGATATTTCCTTTGTGTTATATCTGTTGGGAGGAAGTATGGTATTTCTCTTGTATATATGATTGTCAAGTGGCTGGATTTCCTTTTGTTGAGTTGCTCGCATACATTATTGGATCTGGGATTCTGTTTGGCCGAAAAGGGCATGGCGTTTGATTTTCAACAGGTGAATGCTGGGGTATACGGTATCGCAATTGCTTGGTGACAGGTAGCATGCACGTAACATCATTATACTTTAAGGTAACCTTTTTGCTTGTTTATGTGAGTCGACTAGTGTTTGAACATTTGATTCCGCGTTAAACTCGACGATCTGGATAAACTCCATCTTATTGGAGATGTGCAACAAATGCCTCTTCATATTTCTTCTGCATTCGCACAAAAACGCAGGAAAAACCTCTCAAATATGGGACAAAAACCTGTGTCGAGGAAATATGAAGAGATATCGAATAATCACCTGAAAACAGCGTATGAGATATGACCCAGCGCGACTCGTCAATCCGTTATTCCAACCCCTCCAAAGCAAAGCTCTTGCACGACTGCTTTCAGCTACAGGTGACTTGAATACAATCAGTCACCATCGATCTCTTCATTTCATGATATGGATTGTCATCACTAAGAATCGTAATCGAGTTGTTGTTGATATCGAGGAGAGTGCATGTCGTCCCTTGACCGGAGGTTCGCTGGACTTCACTAGCAACGTGGTAGGGTGCCGTTGCTCCAACATGATGTGTCCTAGAGTCGACTGGAATAGTGACATGGAATGTATGAGGATTGCTGCTCTTTATGTCCGAGAAGGCGAGTGTCACGGTTGTTGCTTTTGGTTTGTTGGCTTGACGAGGATCGATTGCGTAGGCTGATGTGAATGCCACAAAGGCACAAAGTAAAATAATAGATTTCATTTTAATCAGTGTAAAGAGAATCTTCTTGGAAGGAGATATGACTCGAAAATAGGGCACTCAGCTTCCAAGGTGACTTAAACTGTGGTAGATATGGTCGATCGTCGGGTTACACTGTTGAATGGGAAACCCAGCCAATTTTATATTAACTTCTGAGAGACTTCAGGTTAGTGGTCATTTCAAATTACTTAATATTTGGTTGGCTCAAATGGATTATCCTTGCAATCATCGTGATAGAACTGAGCTGAGAGAATTTAAGCTTCCGACTCTCCGGCGTGGATAAAGGAACGGAACAAACCCGAAGACAGGGTTAGCCTGCCTACTTGGCTTCAATGCAGGGATCGACCGGGTAAAAAATTTCATACTCTACATAGCTACGCAAGGGAATTGACAGCATGTACATCAATAAACCGTGTTTGCTAAAGCTGCGTTATTAATGTGGACAGTCCTTCCGCCCATTCTGATTCTCTACAAGACCCTGAGGGATATCAAAGTTATTTTCCCATTTTGTTCATGATAAAAAGCCACTGAAGAATTCCTTGCTGACTCAGAACAGAGCATGCTAGACCCTGGTATTCTAGATGAGGATTCAATTAAGTTTAATCCGCCAGGTGGAACCTGACACCGGCAGTGGGGTAGCCGAACAAGTCTCGAGGAGAGCTGAACATAACCCCAGGCATCAATATTATGCAGGGTTTTTGTGGGGAGGCGTCTTAGTTTCGGATAGACCGTAGCTGTTTTTACCAGAATACAGTTATTCACTCTTGAATTCATTATCGCTATTTTAGGCTTTAAGTCTGCAGGTAGGGAGTGATGCGGCTGTTTACCGACGGAATGGCGAACAACATGAAAAATATGCACGGAGGAAGTGAATTAGGCCAAGATAGGCTGATTAACAGTGAGCGATATAGGATAGGAACGTGACCCTGCCTGACCGTCCCATGTGCACACCTAGAACATCGCCACGAATTTCTATTTCCTATCTATTAGTGATTCCTTGCCAATTATTCTACCATCTACCAAGCAGCGCGTGATTAGCCACAATGTGCGAGCATTCAGATCGACCTTGGAATATGCTGGTTCCAAATCTCATTTCAACTTCAAGTAATTCGGAAACTTGAAGTCTCACTTCTTACAACAATGTTTTGGGCACAGGCCAATTGAGGAAAAATGAAGGAGGGGGACTTTTGTCCGGTCGAGGTATTCTATCATGAGACTTCTTTATGAGCGATGTCTTTTGACCGGGATCTTTTCGATTCTCTATCCTCACTATTCTCCTCTTCACCCCCAACCTCCAAGCCCAGGGCAAAATGCGTGAGTTGGAAAAATGCCGCATCTCCAATCCAGGATACTATACTCACTTGCCAATCTAGTACCCTTCAGCTTACGCATATTTGGCGGCCTCAACGATGATCAGCTCCAAAAGCTCGGCGTCAAACGAAAGGGAGATACACCGCGGGAAGACTTCAAACCAAGGGAGATAAGCTATTCATGAATGCGCCCACTTTGCGAGACATCAACTGACATTTCATAGGCAGTACTAACATCACGAACGGAGCCTCCCGACGTGCAGCTCGCTCTCAACAAATTGGAGTCGAGGTCAGACGGGAATGTGACCGTTGTCGAGACGGACATGGTCATTTATCGAGCTGGGTGGTTGCAGTGCTGCCAATAGAAATGAGCCCGCTCCTCTGGGTAGGCGCATGCGCGAACTGTGCATTTGACTAGTAGACAGGAGGCCTGTTATTTTTGCAAAGGCAAAATACCGCTTGCTATTGCCGAAAACATCAGAGGAAGTGATCCGTCCACTCACGACCAGACGGAGTTCCCAAAGCGGAGCTTCATGATGATGCTATGTCTGCATTCAAGCAGGCCCCCTCAGACGATTAATAACCTTTCAACAATACATCATCTTCTACAAAGGGGCTCCATATGACCGCCGCTGGTATATTTCACCACTTGATTACTGCTGTAGAATTTGCCACAAGACTAGAAGACTTATCATACTCGAGTACTCAGTACAGGAATTGACCATGTTCAGTGCACTTGTGACAGGGGAAATTGATACAATGGGACTAGAAACTTTCCAGACATTACCTGCGACAGTTTCTCGAATGGAATAAGATGGGGATATAGTTATGCGGAATACTCAAGAGCACAAGATTTGCCTAGAGCCATGATTGGGAGGATTACGGTTCGGGATCAAGAAGACAAGGTTTCACCACATTTCAAATCTCACAAGTGAAAATGGCAAGCACAACTCGATCTGGTACTAGAAAGTAAAACCTTCAGGTAGGAATCTATGAATTGCAAACCTTCGGAGATTTGCAAGTCAAATACGAAGAATGAGCAAGTGTAAAATAACGAAGAAGAGATACGTGAAGATAACCTCACATTAAGAAGGAGGTCAAGCTATACATATGAGAACTTCGACCATCTATACTAGTTTGTCCAGCATAGGCTGTGAAAAACGCATCGTAAACGTGAACGTTAGTAATACGCGACTGAGATCTCTGTTTGTAAGGTTAGATATAGTGTTTATATCCTAGAAAACACTGCCATGGTATTTAAGAATCTTTCTTCAACAGCCTCTTCAGCCTTCTATCCCCTACGCCCCAGTGTTCGAAATAGAATAACCTCACTCCGATGCAATCTCCAGCTTGACAAAAGTGAATTGTAGCTTTCTTTTTGTCGCAAACTATGAATGTATTAAAGCCATAACTATAGTGGTTGTGTCTCCGAAAAAGCTCCACAACATTCGAAGCCCTCAAGACTGTAAGCTGCTAACTTACTAGTATATCAACTCTTTCATATACTTAGCTTCCTGCGGGACTTGAAGCAGATCAAGATCCATTCGACGTACACGCATTCGGCATCACAAAAGACCAGCTTCGAGAGCGAGGTGTCAGCCCCCTAGGAAATCCACTCCGAGAAAATTTCCTGTACCCGACAGGATAACACCAAGCACTCATGGAAGCACCGATCATGCGCAACACCAACCTGGATCTCCTTGGCAAAATTCGTATCGAGCATGGCGTGTCACAGCAAGCTGCCTCTTCACAGCAGGTTGGGGTTGAGGTCGTGCCGGAATGTGACAACTGCCGAGGAGGAAACGCCGAGTTGTGTTGTCTCGGGCCTGCTATCTGCGATGCACACGCTTCATTGGGACTATTCCCTGGTACGGCGAGTCGCTCTTCTTTTCGAAAGTCGTCCGCTATCTTATCGACTGTTATTGAACAGCTTCGGCAGCACCATCCCTGCCACCCTGCCCTCACCAAATGTCCTTGACGGAAAAGGACAAAATGGTGCCCGACCTGGGTCAGGAAGTCTGATGTGAAGAAGGCAATGGAGTATAAACGGAGGTATTGGCGTCCGAAGCCCCCTTCGACCACTTCTGGCAAGCCATCAAGTGTCTCAAAAAAGCGCCAATGTAATCCTGTGGAAAAAAGGTCAGCCAAGGCACTTCCTAACCTGCTAAGGCGAGTGAAGGCTGAGAAATAGTGAAGCTTCAATGTGGTGAATGCGTTGGTTGGCTTCGGTGAGATAAGAATTTCCGTAGAGCAATGAGAATGGATTTTACAGCATCTCAAATCTCATAAACAGTAAGCCTCCACTCCCCAAACCAGACAATCCTCATCCACAACTCTAGCTTTTCCAAAAGTTAGTCCTCTTCTCCTTTGAGTCTTTTGGATGTACATTACTGACAGCTCTAGTCCCTAAAGACAAGCCTCATAGGAAGCTAAAATTCGAAGGCTACAACACAACCAGCAATGCAAAAGGTATGTCCCTATTCAGGATATTCCAACCTCAAGGTATCTTTCAGATACTCATATCCCCTAACAGCGCAGTAATTTGATACATACGCCTTTGGCCTCACACTGACACAGATCCACGAGCGCGAAGTCGACCATCACGGAAATCCCCTCCCAGGACAGTCCGTGACAGAGCTAGACAACTTCTCTCATCAACCCACCCACCCGTCGAAACGTCAACTGGTGCCACCGCAGAGAACAGTCAAAACGCACAGCGCGCAACTCATTCACAGTGAGTCAGGCTCAAGATCAAGCCAGGATGCCATCACTGTCGAAAAGGTGGCGGCCCTTTCTTAACTTGCGTTGTTACTCCTGCTGTCTCCAAGAAACACACTTCTTTTGGGAAGGGTATTGCGCCAACTGTGTGTTCGTCGGTGCGGCGGGTCGCTGTGCATTTCGCGAATATTATCATGGTATCTCGCCCCCTGTTATTCAGCTGCTTCAGGAGCTTCATCCATACCACCCAAGCCTCGACCAATATCCGATTCCACCTGCACCAGAACCGATTTTACCACCCAAGCCCGAAGATTCTACTCAATGTGGAGCTAAGTGATCTGCGGATTGTGGCATTGAGGTGCTAGAGTCAAGATTAGGAAATCCTGGATATCACACGACCACCGATGACCCACAACGTGCTCCCCCAGGCTCACCTGAAGGCTGTTCCTGGAATGCATATATCAACTTTCTAACTGCAAAAATAATCAAGCTACTCTCCAGACCGAAGCTCTTGGATAATGACACGCACACGAGCAACCGAGTCAAGCTGAGCCTTCAGCTATCCAGATTTCATCAATGCAACACCAGCATCCGAGCCTGGTCTCATTCAGGACCTCCCTACGATCTTCAATGGTATAAATCCCCACTTGAGTTTGCGTTCGGATTCGACTCCGATGGCAAGCAGGCAGAATGTATCAAATTGACGACTACGGAATACCGGGGCACTTCACCTCGCCGCGAGGAAACCAGCGAGCTTCGCGATAGAGCCCCTGCTCCGTCCTCGCTAGTATAGGCTCCCAACAACAGATCAAGCTTACGAATAATCCTGAGATTGAGCTCGCCAAGTCAGTTTCTGGTGTGCTGAAATGGATCGAGTACGATACCAAGGCTTTGATCAAAGTAGTCAATGTGCTGATTGTTCAGGGCGTCATGCCGAGAAACACTGGTTGAGGTTTGGTATGAGGTGGAATTGAGCCCCGTTTGAAGGAGCACGACGTTCCGCATCTTCGCAAAATTGCACATTCACTGGTCGAAGCTGAGAGACTGATAAGTCTTTTTTTGCACCTGCTCTTATGAGAAGTATCGCCATATTGCTATTACTGCTAGATCGAATCAAATTCTGCTTTATGCTGTTCTTATCCTTTTGAAATACTGCCATGGAAGTAAAAAAAATCCACAAGCCTAGATATTCACAGGTACAACCTCAATTCGTGATCCTCCGGAAAAAAGCCCGCCTGTATTTCCTTCCTCGTCGGAGTAGTAGTCGGCGTTCATACGTGCAGTGATGTTCCATAGGAATTCGTCACGGATTAGCGCTCTACGTCGTCGTCGAACAGGGGTGCAGCTTCACAGATGGCTTCCATCCACTGTCCGTACTTGGTCCAGTTATCTATCCGCAGTACGTACCAGGTGTCTTGTGAGATCTCGAAGGCGCATAGAAAGTCGTCGTTGCAGTTGCCGAATGTCTCAAAACAACTGCAAAAACTTGGCCAGGTTGAGTCATCATGATCTAGCATATGGCGAATTTCAGATTCGTCTGTGTGTACAATTTCCTTCAATTTGCATCGCTCGCCTTTGTTCAGCTCTATGTAGTTCTTGAATTTTTGAATGTTGTCTTGGAAGTACGAAAATTCACAATGCTAGATATTCAGAAGTAGGGGTATCTACACGGTATTCATACACTTACAATTTTATCACTTCAGTTTCTTTGTAGACACCAACGGGAAGTCTAATATTCTCCACCCGATTGCCAATCTTCGCCTTGATGCTCAGGAACTGGATCCCAATCCCGGCTACACCCTTCAGTTCAATTTCACTGACACGCTGGCAGGTCTGGGCATCTGGTTCATTCAAGGTCCAGGCAATGGATAGGTGAAAGAATTGTGAGAAATCTCCACCATTTCCGGCTGCCTGGGGCTCGCAATCTGGCTCAGGGGAATTAGACTGGCGGGAATCGGGGCCGGATTTCGAAGTTGCGTAAAGCGGCGGCTGGCCGAAGACCGCTACGGTTGAGTTGCAGAGTTTTAGAAGACGGTTCAGGTTATCTCCTTGAGGTTTCGAGACCGAGAGAACGAGGAACCATCTCGTTTTGCCGTAGTTTGGGACCCATTTTAGTGTGGCAGGGGATACGGTAAATCTGCTGATATTAGCAAGGGCAACACCGGAAGCCGGAACACGAGACATACGGATGGATGCTTGATCTGCCAATATCTCGGGCCAAGGTATCCATGAACGGACCCTTCTGCTCCGTGCGCAGGGACAGTGTCCGTGAGAGCGAGATATGGAGCGGTTGCCGGACGCCGAGATCACTATGCAAAAGGCTGACTACGCCTCCCTTGGCTTCGTCTCGCGAGGTAGAGTGAGGCGTACATCCCCTCGCTTCCTCGATCAAGTCTGCAAGGAGTCTAAGCTCCTCGCTACCCGGAACCCCTTCATCCAATTAACACCAGTTTCCAAAAATAGACAAGCGAGACACAGGCTCAACCTGGGACGGTCAAGGCAGCTTACATTCCAGATACAGATGCGACGGCCAGTTGCCTGCCACATGGGGGATTTCTCGTTTGCGGCCGCCGTGCAGAGCGGGATTGTCGCTTGTGCTGACGCGCGTGGAGTGGGCGTAGAGGTCGTAAAAGGATGGTGGGAGTGGAGGGGCGCGCGTTTCGTCGCGCTTGTTGTGTTTTGATGAGCCTGGGCTGAGCTTGGCCTTTTTGGCCGGGGGATTGGTGGGTGGGGGGCTCTCGGATTCGGATTCGGATTCGGAGGATGAGGAATAAGGCACTAATGACATTTTGGCATGGCGCTGAGTGTGGTCATTGGTGCGTTGCGATCTGGAAGAATCTGTGGAGGAGGAAGGGCGGATGAGTTGCGGTGGCTGGGGTGGGGGCGCGCTTGACGGGTGATGCACCTTGCATGCGCTAACACTAGACTAGTAGGACGGCTGTACTACCGAGCAACGAGGGATTGGAACGAGGGATTATAGATTATATTGTGCATAATAAAAAAGTAATATTGTTAATCTATTGGTGGTTAGTGAAGTGATGTCTATCCCTACCAATAAGGCGTAACTGAGCCATGGTTGCATGCTCTACGCGAGTATACCCTCTACTGGCCAACACACGCCTTGAAGATATGCCGGGAGATAGTGTCTCCTCGCCAAATCCAGGCATAAGCGAGAGAAGCTCCAGACAAGTGCAAGGACTCCGAGTCATCCCTCCACGAAACCGCGTGAAGAACCGCAGACTGGCACTGCACCTGCCCGATAGGGACCCGAGACTACGGACCGTCGCGATCAGAATCGTGGCTGAGCCAGTGCGACCCTGGCCAAGCGGAACGCTCTTGGTTGGGGCGTCCCTTGTCGAGCTGACAGCAGTTCTACAGTGTAAGTGTATGTCTGTAGATCTCGAGGAACGGGATCTGCGGGGAAGCAACCGCGAAGAATGCGGACGCGATCTGGAATTTCCCAACGACACCGCGGCTCATGATCATCAATCCATACTCCTGTACAGTAACTGAAGGTCAGTGAGAATGACACTCATTCTGGCAGAGGGCGGGGTTAGGCCCCTTGGACGCCGGATCGCCGGAGGCAATGCAAGGGCGGCAGTCATGTCCAGAACCGCGACTAAGACAGCGAGAGGATCATGGCCTGCTGGTCCAGAGTCATGTCGTGCATGATACGAGGGACCTCCGATCCTTGCGGTGTCTCCTGCGATCTGGGTCGGTCGGGTCGAGACTCCTGGCGGCAGCGTCGGAACTAGGTCGGTGGATGAGCTTAATGGAGTGCACGGGTCATCGGATGGGCAGGAACAGAGTTTGCAGGCGAGGACACAGATCTTGTTAGGGCTGTCCCTGTAGTACCTGGGCCCGGGGGTGGGGGGTTGTTTGGGTATGAATCATTGGGAGTCTCGGAAGTGCGTGGATGCAACCGCAGAGTTTGGAGGTCCGCGGAGGCGGTACGAGACTTAAGACACGACAGTATGTACATAATGAGTCTCGGCGGGATCGGAATATGACTTGCAGCAGTTACAAGTACATACTATGGGGCTATTATAAATGCGATGAACTGACGGCAGCAAAATTCTGTTGACTAAATTGACATCTTCGGGTACACAGTGTGAAGGTGGGCTGGCCACATCATTTGCCCCCGGATGATATCACCGACGATCGCCGTGGGGCACTTCTAGACGCAGGGCCCACTACCGTACAGACAGAGGCAGCCGATCAGTTCCTGAACTGCGGTCCAACGGGTCCGCCGGAGACACTAGAAGGCCTGACGCGCGTGAAGGTACTTACAGTAATAGTATACTTTCGAGTATTCACGGAGGGTACATCAGTCTTTGGTGGTGCGCCTAGAAGAACCACGTCACCGCACCGCGCCGCGCCTGCTATACTTTTTGGGTCCTCCGCCCACGCTACTTCTATCTGTACCTCACCTCCTCCTTGAATTTCTCCCTGCTTCATCTTCGTCCTCGACAAGGGTACACCGCATCTCAGATCCTGCATCCCTAGCCCCACATTGTCCTACCGCGTGATCCTCGATCCCTTCTACAGAATACTCGAGCTCCCCGCCCTTCAATAGATTTCTCCTCTCCTCTGCTCCAAGGTTCAAATCTCTAGTATGGCCGTCGACTGTATTCAGATGGCGTCGCGCCATCACCCCCACCACCCCTACAACTACAGTCGACACTCCAGTTTCAGCAGCAACAACCCTTACCGCTTTAGCTCCCCCGCGCCCTCCGCGCTCTCGTCCAGTCGCCGCTCCATCGCCGAGTCCATCCCCTCCCTCTACATCCCGAGATGGACCGGGTCGACCGAGCACTACCCACCGGAGCCGCGCCGCAGAGACAGCACCAGCTCGCTGCCCCGCCGTCGCAGCACGCACCGCACCTACTCGCGACACTCGCAGCTCGTCAACCCAGACATCATCGACGAGCTAGACGACGTCATGGCCTACTCCTACCACCATGAGGGACCCTATGACGCTGTATGTCCCGAGCGCAACCGCATCAGTCAGCACAGTCCGCTTGAGGCGGTGCGCGAGTCGAACGAAGAGGCACTCCGCGCGACCCCGCGGGATAAAATCATTGATTCCCTGCATAGCCACCGACCACTGGATGGTACGGCATTTTTCCCTCCTGGAACCACCGATATCAACGGGCAGACCTATCAGTACGAAGAGGGCTCGAACATGATGAACGACTTTGGCAACTTTATGCGCCTTCCCGGGATGGTGAGTACTAATCTTGTCTTGTGCGGTGTGCGGCGATCTAACATCGCAAAGAAATTCACCGACGAGGACTTCAAGAATGATCCCTTCTACAACCGCCCAATCTCCAACCCGTTTACTTCTCTGCGGAAGAAACTCAGTCTGAAGCGCAATTTTAAGAAGCGTCGCAGCACCGCTTAAACTGCCTCGGCTACTTGATGATTAATGACTACGCGCGTCTATGATTTTCGTGTTCGACGAGACCTGGCTAATGACTTGTATGAGATACCAGGAGTCGGGGGTTTTAATTGGAGTTTGCCTTCTGTCTTTTTTTGTCCTTTTGGGTTTTCAATATTCTTCGTGTCCTGTTCGGCTCGGCCGGCTTCTTGCTCCGGTGCTGAATATGACTGGCGTTTTGGATATTTTTCAACTGTATCTACACTCGGAATGACTATCGTTTTTCACTTTGCCACCACTTGCCTGAATCTCATGATGTATCCCGATCGCCATGTACCTCGTGGTATACATCAAGTGATGGCGTCAGCTATTCCAAATCGGGGAAAGTGCTCTCCGCTAACCCTATCCCGAAACGGCTTAGCTCAGACAATGATCTCAGTCCCGTGACCTTCAGGCACATGTGAACAAGGCACGTGTAAGCAAGTATGCGATGTATACCTTTCTCAATAGGGTGTAGGTTAAGGTACTCTAGAGCGTCACTCACTTTAATCCCGTAATATAAGCCTTAAGCATAGTCTCATACGCATCCACAATACTCTCAAAGTCTTATATTGTGCATTTGTTTTACTGTGTATAATTAAAGAGCTCCGAATTCATGTGATCGGGGGCAAACCCTGGGCTCATGCGAATTGGATACTGCCTCTGAGTTGCGGGGGTTGTCAATCTGGCCGCCATCCCTGTCTGGAATCAATGTCGATCAATCTTTCTACCGCAACAAGTCTGTCTGAAAACAGAGACTGTGAAGGGTCCAAGTGCTGTAGATGAGTACATGGCTGGCAAGTCTTAAAGATCTAGACCTCGCCACGACCCTGATATTGGGTCCCTCCTACCGACACGCGACCCGGACCTGGACGGTTCCGGTTCCGAGCCTTACGACCCGGACCGACTCTCAGGGTCATAAAATCTCGTCAGGGTCACCCTGACTACGACCCTGACTACCCTGAATTGCATAATTCTTTTACGCCTTTCCTGGTTAGGATGAATAAATTAGCTGACATATCATTATATATCCGAAAACAGATGTATCTATATCAATAGGGTGTTGATACACATACCTCCCTCTAGGATACTCATACCCCCCCTCTAGGATACTCATACCCCCCTCTAGGATACTCATACCCCCCCCCCCCCCCCCCCAAAGCAAACCTTTTGCTTAGTCATGTCCGCCCAACGGCCTGCACGCCTATAGTGGCCGCCCAGCTGAGTAGAAACACCTGGATTTTGAGAATATTTCTGGTCCGACCAATCATATTGCTCTATTTACTGGAAAAATATCGAGATAAAAAACCATGCAGATCATTACTTCATTCATTAGTTACCCAGCATATTCTCCATCATCTGAGTCAATTACTGCCCCTGCATCTAAGCTACTGCCCTCGCTGTCCCCCTGGCTAGCCGTTTCTGCGACTATCTCTGTGTCTTCCACCTCCACACGTGCCCTCCGTCGAGTCCGTATTCCCTCTGGTTGGGTACTTTCTGGCTCATTGTGAGGGCTATCACGAGTATCACGTCTCCCAAAAGCACCACGTCTCCCACGAGCACCACATCTCTCACGAGTACCACGACCCCCACGAGCACCACGTCCACGGCTACGACCGCGTGTTGCAGCAGATACACATTCAAATCCAGAGGGTTCGCGTTGTGTAGAACGTTCAAATGCTGTAAGAGGGTCAGGTGAAGATCGAGGAGAAAGCCGGGTCCGTGGTAATATCTGAGTTGCTGGTACCCGGAAATCTGAGGCCTGGACATCTGAGGGCTGAATAGGCCGAGACTCTAGATTATTCCGACGGCCGGCTGGCCTTCCACGTTGACGCACCCTATGAGGATTGTGTATCAGGAGAATTGGATCAATTGGAGGCGCCTCTCCGAGTCTGTAAAGATGCCATTGAGGATGGAAATCCTCAAGCAAGAACGGTTCACGATCTTCTATCTTTTTCATAATCACATGAATGCAAGGATATCCTGAGGTATTCCTTGAATTGCAACAGCAATTAGGCGGAATTAGGGCCTTACCCTCTGCTGCTGGGAGAAAGGTAGCATATGTTGCTTCGACATAGCCAATGGCCTGCAAAGATACACGTTTAAATAATGGCTGATAGATTGGATCAAGGGTCCGGGTTGGTCGCTTCTCTCGCTGATTAGCAATCTCTTCTTTGATCTTTCTGTACTGACGATCGATAACACGCTCAAAATTCTCTAGGACAGCAAGCAGATCGTTTGTAGATGTATGGAGATCTTGTTTAAGCAACCAATGAGAAGCTTCTGTCCGTGATGTAGAAGCTTCACCGAGATGGAGATATTGGTCTGTATGGAGTTTAAGGAAACTCTCAGGGCAGTCCTCAATCCATTCCTTGATGATATAGTCAAGCAAGGTGGTATAGATCGATGGACTGTAAGCAGCTTGAAACTGTTCCCAAGCAATGTCGAATTCTGATTGAGAGGAGGAATAGATGAGACGATTTTATCGTGCTATCATCTTCCTCCATCCTTGATCAAGAAACTTGGCTAATTCCTCATCCAATTCCTTCTTTTGTTAGTCGATGGTCATTTGACGGAAGAGAAAACCCATCCCATTCAATTAGTCCATTATCACGAGCTTCAGCAATAGCCTTCCGAAGAAGTGGTAGAGCCTTCTTCATTAGGTTCATGTTGATATGCCAGATGCAGATGATTGTCTTAGTAGAAGGGAATATAGCATGAACTGCATTGATCAGAGCAGGTTCCTTATCGGTAAGGATAGTACTTGGTGCTGATGGAAAGGATCGATCGTTTTCATGCAGATGCTCATACATTTCCAAGAGATAAACCATAACAATCTTGTATGTTTCTTCTTGTTCGTTAACAATAAATGCCCACCCAAGATAGATCGATGCACCAGTACAGGTGAATCCAACAATATCAAGTAGTGGCATATTGTAACGATTAGTCTTGTAGGTGCAATCCATTGAGATTACCCAAGGATTATGCTTCAACATTTCCAGACTCTTTTGATACATAGCGAAAAGAACAGTAACATGCTGCTCTGGATCAAGTGTGTATCGGAATAGCCATTTGCCATCGGTTGGAAGCTCCATAAGAAGTGCTTGAATAGGTGTACGACCTTGTAAAAAGTCTCGATTTAACTTTGCTCGAAGGTTATGAATGTCTCGTTCTATTAGACATGAGTCTGGCTTCCTTGCCTGAGTTGCAGTCATTATGTGGCGTGTAGGTATCTGAAGATCAAGCTGTGATCTGATAGCGTCCATTTGTTGCGTCATCTCACGTTTTCGATGAACTTGGTGAGTAGATGCATCTGAGGGCTCGTGCCCATTATGCTCTCTATTCTCCACGGTAAGGATCCAGGCATTAGTATTGGCATTGGTATCGGTATCTAATAGCTGACGACGTAGGGTAGCCTGGAACTTGCATCCACTGGCATATGAGGTAGTCTTTCGCTTGCGTGAGGTATCAGATAAGGCTGGCTTGTATTCACCATGGCGATCGCAGAACAAAACAACCTTCTTTACCATCCCGGATTTTGTCTTCTTGGAGCGTCCTTTGATAACGGCATATCCAGCTGGCTGCGCAAGCTCATTGATAGCATTGATCGCAGATTCGGGGTCTGGGAAGCGTTGGTTGTGAGGGGGCAGAGGCATCGGTGGTGGTGACGGCTCGGAGGACTCAGTGTCTGCAGTAGGATGGCCAGCTGTGGAGGGAGCTGGTTCACTGGTATATGACGAATCAGACGCGTAAGAATCGATTCCGGGCAGCATATTGGCGTTGTAGAGCGTTGGGTAAGATGGTAGAGAGCGACAGGGCGAGGTGGTAGATGGGTAGTGCTATGGGGAACTGGATCTCGAAGGTTTAGCTTCCCTGTAAATGGAGCGATATTATTGGTCGGTCTATAAACAGGCCTGAAAATCTAGTTGTTTCTGCGCAGCTAGGTGGCTGTCGGGCAGGTATGACTAAGAAAAAAGGGGTGGGGGTATATGTGTATCAACACCCTTGAAATATTCACGTCGACGAAGCACTTTGTTTCAGGACGCCAGAGGTGGGTGGCCCCGCTTTCAAATTTGAAAACGACTAAACCTTCCGCTCACTTTACATTGACCACCATATGCATGAGAGAGTTTTCCAAAGCTTCCAGGATCCTCCGAAGCTACCCCCAATTTAAGTACCAGAATGTTATAACTTCATCTCGGCCGCAAGCCTAGAGAGGTGGGATGGGATCACTGAATGGATTCCTACCCCATGGACGCCTCGTAGATGCTTACTGACCGCCCGCGTGCTTCCTTTTGCAAAGGGTACCGTGCGGCTGCATATAGACAGCCATTGCCTCCAAGAAATACGGCCGGATTCGGTTCTGCTGGATTTAAAAGGTGACGCTGTTCCAAATCCTCCCGTCGATCATGTCATGTGGGTGCTTGGCTTCAATGTTTCTGGAGATATGTCCATGGATAAGGCAGAAGTCCAACAAGCAGTCAGAAAAAATATTTCATTATTGGTCATTCTATCTGCGGCCGGCAACAAATCTATCCACTGTGATTAGTATTCCGAGAAGACTATCTACGAAACAGTGAAGATCAACTCCCTGAATGGGTATCAGTAGGCCTGGTACCTCCGCCGTCACTTGAGGTTTTCATCCATCTGTAAATCAGTTAACGTCAACCAGACGGAAACAAGTCCTGCAACGCATCCGCCAAAGCGAGGACAAAGGACTCAAGTTGGATCATCAGTAGCCATGCTATTAATAGCAAAGTAATGATAGATTGTATAATACCACTTCCATGACAAAATGGCTGATGCAGCCAATTATAGCCCTATGGCCCTTCCCGCTCGCCATCGAAATCTTTCACTTGAAGAAATGTATACCCAATCATGTCCATGGATAGTTGTCTCTATTTTTGGTCATGTTCGCTTCACACACTAATTTGTATGCGACCGACTATGACGAAGGCTCTTGGCTAAGTTACAAATGATACATTCTGACCATGCCTTACAATACCAATTCACCACCGATACCGACAAAATCGGACTCAGCCGATCTCGCGGGTGTGGGTAATTCGAACACAACGCAAAAATCCCGCAGTACAACCGCGCCCAGTTACGGGCTCTATGTGACGGATATAAAGATCCAACATCAATGCATAGCTCCCACCTGAGTTCCCTGAGAGATCACTCTTTATCTAATAGCTTATCAACCTGTCCGTCAACATGACCTGCGAAAAGTGCCCCTACGAAAAGCTGGCCCCAGAGCCCTCCTCGGACCATGACCATTCCCTTGTTCGACGTTTTCTCCGGTTATGCACAAGATTCTTGCCAGAGGGATCCGCGCTGATGTCTTCTTCTTGCTGTTGGCTGCCAGTATGTTTTTTTTTCCTTTCTCCACTCAAAGTCCCTGCTCCTGAAGCGCATGTACTGAGGTTTTAGACGATCCTCGATTCCCTCTTCGCGGGATCTGTGACAGCCGTTGGCGTGGAGTACCTTCGAAATGCTCTATTGGCAACTTCCATCGCAGGTCTTATATGGGGAATTCGACGTGAAGGATTCAGTCGCCGAATCGTGTGGCGGATCATGGTTTGTGTTGCGTTGTTGGCGTGGGCGCAGTATAATCGACGGACGCAAGGGGTGCGGAAACCTGGATCGAATAGTTGTCATTAAGACGCGAAAGTTGCAGAGAGTTTCAGGCAGAGATGCTTCTTGTTTGAAAAAAATTTTGCAATTCGCATGGAATCATAGTTTGTCTTTGTGAAATCATCTAGAGGCCAGTCATCGGATAGACTACATGGCCTAATGACACGATTTCCAGGATTTCGAACTTTGAGTGCAGTGCAATGTATTTGAACGCCCCGACGATGAAGATGCATTTTATAACAAAAATGACTACTTGATCACAAAAATTTATAAAAAAAAACTCTCTTTTCCATCATCTACTACTAATTCGATTTCTTGCTCCGAAAGCCGACTAAAGGCAACCGGGTTCTCATGAGGAGACTGCTGCAAATGACGCTAACACTGCTCAAAGCCATGGCAAGACTCGCCCACACCGGGTCCAAACGAACATGCTTTCCGTTGCTCACAATGGGATAGAAGACACCGGCAGCCACAGGCACGGCAATACAGTTATAGATCAACGCCCAGCCAAAATTGAATTTGATCCGACGGAACACCACGCGACTGAGATCGATCAGAGTTAGGAGCGACGTCAGACCAGAGGAGACGAGCACAAATTCAGCCGCAGAGATGGCAATGTCCGAGCCGGATCCAATGGCGATGCCAACGTCGGCAGCTGTGAGCGCGGGAGAATCATTGATACCGTCGCCGACCATGGCCACAATTGCTCGTTTTGTGCTTGGGGCTGTCTGGCTGCCGAACCAACCAGAACGGGCCGGCTTTTGTAGGATACGTTGCAGGTATCGCACTTTCTCTGCTTTCTGCTCTGGGAGGACACCTGCGATGATATTGTCCGACGAAATTCCAACGATCTGGCCAACCGCGTTTGCAGTTGTAGGATTGTCTCCGGAGATCATCCAAACGTCGACACCCCGATCGCGAAGAGCCTGGAGAACGCCCTTGGATTCTGGCCGTACTGGGTCGGCGACAGCCAGCATGATCGACAACTTCCAGGGGATGGGGGCGTTGGCAGTCGAAGCTGCACGGGTACCAACCAACACGACCGATTTGGCCTCATGTTTCCATGTCATGAGTGTCTCAAGATTAGTTGACGAGAGGACAATATTGTGATCCTGCATCAGGGCCTCATTGCCAATGATCACTTCGAGGCCGATGTTGGAATCCTGGTCGGAAAGCGTGAAAAGACCCTTGAGTCCTTTGCCTGGGATTTCGTTTGCCGAGATGGTCTTGAGAGTGGAAGGCTGCTGTATGGCGGCGAAAGCGACCATAGCCTTGGCGATAGGATGGCTGCTACTCTGCTCAAGCTCCAAGACCGCACCGTAGACGTCAGCAATATTGCTGCCCTCATGGAAAACCTCGTGGTTAGTGATCGACGGCTCTCCTCCCTCAGTGATCGTCCCAGTTTTGTCGAAGACAACGCAATCAAGCTGGCTGGCTTCCTGAAATGCTTCACCACCACCTTTGACAAGAATGCCGTGCTGGGCAGCCAATCCACCGCCCACAAACAGAGCTGTCGGGGCGGCAAGTCCAATTCCACACGGACAGGCAACGACAAAGACGGAGATGGCAAACTGCAATGACCAGAACTCCCACCCTCCAGGACCATTCTGCCACGCTTCTGGCAAGCGGCCTGAGAGACCGAGAGCCAACCAAATCAACCAATCTGCAACGGCAATCAACGTCACGACGGGAACAAAATAGCTTGTGAGCAGGTCTGCAGTCCGCTCAATCGGGGCTCGTCGAATTTGGCCCTCTCGCACGGCGCCGATGACTTGGTCCAGCATCGAGTCACCAGAGAGACGAGTGATCCTGATCGTGACGGGATCGGCTTGATTGATGGTTCCAGAGAAGACTTCATCGCCTATCGACTTCTCTACGGGAAGAGATTCGCCAGTCAGACTCGATTCATCAAAGCGGGACGCTCCAGTGATAATGGTTCCATCGTATGGCGGGGAGACACCGTTGGCAACTCGAACCAGATCGCCAAATTCTAGCTGGTCGATCGGAACAGTAGACGTGGTCTCTGCCTGGTCTCCATGTGACGGTGTGATAAGAACTGCTTCCGTGGGTCGTAGTTTGCCGAGCAAGCCGACTGCGTCACCGGCCTTTGCCTTGCTGTAGGCTTCAAGTAAGCGACCAACCATCAAGAACATCGTCAGGAATACGACCGAGTCAAAAAAGCTTTCAGTATGGTGCATTATTTCCATGTCGGCTGGTTGGGTAGCATTGACGGCGAGAACGGCGATCGAAGCGAAGTATGCAATTGAGGTACCCAGGGACATGAGCATATCCATGCTTCCGAAGCGAAGGAATCGGCGGAGAATCGGTGTTTTACTTCCAGGTCGCCAGAGGGCCACGAGCTCATGTATCATCTTGCGGTGGAAGAGCCCGGCGGAGTAGAAGTAGACTGGGGTCGCCATGATGAAAAGAGCCCATTCCATTCGTGTTGTCTGCCCAGTCCACATCGGCTCATTCAGGTATTTCTTACCTGGGCTATCATGAGGAACCAATGACATATAGACGATACCAATGATGAAGGTTGGAATCGCGGTCAACACAGCAAGGATTAGGCGTCTGGCAATGGACCACTGGTTTCGACGATGCATGGCCTGTGAACGTTCCTCCAAAGTGGGCGGGTGATACACTGACACCGTGAAGGCCTTGTCCACGTCGGCGATGGTCCGTATGATGTCGCGAATTGTCCGCTTTGGTATTTCGGGAACATACTGTATCTTGAGTCGGGACTGTCGGGAGGTAGGCGGCTCTAACAACTCGAACTTGTCGCCGTACGCGCTGGTCAAGGCGTCGACAATTCGTTGGGGACAATTATCGCAGTGCATGCCATCCACCTGAATCTGGATCTCGCGTTCTGAAATTGGCGAGTTGGATGAGACCTGACTCTCGACATCACTCAGGGTGGCCGTGTAGCCCAGCTCGCCGATGATTTTGGCAATCTCTTCCAGATGGTCTTTGCCAAGATACTCGACTGCAGCACTACCCGACACAAGATTGACATCGGCCTTGGTGATCCATTCATATTGGTTCAGCGTGTCGGTGACCTTGCCAACGCAAGAGCTACAACTCATGCCCTCAATGATATAAGATGCGCGCCAGGCGTCGACCACCGGTGCAGATCGTGGAGCGGGTCTTTGGGGTCGAATCTCCTCGGTGTCCACCACCTCTACTTCGTACCCAGATCCTATAATGGTCTCAAGTATTTCGTCCACGTGCGCGCGGTCAGAGAGGACCACGACTGCGCTACTAGTCAAGAGGTTCACATCCATCGACAGGATCCACGGTCGGCCTTGTAATGCGCCGGTGATTTTGCCCACACAGGAACTGCACGACATACCACTGATTGCCAGGGAGATGCGATACTTCCTCCCGGTAAGATGATGGTCCATGACAGAGGTCAATGTATCGTCGCTAGACCGCGTGGGAGTCGATTTGCTTATGGGCGGCAGCTCCTTCTCCGCCGGTTTCAGGGCTGTCAGCTGGGCTTTGCAAGCGTCACATTGACTGATATGCTTTTCTGATTGGGAATGGACATCATAATGGGTGCGGCCGCTTTTAGAGGTCGATCCAGAGGTGTAGTCTTGGGCTTCGACGTCGTCGTCGTGGGATACTGACGGCAAGACGGTGTCTAGCTCGAAGCCAGCATCCGTGAGGGCACGCGCGATGCGAGAGGCATTCAAAGTGATTGGATGGATAACCTTAATTTCATGAAGGATAACGGAGGTTGTGACGGAGAAAGGGGCAGGTCTGAGTGTGGACAGAGTTTCTTGCACATTTGCAACACAGGATGGACAGTGTAGATTGTCCACAAGGATAGTGGTAAGCCTCGAATGAGGCGGAGATGATAGTTCGCTCATGCTCAGGAAGTGGAGCAAGAACCGTTGTGTTGAAAGTGATCGAGCCTCAAATAATCAGGAATATGTAAGTGAATATGGATGACAAGAGTGTGGGAAAGAGGGAAATATATAGAGTTACGAGCATTCAATGTAAAGTTCATACAGAGGCAAAACCTTCACTCTTGCCAGTCATCACCTAAGCACAATGGAATGAAGAACATCCCGCAGTGACGCTAACGCGATATTCACGCAAAATTTAAAAATCTCCAAGCTGACTCAATTCGGTAGTCACAAAGTCCGAGCCATGTGGGTCTAAAACCCCAATTCGGCTGCGGGAATTGTGCGTGGTATGTGGGTGGCGTTGTGTAATGAGCAATGATGATGGTTGAGGGACAAATTTCGTTGACGCCTTAGGCTTAAGGCATCTCCACATGCCGTCTACGGTGACTATTAACTACAGGAAACAACTATACGACGATCCACTTTCATGTACTTGACTCTAGACCACTTGTGCATGCATCTACTAGATAGCTGTTTACACAAAGGCAAAAATTATGCGGAGATACGAATGATGGTCGCAGTTTCCCAAAGATAGCATAATTTGAAGTTTCAGTGACTATTGGAAGACAGGAATGGAATTTAGGTGGCAGAAGTACTGTCAGCACTAGAGCTTCAAAGAGATCAGACTACATGAACCCCACGAGACGACATATCCCATTCTAAACAGTCTGAGCTGCTCCATCGGCCTCGCCGCTGCGGACATTCTTCCCCTTCTCCTTGATGGCGCCCAACACGGTTGCGAAAGAAAGGCAATGCTCAGCCACGACGAAGACGGTCTGCTCTTCAAGGTTGATGTCGAGCTTCTTCACTCCTGCATCACGAATTATCCACGAAGGGTTAGAATGTTGATCAGTATGATGAAATGGCTGCGTTACGGACCGTTGAGTGCGTTAAGGGCTTCCTGGACGGCGGATACACAGCCGCCGCACGCCATCTGGACGTTGAACTTGTACTCGTGATCCGGAGAAGTGTTGCAGCACATTTTGAAGTTGACGAACGGGATGATGAAACGAAGATGAAGAGAAAACAAGACTAGGACAGCAGTGTGGTCGAGTCTGGGAGAAGATTCGACACTTAGGAACTCAAGAGGACATTGACTTCCCTTTTATGCCTCTCGAGACATCTAGCTGTCCTGGGTTTTATGGTATTCATAACATTCCATTCAATCCGTCTGGAGCGTGGAGCCGACCCACTGCGCGAATTGTGCGTTTCTCGGACTATCTGCAGTCATCAACTCCGACACTACTTAACTAGACTCGGATTGGGCTTTTATCGTCCCATGTACTTTCATCACATGCCACTTTCGCTACAGTTTCACCCACATCATGTATCAAACAAAGGTTCTTCTTCAATCCAGGCTGACGGCACGAGCTGCCTCTTCTGACTTTCGTCGTGCACTTTCGAGCTCGTCAGCCGTCCAGTCCTGTTGTTCCGGGAAGAAATCAGGTTCTATGAAGCCCATTTCACCAAGCGTTAGCAACAAACTGGCAACTGCAGGTTCTAAGCCAATCCGATCATCCTGGAAGTTGAATTTTTGGACCCATAGGCCAGCGTGGAAGCGCGCAGGTCTCAATACGCTGCGCTGTCTCGTGGGCTGCTCTGTCGGTGACTTCTCTGCTCTATGGATGCTTCAGTCCTATTGCCCGGAACTCGGCATGGGAAGCATCATGATGGCCTCTAGTAAGTCGACAAAAGCCCGTAAAGCGGTGATTGAGGTGTGTAGCTAATGATTGAAAATGCAGTGGCAAGCGGCATCACGACGTCGATCATACTTGAGACTATTCTCCTTCGGCGCGGAGCCGACCAGCTCTCGTGGCCCATGGCAGCACGCACCGCGATGGGTATGAGTATGGTTTCCATGGTGGCGATGGAATTGGCCGAGAATATGGTGGACTATCATTTGACGGGGGGTCAGGTCAACTTCGAGGACCCGCAATTTTGGATAGCGGCGGGTTTATCGATTGGTGCCGGGTTCCTTGCCCCGTTGCCATACAACTATTTGCGTCTGCGAAAGTATGGACGGGCGTGTCATTGAGCCTTGGAGATGAATAGCTGAAAATCGAATTTCTTTTTACCTACCTTTTGCCACAGAATATACTATAACCGCTTCTAGGACTCTGTCTCCGTAGTTTAACGCTTGAACTAAGCTCGGAGTTCGGAGATCGGAGTTCGGACATTCCTAAAGAAGCTCAATCACCCGTGCTCGGACATTCCTGTGATATCAGATTTCTTAACGCTTAGCTTCTTCCAGCAACTATGACCAGAATTCAAGACCTATAGTTATCTGTGGGTCTGCTAAATTGCGCTTGTGAAACTCTTCACTCTTGGCGACGCCAGCATGAGCTCGGTCATTCCGTTGGAGTTTCGGTCCCTTCAGCTTCCCGATCAAGTAATATTCTTTCCGTGCTCCGGCAGCGGACCTGCATGCTATATGACAAGATTTAAACTGTGAACTTGGTAAAAAGGACGTTTAGTTAAATATGGAAAAATGAGTACAACATGTCTACTCGTCCACTTGCTTTCTCGACATCCTCTCAGAAATTACTCGTCAAAGATGGTCTTCAAGATCACCCGAATCCAACGCCTGAGTGCGGTGATCGGTATTTCTATGTCATTCTTTATCGCGGAAATAGCAGGTTAGTCAAGAGTTAATATTAAACTCGCTCAACTTCGGGGCTCCGTTGAATGAAAGGAAGAAGTACCTAACGGAACCTGGTCTAGTTGGCTTCTACACTGGCTCACTGGCCCTTGTGGCTGATGCATTTCATTATGTACGCCCACGTTGACTTGGACGATGAGCACAGTCTAACCTACCTTCCCTAGCTGAGTGACATAGTTGGCTTTGCTATTGCTCTCGTTGCTACGATTGTAGGTTTTCCATTGACGACATTCGATACGCCACTAACTGTGCTGACAATTAAAAGGTGGCAGAGAAAGCAACTATACCTCCATTTTTAACATTCAGCTGGCAACGAGCGCAATTATTAGGTGCTTTCTTCAATGGCGTTCTACTGCTAAGTCTGGGGATCAGTATTTTCTTGCAGTCCATTGAGCGGTTTATCAGTTTGGAGCGTTCGTATCCGTTAACAGGATTCGGCTTATGCATGCGGCTAATTTCTCCATGCTATCTAGGAGTCGATAACCCCAAATTGGTCATGGTCATTGGTTGTGTAGGTTTCGGTCTAAACTTGGTTAGTGTAACCTTCCTACACGGTAAGCACCTTCCCATATACGATCCCCAAGGGTAAAAATCTGATTAAGGCCGCGCAGAACACGACCACGACCACAATCATGGTCACAATCATGGTCACAATCGTAATGAAAATGAGCACGAGAACCATAATAGAGATAGTCACCATGACTCCCAAATAACCAGAGAGTACTCAGTCCTTGTCAACGAGAAGGTCAGTTTCCCCGTATATTCATTTACATTTTTTTCTTATGTATCTCAATATTCCTAGCACATCACTCACAAACACCACACGAATTTCGCATCCTTGAAGCCTCGAAAGAGCTTTGATCTTGCTCTTATGGGCGTCTTTATTCATATAATGGGTGACTGCGCCAACAATGTTGGCGTGATAATTTCAGGACTAGTCATTTGGCTGACCAACTATGGTGGCCGGTATTATGCCGACCCGGCCGCCAGTATGGCTATCGCAATTATGATCTTTGCCTCCTCGTTGCCCTTAGGTGAGCCATGTGGAAATTAACTTCAATGCCGAAGAGGTCCTTGTGTGCTGCCATTGCTCAGTTATTAATATTTCGTATTCGACTGGTGAAACAAAGCGGGTTGATTCTACTCCAAACTGCTCCCAAAGGCGTTGAGCATGACGATGTCAAATACGATTTACAGCAGGTAAGTGATCACAAATCCAAAGCTAACCTGTTGATTACTCCCCGTCGGTGCTAACGAGATTTCAGATTCCCGGCATTGCCGCGGTCCATGAGCTTCATATCTGGCGCTTGAACCAAAGGAAGTCTCTTGCCTCTGCACACCTCGTCCTTGATCAGACCAAGGATGGAATTGATTTCGATGAGCTGGCGAAAACGGTGAATGAATGTTTCCACGCCTATGGTGTACACTCAGTGACTCTTCAGCCAGAGACGCTTCGAGGCCGCGTGGGTAATAACGGGACTGGGGTAGCCAGTCACCGAGATGGAAGCGCCAACCTAGTGAATAATTGCCAGCTTATCTGTGGGAAACTTTGTGAGGACCTTTCGTGCTGCCAATGAGTTGTCTCTACAACTATACGAACAAGCTGTGAGGTTCCGCTGGAAGATTCATGTGAAAGCATGAGTCGTAAGGGGTAAATCGAATTACTTGCTTTGGGTTTCCATAGTGACTATATTGGCCCATTTAGCATGTCAATGTAATTTTAGTTTTCGATGGCGTTCAAAGCTCACCGCAATTTCTTACCATCATTTTCCCTCATACTTCAAATCTTTGCTTATTATTTTACTTTTTTGGCTTGAGACTATGAGCGTAATATTTGATGCAGTTCGTTGACTCCGTGCAACAGTGTCAGCGCTGAATATTGATACCGTACTGCAGCAACTCACATGAGTTTAACGTGGCTGATATTTTTGTTGATGTCTTGATATTTTTCACTCTTGGGCTCTTTGGAACCTTGAGAGAGGTCAATCATGTGGACTGCACCTCCTCAAAGGCCCTGAAGCTCTTGAGTAAGTGATATGTCTTCCGGGAGGCGATCAGTACGCTGCATATACTTGCTTTTGACTTAACGGAAATATCGCCGTATTATAGGGTCATTCTGCAGATGTGTGACCTTATGCATACCCGCGTTTCCGACAGATCTCACCTGTTTTGCATGCCCACTCCTATCTACGTCGATGGTCATAGTAACTATGCGGGGTTGATCTCAATCACGATGCAAAATTGGCGAACAATAAATATTTTGCATGAAAAGCAGCCACCAGTGGGGTTTGCTCGATGCCGTACCAGTTCTACAGTGCTCACAACATCAAAGTGGAGATTTGCGGCGCAATTGTTCTTCGCTCCGGTGATGTTATCCCGACATTGGAGTATGCACAAAGTCATCGCCCCTGGGCCCTGGGCTCCTCTCAGTACCCAATGACTGACTGGGGGAAGGGCATCTGGGGAGATTTCTCATATCTTGATCCACTTCAGTTGATGAGAAAATACTCTAGCATTGCATTTCCTGAAAGACTGGCAGCCTCGCGTTGCTGTTTGGAAAGCCGACTGGGTAGTTTACCGATCCGAGAAGTCGATATGCTCTGCTATGATTCGTTTATAATGAGAGTGAGATTCGTACCGCCAAGCTCATCTGGTGTTGCGTTTAAAACCTTTCGCGTTTGTTGCAATGCTATAGGATACTGTACTGTTACATGCATTAGGCAGATCCACCGCCTTGGATGCAGACCTAATAAAATGCGCTCGAAGAGTTGTTGCAGGAGCAATGACATGTCCGAGAGGCACATATGGTCTACGAAGAGGGGTTGAGGATGAATTTCCGTCGCAAGGTACGTATCAGCAACGTCTGGTTCCTACGTGGTCCATGAGTGTTTGGTCCGAAGGGGAGATACCGCCAAGGCAGGATGCATGCAGGTCCAGCCTGATATGGCGCTGTCTTCCACTGATATTACCATTGCAGCTCGTGCTACTGTCGGCTTTTAGCAATGGGATTGGAAAATCGTGCTCTTTGCGGCAACCTTTTGTAAACGTGGCCTGGTAGGTAGACCGATGAAGTGGCAGGGGTTTCGGAAGAATAGACAGTTCCAGTTGAATTTTGCACCACACTTTCATCTTACCAACACTTATCTGGTAGACATGTCACATGCTATAAATGAATATTCCTTGAGATGTAAGCTCTGCACGCCCTTTTGCAAGGAAATTTTTATGAATGGTTACCTTTCCTTCTGGGTATTTACCAATCGCCACAGTCAGTTTGATATATCGGCCTCAACGCTTCTACTCGCTTGTGATTTTCATGGCATGTTCCCGCACGTTCACATCTAGACCTCGCCACGACCCTGATATTGGGTCCCTCCTACCGACTCGCGACCCGGACCTGGACGGTTCCGGTTCCGAGCCTTACGACCCGGACCGACCCTCAGGGTCATAAAATCTCGTCAGGGTCACCCTGACTACGACCCTGACTACCCTGAATTGCATAATTCTTTTACGCCTTTCCTGATTAGGATGAATAAATTCGCTGACACATCATTATATATTACTGTTTCTTATACCTGTTCTGTATGTCTAACTATGATTCCATCAATTTTCATCCACCCCCTATGTAATTCTTTGTATTAAGTCTTTTGAATACGTCTTCTGGCTTGGTAATACTAAACTTGCCCTCTTTTCTACCTAAGAGGAATTGTTGTGGTGTGTTTTATAGAAAGTTGGTGAAATTGGTGTGTAAGGATGCGGAAATATATTTCGAATGTATGAGATAGTTGCACTACATTCCGCAGAACTTAAACACTATCCTAACTCCTGCGGTGATGGTCTTGAAAACCTAGGTCAGTGACCTAGGAAGGACCGTGGCTATCGCAATGAAAGGGAAATCCTATGGGAATCCTATCCTATGCCATAATATACGGGTGGGATTCAGGATAGGAAATTCCCTCCCACGGTCAGTCTGACTACCCTGAGGGTCACCCTGACTATCCTGAGGGTCACCCTGACTACCCTGAGGGTCACCCTGACTACCCTGAGGGTCACCCTGACTACCCTGGAAGGTCAACCAATTAGCTTGAGGATTTGAATAAAAAGCGGGGTTTAGATGTGATCTATCAAGCAAAAAATCAGATAATGCAGAATCAGCATGTACCTCTACCCCTAAGTCCTTTCGCCTAACACCAAAGAAAAATCTCAGTAAGTCCTTCCTTCTTATACACAGCTTCATCATGTCTCAGTCATCTGATATATTCCACTCCTCTATACATGATGCGCCACCTTCGGATTTCCTTGAATACGTTGCTAATTCTACACCACCTCAGCCTTTCTCCCCCGTCCCCTCCGGAAGCCAACAGACCGTCTACGAGCCTCTGAAAGCCCCCGAATGCCTTAAACGCGTTTGCCCGGACCGGATCAGAACATACATTCTATATTCTCCAGAAATGAGTGATGAATTTGTGACTTGGTGGCTTCAGACCGACTTTGGGAGGAAGAAACGGATGACTTGGGATGGGAAACGCGCAAAGTGCTGGGAATACTTTGACCAGGTCGCCTTAGACAGAAATGGGAAACCAGGAGTTATGTGCCAGCAATGTCAGAAGGTTCTTGATCACCCTGGTTGGGCTCATAGCGGAACAACTTCAATGAACAAGCACTATAATGGGGTGACTTGTCGGAAAGCTGCCCTAGCCAAAAGGCAGAAGCCAAATATCAAGCTGGCATTAGAGCATGCTGTATGTTCAGCACCCTATTATCGGCTTTATTTTACTAACTTACTTCTACGCCTAGGCCCAGAATTCACCCGTACGAGCATTCGATACGCGTATTTGGCAGCAGAAGCTTGCGAAGCTTCTTACTGTGTCACATCTTCCGTTCCTTTTCCTTGAACACCCTGAGTTCCGTGATCTTATCTCTTACGCCCGGCTGGCACCATCAATGCCAGATATCCCATCCGCTAAAGCTATGCGCCGGCAGCTTCGAGAGCTAGTCCGTGAGAACCAAAAGATTATCCTTCAGACACTTCCTTCTGGTGCTAAGCTATCACTTGCCCTTGATTGCTGGACATCTCCATTCAAACAGGCTTTTATGGCTATCACTGGGTACTTCATTGACAAAGACTGGGAGTACCGTGAGATATTACTTGGATTTCAGCCCTTACATGGAGCTCATTCTGGTGCAAATCTGAGTGAGGTGGTTTTCGACTTGCTACAAGAGCATCAGATCACGAATCGAGTGCTTTCGGTGACTACCGACAACGCTTCAAACAACAAAACTCTTATGGAGAGTGTCAACGAGGCGATTGAAGGTCTACAATCCTCGAGCGACGTCGCTATCATTCGGGTACCATGTATTGCACATGTGATCCAGATTAGCCTAAAAAGTCTTCTTGGGAAGATGAAGGCTATTCCAAAAAATGATAGGGCTGAGCAAACATGGTCTGATGATCGGGTAGAAGCTCTGCGGGCGACGCAGCAGGAAAGAGGGATTGTTGACACTCTAAGCAAGGTAAGACGTCTTACTTAATTCCGATTCATAATCTAATTTGTTCCTTAGGTCCGAAACCTTGCGATTTATATTAATGCAAGTCCTCAGCGCCAGGAGTCATTCTACAACCTGCAGGCAAGAGAGAAAAAGCTAGTTCCAATCCAGGACGTTAACTCCTCGATGGAACTCTACATTCTTAATGCTCGCACGCGCGAAGAAGCTCCAGCAGGCCTTCGATGCTTTCTGCTCCCAGTATGACCAAGGGCACTTTTCCTTGAGCCAGGAGCAGTGGCGGCAGGTTGATTATCTCCTTTGTATTCTTGAGCCTTTTCACCGATTCACAACTCTTTTGTGCAAAACAAAGAATGTCACTATCCATCGGGTTTTCAAGGTCTACAAGAAGCTATTTGATCATCTTGAAAAGTCGATTAACCAGCTTCGACGGAAGAAGGTTGCTTGGAAGCAGGTGATGCTTATATCCCTCGAAGCAGCAAAACTCAAGCTCTCAGCCTACTACAGAGACACCGACAAGATTGACAGTCATCTCTACGCAGTTGGCACAATCCTTTCTCCACAGGATAAACTCAAGTTCTTCTCGACTCCCGACTGGGATCCAGACCCAGGATCTGGGGTCGACTACCGAGCAGCCTATCGCCAGAGCCTTGAGTCCTTCCTCGAGAAGTACTCTGAGAGTTTTGCCGAGGACCATCAAAGGTTAGGTGGTCCGACTATAAGTTCGATACCGGATGAATTTGATTTAGCTTGTGCTCTAGATGAGTCGCAGCAGTCTCAAATTTCACAGCCAGCACAGTCAGATGAGCTTACAAGGTATCTTGATAGCAGTAAGTATTTCTTGATCTCTATTTGAGCAATTACTGACTTGTCCTTTAGATATAGTCACAAATGCCCAGCCTCTGACCTGGTGGAGAGATCATCAAGATAAGTTCCCTACGATGGCAAGGCTTGCTCGCGATGTGCTCTCTATCCCAGCTAGTGGTGCAGGGGTAGAGCGGCTTTTTAACTCTGCACGAGATATCTGTCATTATCGTCGAGGCTCTCTTCAACCTCAAACAATCTCAGATCTTATGATGTATATGTGTACATCACGGTTTGAGATTCATGAAGAGGAGCGAATAATGCTTTCTGAATATCTTTCGGCTCAGGAGATACAGGCTGCAAAGGAAGAGAGAACACAGCAGCAACTCGCTGTTGATCCAATTAGCGACAATGAAGAGGATGAAGCGTCTACGACACAGCTCCGAGCCAGGTCCCAGCCCCGAGCTATCTCGAAGACCCGACCAACCTCGCAGGCTGCCCAGGGTCCGTCCGCAAAAGCACTCGGCAAAAGACGTATAAGCAATATAGCTGACTATGTGAGAGGTGATGAGGAGGAAGACGATGGTCAAGAGTCGGAAGCAATACCCCTGCCGGAGATACAGCACCGAGTGTCAGGCAGAGTCCGTAAGCGTTCAAGGTTGCTAGATGGGTATGAAACGTCTAATATGTAATTCGAGATTCGGGCAGTCTTTTCGGTTGATTCATTAGTTTGATTTGTTTTGATTTAATTCATTCTACATTGCCAAATTAGGAAACTTCTCCTCTAAGTACTGTAAGTGAGATACTCAAAAATACAGACAAAATCTGCATAACTTATGCTCCGCGTGACTTGGCAATGTTTGCCTTGTTTGACGACCCTGAGGGTAGGTTCTCGACCCTGAGGGTAGGTTCGCGACTTTTATGGCCCTAGCCTGACCCCATTTCAGGGTCTAACCTTACGACCCTAAAACCTGCGTGGTCCGGGTCGCGGTCCGGGTCGTCAGGGTCACCCTCGGGTCGTGGCGAGGTCTATTCACATCTATAGCGTACATAAGAGCAACCCACATATCCAATACCCATGCAACAGGTAATAATTCAAGGAACACCTTGTTGGTAAATACATATACTGTATCATCTCTTTTAGCGTATTGGCTATTTTATTGTAACCTTAACAAAGCTATGCGACAGCATGTAATATAAGACTTGATAGAATCGTGACCGAATGGATGGAAGCCAGGTCTATACAAGGAAATTTTAATATTTGACGGACTGAGGGAGTGGTCAAATACCACTAGGACCCGTCAGAATAGGCTTATTCATCGTTCACCCAATTCGTCCTAGTATGGTTTCATAACAAGCCATAGTTCAATTAGAAAAAGAGACCCCTGAGATCGTTCAGCCGATCTCAACACCTTCAATTAATCATCTGACTCTATTGGACATGTTCAGTACTAGCCAGTACATCAATTCATCCTGACACTTTTAGACCCTGACAATCGCGGGTATGGGCCCCCTTATCATTTTCTTCACTCGCCCACGGGTAACCCACCGCAGGTTTTCGCCCTCATGAACCCGCCAGGGGTTCTTGGTCAGCACTGGCGGCTTACTGGTTGATTGATTGATTAATTCCTCAGGTTTTTCGCCCCCTGCAGATGCATGAAGTCGCCTCAGTTACCAGCGGGTTGCCCAAAATACCCAAAAACGGGCACAAATCGTGAAATATACTAATTAGTCGCCTGGTGTAATTTTGGTATTTTATTTCTTTCACGTCTTTAGGTGTGCTTTAGGCCAAAGTAATGCCCGCTGGCAATTCGGAAACATGTATCTGCTTCCTCGAGATTGTTCTGCTCATTCCGCTGTCTCCGCACCTCCAGGATCCCGTGGCCACATGGACGAACTTATGAATATCCAATGAATTCTGAACCTTTTGCGCTGACTAAAGACGAATTTGAGCAATTAAATCGGCGATTTTGTAATCTTCTCAGCGTCCTCCCAAAGTCGCATCATTTTGGGTTGGGTCGGGTTGGGCTTTGGGTACCCGCTGTTTTTCACTATGAGAGAAAAGTATTGCCAAATTTGATCGCACGTTCTCTCAATAATGTACCGCTTCTTCTCCCTCATCATTGCGATCAACGCATCAGGCTTTCAGCCATCTGCTCTTTATAGAGCCACCATCAGACGCTTCCTTGGAGTTGACAATCGATCGTCTGTAAGAGGATGAGTCCCTCTTCGGTGTCCTTGTATGTCGCGAGACTACGTACACATATTCTAAGACAGCTTTCAGCCTTTCACTGGACCCGCGAGAGCTACGACTCCCATTCGAAAGTCATTGACACCTATGTGACGCGTGGGACGCAGGAAAAATTGAATCCTGTACGAGCTGAATCTAGAGAGAATGAGAGTTTATAGAATGGTGAGAGAAAAAGGAGTAGAGCCAGAAGTTGAACAGGGATGGCCAATCCCAGATAAGATGGTCCATCAAATCGCTGATATTGATTCTGGGCGCCCGCGAGTCTTCTACCAAGCCTGTCTCACTCTGTTCGATCACCCAGAGCACAAAGAGAAATAGTCCTAGGGACTCACTCCACTGATGACTAGTGAGTTTCAGGTAGGCACTTCGCAACTGCACTGGTATTAAACAAACCACGGCAAGTCCTATTATTCGTATGCAGTACAGAGTCACGTCTCTGTGACCCATTGCTTGGCCTCATCCTGGCGGTTTTCGAAATTGTAGTAGATAACGCCCTGGTCGTCTATGCCTGCATTATGCCATAATAATGATCGAGAAATTCAAATATTAAACAACAGCCCAAAGATGGCTTTGCTGTTTGAATCTGGCAGCCGCGAGAAGGGTGCTGCCCAGAATCAGACTTGCCCCGGCGTACATCGACAAAGCCAGATATCCGTACTTTTCGGAAATTTGGCCGCTGATTGGAATACCGGCCAGACCGCTGTTTGAAATTTTAGCTCTGAGGTGAACCAGATGATTTTCAATGAACACGACGTACGACAATGATGCAGAGGCCATAACGATTCCCATCGTGCGGCCGATCGTTTTGGGCGTTGAAATTTGCGCAGCACAAGCTTGTTGTAAGGACAAAATTGCCTGCGATAAGTTATAAGACTTTGCTTGTTCACTTGGCCTTCTTGCCCAGGACTGGTATGAGAATATCTTACTCCTGAAGAAAACCCATAGGCCAGTGAGAATATCACGAGCCCAGCCAAAGATGATACCGTGCTCCAGCAAAAAGCAATGATTCCTGAAGACATAGTGACAAGGACGCAGGTATTGAACCTTCCGTACGAGTCTGCGAGAAACCCTGGAACGACCCTCCCTACTAATGAAGCGGCGTTCATAATGGAGATCGTGTAGAAAGAGAGATCTTCCGAAAAGTGCTTCGCTCTGGCAAATGATGCAGTAAAAAAAAGTGGTGTAAACATGCCAAAGTAGATAACGAAGAACGCCGAGCAGGTCAGGACAGCTTCCGGCTTTCTCAAGTGAGCCGAGCTCACTGCAATGGATGGCTTCTCTCGAGCCCCTTTTGACTCCTGATTGCTTGTGAATAGATTACAGTCACACTCATGGAGCCTCCGATCGCCTGCGGCCATGTCACAATCGCATGCTGGGGACTTCTTTGGTGGTCTTACTAAAACACAGGTGAGACCAAGCAGAGGCAACATCATGAAGCCTACAATCCGCAAGGCCCATGCGAAGCCAACGTTCGGGTTGTAAATGAGCCTTTGGAGCATGATAGGCCATATAACACCTCCTAGAGAGGAACCAGAAATGACAATGCCAAGCGCGGCAGCTCGTCTGCATTTGAAATACTGACCGATTACTCCTAGCACCGGGGTATACGCCAGAGCCATGGAGATGCCAAACAATATGCCTTGCGACAGCATGAATTCCCAGAATTTCTCACACAAAGAAACCATCATGACAGAGAGAATCGTTCCAAAAGCGCCTAAATAGATCATGATCTGAGTCAGATTCTGAGGGTTAGTGGTGATAGAAGTGGAAAGGTCAAGCACCCTCCTGCGAAGAGGTAGAGATTCATACTCTAGCACCAAATGTATCGAGGAGAATACCACACACGATCGAGCCTGCATACAGGAGGAAAGTGCTCACAGCTCCAAGCCATGATATAGTCGATTGAGACTCGTGCACTAACTGATGAGTTTTGTAGTATGACTCGAAGAGACCGAATGAATTGAAAAATCCCACTGTGCAGAAGAAGCCGGTGAAGGCACCGAATAAGGCCAGGGAGCCATGTAAACTAAGAGAGCACCGGGTAATAAGCCATTCGTATCATTTGATATATTTCACGTGAGGGGCCATACCTGAATTCTTTCTTATCATCTTCCTTAGATTGTGGGAAACTCACAGCCGAGGGCTTCATGGTGATTTTCTTCGCAGAAGAATGATCGTTGTTCAAGTGATAGAGATGATACTCGCCATTTGAGATGCTTCTGTCTCTTCAAACTTATACGGCATGATATTAATACGCCCAAATTTATTCTCATTTTGCTTCGGGAGCCCAATAAAGGCAGTTGGTTTTTCCGTGTGGCGGATCTCCGGCCGGCTCGGAGATATTTATGTCCCGAAACGGTATCAATGACCCCACACAACGGTGCCTACTCACATCATTTGCACTGCTGACCCCCACTGCTCGATCTCACCAACCAGCGGGGATTTATGTGTTTTCCATCGAAATCACTGAACTGCACAGTTTGTACAAATCTTACAGGCCGCCGAATTGGCGGACTAACGGACTGGCCGATCTGCGGACTGGGTCTCGGGCAATTTAGCGCTCGCATCCTCGTTCCCGATGATTCATCATGGACCCTCACTCGGAAGAGCTGCGCCGTTCGAAACGGAGCATCATGAAGGTCAGTCGGCAGCTCTGCCCTGACAGCCGTCGCAAAAATCGCAAATTGCTGTCATGCGCCCCGTGCCGGAGGCGCAAGATCAAGTGCGATCGCGCTAAACCATGCAATCAATGCGTCCGTTCGAGGACGGTAGATGCATGCGATTATAATCCGAGTCCTTCGCCCCCTCGGTTCCTCCACCCTTTCGTCAACCCACGCCACCATCACCTATATCCTCGTTACCACCCCAAGCATTTCATCCTTCTGCTCCTACGCGGGAAGATGAATATCTGCGCCCGAACCGGCCATGGGGCTGGTCCACACTCAACCAGTCGAATGCAGCGCTGACCAGCGCCCATAGTAGCATAGCAGAGGCTTCAGTTTATCAGTCCTTACCACTCCTAGGTGCGAATACGCTAGGCCAAAGAGTTCCTCCAGCTTCCCCTTCTGCCAATTCGCAGCAGGAAAACCTGTTCTCATTTCGTGGGAAACAAAATCGAACGAGGTTCTTTGGACGTAGTCACTGGGCTACTACTTTGCAGATGGTAAGTCAGCCAAAGGTCGCCAAGAGTATTCCCATACATTCAGCTCATCCGTTCTATTCTCCAGTTTCCTGACCTTGTCGATCACATACACGACTATAGGCAGATGAAAGAAAACCCTTCGGCTTCCCGATTTCAAGAATATCTGTCAGTAAAACGTCACAAGCGCTGCCGGCGACCTGCGACGGCGCATTGCGTTCAAAGCTCGTCGGGTCAACAAAAGGCTCGCTTTGTCGATTTGTTGCCTAGTCGTCAGCTCGCAGACTTTCTTGTCAATCTGTATCTCTCAACCTACGAGACCACGTTTCGGGTGGTGCACGTGCCCTCTTTTCTCCAAGAATGGACAACCTTCTGGAACTCCGGGTTGGAATTTTCGGACAGATCCTGCGCGACTGAGATTCTCCTTGCGAAAGCCTTGACAATGATGGCCTGCGCAAGTTGTCTCGCGGATGACACTTCTCTTGTAGCCGCGGGCTCGGATCGGACATCACTCTCGCAAATCTCCCATAACTGGCTGCAAGCTGTAGCATTGTGGTTGGGCTCGATCCCAGAACATGCTCGTCTCAATCTCCACGTTATGCAAGTCAAATGTTTGTTGGTGACAGCTCGCCAAGCCATCGCATGGGACGGTGATCTCGTCGGTGTAATGGCAGGCTCACTGATACGGGAGGCAGTGATGATGGGTCTGCATCGCGACCCAACACTCTCCCCAAACATGACCCCGTATTGGGCCGAGATACGCAAACGCCTATGGTTGACTGTTGTTGAGATTGAGCTTCAGGCGTCGCTACATTTGGGCATTCCTTTGGCGCTCTCGTGGGAAGACTTTGACTGCCCTCCTCCTTCAAATGTCGAAGATAATGACTTTTCATTCAGCTCTACCTCCATGGCTCCGGAGCGAGGCATTTCAATTCTTACAAAGACCACTTTCCAGATTGTTCTAGCACAGAGTCTACGAGTTAGGATGGAAATTGCCAGATTGATCAACCGCGCTCGGCTAGCCTTGAACCCGAATGAAATCATGAGTCTCAGTGATTCTCTGGCAAGGAGCTTGGCTGAAGCCCCCGCGCAGCTCCGCGATGATCCCGGGTCAGATGACACCAGTAAAAATGCTTTTCAAAGATCATTTTACCTCTTCCTCATGTGGCGTTCCATGCTGGCTCTTCATCGGCCCGTATTATTGAACCATGCCGATGTGGAGAAGGAAATCTACTCTGTCTCGCGAATTAATTGCGTCCAAGCTAGCGTGGCCTTGTTGGCGCAATTGGAGTTTCTATCGGAGATCTCTGCTGATATGTCACCTCGCCCTGGTGATATCGTTCTCCCACACGTACTGCGCTTGAAAGGCGGGCTATTTCAGGATGATATTTTTCATGCCGCGATTACTGTCTGCTTGGAACTTCGTCTCCAGCTCAAGGACAGCCAAATCTCGCTGCCCCCGGGCCTCATCGCAAATTTAGTCAGCCAAAGTGCGCTATATCAACGCAAGGCGTTGCTTCAAAGCATCGAAAATGCTCTAAGGTACTTCGAGAACAAGGTCCGATCGGAGGCCCGCGCATGCAAAACCTTCACCATTCTATGCATACTCTACATGACCTTAGAAACCAAATTTGCCACAGGCTCTACGCCTGTGACCGGTGGAGGTGCACCATCAACACAGAAGTCATTGACTATAGACGAGGCTTGCCCACTGGCTTCCCGTCGCTGCCTAGATTTACTACAGAGTCACAAGCATCATCTCCACCAGGACCCCAGTCACGATGCAAATAACGACGCGCCTTCGTTGAATGTGAGACATTGTCATATTCCTCGGTATCTGGCATACTTTGTAAAATCCGAATGCTGACCAAGACTTCCCTTTAGCCCGTTTCAGCCGGAATGGTTCCGCTGGATACTCCTCTTTATGGTGATATTTTAACTGATTTGCCAAGCATGGAAATGAACGATCTATCTGGCATCGCTCTGGTGGGTAGTTTTTGTCTTCTGTGTGAAGCTTCTTCATATGCTAATGTCGTACTCTCTCGAAAATAGGAAGATCTGGATTTCGATTGGACTATGCCACTGGACCCTTTGCCCATTTTCCCAATCGAAGGCTGGCCAAGCATGGATTCACTGTTGTAGCCTGCTTCGTTTTGGGAATACCCGCAAATTCCATCACAAAGCAGCCGAAACGAATTTATACTGGAATGAAGCGGCTAATAGAGAAATATGGATAGCCATTGTATCAGACAATCTAAGAAAATGACCATATATTGTCGTCTGCTTGGAGGTTGCGAGCCCCTAAACGTTGAAACCGAGCAATGCTATAGAACGTTCTCAAGTCAGTTAACACTTCATTTACATCAAACAGGTGAACATACAGCCTGAGGAGGTCACCTAGGACCCCAATGGCATAGATAGCATAGAGAGATAGAGAGCCCATATCTCGCGGGTAAAGATACGAGAAAAGCTTTATCAGAGCTCGATGATATATCTAGCCCGCCACCATATTAGCTTCTAATGAAAGCTGAAAATATCCAGTGCAGTACGCTTTTAATAGCCCCCTCGTAGCACGGACATTGTGGTTGCAAAAATCCTTAGTAAGCGATATTGGGTCGCTCCCAGTCCAAATCATTTTCTGTTTGACCCAGCTGTAATTCTGAGACCGTCCCACTTGAGCATTGATAGTAAATCTTTGCATTGTCCATTCTCCTGGTCGGTATCGCTTTTAGTCCGTCGGGATATGAATCTTCCCGAGACCAACTATAATTGAGATGTGGATAATTCTAAGCATGGACCGGCATGTACGAGTGCCTACCTGTGATTTGTATATAGTGAGCGGCATCGCTCGTTTCCTGCACATCCTCTCACCAGATCTGCACATCATTAAGAAATATCCACTCTCAATACGCCATGGAAGATCCCGAGATGATGGAAGTGGTGCGCAATACACACGCCTATGGGTTGAGCACCTATACCCGCATCACAGCCCATCCCGATGAGGTTTGCAGATCCATTCCCAAGAACCTGGAAGACAAATCCGTATCCACGCCTACAACACCCTCAATCGGGAACACCATCCCACTCCCGTCCTGATTAACTTCCATGGAAGTGGCTTTCTGGTTCCCTTGCACGGTACCGATGATGAACACGCCCAGGTAATCGTCCGCAGCACTGGCTGTGCAGTATTTGATTGCTCCTATAGACTGGATCCCGAAAACCCTTGGCCAGCGGCAGTACATGACGCAGAAGATGTGGTCAAGTAGGTGCTCTCGCAACCCTCGAAATTCTCACACCCACGTATCTCGATCTCGGGCTTCAGCGCGGGTGCGAGCCTATCGTTGACCATGAGTGGGGCGGCTTTTCCTCCAAAGACCTTTCGCAATGTCGTTGCCGTGTATCCAGCGACAAACTTGGCCCAAGGCGCGAAAGACGAGGCAGCTCCTTGTCCCGATCCGTCACGCGATGCTTTTCCAGCCGAACTGGTGGATGTTTTCCTCAACTGTTACGTGCTTTGTGCCAAAGACGGTGAGAGCCCACTCGTTTCGGCTTCTTTTATTCCTGTGGAAAGCTTCTCGGATCGACTGGCTGTGACCCACTGCTAGCGACCGATGGATAACATCCCTTGCTTGGTGTACGCATTCTTGCGCTGGGCTGTGGCCTCGGTGTTGTGACCGCCGAAGGCCGGCGTGTGGGATCTAGGGGTGTTTTTCCAACTAGACTGAACATCTACATCTACATCTATCAACACAATTGACTTTTGCTTTGGAGCATACACACTGTCCACTTAACTGTGTACACAGTACCTAGCTGGTGATACCAACAGAAACGGACTTTATTAGGTCGACCGGGGATATCTTCAGAACCTGTGTGGAACCTCCACGCCGATTATTGGAGCTAAAGTTTAAAGCAAAGGTTCTCAGTATACCAGTTTGCCGCTAACTAGTTTCTACCTATTTCGGAATAAGTACTGACGCTATAAAGCTATTAAAATATCACATCTATCTATATTTTCTTTAGTGACTTAGCTTAGCGGTCGGGAAGATTCGAGCTATAAAGCTATACGAACTTCGGCGTGGCACTGGTGAGGCTGTCAATAGTAAGTCACGACCACTGATGCAAATATACAATTAAAACTGATGTACTATAAATAGGTCACCTCAGAAAACGTATCTCCCCCCTTGCTCCAACAGGTGATGGGTCATGTCTACGCGAGCATATTTCAGACATATATGAACCAGCGGGTTCAAAGCCATATTCAAGCGGTATTCCTTAGATTACCTTCTGAGGGTGCCTTGATGAATATTTTAAGTCATCAAAGCCGCTATATCAACCCTCGAGCGCTATCTACGTACAAGGACTTACCTAAAACTGAGAGAGTCAGGTTTTCAAATGTCTCTGGAATAAAGCGAAGGAAATCTTTCTTAGTAAAACTATGGTCTGGATCTTCAACATTAAAGCGGCGGCACCTAGAATAGGAAAGCCCCACTTTGCAGGGGAAATATGGTACGTATAGTGACCTAGGTATCCCAGTACAGAAGCGATTTGCAGACGAAGCCAGGATCCCTACAATCCAAAGCCACGCAAGCAAAATTGAACTTATTCTATTTCCAGTGAGACGTCACAGACAATGACTTGATCGCGTCTTCGCCAAGTTATAACAAAAGCTGCAATCGCCCATTCGAGGCCGAGTAGCCTGTGTCGTCCAGCATGATACGGGCCCATCCATCGACTGCCCTCTTGAAGATTTCCTACGAATCCCCAACATAAATATCATGGGCACATACATTGTCGCGCAAGCCATGGCTAGAGCGATGAAAGCGGAAATTGTAGATGGGGCCACGGTCCTGGTTGCCAGCATGAGTGGCTGTGGGTCGCCGACAAGGTAAGTTGATAATGCAGTTCCGCAAACCTGCGCTAGACTTTCTATCACATATTGCACGATATTCTGCTGACACCTGATCTCAAAAGGGCGCCGACTCTCCTTCGTCTAACACGGCCAAAAATGCGCAATTCATCAACTTGGGTCGCTCCCTCGCTTCGGAGTGGGGATCTCGCGTTGCTATGCCACTGATTCGAGTCAATACCGTCTCTCCTGGCTACATTAAGACCGCGGCTACACAGCAGGCGTCGGCGAGTTCTGGCATGGAGGAGCGGGGGTTGGAGCGGAATGTGCTCAATCGGGTTAGCTTCTCTGATGAGTTTCGGGGACCAATTATGTTTCTTCTTAGTGATGCGAGTAGCTTTATGACGGCGGCTGATTTGTTTGTTGATGGGGGACATCGGTCTTTGTAGGACTTTCGGATGAAGCTTATGCTGATTTTCGTCTAATATTTTTGATTCATCCAATTTCTAGGCTCATCCAAATTCATGTGTCTTACATCAAACTCATGTTGGATATTCATCCAAAAATTTATTCGGCAGATAAAGATGGGACAAAAATTAGGTTTGAGATGGAATGAATTAAAAAGTCCGGATGAAAATATTTCAAGTATGAGATTGAATGAAAGGTCAGATGACACGTGGAATCAACGGATTTATTAATTCATTTAGTAGCTAAATTCCACAGTATTTAAATTAAGGCAATTCTGTGGATGCATCCTGATATGCTGCGTTCTATGATTCTCTTATGTCCAATGTAACCGCCATATCTAGTTCTCATCGTCATCGTCATCATCGGGGCGCCAGCCTCCGTCGATGTCATGATTGTGGAACAGCGCCCCTCGCCCGAGTTTTGATTCGAATATTTGTTCGGCATCATGATCCGCATCTTCAACAACAACGAGCCGCAGGTGGCTCTTTCCATCCACCTCGTCGCTCCAGTCAGGAAGATCCTCGAATGAACCAGGGAAGCCGTCCAGATCTTCATCCGTTCCCGCGAGCTCGTTGATGTACCGGTACCAGATCAGGTTGCGAGCACGCCGATTGGTACCTCCTTGCATCCTCCCCATGCAACTTGTATCACCAGAACTCCCAGTATCCTCAAGACCCACGATCGAGACGACATCTCGGCTGACGTACTGCTTGAAATATTCCTTTGGCGACAAGCGCCTTCCTCCCGTGCCGGGGAACTCGTTGAAACCGTATCTCCAGGTATTGTAGGAAGAGCAGGCACCTTTCGAAACTTTGTCGTCATCTGAAAGAATGGGGCGGTCTTCGGTGAAGTACATGCATGATGATGGGTCGCCGTGGATGTACCGAACGTGGACATTTTCAGGGGGATCGTTACCCAAAGCCGAGTACCGCTGCGCAAGCTGACCACCGCCACCATGGCCAACGATGGTGACGTTCGTCAGTTTCGGATACTTCTCCTTGTTTGAATGGATCTTGACGAGGCCATCCAGAACGTCCAAAGAGGTAATGTTTGTGTTTTCGGGGTGATTAGCCTGGGCACCTGGTTGCCAAGCGTTCAAGTCATCCCACGCCAGCTGATTGTCCTTGTACTGGCCAGAGTTGTATTTTGTCGAGAAAAACTGCGGGGCGAGAACTGCCATTTTGGAGTCCGCTCCAGGGAAGTCGTCGTCTCTGGCCTTTTCGATGGATTCGTTCAGCGTCTTCCAGTAGCTGTTTCCATCCCTCAGCCTCCCGTGCAGAACAATAAAAAGATGCTCGATTGTGTCGTCGTCTAAATCGGCTGAGATGAAACCTGCGATTTCCTCGTCGCCGTCCTCGTTCACCTTGAATGATGTGAACTCAGCGCCATCCGGTACGTCGATGTGGCCGTGGTCCTGTTGTCCAACCAATTAGCTGGTACAGTGAGGTAACTTCTAGTTGGTCCCGACCTACCTCTCCTTCTTCGGGTTCATCTTTGTTAAGCTTAGCCTCGGATTCCGCAGAAAAAATGTCATGTTCATCCGATACATGGACAACTCCATAACGGGTTTGGTTGTATGAGAATGCAAGACAGTAGGACACCAGGGCTGCCAAAAGGGCAGCCCAGACCAGCGCCCGGAATGCCAAGGTGGTGGCCATTGTGCGATTCAGCAAGATCTTTAGATCAGAGACGTTAGCTGTCATTTGCCAATTGAAAAAGATTCGGAGGTTGCTAGTATTGCCCCGTGCTTTACCTTCTGATTTTGTTGAATGCGTTTGGTAACAATTAGAATAGATATCGAAGTCGGAATGAAGGGACGTGTAGGTACCTATTTAAGATCTTGCCCTTGACAACCTGGATGGAAATGTACAATTGATCCATGACGATCGTTAAATATGGGTCCGCGTCTTGGCCTCTGTCGCAGGCTTGACCAGAAAGGGCAATAACTGGAGCATGATCTTCGAAGATGACTACATAGTTGTCGATCCACGATGATAAAGCAAACCACAAGAATGCGGCAAACGCTTGGCATTGAAGCGAAGATGGCCGTGTTTGGAACTTTCGATGCCCACTGTGGCAACTGATTGAAGGGGACCCATAGTTGGTTTGATTCATGAGGCTTTTCAACTGAACGTCATTCTGCACGAATGACCGTTAGGCCACCCCGAGGAAGCAATAATTGCGCGATTGTCAGGGGTTGAGGCACAATCCTCCGAAGTCGCTGCGGGTCGTCAAGCGGGAACTGGATGCCCCAGGCCCCCGGCGCTGGTGACTTGGCAGTCCCACTGTACGTATCAGCTCGTCTTGGCTTCACTTATGAATGTGAATACTAGTGGAACACTAGTCCTACAGAGTAGCAACTCTTGAAGACCCTGAAACTGACCTGCCTGACGAATTCTCATCCCTTATGATGGAATAACTACCCTTGTCGATCTGATAGCTTTTGATCGTTCAACTCAATTGCCTGTTACAGTAGGTCGCTGCCAGTTCAAATTAAACCGATAACGACTCTGGAAGGGCTCGAGCAGTCCAGCCTTTGCTCTTCCAGCGTGTTGAAGGAATTTACCTTCCACTCCGGATTTAAAGTGCAAGGAATGCCACCGAATCGCACCGGAGCCTTGCCGAGGGCTGTGAGCGCTTCATAATCATGGTCGTCAAGATCAAAGGCCGGGTAGTTAGCCTCGATCCGACTCGGCTTGACGGATTTCGGGAACACGGAAAATCCACCTTCTTTCCACCACGTGAACCAAACTTACCTTGACAGCACGAGACCAAGACTTGTCCCGCCTGTTTTTCAGTCTTCTTCGCGATATTCCGAACCACCGGACTGCCCAAAACTTGATTGCCAGCTCGAGACGCGTCCCCACCAAACGGCATGTAGGCCATGATGTGGACCCCCTTCTTCTTACAGTAGTCACGTTGTTCTTCTTGGTTCAGGAGAAGTTGCGCCTCGACTAATCCCACGAATTAGTACACAACATGTGACGATTTGGAGAAGCGAGATTCACCTTGTTTACTGCAGGCACAACGCTAGTTCCGTCGGTCATTTTTTGAATGTGACTCGGGCAGAAATTGCCCACACCAATACTAGATAAACAGTCAGACATACTCAGCACTCACTTTGTTCAGTCAACGAAAGCTTAACTCGTGCCTCTTGGCCTTGCTTCTGTGGCTCAATAAAAGCTCTCCATGTATCCACGAGACTCAGCTCTCTATCGAGCAATATTGTTCCGTTCTGCGACGGCTCCAAAGAGACACCAGTGGGCGATACATGGTCGGGAATCACTGCGAAGTTCGCTGGCCACTGGATCTGAAAACACATTAGCATCGTCGGATTATATAGAAATCCAGGTGTTTACACCAGGTAAAGATCCAGATAATCAGTGTGCAGGATTTTCAGAGTCTGGTTCAGAGCCTTGCGGACATACTCGGGACTATGGTGCCTGAAAGGTGTAAGTGGTGAGCAAGAAAAGTTTCCGAGGGCGACATACGAATTCCATGCTTTGCTCGTGATCCAGATATCCTTGCGGCTAGATCCCGGCTCCTGAGAAGGGATATTAGGCGCCTGGTCGCAAAAGGTATGACTGCTGCAGGTGGAATCCAATTGCCAGGAATTACATACTAAGGATGTCAATAGTCGGTTGAAATTCGGCGACCGTGTTGTTATGGAGGTATCTCACAATCTATTCTTGTCTTTGCGTTCGGCTCTAACTTCCAGCATTCTGGTATCTACTGCCTGCGATGCGAGTTCTGCAAGGGAGGCGAATACGGTCAATGTGGTGATTTCAAGCTCGCAGCAGCTGACGGATTCGACGGGACTCTGCAAAGAATCTTTTCCATTCCCGCAGAGTTGTGACTGCTACCCCATAACCTGAAATAAACGGCCACTGATACTTACTTGCAGCTGCTATAAACTTCCAGACAACGTAAGCATTGGGGGGTAGTGTCTTTGGTCGAGCCGTTGGCTGTTGCAGCCATGGCCATTGAGAGCGTCGCGAAGATGCGCCATAACGCCAATGTTGCTGTTTTTGGAGCTTGCCCAGTTGCTCTTCTGTACGTTGTTCCTTTGCCCACTTCATGTCATATTTCTAATTACCTTCCGCGCAGAACAATGGCCATTGTCAAAGCCCTCGGTGCCGTCGCATCCTCGCAATCGATGTACAACCCCATCGCCTGGAATTTTCCAAGTAATGCAACCGATGTCCACATTGCGCTTCTCAAGGAGCCTTGCGAGGATAATATGGCATACGCAAAGCGACATGTTTGTCTTCCACTCCCAGACATTACTCGCTAGCTCTAACGCTTCAACAGGGCAAAGCCATCACTGAGAAGTTCGGGTTCGGCGAACGATGCGAAAGTATCAACCTTCTCCTTTTATCCTTCAAGCTCGAGTGTGTCCGCGTCTGCATCTCTATTTTCGCCTTCTTCTTCCGAGCTCTCGTCGGCTGGGTTTTCCCAGAGAAAAGAAGCCGATTCCTGTTTTAGTCCGACACTTCAAGCTGCAAATCCGCCTTTGACCTTTGTTGTTGAGGTGGGCCTAGCAGAGCCAGCGGGACACCTGGGGCTCGACGCACGAGGATGGCTAGAGAGCGAATCTTCGACTGTTCAGCTTGCACTTACTATTAGTATTTCACGGGATAAACCTGACTTTATATTTCAACAATGGGAGAGGGACGATCGAGGCCTTATTACTCGCACTCGATCACACTTCTCTACGGCACGCATCATTACATCCTTGAAGATCTTCCGAGCCGAAAACAAGACATCAGTGACTGGTGAGAGTTGCGTGAATGAAGCAAGCTCTCCAACAACCCAACTTGCGCTTCCGCTCGAAAAAATCCTCAACCGAACTCCCGTTAACCCTCAGCAAAAAGACCTAGTTATCTCTGAGGAAAAACTAAGGTGCTTCGCGGAATGGATTTGGAAATGTCAATCCTTTATGTGAAATTACTGCGCTACCGATCGCCAGAGCGCGCTTTGCCCACATTTGTACGTGCAACACGGATCTTCGCGCACAACTTAAGCTTTCTGGGTCCGACTCCACGTGCGTGCTGTGGTGGGTTCGTCGCGGACGATTGCCTGTCCCAACGTTGACGCAGACCGCATTTGTGCTTTGGCCTTGCAGGGGCGAAAATCCTTTTAGCACTACGGCAATGTGTATTGGGCTTGTTGAGCATTATTTATGTACACACCAAGTCGTCCAAAAATAATTCCCCGGTCGTCGTCGGACTGCGACCTCTCGGACACTTACAGGGCAGGGTTACATACTCTATGACTCTTGCCTTAGAGATTTGCAAAACTGCGAAATTATATCGATTAACCTCTTCCCGGTTGAGTTTGAGCAGCGCTTCTTTTCTTACCGGCTACGCAATAACACAGTTGAGGTCAACAGACTATCTACCACCCAAAAAATGAGGATCATTCAGCAGACCCGTATAGCTATGTATAGCTGGCTCAACGAGACTGTCAAACATCGCATAAATCATATGGAAGATTTTGTGCCCTCCACACCATGTTCACCACTCTCCTAGAACACATACACAGTCTACAATTCTGCCCAACCAAGCTGCCCTGATCTCATTATTGTGATCTTGACTAGTGACTAATAATTTCGTTATTTTTCTTTAACGTAGTTCCCAAGCGAGCCGGTCACCCAAGCGAGCCGGCCACTTCGGCCGAAAACGCGTCGGAACGTGTACCCACCATCTTCAACCACCCACCATTCCACCAAAACACGCTCAATCAAGCCATGGTTCGGCTAATCGTGAGGGCCGAATCTTATTAGCTGTTCAGGCTTTTCAAAGTGGTCAATTTCATAGTCTTCGCGCTGCAGCAAAGACATATAACGTAGTCGAGTTGTAAATTATTGCTGACTTACGCCAAGGTAGCTAGTCCGAATATAACTAAGGATCTTTTTACCTTAACTCGCAGCTCGATCAATCACCGATTTCTAGGCTGTATTAACCATGTACTCTGGACCGTTCAGAACATTAGTATCTGATACGCTGACCTTCAGAGTGTCGTATGCGAAGAGTCGTTCCCATTTGCTTTTCACCGCCCAGCCTCTCCAGCATTGTGGACAATTGCCCAAGCCTAAATCTGTACTGATCATGGATACTGCATTGTTTCATCACTCGGATCAATTACACAGAAATATGCAGAAGCGGGTGTGCAGCTGGCCTACTTACAGCCTTATTCACTGGATTTAAATCCATTAGAGGAGTTACTCGCTGAGTTCAAAAAGAGATTCATCAAATGTAATTGCAGCTATTATGAAAGGGACCCCGACCAAGGTTTTGATGTTTCCATTGAATGGTGGGTCAATATGGTCGCACAAAAGAAGAGGAAGTGCTCAAGGCCATTTTCATGCGGGTTTGAAGATAGAGGTTTTGGATGGGTCAAGGCAAAGATCCTGATGTATGAAGAGCGCATTATGAGTCGTATGACAAATGTGTGCGCTATATATGAAGTCGAGCATAAGTGAACCAAGGATCGACGAGAGGAGAACTCATAACCTCATATTGAGGTTCAACCCTCCTTTTTGCTGAGTTGCTGCTTTCTGGGTCGCAGCGTTGCATTTTGACCGAAAGAGCCACTGGTATACACACACACAATTTATTAACGCCCGGCGGCTAAGCCGAAAGGGCAACTATCGCTGATCTACTATACATGTCATAATATATACAGTACTGTGTCTCTTTAGAGCCCATACATAAAACCTTGCCATATATGTCATTTCCAACAAGCAGTGTCGCAGCGGATCCTCGTGGGTTAGTAATTTTGTTAGTAGGCTGGCTTGAAGGCGCTTCTCCAAGTGTTCAACATCCTATCTTCGGCAGTTGAAGCGCGTCTACCATCTGTAGCACGAGGTGGTTGGTGAGTTAGATCGGCGAAAGGGCGGTGGTTTACGTTCGTCGGCATGGTTAGGTGGCCTCGAGTCGGCCCGTGGCGATGGCGAATCGTATTGAGGCCCGTACCGCCTCTAAGTTCGGCGTCCACTTCTGATCATCGGAAGGCGACTTTCCACCTAGGAAGAAGGATATATTTCCTCGGTGAGTGTTGGTACATTGTAGTAGTTCCGTCCGGTGCACCGTCCACTTTTGACATCGAAAGAGGAAGTGCTCCACGTTCTCTCTCGCTTGTCCACACGCACACTGGTCCGTGTCTGCTACTTTGATTCGATAAAGATATCCATTGAGTCTTGCCATGCCGGTTCGGAGTTGAGCCAGCACGCTCGCTTCTTTCCACGATAATCGGTCATACAGCTGCCGGGTGTGTTTGCCTGGGAGTGCTGCATCAACTCGTTTTGCGTGTCTCCCTATGTCCACTGGCAGGTCATTGCTGGGAACTGCTTGGGACCGTGCGATATTCAGTGTTGTTGACTTCATTCTCGGGACGCGTTCTTGCGGGAGAGCATCTTCTTGTGTCGCGGCTCTGGCCTGTTCTTTAGCCAGACCCCGCAGTTTATTGTCTTCGCTCGTGGAGATCCACCGGATATTGATCTGGTTTCCATTTCTCCGTAGTTTTCTCATCAACTTGTACAGTTGGCAGACGAATTCCTGGCCTGACTGTTGTCGAGGATTCCTTAGTGTCAGAGCCGCAGCTTTGTTGCTCGTGAGCAGCGTGATCCTGTAATCTTTCAGTCCAACTACCATGTTCAGTGCATGTGCCATCGCTGCTAGCTCCGCAGAGAACGGATTTTGCTCTGCTCTTGCACCCAATGTGACGGAAAGGGTCTTCAGTTTCAGTTTTCGATACCGAGGTGGTTGCCTCTCGATCGCCACCCCAAATCCGACCAGCTCGTTCCGTGCCGAACTGCTGGTTGCGATCTGCATTAACCCGCCTGGTACGGTTGGTGACTGCGGAGTTGCTTCAACGCCAGCCTGTACGCGTACTTCCCATGGTGCCAATGTGAACGGGTTGATGGTTTCCAGTGTTTCCATGTCGATGTTCTTCAGCGCGTCTGCAACTTGATACAACGGCGAACGATGGTATCTTCTGAATTTCTTGATCCGTGCTGTATTCCTGCGGAGAGGGTTGGTTTCTGGCAGGGTATGTATGTCCGTCCACATCTTCACGGCTCGTCTCCAGAAACGGTGTTGAACAGTGGCAAGGTGGGCCTCCGCTTCTGCTACACTGGTCGCAACTGTGAGGAATGTTCCTACAATCGCCTGCGCTCCTACCCTTTGGACGCGGTTGATCGGCCCCATGGCCTTATCCTTGCACGCGTGCATCCAGACATTGGACGCGTAGTCCACGGCCGGCGCCACCGTCGATGTAAATAGCTGCCGCGCTGTCGCTGGGGATAAACCCCGAAGTCGTCGAAGCTCCATCGCGGCCTCCAGGCCCTTGGATGCTGCCCTCGCAATATGCTCCTTGTACTTGAGTTTTGTGTCCATGAGAACGCCCAAGATCTTGACATGGTCCTTGGGCTCAACGGTTTGTCCCTTGATAGTGAAAGGCCCCTGGTCCAATTTGTAAGCCTTGGGAGCAAAGTGTATGATGGCTGTTTTGTCTGCTTCAAAAGTCGCTCCGCTCCTTTTCTCCCAGTCGAGTGCTTCATTGATAATTGCTTCAATGCCTTCCCGGTTGCTCTGGGCGGTTGGTCCCGTCACCCATGCGGTAAAATCATCCACGAACGCCATGGCTCCGCCCTGGCTGTCGATCTGTCTTTGTACGAGGTCTGCATTGAAGAAGAGGAATAGGATCGGGGACAGGGGCGAGCCCCTGAGGTAGGCCAGCCTGTGGAAGGCTCTGGACCTCCGACACTTGCCCATTGATTTGGATGGTCGCCGTTCGTTCCGAGCAGAACGCTTCGACCCACCGGAGCAGGTCAACTGGTATGCCTCGCGCTTTCATTCTCTGGAGCAGTCGTTCTTTGCACACACCGTTGTAGGCGCCTTTGACATCGAAGCTGATCAAACTCAACACCCGTCGGCCACGCCACGCTGTGTAGATCTGCTCCTGCAAGAGCACAAGCGCCTGCTCCGCGGACCGTTGCTTTCGGGCTCCGAAATGGCTGGTCGGGAGCAAGCCGTGTGTCTCCACAGCGTGCGAGATCCTTTCTGCAACCACGGATTCCAGTATCTTGCCCAGCGTCGCGAGGAGCGAGATTGGCCTCCATGCCTTTGCAATGGTGTAGTTTTCCTTGTTCGGCTTTTTGAGCGGTATGATCTTCGCATGTCTCCACTGTCTCGGCAACATGCCTTCTTCCAGTGACGCCTGGAACAAGTCGAGAACCCTGTGCTTGACCGTGGGCCACGTCATCTTCCAGACTATCGCCGGTAGACCGTCTTCACCCGGCGCCTTCCATGATTTCGCTGCAAAAAGCTGTCGTTCTACCTCCTCCAGGCTGATAGCAGGCATTCCCAGCGGCTCTCTTTGTGGTCTGGTCCCCTCGTCGTCAATAACGTCAGGCAGAGGGGGAAAGAATTTGGACAGCAGCTCTTCCGCTTGCTCTTGATGATCTGTGGTGGTAGTCCCATCTGCTCTGACGAGCTGCGGTAGCTTCCCGAATGCCGCGTCCTCTCCCGACTTCAGGTATTTAGCGGCTTTCCAGATGTTATCGTTGTCTGCGAGAAACTCATTCCAGTGCTTCTTCTTTTGTTTGCGGATTGCATCGTGGTATTGTTTCGCCGCACTTTGGGCTGTCTTTTCCAGGTGCGGTACTTTCCGTCGTGCCCGGCGCTCCGAGCGAGCATGATTTCGCCAGTATGTGTATATATGGCGCAGCTGTGTTAAGTCGGCTGTCCACCATCGTTTCGCGTGTGGTGACGGTTTTGCCTTTGGAGTTAAAGCATGCACCGCCTCGCTGACCGCCGTCATGAGTCGGTCAGTCTTCTGCTGCACCGTGCCTCCCGACGGAGTGGCCGTCAGACCACTCGCGATTCTGGCATTGATCTCTTTCCATGGTGCGTTCTTCAGCAGAAGTCGTTTCGGATGCTTCGGGGCTGACCACGGTGCATCGAACACCGTCTCAATGGCACGGTGATCCGAGCCGTGCTCCGTCCCATGTATCGCACACTTGATCAATGAGTCTGTCAAATTATCAGAGGCCAGGGTGAGGTCGATGGTCGACTCGCAGTCCCCGCTCCGTCCACCACCGTGCCATGTCTTTGTGCCTCGTTTGAGTAGGCTGCTAAGAGCAAACTCGTTCATGAGGTCAATGATTGGATCCGCTTCGCCCTGCCTTCCCAGGGATACCTCCTCTCCTCCCCAGAGTTGATCATGGCGGTTAAAGTCCCCTACAATCATGATATCCACCACGGTGCCCGTGTCCTGCCGTACCTTTGTGATTGCTTTGCGTAGGTGATCACATGTTTCGAGCAACGCCGCGGCATCTCCTCCCTCTACGTAGACTGATGCTATAAAAATCAGTCGTTCGGGGAGCTGGATGACCGCGGCTGTCAGATCCGGGGACTCGATCCGCACTTGCTCTGCTTCCACCTCTTGATTGACCCAGAGCATGCTTCGAATTGCCCACCTACCTTCCCTCCAGGTGGAAGGAACCATCTTTGTCCATTTGTGATGTCCCATCGGGGTTGTCAAGAGCCGGCCTTGAATTCTCCTCGCTTGGGGTTCCTGAATCGCTAGTGCCACTGCCTCCTGAGTTTCTTCGTCGTTCATTAAGCTGTCATGCACAGCTCCCTGCTTCCTCACATTCAGTTGGATTACTCGGAGGGTTTTATTCATGACGTGACGGATAGAGCTTCCGGCAGTTTTTGCTGTACGATTCATGTGGGCCTCCGCATGGAACGCACTTTGGAACCGTTTGGGCACAGTCACTGTGGCGATGGCCCTCCATGGCGCATTTTGCACATCTCTGGACGTTCTTGCACTGGAATGCCTTATGGCCAATCTCCTGGCAATTGTAGCATTGCATCGGTCGTGGTCGATACTCAAATGCGCTGGTCACGCCAGATTCTCCCCCAGCGTGAAAGAACCCGTCGGCCAAGAGCCTCCGTGCGTCAGTCCCTTTGGTTAGGTAAACGACCATTGACCCATAGGCCTTCGCACTCTCTTTTCTGCTGAGCCATGCGATCTTAGCAACGGTGACTTCGTTCTCCTCGCTGAAGGCCGCTGTGGCTCCAGCTCGGATCTCATCTTTTTCGTCCAAAACTACAGCCTTGTTGACGCTGTCGACTTTGATCGGGTAGAGCTCGTCCCGAAGCACTCGGGCTCCTGCGCCGATCTTTGCTTCTGCCACTTTCTTGACCAACTGGTGTTCGGCTTCATCGCGACACGCTATTCTGATCCGATTCGTGTTTTTCGGGTCCACGGTGACGGCGCGACAACGCCAACGCATATGGTCTTCCATCGTCCGGATCTCTGTCTCAACCGCCGCTCGGATTGGGCCTGCGGACTTCCTCTCGTTTTCAGTTTCTGCCATCTTCGAGGTGTCTATCGTGCAATAAAGCGTGTCGGTGAACGTGGTTGGTGTTGTATTTGATGTTGAAAGTGTCCGAATGTTGCTCGAGTGACTGATTGGAGGAGTACGGGCGACATCTGCATAGGACGGGGAGCTTGTGAGGGTGGAAGGGCTGATTGCATCACGCAGGGATTGAATCTCGCGAAGAACCTCATCGTGGCTATCCTGGGTACATCCCTCGGGGTGGGAGAGCGGTGTCGTGGGCCTATCTGCGAGGGTCTGTAGCTCGTGTCGAACTTCCGCGAGGGCGGCACCGAATTCTTCCTTGACTTTGCGATATTCCTCTTGAACTTTCTGAAGCTCTTCTCTGTGCAGATCATCCCGCCGTCTGATCTCCCTCCTGAGTTTGGCGAGCTCTTTCACAAGATTGGCAGCATTCAGGTCGTCGCTCTCGGTCGAGGAGTCGTCCGAGGTTGCCGCGTCTCGTTGGGCAACTGCTTCAATTTGGGTTTTCTTCCTTTGCTGGGAGCGCGTCGTTCTCTGCACCTTGTCGATCTCTTGCTCCCGAGTATAACTATTCGGTGGTCTGGTGGTGCGCTTTGGTCTCGACAATCGTGGTGGTGAATCTTCGTGTTCGTCACGGTCGGGCGGTTCAGGGGTTCGCATCGCGGCCCGTCCCGCCATTATTCAAAATTGGCACCGGAAGTCGATCACCCAGCAGTCGCTTTACTGTCGAGTTCTTCTTGACTTGGTATCTTCACCACTGGTCTTGCTTGGACACCGCAAGTTCCCACTGGTATACAGTACTTCAGGAAATCAGTATCATCACGTACACTCTTCGATTGTTTCTCGAAACACTAACTAACCTACACCGGAACTTAACCAAGAATCCCTGTCAACGGAAATTGCATGTATTGCGCCATCTACTCATTCTTAAAACAAACAGATGCAGAACTCCATATTGAATTCATCCTGCTGAAAGTTGTAGACTCGATGTATTCAAACAGAGTTAAAAGTATCATAATCCCAATATAACAGCAGAAAGTCCGAATAGAAAAAAGCAAACGATTATTGCTGGACCAAAAATGGTCCGTGACGGAAGAGCAGCCTTTCCTGCCACCGGGGAAGACACGGAATTATTTGATAGCCTTGTCTCGGTTTGATGGGTGCATGGCGCAGAATACTCATGCATAAGATTGCTCAAAAAGCGACCTAATCGCTCGCACACTGATCCGGAATGCAACCCTGTATCAAGCACATCTGACACGTCGAAGGTTTTGTGCTTTTGATTTGGGTGCAATGGGCTGTGGTAGGGGTACCTCTGGACGCAGGACGAGCATATATCAACATAGGCACATCTCCGGCAGACAGAACGGGGACCAGAGATCCAATCGTCACACCTTGTACAGGCAATTTTGAATATCCCTGCTTGAGGTACCGTGTCCTGAGATAAATGAAGTTGAAATAGATAGTTCGCGTTGTCTTCATCATCGAGAAACAAGAGATAGCGACCTAATTGTTGCACAAGAGGCCATTGGAAGTTCGGCATGGAACGAAGAAGCATGTCTGACATAAGAAGGACTGATTGACGAATAGTAGAGTGCTGAGTCTCATTCGGCGTCGAGCGAGTCTGAGGGCAATAGGTTTGAATTTTGTGCATGAGGATTTTGTGTTCTTGTACCCAGTCCACGATATTTCTCCCACAACCGTCCAGAATAGAAGGATCTGCACCGAGGTCGAGGAGTGAGATAGCCGACGTGATATGCCCTCGGTGGATGGCCACATGGAGAGGGGTTCGTAATAGCTTATCCCGGTCGTTAATAGCTGAGGCGAGACGCGGAGAGCAAGGGAGAATGTGCATCATATTTCCTGAGGCCGCAATATGGAGCGAAGTCTGGCCGAGCTCATCTGGAAGCAGCGGATTTGCGCCTGCGGTAAGCAGGAAAGCAATGATATCGGAACGACTGTTACTAAGAGCCGCATGAAGAGGCAATCCATATTTACCACCCTGGGCATTGACATCGGCGTGGGCATCGAGCAGCATTCGCACTATCTCAGTGCTCCCTCTATAGGCGGCGGCCTGTAGGGCATTGCCATATTCCCCACCCTGGGCATTGACATCGGCGTGAGCATCGAGCAGTATACGTACTACCTCAGTGCTTCCAAGGGCGGCGGCCTGTAGGGCATTACCAAAGTAACCACCCTGGGCATTGACATCGGCGTGGGCATCGAGCAGCATTCGCACTATCTCAGTGCTTCCTCCAGAGGCAGCAGCCTGTAGGGCATTACCATAGTGACCACCCTGGGCATTTATATCGGCGTGAGCATCGACTAGTATTCGCACTACCTCAGTGCTTCCTCCAGAGGCGGCGGCCTGTAGGGCATTACCATATTTACCACCCTGGGTATTGACATCGGCGTGAGCATCGAGCAGCATTCGCACTGCCTCAGTGCTTCCTCCAGAGGCGGCGGCCTGTAGGGCATTACCATAGTGACCACCCTGGGTATTGACATCGGCGTGAGCATCGAGCAGCATTCGCACTGCCTCAGTGCTTCCTCCAGAGGCAGCAGCCTGTAGGGCATTACCATAGTGACCACCCTGGGTATTGACATCGGCGTGAGCATCGAGCAGCATTCGCACTACATCAGTGCTTCCTTCACAGGCGGCAGCCTGTAGGGCATTATCATAGTGACCACCCTGGGCATTGATATCGGCGTGAGCATCGAGTAGCATGCGCACTACCTCAGTGCTCCCTCTATAGGCGGCGGCCTGTAGGGCATTGCCATATTCCCCACCCTGGGCATTGACATCGGCGTGAGCATCGAGCAGCATCCGCACTACCTCAGTGCTTCCTCCAGAGGCGGCGGCCTGTAGGGCATTATCAAAGTAACCACCCTGGGCATTGACATCGGCGTGGGCATCGAGCAGCATTCGCACTATCTCAGTGCTTCCTCCAGAGGCAGCAGCCTGTAGGGCATTACCAAAGTAACCACCCTGGGCATTGACATCGGCGTGGGCATCGAGCAGCATTCGCACTATCTCAGTGCTTCCTCCAGAGGCAGCAGCCTGTAGGGCATTACCAAAGTAACCACCCTGGGCATTGACATCGGCGTGGGCATCGAGCAGCATTCGCACTATCTCAGTGCTTCCTCCAGAGGCAGCAGCCTGTAGGGCATTACCATAGTGACCACCCTGGGCATTGACATCGGCGTGAGCATCGAGCAGCATTCGCACTATCTCAGTGCTTCCTCCAGAGGCAGCAGCCTGTAGGGCATTACCAAAGTAATCACCCTGGGCATTGACATCGGCGTGGGCATCAAGTAGCATGCGCACTACCTCAGTCATTCCTCTATAGGCGGCGGCTTGTAGGGCATTACCATATCGACCGCCCTGGGCATTGACATCGGCGTGAGCATCGAGTAGCATGCGCACTATCTCAGTGCTCCCTCTATAGGCGGCGGCCTGTAGAGCATTTCCATATTCGCCACCTTGGGTATTGACATCAGCGTGAGCATCGAGTAGCATGCGCACTACCTCAGTGCTTCCTCTATAGGCGGCGGCTTGGAGGGCATTTCCATATTCGCCACCCTGGGCATTGACGTCGGCGTGAGCATCAAGCAGCATACGTACCACATCAGAATGTTCTCCTAGGGCAGCGGCTTGCAATGCGTCTCCTGCAGCACATCTTTCAGCCATAGCTCCCTCGTTCAGGAGCCACTCAATAAATTCCAAATGGCCATGACTAGCCGCCACAGTCAGTGGCGTCATCCTCATTCTGTTCCTTGCGTCACAGGCTGCACCCCTTTCCCGTAGGATTTTGCCTGCTGTTATATGACCCCGTCGTGCGGCTAGATGAAGAGCCGTGTTCCCGAATTTATCTTTTATCGCGACATCATTATTCCTCTCCAACACAAACTCAATAACATCAACCAGGTCAGAAGCTGCAGCCATATGCAGGAGAGTTGTGCCATTTACAGGACGTTCAGCGCTGTATGGATCTAAAATACGGAAAATCTGGACCCAAGGGCTAATCACTTGCTGCAGGATATCCTTTTCATTCTTCAGAACCTCCGCCCGAGAGCTTGCAGCCTTTTCCGCATGGGTGAAGAGGTTGATGGTGGCATAGGCAAGCAATGGGTGGTCCTGGACGATGTCATCTTTTGTTGTTGAAGGATTATTTGACATTCTCCAAGCCGTCGTTGCAGTAGTTAGGTAAACTAGGCATGATCGGTAGAGATTTGCCTGGCATCGAAATCGAATCATTTCACAATCCATGATTGACGAGGTGGTACCAGTTTGATAAGACATAAGCCTAAAGCCTTTAGTGCAAAAAAAATCATTAACAGACTGATGCACTACCTGTATAGTCTTAGAGTCATACTCGCTGGAGACTACCTCGGCAAGCCCACCAGAAAGAGCATTGACCTTTCGCTTCATGCGATCGTCGCTTTCGACAAAACCGGGGATATCCTCCCATGCTTTGGGAGATGCCGAAGTTCGGGCATACTTAGCCGCCAGGGCATACCTCATTTCGGTCACGGTCAGGGGTCGCTCAGCTAAGCATACCCATTGAAAGAACAGAAATGACTGCTCACGATTCCTGTTCTGTATCACATTGTCGAGAATGTATGTATACACCTCTTCTAGACCAATCGGGACCTCGCGCAACCAGGAGTAGATTTCATCAAACGAATCCCCTTCGATGATCCTCTGCTTAATCAGAGGTGTTAGGAGATGGACCCATTGGAACACTCCCTTAGCCTGGTAGAGCAAGTGCTCTGTCAAAGTTTCCATTTTCGCCTGACTACGGCCGTCTTTGACCGCCATACTAGTAAAGGCGTTCTTGATGTAAATGGCGATGTCGTCATGGTTATAATCTTCAACATTAATCTCAACAGCCCTGGCGTCTCCTATGATAGGATAGTGTCGACATGAGATGCAAACTTGGACAGCTGCTTCCATTTTCTCCGCGCGAAAGATGAGCCGGTGGAAATACGCTGCTAGATGCTGAGCGGACTCGGACCCAGCCTCATCGAGAGCATCCACAAAAATCATCACTTGCTGCCGTTTGGCCGATGTCAGGATCGTATCTGCCAGTAGCTCTTCTAGCCTAACTTGTGTCCATTGCCAGTCGTTTTCACCATATCCATACCGTCTGCATCGTTGCTCGTAGATCTCGCGAACCTGGGAGCGTACGGTCTCGTCTAGGTAAAATATTTGATTGAGCAGCGATCGTAGCATTCCTATGGGTGTTCGTTGTAGCTCAGTGCCTCGAGCACTAAAGTAAAAGTCGAGCCGGATGCCCTGAGTTCCGTCATGCGATTCTCCGAGTTTGTCATGCAGGAATGCCATTAATGTAGATTTGCCCGCACCCGGCTTGCCTTTGATCCAGAGTAGACCGTGAGACTGGCTCTTCCAGTTCTTGAATGTGTCCAAGTTTAAAATCCACTGGCAGGTATCGGTATGACATTTCTCGATGTTATCTCTTCGATCTAGCATCTGCGGGAAAGCAAGTGACCTGAGCACCCCTGCCACTATAATCAGTGATAGCTCTTTGTCTAATAAAAGGTAATACCAACCGCTGTCTATGCTCTGCTGTTGTATTTCCTGTTGGCCTGGGCCACGCTGTCAATGGATTTGTCCGCTTGAAATGGCTGCACACATACCGTAGTGGATATGGACTGGTCCTTGATGGTTGCCAAACTGAGCTCCCCTGTTTCCGTCTCCAAAGGATATCGAATCCATGGTCAGAAGAAGGTGCACGTATTGTTGTGTGCTGTTATCGGTAGTGCAAGTTCCAACCCCCAGAAAATAGGGGACCCCAGCCCCCACCTAAGCACTCAGGTGACGATCAGCCGCAGTCTTGGCACAAACTCGTGGTTTTGAGGGGCCAGCAAGGCACCCCGCAGGCATCTTCCCAGAAGCACGGCACTTTGTAAACCCGTGGCAGTTCATACTGCGGGAATGGATGGCACGGTGGATGGAGTGATGACGGTGGACGAAGCTATGTAGTGCGGCATGAAGATCACATGATCTCGAATAACTACATAGTACAGAAGGTTATAGGTAGCGGCCCTACCTCCCTCTCCCTGTAACAAAAGGAATAAGGATATAATATACTTGGTCTCTGAAGGCTTCATCTAAAGTGCTGTATATCTTATCGGGTAATGTTTCCAATCCAATTCCTAAGGCCCCAGACAGGTTACATCGCTTGTAATAGTGAAAGGAGTGGCAATGAAATGTCTTAGAACTTCAATTCAACTATCCGCATGTTTTGCCTCCACGGGTTGCTATATCCGGGATTTCTATGCGGAAAAGCTAACATACGAGCTAAATGAGAAATGCGCTATTCCATTTAGGGGCTATACTAGAGCAAAATATCGACATAAAACCGACCGATATGATTCGATTCCGAAAGAAATGAGTCCATTTCTAGGGTGATAAGAGGAGGGAGTCTAGCCCATAAAGAATAACCGGTAATCGCCTATTTCTTGTGGCGGCTCTGCTAACAAAATTGCTTAGCTTAGCGAAAGGGTCTAGCTTTGCCAAGAGCGGAATTTATCCTTACTCTTGACTGGATGGGAGATTAATTCTTAGCTAGGTCAGCACTGGCCAAAGTTAGTCTAGTGGCTAAGAGAATTAGATGATCGTGAGAACGAAGCCAAGACCCTATAGAAGTAGGTGGAAGACCCACTCAGGGATCCTGATCGTCGGATTGGATATAGAGGGGATATAATTTTAATCACTCTATAAAGCTATGGCGACGAATACTAGTCTGCTATTTTAGTAGGAAATTTAGTACCTAATCCAAATATCCACGCAGACAGCGCGAAGGATCAGGATCAGGATCAGGATCTGGATCGCCGCGAAGAGAATTCGAAGGCTAGCACTCCTTAAAGTGGATATACTAGTATACATAGCTGGCGACGACGTTCATAACTCCGATCGGATAGACCTACGATAATGCTGATGATATCTTTTAGCGGTAGGTAGGTAGACCTCGGCAGAACAACAGAAAAATATGTACTTAAACGGTCATCTGCATGAGTGTAACCCTGAGAGCGCGCTCATGAGCTTCTGATATCGAGTCACGTGATATCAAAGATTGGTCTTTTCCTGTTTTTACTCGCTCGTCGCCATCGTCGCCATCACCTCTAACTTTCTATCGACTAGCCGCTTACTTCCAATCAACATTGACACGATTTTTCACCAACTAACAGTAATGGATGACGACTCACAGGGCTTCTCATCCCCCACAGACCTCCTCTATCGACGACTGAACGGACTGAATTTGACGCCGGAGGATGTGTTATTTACGGCTACCCCTCCACTGGCGGGGTTCTCATCAAAGAGGCTGATCTTCTTGACATGCTTTTCCTATCGATCCCCCACTCTCATGAGTCGCAGCGCGCACCTAGTGCCGACGATGAAGACAAATTCTGTAATCTCATGCGACGGACTGGTGCGACGTGGTGGCCGAGTAAGCGGGCTTGGATCGAGGTGCAGATAGGCTCGAGGGAGATTACGGAGGAACAAGAAAAGGTGGTGGTATTTGGTTGGCCGACAGATGGAGTGGGTGTGTGGGTGTTGAGGTTTGGGATTGCCAGGGCTCGGGCGACCTGGAGACGGAGCCGCCGCAGCCCATAGCAGATGAATGACTATGAGTCAAATATAGTGTTCGAGCCGAAGAGCCTAGAACAGTTATTACTATGGTAAATTCGTTTAATACGTGACCGAACTTGGCCAAATGCCTTCTATCATACCTCAATATTTACTCTGACCGCCATCGGATCCTTAGCTAAAGTTGAGAGAAACAATAGTCAAGAGTTAATTCATTGCCTAGCCAGGAATACTTTTAGAAGTAGAATCTACAATCTATTGAGATATTCTGGATTTGCAACCGAATATACAAACAAAATAAAAAATGTCCAAAGTCCACAAATCACCGAGCTCGTAATCGTTTTGACCGACGCAACGTATGTTTGATAGTAGACGCTCTCATTTTGCCTTGTCGTTCTTTCTCCTGCTTTCCCCCAGCCTGCTCTTCTGAGAGCCCATGTTTTCGAGACAAGCGCATCGCATGCTGTGATGGAGCTCCCAGTTTAGGACCAGGTTCTGGATTTACCGCCTTTGCCGCTCCCATCGTCACTCGCTGTGTAGAAATCTCTGCCAAGTTTTGATCGGTGCTTCTCACTAGACATCCAGTAGAGCAGGCAGAAATTTCAGTCCTTGACGGGTATGTTGATGGATTCACGGTGATGGGTTTCGATCAATCGAGGGTCAATATTTGTCATGTCAAAATCGAGAGAGGTAGCGGGTGTTTTGGTGCCTTGTCGAGTCTCTTGACTCTTTAGACGCCTCTCTAGAGGAACTGTCGCTGCTAACCTGTAGCATTTGGGGAAGATGACATGGTTTAATCTTGATATCATATTTGTGTTTTGTATTGGCATGGGCCAAAAATTCGGTGATTTTGGCAAAGCTAGGAAGTAAAGTCCTCCGACTACGATGATATTAGTAGGCCAGCGACGTATTAAACGTTCCACGATGGAACGTTAATCCCCAAAGCATGACTGCCATGAGATTGCCCGGAGGAATGCTGAGCAATGCCTGTTGGGAGCCTACTTGAGAGCACAATGCAATTGTTAAGCTGGGACAGAACGTCAAGATGCACCCTTACAACGTGGTGATGTAGATCTCCCCGCAAGGTGTCTGGTCGGTGGGGACTGCCAGCTCCACTGGCCAAAGCTGTGATCTGCGTCGGCTGCGACCCGAGACTGATTTTCAAGCGTGGAGAAGACATGTCCGCTCGTGGTATGAAATTATAATAGCACTGCTTGTATATGAGCCAATCCAGGGTTTTCTGTGAGTTCAAAGGTAGAAGAGTGCACCACTCCCTGTCTTGGCTATCATGGGTACCTTTGTACGGTTTGTCGAGAAATTATCACTTGATGCTAGGGCCATCGGCCCATTGTTGGTGTGTATTTTAGTTAAGGACACGTATACTAAACTATCGTTCTTGGTTCTCAGTTGGTCTTTGTATGTTTGCTTCTGCGTTTAATAATGGGGCGAAGGTGAAAGGCGGTACCACTATCCCTTGCTGATGTCCAGATCGCCAGCGACCAAGTTCTAGCCGAAGTTGAGAGACGGTATGCTTCCCACTCATCGCCTTTTTGATTCTATTGACTCTGCTCCCACATACTTGCAGATAATTGACATCATTGTTAGGGCCGGAGGTGCGCATACTTGATTCCCGAAAGGTGAAGTATATCCGAGATTTGTTTACCCGCGACTCGAAATCTACTCTACCTACGACAGATGGCACTCGTAGATTGCACTCTGTAAAACCACGCTGTCAGCGCACCTGAAACAGTTCAGCCTCTTTCATAACCATCCTAGGGTCGTGGTCTGGTCATTGTTGCTGTCATCGCCCCATTTGTGCAGTTCAAAGGATCGCACCGCCCCATCGGCCCACGTTCTTGGCGCGATCGCCACCGAGGCCAGTCTGTCCACTTCATGCGACTTCTTTTATACTAGGCGTTCTCATTCTTTCTCGTCATTTCTCGCATTACACGCATGAGACTGATGCGCTGATTCCCAATTGACCTGCACATACGCCCTCCTCGACTGGTGCTTACATCCCGACCGTTGGAGATTTCTCCAACTTTTGCGCCACCTTGCATCTTTCTTCCGCGTCGCCGCACCTCCGTAACTTCCATCTCCCACCACTCCTCTCATTTCCAATCGCAACAGCCGTCAATATGCGCGGAGTAGCCAGGCTGTTCTACGCGGCAGTCTTTGCCTTTGTGGGCCTCGCCGACGCAGACAGTCATGCCTCTGACAACCTGAACACGTTGAAGTGCGCCGTAAGTGCAGTTCCGGGCATCCCGGAGACTCCGAACGCTCCCCGATGCCCCCCGCTGCTCGATCATTCTGTGGCTGACAATTGACTATTAACTACAGATTGATCCGTCGGCCATGGTGACTGACGCGTGTGTTTCCTACGGCACCATCAACCAACTCAACGACGAAGTTTACACCCTCCTCCAATCGATTACCCAAGAAACCGACTTCTTCTCCTACTACCGCCTCAATCTATTTAATAAAGAATGCCCCTTCTGGAACGACGCGAACAGCATGTGCGGCAACATCGCTTGCTCCGTCAGCACCATCGAGTCCGAGGAAGACATCCCGTTGACGTGGCGGGCCGAAGAACTGAGCAAGCTCGAAGGCCCCAAGGCCCAACACCCGCCCCGGAAAGTTCAGGCAGAGCGGCCGAAAGAGCGTCCATTGCAGGGTACACTGGGCGAGGGAGTTGGAGAGAGTTGTGTGGTCGAGTACGATGATGAGTGTGACGACCGGGACTACTGTGTCCCCGAGGACGAGGGTTCGGCCGGGAAGGGCGACTACGTGAGCTTAGTCGACAATCCCGAGCGGTTTACTGGATATTCGGGAGAAGGTGCGCATCAAGTATGGGGTGCCATCTACCGGGAGAACTGCTTTGTAAAGCATGATGCCGAGGAGCTGGAAGATCAGTCGTTGAACGTGCCCATGGGCGGGTTGCAAGCATTCTCGGATTTTCGCAACGTGCTTCAGAAGGAATCGCAGCGTCTGGACGGTCTCCCGCTGGATAATGAGTGCTTAGAGAAGCGAGTCTTTCACCGACTGATCAGCGGCATGCATGCCTCCATTTCCACTCATTTGTGCTGGGATTATCTCAACCAGACAACCGGCAAGTGGCAGCCCAACATGCAATGCTACAAGGAGCGACTGCACGAACACCCCGAGCGCATTTCCAACATGTATTTCAACTATGCTCTGGTCTCGCGCGCCGTGGCCAAGCTCCGCAAGCACCTGCAGAACTACACATACTGTACCAGCGATCCCTCGCAGCAAATCGACACCAAGGACCGGGTCAACGAGCTCACGGAGATTCTCTCGCGCCCTCCCCAGATCTTTGACGAGAACCTGATGTTCCAGGACCCCAGTGCCCAGGGGCTGAAGGAGGACTTCCGCAACCGCTTCCGAAATGTCAGTCGGCTGATGGACTGTGTGGGCTGTGACAAGTGCCGCCTCTGGGGTAAACTCCAGGTGAATGGCTATGGAACCGCCTTGAAGGTCCTTTTCGAGTACGACGAGACCAAGAACGGGGAGAACCCGCCTCTGCGTCGGACGGAGCTGGTGTCTCTGATTAACACCCTGGGCCGTATTTCGCACAGTCTGGCTGCTGCGCGCAGCTTCCATGAAGCACTTGAAGCAGGCCAGGATAAGGCGTTCCCGATCCACCATGCGGCTCCCACCGCGCCTAGAGACGCTGATGCGAAACCCATGAATCAAAATCTCAGACTCAAGCATGACGGTAGTGGTGTCTTCTACTACGAGTCAGAAGAACGAGAATACTTCTACGGAGACGAGCCACTGAAGCCTGGCGAAAAGTACCCGTGGGAGAGAAAGCCACGTAGTCCCGATGCCACGGTCATGGACGACATCCAGGGCGAGTGGGAGGTGATTCGGGACACGACGTTGTATGTCCTGCGCAGCTGGATGAACGTCCCGCGTTCTATGTAAGTATACGCCTTTCCTCGGACCTGCACACGCTAGGCATGGACAGACGCTAATTAACATCCAGCTATCTGATCATTCGCTTGGAATTCGCTCGTCTGTGGAACTACTGGCTTGGTATGCCTGTGCCCCCGCGGGTGTGGGATCTCAAGCCGCCCACGCCCAAACACCTCACCCCGACTAACGCGCATCGTGGTGAGCTCTGAGCATACGGTATACCTTTTGCATCACATCGCATCTCTTGTATATAGCATTTTGTACATGGCGTTTGGCTGGGATTGGGATGGGGTTGGGTTTTGGACATTTGCACTTTGTTTCGGGTTTGCCTGTATAGACTCGTGTGGCTTCTAGACATGCACGTCGGCTGTCGGCTATTGAGTACTTCTAAACATTCGAATATTTTCAACGATCCAGACGTGAACGCTCAATCAGCATCTGAGATGAATATAGCAGGGACCCTACCGATACCTGAGGGTAGGGTAGTGCAGTAGTACATAGATATGCTTTGATATTGATGACTGATGATAAAGTTGGCCTCGGCCATGTTTCCCGGGGTTGACTCGGCCTCGGGAAACATCCTATCGAAATACCTGTACACGCCACATACAAAGGTTCGGTTTGCCACTGCAGAGATTTCCTCCCATCTTTCTTCCTAGACAATTTTGGTATTTGTTGGATTCGTTAAATGAGTTAGAACAAATAGATAGACGACAAACAGTCGTCCTGCTCACTTTCATATTCGGGGTCTATTACTTAGTGTACTGCCAGTACCTCACCCGCGTAGCCCTCAGCACGTACCCCGGGCGGCCAGCGCCGACATCCTCGGCTTCTCCACTACCGGCCACATGCGACTCGCCTCGTTTCTTTTCCTTTCTCCGTCATCCTTTCCCATCGCCATCTCCACCACTACACCTTTCTTCACCCGCCGTTGACAACCCGATGCGAGGTCGCTAATCCCGATCATGGCGTCGGTGTCGCCACCTAAACCGTGGGAGAGAGCAGGCGCTGCTACCGGTAGGTCCTGGTCGACGGCCTTTTCCCGATCTTCGCATCCCACTCGTCACAAGCGGAGTCATCGATCGCTTTACCCCAGACTGCTAACACCAATCCCCCCGTCCGAAGGAAACACACTATCCACAGCACCTACCGCCGGCAGCCCAGCTGCCTCGAATGCGATGACCACCACATCGCCTACCACAGACAACCCCGCAACTGCATCAACCGCTCCCGACCTCCCCTCTCGCCCCAACACTCTCAACTCCGTCGTCAACAACAACGCCTCTAGCTACTCCCCCTATGGTGCCTCGCGTTTAGGCACCAGCCCGTACGGAGGCTACAGCGGCATGAGCTCTATGGGTGGCTATGGCGGCTACTCGTCGCCTTACTCCCGTTTCGGATCCATGGGAGGCATGGGCTCCATGTACGGTGGCTATGGCGGTTACGGAGGGATGTACGGCGGTATGGGCGGTATGGGAGGGATGTATGGAGGCATGCCGGGGCAGGACCCTAATGACCCCAACAGCCTGACCAACTCGTTCAGCCAAAGCACGCAGGCGACCTTCCAGATGATCGAGAGTATCGTCGGCGCTTTCGGTGGATTTGCCCAGATGCTGGAGAGCACTTACATGGCGACTCACAGTTCATTCTTCGGTAAGTACCTTCTAAGCATGTGCTTGAGCACAATTCTAACAAACCCTTCAGCGATGGTCTCAGTCGCAGAGCAATTCGGAAACCTCCGCAACACCCTCGGCTCGGCCCTGGGAATTTTCACCATCATTCGCTGGTTCCGCACCCTTCTTGCTAAACTGACCGGCCGACCACCCCCCGCCGATGCCACGGCTCTCACCCCTGCGGCTTTTGCAGCCTTCATGGGTGGTCGTGCTGCCCCGGCCACCCTTCCCGACGGCTCGCCCGCTCCTCCTAAGCCGTCGAAGAAGCCATTCTTCATGTTCCTGGTAGCCCTCTTCGGTCTCCCCTACCTCATGGGCAAGCTGATCAAGACCCTCGCCCGCTCGCAAGAGGAGGAGGCCCGCCGTCGCCAGCAACTCGTTGGACCCAACGGCGACCCCCAGTCCGCCGCGTCTCTGGACCCCTCCAAGCTGGACTTCTGCCGCGTCCTGTACGACTACTCTCCCGAGACCCAGGAGAGCAATGGCATTGATCTTGCCGTGAAGAAGGGCGACATTGTCGCTGTTCTCAGCAAGTCCGACCCCATGGGCAACGCCTCGGAATGGTGGCGTTGCCGTGCCCGTGATGGCGGTGTCGGCTACCTCCCCGGTCCTTACCTGGAGACTATCCAGCGTCGTCCTGCCCAGCAGGCTATTACAGCCGGTACTGAACCTGCTAGCCGAACGAACTCGATGAACGGCGCCACAGCCGACCGTACCAAGAGTCTCTCCGCGCTCACGGCCCCCAAGCCTGGTGACGCACCGCCCGAAATCAAGGGCAAGATGGGCGACATCTCTCCCGAAAGCTTCCAAAAGAGCACCTTCTATTCGTGAAACATAGATTTACGGCCGACATTTAGACAAGATAGGGATTGATTGGTGCGCCGCCTTTCTTTGGCAAAGGTCTCCATTTCTTTTTCTTTCTTGTATGGACTGCAACAAAAGCCTAACTCAACACCTCGCCCCCTTTTCTTGCCCTCGGAACGAAAACTTGGGAACGAACCTTTTTTAGTTAACAATTTGATATCCCCTCTCGCACGTGGCCTTGAATCTCCGATCCGATAATTGCCTAATTGGATGGACCGATTTAATGCTGTCGCACAAGCGGGCGAGGCTGGGATTTCGCCCGCCCCGCTCTTCATTCATCAGTCAGATCTGTTAGGGTATGATGCACCAACTTTTGTTGAGTATTTGTCAGGGTATTTCCTACTTCTCTATTTGTCAAAGTTACCTATCAGGATATTCCCTTTTTCTTGTCAGGATTCTGTCGGGATTTTCGTTTCTATTTTTCCTCATGTTAATTTCTTGGGATTGGTTTAGCGTTTTATTTCATATTTGTATGGGTGGGCTGTATCTAGTATTCATGGCAATGCATATGCACTCTTTATTCATTTGCTCTATTTGGAAGTCTTCGAGGCCTTTGTAGCCCATCTAGATCAATACCTACGGACGATGAAAGCAATGCTTGTCTGGATCTACTTCCCCAGTTGAGCAGCAAGCCAAATCCTAGAGCTATCTATCCTATAAGGCTATGTCTTCAAGTTGAGTACCTGAGTGGCTTTATCGGGGCGTAGGTTTATCGTGGCAAGACCGAAAACTAAGAAATCCCCGCTTATCAGCACAAGGCTGCACTGCAACTCGACGCAATCCATTCGAGCCGCTAGGTAGCATTGACTAGGGTACATCGACTAGTCCATCCTGAACAAACCCTGTTATATCTTCGACATCCCCCTCTTTGAACTCCGCCTGTGTTACAATCTTCTTCCCCTTACTAAGTTAGGCTAAGGCAAGATGCCCGGTGCCTCCCCACCCATCTCCATCTCCCCAGAGAAGATCGACGAGATCCCCGCGACTTTAGTCGCGCACGAAACTAAATTCGAAACACCGCAGTCTCAGAATCACACTGGAGGTCCTGTCGACCCTCAGCTTGATACCAGTCAAAATGGGAAAACAAAGTCAATTTTCGGCACAAGGTGGATGATGTATTGCTGGGGGTCGTTAACTACACGCCGCGTCGGTGTCGATGGGATCCGGAGAAACCGTTTCGATTTAACTGGGCGTTGACTTTTTTATTTGCATTTTCGACGACGTTTACGGTGTGTTTGTCCCTCTGTGAATGCTCAGGATATATTCTGGAAATTGATATCCCAGATAGTCATGGGATCAGTCGAAATATATCCTCGCAACTTTACTCTTCCTACCTTGAACCCATTGCTCCCAACCTTAATAATAACTAAATCGAATAAGGTAGCAAACCTCTACTACAACACCCCCCTCCTAACCCTCCTCGCATCCACCTTCAACGTCTCCTACGAACGGATCTCTCAAGTGCCCACCGTAATGCAAGCCGGCTACGCCGTAGGCCTCGTTTTCCTCTGCCCGCTCGGCGATCTCGTCCGCAGAAGACCATTTACTCTCCTCCTAACGGCATTCACGGCAACGGTCTGGTTGGGTCTTTGTCTCACCAGGAACTTTGAGTGTTTTCTTACACTGAGTTTTGTGGTTGCTGTTTCTACTGTTACGCCGGTAATACTGCCCTTCTTAAGACTACGCACCCTAAGAATGTTCCTACGCTATACACTTGGACACTTGGGGGAAAGTCGGCAAAACAGCTCTTGCTAAAGTGATAGAATCTATTTGCTAACTCTTCTGACGACACAGCAAATAATGCTCCCCCTAATCGGCGACATCGCCCCGCCCTCCCACCGCGCAACAGCCATCTCCCTCGTCTCCTCAGGCCTATTACTAGGCCTCCTCCTCGCCAGAGTCCTAGCAGGGATAGTCTCGCAATACACGCCCTGGCGAACAATCTACTGGATCGCACTTGCGCTCCAATGGACCATAACAGGGCTATTATGGGGGTTCATGCCCGACTATCCCGCAACCAATTCAGACCTCTCATACGGACAAATCCTGCTAAGCATTCTCACCCTCTTCTTCAAAACACCTTCGCTGGTCCAGGCTTGTCTTATGGGCTTCTTCTTCTCAGCGCCGTATACCTCTTTCTGGACGAGTTTGACGTTCCTTCTTTCAGACACAAATGGTCCGTATGGGTACTCCACGCTGATAATTGGGCTTTTTGCATTCGTGGGAATCCTGCCTATGGCGCTTGGCCCGATTTATTCGCGGTTGATCCTGGATAGGTCTGTTCCGCTTCTTTCGGTTTTGCTCGGTGTGGCGATGTGTGGTGTTGGTGCGGCGGTTGGGGTTATTGGGTCGTATACCATTGCTGGGCTGGTTGTGCAGTGTGTTTTGCTTGATCTGGGACAGCAGGTTGCGCTGACGGCGTCGAGGGTCGCGATTTATGAGGCCGCACCCGGGGCGAGGAGTCGGGTTAATACGGCGTTTGTTTTGTTTCTGTTTGGTGGGAATATCATGGGGACTGCCGTTGGGCCGATGGTGTTTGTTAAGCGTGGTTGGGTTGGGGTTGAGATCGTGAGTGTTGTTCTTGTGCTGCTTGCGTTGGGGTTTTGTGTTTATCGGGGGCCGCGGGAGGTTGGGTGGGTTGGTTGGGGTGGGGGGTGGAATTGGAGGAGGCTGTCTGAGAAGAGGGTTGTTCGTGGTCGAGGCGATGGAGGGAGTGGAAGGTTGGAGGAGGGTCGTGATGGTGAATCGTAGTGCTGTGTTAGTTTGTAGATGGAGATCAGATGGTTAGTTGAGATGGATGAAGAAGATGAGATGATGGTAAAGAAGACTTGATGAGTGTCTACCATCGCGTCGAGCATGGACATCCATCGGTCGAGAAAAGTAATAATATGAACACGAAATGGATGTTAGAACCGTGGATCTAGATCCAATTGACACAGACCAGACCAGATCAGGCAAAGACACTCTCGTTCTATCAGTCCAGGAGAAAAGGAGAAACCCGCATTCCAGAACGCCTCTGCTATGATTTTTTCTCGTTCTCCCTGACTGATGCATGCATACTGAAGGGAGATAAAAATAACAACACGCTCCAAAGAAAACCAGATCCAGATCAACCAGTGCAAAGCGGGTCGTAAAAATAGAAAGAAGAGTAGAGGTAATCCAGTTCCATAGCATAGAAGGGAAAGAAAGAAATGCCGTCACATCCTATCCCATCACATCACATCACATCCCGGTTCCTTCGTGACCGGGGTGATGGGCGAGCTCGTTGGGGTCTTGGTCTCGGTTCCAGCGGGACATTGACGCATTGAGCTGGTGATTGAGGAACTCCAGTCGGGTCTGGAATGTATCGAGACGGTCCCATTGGTTTGAATGAGGAGCGATAGCCCCGGACGATGAAACCATCATCCCCGATGGTGTCATGTACTCTCGGGGAGCTGTTCGGTCGATGACTGGGGGTGCCGTGACAGTGGATGGAAGCGTTGGGGCCACGGTTTGCACCGGGGCGGGCATTGATGCTGGAATGGAGGCGGGAACAGCGGCGGGCATTGGGGGAGGATGCTGAGGATGGGAATGTTGGGGGAGTTGAGGATGATGCTGATGCTGTAGATGCTGATGGGATGGATGATGCGAGTGGGTTGGGTGCTCTGCTCTAGGTGGATGGGCGGGATGAGGCTGATGCGCTGGGTGGGATGAACCGAGATGTCCAATATGCGCGAGTTCAGGCCCTGCATGGTAGGATCGTCGAGGTGGCGGGCTGTTCAGGGTCATGGAGAATGGCGATTCCTCGTCCATGATAAGGTCAGGCACCGCGTCGATATGGTTGGGATCTGGGAGACATGGTCAGCGGGGTTCAGCGATCAATAGGTAGAAGGCCACTGCACTGGTAGATCTACCGTAGCTGAGAGGGTAGGTGGATGCCTCACGGGTAGGGGATTGGATATCTGATGGAGAAATGGGCGTGGGTGCTTCATCGGTCGGTTCGGGCGTATAGCAGGTCATGTCGGAGGGGGTGGCTGCAACTGTTAGCGACTGAAGATGAATATACTCTATTTATATTGATCATCTGAGGATCACAGGGCGACTTACTCGGCTCGGGGCTCATCTGCTGCAGATCCTTGTCCTTCTTCTCGTCCCATTCTTCGTTGTAGCGCCGCTTGAATCGGGCTATGCGCTTCTCATCGATTTCCTGGCCATTTACCCGAAAGGCCGTTCGCTTGCCCCGGGCGGCGCGCTTCTGCTGCTTGCGCACCATGAGATGAACCTCTTTCGCCTTGATGTTTTTGCGGACGTTCCAGGCGGCCAGGCGATCTTTGTACTGTTTTTCTCTGAGTTTGTTAGTGGTGGAGCATAGCGTGGAAGTACAACAATTCAATAAAGAAAGTCGAAATCGATGAAATGAAAACCAGAAAAAGCGGATTCTTACGATGCTTGGAATTTGTAGTCGCGCTCCATGATACGCTTGACATCGCGCAGCTTCAGCTGATCATTGCGGTAGAGCTGCTCGATGATCTCACGATACTCGTGCCAGTCATCGGATCGGCGGGGCCGGAAAACGGTCGAATTGGTGGTGGGCGTCGGGGTGGGCGTCGACCCGGCCGGCGATTGCGGCGAGAGGGCGATGGAGGAGGGCGGATACTCCATCATGAACGAGTCCCTGGCGCAACGAGGTCGAGAGCGATGGAGGATGGAATAAGAAGAAGGCGAAGAGTAGTCGAGGGCGGATCAGCCAAGGAATCTGTCGATTACTATTTGCGGCGAGCTGCGGCGGACGCACGCCCCCCTGCTTCCCCGGCCAAATCAGCGCGGGCGCGATGGAGCCTGCTGTCACTGGGGAGGCATGTATTACTGAAAGTGTGTACCTTTAGGTATTCATGTACGACCATTACTGCTAGTATTAGAGTACTTTTGCACTACTGCGCAGCCTAACCGAACCATTACATGCAGTGCACTGGCCGCAAATTGGATGCATTTTCCGCTGCCTTCATACCAGTGTCTCACTAAATCGATTATGTAGATAGCACAGTAGAATAGTATGCAGTAATTTACACTGCTATAAAGATGCGATATTCATGATGAGCACGCTACATTGTATACCACGTAGTATATGCTACCGTAAGTAAACAACTTGAAGTCTGGTCATCGGGAGCGGCCCGAAACCTCCCTGACAGCTCTTTGTTTTGCTCGACCCCGTTCCAGCCCGCCGGGTCTCCAAGCCACTTTCCATACCTGACTGTAATTGCGGTATTATTCTGCAATGCTGAGTCCTGCTTGCTTTTTCCAAATGGAAAAAGCGTGTCCCGGATCCTATTATCAAGGTTAGTCCGGTAATCACCCGCCTGCCATTCGGCCTCGTGTCGACGCAAGGAGTGGGACAGCCGTTAGAACATGCCTCGCCGTTAGAGACAAGTGTCATCCCCATGGGCGAAAATCAAAATCGAAAAAATGATTGATGCACGTCCGATTCCGCCATGGGCGCTTACGAGCTGCCATTCACCCAACGCTCAAGGGGCGTCCCCCACGCGCATTCCTTGCGCTTTGGTCGCCGGGGGCAGTTTCCGGAACTCAGGCCTCTCGTGGGTCAGCTGGGGGCGAGAACAGGACAGTGGTGCACCTCGATCATCGAGGAAGAAGACAGCAGACAATACTGGTATTAATTAAAGTACTTAACAGGAGTGGTAATACTACTCGATGGTACAGCATGCAGAAGACCATGTACTGAGGTACCTTCAAAGATACAATACGATATACGGGGATGTTTCGTCGCCGCCATTGTGTTTCGGAGCAACAAAGGGACCAGGGACGACTCGACCGATGACACCTGGAACGCGAGTGTGTCAGGTGGCAAGGCATCGATGGGCTGCATGGATCGACGCGGTCGGGGAGCTCGACCCTCTCGTCCCCGAGTGGATAGCCAAAGTCCCAGCCTGAAAGGCCGTGGCAATAGCTCAGCACGGCCAGCGATGTACCGGCGAAGGTACGAGGTACATGGACCGAAGCCGGTCGCCAGTCGCAGACGCCATGTAACCAGCGCAAGGAACATCCACACAAGTACGTGGCGACAATGAGGCACAACAGGCACGAGGGCGCGCAGAATGAGGCAACGACACAAGTACAAGTGGAGAGCAATCGGGCACCCGTCCTTCCTGCGTGCATGCTCCGGTCGCCCTTCCCCCAACGGGCATCGATCTGAGGTTCGAGGCGACAATGCGGGGCGCGCGGTCGTGTGTCGTGCTGGTCTCCCGTTTAGTTTGTTTAGTACTTATGCACCCGAGAAAAAACGGTAGCCGGGTGGACTTCAGTGTGGAACAATAGTCTTTCCAGCGCGCCAAGTGGAGGCCCCCAAGTGGATTCTCGAACGGCCCTCTCCTGGAACAAGGAGCCGACAACCAACGGCCAGCGCAGAACGAGGTCGAGGCCCGGGCGGAGGGGGGCAGTGCGGCAGAGCAAAGCCCGCATGGAGAAGGATAGGGCCAACTGGCCCAAGACGTCCCAAGCCCAAACAAGGACAATCGCAGGCAACGGAGAAAGATGCCGCGTCCGTGGCCAGAGAGGCCCACGGACCACCGTTCACCGGCTCGGATCGCATGCAGGTACTAGGATGTAGCGCGCAGACCGGATCAGAAGGGAGTCGTGGCGGCGCAACGACGTATCGGAAGTGGATTCCTGCCATCCGCCAACGCAAAGCTCAGGCCAAATGGCAATGGAACGGCGTCTTCCGCGTCCCACGAGCGCCAGTCCTGCAACCACCCGACCAGATGATGGGGCCGAGAGAGAGGCGTGTCGATCGAAGGAGCTCGGGATCACCCAAGTAGGCTCGCGCTGGGGGGAAAGGGGGGGGAATCAGCCCCCGTCTGTGCCGCATGACAAGCGCTTCCCGGCATCAAAAGTACGTGGAACAACTCCGTCCTTCAGCGATTGGTGTCTTATCTCAGGGACTTCCGCACAATGCAGTAGCTGGACGATGGACGCATATTGCATGTTGGCAAGGTGCGGCCGGGGATGGGATGGGATGGGATGTGAAATGAGCGGCCCCCAAATTATTGAACCAGGGGGGGGAGCACGTCGCGCATGCATGAAACGCTCACCACATGACGCTGGAGCTGAGCATCTCCCCCTTGATGATCCACGGGAGCCACGCGTAAGCTCAGGTTTTTCACGATTTGGCCGCACTGCCTGTCGCAGGTCGACCAGGGTCCGCAGCTGCCACGGCCGCAGCCGCAACGGCGGCCGAGTTGGAGCTGGCACTGGCGACGTTGCTCGCATGCGCAAGGAGGAACTTGCAGCAGGTCAGCGTGTATTTGCACGCGCGCGTCCACGTCTCGTCGTTTTGATTAAAGCCCAGCTTGATGCTGGCGTCGCCGATCCGGTCTCGCTTGATTTCATACGGCAGTCTTAACCCCGGGGCAGTGGCGCCGGTCTGGCCGCGCCGCGGCGATGCCACCGGGACCGGGGTCGTCTCGACGAACTGCCCTAATTGCCGCAGACACTCGAGGAACGCCACCATGCCATTGTCAAAGCGGCGATGCATCCAGGGAAGATTGAGCGGGAGATCACCCGACGAGAAGAGCTCCAGTTGGGTGGCCTTGGATGCGCCACGTCCGGGCACCGCAGCGTCGCTGGCTGGCGGTCCGGATTCCTCAATCTTGTCGATCTTCGAGTTCGACCCCATCGGCCGCAGACGATAACCTCGGAACTGGAAATTGAGACGATCAGCAATGGTCGAAAGCAGTAGACAAGTCTGACCCCAGGCGGCATTGATCTCGGGCCATTCAACCGAGGGGTTGGCCAGCCGACCCAGGCGCAATGCATTGATAGTACCGAAATATCCATCGTGACCAATGCAAAACGCGTCATTGTAGACATTTGTCCGTTGTAGCCGTTCCAGTTGCTGTGAGTCGTGGTCGTAGCGCATGTTCAGCGCATCCCGTTCGGTTTGAAACTCCCCCAGTGTCAGAGAAAAGGCATTCCGGTCCCGCCAGAAGGACTGCTCGTCCGCGTCGACCTGTCGGGCCTCTTCCTCGAGGCTGGCGAGTTCTTCGTCTAGGGTTGCCTTCTCTTGCTCCAGCGCTAGTAGTTGAGAATACGCCCGCTCTTCCGCCTGCAGGCTTTCTTGGAGAGACTGTTCGGCCTTTTCGATATCCTCTTGGGACGGAAGTGACGCGTTCAAAGTGCGGACAAAGCCAATATACGCATCACGCTCTTTGGTGGAGTTTGTCAGTCGCTTTTGCAACATTTCCACCAGCATGTCTGTGCATTCCAGACAGATCGGATGATCGATATCCGACCGCGCAGATACTATCTCAAAGAGACGGGTCGCTTTCTCGACCTGGCTAGAGAGCGATCCCTCCTCCTGGCGGTGCTCATGGCTTTGTGATCCTTTCCGCTTGGGATGAGACGGCACGGACGAGTCGATTGTTGGGGGCCCAAATTGTGACTCGGTCAGCATCACAAATGACATGCCACCACTATCGCCGCGTGGGAGTCCCGGCTGGTGTAGCTGGTTGCTGGACCGCGGGCCTTGAAGTGACCGCCTGTAGAAGGGTGACGGGGCATGTTTAGCTGTACGATCGTAGTTGTCACGTCGGTCTGAGGGGTTGGCCGGTCGGTTCGTGGATGGCGTAGCTCCCTGGTCGGAGGCTGTTTTGCTCGTCGAGTCTATTGATATCACGAGGTCAGTTAGGTCCCCCCAAGGTAAGATTGCAGCGTAGCCGGACGGTTGGTGTACTTACTGATAAGGAGCTCGAATGCAGCAGGGTTGAGCGAGCCCAGCGAGCCGTCCGTATTCAACGGCGTCCGACACTTCTGGCAGTACATGGTGGGCTCAGTTCATCGCGCGGGCGGAGGTGGAGGGGAGGTGGAGGAGATGTGGGGAGGAAGACGGGAAGGTCAAAGTTGGAGGCAACTTCCCGTCGCGCACTTCAGTTTATTTGTTCCTCGCTCTGCTGCCAGCTGCGCGCTTAGCCAACGCCGCCTTCGCCTACCACTCGACTGGGCGATGCGCAAACATTCTCTCCTCTCTCAGGCGCGCGTTTGCCTCAGATTCCGAGCTTGTTGTTTTATCGCGTCGCTGACGTCGTGGTGAGCCGCCCTTTCGCATTGCCGCAACGCCGCAACAGCCTCGATATGGCTGAACACACCTATGCCTCTTTCGATGACACCATGGAGCGACCGACTCAGCGACCGCGTCTCTCCTTTACATCAAGTGGTGACCCACAGGAAGAAGTACCGAACGATTGGGATCTACAAACGGCGCGGGCCCAGAACGACAACAAACTGAAATCAATCTTCGAGGGCATTTTTGCGAAATACAGCCAGGATTTTACTGAGATTGGCGATGAGATCGACTTGCAGACCGGAGAGATCGTGGTGGATCATGGGCATTTACTGGGCATCCAGGAGGAAACCGACCCTGGAGACCATGGGCAGACATGGCAGTCCGAGGACGAGGAGTCTGAGGTCGGCGACGAGGATCACGGTGCAGGGAAACAGGACGAAACCGAGGGCCTGGTCTTTGAGGATTCAGACAAAGACCTAGACGACTCATTCGAGTTTGAACGGGTGCATTCGCGGAGTCCTTCCGTTTCGACAGATTCTGCATTGGCCGCGACTTCCTTCAATCCCGAAGCCAGACCTGTCTCTGCGCAGCACGACTTGAAACCCCCTCCAGAGAACCCGGGCCCCGTAGACCCTCTATGGCAGGTCCCTGAGATTCCCCGACCATTCGCAACGCCGACAGTGGAGAACAGACATGCGCAAGTGGCGTTCTCCCCACGGCTTCCAACCCTCAACATAGAGCCATCTCCACCGGGCTCTCACTCGCTTTGGAGCATTCCACGACGAGGGCGACCGCGTACAGAGGGCAAGCCCAGACTGACGCCGAGCAAAACCCGGCCTCGCCCGAAACGCAAGTATCATTCCAGCCCTGTGGCGTTCGAGGCGCTCGACTGGTCCTTCGCGCAGGCCCCTGCTAGCGACGACTCGGACGATCCGCTGCAGGAGAACCAGCCATCGCCCACACCATTCAGGAAGGCCATTGTTCGCGGCAGGAAACGCATGCGCACATCTCTTTTCCCCAAAACTAGCGACGACAACCGACCTGAACTTGATCGCGAGTCGCCAACTGCCGAGGCTGGCCCTCAGCACCAATCGGTTCCGATGGCGAAAACACACCACGACCGTGATGCCAGTCATAGCCACGTGGAACAAGGTGACGCACAGGTCACGGTGGCAGGTGGCCCGGTCGACGTGCAATCCGATTCACCTGCACATTCCATCGCCACGCACGATGTTGCGCCTGCATCTGTACCTATCCCCGTACCGTCACCGTCACCAGCACCGGCAGCAGTGTCGACACCAACCCAGTCTCGTAGTAGAGTGACGCCCGACGAGATCAGGTTGTTTGTCCGCCTACTGCACGTCCAACGGAAGTCATGGAAGGAAATACATGCTTCTTTGCCTCACCGGAAAATGCAAGTCCTTCGTAACTGGAATAGCGTGCATTGGAACAATGTGCGTGCCAACCCACCCCGGCTCACAGCTCCATGGACAGGGGATGAGTTGGAGATTCTCGACCGAGTAAAGGAACAATCGGGGATATCCTTCAAGGGGATCCAAGCTGAGCTACCTGGTCGATCCAGAGCGGAGATCGAGTTTGAACTGCTACGTCGTTGGGTCGGGGATGAAGTCTGGAATAGCGAGCGGCGTACCACGCTTCTGTAGAATGAGAAAGTGGCTGGTCCGGGGATGCAGGTCGGTACTCCAAAACAGGAGTCCGAGCTTCCAGAGGAAGTTCTGAGCAGTGCGCCAGGGCCTATGATTGATCCGGAAGTGCAGTACAGTACGCTAGACCGGGGTGACGAGAATCTAGAAAGACAAGGAAATACTCCAGGGCACATTGTGGGATCCGTAAAACACCCAGATCCGCCATCAGCTAGTCGAGCCGTCGGTATATGTGATCAGTGACGACAAAGACCCGGAAGAGGTTGATGATTACAGTGAGGATGAAAGGTCAGAAGAGACCCAATCCCCCTTGGCTTCGAGACCATCTCATCTATCTATGCGGTGAGACCTACCGCCAGCTAGGATATCAATTGCATCCCAAATTTGGTGGGTGACCTTTTGATATGCCAGGCTGGTGGCTAGAGTATACCCAGCCCAAGGCTAAATGTGATATTATGTATAACTATCCCTTAATGACATCAAAATCTATTTTAAATCTTCATCTCGAGCATTGAGCACATCTTCAAGCTTCGTATCAACCGCCCCGCCAACATCACCGGCCTTAGCCCAGAAGCGAGACAGATGTCTTGATCCAGAGTCAGAGAGCACCGTCACAATCCGATGGCCAGGGCCCAATTTCTGCGCCGTCTTGACAGCCGCGAAGCCTGAGAATTATGGTTAGTATACTATGACCAACAATCCAATGTCAAGGAGGCACTCACAGTTGACAGCACTACTACTCCCAATGAAGACACCATCCTTCTCAACAAGCCACCTAGCCATCGCAAGAGCCTGCGCATCCGTCACTCTCACCGCATCATCAACAAGCTCCTTCCCAGCCTCGAAATTCGCCGTGACACGATTAATCCCGATTCCCTCGACAATGGTATCAACCTGCGGTCGGCGTCGTGTTCCCTCCCTCTCTTTCACATCAAACATCACTCCATACCTCACGCGATTGTACAATCCGCTCCCCTGAGGATCGGCCAGCACAACCGTGATATTAGGAAGAAGAGGCTTGAGATACCTGGCGACACCAGAGATAGTTCCGCCAGTACCGGCACCAGCAACGAAAGCGTCAAGTTTGCCTTCGCACTGGGCATAGATCTCCGGTCCGCTACCGCCGTAGTGGGCGCGCCAGTTTGCTTCGTTTTCGAACTGGTCGGCGAAGAATCCCCGGCCCTTGGAATTGCGAGGCTCGTCTGATCCGTCTGATGAAGGACGAGTTGATGAGGCTGTGTGCGCTTGAGCGAGAGCACGGGCGCGATTGACAAAGTTGTCTTTCTCGACGATGGGTGCTGGAGGCACGCGGTCGACGATTGCGCCGAGCTTGAGGAGGAGATCGGATTTCTCGATTGCTTGGTCTGATGGCATGCATATGTGGGCTAAGTAGCCTTTGGCCCGGGCGAGGGTCGCTAGTGAGATGCCCGTTGATCCGGATGTGCCTTCGTAGATTGTGTCTCCAGAGTATGGGGTCAAGATGCCTTGCTCTTGTGCCTGTATCATGTTAATATCTCCGGAAATGACCGGATTTGCGTAGAGTATGGGTCATAGCGTACTATTTCAATCATGCTGAGTGCTACCCGGTCTTTTGAGCTCTGACCGGCCCCATTGAGGAACTGATGGACAACATTAACATATCTTCTTCAAGGTAGTCTGAGAACAGTTGACTTACCTCGGCTTTGCCTAAAATTTCACATCCTGTTTCATCTGAAAGTGACTTGATCCGAAAGAGTGGTGTATTTCCAATACATCCTTCGATGCCTTCGACAATAGCTGGAGGACCTGGCCTCGCAACGAGGGTATCTGATTCGGGCTTCGGTGTTGAGTTTTCGCGACGGCGCTGAGTGCTAAGCGCTTCTTTGCAGATCAAGGCTAGGCCGACGCCAACAATAAATGCGGTACCAATGTAGGCCGTTGAATGGTCCGGCATCCTGTCTCGGTGAGATGTATATGGTCTATTTGAAGTTTGACGAGGCGTCCATCAAGTCCGCGACGCAACGCTCGGACCACTTGCGTGCTTTTGCCGTCTTAGCTGTTGTATACACCAGTGTGTATTCATGCGGCCTTGTGCAATGAATTAAGACAGATCAGTAGACAAACGGGATGCTAAGCTGAGCAGATCGTACATGAATCAAGAAGATTGGGTTCAGTTCGTAACGAGGACATGGCCGGCACGTGCATTGCTGCCTGAGGCCACAATGTGCCGTCAGAGCGCGATCTCCGCCGGAGCTGCTGTGCTTGCTCTGCTTTGCTCAGCTTTGCTCAGCTCTGCTTTGCTCCAGCAGCATCATGGACTCGCCCGTCCTCAACCAGCTGTTCCGACAGCTCTTCCGCCATCCGGCTTGCCAGTCATTACGGCATTCACCATCCCCATTTACGAGGCAGTCTCGTACATTTCTCACCCGCCGCACTGCCGTGAAACGGAAGTCTCAGGACCATGGCACGCTCTGGACAAAAAGAGGCGACCAGGCCAGGAACATCGATCACGAATACTGGACTTACCCGCAGGTGACCGCGAATGAGCTGCGTAATCGGAGCGAGCGCCCGCGGCAGGTCAAGATGTTGACGCGCGAGTTCATCGATGGTAAGTCAGAATTGAATGTTCATTATGAAGCTTGCGAACAACAGCGTCCTGACATTGTCGCTTGCAGACAGCTTGTACAATCCGCACTATGGCTACTTCTCCAAACATGCGACTATCTTCACGCCCGGCGAACCCTTCGATTTCAATAACATTGAGGATGGGCCAACCTTCCAATCGCTCCTCGGAGAGCGCTACGTCGAATTCGAGGACGAGCTTGACAAAACCAACCCCGATGAAGCGAGGCAACTTTGGCATACTCCGACGGAACTTTTTCGCCCGTATTATGGAGAGTCGATCGCGCGTTACCTCGTTTCGAACTACAAGCTCACCTTGTATCCATATCACGATTTAATAATCTACGAAATGGGTGCCGGTAACGGAACCATGATGTTGAACATCTTGGATTTCATCCGCGACACAGATTATGAGGTGTACCAGCGGACCAAGTACAAGATTATTGAGATTTCGTCCTCACTGGCGGATCTCCAGATGAAGAACTTGATGGATACGCTCGAGTCAGCGGGCCACCGGGACCGTGTTGAGATCGTGAACAAGTCGATCTTTGACTGGGATACATATGTGCATTCACCATGTTTCTTCCTGGCCCTAGAAGTCTTCGATAATTTCTCCCATGACACCATTCGCTATGACACACGGACCGGGCTCCCGCAGCAGGGTGGAGTGCTTGTCGACTCGGACGGCGAGTTCCACGAGTTCTACAACACCAAGCTGGACCCCGTGGCGGCTCGATTCTTGCGAGTGCGTCAAGCTGCAGCTCGTCGTCCTTTCCCCAGTCCGCTTGGCCACCCCTACCTCCGTGGCCTGCGTTCCCTGTCTCCTTTCCGCAAGGACTACACCCAACCCGAGTATATTCCGACGCGACTCATGGAATTCTTCGATATCCTGAACCAGTATTTCCCAGCGCATCGTCTCGTGGCAAGTGACTTCAATGTTTTGCCTGATACAGTGCCGGGATTGAATGCACCCGTTGTCCAGACGCGATACAAGCGGAAGACTGTGACGGTGTCGACTCCCTTTGTAAGTTTTGCGCACGTTTCCGTCTAGGAGTCTATCAGACACTAACTTATTCTCGTAAAGGTTCACCAAGGCTATTTTGATATCTTCTTCCCCACTGATTTCAACATTATCGAAGATGTCTACCGTGCCGTGACTGGCAAATTGACGCAAGTCACGACCCACGAAGACTTTATGAGCCGATGGGCTTACATTGAGGATACGGAGACGCGGAACGGCGAGAACCCGCTGCTCTTCTGGTACAAGAACGCCAGTATGTTGATGACAGTGTAGACACAGCCTTCGCGCGGAGACGATCATCTTCATGTACAATATTCCCCCACATGAAATTTCCTACAGTAATGGAACACCTGCCTTGATTCTCATCTCTGCACTGCGTATTTGCCTCCGCAATCTTGGCGCGGGGCATCAGTAGACCATCAGCCGGAGCTATAACATTCTCTGATAAGTTTCCCTCCGGTTCCAAACTTGTCTTCACAACCACTCCTGTCTTCCGCCTCGCTGAGGCTCCCCCGGCCATTAAGAATCAGCCCGATCATTCCTCGAAAACTGGTTCGCCGCCATCTGCACGGCCAGCTCACCACCCACCAGACCCGTGCGCCAGACAGTTGGTGTATCCCCGTCGCAGGAAGTCTATAAAATCTGCCTAAAATCCCACGACGATAATGACTTCACATTCCAAAAACATCTGAAGACCTCTGAAAATGGTCTCCGACCCCCAACCCCGCGGCTTCAAAGGCATAATCACCCGCGTCTCGAGCATCCGTGATGCATACCCGAACTCAGTCGAGATCTACCGCGATCTGAATACAGCTTATCAATCATGTTACGAGATCGCAGATAATATTTCCGAACAGTATAACGGCTATAAGCGGGCTGGACAGCGCATTTCGGGAATTCGATCACTGCTCGGTGACTGCGATGCGATCTTACGGCGTGTTCATGGGTTCTTGCAGCGATATTCGAGTCTGCGCTCGCAAAAGCCTACTCCGAAGGAGAAGTTTGCTTTTGTGAGTGAGGATATTGAGTATTGGAGGCGGAAACTGGGGCTTTGTAGGGAGAAGCTTGTTTCGGCGCAGGAGATGTTGCATGGGTATGTTTGCTTTTGCTTCGTTACCTGGGCAGGAGGTACTTCAGCTTAGTGGAGACTTCGTGCTGACCTTCCTAGTAGGGCCGATTACTCTAGTCAACCCACGCTGCATGACGATCAACTGGCTCCAGAATCGCAGAGTGGAGAGAAAAAAGCACCGCCTGTAGAAATTATCGACCCAATTCCTCCTGAAGGTATGTTGAATCATATTGATATACTTAGATCGACATTGGATCTGTTATACTAAGTGAGGAAAAAGCAGATACAGCAAGAGACGTCCCTCCACTAGGGAAAGAGAAAAAGCAGAGATCCCGATCCGAAAAAAGAAACGCTCGACTAGCAGCCGCTGCCGCTGACCGTCGATGGGATGAAGTCCGCTCTCTAATCGAAAAGAGCGCAGACGTAAACACGGCTGATGGTCGAGGCTACAGGCCACTGGTGTATGCTTTACACGGAAGGTATACGGCCAAATCCCCCGATCAAGCCCGAGAAGCGAGCAGTATTGCCAAGTTGTTGGTTCGTCGCGGAGCCAGGTTTGGCGAGGCGGAGCTGATGGAACTACCAAAGGGTGGTAGCTATGGGGATCGAGAATACAAAAAGTGGGTGACTGATGAAAGCATGCTGGAGCGGCAAGGAGATGTACAGCGTAGTTGAATTGTGGTGTCTTGTCCGGTATGATACTAGGAGCAATTTTTCAAAGTTATAGCCATACTCGCTTTCTAATTTCAGTAGGGCTTGGTGTTGGAATTATAGAGATTTGTATCTCGATCTAACCGCCCTTTCTACTCTAGTATTGTAACAGTCATCAAAACAGTCCCCCAAATAGTCATCTCAACGGTCAACTGAACAGTCATATGCAGAGTCACCGACACGATAATATCACCACAGTTAATATTGTAGGGTCAGTGAAGCTTCAACAAGTATATGAAAGTGGAATCATCTCATAATTACAGTAGATTACTTTTTTTCGGTGCTGGATCAGCCATCAATCGAAAACCGGGCATCAACATGGGCAATAAAAAGGAAAGTAGGCTCTGCTTTAACAACCCTCAGTACGGGACCCACCAAGCTTGGTCTCAACTATAATGCAGGACTCTGGATACCAATCCTATGGAACCATCTCAGACTCTACACTAGTGTACGAGGCTCTTGGAGCGACGTTGATAGATGGTTTCGGGTGTAACCCCTCACTGCCGTCAAAGTCCCGAGGGTCAAATGATAACAAGAGGGGTCGCCAAGTCACAACAATAACCATCCCTCCTCCTTATCCTCGCAAAAGCAGAATCCCACAAAACGCAAGATTTGGATACCGCTGATATTCAAAATTAGCATAACAAAGTCCCCCCATTGGAAACCCGCAGTCCTCACCAAGCGCAACACACAACTCCATCCCGCCATCCTGGCGACTGCCCGATTCAGTCCTCGCAAATCGACCCGCCTCAAGCGTGGAAATCATTCGATCCAGCAGCATACTCACGCCCGAGGAAATATCGTGGACTGAAACAATCGACATCCGCGATCTCGTCTTGCTGATTATATCTCGGCGCGTCAGCAGTGAGCAACTCACGACGGCCTTTGCAAACGCGCCGCGATTGCGCAACAAGTGACGAAATGTCTTACTGAGATCTTCTTCGAGCGCGCGCTGATTAAAGCGAGGATCCTGGATGAGTATTTCGAAAGGACTGGGGAGGTTGTCGGCCCTGTACATGGGATTCCAGTTTCAGTTAAGGACCGCTTTGATGTTGAGGGGGTGGATACCACTGTTGGTGAACCTCACCTCCTCTGCTCTGCCTATACCTATCCTGTGAATTTCTGACCTCCTAGGATGGGTCGGGCTCATCGGCAAGCCAGCCAAATCCTCCAGCTCCGTCGTACAGCTACTCGAGTCAATGGGGGCGGTCATGTACGTCAAGGCCAATATCCCGCAATCCCTAATGGTAACTTTTTCCCACTCTTTTAAGCTTTGACAACTTTACTGACACTCCAAGATGTCCAATTCATACAATCACGTCTTTGGCCAATCCGTCAATGCCTTCAACCACGCCCTCATCTCCGGCGGCAGTTCCGGAGGCGAAGGAGCTCTCGTCGGATCTTGCGGTAGTATGCTCGGAATCGGCACTGATATCGGCGGCTCGATTCGAGTTCCTTCGGGTCTCCAAGGCTTTACTCGGTCTGCCCGAGTACAGGTCGAGTACCCTGGGACTGCTCTGTGTATGTTTACTTTCATTTAAACATAGCCAGATGTGTACTAACGGATGTAGTCTCCATCAACACTACCTCGTTCCTCCAGTTGCAGGTCCAATATCCACTTCACTAGCGACATCATAGTACTTCATGGAAGGTCTTTTAGCCTCCGAGCCATGGAATCTCGACCCAGCTGCTATTCCAATTCCTTGGAGAAAGGAAATTGCCACTCCGCCAACAGACCGCAAACTAAGACTCGGCGTTGTCTTCGACGATGCCATTGTCAAACCACAACCTCCGTTGCGCGTGTTATGCGGGAGACGGTGCAAGCGTTACGAGATGCTGGTCACGAGGGTATGCCATTATGCATCTATACTCATCATCTCCCGTTTTCGGCCATACAAAGACTCACAAGCTCATGTAGTAATCGAATGGGATACCACCCTCCACACCCCGGCAACAAACCTCTGGACAAAATCCATTCTCGGCGACGGCGGCGCTCACTGCCGAAAGCTCTGCGCCATAATCGACGAACCACTAATCGAGGGGATGATAGTCGGGACCGAGAAAGATGTACTATCGTTCGAGAACGGGAAAAGGTATACTCTTGCTTCTTTCCCAGAGTATCTCTCTTACGATCTAACCAATACAAAGGCCGAGAATGAAAAATACAACCTCCAATTACAAATGCTCGCTCAATGGCGCGACACTAAGGTCGATGCCGTTCTAATGCCTGTCTTACCCTGGGCCGGATATAAGCCGAAGACTTGGGTGACAAGTAGTCAGTGGCTGGGGTATACGGCTATGTGGAATCTGCTTGATTATGCGGCTGTTACAGTTCCTGTTGGTCGGGCGGATAGGGGACTTGATGTTGCTGGTGAGGGGTGGGAGAGTCATGTTGCGAGGAATGAGTCTGATGCTTTTAATCATGATCAATGTGAGATTCTCTCCCCTTTTGGATTTGGGTTTATTGTGTTGGGCTGGATGCATTCTGACAAGCTCGCAGATGATATTGATCTTGTACACGGGATGCCTATTTGCGTGCAGATTGTTGGTGGACGGTTTGGGGAGGAGAAAGCTGTTGCGGTTGGAAAAGTTGTTGATGGGTTGATGAACAAAACTACATTTCACCCTGTAGTCTAATTCTAGTATGTAGTAGTTTACCAGCACGTAGGCATACGAATAGGTTCAAGAAAGTACAGTTGTGAAGGTAATTTCATTTCATCATGAGATATCTATTCGAGTAGATTCATGCAACCCGAATATGTCCCAGGTACCGCCCCACGGTACGAATATGAACAATGCAGCCAGGCCCTGCCGGCATCCCATTCCCAAAAAAAAAAAAAACAACAGAGAAGTGAAAGAAACAGGGCATCCATCTCATGCAAAAAAAGTCACAGGATGCAATTCCGTGCCCAGGGGAATAAACTAGAATTCAAACTCCTTGCGGAAGACATTGACGTCCATACCCGCAACAACCTGGTCCGCAAGATCACGACGGCCCATCTGGCTGAAGACACGGCGCAGGGTATCATAGAGGTTAGTGCTTTGGTTCTGGCTGATGTGCAGCATCCGCTCCAAGCGCTCGTCGTCGAGGCCATCGGGTGCGGAGCCACCGCCGATGATCTCACGAGCACGCTCACGACCCTCCTGCTCTACGACGCGGTGCATAGACAGTGCGCCGAGAAGGTGCTGTGCGGCCTCGGGGTAGCAGCCGATGTTGATGCATGAGACACCGAGGTTGTAGCGGGCGCGCACAAAGTTGGGGTTGATGTTCAGTGCTTGCTCGTAAGCTTCGATGGCTTCCTCTGAGCGGCCGGAGTTGGCCAGGGTGGCACCCAGACGGTTCCAGAGAAGGTGGAGCTGCTCTTGTTGGTTGGTACTACCAGACTCGGTGGACGCCAGGGCAGCGGAGAAGCAGTCCACGGCCTTTTCATATTCCTCGGCACAGTAGAAGAGAACACCCAGACCGACTTGGACGTCGGGGTCCATCTGAGCACCGGAAGGAGAAAGTTGTGCGGCTTGGATGAAGAGTTCGGTCACGCGGTCGTGCAGGAGTTGGCGGTCTGTGAAGCCCAGGTCGGCGTCACCAGACACCTCCTTGGGGTCGATAATGGATGGGTATTTGTTGGACAACCAGCGTTCCAGTGTGCGGTAAGCAGTTGAATCGTAGCCCTCGTTCGTGTATGAGACGGCCAAGCCCATCAGAGCGTCCAGGTTACCGCTGTCAATCTTCAATGCTTGCTCCAGAGCTCGGATAGCCGGCAGCTCCTTTTCATTTTGAGCCTGGGCAGAACCCAGCATCGTCCAAGCCTGGATATGCTGAGGGTCCTTCTGCACGGCAGCTTCGAAAGCCAAAGCCGCAAGAGACAGATTACCGCCCTCGCGCATAATTTTCACACCCTCCTCGAACGGGTTATTGACTGCCTGGTAAACATTATCCTCCTCAAACATGTAATCCCCAAGCTGGGGGTCGCGGAAGCGGGTATTCAGGCTATCGAAGCCTTCCCAGTCGCCAAGGTCGCCAACGTGGACGCTATCGGTGACTTCGAAATTATCTTCCTCCGCCAGTTTCCTACTCGCAGCGGTCTCAGTTTGGATCCGCTGCCACACAGATTCAAAGGCATCATTGGAGGGCACTGACCTGTCGAGCTCATTCAATTCCGCCTCCATGGCGGCATTCGCCTCATCATCCGTCTTCGTCTCGTTGCCAGCGGTCTCCATCTCCGCAAATTGCGCCTCCCAGTTCTCATCATCCAGCTCGACCATTCGGCCCTTTCCCTTATCTTGAGTCTGAGCATCCATAGGCTGCTGCATCATCGGGGACTGCATGCCCATGGGTCGCATGCCCATCCCCATACCCATACCACCCATGTAGCCACCCATGCCCATGGGCCGTTGGTAGCCCGACATGAGCGGAGGTGTGGCGGTGGCACCCTGGTTGGCATTCTGTGGCATACCCATGCGACTCTGTTGCTGGAAACGAGCGAACTCAGCGGGAGTAAATCCAGATCCATTATTCATCTGCTGTGGCGCAGCTCCGGGGAAGGCGGCTTCCATGCGTGCTTGCTCGCCGGGATCGAATTCCGCGGCCCAGCCTGGCGACCCCGTACGCAGGGGAGCGGTCTGGAAATTCTCAAGTTCGCGACGCATGTGTTCCATCGCAAAGGGCTGGGGTGAGGGTCCGTTGAGTTGTTGACCGGGCTGTTGCATGAAATCGTCCATCATCTGTTCGTCGGAGGTTTCCGCGTTAACTTCGCTGCGAACATCGTCGTCTTCAGACTGCTCCGTTTACGGGAGTTCCGTAAACATAGCATTCCGGGCTCGATAATCGCTTACCTGGTCCTGCCCGCCCATCATTCCGCGTGACCGCATGCCCTCCTGCACGCCCGGGCCGCGGCCAACCAGCCGATCCCGCTGGAGGGACTTGTCATCTTGGACGTGTTTGGTGAATTGTGTCAGAGGGTTCCCTGCCGTGGAGCATTCCGCACCACCGAGGAAAGACATGATGTGGGTGACAGTAATGTAGCAAGGAAGCGTGGAGGGAGAAGGTGTCGGGAAAGGTTCACCGGAGAGAGGAGAAGCCCCGGATAATCAGACCGACGTGGGGTTCACCTCACTAATCCGTTTTCCGCCAGCCGAGGTTCCCCATGGTCACGTGGAGTGCATATACGTACGATGTACCTGGTGCATAGTACACCACGTGAGAACAAGATTCAGGCTTCCATACCATGGCAATGGTTCTACCTTAACCTAGTGGACCTGAAGTTCAAGGCTCCCAGATTGATACTCCTAGAAACTAGGCCCAACAAAAGGGGCAATTCAATGCTGCACCAAATGATCTCCGAAGCTTCATGACATCAGTAACCAAGAAACTGATTGTCGAGGGACCGTGATATCTCGACCGCATTGCTTTATAACTACGGTATGAAGAGTAGAAGGCATCTCACATCTTAGTTATATCCTTACAGTGCGATGAAAGGTAACCAGGATGTAAGGATTACTCAAGAAAAGTATATAAAATGTAGCACGGCCAACACGCTTGTTCAATGTGATATGCGATATTATACAGTATAAGTACACCCAGACCATCTAAATACAGTAACCATTTCCTTTCAGCACTCCCTACTGCTCCTGCCCCTCTTCAGCGCGCCTCGCCTCCTCCTCCCTCTTCCTCCGCATCTTCAAATTCTCCCCAGAAACAAAACTAACCTTCTTCCGATCCGTAAAATCAACCTTCAGTTTCCGACCATAAGGAGCCTTGCCCGAGAGCAATTCCCTCGCCTGCATAGCCGCGTCCGTATGCAAGAACTCCGCATGCGCAAAACCACGCGGGGACCCAGAGCGCCGATCAATTGCAAACCGAACTTCAAGCAGATTCTTCACGTCGCGGAAAACATCCTGCACGTCTCGATCCGTGAATTCGAGTGGGATATTTCCGATGAACAGCGTGTTTGAAGGCGGATGCTCGGATCGCCGATGTTCGAGTTGACTGCGTGAAAATTGGACGACGACTTGTCGGCCTTCGAGGATTTGGAGATGCATGTTTTCGACTGCGGCGCGCGCGGCGGCGATGGTGGTGAATTGGACGTAGCCGAATCTATAATCCTCGCTTTTAGAAGAATGCTTGTTTTTTTGGGTCTGGTGGCTCTTACCCTTTACTCAATCCCCGATTATCATGAACAATAAGCGCCCGGATAACAGGACCAAACTGCTCCATCCGCGCCCGCAGATCCTCCGCCTCAATATCGTAGAACAGATTACCAACGTATATCGTCTCCGACTCCGGCGTCTTAAATGTAGTCTTCATCTGCGTCTTGGCATCGAGGAGCCGCATGCGCATTGCGCGCTTGCGCTCGACATGTTCCGGGTTGACGGCCGTTTCTTCTGGCGTCTCATTCTGCTCCCATTCCGGCCGCTGTTCTTGCTGCGCCAAAAGTTCTTCTTGGACTGGATTTTCTTGCTCTGCCGGTTTTACTGACGGCTCGGGTTCTTTTGTGGAGTTCCATCGTAGCTGGTGGACGGAGTACTTGGTTGGTGTGCGTGTCGAGATGGAGGATGTAGGGGGGACGGTGAGTGCGGATTGTGTTCGAGTGGTGACTGTTCGAGATTGTGAGGCGCTAAGCAGCCTTGAACTGGCTCGGCGGAGGCAGTACCTGGTCAATCGTGTTAGTTTATTTTGTCCGTAACGGGCATCGGTCATTTGACGGGTAGCTGAAATATGGGATGGGTGTCTGGAGGGTGGTGGATTGGGCATACATTTCGCTCGCTTCTCAGTCTGGGTCCAGAGATAGGCTTCTTGTGCGGAGTTGATCGTGAAAATTGCTGGCTTTAAACCATCGCAGACTGCGACGAAGTGGCTCCGAGGCGCGCTCCGAAATCTTTCGATAAGATCACGTGACTTGGCGATATGGCGAATGGGAGGCTTGGCGACGCTCATCGAGTCGAGACCAAATTTCATACGTAGATGCAAGACAAAATTTCACATGTGACTTCATTATAAGTAACCTAAGGTGCTTTATACTGATGCCATAAATAGAGAGGAGTGTAGATGTAGCACTATCTGAACTATGTATAATGGTACAATACGCAAACCAAATCGCATTTGCCCATCTCAGGGTATACCGCACCCAAAAGTTCACCAAAAAACGAACTTTTTCAGAGTAAACGTAAATCCTCGCAGTGAAAATAAACCAGAGCTTCCGTTTCCCATCACATAAAATCGTGTATCCATATTGATATCTCATAACCAAGTGATCTGTGCAAATCGACACCGAATCCATCAAGCAGGAGCGCAATAAAGAAAAGGCAGAAAAGCAAAGGTATCAAACCGCACTGGAATTAAATTATACCGACCCTTGACTCCTCCTCGAGCTGTCCGTGTGAGATGCAGGTGTGAAACCAGGTATCGACGAACCTCCGCTTTCCGGAGAGTTCGAGGATGGCGAAAACATATTTGGTGAACGGGGCAATTGGCCGTTCGGTACGTTATTCACGGAGTTTGGCATAGTGGGCACTCGCGCTGTCCCCATGGGACTTGTCACCGGTGGTTGTGTAAGACCAAGGGATTGAGGCATTGGTTGCCGTTGGTTATCCATCATCGGCCAAAATTGGTTGGGCGTTTCGAAGCCGGGGTTTTGAAGATATGTGTCCCATGCGTTCTGCTCAGCTTAGTACATGAAGAGTCATCAGATTAGCTTGTTTTCAAAACTCACCCAATCGAGATTCAGTTGCATGTCTGGCATCTGACCAAACATGCTACTGAACGGCGAAGCAGGACCTGGCATTTCGGCCGTCGAGCCCACGCCGGGCATTGGCGGTTCCTCCATTTTGAACATGGTGTCTGAGTAGGGTGCTGGACCGGGATTCATCGGGCTCATGCCGCTACTCAACAGGCCGAGTGTCATAGCTGCATTCTGCTTCTCGTCTTGCGGTTCGAACGGGACATTTGCAGTGGTAGTTTCTGATCCGGGGATGGCGCTTTGGATCTTGGTCAACATGACACCGAGGATACTGCTTGCCTTGAACGCTTCCATGCTCTTATCGCGCAGCTCGTCCCAGATCTCTTTCGAGCGCTGCAGCGCCGCCATCATCTCATCTCGTCGTTCTCGGCCCCAAGTGAAGATGTCACCGGATGGTCTGTTGGATGATTGCAGTTGGTAGCCTTGGTAGAGATCGAGACAGACGATGGTTGCGGCCAGGAGGAAGTCCGCTGCGTTGAGGGCTGTGACGATCGTGCAGCGGCCTCGCAAACGGCCACTCCGCATTTCTGTGTGGAGGATTGCTTGGAAATCGAGTAGTTCCATTGCTGCATCAATGCATGTGCGGCGAGAGTAAGTGAATCGAGGGTTCTCTCGGGAGCGAACGATGTATGGTCGGTGCAGTACGCACTGCGCTTTGAGATAGATAGTCGTGACCTTTTGAGGGAGTTAGTGTGAAATATTGAAATAGAAACCATAATGAGACTTACAGAGAATCGTGACATGATCAGATTCACTGGGTCATGTCCACACTCCTCCATCGGCCGGATCAGCAAATGGTCAGGAATCAATTCCCTCGCACGCCGCAAATCCGCATCCAATTCCATCACCTTATCATAGGAGATGGATGAAAGAGAAGAAGCTTGCTCGTTGACCCGACCGAAAGCGTACACCAAACGAGCCTTGGAGATCAAATAGGAGATGGGTGTTGGCTCGCTCAGCTGACGAGGCGGGGGCAGCTCTTTGCAGTTCTCATCAAAGTCATCATCATACAGATTGCGAGGCAGATCGGTGTCCATATCTGCCGCACGAAGCATACTGGGCATGCCAACTTGGAAAGAGAAGAGCTGGTCCGCTGTCGCCACGAAAGACCATACCCGACGCCGCATCTCTCCTTGGAAAGGAGTGATGTTGGGGAACATCTTGGAGTCGCGGTGGTATCCCATACGCATCGCCAGACGGGTAATCACACCCGCCAGCACCCAAACCGACACATCAGCCTCCCAGGTCTGGGAGTAATCGCCATGGAGATGGAATACCAGCGATTCAATGAGGAATGGGTGTGGTTTCGTATAGTCTGCCAAGGTCAAGCACTGAGCAACCGAATTGCGGAAGCTGCCCGCCATATCCATCGCTTTGCCCCGGAATTCTGGGGGTTCGTCGCCTTCGCGATAATAGGATAGCATGGCCAGCCGCATCATGGCGAAGAGCATCGCAATCCAGACAATTTCCGTCTGCGTGGGATCCTCCCAGTGCTTGTTATATTGCGCCTGGAAGGTCGGGCCATGCAGGATATGAGTTGCGGGGTCGTAGGTGTTGAAATATCGAGCTACAAGCAGATCTGCTGTATACTTCGATGGTAATGAAGACATGATCTCTGGTCGGGACAATGGTTTCATTGCACCGAAAAGCAGGGTGGATTCTGGAACATCGGTCCGTGGCCGCGCGACCTTGATCTTTTCTGCTTGCTCCTCGAACTGCTTCTTATGTGTAGAGAAGAAATTCCGCACTTCAGAGATCTGCAATCGTATGAGTATGTATGGCTTAACAGGACCGCTCTCACAACTGCACTTACATCGTTGAGGACGGACGCCCAGTGGGCCTCACTGATATAGTAAGACTTGTTATTGTCCATTTTCATCACACCAAAAGACTTCGTGACCTGCTCCGTGTCACTCTCCTCTTGGATCCCATCGTCGTCCTCCAGTTCAATCTCATTCGAGAGACCCGTCGACCCAGACCGACCCGTGCTCTCCCCGGAAATCGCAGCCAGAGCAGCAGTCGGGCCGGCCGACTGATTCCCGTTGGTCATCAAGGACAGGACCAGCCCCTCCAAGCGATCGATCCGATTTTGCATATCATCTGGCGAGGTCGGGGTGTTTTGCTGGGGCGAGTTCTTCTTTCGGGTTCCGGCTTGGGCATAGGTACAGGAGGGGCCATCGCCCCGTTTGACGCAATTTTCGCAGGGGTGGGAGCGATTGCATTTCAACCTGTGTAGTCAAGTTAGCACTCGGTGATCTTACGGAGGGACCAAAAAGGACCAAGTAACTTACTTTCTGTGTCTGCATGGTGCGCAGGAGAGCGGCACCCGATTGCGCTTGCGGATTACTCTGAACTCCGGCGAGTGGCCGCTCGAGGATGTGGTAGAGGGCGGTGTAGGCGTCATGGTGGGAGGTATATCGGAATGGGTGTGTGCGTATTGCTATCCCCTCGGCTGCACTATTGTTCGCTGGGTCACGGGATTTCGCGGTTGGGAACTAATCGAGCCTTTGCTATACGCAAATTGATAAGCTCCTCCGTTCGATCTCAACTTTCGATATCGGACGACACCAGGCAACAACCCCGTGCGAGTAAAGTTGGTGACAGCGACCTGTCTGGAGCTGGCCCAGGTTGTATCCGTTGGGTTCTTCTGATGTCGTATCCTTAGAGCGACGCTAATCCTCGCCCCTGATTGCTGTTGGATATGCGCAGTGTTGCGCCACTAGAAACGGCGGACAGTTGGTCCCTAGTATTGCGGGCGCGGCACTGGCGCACAGAGAAATCGATGGTGGTCGCGATGCACTGTTTCCTCTGAAGTTGCGACGAGAGGCTGTCGCAGAGTTTGCTAGGGCGATTGCACAGGGTACGGCCGTTGAAGCTTCGCCGTGGGTGGGGGTGAGATGAGACCAGGCTAGCGGGGTGGCCTGGAACGAACTATGGCGATGCGGGCCAGAAGTGGTGAATCAACGAGGATGGAGGAGAGCACAGCAACTGAACCAGCACCGCGAAGGGGAGAATGGCAGAGAGAGTTGGCGATGCTCGTCCTGGACCTTCCCAAGGTTTAGGTCGGGCTGAGCTGATTAATCCGCTATCTCCGTTTCGGTCCTTATCGCCATGCGATGATCTCACCATTGGTTTCAATGTACACCATGTGCGTAGACTGCTGCCTACACTATAAAGCAGCTAGATCCAACATCCACGTATCAATAGAATACTTTCGCTGCTCATTCTGATATTCCAAGTATCCCAGTCGTTTTCGCTGGATCTCCTGGTTGTGGATGCTGCTCAGCCAACAATGAATGGCTGCCGGCTCGCCAATCACCGTTCCCAACACACATGTTTTCCCAACACACATGTTTTTTGTCTCCATCAGAAAGTACCTTATTAGCACTTTGATGCCTCAAGTCGAGGTGTTTGGCCCTAGTACAATTGAAGATAGCGCCGACATTCAGCTCCTAGTACATATCCCCATAGTACTACATACGAAATAGTACTGGCGCGGGCGATCGTCGTCGAGTCCATCCTCCCCGTCGCGTCAACTCATTTTCAGTCCACGCGGGACACACTCGCTGTATCACATCGGGCGCATATACACCGCATATGTCCACCTTCATCTTCCAACAGAACACGATAGAATCGACCAGGTGATAAAGAACAGCAATCGCCGTGCCACGTCTTCGGTGCGTTTGCCAGCAAACAAAGAACGGGTGTGACAGCCCTCATAATAGCGTCCTTGTTCGCTCTTTGGCGTTCTCTATCGCTCATACTTGAACCCCACCCAGGTGGTACACTCTGAGTAGTTCATCTTTTAGGAGCTGGTCTGCAGCGCATCGTCTTGATACCGCAACATGTCTGACAACCCTCGTGGACGCGGTCGCGGCGGTGGTGACCGCGGACGAGGTCGTGGAGGCCGTGGATATCGTGGGGGAGATGGCCGAGGTTGCGGTCGCGGTGGATTTGAAATGCCCTTCCGCCCAGCTGACCGAGGCGGCTTCAGCGATCGTGGTGGCGATCGGGGCCGTGGCCGCGGTGGTTTCCGAGGCGATGAGCGTGGTCGTGGTCGTGGGGGTCGTGGTGATTTCCGGGGTCGTGGAGGCTTTCGTGGAGATCGCGGCGGCGGAGGCAGAGGGGGCAGAGGCCCTGAGATCTATTGGTACGTCGACCACTCCTGCTTCTAATGGGTGTACCCTTGCGGTATACCTATTCAGGGAGCCAGACTCATCAAGGCGTGTTCAATGCAGCTCCGGTCAACCTGTTCCTACCCCCGATCCCAATGTTGCCAAGGTCGAAGACAGTCTCGCGAAAGCCCTCATCAGCCAAAAGACAAGCCAGGCATATCCTCATCGCCCCGGATATGGTACTCAGGGCGAGGAGGTTACGCTCTATGCCAATTACTTGTCGTTGACCAACCTCGGCAAGCCATTGTACAGATACATGATCGAAATTCAGAAGGGTTCGAATGGTCGGGAGCCCCCAGCCGGCAAAAAGGCTAGACACATCATTGCCCTCTATATTGAGCAACACTTTGGCGCCCAGAAGGCCCAGATTGCCACCGACTACCGATCAACCATCATCTCCTACGTGGATCTCAACCTTGCCGTCGACACCGTCCTGCCCGTGACGTACAAGGCCGAAGGCGAAGTGGAATTCTCCGAGAATCCTCCCGTGTACGACGTGCGATGCTCCAACGTGCGCCCTCTTGACCCCGCCGATCTGTTGAACTACATAACATCGACCAATGCGGGTTTGTTGCTGGACACCAAGCCGGAGCTCATCGCGGCCTTGAACATTATCATGGGCCACCACCCCAAGACCTCTGATAAGATTGTCTCGGTGGGAGCCAACAAGCACTTTGGCATTTCGGCCCCGTTCATGGATCGACAGGATCTTACCGGTGGCCTCGAAGTGCTTCGTGGTTTCTTCGTCAGTGTGCGTGCTGCTACTGCCCGTGTGTTGCTGAACGTGCAGGTCAAGTACCTTGCTTGCTACAAGGAGGGTTCCCTGGCGAACGTCATCACGGACTTCGAGAGGACCTTGGATCGCCGTGCCCAGAATTCCTTCGTCTGGTATCTGGACAAGTTCGTGTCCCGCATGCGCGTTCAAACGAACCATATCAAGCGCAAATCTAAGAGTGGCAAGGAGCGCCCGCTCCCGGCCAAGACCATTGCTGGTCTGGCCAACAAGAGCGATGGTCGATCGTCTGCGAACCCGCCCATTGTGAGCGGATATGGTGCTGGTCCCGAGGGCGTGCAGTTCTTCCTCAACGCCCCAGGCGCTCAGTCGGCCCCTAAGACGCCCGCGAAGAAGGGCAAGAAGGCTCCTGCGGCAGGTCCAGCGCCGGCCGGACGATACGTCACTGTGGCACAGTACTTCCGAGAGAGTTAGTTATGACTTGGTTGGATATGGCACTTGCAGTCACTGATAATCTACTGTCACAGACTACAATATGAAGCTTGATCCGAATTGGCCTGTGATCAACGTCGGTTCCAAAGTCAACCCGACCTACGTCCCCGTCGAGGTTTGTCAAGTTCTGGCAGGCCAGCCAGTGACTAGCAAGCTGTCACCAGGTCAGACATCGCAGATGCTGAGCTTCGCCGTCAAGGGACGCAGTCCTGCCCAGAACGCCGAGTCGATCGCGACGAACGGCGTGGACATGTTGGGTCTCGGAAACTCGCTGAACTCGACTTTGGTGAGCACCTTCGCCATTCTATGTCTTGAAAGATTAAGCACTAACTTCAATGTACCAGTCGTCATTTGGCGTCGGTGTGAACCCTGGTCTGATCACCGTGCAAGCCCGTGTTCTCAAGGCACCCCAGGTTTTTTATCAAGGTGACAGACCGATTAATCCTCTCGCGGGCTCTTGGAATATGAAGCAGATTAAGTTCACTAAGCCTGGCCGGGTTACGAACTGGTCGTACTTTGTTCTTTCGGACCGCCGTAACCCCTGGTCTCCCCAGATGGCCCATCAGCAGGCGATTCGCTTTGCCGGGGAGCTCTGCAAGATGGGCATTTCCATAGAAGCACCCAAGAAGGGCGTTGTTTTGCGAGACCGTCCTTCCAGATCCGAACTTGAAAATGCTGTGGTGAAATTGCAGAAGGACTACGGCAGACTCGATCTTGTATTGGGTGTCATGTCCGGCAAGGACACCACAACCTACAATAGCATCAAGCAGGTCTGTGATGTGATTTGCGGCGTGAAGAACGTCAACGTGCAAGCCGCGAAGCTCGAGAGTGACCGAGGCTATGATCAATACTGCGCCAACGTTGGTCTCAAAATCAACCTCAAGATGGGGGCGCCAACCAAAGCCTCAAGAGCATGGGACTCTTCGGCGACGGCAATACCATGCTCGTCGGCATGGACGTCACCCACCCTTCGCCCGGTTCAGCCAAGAGCGCGCCCTCTGTCGCTAGTATCGTCGCCTCGGTCGACAAGGACCTTGCACAATGGCCCGCGGAAATCGTCGTGCAGAAAGCCGGCCAAGAAATAATCGACAATTTAAAAACAATGCTGATATCCCGCCTGAAGCTCTGGGCCACCCACAACGAAAACCAATACCCAGAGAACATCGTCGTCTACCGCGACGGCGTCAGCGAGGGCCAATACAACCTCGTCATCGACAAGGAACTCCCACAACTGAAAGAAGCCTGCAAGACGCTCTACCCCGAGCCCCTGCAAGCAAAGGGCCTGCCACGCATGGCCATCATCATCGTCGCCAAGCGCCACAACACCCGCTTCTACCCAACAGACATCAACCGATCGGACCGCTCAAACCCGCAGCCCGGCACGGTCGTCGACCGCGGCGTCTCCGAAGCCCGCCACTGGGACTTCTATCTGCAAGCGCACTCCGCGCTGCAAGGAACCGCCAAACCGGCGCACTATTTCACCGTCTGGGACGAGATTTTCCACCCCAAATTCCCCGCCAACCCGAATGGTCAGGGTGCCGCGGATGTCCTGCAGGACCTGACGCATAAGATGTGTTATCTCTTTGGTCGCGCTACGAAGGCCGTGAGTGTTTGTCCGCCTGCTTATTATGCGGATTTGGTCTGCACGCGCGCGAGATGTTACCTTGCGGACGTTTTTGATCCCTCCGCTTCGCCGGCTGGTAGCGTGGCTGGGGCTGAGAGTACGGAGTTGTCGAGCCTGCCTGGAGCGGAGAATTGGAGGCCTAATGAGGCTATCAAGAACTCTATGTTCTACATCTAGGATGTTTTGAATTGATGGATGGATGGATTGGATGGTCTTTTAGTAATTTGCTTTTGCCCCATGTTCGATGGGTGTTAATTTCCTTGGTTAGTTTATGCATTAGCTAGGCTGGACACGATTTAATTTCTTTGTGGTCGATAGCATATGATCAAATGAAGCTGTTGTCAAGTTGGAAGGTACCCAGAATAGCTAGTGCTGGTCTGATAAGGCAATGACGTTAGCCGCTCTGATAAGGACTCGGGGACGTTATATCTACAACTATCACATCGTCAGAACACCACATTACCAGGTGAACTGGCAATAGCTCTCCTACAAACTCGACATAATGAGCATTACACAAGAATTCTCATCCTGGTTCGCCCCTCCACAAATCCCAATCTCCCAACCGCCAGAAATCGGCAGCAACGCCCCATCATCACCACAGCTCTCTTTCCCACCCACAAACGGCAAGCCAACCATCATCTCATTCCTCCGACACTGCGGATGCCCAGGTAAGCAGCCAGCCTAGCGACTTTCCAAACACCTACAAGCACAACGAACTAACACACCTTGGTCCTAAAGTCGCAGAAGCAACCCTCCTAACACTCCGCACCTCCGCAGCCACGCACAACAATGTAAACTTCATCGCAATCTCGCACAGCGACTCCCCCTCAACACAAACCTGGCTCGATTCCATCGGCGGCCCCGGCTCAGTAACCGTCCTCGTCGACAACGAGCGCGCTCTGTACGCAAAATGGGGTCTTGGAACGGTCTCCTGGAGTCATGTTCTTAGTCCGGCAGGGTTGGATGGGATTTGGAGGCTTGGGAAGGAGGAGGGGATTTGGAATCGGCCGACTGAGAGTGGGAGTCGGTGGCAGGGGGCTGGGAATTGGGCTGTTGATGAGGGAGGTGTTGTTAGGTGGGGTGGGCCTGTGAAGAGGGTGGATGAGGTCGTCGATGTTGAGGCTGCGTTGGGGGCTTTGGGGTGTGGGTAGATCGGGTATTTTTTTGGTGGTTTGTTGCGTGGCATCTTGAGGTTGGGTTGTTCTTTCTTGTCGGAGGCTGCGATGCGTTCCCGCTTAGTGGGTTTGATTGTTTGGATGCACTTGTTTTTGTTCAATTGATGGCGCTTCGGAATCTTTGTCTCGCGATCATACGGACTGGGCATTCTGGTCGGCCCAAACAATTCTGGATGCCATCAAAGTACAGGCCCATACACAATACATTCTACTTCCAGTGAGACACAATATGTAATGAACTGATTGATTGATATCGACACAAAATAAAGACCTCGCTGTGGTAATTTTAATCTTGTACAGAAAAAAGCAAAGCAAGGTACATAGAAAGGAAAGATAAAGACCGAAGCCGCTCGAAAGGAAGGGGAAAAAAAGGTAAAAGAAACTAAAATCACCCGATGACAAAGGACTAGAAAACAGTCAGGAGACCAACCAGATGAATTGAACGCGTCCTCGACAGATTTGGTTCTGGGTTTCTCGTTTTATGGTGGGTATCGGTACACATCGCTCGTGATCAGGTTAGGCCGTGCAAGCGTCGTAGAAGGCGGAAGTAAAACAGGGATTAGTCTCGTGGCCGGTTCAGTAGGACTTCTTTTGAGTTTGAATAAATCATTGATTCTTTCAATGTCCACGCTTACTCCTCATCACCCATGGTCCAGCTGGGCTGGTTATGGGTGCGAGGGTTGCGCAGGGAAGTCGCTGGTTTGGTAGGGGGCGATTCGTCTTCCAAGGTCCAGCTGGGCTGGTTGTGAGTCTTGGGGTTGCGCAGCGCGATGGTAGTGCGGGTTGGCTGGGGCGATTCGTCCTGCATCTCCCAGTTGGCTTCCATCATCTTAACGGCCTTGCTGCGGTCCGAGGGCAGGGGCTTGGAGTTCTCGCTGTCGGATCGGCTGGGGACAGGAGAAACGTCGGTCATCTCCCAGTGGGCATTAAAGGTCTTATTGCGGTTCGCATTGTTGCCGCGCAGGCTCAGAGGCTCCTTCTTGGTCTCACGCTCGCCCGTCCCGGGCGAGCCTTCCTCGTCATACAGACGGTTTTCATACAGACCCTTGTCCCGGTTTCCGTAGGAGCTGACGATACGGCCGTCCTCCTCGTCGGTCACATCGTCAGTAATCTCGAAGTGTGCGCTCTGGTCCGGACGGGGCTTGACCACAGCCTCTCGGCGCGGGGGAGATTCGAGATCTTGCTCCTCATCACTGTAGCCGAAACCGCGGGCCTTCGCAGCGGGCTGGGGGTTCTTCTCGGGGGTCGAGAAGTCGCCAAAGTCCCATTGCGGTTGGTGACGCGACTTGCCACGCTGGACTTCGTCCTTGACCTCGTGCTCGGTGTTATCACCTCCAATCTCAAAGTGGTTGTATTTGCGGGGGTCCGACTTGTAGTAGGCGCGGTCTTCCACGGGCTCATCCTCATCACCCACAAAGATGCGGTTGGCGCTCTCGTACTTTGCGCCAGCCTTGGGGGCAGTCACTTTCTTGGCCTTGGAGGGTGTAGCCGGGAACTGGTCGTCATCGTCGGCGACGAAGATGTCGCCCAGGTCGCGCGGGGGAGGCTTAGCAGTCGATGCCGCATAGGGGCGCACTGGGGCACTGGTGTCGTGCTTGCTGGGCGACAGCAGCTCAGTCAAGGATTCCGCAGCGTAGGGGTCTTTAGTGTGTCGCTTGCCGGGGGAAGAGGGCCTGCGTGTCTCGGGTTCGCGCTCCTCCACATCGCCCTTGGTCGGAGACAGTAGATCGGTCAGAGAGGCCGCCGCATAGGGATCCTTGATGTGTCGCTTGCCGGGAGAAGAGGGACGCGGAGGCAGGTCGCCCTGAGAGGGCTGCAGAGAGGGCGCAGCCTCCTTCGCAGTCGCCGCAGCTTTGAGCAGGCGAGTCTGCTCCTTCGCTTCGCGGATGGGCCAGTTGCGGCCGCGCGCACCAATGACTTCGAGCTCCTTCAACAGCGAGCCCTGGTCCCAGTAGATGCGCACCTGCTGGATTTGATGTTCGGCATTGAAGTGGACGATGTGGAGCTGCACAAGTACCACATTAGTTTCGCTGCGGCGCGATCGATCGGGGATCATGCAGGGTTCGGGAATTTACCGTGGGGATGGTCACGACGCGATCCGCCAAAAAGTTATCGTCGAACGAGGGGAGATAGACGCCGCCGCCCTCGAGGAACTCCAGCGTGGTCTCGATATCCAGGCACAGTGAGTCGGAGCTCTCGATGGCGCTGATGACCTGCTCGGAGTTCTTCTTGACCACGCTGGACTGGCGCGACGCATGCACGGCGACGGCCTCGGCGCCATCGATGCGCGTCGTGGAGGGCACATAGATCAGCGACACATTGGCGGCGACTGGGGCATTGCGGGGGTTGGCGCGGAACTTCTGGTAGGAGTCCTTGAGGTAAGTCATGGTTGCCGTGGATATTCCAGATAGCACGATCTATCTGACGAGAGTGGAGGGAACACAGGGGGGAAAGGGGAAGAAAACAACGGCCCGTTTGTTTCCCTGCACGCGACGGTACGCAGCGAGTGGTACCGGGTACGCCGACGGCAGGCTAGACCCCGTCCAGGGGGCGGTACCAGGTACTCGAACCACTACGACTACACTCTGGACGAACACATTGTACACTGTGGAGGGCCGAATGTAAATACGCAGGGGCCACCAAAAACAGGCCAGTGTTTCACCACTGCCCGGAAGCCCCAGTCCCAATCCGTCTAGTGTTGGTATTGGATCTCTCCGGCAACTCATACATACATTGTATCCTCAGGTACAGACATGTAAAATTGCCTCTGCAGATAGAGTTCAAGGCAAAATGCAGAATGCCAGGTCTGCATTACAGGGTATGAGAATCGAATTGACGGATAAGCATCTGCCACATCTCTCGAATTTCGATCCCAATGCCACGCGTGCGAACGTCGATCGTTGCTCCTGCGGGCCCGAACCAGCTCCAGTCAGGGTCCTGCAAATAAGACAATAGCGATCGAGCATCTGCCTGCACCAGGGGAACACAACACTTAAAGGGGTGGACCCGGCCAGAATTACTGGTCCAGACTATATACTAGATATGACTCGACTGGTCATCTACAATTAACAATCCCTGTTGTCGCTGTCTAAATGCTCCCTTTGACTGATCAAGAATCACATGCGAAAGCCCGAAATCAATGCCATTGTGACGCAGTAGTGCATAAGCTCCCACTCGAGCCTGCGCGCAGCACCGTTTTCAGGGGATTCAGCCACGTGAAATGATCATGCCGATCAGCGAGGGTGGTTGTGTCCAGCAAATTGCCGGTGCATCGCGATGATTCGGGGAAGCCGGAGAAGAGGCCGTAGGACTTGGCAGGAAGGATAGCTGTAGAGAAAGACGCAAAAGCTGCAAGGCAAAGAAATGACAGCATGGCCATCTAGTGAGCATCCTTAGAAAGTATAATGGTGTGAGAAGAAGCAACTTGAGGAAGCTTAGAGCTTGGAAGTTGTTGGTGACGGCCGCCGCGAGCCACCCGGGGGACATTGTGTTTGCATTGTTTGTTTATTCTACTGGCAGTACAATAGCCATTACATACCAGTACTAGCAGTAGGGTATGTGTCCCTTCATCCATAAAAACCTTGAATACTTCTCTCGGCAACAGATTCCAAGGTAACGGCGTCAACTGATTCCTCGTGTTGGCATCAACCCTACAGTGAGATTTGCATATGCAAGCAAGCTTAGATGCATGGCATTGTGGACCCACGGGGAATCACTTTCGATTGGGTTTCATTGATTGGTGACAAATACCATGTAGAAACTCGCTTTGTGCAGGTACCGAACGCCATTTTCAATTTAGAAAATAATAACAATAGAGGTAGATTTGGTGTATTGGGTATGTGGTGTGTGCAGCTCGTATCTCGTTATAGGGGTCTTGAATAAGAATGGGTATATCAGTACTGGCCCCTTTCCATCAATGGAACAATTCATCTTTTCACTCACCCAAGGAAATCCTCCTTGATGGTACCGATGGCGTTGATTGCCATCACGTCGGGCTTAACACCCAAAATCTTCAGACGGAGACTGGTACCTCGCTCAATGACCTGGTCGGCGTGGTCGGTGTACTGGGGAGGCACAGTGTTCGGCTCCCACTTGATATCGCTGGGGATATTCTAATTTCAAAGTGAGTACAGTAGATCTATGGTTAGAAGGGAAAAGCAGGAGAAAAACATACCTTGCGCGCGATGAAAACGGACAAAGGACCAGCCATGGTGAAAATGCCAGTGGCCTTAACCGACGTGACAATCGCATCAACCTAGAGTTTCTCATTTCAGAAGGGTGTTCGAAAGATGGGACTCGGCCAAACGGCCTGCCACACGTGGTCTTCAAGCTTACAGTCTCGCCTCGGAATGGCTTCCAGATGATAGCACGATACTTGATGGTGTACTCGGCGTTGCCATTGGATGGAATAACGCGCCCTTCACCGACATCAACCATATCCATCACGCTGATCACAAAGTGGTCACCGGTACAGCGGCCCTCCTCCTCCGCGTTCAGTTGTCCGACGATGAGGTTGCGCATTTCCGGTCCAAAGTTGGACGGGTGCACGGAGATGGTCTTGGTCTCTTCCTTGAGGAAAAACATGGCGGCGGTCAGGTCCGAATCGACTTCGGATTATGTTGCGATCGGTTTAGACAGGCACCGGAAAGGTCCACGGTATGGATATCGCGGTCAATGGCCACTCAATTGTTAAGCACTACCTTAAGGTAGGAGCCGCAAAGGTCGCTCGGTTTGGAATGTGACAGGGTGGAAGGATGGGTTGTGGCGAATTGCGAGGAGAGGGCGGTGGATTGTGACGAAGTAAGTGGTAAGCTACGAGACAGGTGGTAGGAAGCTGTTGACTGAGTTGAGAATGTGGGCAGCTAGCTCATGGCTTGTCAGCGGGACGGCGCAAGGCAAAGATCGAACGACGGAAGAGAGCGTCAAAAAAACGGTTGAGACTCGGAGGCGGATGCGATGGTTGCGAGGGAGAAGAGGGGCAGCGATGCTGCGAGCGCGTGCTGGAGCTTCTTATGATGGCCGGACCGCCGTTCACTCAGCAGCGGATGGATTCACTGTCGAAAAGGTGAATATCACGTGATATGGCAAGTGCGAGAGACGTACACATTCACCGTCATCTTTTCGGAGCAGGTCCTTTCGGAATCAATCCCGTCTGTGTTTTTTATTCTTATGGCATGGCATAAGTATTTAATAATTTACCGGAATAGCAATTTTTTATTGGGTGACTGACTAAGCCGTCCGGTGCAGCACACTAATTCCCGACAATATATAATGACTTCCAGGCCCCGCGGGACATCACAGTGGTACGGTGCACTACTGGAAACAGCTGCTATTTTGTATACACTAGCAATGTCAGTGCAATGTGATATGATAAGGTGTGCGATAACCACACATGGTGTTTTGAAATTGAAAACTAACATTTGTTTGCACCAGCAATATCAAATGCTCTATCAAAAGATGTCAAAACTTGGGTCAAATCAAAGAAGGTGCATTGCCTATGAGGTAAGAAATAGATTCTGTAAACCAGGATGATACTCGAGGAAGACAAAGGGACAAAAGATGGCATGCCCGATGGCCGCATTGCCCCTCGATTACATTTAACTCAGTTGGGTTGTCGTGTCGCGTCCGGGGAGCTGATGACAATGGAAATAGACCGCAAACAGATATTCCGCGGCAAGGGAACCCTCGTAAATGTTAAAGTACTAAAGGTACGCTGCGAAGAAAGGATTCACATAGAGCACACCCCAGAGTTGGTGATTTACTGGTCACACGGGAAGCACCTACGTGGGCCTTGGTCTTGAAATTTTGAAGATTTATTGAGGGTCAACCAGGCTGATGAGGCCGGATACAATAAAACCTGGCAAAAAGGGCATATCGATTCTATCCTTGAGGTCTTTTGTGGAGTATTTCCTCAGATCACTTGCTCAACGAAGGCATGACAAGTTAGATTGCTCTCATGAAAGCGTCTTCGAAACTGATGCTGGTAAGCCGCAGCATGCAGGACAAAGAGGCATCTGAGAACGTAGTCAGACACGGGGTTCCTGTAGAGATAACCGTCAAAGAAAGCGTGAAAGCAATAACGCTGGACGAGGGAAGAAGAAGTTGGTAGAAAAAAATTACTTGAATAATTTTTCTGACTTGACTTGACTATAAGGAGGATTTGGTAATGCTTTGTTTCTGCACTTGGTTCATCTTAGCCATGATGACCGCGTTATTTAAACCCTTAAGGGTCGGGCATGTCGACACTGAATCTTCTTCATTTATCATCACTTGCACATATCCTTCTATACATAACCTGCTTCAAACATTGATTTTTTCACCCCCACAATGGCAAATTCAAGAACGGATAGCACGACCCACAGAGTGAAGAAGGCGGCTCGGAAGGTCAGGAGCAAGTTTTCTAGACATCAAGTTGGCCACACGGGTGTCGATGGGCTACCGGAAAAAGAGAACCTCTACTTGAATGACTTGAGACTTTTGAAGAGGCACCAGAACCCTGATGAGCCGCCTGGTCTCCCCGCGACCACAGACACACAAACGTTCCCGAGAATCGATAGAATCAACGATGATAATAGCAATGTTCCAGATGATTGGACCTGGCATGACAGGGATCTGGATCCAGAGTGGGTACAGAATGCTTTCCTCGAGGTATATTGATCTAATTTTGTTTCCCCAGGGATATTGATGCCAATATTGAAAGATGCGAGCGGCGAATCAAGCAAAACATCCTCCCCACTATCTGGGCCAGAAGATTGGCCGACTATCAAGCGAAGAGGAAGAAGCTTCATAACATGGTTATAGTTTGGCGTCCCATCACCGACCCAGCAATTATCAAACGCCTGGGAACGCTACGCTATTTAGAAAACAATTTGCTAGCCAACGTAGCTCCAGTGAAGGAAGCGAAGGAAACAAAGGAAACGAAAGAAACGAAGGAAGGCAAGGCTAATGACAAAGGGAAAAAGTTCGATTACGCCAGCCATCTGCCAAATATCAAAGCTATCATAGCGGCCTATCAAGCGGGTACCTTGGCGGCTCCCAATGGAACAACAGTCACCTACTGGTCCTGTGGAACTCTAGTCCAAGGACCAGAGGAATTCGACGAGCAGAGGTATCGGGAATGCGCCGAAGCCAACCGAGGAGAAGTTGGATTTTGGGTGGAGGGCGGAGAGGGCGTGAATCCGTTGGAAACATATGCCGTATATGATCCCAATTGCCTTCAATTCACATCCTGGCCGAACACGCAACAAGGTTTACATATGGTGCGTAGGAGTTCCGAAGGATAATAGATCTTCCGAGATGATACGTGAACTAACTAATCCTCCTTTTCCCAGATGAAATTTGCCGTACGCGTCCCCGGTGCCGCTGAAGACCGGTATTTCGAATTTGACTTTTTGGATGATACAGGGTCGTCGATCATGTTGATTTACCAGGACGATATCGTAGACCTGCAAGAGCTGTCAGGCAGGAACTGCCCACTTTTGAACACCGTGGGGCTGAAAGCACTCAACCGTGGTCTCATTACCCATACCTATCGAGTCGAGGTGAACATCATCAATGCCTGGGGGAATCCTGTCCTCCAAGATTGGGTATCGGTCCAGTGCGGAATACACCCAGGTGAGCGCAGAGAACTCACAGATAGAAGAATCAGCGGCCCCTGGATGAGACATGTCCTTTTCACGGGGACCTGCCCAACCAACGGCGAGAAACTGTACGTTGGTCCAAACAAAACTTCGGTGATCGACATGCTGCGCAGCGCACGCGCTCCCGGCATCCCCCCGAAATTACTGGAAGAGTACGGAGTTTACTAGTTGTGAAAGACAGGGAAATACCGAACCACTTCTATATGTTATATAATAGTATGCAGGCGACGGTCTGAGTTGGCGTTGACATAGATTGGTCTTTATTTGTGGTGAACTTGTGGGCTGGATTTGTTGATTTTTTGATTGTCTCTTTTGGGATACTGCGGAGCCCTTCTTATGCTATTGTGGTGCATGATATTTTGATATGATTGATAGTTTCTTTAAGCTGGTTTGTCTTTTTTGCTTTTCGGACGTTCGCTGTTGATTTGCTCTATTCCTCAGCGGTATGTTTCGTAGTGTATGAGGATACAGTAAATTACAACAATACCCGCATACCGAGACTGGCCATACGGTACCAGAACCACACCACTGGTGGCCCTCGGCCCACGCACATGCCCGGCGAGGACGGTTGCACCACTTAGCGGCTCCATATAAATGATGATGTAGTGGCATTCTCTCTTCATCGACCCCAACATTCCTGCCTTGGTTCCTGCCCATCTATCAGGATGGCGCTCAACCTCGAGAAGCAGCTGCTCTTCGTGAGTTCTTCCCTGACCAAGTCTAATCTCCAGACCATCCGGCCACAAGCTGACAGGTGCAGTATGGAGCTTACCACAACAACCCGGTACGATGCCCTTGCGATATCTGTCAACGATAATCCTTCCCACTGATCCTATCTGTCTAGGTGAACGTTGCGATTCACATTACCTGCGTCCCGATCCTACTCTTCACCGGGATTGTCCTCGTTCGTTCTCCCCCGATCCGCGCTGCACGAGCTGTTGGAAGCTGACACTGGAACCCTCGAATTGATTTAGGCATGTAACTGCCCACCACTCGTGACGCCTCCCGATGCCTTGAGCTTCGAGTATCTCCCCGTCAACGCTGGCACAATAGGTGCCTTTATCTACGCCATCTTCTACGTTCTCCTCGAGCCGGTCGCGGGTGGTCTGATTGCGCCGCTGGTGATCGGCTCCGCCGCCGCCGGCAACTACCTGCTCGGAACCCACGGCATGATCGTAAACTACTGGGCCGGCGGTATTCACGTTGTATCCTGGCTGGCGCAATTCGTCGGTCACGGCAAATTCGAGGGACGCGCCCCGGCCCTGCTGGATAACCTGGTGCAGGCATTGCTCCTTGCGCCGCTGTTCGTGTGGATGGAGATTCTGTTTTTCTTCGGCTACCGCCCCGAACTGAAGCAGCGATTCGACAAGAATGTGGAGAAGGAAATTGAGAAGTTCCGCCGGGAGAAGGAGCAGAAGGGGAAGGATGCCCAGTAGATGCCAGAACGTTTGCCGGGATTTGTTGGGAGTCGGTGGAGCTGGGGTTTCTTGGACGCGCGGGATCGTGGACAGCCGGAGTTCCCTTGGTTCTTGCGATGATAGTTATTCAAGCGTTTTGCGTGTGCATCTTATGTTTCTGTTTGTGATATCCGTATAGTTCTAGCGGAGGCTCTGCCTGTTGTCTTCTGGGGATTGATCGCGTGGAGATCCTCTCCTCGGGTAATACGTTACCGCTGCCGCGCAACACTTGTCGATGTGTGCTGACTGAATGGCTGCAGTTTGCGGTTTGAAATAGCTCAATATCGAATAACACACTGCTTCAGGTCGTATCCCACCGGAGAGAGAATCATTTTAATATATCTAAAGGTTGAGTTTACTCCTACTATAGATAACTGTACTGTACGGTTGCCGTGACGAAAGGCATTAGGTAAGCTCATCACTTGACCAGGGATTCCGCAGATCCGAGAAGAGAAAAAAACGGGAAGCACTGGCCCGCCTCGGAGCACCAGCCCCCAGTTGTAACCACCACCGGGGGTGGCCTCTGGCACAAAATAAATACAGTAGACGATTGTAGTGAATGGATGGAGTTATTTGACAGGTAGAATCCGGTGTATCGTCCCTGGGTGGCCACTTGAGAGCAGCGCAAACGACAGCGTGGAGGGTCGCACTAGGGCCACTTCGGAGAGACCACAACCCGGACGGGACTAGCGCGAGTCCTGAGAATCCTGGCCTCCCCCCCGAAAGCTCTCCCTCCCGTCCACAACCTTCTCTCTCCTCTCCCGACTCCTCTCCCCAATTACATCTCTCCTTCAGAGAATTCATCCTCCCATCCTCTGAACCCCCCTTTCATAATGTTCAGGAACGCTCTGCGGCAGTCCAGCCGCTCCGTTGCGGCCGTCTCGGCCACTGGCCGTGTCGCCTCGGTGAGTTCTCTCCCATGGCCATCCCCAACATCCATCGCCATTCCGACCTCTGCCATCTCAAATTCGAGCTCGATTCGTCCTCGGATCTCATCCAACCCCTTCGCCCATACTTGGAAGATGGCTCAGTCGCATTGGCCTTTCAAGAGCTCGTCGCTGACAAGTTTTTCGTCTCGCTATAGGTCCGCGCGGCTGTCCCCGGCCCCCTCGCCGGTGCCTCCAAGCAGGTCCGTTCCTACGCTGCTGAGGCCAAGGCCCAGCCCACCGAGGTCTCATCCATCCTCGAGCAGCGCATCCGTGGTGTTCAGGAGGAGGCTGGTCTCGCCGAGACCGGTCGCGTTCTGTCGGTCGGGTACGTCGAATCACCGCCCCAAGGCGGCTATGGGTGTGAAAAATTCGGTCACCGGTTACGATGTCGTTCAACGCGCCCACGCCTGCCACCACCCGATTCCAACTGGAAACAGCATACTGATTGATTCTCGAATAGTGATGGTATCGCCCGTGTTCACGGTATGACCAATGTCCAGGCTGAGGAGCTGGTCGAGTATGTTACAACCTTCCCCCAAATTCTTGGCATCCCCATTGGGTAGTTCACCGGTAAACTAACAACGCTACAGGTTCGCCTCCGGTGTTAAGGGTATGTGCATGAACTTGGAGGCCGGCCAGGTCGGTGTTGTCCTGTTCGGTTCCGACCGTCTCGTCAAGGAGGGTGAGACTGTCAAGCGTACCGGCGAGATTGTGAGTCCTCACCCCCAGCCCCCTGGGAAGGAACCGGAAATCATCGGGTCCTCCCTCATACCACTTCTCCTTTTTTCTCTTGTATACTAATAATTCACTACAGGTCGATGTCCCCGCTGGTCCTGAGCTGCTCGGCCGTGTCGTCGACGCTCTGGGTAACCCCATTGACGGCAAGGGCCCTATCAACGCCAGTGAGAAGCGCCGTGCTCAGCTCAAGGCCCCCGGTATCCTGCCCCGTCAGTCCGTCAACCAGCCCGTCCAGACTGGTATGAAGTGTGTCGACTCCATGGTGCCCATCGGCCGTGGTCAGCGTGAGTTGATCATTGGTGACCGTCAGACCGGTAAGACTGCCGTCGCTCTTGACACCATGCTCAACCAGAAGCGCTGGAACAACACCGGTGATGAGGCCAACAAGCTGTACTGTATCTACGTTGCCGTCGGTCAGAAGCGTTCCACCGTCGCTCAGCTCGTCAAGACCCTTGAGGAGAACGACGCCATGAAGTACTCCGTTGTCGTCGCTGCCACCGCCTCCGAGGCCGCCCCCCTGCAGTACATTGCTCCCTTCACTGGCTGTGCCATGGGTGAGTGGTTCCGTGACAACGGCCGTCACGCCGTCATCATCTACGACGATCTGTCCAAGCAGGCCGTTGCCTACCGTCAGATGTCCCTGCTGCTGCGTCGTCCCCCCGGTCGTGAGGCCTACCCCGGTGACGTTTTCTACCTGCACTCCCGTCTGCTCGAGCGTGCCGCCAAGATGAACAAGACCCACGGCGCTGGTTCCCTGACTGCCCTGCCCATCATTGAGACCCAGGGTGGTGATGTGTCTGCCTACATTCCCACCAACGTCATTTCCATCACTGATGGTCAGATCTTCTTGGAATCTGAGCTGTTCTACAAGGGTATTCGTCCCGCCATTAACGTCGGTCTGTCCGTCTCCCGTGTCGGTTCCGCCGCCCAGGTCAAGGCCATGAAGCAGGTCGCCGGTTCCCTGAAGCTGTTCCTGGCTCAGTACCGTGAGGTCGCTGCCTTCGCCCAGTTCGGTTCCGATCTGGATGCTTCCACCAAGCAGACCCTTGCCCGTGGTGAGCGTCTGACCGAGCTGCTCAAGCAGAAGCAGTACTCCCCCATGGCCGTCTCCGACATGGTTCCCCTGATCTTCGCTGGTGTCAACGGTTTCCTTGACTCCATCCCCGTCGCCAAGATCCTCCAGTGGGAGTCCGACATCCTTGCTCACCTGAAGAGCTCCCACCCCGAGATCCAGCAGGCTATCGAGAAGGAGGGCCAGGTCTCCAAGGAGCTTGAGGCCAAGCTCAAGGAGGTCATCGGCGCCTTCAACAAGTCCTTCAACGCATAGGTGAGAAAACACCTTGAGTGATCCATGGCTGGTCGTTCTGTTTTCCTGACTCTATGTGTATAGACAAGATAGCCTGTACAATTTTGAGCCCGTTGTTTCGTTCTGTTCCTAATGCGGTGCCGGCGAGCCCGGCGAATTCGTTGTCCTCTTGTCCCTGGATGTAGCGATCAACTAGCGATGGTAATGCGTCTACTGGTCCGGGGATGTCGACGACCTGTTCCGGCGGCCCTCTGGCTAAGCGGTGCGAACTCGGACCGGTTCAATGTGCTGCCAAAATGTGATTATATCCTGTACGTTTAGATTTTTTCCGCGCATCGGGGGGCGCGCGATGGGAGGGACACGCTTACTCCTATCTGGTCTCCATGTGTCTCTCCATGTTGGATCCGCAATTTATTTCATTTGTTCCAACTTGAAGCGTTACAAGTAGAGTGGACTCGTACAGAGATGTAGGAACCTGAATTGTATGGCTGATTTGACTATGGCATTATACGGGATCTACGAAGGTGTCATGTACGAAACCATTATCAACTCCGAGTATACTCAATTGTTATCCTCTTTACAGTTTTATTAAATTCAATAATCTGTACATTGATATGTTGTGCAAGTTCCACGCGGCATCCCATACACTCGGCATTGCGCTCTCGGCAGTGAGGCCGAAAACGGCTCCCGATGCTTATCGATAAGCGAACAATCTTTTTCCTTCGTTACGAAGTCCCCCGCGATCGACTAGCGTTTTGTCCCCCATTTTTCGCGACTTCCATACTTCAGGGTTATCGCCAGTCACCATGTCGGCCCCTACAGCTTCTGCTCCTTCCTCCTGCAAGGTCATGCTGGCCAAGAACGTGGCCAATGGTCTTTTGGGCGAGGTGCAAGAAGGCATCAAGACCCTCGAGAACCCGCCGCACTTGGTCGGCTTCCTGGCCAACGATGACCCTGCGGCTTTGATGTATGCGCAGTGGACGCAGAAGACCTGCGAGGAGCAGTAGGTTTCTATCTTTTTTCCCGATTTCGAGCTGTCAATTGCCTCTTTGCGGATGGTGGTGGGGTATCCATGGCTATGATTCACAGTGCCCCTCGTCGCAACGCGAAGAGGAACAATCGACCTTGGACCCCTCCCATGCCCATATATACGCCATAATGTCTCATATACTGACCCCAATGCAGCGGCTTCAAGTACTCCCTCCGCGAAGTCTCCCGCGACGACATCGAAGAAGCCATCCTGGCCGCCAACAACGACAACGCCGTCGACGGTATCATCGTCTACTACCCGATCTTCAACAACCGCCAGGACCAATACCTGCAGCAGATAGTCGATGTGCAGAAAGATGTTGAGGGTCTCAGCCACCGCTATATCTTCAACATGTACCAGAACATCCGCTACCTGGACGCCGAGACCAAGCGCCAGAAGTGCGTTCTCCCCTGCACCCCGCTGGCCATCGTCAAGATCCTGGAATACCTCAACATCTACAACACCATCCTGCCCTACGGTAATCGACTCTTCGGCCACACTATTTGTGTTGTGAACCGTTCCGAGGTCGTTGGTCGGCCGCTGGCAGCCCTCTTGGCCAATGATGGCGCCTGCGTTTACAGTGTCGATATCACTGGTGTGCAGAAGTTCACTCGTGGCGAGGGATTGAAGAAGAGACGTCATGAGATTCATGATATGGAGGGTGCCACTCTTAAGGATGTTGCCCCTCTTTGCGATGTTGTCATCTCCGGTGTCCCCGGTGAGAAGTACAAGTTCGATACTAGCTTGCTGCGGGAGGGCGCTGTCTGCGTTAACTTTTCGAGCGAGAAGGTGAGTTTTCATGGGGTTTCTTCGGATGGGACTGAGCTGATAATTCGATTAGAATTTCCCCCACGAGGTCCGCGACAAAGCATCTATCTTTGTCCCCTCTATTGGCAAGGTGACTATTGTCGTCCTGCTCCGAAACCTGCTGGTGAGTTTAATCCCTCTTCAATTTGAATAACGGTCTGGACCGAACTGTGACTGACAAAATTGCAGCGCCTCATCCAGAACAAGCGGGTAGACGACGTCAAGCCTGCCGCGGCCACTGAGCGCCCTGGAACCCTCGAGGCTTCCTCCTAGGCATTTCCTAAGCATTGAAGATTGACGGATATTACGAGGATGATACGTGAAAAATTATAAGTATAGATTTCCTTTTTTTAGCCTTTTGAATATAGCCGATGGATTGAAATGTTCATATGCCCTCTTGTGGATCTTTCATGCGAAGATGAACCGGTTTGGTAGAAACCTTGACGAACGTGATGTATTAAATTGAAGCTTGGCCCACAATGTTTTCACAAATTCTGCACCTACCTGCACCCACTGCTCCCTCGGAACTTAATTAGTAAATCGGTACATGAGGGAATTGAAAATTATAGTTTCCTCAACAAAGTCCAAAGAGCGGTTTCCATATCCAATATGGCGTACGCAATGTATCTCTTTCTGCCAGCAGTCTGTCTGCTGCTAGGCAAGAGGTAGATACAAGCCAGGGCAGTCAACCTCCCAGAACCACCCATGTTTTACCAGTAGAATTTTCCCTACCTGACGAGTACTACCTTGGGGTAAACAAGTGGAGAGTGATGTAGCTTTGCCAACATCTGTCCAAAACCATCAGGACTGAACACCCAAAAATGTGGGTAACTATAGCTACGGTCTCTTCATCCTGCCAAAAGAAAAAGAGCCAGAATAATGAAACCCAAGCTAGAAGGTGCCCTCACCCCAGACCCCATGATTCATGGCGCGATGCAGAAGCGAAATGCACCTGGCCGGCTTTCAGGCCGCTTTTACAGCAGCTTAGCGTCTGGAACGACTGCTCCTGCACATCTTCTCCCGGGAAAGCAACGCAGGCCTCACTTTACCCAAACTCTCCGGTACACCACAGTACCTCACTGTGACTGATTTGCGGGGAACGTGAGACGAGTCGTACAAAAAAGGAGACTGCTAAGCCGACGTGCATGATACAGACCAATTACATCGGTATGGGAATATCAGGTCCCACAGGGAATTTGCTGACTGGATGCTCTTCAACCGCCGCCAACTTGGCAAGTGTACGATCCCTGGACGACTCGAACATGCTCGACCTTCGATTGCCGATCGCGTGGTTGATGGACTTTATGCATCCTAAAGAGGGGCGGCTGTGAGGCTGTGCGGAGCAGCCGTGCGAGATCGAGAGCGAGGGGTCTGTGTGAAGAACGGTTAAGAATCTGTTGGGTCGAGTTGGCTTTGCAATTTCGAGTGTGCGTTTGAGTCCTATACCGCGGCATCTGGACCGGTCCTCTTTTGTCCTTCTGTCATTTTTGTCACTGCCGTCACCAACCTCGTCTACTAATTATACACCATGGCAGGAAACCCTCTCAACTCGAACCGTCCCCTTCGAGTCATCATCATTGGAGCCGGGGTTAGCGGCCTATTGATGGGCTATAAGCTTCAACGGAACTTCGATGACCTGGATTTTACGATATACGAGAAGAATCCCGACGTCGGCGGTACCTGGTATGAGAATCGGTATCCCGGCTGTGCATGTGATAATCCCTCGCATACGTATGTCTGGTCCTTTGACCCGAATCCGACGTGGTCGAGTACGTACGCCTCGTCTTCGGAGATTTTTGAATATTTCAAGCGGTTCCAGTTCCGGAGTAACCTGGGCGAGAAGACGAAGATTTCACACCAGGTTGTTGGTGCGAAGTGGGATGATCACGCTGCGAAGTGGGAAGTTGAGATCAAAGATTCCGTGAAGAATGTTCTCATGCGGGATTCTTGCGATGTGCTTGTCAACGCGGGTGGAATTCTGAATGCCTGGAAGTGGCCGACTATTCCTGGATTGCATGATTTTCAAGGCAAGCTTGTGCACAGTGCTTCGTGGGATCAGAGTCTTGATCTGACCGGTAAGCATGTGGGATTAATTGGGAATGGGTATGTCGAATAGACTTATTGAGACGGAAAATTGGAGAAAGTGACGGACGTTGACTACGTGGTATAGATCATCCGGCATCCAGATTCTCCCGGCCATCCTGCCGCAAGTCTCCAAATGCACAACATTCATCCGCGAGCCATCATGGGTTGCCGTCGCCGGATTTGCAGGATTCGAGCCGAGGAGATTTGAAAAAGCGGAAAAAGAGACATTTGCCAGGGACCCCGGTGCCTTACTCAAGTTCCGTCGCTGGCTCGAACACAATATGAACAAGGTATTCCCGTTATTCATCGCCAACTCTCCGGCACAAGAGCAATCGCGCGAGCTCTTCGAGACTTCTATGCAGGGTGTTTTGAAAGATCCCGTTCTTGAGGACCAGCTTATTCCTAAATGGGCGGTGGGGTGTCGGCGCCTCACTCCTGGAGTTGGATACCTGCAATCTCTGAAGCATGAGAAGACGACTGTTGTCTACGGTGAGATTTCAAGGATCTTGCCCCGAGGCTGTGCCATGGAGGATGGAAGCGAGCATCCGGTGGATGTCCTCGTGTGTGCGGTATGTCAACCAGGCGTGACATAGGAGTCAAAGGACAAACTTGCTAATTCAGGGCCAGACTGGATTTGATACCACGTTCAAGCCGCGTTTCCCTTTGATCGGTCCTCACGGCCGTCAGCTTGCCGACGACTGGAAAGATGAGCCTCGGAGCTACCTCGGAGTTGCCGCTCCTGGGTTCCCTAACTATTACATGTTCCTTGGACCAAACAGTCCGATTGGAAACGGGCCGGTCTTGATTGGAATTGAAGGTAGATAAGCCCCGCGACTTGTCCTAAACCAAACAATCCAGCATATGCTAAACGAGATACAGCCCAAGCCGACTACATCTGCAAACATATAACCAGAATCCAACAACAAGGCATCAAATCAATCGAAGTAACCAAAGAAGCCGTGGACGACTTTATCGACTTCAAAGACATATACATGAAAGACACAGTCTGGAAGCAAGACTGTCGATCTTGGTACAAGGGCAACACAGCCGATGGCAAGATCGTGGCCTTGTGGCCGGGAAGCACGATCCACTACGTCGAAGCGATGCAGAACGTCCGATACGAGGATTTCAAGGTCAGATATTTTGGTAATCGCTTTAATTATCTGGGTAACGGGATGACGAAGACCGAGATGATGCCTGATGCGGATTTGGCCAGGTATATTCGGACGGAGGATGATGCTCCTATCATCGGGTCGAAGTTTGTCTATGCGAAGGCTACGCCTGAAGAGACTTCTAATGATGTTTCGTTCGAGACTTTGACCTCGAGTCCGAGTGCCAAGTTGTAGCTCTGAGAGGGATGTGGTCTCGATCTAATGATTTTCCTGCTTTTTTTTCACTTAGCGGAGATAATCAATATGAAATGTGATAAGCCGAAAGAGTTTGAGAATGTTTTATTCATCGATTATGTTGACAAGATGTGTCAAATTGGGATATTTTTCACCCCAGGGCTTCCGACGCAATTTCCAATTTTTGAACTCATAGATATGCTCTTCAAATTCAGAGTTCAAAATCGATTCGCCGTGGTCATTTCTGATCAGATACTCTCTTCCAGATGGCCAATCAACTGTTATTGATTCACCAATGGCCTTGGTAAATGAGACTCGTTGGACCGGATCAAGGGTGGAAATGAGATATTCCCTTAAATCAGGCCAGGCTAGGAAGTCAATGCAAAGGGCATGCGGCTGTGTGAGTTGAAGCGTCGAGGGCCGATACCAGACAGGGATATCCTGGTATGTCTCGTCAACTGGATAGACGCGCCACTAGAATTTCATACAGCGTTATTAGTATGAGATGATATCAAGACCGGATGAAACAACAATGACGTGAGAGGCTCACCCGCAGTAAGCGGTAAACAATGAGATAAACAGCAACGGTATCCACGACCGTCGCAGGGCCCAGTCGCTTCATTATCCTTCCCAGGAACTGAATCACGGGATTTGTGTCATTTTCCAGCAGTAGCAGATTGGATATCTTCGGTGTTCGAGGATATATTTGTGCATCGAGTTTGTCTTGCTGAATTGCCACGTGAGCATCCAATAGAAGACGCAGGGACCCATAACAGAAGCAGTCCATGATGGATTCGTGTGCGCCTCCGCAGAAGCATTCGCATGGAATTATACTGGGAGGACCAATGCTGTATATAGAATCAACTATTGCTGGATTCGATGCATGGGAAAGGACCTTTGGAGCACTATATGTCTGCTCAGTCAGGGTTGAATTTACATTAGCACTGCTATGTCCTGAAACTACAATAGAAATACTGGATAGTCCTACCGAGGTCTTCGGAGTATATTGCTGCAATGTTTGTATTTGACTTTGAAGAGAATCAATCCTGACCATTGCAGAAATGAAATCCCGCTTCAGAAGCTCCAGTTCACTCTGGATATTCTTCATGCGCTCTCTTCCATGCTGTCTTCGAATTCGTTGATTTTCCCGATCTAATTGCCGTTTCCGCTCTAGCTGTGCACTGGTGCGTACCCGTACTTTGAGTGTCGAAGATCTCCTCTGTTCCATTTTAGGTAGCCCTAGAGCAGTGGACGATGTCGTACGGGCAGAATCATCGGGATTATTCCCCGCTTTATATGACCAGACCCACTGTCATCGGGTTGCATATGCGGGGCTTCTACCCCCCGCGAGGACAGATCTGATACGCGCCGCTCTGGAGACGTGCATGAATCACAGTCCTGAGCAAACATATAGGTGGCGTGGACGATATCGCTTGCGCTACTGCATAGCCCCTCTTCTTGGCTGACGCTAGAAGTCCAACTGATCCGTCTCTGTTGCAGGACTTCACATATTTTGTGTATGAGATAAGAAGGAGGCATATCTTGGGTGTCTTGATTCAGATCGAAGATTCAATTAATTTCCCCTTCCCTGCGGAATATTCATGATGACAGGAACTAAGTATCCCCTCTCTACGCAGCTTTGCATCAATGGGAAGGTGAGACGAGACTGCTATTTATTACCAAGTTAACCATTAAAATTAACTAAGCTGTCTCTACCGTAGTTGGTGGATAGTCACAATCTGAACAGATATTCTCTATACAGTCCGGTCGATGACTCCTTATTCTGTGACCAAGTGCAATATGCAGCAGCACAAGATGTGGATTTAGCCGTCGAGTCCGCAGAAATAGCATTCAATGGTCCGTGGCGCAAGTTCACAGCCGCACAACGTGGGGAGGCACTTTCAAAGTTAGCTGTCATGTTGCTAGAGCACAAGGAGGAGCTAGCATACCTGGATGCAACTGCTATTGGGAAGCTTGGAGCTGAAACTGAAGTTGAATTTGCAGCATCGATTCTAAGATGTACGTGCCTTACCATCTGGTTAGAGTCAGAAAAGGCTAATAATATGACAGACTATGCTGGTTGGGCCGACAAATACCCAGGCGAATCATTCCCCGGCGAGGACGGCTTCGTCAAGATTGTTCGACATGAACCGCTCGGTGTCTGCGCCGGAATAAACCCCTGGAATGGCCCCATCGCCACAATGTGTCTCAAGATCGGACCTGCCTTGGCCATGGGGAATGTCATTATCCTGAAGCCTAGTGAGAAAACACCCCTTGCATCGAACAGGCTCGCCTATCTGGCTTCCGAGACAGGAATTCTCCCACCTGGCGTTATCCAAAGCTTGTCAGGTGATGGAGCAACCGGGGCAATGCTGGCGAGCCACATGAAAGTACGCAAAGTGAGCTTTACCGGCTCCGTCGCGACCGGAAAGAAGATTCAGGAAGCAGCTGCGAAGAGTAATCTCAAGCGAGTCACGCTGGAACTGGGCGGAAAGTCGCCGTCTGGGATTTTCGAGGATTGCAGCTTTGACAACGCGGTATGTTGGTCTGTTTTTGCCATCACCCAGATTACGGGCCAGGCATGCTTTGCTGCGAGTCGAGTCTATGTCCAAGAGAGTATTGCAGAGAAGTTTATCGAGGCGTTTACGAAGGGCATGAAGGAGAAGATGAAAGAGCTAGGCCCGCTTGCCGATAAGAGCCAGCTTTCTCGCGTTTCATCCTTCATTCAGAATGACGCTGGCCGAACCAAGATTCTTGTCGGTGGAAAGCAGCATGGTAACGAAGGCTGCTACTGGGAGCCGACAGTCTTCTACAACCCAGAGAAAGATGCCCAGGTGTACAAAGAGGAGATCTTTGGTCCTGTGGCATGTGTCAGTACTTTCAAGGATGAAGAAGACTTCTTGCGTCTTGCTAATGATTCTGAGTTTGGCCTTATGGCTGGTGTTTTCACGCAGGATATCAATCGTGCCATGAGAATTTCCTCACGCTTGGATAGCGGGGTTGTTGGAATCAACTGCGTTAGTACGATTAGTCTGCAGACCCCCTTCGGCGGGTCTAAGCAATCAGGTATTGGACGAGAGATGGGTCACTATGCTTTACGCAGCTTCAGTGAGCCCAAGACTGTTCTCATCAAGTAAGTGTTGAGGATTTCAGTTGATATAATCACATGCTAACATTATTGCAGCATGAACTATTGAACTGTTGTATTGAGTTCTTGAAAATAGTAAGACAGCGTCTCTAGCGATCGCATCCTGGCTGGCTTCCGAGAATGCATTACAACTAAGTTAAGATGAGATAATTTGAATGCAGATAAGGCCCGGACAATCTGAGTGCAAAATGCATACCCTATATAGTATGTAGATTTCGAAAACCCTGTACATGTGCGAAGATTAGGGTTGCCAGACCCATCTCAATTGCAAGGCCCAATTAAGCGCTGAGAAGTCGTGACATCCGCCGAAAGAGACTTCAATGCAGAAGCAAGCTCATTGGCAGCCTGGAACAGAGTCTGATCCGATAGCGGCTCAAGTGCATCCAGAATGAACAAGACGCGCGTAGTCTGGTCCGTCAACGCCGTACGCGGACCCTGCCTCCAATTCCACCGCCGGCAAGTGATACCAGTCTCATCACACCAGATCGGCTCACCTGGCGCAGCGATCTCCGTCTGAGCCTCACCACCCGAGAAAGTCTGGAACGGCTCCTTGCCGGTGGCGCGGACCAGAAAAGCCGATCCGTCGTATTTGTCGAGATCTTCGCCACCGAGGGGAATTTGATACTTGACGGAGATGGCATTGTAGATATCCGTCAGGCGGTTGACGCGCGGGAGACCGGCCTCAGCTCGACGGGTTAATGCCTCGAGACTGTTGCGTGTTTTGTTGGGTTTGGCGCCGAATCCTTTGTATGCTTCTCTCCATGCGGCGATGTGTGGGAATTCGGTGATGGGAGTCTTGCAGGCCATTTCTTTGACGTGGATTTCTGCTTCGTGTAGGAGTGTCTCGCTCGTGTCATCGCTGGAGCCGGAGGGAATGCCCTCTACGACCATCAAGAGGGCGCGGTAATCGGGGCGCAGTTCAAAGATTTCTGGGGCCACGCGGGCTGCTTGGAGCAAGGTATGGGTTGTTGTGGTGGCCATCGCTGTGGCTTCAGATGTTAGAACAGCAAAATCAAGAACAGTGAGTGGTCGGCAGAATGTAGAAGAGTGTTTGAGAGCAAAGGCAGGCTGCTCGAGATCTGAAGTAGATATACCGGGGATATTCGTGTCAGATCCTCAAGACAAGACGAAAGATAATAATGGATCGCAGGGGCCTGAGATGACAACTGTCCATATAACGAAAAAAGTTGCCCGCGATCTCTATTTCTATTCAATTTCTGATCGACCAAGCTAGAAAAAATCGTCAGTAGATGTCGTTCACGTCGAGTGGACGCCCGTTGGCCCCACGCAACACAACTTCCCGACGAGGCAAATAGTGGGGACGCAGTACCACGGCGTGGCCATCTTAAGGATTGTAGAGCCAAAGGCATTTCGCCGTTAGGCTCGGAGAGTTTTGTGAGTCAAGAAGTGAGGGCGCCGTCATCGGTAAAGTTTACATGACCACGTGCCGTTGCCATGCAGAACTTACTGGTCGAGGCTCCTAGATGTCACCAAGAAGCGAACTCGATATATTGGAAGATTAAAGCATGTCATGACAGTATGAGGCAGAACACTTAGCCACGTGCCGATGTATAAAAATTTTCCAGGTATTGTCAATGTAATATTGAGACCTGTGATCTACTAGATATGATTAGTTTTGCCGTTTCTGGGTTGGCGCCTTAATACACCGTCACGTAACCTCTCCCCTCCGTTGTTCCAACATAAAAGACCTGATCTCGCCCTTCCGACCTCTTTTCTCCTTCTCCCCCTTCCTTCGACTCCTCTACCTTGCACTCATCCCCGGCCCTTTTTGATCCACTCCGGCCCCCACCGACTAGTGCGCCTTAGCTTTCAGCCCGACGCACTGCCCCTTTATTTTACTGGAGATGCTGCTCGATCTGTTTCTACTCCCCTGGAATGGAGTGGTCGCTTAGAAGCAGAATCGCTAGGATGATCTAGCTTGTAGCCGTATTTGTGTGCTTTTGTGTTAGTACTCTAACTTCTTTCTAAAGACTGTGACTCCTATTATGCTATGAAGCTATCTAGGTCTCTGTCTGATAGTGCACCTTGCTTATCTCTGAGCCCGCTGCTCTCCTTTGTATCTGTAATGTGCTAGTATGTGTTTGATGCTATATATCCCGCTCTATCCGCCCTATCTGAGGTTATAGTATATAGCCCTGGTGTCGTAGAATAGCTCGTGGTTGCCTAGTTGTGAATGGTGATGGTAGTTTTAAAGATTGCGATAGGAGTAACTCACGATTGACTTCATTTGCCGCCCAACGACGAAAGTTGTAATGTCCGATATCATCTTCAAATCGAGCATCTCGGCCCACTTGGCGTGGTCCTTGCGCAAGTCTCACAATTTCACCGCGACGAGCGATATCAGATATTACCTGCATATGCCCAAGATGGAACTCAAGTCTCCTCAATTTTCTAAGAGGGTTAAGAGGGTTAATCTAATATGACCATTTATTATCCTAGACCGCTAGCTAATAAGAATTGACTGGATCAACTGTGGGGTCTTCCTGCGCACCCATCATTAAGTCATAGTCTAGAAACATGCTATTGATTGACAGCCACGACATATCTGAGTATGATGCAGAAGAGCCCCATCTCATAATATCGTCTAAGGTTGTGAGATTTGGTCGTGCAGCAGTGTTGCTACCGGAAGTCGTATTCTGATCCATTCCAGGCTGTCGTGGCTGTGTGGTGGGTTCCTGCCCCGCGGTGGGAATAGCTAGATCCGACAAAGACTCGAACTCGGCCTCAGATCGTGGAAAAATCTGAGATTCGGATGGGGGGCAGTCGTGAGAAGATTCAATCTTCATCAAAGTTGCTTTCCACGCTCTTGCAACTTCCCATGTTTCGCTGGCTTTTGATAGCCATTCGAAACCCCAATTGAAAGACTCTACAACGCTTCCGTGTCGAAGACTCGTCGCTGGCCATCTCTTAACGTATGAAAGTATAGTAATAGCGTTAAACACGCAGTAACATGTAAAAGGCACATGCAAAGTGAGACCTTGGCTCGTGAGCTCATTCATCATTCGAATGATTGACAACGCACTCTCGGACAAGCGATTTGCGCTATCCTTCGGCCAGTCGATGGAGGCACCTCCACGAAAGGATGCTGACTCAGGCCTATCCATCTCCTGGGCGTTGCGAGGGACAAGAGGGACATGCTCGCGGTACAGAAAAATCGTGGTCAAAAAAAAGATCAAGTTTACCAAAGCATATCGCTCTCCCTGTTTGCGTGATATGAAAGCTTGCAAGTGTGAGCCCGCAAGTGTGTAATGAAATCGCGGAGGCTGTATCTCTCGCCAGTCTTTAAGCGCCATGAGGCTGCGAGTCCAGAACGAGCTGAGATTCCGAGTGCCCTCCGTCAAAATTGTTGCTCCGGACCGATTTCCACCGGTAGAGATCCACCGGGAAACTTCGCACCATATGTTGAAGCCCTGTATGACCAGTGCAAAATCTATTTCGTGGCTGTTCCCAGTTAATCTTTGCATGTTCGGAGGGTCTGAGTTTTCGAGATCAAGCACTTCCAAATATTTCGGATCATCTGTACGGCAGACACCGAAGGCATAATCCTCGTCAGATGTTGGAAGCGGTACATTGTATATTTTTGCGTGAAGGCTTAATGAGCGAAGATGACCGCATCCGAGAAGGGACTCTATCATAAGACAAGCCCATAATGTTCGACGCGCCTCTTCCGTTTCTGTCTGAAGCGCATCTTTCGACTTGTGCGCCTTCTCATTGGCTAGCCGGGCAAGGATTGAACAACAATTTCTGGTTGCCATTCCTGTATTTCAATCATCAGAGCCTGAACCGATCATATAGGCCGCGACAGATCTGGGGAAGAGGGCTTCAACAAGCCCCGTGGGCAGTTGGGGACGCACCGATATATGTCCACGCCTGGACCCCTTTGGCAGAACCCCAATCATGAAAGCTCAGCAACAACAGAGCCTGCGCTACGGAAATTTCATATCCCCTGGCTGTCTGACAAGTAATCTTGGACCGTAAATAAGCGGCAAAATGCTCAGAAGCAGATTGAGAACCGCCATGACGACGTATCAATTTCGGAATAAAGCGCGCACACACTGCCAAAATGCCACAGAATCGGAGATCCAGTGCACGTTTTCCGTAGATCAATGAGAGCAAGGTGGGACCGTGTAAGAAGCTGAACATTGCAAAGCGCTGCTGAAATATCTCGACCGCAAACAAGACGGTCTCCTGGTCAACTTCTGCCAGTGGATTTTCAGGATTATTCGGTGTAATAATTGAGTTCGACACTTCCGTCATTGATAATACACAAGGAAAATTGGTGAAGTTGTCATTTTGAGAGCTGGCCGCCCCTGACAAAGACTCTGGCGCTGCTCTCGGAGTTTCTGCCTGTGCAACAGAGCTGGCACGGCTCCTTTTGGCAATTTGAGCACCTTGTCCTACACGCCCTAAGGCCGAGAAAGGACTGTGAGTGGCTTTTTTCCGTGGAAGGCTCAATATGCACTCGCGAGACGAATTCGAGGCACAAGCCTGGCAAGGGGGTACCCCATCGTGTCGGCATTTAATTTTCGACTTGCGACACCATTGGCAAGACATGCTCGCCCTCATCTTGAAGACTCTGCCAATCTGTTGTCGAAGTGGACTGCGAGCCGGCACCTTGGAGGCGAAATTCGAATGAGACTTTCATCACTGATTGTAGCCACTGGAACGCAATTGATTACAAATTGCCCTTGGCAGATTAAGCGGCTGTTTGATTGGTCAATTAAAGCGGTCTGGTCTGAGAGCATAAACTTGTCTGCTTTCTCCCGCTCCAACCCCTTCCTAAGTTTCTGTTCTTGGGAGGTCCAGGTAATCAAGTATTTTGTGGCCAATGAGCGTCATGTTATCTCTCGAGTACTGGATGGACATCAATGAACGAATCCGGGCGCTGGGACGGACGAAGATCTATGTAGAAGATGCGGCGGATAGCAGCCTCTGCTGTATCCTATAGGAAACAGTTTCTTTCTCGCTCAATTCCAACACACCATTTACTTCCTGTGATTGAAGTGTACAATAAATAGTCCATTGATAGCCGAATCGAAAAATTGGCGTCTTCCTTCAAACTACGAGTCACCGACGCAGATGATCAGGGGCCTGCAGGTAGAGTGTTCGACTCCCTCTCTCTCTCATTCAGGAAATATGTTCGCAAGATGGATTCGTGACTCAGCTGTGGTTAGAATTGCGTAAAATTATACGTATTCATATACAGTTTGACTGAGTATAGCGCCTATATGCCGCCACATCCGCGGACTGCGGGTTAGATGTCGGAGCGGATACCCTGAAGCGCGGCGCTGACCTAAAATTCTCGTAACCGGATATCGGAACTTGACAGTCCCCAACTTCCTGCGGTGAATACTTCCCAGAGACATCCTATCGGATACGAGGGCCTGATTTTCAGTCGGACATGGGTTGAGAGAAATTCGCTTCATAATGAAGCTTGTAGCTTGGGAGCAGAGTTAATACAGTTAATACAGTTAGTTACAACAAAAGCTCTACTGATGATTTATCGTTGATCGGCGATGAATTGGCAAGCTCACTGCACAATTCTGTAATCTGATTTCGAGTTATTCAAGTATTTCCCTAACTACAGAATACAGAAGCGCGTGTTATCATCCCAGCTTTCAGAGGAATGCCAATGTTGAAGCACCTCTCACTTTCCGCGCAGACGGCGAAATCAAAACCCGGTGTGCTGAATACACTCGCATACTTGGGTGTCAGCCGAATTCTGGTGGAGGTAACTTTTGCTAACGGTCTCAACAAGGCTTAGTTCATCTTTTGCCTGAATATTTCAGGGCCCAGGTTGTGGCACCTTACAGCTCTTCAGGTCGTATACACTTCTACCATTTATGATATTAACTACGGCTACATGCAGCCAATGGACTGCTTCTCGACGATACAGGCATTCAAGCGGTTGGTGACATATTACGTAGGTTGACTTGGTCTTGACACTTTGTCTTGGTACAAGTTAGCCTTTTCGGCGTTCGGAATCCGGCTTTCGCATTTCGCATTTCGCATTTCGCATTTCGGGACCCGCTTCTCCACGATACATTCCATTCTTCGGGATATGTTTGCAATTGCTCTCACTGCCTGCAGTACGCCACCCGACCTTGATTAGTGGCCCCCTCAAGTGGATGCTTCGGAAAGACGGAATGTGAAAAGCGCCCAAACAGGCCTTTTGCGTCAAACGAAACGTGGATACTGAATTCGCCGAGTGGATCGGGGTGAAGGAGCAAGTCTCCTACCATGACTAGCGAGAACTAGATGCCCGAGAAGCCACCATTGACCAGGGCTGGAACCATCGACGATGACCGAGATACTTCAGTACTGCCCAGAACTCCACTCAACCTCGACCTCGTCAGGCTAGTGTGCGGTTATTGTCGAACAGACGCGATCTCAATCTCATGACTCAGTGTGAGTGCCTGCTTCCTGACGAGCCAGCTCGGTATCTCAACCGGCGCCACGGCGGCAGCTGATCCGAAAACCAAGGAACCGGCGCTGGAGCTTTGTCTCAGCACCAGGGGTAGGGTTCCGATTCCATTGAGCGACATTCCATTGACCGACGTAGTGATCAGTCAAGCCCAAGGCATTTACAGCGGGATGGTTCAGTTCGGCCTGGGTGAGACAATCTGGTGGACAACAGACACGTGCAGGATCTCGAAATGCACCTACAACCATTGTCAAAGTCGTCTCCAGGTTCTCGTCTAATCCTGAGGCCCTGAGGCAAGGACATATAGATAACGCTCTCTCACCGTGCATAATCTGACAAATATCTTGTCAGCTCAACGCAGCCAGATAGTAGTATATCCCCGTTGAATTGTACTGGAGTGTTGTCTCTGGCCTGTAAGTGTTCAACTGATGATCCAAGCCGTCCGTCCGTCGCACTACGCAGAATGAGTAATTTGTCGAGGATAGCCACAGGCTATTCAGGGATATAGAGGTCAATATTTCTGCATTATCTCTGACTTCTCTATTCTTGGCTTTTTTATCCAGGTCCCTTATAAAAGAGGAGCTGAAGGTCTCAAAGAGTCTTGCCCTTTTACATTGTATCAAGCTATGCATTAAGACAAGCATGTTTTAGTGCGTGAAGAATTTAGTGCGTGAAGAAAGCCTAGTTATCAGGAAGTTTGCTTCTATTTCTTAGATATTAATAAGGAACAGCCTGCTCAGTCCAGATCGTGCTGTATAGTAGAACCCATAGAGATATGTCCTCAGCTCTCGAATGTTACAGCACAAATACTCTCCATATTACCAGTGACTTTTAAACGGAGAGACTCATCCTCGCAATTGCATCTCAGGGCTCTTCCTAGCAGAATGCCACGACAACCTTCGGCATAATAACCGTCGTTAAAGCCGTATCCAGTACTAGATCTCTATTGTCAGAGCAGGGTATTGACCCATTCCGAAAAGTCTAATATAGTGATTGGCTCCACTGAGCGGCCGAAAATGGGAACTGCAGCACCATTCGAGAACTGACTTAATATGGTAAAGATTCTAATGATGGCGCGAAAAATAGCCGATATTCTATCAAGTGCACGTTAGACTATAATTATACGGAGGTTTTCAAGATTCCGGTTGCCCTAGTTACTAAAATCCAAAATTGAGGCGGTGGAAACTATTAAATCATTACTAGAAATTGAGAATACACTAGTTACTTGTTAGAATTAATAATAACATTAATGTATACTCCACCATGGTAAATTGCTCACTTCTATTAGCTATTATACCTTTATAAACACTACCTCTAACTTGTAAATATGTAGAAAGTTTATTTAATGTTGTATAATTAGAAGATAAGGAACTAGTATTGATGCTTTAGTTCATTGAGTTTGAATACCTTTTGTTTGGGCGTAAGATTGCAAAGTGACAATGCAGTGATGCTACCACAGTCCCATGGTATAAGGTCTATACTTTGGGCCCGGTACCTGAATTAGCCCGTTGGTTTGCTTTTGTGGTGGGCTAATTCAGGCTGGCCTGTGTGGGTGTCATGGGTCTCTGTGCGACACGGTGTCAAATGGGAAAGCCGAACCGAACCTGAAATACTAGCGCACCACTATTTAGTACTTTTGGAGGATCCCCAAAGGCCCTGCGAATCCATGAGTTGATGAAATACCAAATATTGCTGTTTCGCGGGCCAGCGACAGTTAATTCTGGATGTAACCGAGTAAAAAGGTACCGCATTAAAGGAACTATCACTAGCGTCATTAGGAGAGGCTTTTCGTAACAAGCAGCCTCTGAAAGGTATTCGAAAGACAATACATGAAATACAGTCTGAAAGTCTTCGATGATGGATCAGTACATGGCTTGCCAAGTTGGACGGAATTATTTACCCTGTGTCTTCATTAGGCCTCATGTTCCAACATTTCGACAGATCCCACTTTAATGAAAGAACAGATTCGTACAACAGAAATCTTCAATATGGAAGGCTCCAGGCTCGTATTTACAGCTACTTTCGAGGTCCAAACTTCTCCCAAGACTCTGGAAACCCAGATCCTCGCACCCACAGGTCTTTGAAGATCAATCCCACCGAGTCCACAGCTAAAATTTCGTGGTATATTAAAAAGCGAATTCAAGAAAACTGGGAATGATAAAATCTTACCGATATTGCCGATCTGGAGCCACATATCTCCGCTGACAGGAAGTTTCTTTCCGGACACCTCATGGGGACGGCAGAGCTCCTCTGCCATGGCGACAGTACGAACAAATTTAGCTAAGTGGCCGTCATCAGTCGGATGAAGATAGCTCTTGGCGAAGACTTCCGGCCAACCATGATGGATAGGATAGCTGAGAACATCGCCGGGTTGCGGGTCTGGCATTTTGCGCGATGCCCAGATCAAAAGATCCATACGGCCTTTCATCTCCAGTAGGCGTGCTTTGTTGGCAGCACTCAAATATGGCAGGTCCATAAAAGCCTTGAAAAATATTGACAGATTCACGGCGTGAATGAAAAAGAAGTCGAGCTTCAACTGCTTCCTCGGGTTCTGGGCGGTCGCAGTCCAGTAGACTTTATATTTATTAGTATATCTCCAGAAAAATCACCGTTGGACAATACTCACTGGCGGTGTTGATCATCTCAATCAATTTGTGATGAATTTGATTCTCAGGTACTGTCCATTGGCTGATAGACTCAATGACCTCTTCGCTGGCTCTCGACAAGATACCAGGCGCAAAAACATCGGTGTCGCCGTGGACGGCAGCGTCTCGGATTGTCTGATTTGCACGCATCTCCTCGATAATCTCTATCAGACTCTTGCTTGTCTTGTGAGACTTAGCAGAGGCCGCAGCGGGCTTGTAGAAGCTGTCTGCGAGATAATCCTGATGCACTGCGGCCTGTGCCAAGGCCTGGGCGACAATCGCCGGCTGCTGGAACTCAATCCCAAAACCCAGATGGATAATGGGGTGGACCAGGCCCGCGAACATCCGGGAGAGTAGCGACTCGGCGAGCTCATCGCCACCGAAAAGATACTCCTTGATGACAGCGGAGACGCCCTTCTCCCCGATCACACGTTGGAAGAAGGCAAGGTAATTAGAATAGTGCTCTTCTTGATACATATGCTTCAAGCATTCCTTCTTATCGGAGAAAGACTGGATCACGGCTTCATCTCGGGGGATCGCGGCCCGCTGGCGCTGGCTTTCTCGCTCATATTGCGCCTGAATTGTTTCAGGCGACGCACCAAGAGCCCAAATTGTAAGCATAAAATGCACGATATGATCTTGTGGATCATTTCTGTCAGCGGAGTGTACATTATCTCATAGGTAGCGGGGATGCTCACCGTGAAATTCAATGTTGTTGAGATAGATGTGATGGTTTTCCATGTCGTGCTGGAGCACCTCGCTCACTTTACGAGCGGATGCCCAGCTGAGTCCGGGTGCACTGAAAACGCCCCCATTGGCTGGGGTCAAGCAAATCTTAGTAGAAGTAGCCATATTACGATTTGATCTGATGCTTCACGCTGATAGTAGAAAAAACTGTAATTTTTGAGCTTGAAAGATTGTGAGGCAGTGCAGGGTCATAAATAGATCTACATCGCGGCTGCTGACCACATTGATTGTCTGTCCCCATGTCACAGTTGCAGTGGCCAATCACGACCGGTCTAGACACTCAGCTTAGATATAATTGGCATTTAACATTTCGTCTTCGATTTAGGGTTTGGCATTCGCATTTCCAGTTTCATTTCGGTTTTCGGCTTTCGGACCTCGCAATCGTTGGTCTCCACTAGACACTTCTTTGCTTCGGCAATTTATTCCGAGCTCCATTGACATGATCGTGAATGAAGTCCGACGAGGGTTACTCACACAAAACTAATTCTTGAAAAAAACTGGCCAGTCATTGCCAAACAAAATGCACGAGAATCATTCTAGAAGCTCGACGGCTCCACTTCGGCACGTCGAACTGCTCTTATTTGGCGCTGCCGATTCTACCGATTCTATACGGAGTTAATATGGATCTCCTTTTTCTGACGATATCGCAGAGCGTGGGGGTCGACACTCTTCCTTAAGATTCAGCTAAAGAGCTTCAACAAGATTTCTAGCACGCATCTCTTCGAGCGAATAATCTAGCAACACCTTTAACATCCTTGATGATTCCACTTGAGCCAGTGCCCATTCCAGTAACGATGAGCCCTGCATCTTATGTGGTGGACTTCAATGCTACGGACCAGGCCCATCCACAGAACCGGTCAACAGGACGGAAGTAAGTGATCGGACAGACCTGACTGGGACGGATCTTCTGCAGGGGCAACATTAATACAGCTACAGACTGACTATCGCGTTGATTCTTTCATATGTGACCTTTGTGTCAGCCTTCGCCAGTGCCATCTTCTCGACCATCCTCGAAGCACTGGAAGATGAGTTCCATATCAGTGAGGAGGTAGGCACCCTAGGGGATAACCTTCTATGTGCTGGGATTTGCGACCGGCCCGATTCTATGGGCACCTGCTTCAGAACTCTACGGTCGTCGATGGCTCATTCTCACGGGCATGTTTGGCCACAGCGTCTTCACAATCGCGACGGCGACGGCGAAATTCGTGCAGACCTACTTGGTCACGCGGCTCTTTGCCGGCTTGTTCTCTGCCAGACCGGTCGCGACGGTCCCTGCGTGTCTTGCCGACCTCTATGACACGTAGGAACTGCGGATGGACAGGATATTAGTACTGGCTTGACAACGGGAGGTTATGCTTTTGGGGTGATAGCGGTTGTGATCGCGACTTTGACTTTTTTTCAGCGCTATTCTCTAAATTGAGCCTCATTACAACCCATGTTCTAACACAGATTCCCTAAATTTTCGGACTTAGAGCTCGACTGGGCATAGTTCCACAGAATTTTTACATTACTAGCATTGGCTGTATGCCGATTAGCGGTGGCAGCACCCGCATAGCCACTTGATTTTATTGAGGTTGGATGGTGAATGAATTAATCCGAATTCGAATCTGAATCGGTATACTATGAGTACCAGAGACATTCAGGGGGATTTCAACCTCCCTTAGTGCATCTTCTACTTTGATTTAATCAACTATCTGATTCATCTGATATTGGTTCCGCTTGATCTCATTCACCAATATACATACTAGTCCATACTGTATCAGCTTGCTCTGATATAAGGATCATTCAATCAGCTTGAGATGGTAACTAAATAGAGGCCAACTTTAGTAATATTGACTCCCCTTTCCTAGCCGAACCGTTTTCAATCTAGATCAAAAACTCGAATGGCGTCCGAGGTGCGTGGGTTGAGTGAAGGAAGATCAACGGGGAAACATTCTCGGTCCGCAAAGGAACAGTACGTGTCTACGCTATCTAACGCTGTTTTCTTTTCCCGAGCTCTTCTGAGTTTAGCTAGTGGATCGCTGTAACAAAAGTTTTGCGACATCCTTTTAATTCTGTTGTTGCTGTCGTGGACTATGTTTAGTCATCTCCCTGGAAGCTAACTAGTTTATCATCGGCGCGATGTAGAGAGCCTCACCTTTAGAGGTCATAGATCCCGCTTGCTTTGCACCCGAACAACATCTCTCGACCCTCTAGAAAGTTACTAGTACGGGTGAAATCGATTGATTGAGCACTATAGAATTGCTTCCTACCGAAATCCTCTTCGGCATCGTGAAGTGCCTTGATAGTTAGGTCAAATAGCTTTTCTGCTCTAGTAGACGAATGAGGGACGTCTGTTTACCCTCCTTATTTCTCAAATTGCGTATTGAATTCTGGAATAAGGGACTTGACTTGTTGGAAAGCATTTTGGAATCAAGTTTCCCAATGAGTATATCGTCTCCTTCGAGTACATCGCCCTATGTTACTTAGACCTGGTAAGGGGCCCTGAGCAAATTATCTATGAAAAGGCCTGACCTCAAAATAGAGATACGATATTATGAGTTTTTCAAAACGTAAATCCTTACTCCTGACGATATATCGATATATGCGAGAGTTATGATGACGTGATGGTCGTGAGGACTAGGACGAAATGGAATACCTCTCGAGCGACTATCCTTCATACACGTGTGTTTATAAGATACTACGACGGACATATACTGAGTAGTATCTCTCAGATTATAGAAACAGGAAGGGCTTCGATATTAATGAGTATTGCTTTTAAGCTGCTCTCTAAGTTAAAGGAATTAATATTAGTATTTCGTTAAACACGGGGCCACGAGGATTAGGAAGAAGACTACTAAAAGGTATATAAGATAACAGAGCAGAAGTCCTATGAGCACTATATCTAGCTAGGTCTTACTGCTTTAAAGAGTCACAGCGTAACTTTTATTTGTGTGCTCTGATTGGTGGACTAACAGGCACCAGTTTCACCCTTCGGTGCCTGGATTCTGAGGTTTCTAGCAGGCCACCACGCTGCTGGGGATGCGGTGACATCGCCAAGAATGCACTCCAGCCTGAATTCGCATCCGTAACGTCCCTGGTGGGTACGACTCGACCTAGAATTTAATTGCAGGCACTTCCGAATGGAATCCTTTCTCAATGGCCAATTTTACCCGCGACTGACCCGGGCAACCGACGGTGCACTTCCGTGTGCTCCGGTTCATAACCACGATATAGCTGAAGAACGAGGCACGCAGCCATCCGAACACGAGAATCGAGGAGAAACCGCCGGCGTGGCAAGATGGCTGGGGTTGCAAGGGAATCTGTGCGTGATCGTGGACAGGTAAATCAGCCCACAGCCGCGTCGATCACGAAAATAGTACAGAGCTGATCCCCCACTGAGCCAAACTCGATCGGGACGGCTTCGTACACTCTATATCTCGACGGTCCTCGAACTGCCAGAAAAGCACTTGCTTTAAAAAACTGAATGAGGGTCCAGCAGGACTTTGCCGGTACTCGCAGCGGACTTGTTCTTGGTTCCGGCGTCACGCCCGGTGTGGGAGTTTGATAGGGGGTGCTCATTCTGAAACAAGAACGCGACAACGGGGCCAATTACCCCTAGCAGCCAAGCCCACGCGCCAATCAAAACGCAACAAGGAGGGTGAACCAGTACCAGCTGCAAATGCCACTTAAAAGTAGACGAGCGCCGGGTGGGAGCTTCAATTCCTCACTCACTCGATTCGCTTTGAAGTCCCGTTCGCAAAATCGCAGGTCGATTTCCACCTTTTTCCGATCTTTTCCCGACAAAAGATACATACAACCTACTACAGTTCTTTCGCGGGCGAATTTATTTCTTTTTTCTTTTTTCTTTTTTATTTTTCCTTCGAATCTTGGGGCTGTTCTCTATACACCGACTCAGCCAGCTGCGCCTATCCCTTAAAGAATAAGGTCGTGACGGCACCAGTGTCCAGTTCATTTCTATACGATCATTCTATTCCAAATACGATGCAATGAAGTTCCTCGGCCTTTTCCTGCTCAGTTCTCTCGCTGCTCTGACTACCGCGGCACCAGTTGCGGAGACAAGTTGTTTTAAACGTGCGTACTGGACCCTTTATGCCAAGCATGGAGTGGTACGAAAAGCTAACTGCTTGCAGTCGGAAAAGGTTGCGGTATCAGCTCGGATTGTTGCGGTGACCTTACATGCGGTTACTTCGCGGTGGATGGGGTGCTGGACTGGACTCAGAAAGTGTGCGGACCAAAGTGATAATTTCATCTTTTTGCGAAATCAAGGGCTCAACTGGCGTGCGTTCGGTATCTGGCTATATTGCTCGCCTCGTCGGATGAGTTGTTGGGGGTTATTGGATTCTGTATGTAGCAGGGCTGTGTATAGCTGGATATCCAATTCCTTTTCTCAGACGTACTCTCCACATTGTATTGGATACTATCTACGAGAACTACGATAGAAACAGGTGGATAAAAGGATCTGAGTACTCCTATTCTAATTATAATGCATCAAAATATTGTCTTCTATATCAAATGTATGGTTATTTCATTCTTCATCTTCCGGCGCATCGTCCACTCCGCGCAGCCACGCACTCCGAGCATCAACGGCTGCCTTCCGCACATCACGCTTGGGATCATCCAAGACGAAGCGCAGAGACCGCAGTACATGGTTCTTCTCGGGAAGCAGAGGGGATATGGAAGGCGGAGCACGAGCATTGGACGCGGTTTCGGTGACGATTTGCTTCGTGGCCAACAAGTATAGACACTTCAGAGCGTCAACGCGAAGACGAGGGGTATTGACAACACCCGTTCCAGTCCGGATCTCGGTTGTCTTCAATAGCCTTTGTACGAGACTGTGGACGTGTCCACACTGGTCAATCACGACGACTCCATTGTCGCGGATGATCACGCTCAGCGTATCCAATGTCGCGGCGCGTACGGCGACTGAGTCCACGGTCTGCAGGTCGAGCGACTGGAGGAGAAGTGGAAGTAAAGTGGGGAGCTCTGGCATAACCAGGGCGGTGGATATGGTGGACAGGATGCCAGCAAGAGCGGTCAAATGAGCAGGCTTGATGTGATCGACTTGAGGGGCATCCTCGGTGCCCGCAACATTGACCTCGCGGATTCGAGATGAGATCAGCGGAATGACTGTTGTGAAAACACGCTGCTTGGCAAGCAAGCGAATTTGGGCACCATTGGTGGCGGAAAGCACATCGTCTTCGCCGAGAAGGATGGCAAAGCCACGGGCAGCGGAGCTGCTGGTCTGCTGGTCTGGTGAAGACAAGAGTCCCAGCAGCGAAGTGAGGATGTGAGTAGTAGTCGGAGCAAGGCGCAGAACCAGAGATTTAGAGAGCCAGAAGACCGTGCGGATCGTGCCAGGGCTAAAGGCCTGGCATTGCTGGGAAATCAACGAGTCAAAGAGCTTCTCCGCGATGCTGATGTCCTGCTTTGACAAGAACTTGTTCACAAGCAAGGCCAGATGGCGCAGGAATGCGAGGTGGGTGGCTGGTTCTGTGCTGTCGTACACCGAGCGCTGCACCAGGTCCGAAAGCAAGCCCGAAACATCGGGAGAGGTATGGGGAATACGATCGCTGACGTCCTTGGACAAGCCTGCAAGAAGATAGGTTGAGATTATGATGGTTCGTTCCTGGTCGGCCGTGGAATTTTGAGAAAAGGGCACAGGTGTAAAGTCTGTTGCGGGCGCGAACAGACTGTAAATGTTCTCGGCAACCTGTTCTTGCTTCTGGACTGAGATAGATCGCACCAGAAGGTTGCATAGTCGGCCAAGAGTATCGAGAATAGAAGGATCATTCAAAATTTGATTCTTCGCCTTCCCGGAAGCAGACTCTGCCACACTGCGAGACAAACCGATCACGATCTTTTCGAAATAAAGGTCCACATTGGGATCAGAGTCCATAGCTCTTTGGTCCATAACATAGAGAAGTGTCATCAAGATAGCCCGAGGATACGCCACAGATCCGGGCTGTTCCTTTTGAAGGAGTATGGACAGCTTGCTAAACAGCCGACGGAACAACGTCTCAAAGATATCCCGCTCAACGCTAATCTTAGCCAGCGTGTCAAGAGTGGAAAGATATGCCGAGCTCGTGTCATCGTCCTCGTCTGGTAGAGTCGCCACGAAGGCAGGGAATGTGATGTCCATGATCAGACGAGGCTTGTGCTTGGAAATTTCCGCAAGAGCCGCAATGGCTTCCTTCTTCAAGTCATCTCGGCCGACGGACTCTTCCTTCAGAAGGATTTCATCGAGATACTGTACAAACAAGCCGACCTCGTTGTCTTGGAAGAAGTCCCGCAAAGTAGATAACCGCAGGAATCCCTTGAGCGCAGTAGCTCGGAAGGAAACCTCTTCTTTCGCTGCACCCATCAAGGCCTGGCCAAGGACGTCTGAGAATTGGTCCTTGAACTCGATCAACGGGTTCTCAAGAGCCAGTTCATTGCCACGGGTTGTCCACTGACCAAATACTTGGATGGCGGACTCAAAGAGCACAGACAGAGTCTCGAGGAGGGCCCTTTGCTTCACAATGCCATCTGCTTCTTGGTAGACGGTGAAGATTGGGGCGACAACAGCCTGAACAACGAGTGTGAAAGTGATTGGCGAAGCGGATGACAAGGCACCGAGGATTTGCTGCGCGGGCTTCGCTTGCTTCTGCTGGGGCTCTTGCAATTGCTCGTTGCATTCCTTGGTGATGGGACGGAGGAACTGTGCGAGGGGCAGGTCTTGCGTGACTTGTGTGACACCCTCGGAAAGGCGTTGTGCAATACTTTGCAGAGCCTCCAAAGATGACTCGGACAAAAATTCTTCTTGGGCATTGAGGATCTCAAATTTGAGGACCTCCCATACAGTGATGGAAAACCGGGACACGGTATTTGGATCATAAGAGCGAATGCACGCAATGAGGGCGTTGAGTGCATCTTTCTAAGATAAAGTCAGCACTTGTATCCTTTTGAACGAAAACAATTAAAAAAAACTCACCTTCACGTTTGGCGACGTCGAATCCAGCTTATCGAGCAACGCCGGGATAGTGTGTGGAGCGAGTTGGCTTGTGGAAGAAAGGCAGTCCTGCAAGCGGCCCTTAAGGTCTTGTGCTGTGATGCCGTATGGATCATTCGGGGGAGGTCGGAAGGTAATGGGGAAATAATTAAAGACCGAGTCGAAGAGAAGCTGTCGAAGTTAGCTGTGTGCTGTGATGTTCTGAAGCTTTGAACCATACCTCGACATGATTGGTGATATTCCATTCCATCATGATGACCTTTAAGATAGAGAACACCACCATCAAATTGCGCGGGTCCTTCTCACCGGCCATGATGTCGACGACGCCGACGAGAGAGATCTCGTCCATATCGCGAAGTGCTGGAAATAGTTAGTCATGGCTGACCGATTCGAGTATGCATTGTCTCAACTCACCCTTCCGGTGCTTCAACATCAGCTCGTTCAGTAGCTGATAGACCTGGAAACGCTGCGACTGAGACCGTGACTGTAGGTCCTGGAAGTTGGAGAACAGTCTAAACCAATGTCAGCTATATATCCAAAATTGGGGGCTGCAAAGCTTAAAACATACGATTGTGCCGTCTCCGCAGCCAATTCCTTGGTAAACCGATCCAATCTCTGCAAAGTATCCAGTCCCGCAACCGCACCGCCATCTTCAATCCGATCACAAAAGAACGTCGTCAGAACCTGGATCTGTTGTCGCGACAGGTAGCGGGGCGAGAGGGACTTGATAACGGAGGTGAGGAAGGAAACCGCCTTCCCGCGCAGAATTGGGTCCTCGTCATTGATATATTCGCCAAGTTGCTGAACAATTTCAATCAATGTAGTCTTCTTCCCTTCGACATCTACATCACATACCTTTGGTTAGAGTCATTCGTGTTCAGCGGGAGAATGCGGGGGCGCATCGGACTCACCTTGGGCGACGCTGTCAGCGATGCGCTTGGCTTCTTCTTTGTCATGATCCACCACCAGCATAAAAGTCTGCAGTGCCGACATGATTGCCAGGTGAATTGGCCCGACACGTCGTGAGAAGCAAGGAACGTTCTTCAGCAAGTTCAAATTGAACGCCCCTCCGTCCGCTCGCATTTCCGATTCTGTCTTTATCGATAACAATCATGTGACCGGCTGCTATCTCTCCACATCACGTGCTTACTTGCGTCATAACGGCTGGCGGCTATCGACTGTCTTAAATGGATGCATGCTTCGATCAAGATGCGGGAAACCAGATTATTCTCGTCGTTATTCTTGCTTCTAGCCTTCATCACCTCAAGCTCTGCTCTCTGGGGACTTGCACTTCCTACTGGCATCCTTCAAAGGCCATTAGTCTCCCAATACGATCAGCCCATCATGGACAAAATCATTCCAAGCATCTTACATCCAAAGACGCCTGATAACAATGCCCAAGTCGATAGCGAGGAGCCTATCATCTCCGACGTCCTTCCCAAGACGAAGGGAATCAATATCTTTGCCCAACTGACCAGAGATTTCGATTCGGTCTCCTCCCGCCTCAATGACGCCTCCAAGAATATCACCGTCCTTGCGCCGCGCAACAGTGCCGTCCAGGACCTCCCCCGCAAGCCCTGGGAGGACCCGGAGGACTATAATAAATTCGGAGAGGTGAACGCGTATGAGGGACAGGATGGAAAGGATCGAGCGCGGAACAACCTGCGACGCTTCGTTGAGGCTCACCTCATCCCTGTCAGCCCATGGCAGGAAGGCGAGGAAGTCGAGACTTTGGGAGGCGTGAAATTGAAGTGGACGAAAGAAGGTGATAAGATTAAGGTGTGATCTTTTGCTGATCTTGTATTTCTCACCATTTCACTAACTGATGGCTAGATCCAACCCGGCGATATCGAAGTGGATAATGTCGCTGAGAAGGTTGCCAATGGCGAAGTCTGGGTGTTGAACCGAGTGATCAACTACAGTCGCTGAGCTTTGATGGGATTATGAGTTACGATATATAATGATATTTGAATAGGAAGTTCGGGTCCATTATTGCATGATATACATTGTGATCACTTCAAATACTCGTATAATTTCTATCTGGGCTCGTTGCTACCTTAGGATACTCTTCGGGTTTATAGACAACACTCCTATGTTTCGTTTAGGAATCCAACGATGCAGTCACCAATTACTTCACCTCGGGCGCAAAATTCCGCAGAACTCTCTCCTCGACGCCGTCAAGGATGCAGAAATGCTCCATCACCTCTAGGTTCTCGGCCTCGTTGAGGAAGAGCTTATCGGGGTCCTGGCCGGGCTGCATGGGGTTCATCATGGCCGCGGGGTTGGCCATGCCCATTTGCTGGGCCATTTGGTTGGCGGCTAGAATAGATGTTAGCTGAAATTCCTCAAATAAAGAGAAAAAGATCACGGTGAACTCACCATTGTCACTGCCCAGGATAAAGCCAAACACGGACTGCAGACCCATCAGGTTGAGGAAGTACCAGGACAAACTGGACACCCATCGCACATCCAGGTCACGAGTCATGACACCAGATTGCAGCATAGACTTGAAGCGGATGGTCAACGGGAATGGCAGTTTCACTAGTGTCATGTTAGTATTACCCAGCATCAAACCAGTCTCGCAGGTTATTTCTTACAAATGACGAAGCCCGAGAAGAAGGCATTGATCCAACTCATGATCAGTGTCTGGGGAATCATCATCATCATGTTGCCCTTCAACATGCCCATCATAGCCTCCATGCCCTGGGGATCGGTCATCGGGTTGGCCGGCGGCTGGCCGCGGTTGTTGGGGTCCTTCAGGAAGCTGCCATCACGGAAACCGGCGACCAGGTAGTTCTTGCGGGCTTCGAAGGATTCGCGGTCCAGCACAGCGGGGGCGTGGTTTCGCAGGTTGACACCGCGGAGAAGGGCGTGTCGTTCGCGCGACTCGGCAAGAGTGGAGGGGGGCTTGGGGGGCGTGTTCATCAGAACAGTCGCATAGTGGCGCAGGATTCCGGTAAGTATCTAGCAACAAATCAGTCTTATTCTCCGGTTTGGAAAAAAATTCCACTGTTCAATCGTACCATAACCACCGAAATGGGGAAGAGAATCCAATAGCTAGTGCTCAAGGTCAGTCAGAGCTCCCACATCGATTGGGGGCATCGCTCACAAAAGAGCCGGATCCCGGAGGATGGTCTGCTCCACCCCTTGAACTGCCATGGTGGGCAGCAGTTGAGACGTGCGAGGTGGCGGAGGTGGTCGAGAGCAGAAGGTGCAAGTCCCGCTGAAGAGGGAAGTTGTCGAGGTGAAGTCGGGCGGAAGTGGAGGCCGCGCCGATTGGCCCGCGCGAGCTCCAGCTTCCTCCAACTCGCAACGGTGTCCTCGCAGTCAACACCTTCCTTCCGCGCAACAACACGGCCTTTCTGGTGCCGCACCAAACAAATCCTTCGAAAAAACCTCCCAGACTTCAGATTCACGAAGGATTTCACACCATGGCGTCCCATAAGGTGCCAGTTTACTCGACAAATGGTCCGTCAGCCGCAATCTACTCCTTCATTGATGCCTTTGTGCATTAGCCACAGATTCTACAATCAGCAGGGCCACCATGCTTACAAAATTATTGTCAAACAGACCTCAAGTCCACTACCGATGACGCTCTTCTCCCCTACCTATGTACCCTCCCGGCCCCATACGCCTTCAAGGTCGACTACACCAAGAGCAACATCCGCTTCGCGTTGGGCTATAGTGCCATTGTAATCGCAGCATTCACATTCTATGCGGATCGCAAGCTAGGCTGGGAAGCAGTCTCCTCGCCATGGATTCTCGCCGCTGTCGTCGCATACTTTACTCTGAACAGCATCCTCACATTCTGGCTTTGGGCCGTTGAAGCTGGAGAGGTCTTTGCTGGAAAGCGCAAGTCTGGCGAAACCGTAAGTTCCTCCAACCTGTGTGCCTGAAAACATCCTAATTCCTGTTCTTGGATTAGATCACCATTTCCTCGTCTGCGAAGAAATACACTACGCAATACAAGCTGCACGTGCAGTACAAGTCTCCTGCTGGAAAGGTGCTACAAGATAAGCGCATCGAGGCACCCTTCACGGCCTGGTTTTCTGCAAATGGCATCTTCCACCCCGAGCCGTTTCGTAGCTGGTTGGCGAGTGAGATCGATGTGTTGCGATTGGCCGCCAAGGAGAACGAAAAAAAGACCGGCGGCGCTTCTGGCGAGTCAGAACCCAGCAAAGGAAGGTAGTCAATCTACGTTTCTGGGCCATTTCGGTGGATTGAAATTGACTGTTTGAGGAGAAAATGTGCATCTGATAATGTCGCTGGTGATTTTTTGCGTACCATATCATGGATTAAGTGAGCTATTCTATCTCAATTTACATTTTCATTGCGAGTTCTAGTGCCCCATGATCATGCTGGCAGTGTCCATGGGTAAAGGGGGCTGCTATCACTGCAATAATCCTACAGGTGTACGATCTCGATGCTTTTTCAGATATTTGATTGAAAGGCACGTCGAAATGTAAACAATCTTAGCTAAACTTCCATTCCCAGACAGAACGAGCACTACAACCAACAGAATTTGCTCAGGTATCCTCTCATACTTCACTCTTTGGCAATTTCTGCGACTTGACACCGTGGAAACTCTGCAACCTCCTTTGCACCTGCTTCCTCGGCGCAAACTTGTGCCAATATTGCCACATAACCCCCGTCAGAAGCGTCGTAGGAATAGCAAACGCCCAATAAATCCACATATCCTTGGAAACCGTGAACCCCGAGTCAGGACTGAAATCGAAAAATGCCATACTGAATATCGAGGAAATGAAAGTGGGCGGTAGGAAAATGAAGGTCACGAATGCCAGGGTCTTCAAAGCCGTGTTATCGGACATCATGGCCTGGCTGATTTTCACTGTCACGCTAGCGTCATGTTGTGCGACCGTATTGAATGCGAGTTGAATTTCATTCTGGAGTCGCTTTTCGTTGGAAATTGAGCGGTGTCGGAGGCTATTCAAGCAGCTTTGGGAGAATCCTAGCTGGGATTGAATATCTGTGGGGATGTTGGGGTGTTGCTGAGATGGGATTCCGGCAATTGAGCCCGTATAGCACTGGTGTTGACGAAGAATCTGCTCTAGTGTCTGTACAGCCACATCCAGCGACTCTGTAACATGAATAGCGTGTCGGGCAATGTCGTGAAGGCGACGATAATCGGGTCCTGGTCGACCTTCCGGTCGATCTTGCTTCTCAATTTTCCGGACAACATCGCGGATGCCCCAGACGGCGCTGTCTTGGAAGTTTGTTGCTTCATGGAGGATCTGGGGCCAGGCCCAGAATGGATCCTGGGTATTCGCTTCGGTCTGGGTTTGAAAGTTCTCGTAGTTGATTTGTTCTGTTGGGTCGAAGACAATGATTCCGGTCTTGGTTTTGTTGGTGGCTTTATCTTTGATCCAGCGGCTGAAGATGTTGATTTTGGACCAGTCGTAGTTGAGGTCTAGCTTGAGATGCTTGCTTTGGAAGAAGCCCCATGTATCTGTTTAATAATTAGAGACTGGTATCTAGCTTGAAATCCCACGGTAAGCTCATACTTATTCCAGTGACTGTGTCTGTATCCTGAGTTGCTTCGCATCCAAAATAGCCATTTGAATTTTGGAGATAGTTCGACCACCATTTTTCAGGCATGCAGAAAGTGTTGATGAAGACTCCGCGGCAATCATGACAGACTCGGATTCTGTTCGCGCTTGCGATTCTGCTTTGATTTAGCATGTGCTCACTACTCAGTTTGTAGAGAAGACGAACAAGATAAATACATCTGTATCTTCAGATACTATGGGAGGAATCTGCCCTCGGTCCTTGACCCACAGCTGTTGGGGATGGATCTCCTGTTTCGTCCATTTACACTCCCCTTCCCAGAAATTAGAATCATGGTTGGCTCGCAAATTGAGTATAAGCTTACCTTGCTTCCACTGGAGGATCGAAAAGCTTGGGCATGATCCTTTACACCTGAATTCGACCATTTGCAGATTTTCGGTAATTCTCAGTGGTAAGCTAGCCAAGCTGCTTACCCCTCATCGGTTGCCTGGTCGGAATCAAGGTAGATTTGGGTTAAGGTTGACACCGTAAGCGGTCCAGTCATACAGATTTAGTACACCAGGACCTGGTAAATAGTAATTTCACAGCAATGAATAGGAGTCCTCAGACGTGTTCGTCGCATCAAATATGTTCATGGGGAGGGATAACCGCCCAGGATTCTAGCGGCGGTGCAATCCCAATCATGCGGGGCTCAGCCTCGCAAACATGCAGGGCATCTCACTCGACAGATGTACTTCACCTATCAGACTCAAAAGATTCTTGACGCCTCGCAAGATCACCCGGGAAAACGGCTTCTTGCAGGAGATGATGCAACCTGCGACTTCAGCTAATTTGGGACCCGCTGCGCCCATTATACTACACCCTGCACAACAATGCGATCGTACTTTGGTCGTAAGTGGGGGCTAGTTTCGGTTGATTCTCAGCCCGTCTCGGGATCACTTGCAAGACTTTGTTGACGCGGATAAGGTCCTTTATGCGCAGCCGAAAATCCATTGGCTATGAGAAGGCAATTTGCCTTGCGCTGGCTGCTCATAAAACTGTTGTGATATGTCGTATCGTAACGGAATCAATTCCTAACCTCACGGAATTACCAGCGTTGATTGGAAATCAATCTGGAGGTCGCATGTGTATATAAACCCTCAAGTTTTCTGTCCAGAAGGAAAACAAGCAATCTTCCTCTGAATTACAACAAAAACGAAGTTATGTGACCCGGATGTCGCAGCTTGACAAGGAGCTGAGACTCAGACATTGTGGCACCGCATATACTGGCATGTCTGCCCCAGCGGGTTGAGCGCGCTTTCATGAATTGGAGATGGGTGTCTCGGCAATGGCTTCATCTATGCGGTCGAGACAAGGGCGAACGAGTTCTTTTGCGGTTGGTCGGATGTCCTCGCTGATGTATGTGGATGGGTTGGGTGTGTCCCAACAGTGTATCTTTGATGGCTGTCAGATGAGCAAGAACAAGAAGCACCAAAGGATGGGGTAGTCGCGGAGATCCAGAGGAAGGACGAAGTTGGAAGTTGGGGGTGTAGGAAGCTCGCTAGAATAAAGGAAGACCCGGCAGTAGTCACCTCAGACTGAGTTGGTAGTCTTCCCTGCAAGAGCTATTAACCCAGAGTTGGCTCTGAAGGCCCAGGTCGTGTCATGGTTTTCCATGTTGCGGTATGTCAAGTCGAGAGGACATCGCCGTTGCAGGCGGCCAAAGTGCTCCCGCGAGGATAACATCTCCTGGCCAAACCCCGGTGAGAGTAGAGACAGACTATATCACGTAGACACCCCGTCCACTCTTCTCCACACGACCGGACAAGCCGACCAGGTGATGAAATAAGGCCGCGTCTATCGGAGGTAGTGTAAGCCCGATGACACTGTGCGACGAGGCATGCGCAAAGCACAGATGCTAGGCCGCGAGGCACAAATATTGAATAATCAAAGTGTCTTCTGGAAAATTCTTTCAGAGACTAAACTGAAAAGAACAGATACTACACTTGATCCAATCCAAAAGGCAAAGAGAGCTGAAGAGGAGAAAATAAAGAGCGAAGGTTGGAGAGGCTGGCGGTATTTTGTAGACAGATGTGGGTCCGTGCGCAGGCGTTCGTTCCTGGCGTTTGGTCACGTGACCCCGGCTACTATGCAGCCCAAGCGATTGCCTTCGAGTACCCCATTCAGGCTACCAGGTGATGCCTAAAATTTTGAACAGAAATATTTGCATGGCTCGGTAGTCATTACAGTAGTGGTTCGGTTCGTATACCCATTGTGTAGAAAAATCAGAGAATGCCTCATCCTGTATGGTTTTCTTATCACTACAACGCAAAGCATCTTGCTCAAAATGGAAAGCGCCGAAATATTTTCGTAGCATAATTGAAGATTCTGAGTACTGTAGTGGACCCTAAATTTAAAATTTCATGGGGGAATATATATTTACATGCTCAAGGTCGAGATTACCTAGTAATTTTTTGTAATCATACCAAAATGATAATTAAAATAATTGATATGCCTATGTTGCCTTTGATGATTAGAAAAGTCTTGAGACAAATTCTGAAGTCATGTAAATCTATGGTTGCTGAGATATGATGTTGTAATTTATCGCATTTATTATGGTGTTTTGGGGTGCGTCACTCGGCCGTGGATTACGTTAATTTAAAAGGGATGAATCATCAATTTATGTAGCCCAAAGGGAAGGCATTGGCAGAATTATGCAATTGCGGTTCACCGTGGTGAAGACCGCAAAGGACCGCGGTTCACTATGGTGCGGTCTCAACCCCCAAATTCGAGACCGCACCATGCAGAGGCTTACTTATCAGATCATTGAATATATAAACGAGAGCAATTTAACAGCCTGGCAGAAATACAACACTTTCTGTTCGCCTAATTAACCGGACCTAGTACCAAAGTGCCACCGTTCCTTTGTTCCGAAACATCAACTTCTGAGGCTCTCACCTATCGATAACAGCTTCTCAGAATGTATCCTATTAGAGGAAAGATCGTCAGGTCCCCCCCCCATATGTTGTTATTTTGGAATACGAACCGGGACAAATACAACCCAAGACGATGATGATCACTACTCGGAAATTTTTCAGATATTTACGGATCGCCTCACTACCAGATCATATTGAAATGAATGTCGTGTTTGAGCCCCACAGATTTCCCGCCTCTCGATCAGTTCCTGGTTGGGAGCTAAGAAATTAGTTAACTTAAGAGGTTTCATCTCCTGAAGAGCTCAACAGGAAATCGCTTATACACTACTAGGAAAGAGGTGTTTTATTATCTTGGCGCTTAGCGTGCCAAGGCTCACAGTCGCGGTTGCTCAAACATCAGAAGTACACAAGGCTCGGCTCGTATAAGCCACTGTCGATCTCTGTAGACCCCACGTCGCGTAGTCTAAAAATGTCGGTCATCTCCTCGTGTATGCGTATATATTTAGTCCTAGATCTTAGTGTATGCTTTTTCTGGTTGCAAATCACGAGCATCGAAAGATGATTGATGATTATGATCGTGATATCTCCACTCTCTCAACTCAAAGGGTCGAGATTCTTCTAAAACCCCCCAGATAGTTTGGTTTGACTACATACAGGATGTTGCATCGTCCGCCCGAACACGAACCGCAGTTGTTCGATCGACATCGTATACTTGATGACTACTGCCGATCTATATGTTTTGCTGCAAACGCCAAGGGAGCAGAGGGGCGATTGTTGTGTGAACACGAGAAGACCTCAAGAGGAAGTACTCATCTGAATGACCAAGCTATCCTGAATCTCGACCATAAATACCCCCTCTCGCCCGCTGTCCTCTGCTCATCTTATCAACAACAACCCATCGAATTCCTATCCAAACCTACTTCAAATCAAGTTTCAATTTTCAATTTTCAAGACATCAGTCTTTAACCAACGAAACAATCAAAATGCAGTTCTCCACCGTCTTCCTGGGCGCCGTTGCCCTCTTCAGCTCTGTTGCCTTCGCTGCTCCCTCTGAGAACCTCCGCGTCCGCTCCTCTTGCCAGGTCGGCGATATCTGGGGTGCCGGTGACGCTGCGTGCAGCGCTTCTGTATGTTTCCTTCAGCTTGACAAACCAATCTCTATTTTCAGGATCTGACAATATTGTAGTGCATTGCCCAGGGTGAGGGCTACCATGGTGGCCACTGTGACGACAACAGGTGAGCAATCTTTCCTTCTGGGGTTAAGGTAGACTTGCTTGGTTTACTGATAGCTTGGTTTTAGTGTCTGCGTTTGCAACTACTAAACTAGTACCGTCTCTTGGAGAGCCGGAGCCTTGGTCCTGATTTCGGGGCATATGCTAGGATAGTGTGGAGGCGGAGGAAGTTGAGTTTACAGGGGATAGTGAGAGACAGTTTCTGATGTGGACTTGTTTTCTGATTTAACTCTCTGTACTCGTGAGAGTTCAATTTTATATTCACTGTCTTTCCTCACGTTCTTTCTAGTAGTTGGGATTACAATTTTGTTGAAAGCGCCGAAATATTTTGGCAGTCATCTACTAAATATCCTCTTCTGGCTCTTTCTGTAAATAATCAAAATCAAAAATAAAATCAAGATTCATGTGCCCCTGTCTACTGTACTATCATGAAAATCAGAAAGACATGCAATTGCAATCATGAAATTCTCGCCTGCATCTGCTCTGATGTCACCAATATTTCAACTTCGCCGCCTCGTTCTCATGCCCCCAAGCCTGAGATCCTGGCTTCGGGGCCTGGAGCTGCTGCTTCCCCGGGATTCCAGCCGCAGTCGAAGAGGCCTTGCTCCCAGGCTCGCCCACAGACTTAGTAAATGCAGTCGACTTCGGGCACTCGTTCTTTGTCAAGGAGGCCGCCTTCGCATTGTCCAGCGAAGTAGAACTCAGCTCAATGTCACCTACCGCATCAATGTTCCGCACCACGATCTCCGTCAGCCCGAACAGAGACCACAGGCCGGGAAGATCAATCAAGGGTCCTGAGGTGGTAGCCGCAGAAGACAAGATTGGCGCCGCGCCTTGTCCAAAAAGCACAGCTGTATCCCATTGCATGGTGCACTTTCCCATCCCAAGCGTCGAGTTAGTCTGCAGAGCTTCCTCTGCGGCGGAACTTACAAGTGATCCTTCAAACCATAGTCTTTTCCGGTGGATCATTTCCGGGACCAACGCGCAGTAGGCGGCAAAAATGTTTTTGTCGGTTCTTGGGAGAGAGAGTGCGTCTTGGACCTCTGTGACTTTCAAGTAGAGGTCCTCCGTACCTGCAGTGTGCTTTTCGCGGCGGTACCGGTATTTCGTGGTGCGCTTCATGAGGATTCTCTCGATCACAAGATCATCCTCGGGCAAGGTTGTCTGAATTTGAGTTCCAGAGCTTTCAAACTTGGTCCGGAAGTCCTCTACCAACTTGTGAATTTTCGACTGAAGCGGAGAGTCTATTTCATTGATGTAGGGTGAATGACCATCCAGAACGATAGCCGCATCCCAAACGTTCTCAGGAAAGTTGACATGCACGTATGCAAGGGGGAAAGCGCGCGAGACGGAAGATTCAAGGCCATTTTTGCTGATCGTCACGATAAATAGGTCAGGATTTTCCGTCGATCGGCAGTGGACCTCGAAAAATGTTGTGTCGCTAAATGACTCACGCTCAAATGTTCGGTGGCCATCAACAGTCAGGTTAATGACTCGGTCGATATCTTCCCTGTAAGTTGCCAGGCGATTGTTGAAAACGGTATTGGGAGCTGGAAGTCCGCTTTGTGGCTGAAAGTAGTTCCGGAGAGCTACGAGATCCATTGCTGGCTGTGCCTGTCCGCCGTTAATGAAAAGCATCCCGAGTTGAGCCTCAAAGGTTAAGCGGCCGGGGAAGGATCGGACAGCATTGAGGGCAGGCTCCAGCATATGGAAGACTGTTCTGGTATTATCGGAAGATTTGGATGACTTTTTCGAGGCTTTTTCCGAAGAGCGCTTGGAGGAAGATGGCTTGGGTTTGAGTCCCGAAGCTGCTAAAATGGCCTTGGAGGCATGGCCACGCACATCCTTGAGGGACTTTGTGCCCCAAATGTCCTTTTTCTTGGCCTCACGTCGACACCGATCCTCTTTATTTTTTTTTGGCAGATCCCGGGGCTCGTCCAAAACCCCAGGATTCGGTGCTCGCAGATTCATAGCGGAATAGAATTCCCTAGTGTCGGACTCAGACACTTCAGCCAATTTCTCATGAATTCTAGTCATCTCACTTAAGTCCTCTTCGATGTCAATCAGCACGTTCTTTGTAGGACCATCGGAAGATTTGAGAATGGGAGAGCTTCGTGTAGAGCGCTGGCAGCTAATCTCTTGAAGCAGGAACTCCTTGGCCGCCATTTCACTCGACATCCTAGGTCGAATGGGCGATGCACTTTTATGAGCTTGGATCATTTCAATGTTTGGCGAAGGGATTGGCGTACCATAGGCAGTATTCGCCGAGAAGTGTGCCTGTTTCGGTACCAATGCAACCTGGCCAAAGATCTTCGGTTCGCCAGATAGCATTTGGTTAGCAGTAGCCATCGCCTGATATGGGTCGACAAGTCGTTCTGCTACAGGCAGTCCTCTTCCGGCAATATGTGAGGAAGGTGTCAAAGGCGGTGGTAGGCTATCCAGCAGGTCAACAGGAACAGCAACACTGGGCCGTAGATGGGGTCGGGGAGTAGCATTGTCCGCAGAAAGATCGATGAGGTCGGCCGTGCTCCTGAATTTGACAAGGGGGGATACGTCCTTGGGCGGGTCGGAGCTTTTATGATCCGAGAGATCAATGAGGTCGTCGCGCGCGGAAATCTCGTGTGTGGAAAGCTGTTCCGATACGCTGGCTTCGGGCGTGGATTTGAGGTCGAGCAGAGGAATATCTGGCTTGAATACGAGGATCTGTCCCGGGATGTTGATAAAGGAAAGAGGAAAAGGAGTCTCTGACAGGCCTTCGGGGATTCTTTCACGAAATTGGGTAGGCTTGCTCTTGGGAGCTGCTTCTGGAACGGTATCGGGCGGAATTTCGACGGTGCGCGAGAGTTTGGAACTGGGGAGTGGAGGCTCTGGCTTCTTCTCAGGGACGGTGAGTGGTTTCGTCACGGAGCTGGGGGTAGGTTTCGGTATAGGGCTGGGACTTTCCATATCTGAGATCTCCGAGCTCGATGTCAATTGTTCTTCGGGATAAGGGATCAATGCGCGCGCGGGATTCCGAATCGCTCCATTGGTATCGATCACACGGCGATGGGTGGCACGATCAGTTCTCTGGAAGTGTCCAATTCTGTATTTGCATCTGTAGTTGCCGTTCGGGGCCCACACGACAATGCCGTAGCTTGGCTTCTGTACCAGTTCCTGTGAAATGTGAGCATACATTGAGAGTAGGTGAGGGGAAGGAACAATCCTACCAGGAACGGTACAGCCCTGTCCAGAGCCTCAATCGTCGCATCGACATCTTGCTTCGAATTTCCGGTCACGCAGATCTGAAGAGGCTTGCTCTCGTAATCTTTGGTTGAGATCTTTGTGTTCGTAGCGTATGCGATCCGGGGTAGGATCCCCAGCTTGTCTGTGACGAAGTACTCACTGACTCTGACTGGATCCCAAGTCTGCGTAACACGAGCTGTCTCGGATCTGCAGTCCATTTCGGAGTTGGGATCATCCAGCTCTAGCAGATCGTTGGTAACTTTCACGGTCGGGTCGAGAGGAGGGAGGTGGATGTCGGCGATGTTGACCCGAACGAGTTGATGGATCCGAGGGCGGGCCTTCAAATAATTAGCACTGACTTCACATGTGAGAAGGTGTGGCCTTGCACGTGCATCTAGCAGGTTGTAGTCTTTGTGCTCCTCAATGAATCCCTTGAATGCCTCCGCCCCAGCCATGTCTGCAGACTTGTTGGGGCTACCTTCCAAGTGAATTACCTATAAATACTAATTAGCAAGCATCCAGAGCAAACAGATCGTATCAGGAAACTAACATGGTTATTGCTGTCGTAGTGCACCTGCATGGACCCAGAACCTGCCACTGCTTTCCTGGTTGATGTCAGCGTCGTGAGACAGAAGGGGAGAATTGGAGGGTCTCGTACTCAATCCGCGGCCTTATTTCCTCGACCTATTGAAGATTTGGTATCAGTGTCTTTCCAAAATGTGAGGGAAAATGCGAGTAGGGTTGTCAACTTACCCCAGGTTCTTCCAGACCCCATATGGAGGCCAGGACGACCTCCCGCTTGGCCGGGTTGGCCGACACGGAGGCTTTGCAGTTGGAAGTTGCCATCTGAGTTCTGCCTTTGGGCGTGAGAAATGTGGTGAGGATGGAGAGAAAGGAAGAAGCGGAAGTCGTGAAGACATGAAGTACTAGAGCCAGGATCACGTGGTGACTCTATTGTGCCTACGACTCACCTCGAGGAGAGCGGTGACATGCTTGAGACGAGCGCCGGTGAAAAGTCACATGTGATACTGATATACATGTGATTTTGGATGCGCGTCTTTCAAAGAAAACGGGAGCGTCGTCAACGGGGGATCAGCGAAGTCGAGTTGACAAAAGAACGGGGAATCTCAATGAGGTCCCTGAATCCAGACTGAGTGAGGGAAGGCTCACGTTTGATAGTAATTTAATAAAGTATACTCTGATTAAGATTGGAATATTTATACGATTATGGTAAAAAAGGATGCATGTCCAGTAATATAAAGCTCCCAACGATATCTGTCCAGGTCGTGTTGGGAACATGCAGGTCGTCATCATCAGGTCTAACGAAATGGAGATCAAAATGGGAGCTTGCCGGGCCGGAATTTGTCATGATGGGTATCTGCGCCTCCAAAACGCCATGCATCATATGAAAGCTCGAAATGAAAGAGGAAAAGACCTCACGAATTAGGCAGTGGGAACTGGAATATGCGGTGTGGCGTGGAGGTATGCCGGGTCACGGAAAGGCGATTTACCCTAAAGCAAACTGTACAAGGAGATGTGAAGATGTTGAGGGATTTTGACGGATTAGTCAAGGGGATGTTAGTGAACCGAAAGTGAAAATCTGCAACTACTTCGGGTCAGATATCAATTAAAATAAGTCCTGTATTGTGTGCAATAACAGTTGGAAACACGAAACAAGAGAATTGCCATACCTGATAGCACTATTTTTCGCCCTCCTTTTCTTTAACTCGGGACTCATTCAATCGAATGGCCCACTTCATCTCTTCTTCAGTCTTCCTGATCTGGGCGAGTGCGGCCTCGATCAGGGCATCATTGGCATGCGCTTTCTCAATGGTTTCGCGAAGCTCATCATCCTTCATCTGTTTGTACTCCACGTGACTCGTCATGAGTCGCTCGTTCATATCCTTCAAGCTTTCGATTTCGCGGTTCTTCTGATCCGCAATGGCATCTAGCCGGCCCGTAGACACGACATGTTTTTCATGGGCCTGCTTGAGGGTGATGAGTTCGTCACACAGGTTCTTTACCCGGCGGCTAAGTTCGGCCTTCTCGCGCTTCGTGGCGCCGACCAGAACGTCGTATTGGGTGGAGTGGTATTTGGCCTGTTCGTGCGACTCGGCCTGCTCCCGGTGGTGATTCTCTCGCTCGTCGCGCATCATGTCGTTTACCTTGCTGGCACTCGCCTCCGCCTCCTTGCGCTTATCGCGTTCGTTTTGGAGCTCATTGCGCAGCTCCTCGATTTTGCGATCCTTCCGCGCGATCGAGTTCAAATTTGTTTCGTTCACTTGCTCCAGGTTACGGAGGCGTTCCGACATGTTCTGCACTTGTGTTTTGAGAGTGTCGTTCGACCGTTGGGTTTCTTCCGCGCGCGATCGGTACACGCCACATTCGCGTCTGAGACGGGCGATTTCCTCCTGTAGATTGTGAATCACCCGCCCAGACTTGCCGGTAGCGGCGTGTCCGACAGCCGACCATTCTGTGGGGGTCTCGTCGGCGACGCCGTTCAAGGTCGGACTCGTGGGGAGGTTGGAAGGATTAGAGGGGTTCGGGAGATTGAAGAGGTTGGAGGGGTGTGAGGGTTGTGAGGGGGAGCCGTGTGAATCTGTAGACGGGCGGATAGGAGTGAGTAGGTTGCGCATTGCGATGGCATGGATTCTAAACCGACCTCTCAGGCCATCGGCGGCCGGGGTACCGTCCTCGAATAGACCATTAAATTGGTGCATATTCAGTTGGGTTTCCACATGCGGGAGATTCAGGCGAGGCGCTTCGGCAGGGACTGTAGGAGATGGAGCAACATCAGCACTGATCGGTTGGAGGGCATTGACAGACCCGAATCGCCGGATTGCTCGCCGAAGCGACGCCATTGCAACTCCAGAGCGCTCGGCGCTCAACGAGTTGGGCAGTGGGAATGGAAAAAAACAGCAACCACTGTTGAGAGACCATGATAGTACCTTGAGAACAGAAGAAAAGGGTGGTGGAAGAGATTGCCTACCGTTGTTGAATCGCAGTTGCGCCAGATGGGTCGTCGTGAGTTTGTTTCGCCGCCGGATCATCACCAGCGCATCAGAGGGAAACCCGTGCTGGGCGCGGCGGGGAGGTGCGGATTGGGATCAAAATGGATGTGTCGCTGTCAAAGAGGTGAAAGATGCTAAAAGGAAAAAGCACGACGCGTCAAAGGGACGGAGAGTGAGAAAAGTGAATAATGGGCGGAGGGACTTTGAAGATGGGAAGATGGATGGAGCTGTCGACGGATAGACCCAGCGGATCCGCTCACGCCTTCCGTTTGGAACGCCACGTTAGTGTTTACCCTACCGCACCTTCCCTTCCCTGCAACGCCAACGTCAACTCAACTCTCTTATTATTGCAATTACCTCCACCACGCCGCACCAAAAGCCACCTATCAAGAGGTCAAGCGGGGTATTGGATGTATATACATGAAGGTAGCTTGGTAGGGATTTTTAACGAGGGACTCAGGTGAAAAACAGGAACAAAACAACGCTCGTGTCACATCTACTGGACCAGGTAGACACACAGACCCAGAACACCCATCACCAGCTCCCGCGAAAATGAGGATACGGAGCCAACGTTCTGCATGCTAGCGGTGGCAGAGGCCTCCTTGCCATTCACCACATCGGTGTTGGTCATCATCGGGCCAGCGGCAGTCACTGTGCTGGAGACCACGGTGGAAGAGGGGCTGCCGGAAGGAGTACCCGACGCCGATGAGCTGATGAGAGGCTTGCTAGTGGTCTGGGCCCCAGTCGCTGTCGCATCGGTGGTGGTGCTGGCAGCAGTGGCCTCGGTAGTCGCTCCGGTAGTCATGTCGGTGGTTTGAGTGGCATCAGACACGGTCTCGGCCTTGGGCTGTCCGGCGACGGCCTTCAGCAGGGCAGAGTAGTTCTTCTGCCCGCCCTGAGAGACCTGGAAGGCATAACTTTCGCCCTCCTTGATGTTGTCACCGGGAGTCCAGGTGAAGGTGCCATCCTTGGCCTGATCGGTGATGGTCTCTACGTCCGAAAGATCGCCGGCGCTTCCCTTGCGCAGGGTCAGAGTGACAGGCTGATTAACAACTTGTTAGCATCTTACATTGGGCTCCTCGTCAAATTTGGATGTACCTGGTTAGCGGTAGCTCCTGCCCAGGTCAGAGTGACGGGCTTGCCAGCCGCAACCTCCTTCGGCCAGCTGGTGAAAGCGAGAGGGTCAGCAGCATAGCCCAGCGCAATGAGCGAAGCCGACACGGCAAGAACATTGGAGAAATGCATCGTGTAGGAAAGACCGAATCGAAAGGAATGGGGATGTTAAGGAAAGTATCGAAGTATCTGTTGGCGTATATAGTCGACGTCGAAATGGGCGGATAGAAGGTCGAAACGTGAATACCAGTGGCGCACCGCGATCTTTATCTTTCTACAGAGACTCATTCTGATCTCACCTAGCCCCGCAATGGACAGACTATTTCTCGTCGGCATTCGAGTGTTGCACTCTAGCGCCCTGGGAGAATGTCGCATTCCGAGAAGCCAGTTAAGCATCGGTCTGGTGCTGCTCGCTGAAGCATGCACCATCTCGGATTGTTTGGGGAATGCCTTTCCCAGCAACACTAAGAATGGCCCACAGAAGTTTGTCCCACGAGAAAAGATCTCTTGCTGTTTTGTCCTGCTGCCCTAGTATGCAGGTCACAGCACATACAAATACAAACCTCAAAGGACAACCGACTCAACACCCCTCTTTCAACTATTTCGATAAATCTGACCTGCGAAGATGAATTCTACATCGACATGACTCGTGAGGGAGAAAAAGATTCGTAGCCCGTAGGAGTGGCTCACCGATCCCCCAAGAATGCCATCCCTTCCCGAATTGTTTTGACCGGAATCAAGGCATAGGGCTGCTCTAGCTCTCGACTCTTCACGCTAAACAGTGCTCTGGGATAAGCATTTCTCAACACTCGCCTATGCTCAGCCCATACCAAGGGGTACTCGATGTCTTATTCTATCTAGAGTGAACTCCTTCAAGTCTGTACTGCGAAGGACTATAGTGTCGATCATATAGCCCGCCATGCAAGGGCGGTTACCCGCCGCCGTTGACGTGGGTGGAAACAAACACAAACAAAAAACTCTGCCCTTTCAAGCTCTTTGAGAAAAAAAAAATACTTTTCCACCCCAGTTTGGACATACAAAACACAGGGCTGTGTGTTTTTCAAGCCGATTGGTCGTGTGAAAAGAGACCGTGCTTCGTACTCGATCGGCGTGTCCAGGTACCCCTTGTCTTTCAACCTTGGGAGGTTCTTTCAGGCGCTTCTCCTCAATGTTTTCATTCTGCTAGCCCTAGTCCTGCATATTTAATTCAAATCAAGACAACAATACTTCTCAAGTGTTGCAGGTGCGTAGACTGATCTTTGATGGTTTTCTTGGGTACGGAGTGACGGTCTGGGGTAATAGAAGCAAACAACGCAACCAACAATTATATATCTTAGTCCCAGATACCCAGTTATCCATGATGCGTTGACTACCCAATTGATGTAGTGGTAATTGATACATGTGAGGATTCTACAACGTGGTTCACATCATAAAGCACCTGGCCCGATCTATATTGTAGTGTTGCGTTCGAAGATATTTTTGTGCTCTTGGAAGATGCGATGTTTTATTTGGAGCGTATTTTTCCAGATTTAAATTTTTTTCCCAACTATTTGCTAGACTAAAGGGCAAAAAAGCTAGAGAAACAACTATCATTGTTGAAAGATAAAGTCTATCTAGGAAACTCATAAAGATACATCTCACAGGCTCTACAACACTAAGACGGCCCATGGAAGAAGAAAGAAAAAGTAAATCTTGCCGTTGGGCCTGCCACCGACAAGCGGAGGCTGAAAGTCCCGCAAGAATTTTCCCGGAGCCCGGTCAAAATTCGACCTCAAATCATTTGACGTGCTGAGCAAGGAAGCTCGCAGCCTCGCCAGCATTGGCACCATAGGTCAAGTGAGCAGCAGTAATGATCAGAGTACCATCACAGACCATATCACCCACGGCACAGAAAACCTTGGTCTGATCCTTGGGGTATCCGGGAATCCGGCCACCATCCTGCAAGTTGCGGGTGAAGCCAAAGAGGACAACAGCTTTGACCTTATCTCTCACTTCTCCAGACAACCTCTGAATCGAGCCGTCGATGACGGCACTTCCCTGACTAAAGAAATTGTGAGAAAGAAAAGCGAGAGACGTTGCGCTCTTGTCCTGTCAACTTACCTGTATCCACCAGCGACAATTTTCGCCTTGGGGCATTTCTGGCTGCATTGCTCGAAGACTTGCACGGCGGCTTGCACATCTTGCGGCGCGGTATTGCCTGGTAAGAAGTTCTCTGCAAGACCGGCAGTGTAGGCGCCACCAATACCCTGGCAGCCGACGTTGCCTCCCAGCTGCATCTTCAAGTCATCGCAGACCTCGGGTCCAACAACAGTGCCCTGCTCAGTTAGCAGGAGCCAATGTTAAAGTTTCAAGTGCATTTTCACCTCATTGCCAACCTCGGTCGAGCCTCGAGCAAAAGGAACATCACGTCCTTACAGTTGCCGGTGTCGAGGTCGTTGGCAGTAATGTACTGGCGGGCTTCTATGCTTGTCGGTGTCGTCGCGACCAGCGGGGCCAGGAGCAAAGGGAGAAAGGCCTTGAGGAACATATTCGAAGAAGAAAAAAGTCGATTCAATCGTGATCCTATTGAAGACTCTCAGCATGGCCCACGAAGATATTTAAACGGGTCGAGGGCGGCATAGTGATCCATGTGGTTGGTTCGAGGCCAAAATTTGAGCATCGGGTAGAATATGCCTCGGAGGATCTATGGCGTTTCAGACGCGCCCAAAAAGAGAGTAGTGTCTCATCGTAACACAGTCAAGCCTTTCCCTGACGATTTAGCAATCAATTTAGGCCCCTGCTTCTGTTTGATCGTCGAAAAGGTACAAATCCCCGAACCCGAATCTGGGACATCCTCAGTAGAACCCATATCGCGACTAGGCATCTACCTAGATATTCCCCAGGGCATTCACGTGGTGAATGTAAGTGCCGAAGATTATCGGCATTCATAGAGACCCTTCTTGAGTAGAGATGATCATCCCGGCGCATTTTCGAGTATAACAGCCGCGGCTCGGCACCTCGTGCTGCTTCTATGGGTTCTCGCGCCTCACCACCGTTTAGGATAGAGAATTGCAGGAGGCGAGGCCAAATTATGATTTCATACTATGGAGGATTGTTACCAAGAAATTCAGAGAATCTCAAAATGGGTAAAATATGAACATTACGGCATGAAATTTTTTTTTTCCGAACGCCGTCTGTAGCTAATGGTGTATATGCAAAAGAATCACCTAGGTATTTCTAAAAATCCCACAAACGACGCATGAACGAAGCCGGACCGGAGTCGACACCGCCGTCTTCCTCCAACATGCGATCCGTAAAAATACGCTTGGGGATTTGGTATTCGACAACGGGCGTCTTCTTGAGCGGCCTCTCCCCCGTGCCGAGTTCCGCTTGAACCATACCTTGGTAAGTGTGGTCCAAGAAATCTTCAAGGTTGTAATGTTGCTTTGTAAATTGCTCGGAAATAATGCGCGCAATGGATGCCACGTTGGGGTGGTAGTGGGATTGGAGGGTTTCAATCTCCCACAAACTGCTTTCAATAGCGTTGGTGCGGGTGGGATCCGTTTCCGCCGCATCGAAGGGATCGTCCATACCATGCTCCTCGATTTCTGCGGCCAGGTCCTTATCCCGGATTGTTCGGTGCATCATGAATGTGCATGTAGGGTGACTCTTGAAAAGGTTGTACATGAACGGGACGATGACGACAATGGCGGATGGAGGGGCATTAATCGCGAGACGCGAAAGACGCTTTATAAAGCTGGCCACAAGAGCGGCCGGAAGATGGGTAGAGGCGAGGAAGGTGTTGAGGAGACGGAAGAAACGGGATCGATGCTTCGAGTGGAGGAGGTCGGCGTCCAAGAGGGAGTAGAGTTTTGAGTAGAATTGAGGGTAGTCCAGGTTCTTCTCTTGGATCAGATAGAACAGACCGGAGAGAGCAAGGAGGGAGGTGGCCCCGCCCGCATTGTACGAGTCCGTCAAGAAGTCCATCAGCAACTCTGGTCGGCTAAACCACGGCTCAATATGGTGGACCATAATTCGTAGGAGGGATTTCCGTTGAGGCTGAGATAGGTCGTTCCGGAGAATAGCCAGCCACGCCTCCTGTGCGCGCTTCTTGTGGGAGCTGGCGGAATTCAGTTGCTTGGACTTGTTCTCCCGAGGGACGAAAAAGGTTTCGAATTCGTGGTCAGCGGCAGGGACTTCCTCGCAAGCAGAAAGGATCGCAATTATGCTATCGATAATTTCGTGACTCCGTCGCACATCGGCGTACTCACTGCTCGGCAATTAGCAAATTGTACATAGGCAAATTGTGGGCTGTGAAGATCGACATACGAAAGGTGTGTGAACGTGAAGTACCGCACATCCTCATACTCCTTCGCAAACTTGTTTACAAACTCTGTCTGAAGATCTTGTCCGTCTTGAGCTTCCACGACCGCTTCAACAATATCCTTGAACAAAGTTGCCCAGATGTTGTTCTCAGCCCCGGGGATATGGGTAATGCGCTCCTTCACCAGACGCATAGCCAGAGTCAACGCAGTGACCTGGGAAGTGGTGTCTGCCTCCCGAATAATCGCCATAAGACCTCGCTGGTACTCCAAGCAACGTTCCTTTAGCCATGCGACAATGATTTTCTCGTTCTCGGCGGCGCGGTTCGATTCGATGAAATTCCCGGCGGCGATCAATCGGCTGAAGACTCGGCACAGGGAAACCGCAGCAGCAAGTTCGGGCTCTTTGGCGTTGTCCTCGACCTTCATCATCGAAATCAGGGTCACAATATTGTTGTAGTGCTTTCGTGACTCGGCAATCTGGGTTTCGAGGTCTTGAATAGTAGACAAGGTCTCGGTGAAGTTGTCCTCGGCCACCGCGCGGCGCTTGGACGACGGGGCGCCATTTTTGGAGCTCTTGCGCTTCTTAGAGCTCGACAGCTCGACGGGCGCAGGCATTTTCGCAGCAATCGCAGAATGAATACCGACCCTCGTTGTGCTGGCGTGATCCGGAAGCCCAACTTTTTTTGATTCTCCGGAGATCGGAGGGCACTTTTTCCGCGACTGGGAGCTATTCCCGATGCGGCTAGCGTGTGCAAGCCCGTCCTACCCGTCCCGACCTCAAGTCTCCTCTCCGTTCACCCACCCTCAAGATCCTTACCATCTGCAACAATGGCTTCGCGTCTTGCTAAGAGCGCCATTGGTACGCTGCATCCGATACTCGACCGCTCGTTTATATGATTGCAGTTGCTAACTACTCTCCCTAGGCGCTGCCCGCCTGCGGCCGACCATCCCCGTGCGTGTCCCTGCCGTCACTGCCCTGACCTCGACTCGCGCGGCCTCCAACGTCCCCGCCGAGGACCCCGCGAAGAAGGCTCAGTCCATCCTCGACTCCGTCCCCGGTAACTCCCTGGTCTCCAAGACCGCCACCCTGTCCGCCGCCGCTGGTATCTCGATTGCCGCCATCAGCAACGAGCTCTACGTGATGAACGAGGAGACCGTCGCCGCTTTCTGTCTGCTCTCCGTCTTCACCGCTGTGGCCAAGTACGGCGGTCCCGCTTACCGTGAGTGGGCTGAGGGCCAGGTCCAGAAGCACAAGGACATCCTGAATGCTGCCCGTGCCGACCACACCAACGCTGTCCAGCAGCGCATCGACAACGTCAAGGAGATGTCCGGTGTTGTTGAGGTCACCAAGCAGCTGTTCGCCGTCTCTAAGGTATGATTTTGATGGATTAGAAGAGCTCGGAAAGAGTTTCGGAGAGAATATGGTTTGACCGTCTTGATTTTATAGGAGACCGCCCAGCTTGAGTCCCAGGCCTACGAGCTCGAGCAGCGCACTGCTCTGGCCACCGAGGCCAAGCAGGTCCTCGACTCCTGGGTCCGCTACGAGAGCCAGGTTAAGCAGCGCCAGCAGCGTGAGCTGGCCGACTCCATCATTGGCAAGATCCAGAAGGAGCTCGAGAACCCCAAGGTTCTGCAGCAGATCCTGCAGCAGAGCGTTGCTGATGTCGAGCGTAAGTTCCGCCAGCGATGACCCACAAGACTTTTGTCTATACGAGCTTCGTTGCTAATTGTTCTCCAGGGATCATGGCTGCCAAGGCCACCCAGTAAATGGACTCTGGTAGCTCCGTCGGCTAACGCCATCGTGTACAAAACTATAGGGGCTATTTGCATTTGCTGAGTTAGATTTGCAATACCATTTCTTATTATCGACCATAACACGGAGCATCTTTGTTCAACGCCAGCTGGAAACTTGCGGGAAGTCAACCGAGGTAGAGTCGGGCAGTGTCGGCGTGGCCCTGGCTTGAAATGAACTGGTCCGAATGCCATCTTGGGATACGTAAGAGACTATTTAGACGTAGAAATTGTACGCAGCTATCACTCTTCTCCCGCAAGCTCCCGACCGACCGATCCCTTCAGCCCTATGTGTGTTTTCGCTGGTTGCTGGGGAGAGGAGGTCCACGGTGGACACTGCTAGGGCCAGCGCCGACAGCCACCGGTGGACATGCACCTATACTCCATACCGGAGATAGATCAGATCTGTTTCTCTGAAATACCTCGTGGAACCGATTTCCGTACAATGGCTGAGTTACTCAATTTGACTTGATTTATCTGGGGTCGCATCTAAGCGCCTCGACGGGTTTTAGCCGCCAACCCCAACCGTCCAAAGGGCCAAGGCACACTCAGCCAACACAGCCCCGACCACGCGATGTTTCTATTCTCGTGAGCTGACTCGCCTTGTTGCTTTTGCTTTATCCTCGAACAAAAGGGGATTGTTCCCTCGTCTCTCATTTATCTCTTTACATTCGTCTACCTCCACCCCACTCGGCCTCTCCGCATCGTCCGTGTCGCATTGCATCGCATCGCATCCTGTACCATTGCATATCACCAAGGAGCCCAAGATGCCTTCATTTAAGGACATTCTCCACAAACGCGACGCTCTGTCCAAAGATAAATCGCCCGCACAATCTACGGACACAGAACCCTTCCCAGCTGCTCCGCCAGCTCCCGAAATCACATTGATGCGATCCGACACCTTCGGCCACGAAGTGATCACCCCACCAGTATACCCAGACCACGAGCAGTCCGAATCGTCGCAACAGCTTGAATCCGGTCATCCTACCTCTACCTCCTCCCCTCGTCGCAGCTTCCAGCTCTTCCGCCGCTCCTCTCGCACAGGCTCCCTGTCCAGCCCGTCGCCCCCGCAACCCCGCCGCGAACGCCGTCTTTCACACCTGCTACACCTGGACCATCGCAGTCGGAGCAACTCGCGCGACTCGTCGGCAAACCTTCCTCAGAACTTGCCACAGATCGAGGATGATCAAGAAGTGGATGAGCAGCAACGCGAGGCACAATGGGAGAAGAGGGCTACGGTGCTGGTGCAGCAGAACCCGCAATTCGGACACACGTCACCTAGGCAGTCGGAGGCGGATTTGTCGTTGAGACCGGGGCAGATGCCTAGGTCGAGGAGTTCAAGCTCGGTTGGTGATGTGCAAGATGATGTAAGTTGTTCGGAATCCCCAGTGGAGCCCAGGGATATGTGCTAATGTCCTGTAGATCAATATCCAGGAAGCAATCCGGCTTCATGAGGCAGGAGGTGAGTTGATCCAAGTCAAGCAAAACTGTGTGTTGGAAATCTACTTACTGATGCTTTCACAGATCTGGAACGATCAACTAAAATGTTCGGCCATTTGGCTGATCCCAATGGCGCGAATAACCCACTTAGCCAGGTTCTTTACGGACTAGCCCTGCGGTATGGCCTCTTTTTGCCTTTTTTTTTACTGTCGAAACTCATGCTAATTGCGTGTAGGCACGGCTGGGGCTGCGTAAAAGATGAAGCGCGAGCAGTCACATACCTGTCCGCCGCCGCCTCCAATTCGGCCGACGTAGAGTCCGAGGCGTTGCGAGCCGGCATCAAGAAGGGTGGTGCTGCCAAGGGTGAACTGGTCTTGGCGATTTTTGAACTGGCAAACTGTTTCCGGAATGGTTGGGGTGTGGAAAAGGACCCAGCTGCGGCGAGACAGTATTATGAAACGGCTGCCAACTTGGGCGACACCGACGCCATGGACCAGGTGGCTTGGTGTTACCTAGAGGGATTCGGCGGCAAGAAAGATAAGGTATGCTGGCTCCGAATCATATGTCAATGTCATTGCTAATAGTTGAATTGCAGTACAAAGCGGCCAAGTATCTCCGACTTGCCGAAAAAAGCGGAGGTCCCACTGTTGGGAATTCATGGTATGTGGAATTCACTTCCAAGATACGAAAGAATGACCTGCTGATCATCTCTTCAGGATCTGGAAGGAAAAGTACAACCCGAAATAGGTTTCTTCCCCTCATTTTAGCGCTGGACAAAAAGAACTGGGTCTTCTGGCACTTGAAGCAAGCCCAAGCTTGACTACTTAACACACGCCTCTCACGATGAATGTTTAATGTCTCACTAGCATGACTACGATGTAAAGCGGAATTCGTATGCTGATGGAAAACAATATTAACTGTTTATCATGTACTATCCATCTTGCCCGTCTTCATTCGTAGACACTGTCTCGGTATACCCAGTTTCGATCGTACGTTGACCCATTTAGTGGACCCACCGAGATCAAATGAAATCCTGACGGCCCACAAGCGACAGAAATATACTCAAGCGCCAGTCTTATCCCAGAGTCGTTGCTTTCGCCCTCTCAGTGAGCCAGATCTGGCTTCTCCCCCGGATAAACCTCGGAACCACGGGTCGGCACGGACTTCCTCCTTACTCAATTTTTAGGCCAGTGCATATCCCCTTCAAACAAAGGAACTAACACACCACCACCCCGCGCAAAGTCTGAAAAGTCTGAGCGGAGAGAGGAGCCCCGGCACGACTAGCCAGAGGCATGGACCTTCCATGGCACTAGGGTTGGATCCTGAATTGCAATCCCGAGAAACGGTTGGCTGTCTCCGACTCCGCACACAATTGCAATCCATCCCCCGCGCTTTCCCCCGCGGGGTCGGCAGTGATCTCGGCTTTCGGCATCGGTGCCAACCCCATACTGTTCATTCCTGCCTTGATACCGCATGCATAGTCCGAGACTGCATTGCGTATACCCTTGCACCGGACGGGTGGATGGTAAGCGGATATGTGATCTCGAACATACGGGCTGCCTCTGTAAAAAACCAGATTCCCATCCCTCGAACAAAAGGAATCGCAAATAGGATTCTCTGCCTAACATATCTCTCGCGTCTGAATTCATCCAATATGGCAGGGAAGACCACTAGTCAAGTCCCTGCAGAGGGACTCGCCTCGGTAAGTCAACCCCTTTTATGACCTGATGTCACTCTAAGGTTCAGCTCGAGTTAACGCATGGTATGCAGGTTCTCCCATCACACTCCAAGCCATGGTGGAAAACACCTCATCTGCTATCTCTAAACTGTCTCATCGGCTTTCTTTTGCTCTACTCCAGCACAGTCGGCTACGATATCTCCCTCATGAACGGCCTCCAATCCCTCGACCAATGGCAAGTCTTCATGAACCACCCAACAGGTGCCTGGCTAGGTTTCATCAACGCCCTGCAATCACTGGGCAGTATGGTCTTTCAACCCGTCGGCGCCTGGTCCGCCAACCGGCTCGGGCGTAGGCGCACTATCCTCATCGGTTACTTCTGGCTAGCTCTCGGCGTGGGGCTGCAAGTCGGTGCCCCGGACCCGAAGATGTTCATTGCCTCGCGTATGTTCATCGGCATTGCAGGCGCCTGGTTTCAAGCTGCAGTCATCCTTGTGACGGAGATCGCGTACCCTTCGCATCGATCGTTGGTTACTTCCGTCTATATGTGTCTGTACTATGCCGGATCATTGCTGTCGGCGTGGATTGCCTTCGGAACTCGAAACATCGAGGGCAGCTGGGCCTGGCGTATCCCATCACTCATGCAGATTGCACTGCCGCTGCTCGCTTTGCCAGGGACATTGTTGATTCCAGAGTCGCCTCGTTGGCTAATTGGACAGAAGCGCAACGAGGAGGCCCGCAAGATCCTGACTCGCTTCCATGCTGGTGGTGATGAGAACTCTCAGCTCGTTGTGTTTGAAATGGATGAGATCACCCAGTCTCTTACTTTCGAACGGAGTATACAAAATGAGTCGCGCTGGATCGACTGCGTAAAAACGAGCGGTAACCGCTACCGGTTCTTTTTGAGCGTGTCACTCGGTATTTTCGCGCAATGGAACGGCTGGTACATACTCCACCCAATCATTTAAGCAACCTCCATTCTAATGAGCTCTATTTTCAGCGGTGTTGTCTCCTACTACCTTACCATGATCCTAGATACCATCGGCATTACCTCAGTCACCGAACAAACCCTTATAAACGGCTTCCTACAACTCTGGAACCTGATAATGAGTTGCGTGGGTGCCTCTCTGGTTGATAGAGCCGGCCGAAGAGCTCTATTCCTCGCATCAACTATCATCATGCTGACCAGCTATATTATGATCACGGCACTATCCGGGAGCTTTACCACAGCCGGTACCGCGGCACTCGGTACTGCTGTTGTCCCATTCCTTTTTATCTACTATGCCGGGTATGATTTGGCATTCACGCCGCTGGTAGTCGCCTATCCAGCTGAGATATGGACGTTCTCGCTGCGCGCCAAGGGTGTGGCAATCTCTTCCATGGCAAATTATGGTGCGCTATTGTTTAATCAGTTTATCAACCCCATTGCCTTTGAGACTATTGCCTGGAAGTATTATTTTGTTTTTTTGATCATGCTGTTGATTATTCTGGGAACTATTTATCAGTGGTATCCCGAGACGCATGGATACTCGCTTGAAGAGATTGCAGTTATTTTCGATGGGGAGTCGGCGCGGGTTACAGATGTTGTTGGTTCCAAGGCTGAGCTGGAAGAGGAACAACTGGGGAATATAGAGCATGCCGAGAAGGTGTTAGGATAGATGATACAAATAGAATACGACTATCGAAGCGAATCAGAGACGAGGCATTTTGCAGCTACGAGACATTTTGCGGCTATGTCAAGTCAAGAGGAGATCACGGACATTACCAGGGTATTGACAAGAGAGGATTGGGAAGACTTAAATAGCATGCAACGGTGACATTGGAACAGGGTGGATATAAAAGATATCGGGTCAACATGCTACCAGCCCCAGGGAGAGAGGGTTGGCAATCTTCGCACGGGTGGAATGCGTGAGGCAAACGTCTTCGGTACACATCATGCTCAAGCTTGGATGGTATAGGTTGCTACGGCGATTATTGAGCAAGAGATAATATGAGAGATTGAGAGTTTTAAAAATCTATTCAATTACCCCTCCTCCGTTGGTTCTACCCACCTACTGAGGAGCATTTTCTTACAGGGAGGCTTTGTAGAATGGAATCAGCAAGGCTGAGAAAAAAGTCTTACACATTGGATTTGGGAATAGTTCTTCTCCGGAGACCCAAATGGTTGTTTAGTCCGGGTCGCCAGGTTCTAGATCTACATGCGGCCAATGATACAGCGTCATACATCAGGGAAAGCTTCGTCTAGCCAAGCTAAGGATAGTGTAATCCTACTTGGAGGGGGTTCGCCTGTTAACTATTCTCGAAATCATCTGTATCCCCACCACTGCTGGCTGGTCAATTTCACTGCTGAAGGATTCGGACTTCTCTCAGACTATGGCGCTTCTGAATACGGGGATCTCCCAACAACAACCGCATAAATTTTAAATGGTCTCCATGGATGGCCCACCACAATGGCCGCCTCCCCAGATCGTTCAGTGTGGTTGGCATCTACCTGAGGATGGTCCAACAGCAACTTGGCAATCTCGCATTGCCCAGCGGCAGCAGTAAATGTAAGTGCTGACCACTCCTGAGGTCCCCGTTGATTGATGACTATTCGGTCACCCTGGCCTAAAAGAAGGCGAACGATGGGTATATGCTGCCCTATGATAGCAACCTGAAGAGGGCTGGTCCCCGTAGGGCCCACTTGATTGATATCAATCACATTCCAGCGCAGGAGCTCACGAACTTCACCAACTAGATTTTCATTTCCCAAACGACATGCTTCCCACATTGGAAAATTCGAAGCCCTGTCGACCGCTAGGATGGAGAATTTGGGATGCCTTAGGATATTCCTCATAATGCTTTCGCACTCTTTTTGAACTGCAAGCATCAACGGTGCCACCAAGTCCTGATCACCGGAGAAGTCTACATTTGGCCTCTGCAGGATGATATTCACCACATCATCTCTGTAACTTTTGACCGCGTGACAAAGAGGGGTCCGACGGTGGATGTCCCGAGCGTTGATTTCAACTCGGGCAGAGTCCAATAAAGAACGAGCTACCCTGCCGGATTTATCATCACGGACTTGGCTTGCTGCCAAATGAAGTAGTGTTTGACGCTTTAAATTGCGGCAATCATTGGCCAATTATTTCTCGATGAGGCGATTGGGAAATTTACTTCGCGACAATGCTTTAGCTTTAGAAGATATCGAGATTGATGAGGTTGGCTGTGGAGGAATACGCAGAACTCTCGCAAACGGGAATTTGCTTCTGAACCAAGTACCGAATTACCCCCAGGGAACACTCAACAGTTGTTTCCGTCACTGAAAAAATTGGCCTTGATCGCCATTTCCTTGAAGAATGGCTGCCACAGTGTGCCCTCTGTTTTCTCTTTGAAAGGCCTCCATCCACTGGCACTCAGGAACTGTCCGCGGGCAGCCGACCTTCTCAGGGTGCTCGGTTCTGGTGATATTGTGCCGCCATCGATGCAACTTAAAGTGTTTGAATTTAGCGACAACGGGTTGAATCAGGTGCCAAGAGTTGTTGATTCACTCTTTGACTTCCTTCAATCCTTCGACGGGCTCGATGATTTGTTCTTGTCCTTTTTTGACCGTTTTGGAGGTCACTTACTCGGCGCAATCCTCAACCACAAATCTTCGCTTAGGAGACTTGTGTGCCATTACCCAAAGATTAACGCAGGAGTCATGCAGCCATTAGGTGGATTTCCATACCGCTCCTTTAGGGAAGCCGTGAGGGAAATGCCAGATATTACTTGTCTGGGGGTGTTGGTATCACCAGCTAGGTACTGTGTACACAGTTAAGTGGACAGTGTGTATGCTCCAAAGCAAAAGTCAATTGATTCCTGTTGATAGATGTTGATCCTCAGTCTAGTTGGAAAACACCCCTAGATCCCACACGCCGGCCTTCGGCGGTCACAACACCGGGGCCACAGCCCAGCGCAAGAATGCGTACACCAAGCAAGGGATGTTATCCATCGGTCGCTAGCAGTGGGTCACCGCTAGTTTGTTCTGACAGGAGAATATATCCCGACAGGGGTAACCCTTCCTCCAAATGATCTTGTAAGCATGATCTTTGACTTTGTTCGGAGGGTTTAAGCTAACCTGACAAGTTCTCGGTATTTTCTCAGTCGGATATGTGCCCTCGCCTCCAACTGAGAAGGACAGGAGCAAGTCGTGGCGATGGGTAGTTGATTCATCACCTCTGGCGGTGTCGGAGAGTTGAATAATCGAGAAACCAGTGGGTCCCGCCACAAGACTGACTTCTTCGACTACTCGGTACAGTACACAAATCAATTCCCCAATGGAAATGGGTCGACAGCTTTATAGATACATTACCTCAAGAATAATATGTTCCAATTCTAGGCTAGTAAAATCAATTCATTGCGTCGTTTCAGAATCTCGGTCAACCCTGACGATGCAAGCACTCGACTCTCTTTCTTGGGAACTTATTCTGACGCTATTTAAGTTTACTGTCGGCTTGATTATTAATTTGGCCTTGGCCCTATGACGATCTTGGTATGTCAACCAACGACTGCTGTACTCAGTTGCCTCCGCTTATTTTCAACCTCAAGAGATTATAGTTACTAATAGCGTTTTAGACCCATTATGCTCAAACGTACCAGCAGGTGACGAACTATCTCGTACCGTTGCGAACGCCGTGGGGTTACTGTCAAGTTCTTTCAATGATAAAGTCCCTTTGGCTGCCTCGTGATTCCTTTTCCGTACATTCTTATCGGACCAGCGACACCAGAAAACACCTGAGCCAAATACTCTTGCAATGGCATTTATCACATCCTGGGATTTCGCAGTAAGGGTAGTAAGGCTAGTCCAAGCTACCTTCGCAATTATTATTTTTGGTTTAAGCTTAACCCGTTTGTTACTTCCGCAGTTGTTGACTTAAAGGTTCTAATGTCCAACAGTGCTTTGCCTTTTACTATTCACCAAGATAAATATCTTCGTTTTCGTCAGTGCCATATGGACTGCCTTCTTCGCGGTTCCTTACCTTGCCCTGTCTCCAGTGTCCTCCTTTGACTTCGAACGCCGCTGTGGTATTCCAGGAATGGAGAGTAGTGTCATGATACTTTGGCTTGCAGGGTTTGTCTTCCAAGCTTGCTCTCTGCCATCGCCGGCCCATTGTACTTCGGCAGATTGTACTGTATCGCAGATTGCTGTGGTATTTGGCGCATTTGAATGGTATGTGTTTTTCTATTATTCCGAAGGCTCTGTATTATTGTACGCAGTACATAAACTTAAATTTTCACTTTCATCTTCTATATAGGGCTCTCTTCTTCTTCACGTCCACTGGAGCTGTCCTCACTGCTGTACGGAAGCCTAACATCATCCTCGACGATTGTGTTTAATTAACTACGATTGCCTTGGTCGACGTTACTGTACACTAGCGTGGATCGTTCATGTCTACAATGTAACGGGCCAGAGCCCGGTGGTGAACCATGTGTCATGGCCTTTCGGATATCGTCTTGGCAGAAGGATTCCAAGCGATTCCACCACGAGGTTCTAGAGGATTTTATCCGAAGCGGACCAACACTCTTGAAGACCGCGACCGACTCTTATCTCTTCTTTTTTCTTTCCTCAAGATTGTTGTAAACTGCATGTTGGCCTAGTATAATTGAATCAATTTTACTACAGCCCTTCACATACAAAACTCCACAGATTCAGTTTCTACTTCAGAAAAGTTGGTCCTCGTTTCAATGCCAATATCCCCTCCTACGCGGCGTATCAAGAACCCGCCGTCATCATGACAACGATGGTATTCTGGCTAGCTATCATGTCTGTATTTGTAGGGGAAGAGAAGCGGAAAAACTCTGCTAAATGGGGTCTATCCAACTCGGGGCACGGTTGCCGTATTGGAAAAATTAGATGAGTAAGTGTCAGGATGCGGCAGTTGGATGATTTACAAATTACCCAGTGGACAATTACTCTGACACTTTTCATTCCATTGACGTCAGACGGAAGGGATTAGTAATCAAGTTTGACGGGGTCTGGGAACTAACTACGGAATTCCCGCCCGAGTGGCCCACCCGGCGGCGTGGCCCACTACGCGCTAAGACGCGCCCGCATGACCAGCTTCCTTCTTCAAACACTCACCATGCCTCCAAAACGTGCTCAATCCTCGCAAAATTCTATTTTGTCCATAACTCAACATTAAAACACCTCCTTACGGCGTGACGAGTTAACTAGAAAGTTCGCGACCCAATTTTTGCCCGTTTTAAGTACCGGTACGTCGTCGCCGCGGTCCGAAAGCAAGAGGTCTACCATAATCTGCACAGTAGAGGGCCGTGGGGCAGTTCCGCGTCGATTCATTGAAATTATCCATTTTTTCAGCGAGTCTTCTTCCGTTTCGGATACTTTTTTATGTTGGTGGCACGTATATTGCTTCGATCGGGGCGCCACGAAGACGGGCTTGCAAGGTCCTCCTCGACACGTCGTAAAGCCGCGCCGATTCGCGAATATTCGTGAGTTGACCTTTTTTTTATCGCGTTTACAGGGAGTGAGAGACTTCCCTCGAGCTGTAGGTCCGTCCTCAGCGTGTTTTTTAGCATAATTTTCGTGGGATGGGTGTAAAAGTTGGTGCGGAAGCAGGTGTAAAAAGAATGTGGAATGGATTTTCGGAGAGGTGGCCCGCTCGTTTGTGAAATAAGTTTAAATCAATCGACATTCATCAGCACGCGAAAGTTCTTTTGTCCCAGGGGCCAGTGTTGCTATCGATTTGGCGACCCCAGTTGCGCGATACTGCTGACGGACCTGAATTACGAGCTGTAGAAGTGGTCGCGGATGAGGTAGGTTCAATCCTCGTAACACCGTGCGCAATGTTCTGACGTTCCTATCAGGTTTTCCGTGACGATGAAGGAAACGCCGTCGATCACCCCGGCCTGCGGCTCCGCCTCAGCGATTTCACTTACAAGGAACTTGCCCAGAAGGAGATGGGAGATGAAGATACGGATATCTACATCTCTGGGATACAACTCTGTCAATATCTAGATGCGGCGGATAGCAAAATAGAGCGAGCACTGGGCGAGCAATCTCTTGCTAAGGACGTTAAAAAGCGGAAACGGTCGGAAACACCTTCTGAAGATATTAGGGCAGGTGATGAAGCAAGGTATGCCGAGCAAGAGGAGAGAGCAGCGAAGCGCGCGGATCATGACATGGATTACCAGGAGAAATCATCAACCTAGAGCCTCTCAGACTAGAATACCAAATATGTTCCGCTCTGCCGATGTGTTGGAAGGACAGGAGGCGAACCCAGGCAGCTCGCGCCCCAACAGATCACCAGTCACCACAGCTAGGAAGCTTTGAGAATGAAATATGGTCTTAATTATCCAATGAAACTATTACAACAGTCTAAGCTTGGCGCAAGTGCGCAATTTTATGATCTAGGATTTGAATCTTCCTTTGTGCAGCTTCAATACCACACCTGGAGCCAACACGTACGCGCTCAACTTCGCACTCCGTCTTTACCCTTCTTCGAGTAGGGTATCTTGGCAATCTTTCACTCTTCAACAAACACCATGCGCCTACGCAGACGCCCTCTTCGTCGCCTTGGTTCGCAACTTCATCATCAAGAACACCAGGGCGTAGAACACTCCAGCCCACAATACAACAAGCCCCGCATTCCTCCAGCCGTAGTACTCTTCGTTCAAGTTGAGTGTCTTCAAGTAGTCTTGTCCAGTAGTGTATCGGCACACCTCGCAGTTCTCCGTAGCGCCTGGGTTCAGAAGGTTCGTGCCACGTCCCATGCCTTGCTGATAGGTGGAGAGATAGTCGCCACATGTCTCGTTCGCAGGAGGATTGAAGACCGCAAGCTCGCCTCGTTCGCAAGTGATATCGACGGAGAAGGTGGTGAAGGTGAGGAAGGCGCCGAAGAGGTAGTTGAAGGGATCGAGGTAGTAGAGCCTAAAATGTGATGTTAGCATTGATATCGTGGGTGTTGATAGTCGTATGAGGCTTACCAGTATCTCCAGAACGCCGTGATCTGGGAGTAAGGAACGAAGACACCGCAGAATGATACGAGGGTGGTGATGACCAGCGGGTTGACGAGAGATGCAAAGGTTGCGTTGGGAGCGTACGCGGCGATCGATTGTCCAATACCGGTGTACAACATCTCGTAAAACATCTAGACGGTTTGTTAGTTTGGAGCGAAGAGTCAACCAAAGAAGAGAGAACTTACTGCGACGAAGAATGTGCTGCCTGCCCACTTGGTATCATTTGGCAATCCAGCAGTCCAGTACCAACACACAAAGTACAACACACCGCAGACGACCAGGTAGGGCAGCTCAGAAACGATCAAGCCAGTGACGAATGGCACCCAGTGGTAGGTCTTACTCTTCTTCTCGCGCGTCTCATACACGTTGCGACGATCGATGAAGATAGGCTGAAGCTGGGAGATGAGACCGGGGGCGACAAACAAGAAACTGAAGACCGTGAAGAGGCGTTGCTGGAGATCGCTGACGCTGTTACCAATCGACCAGAACGAAAAGCCGTTGTAAAGAGACAGAAGTATATGCAAGATGAGCTTGTTGTTGATGTACTCGGTGTTGCGGAACAAGGAGATGTTCATGCGGTGCGTGACAAGCTTTACCTGCTCCCAAATGGGCGCTGCGAATTGATGGCCATCGTCGACAGTTCCAGGCAGTTTGGCGGCAGCATCGGCGACAAGAGTGTCAAGCTCTTGAGTGATCTTCTCGTGTTCTGGCGAGTTGAGCCAGACTTGGTTCCAGTCCTTGCCCTTAGAAAGACTTCCTGATACGACTTCAATCATGTGCTCAGCAGGGTTGGCCTCTCGGGGGCACGGTGCGCCATGATCAGCGAAGTATTTCTTGACGGTCCTTGCATGATGGCCGATATCGCCAAAGTATACGGTCTTGCCACCCTTCGCCAGTAGGAGGAGGGTGTCGAATTGGGCAAAGAGGTCGGCCGATGGCTGATGAATCGTGACGAGGACAGCTTGTCCGACTTCCGCGAGTTTGCGCAAGAAGCGTACCGTGTTGTTTGCAGCTTGGCCATCGAGACCAGAAGTAGGTTCGTCGAGGAAGATCAAAATACTGGGCTTAGCTACGAGCTCAACACCAATTGTGAGACCTGATAAGTTGTTAGTGTCTGTCTCGACTCTGTTCGATGGATTCAGACTTACGCTTGCGCTGTTCGACAGAAAGACCGGCACCAGGGCGACCGATGAGGGTGTGCTCGAGATCTTCCAACTGCAGAAGCTTGACGATCGTGTCCACATAGCGGAGCTTCTCCTCGCGGGGAATTTCACGATTCTGACGAAGAAGAGCAGAGAATTCCAAAGCCTCGCGTACCGTGGACAATGACTCGTGGACATCCATCTGTTCGACGTAGCCAGCAGATCGTTGGAAGGACACAGGGAGCGGGCGACCATCGACTAGAACGGAGCCATGAATGGTACCATCAGTCTTGCGTTGAGCTAGAACGTCGAGCAGTGTAGTCTTTCCGGCCTGAGTGAAAATGTTAGCATATATCCATCTGTCAATCGCATTGCTAGTGCACTTACACCTGAAGATCCCATAAGAGCACCGAGCGTACCGGGCTTGACAAATCCTTGAACGTTGTCGAGAAGAAGACGATCGCCATGCGGCGTCTTGACGGTGTAAGTCAGATTCTTCCAGGTAAAGACCGATGTATTGTGGACGAGCTGGTTGTCGATGGTTGCGTCAGACTTCTCGGAATCGGAGCCGGAGTTCTCGGATGGCTTCTCGACAGCCTGGGATTCCTCATCCGCAACCACGGCATTAGGTACCTTCTTCTGCTTCTCACGGGGGATGAGGAGGCCGCGACCACCTTCGCCCATCTGCTTCCACCTGGAAGTGAAGAAGACGGTCATTGCCACGAAGAAAACGTACCAGGCGCAGAGAATGCCAAAGTTGCGCCAAAGGTTGCTGTGGCTGAAGGACATGGAAGCCAGGTATTGGTCACCAGTAACGCTGGTTGCTCCAGGAGGCGCACCACGGACGCCGGTACATGCTTGTCCGCCTCCTGTTTCGGGGCTGTATCCTTCGCCATTTGGAACCAGGAATGGGCCCACACAAGGAATCACCTGGTCGTGGAACTCGTTCGCGAGCAATGCTTCGAACGCGTAGGCCATGGGGTCGATCCAGAAGAACCAAACGAACCAAGGGTGCATGTCGGGCTTGGGAATCATGTATCCTGCATATGTGAAGGCAGCGACGATGGTGAATCCAGAAGCTTTAGTTGCTGCGTCGAAATTCGGGAAAGCGGCACCGATGAACCTGAACAGCTGTGTCATAGCCAGGGCCGAGATCAAGTTGATGAGCCAGAAGATGAAGAAAGCCTGGGCGGTGTACTGGAATCCAGTCATGAAGTACAGCACAATTCCAAAGTGCGAGATTTGGAAGAGCATGATCGGGATGTCGGTAATGACCTGGGCGAAGACAAAGGCAGATGGATGGTGGAGAGCGAAGTCTCGGTGTTTGGCTAAGACGGGTCGGCCGACGAACGAATCCGTAACCTCGGCGAGAGCGATGAAGGTAGGATATAGTAGAGAGAAGAAGAGTGAGCCTCCCTTGATGAACAAGCCCGCCGTGTTGTCCGGAGCATTGTAGAACAGTGAGCCACCGATCAGCGCCTGAACGACGGTTGTGGCTTGCTTGATGAACAGAGTTTGCTTGTCGCCCCAGAGGATCTGAAATTGGCGTATGGTAGCCGTCTGCACCTGATGGAAATATCCTGCGGACTCCGCAGCTTTCTTTGGGAGGTTCTTGTGCTTGTCTTGAGCCTCCTGTTCCTTGAAATCCGCCGTATTCTGCTGAGCTTCGGGGCTATTGGGGTAGTCGAGCTCGGCCATCATCCTTGGCTTGATGGGCGAGTTGTTATAAGCAGCGAGCAGCTCCTCTGTTGATCGAGGAAATCGGTCCTCAAATTCTGGGGCAATTGTGCGTACAGCAGGCACCGATACGCTCGTGAGGAAATCTGACTTGTTGGCTGCAGGGTCGCATAGGAAGCCAAGATCCTCCATGTATGGCACAGCTTCGTCTCGAGGTCCGTAAAAGATCTGCTTGCCGTTATCGAGAATCAGAATCTTGTCGAACTGCTCGTAGATGCCATTACCAGCTTGGTACAGACTGGCAATTGTAGTGAGACCAAGAATATCTGTCATGGCGCGCATGGCTTTCGTCCAATCTAGCGCAGTGCTCGCGTCGAGACCACGAGTGGAGTTATCCCAGGAGAAGACGCTGCCTCTAGTCGCAAGGCATTCGAGAATGGACACTCGCTTGCGCTCGCCACCCGAAACGCCACGAATGAACTCATCTCCGACCTTGGTGTCCTTTGTGTGCGTGATACCGAGAGACTTCAAGAGGAATTCTTTGTATATTTGGGCGTACTCCTCCTCGTTCTTGATGTCCGGTGGCAGGTGGAAGGGCACCTTCAAACGTGTGGCGAAGTCGATGGTGTCACCAACTGAAAGAGCTGGAAAGAAGATCTCCTCTTCTGTGTTCATGATGATCTGACCACGATATTGTTTGGCTTCTTGACTGGTCATGGAACCGAACGAGACGTCGCCAGTAATTTCTGCGAAGCCATTTCTGTGGTTTGATAGAACGCTAAGCAGTGTTGTGCATCCGGCCCCTGGATTTCCAAGAACAAGCAACATCTCACCGGGTTTGACACATCCAGAAGAGTTGTCGATAATAGTCTTCAGCGGTGGGCTCTTTCTGCCCTTCCCGAATGGGTTGAATTGAGAGAGAACATTTTCGTTGTAAAGCGCATCACTGCTGATGCCCTTTACTGTGAGGTTCTGCCATGTCACACCCAGCTTCTTCGATTTCCCACCGTTAGTCTCGTTACGTTGTCGTATTTGTAGTATATCTGGAGTGATGGGCCATTGTGAGATGTCTCGGGGGTCGGTATTTTGGCCGGATTCGTCGTCTGACTGCTCCGCGCTGGAGTTGACGATAGGGTCCGCCATTGGGGAGGGAGATCGTCCGGAGGGCTTTCCGAGCGAACTCGTCTGGTACATCGCTTTCTCGGGGTCGCGATTGACCTCCATGTTGTAGTTCTTCGGATTCGCTAATTTGCCAGACTTTGACAGCAGAAGAACTTCGATGGAAAAAAATGCTGGAGATCAGACGACTGGAGTTGCCAGTGGGAGAGTAGCAACATCACGCACAAGATATAAGAAGAACAAAGTAATGGGATA